ATCCCTGAGGCCGAGGAACATCATAACCTGCAACTACAACAGATTGCAGACGAAGAGTACCAAGGTGGCCAGCCGCCACAACAAACTGGTCCACACACCCAGCAGCCAGCTTCACAACAACCGGATCAGCAGGAATGGTACAACCAGGTCCAGACATACTACGACCAGTATGCGGGCTACTGGGAGCAGCTAGGTCGCTGGCAGGACTGGCAGAGAGCCCACGGGCACCAAGCGGGTCAGTGGCTATGGGATCATGGCGCAAACCAGTGGATTTGGCAGTGGGACAACCACAATCCTGGCGAGACTGGTAACGGCCAGCCGCCCACCTGAAATAGTTATTTTTGAGCTCTTTGTCCTCTGTGTAGAGAAAACAGGCCTGTGTCGTGATCATGTCTTTCCGGTTCACGAATATGCACCTGACGAGTGTCTCGGATCTTTCAGTTGTCACAGGGTGCCTAAAGCTTTGGTGTATGAAACGTGGATTCAGTGTGTGCTGCTATCAGGATATTGTTTGGGTCTGCCGGGGGCTTGGTTGGACGTCCTAACATTCTGGGCAGGTACCATTGTGCTTGTTGTGTACTTTCTCCAATTACTCCGTCCCAGATGCGAAGCAGTAGCTGGCAAATGCCAGAATCTTGACGAGCAATTGTAGCTTCCTCATCACGATGAGCTCGCCCCTCATTCGCAGCGCCAGTTGCCGCACTGATTCACCCCGTCATGCACAATTTGACGAAGAAGTTAGTGGAGATGGGTAATCCCTTGTAGGGGTATGAGTTGGCGCCATTGACGTAAATCAGCGTTTAATCGTGAGGGGAGTACAATGGAGAGCTCTTTATCAACGACTCAGGTATTGAGCTTGACACTGGACACAGCTTCAATACCCTTGCGAGGTACTCGACCAAGGGCTTCTCACCTGCGAAGACGGAGACCCAACTCCAACTCTGTATTGGGTTGTGTGAGCGCCACAAGGATGGTCACCAGGAAGATTCGAAAAGGCGCTGTTCCCCGTTAATGGGTGGCAGCAGCGACAAAATCTAGGAGGGTAATCACGCGAGCTTGACCTGCTCCCGTTCCCAGGCAAAGCGCCGAAAGGTCGAAAGGAGTCTCCTTCAAATCCGGCTTGTCGCCACTCAGCACCGAACTCATGAGGGTCCTCTAGCTACTCTACACATCGACTGCACATTGCCTCGGGCTTCTCAACGCCACCTTGTAGCCGGCTTGGAAGGCCTCAGTCATGTAGCTGGATCAGCACACCTTCGGTACCACCATCATTTGACCACGAGGTCAATTACGCGAAGCAAAAACCAGGATCCCATAGGGGAAGCTTATGTGTGTCGGTTTCAACGTTCAAGTCTACGATGATGTGTTTCGTTGGACAGCGCAGCTGACACATAGTCTACAATATGCTCAACTGGGGAATGGGTATGCTTTTCTGATGAGCCTTCATGCGTTCCGGGGCGTCTCTGGAGTATGGAGGAGTTCCAAAGAGGCAACATTACACCGAGCTGGAAGATGAAGCAGCAACTGGTATGACCGAGAAAGGCATGAAAAAGGGACAGGCACCTCGGGCTCTTTCAATTCATTGTATTTCACACTCAAATCCCACCTTGAGGTTCCTCTTCTTTTCACTTCAGGACTCAAAAAGTGGTTCAATGCGCTTTCCGAATTCGCATTGAAGACCCACCTCAAACATTTTCAGATGGCCAGTTTGGCAGTTCCAGGTTCCTTGCCATCCGCAAAAGTCCATTCACCGCTATCGATCCCAATCATGGTGGGGCAAGCTGTCGGAGTGAAGGGAGGCAGTTACGTCGGATGAGAACCTGCTTGTGCGCTCCTTCCTTGACTGTCCGGCGCAAAGCTTTTTCTTTTTTTCTTTTTTTTTTCATTATTTCTTTTCCTATTCTCCAATCTTGAGTGCCTTCATCTCCTTCGTCGCAGCGCACGATTTGTAGTGGAGGACAACCGAGATAACTGAAGTCAGCAACACTCGCCGTCGATGATCGCACGCGCAATTATCATTTCCTCGACACTCAACCGAATTCTCGACTAGCACCAACCATGGACGCTCAGTCAGGCCTGACCATGCACAACTACAAGCAGGACGGTCTTTTCGCAGCCATCGTTGTCGGCTTCGTGACCTCGTCCCTTTCGACCGGCTTCCGATTTTGGGCGAGGCGAAGAACGGTCAAGGTCTGGCGGCGCGATGACTGGCTTATGTTTGCTGGACTCCTTTGGAGCTGGGGCGTCATTGCAGCCATACTACATGGCCTGACTGTCGGATTAGGGGAAGAGTCTCTCACGACAGACCACAACAAGCTATGGCTCCCGAGAACCAACGCGGCCATGTTGATGTTTCAAAACTGGGGGGCGTTTTGCGTCAAGGCATCAATCCTCTTCTTCAACATGAGCATTTTCAAGGGGAAGATCTCAACCAAGCTCGCGTGGTCAGTCTTCGCCGTCACCTTGATCAACTCGTTTACCGGATTCTTTATTGCCTTCCTCCAAGAGATCGCCGCCTGTCCTCGAGCCGACAAGCAGTGTTTTGGCGAGTCAAAGTTTGTTGTGCCGCTGACCACCGGAATCATCTCGACCTTGTGCGACATCGTCATCTATGTCATGCCAATCCCGATTTTGGCCAGACTCGGTGTGGACAGAAGGACGAAGCTTGGCCTTTGCTGTGTCTTTCTCCTCGGTCTTCTTTGCATCGCTACCAGCTTTGCGCGATGGGCGGCCATGTTGCAAAACCACCCCAAAGATGATGTTACGATGCGTTAGTCCTCTTGTTTTCCTTCTATTCTAGCCTTTAGGAGGCTATGTAGCTAATGATTTCTCCCTCATTCAGCCAGCAGTATCGGCATCAGTCTCTGGACATTTGTTGAATTGTCAGCGGGTATCACATGCGGCAACCTCCCTGTCCTGGCTCCGATGTTTGGCTGCGTCGGCTCACGGCGTGGAAGAGGAACCGGTCGGTCGACTCCGCATCTTGCGTCAAATTTCAACATTCCTTTTCGGCCAATTCAGCAAGCGCTGAGCCGCCCGGTAAAGCCGCAATCTCTTGACAATGGTGGAAAGAACTCCAAAAAAATCTGTTCGTCGCTGCGAAAGACCGAAACGCCCTCACCTTTGCACCTCTCTTTCACTGGAAGCGACATCGAGCTGAATGTTCTGTCAACTCCAGCGGCAAGCGGTGCGAGCACAACGCCAGCGGATCCGCCACAGCCTCTCACTAGAAGTTCAAGTCAAAGGTTGTCCGTTTTGGAAAGGAGGAAGGCCCGAGCCGGCTTCGAGTCTCTCGAGTGAGGATGAGGATGACCAAAGGGAGAACACTTCGGTACTACACCTTACCAATAGTACGTGTCCGAAATGAAACTGAAGGCGAAGAGCACGCTGGAAGGCATGCACATGGAAGAGGCATATAGGGACAACGGTCGATCGAGTCAAGAAGGCAACGCTCCGTTCTTCTATTCCAGCTGCTTCGGACCTGTCAACCTACCGCAACACCCATCCCCAGCAAAAGCTGCGCAACCCTGTTGATGTACATCGCCGGACAGTTCGAACCACAGAACTTTATGGAAATCAACTACCCTGACTTTCGACCAGCGAGACTCGCAACTTCTGTCAACAGCTGACGAACCCAGAAACTTCCAGACTTAAGCCCAACATCAAACCCTCTCATCTCTCCAAATCCAACAGCAACGCATATCACAACCTAAAAGCTCACATCCCTCTGGGCATCGTCGTCACAAATTCACCTTGAGCCACGCTATCACGACACTTACTTGGAAGTGGTGTTGGAAGTAGTAGTGGTGGAACTGGAAGAGTCCAAGACAGACGACAGGGACGTGGCAGCCGGAGTGGTATTTTCCCTTTCAGAGTTGCTCTGATATGGGGAGAAACTAGTGTAACTGGACGAGGACGACGAGTTGCGGGTTGCTTCTGAGGTGGAGTACGAAGAGCCAGCGGTCACGTAGCTGGTAGAAGTGGTAGAACCACTCTTGTTATCGTATTTTGTGTCGTTGCTATAAAAGGTGATAAGTGGTTGGTCCACAAAGACACATTGGCAGGAGGTTGGTTATTGGGAAGATATTAAGAGAAGAGAGATGTTGTTTAAGGAAGTCAAGTGACGGTTAATGACTGGAAGTAAACAGGGAGAGCAGAGAAAAGAGGCAGATTGGAGACAAACTCAGGCATGTTGGAAGTTGGAGCCTGTTTTTTCTCTCAGGAAAACTGTGATGTTGATTGACAAGTGTGAATATGCTGTTTGGTTGTGTTGATGAGTGAGAAGGAAGGAGCAAGTGCTGTCAATCTCCTCCTTTTATGTCTTTATAGTACTGTTGCACCGATGATACTTTCAAGCAAGCAGCAGCTGTCAGGAGACATGGTCAATGATGCATTGGCCTGAGCTGTTGCGATGCTATGGTTGTTGAAGACACATAGTCGTCAGAGTTTGGGTTTGGCAGTGTAGGTTTGTCCCTGGTTTACTGTTCTAGCCTGTAAGGACTGGCTGATTGCGGGTTTTGGTGTTGCCAAACTCGAAGCTCAGGAAAGATGAGGGATGGAGGTCTGGTCGTCTTACAGCCGCACTTACGGTTGGAGTTTGGGCAGAGCAATAGTTTGTCTCATACTTGTTTGTTGCTCTAGTGTTCTTTATGTTCCTCCCCTACGCATCCTATACTCTCCGCAAGCATGAAAGTCTTCATGTTCAAGCAGTGTGGAAAAGATGTCAAGCCAACTTGGTCTAGATCGTCGTTGTGTCATTCTTCTCACCTGGTGGCGGCGCAGGAAGTCCTGTCCCATGAGGAAAACGAACCCGATTTCCATTCTGCTACAATCAAGGTTGGTTGGTGTCAGCTGTGTTGTTCAAGTGAGGGGAGGTATAAAGACTTAGAGCCCCGAAAGTCTAGTATCTTCTTGGGGTTAAGGGTTAAGCACCCAGATACCAGAACTGATTTCCCAGAGTAGCAGAACTCAACTAGGGGCTGACCCCTTTCGTTTTCACAATGAGCTTCAGCGCCGAAACAGACTGGTTGCCGAATGGGCTTCAATTCCCAGATAAAGGGCATGACTTGCGTCTCTGGTTACATACGGAACGGAGAAAAGACGTACATATCTTGGATTTTCATGCTCCTCTCAAAAATTGTTTTGGCAAAGTACCTGTACAGGAGAACAACGAAGACTTGAAAGCCCATCTTCAAGTTGCATTTGTTGATAAGCTGGAGAGCCAAAATCCTTGGGGATATGGACCCCCCACGACTCTTTGCATCGAGTCTCCTGGTCCGGTTTTGCCGGGCTTTGCCGCTCCAAAGGAGATATTGGAGAGGATCATAGACACGTGGAAGATCCCAAGAAAGTTGTTCGACGAGATCCAGAAGCCGGGGTCCTTCCCAAACTTTTTATTCTTTGAAAAGAACCAGCACTCTCATCTCGAGTTGCATATCGGGTTCAGATGGATGTCAGCGCCTGGATCTTATCTTATATTTCTTGGCTCAATCTTTTCAGTCAATCCCTCACTCTATGACGAGTTCGCCAAGTCCACTAGCCAGTTCCGCGGAGTCTTTTCCCATCGCGGCGTTCTTACACCCACGTGGAACGGAGATGTTATGAAGAGCGGAGAAGACGTTTTTGGTCGGTGGGAAGGCTCACCGGTAAGATTGCCTGTCATGATGCTGAACCAGTGCGAGAAACATCTTGAGAGCTCCATTCAGCAGCAAGCTGAGAAGGTCGAGGAGATGCAAGGGCATCTATCTCTTCTAGAGGCAAAGCTTCCTGGTTCGGGTGTTATGGTTCCTCCCGAACTGTACGCGCGACACAGGGAGCTCACTACTTCAATCTTCACCCTGAGAAACTCCTGTCGTAACCTCATGGAGATTTGTTCTGGGTTCGTAACCGCCTTCAAGGCTTCTCTCTCGTACAAGCATGTCAGTGATAATCGCCTGGGGAACTTGAAGTCTTTGCGCGACGGCATCGAGAGAATACACGCCCGACTGAAGTTCCAACTCAACAGGATCCATTACCTCGAGAACATACACATTCAGTTCACGAAAGGCATGACTGCGTTGAAGCAACTCATGTTGTTGAATAAAAGTCGCTAAGTGAAGAGAGGGCAGAAGGAATCAAGATGACGCATCGCGAGAGATTGGCTGGAGTGACGAGGCTTCACATGTTGGTATTCATGTAGCGAAGAGGTTAAAGGAAGGTGGGGATAAGAAGGACCATGAAAAATGTTAGAGCTGGACGGCGTTGAGTGGAAGAGAGATGAGCTTCAATGAGTGCATCATACATAGACAAAGCGGGCTGGAAACTGACCAGGTACCTTACTCTTTGGTGTCGAGGGCCACCGAACATAATGGCAAAATGAAGAATGCATATTCAACAAGACTCAAGTTTCCATAATGCAATCAATGACTGTAACATGATAAAACAACATGCATTGAAGTGTTTGAAACTTGCCCACTGTGAACCAAGAATCTTCGAAGCTTAATCCGTCGACCCTTTCTCCCCTTAGGGCAAATATTACCACTACCTAGGTACGCAAGCCTTGTTCACGCTTGAAGTCTAAGTGCATGACAAGCAAGGAGGGAGAAAAACAGCACTCTAGTTCCATAGGTAGTAGTGTTGAACCATACTGCAAGGAAGCGATCACGGTGAGCGACGTAGTGGTGGTGAAAGTCTTGATTGATTGAGAGAAGAAAGAAAGACGAAGAAGAAGGAGGATAAAATCCGACTTATATACAGGGTAGCCATATGTGGATCGTATCCACTGATACCAAGAGAAGCCAAGAACTGGTGATGGCTTCAACAAGTAGGTCATCCGGGACAGAGACAATAGGACTTGGGATGAGTTTGTCCAGTGTGCTTGCTGTGGACTCTATTGGAAGTGTCTATGATGACGAGAGGAAGGAACAGAAGTTTGTGATGCATCAGTTTTGCGGGTGTTTGAGAGGAACGCAGATTTCTCTGGAAGCGATTCAAACACAAAGACACACGTATAACGCTAACAAGAAAGTAATGGAGCTACGGTATAAAGGCTTTTACACCCTCACCAAGACCTCTGCATCCTGTCCTGTCCAGAGCCACTTACCCACAACATCCATACCTCTAGCGATCAAAGAGACAGTCACCATAAAGGAACCAAACCCATACCCAACAGAGCTAACCAACCACCCATCTCACCCACCCATCAAAACCATGTCCTTCAACGGCACCTTCGACTGGGTCCCCCGCGGCGGCCTCATCTTCACCCCCACCACCCAGGACCCCGACCTACACATCCACTCCGGCGGCCCCAACGACCCCGACACCACCACCCCCTCCCACTACCGCATCCAAACCCAAACTCCCAACCCCTCTTACCTCACACCCGCCCTCTGGATCGAGAGCATGACGAACATCCTCTCCCAGCCCTCCAAATCGCTCATCCTTCTCGAATCCCGTAACGGCCCACAGGAACCCGGCTTCGCCGCGCCCGAGGACGTTATACAATCTACCACAAAGGCCCTAGAGCTCAAAGACGAGCAAGTAAAGAGAGTCATCGGCAAAAGCGGATCACTAACCGATTACTTCTTCTCTGAATCAGCCGCAGCGTCATCCGATTCAAGCGTCGAGCTTGCGTTCCGCTGGACTTCCATGCCTGGATCTTATGTGATTTTCATGGGGCGGTTTACGCCGAGATCTGTAGTAACAGGGTCAGGGGAAAAGGGGAAGGAGACGGACAGGATGGTGGGGATTGTTTCTCATCGGGGTCTTTTCCCTATCTCTGCCGGGGAAGGGGAGGGTGAGAAGGAGAAGAAGAAGAAGAATGTGATTATGGATTCGGACTTGGGAGTGGCGCTGGGTAAGCATGCTGACAAGCTTGGAGAAAACCCAATGAGTGTGTTCACTGTCCTTCTTCAGCTGTGTGAGAGCCATTTGGATGAGGAGATACATGAGCTTGGGGTTAGGCTGGAAGGAACGCCGATGGAGGATTTTGCACAGGTTGCAAAGGAGATGGCGCCGGAGATTTGCGTATTGAGAAAGGCATGTAATGAGTTGCTGGCTATCTGTGGCGGGTGTCTGTTTGCCATCAAGATCTGGAGTCAGAAGGTGAAGGTAACTGATACCCAGACGTGCTTGGACGGATTGCGGAGGGATGTGCAGGGGATTAGAGTGTCGGTCGAGATGCGCTTGGAGAAGTTGAATTATGTTGATGGGGTTTGTAGCCGTATGACGATGGGCGCGGAGTCAGGGAGGCGCAACAGGTTCATGGAGTGTTGAGTGGTGGATTTGGAAAGTCAAGTAGTTGGCTGGTGACAAGACAAGAACAAGAAAGCCTGTACCGGGGAGAAAAGCTTCATGTAGACAGAAGTATGCCGTGGTGAAAGAACAACTAGGAGGAGAAGGGGAAGCGTTGCTTGTTGTTGAATTTTGGTACAGTGGCACTGGTGGGATGCCGCCTTGAGCAGCGAGGGATAAGGTAGTACGTCAAATGAGGATAGACACTTCGCAGTTATGACTTGTAGAACGTTTGTGAAAACCAAAACTGAAAACTTGAAGCACTCCGCCACTGGCAGGAGAGGACTTCGACCCCTATTGTAACTCATAGGGGAGGGTAAGCAATGCGCCGATATCGAGTGTCTTCCATCTTCACGGAAGCCTCCTAACAAAAGTGGATCCCTCTGTATCCCAGACTCCGGCCGGGGCCGCCAACCTCACCCGGTCAAGACGCCGGGGTGACACCCAAACCTCGAACACTACCACAGTATTGTATAAGAGATAAGTAGAGATTACAATCATGTAATGATATCGTCGCGTTCCGTGCCTCCTATCCGTCTGCGTCTCCTCCGGAATCATGGAAATCATCCCATGTCTATCAAAGAAACCCAAGACAACGACCAAAGATGGAGTGATGGAGTTCTACCAGTCGAGACAAAGGTGAAGGTGCAAAGCAATTTCGTGAAGCCTCATGATTCGCATCCGGTCAAAGCTTTGAAGCACCACAAATACGCCATATTTTCAGTCATATCATCCCCGGACCTTCTCAGTCTACCCATCACCATCAGATCGCGGGCGGCAACTCCTTCGACATCACCACAGGCCACAACTGCCATGACATTGCCCAACAGTCTACCTATACCACCTACAAATTCTCCGAGACCTTCATATACTAAATCGCCACCCTCTTCTTCCGCGCCGGCAACGGCACCTTCGAGTGGGTAGCCCGGTGTCCCAACGTCTTAAGGGTACTATTCGACGGTGCCTGACTGCCCGTGGCGGCGGCATGTTCATCTAATACACCGTTCCCTAGGATGGTCTGAAGGCAACTGCCTTTCAGCCCGAATTCCGCATGATTGTCTGCAACCCCCTTATCCGCAACGAGTCATCCGCCAACCAGTATGGCCAGGTGACCTTGACCTGCCTGAACGCGCTCGACATCCGAGTCCATGCCCAGCCGCATGTGCAAGGATGGTATCATAGCCAACTTATGCTTCCTGAATTGCTGGGACGGCAAGAGCTTGATTTCCGTCGACCAATCCTTGCAAGTCGCCTATTTCCACACGTACGGTCACGACATCTTCGGCTGGAAGTACGATGCGTTGCAAAGGGCCATGAACGCCAACTGCAATATCTGCTACGGCGTCTTCCAGATGCAGATCATTGGCTAGGCTAACCCGTGCTCCCAAAGCAGAAAGTCGTGGAAAATCTGATGGGTAGTTGATGGAGTTGCCGTATGCTATGCGTATCACCGGCCCGCAGCCGGGAACGGGAAGCGGTGGTGTAAGCTGCACTGTTGCAAGGTGGGAACAGTATGGTGGTAATTCGTATGCCGGGTGCACGACCTGTGCTTCGGTGTCGACTTGAAAGAAGAAGGATGACTGGTGCTCGCAGTGCTTGTAAGGCGTGAGAGTGCGGTCGTAAATGGGCCTGAGATCCGGCCCTGCGAAAGGAATTGCGTGTTAGAAGATGCGAACACATGTGTCTGGATGGGCTATATATAGTATGGGAGGAGACTAAGACACAAATGCTATTATACCTATCATATCCTTCGTTCTCTGAGCGTGTCGTATTCACGCTCCAATCAACCTCAGATTCTCAACGTTAACAGCGAAACGAGCGTAGATCTACCGTCCAAATCAACCAAGTCAGCAAGTCATCAATGCCGCAGGATCACAGAAACCAACATACCTCGAACTCTCCAAAGACTGCGCCACAAGCTGCGAATAAAAGCTCTTGACATCACTCAACGAAATCATCGAGTTGCGCCCCTCCCCTTGCTCCCTCCCTACAACCTCTTCATGAACCGGGAGTCGCTCAGGCTCCACAACAATGATACACAAGCTTCTCAGGTTCGATAGAACAGACATCCAAATCTTGTTGTCCACATCCGGCCTGTATAGCAGCGTATTCGACAGCGAAGAAGCAATAACCGGGTGCGTCAACTCCAAGCGTCGGATCGGTAGGCGATCTACGGCTTGGGGAAGCATGCTCAGGAGATCCTCGTCGTCTTCGTCTGCGACGACGATGCGGAATGTGTTTTCAGCGTAGAAGACGTCGAGCGCTTCGGCGCGGGTCTGCTGGTTCAGAGAGAGAATGGCGGTGGTGTCGGCTTCTTGGAGACACTCGAACACGGGTCGTCTGCGGCTTAGCTCGATGGTGTCGGGGTGGAGGACGACTTCGCGATAGATGAAGATGCGGATCTCGAGGGGGAGGTCGAGAAACCCGAGTGTCTTGGGGTCGGAGTAGGGGAGGAAGCTCGTGGGAGACATGGTTGAATGACGGTCGTGATATTCTGGTCGTGGTAACAGGGCGCTGTACTGGACGGTAGATGCGTTTCGGTCGCTTGTGAATTGGTTTTCTGTGAGATGCCGACGTCGGTGGTGGTCAGCTTCAGTACTGGGTGACTGGGCGTAGCCGTCTATTATTTAAGCCATAACGGTAGAAGATGATGTCGGATTACCAACGACGACAGATCGGTCGATGCGGGGCATGATGGTGTAGCGACTCCGTTGCCAATGGATTACTAGTACTGCAAAGAACTTGTGTAGAGGCGGGTGGTGCGCCAGTGACCATCCCACGACTGAAAATGCCGGAACTTTGTCGAAAGGGGTTGGAAATCGGCAACTGGAGAATCATCAAGACGATCTCGATGGGAGTCTGATGGTGTTTTGTCCACACTGCACGAGGAAGGCAGAGTTGCATGATGGGATTGGTGAATGACGTAGCGGGAGAAGTTAGCGAGTATTCTATACCGCATGCACTCGACATGCGGAAGGTGCCTTTGGGGTACATGAATCCCCTTGGCCGGCTGCCTATCCGTGGTTGGTTCGGTGGTGTAAAAGGCAACATCCCTGGGGTGGAATGATTTCACTTCTGACTGAGGTCCTTGAGGAAGATACGGGTTCGAATCCTGAACGGGCTGACCACATTTCTTTTTTGGACCTTTTTCTGACTCGTGTCTATTGTAATTCGTCTGTTTGTATCCAATTGAGATAATATACTTCTTTCTGAGAGACAGGCAATACTGTTCATCGCCAGTCATGTCGATGAGCTGTTCAATGCAGGTGATCGCATACGAACCGCATAGCATCGGGAAGCATACAACCTCAGTGCAAAACACTTGGCCAAGACGTTGATACATCTTCAGCTTTGCAATCACGGAACCCTCGTTCGTTTTGCCGCAACTGGCAGCCGGAAATATCTGTGGAACCCTGGAGATCTCTTCCGTGCCGTCGTGCAACATTGTTTCCTGCAACGGGAAGCACTTCACCAACCAGCCGGGCCGTGACACCTCATTTCATTAGCCGGCATGTGCTACGGTTGTTCGCTGGGTCGATTGGCTTGGCCCCCAACGTCTTATAGTCCGGTCGATCTCGATCACGTACCTGGTTGAAGGTGTGCTATCGCGGCTGCTTGATCTAACAAGATCCAACTGCCCCCTCGGCAGTCATCATCGGTTTCGAGAACAAGTCACTTGTTTTGGGGAACTTGGAGGCAGGGCGCAAGAAATAACTTATCGCTGCTGTCAACCAGTGATTGGCATTGCACAGAAGGCAATGCTGGTGAGTTAACATGGTCCATGACTTGAAATTTCAATGAAAACTCAGCTAATGATTAAAGTAATCAGAAAATGAACGACAGACACTCCCCCCCATATTGGCCAGCACATGCAGGCCTGCTATGCTAGCCCATGGAGCTGGGTGAAAAAAAAGGGGCACCCTTGTAAACAAAAGAAAACGTCTGTAAAGACTGTAACTTAACCGCACCCTGTAATTCTCGATTGTGTCATTCCAGACTTGGTGAAGTGCATGACGTTTTCCGTCGCAGCTTCGTCGAGAGTTATGTTAAGTCTTCGTCAGTTACTTGACTTAGACTGTCAAGTTTCCCAAGGCATTTATGATATCCAAGTTCCCACTGCTCCTCAAAATCTTCCCGACTTCCTTCATGTGATTACGAAACCTGCTGACTTCGATGTAGACGTCGCTAACATCCTCCACAATGTCCTTCATCTATGGGTTAATTGGTGTTAGTTGACCCCCGTTAATAGTAATCCAGGAATTGGTTAGGTATTTTTCAATCTGCCAACTTACTGTTTTGTAAGGACCATCCTTCTTCATCTTCGTGCGACCATCGGCTTTCTTGATAGCACTAATGGCCGGCTGGCACTTCTCCTCCTCTTCCTTGCTGAGCTCACCAGACCAGGACTTGGTGGTCAGTTCCCATCTTCTCTCAATCCTAAGAAGGTCACCATCGGCTAGCGCAGGCAAGCGGTTAGCATCTCTCGAATCGAATGGATATTAAGTGGGGAGCCAGCGGACCATACCCTCTTCGATGATGGAGAGAGCGGCATCAATGTGCGGTCTCAGCTCGTTGAAATACCTGGTCGCATTCCGCTGGGCGGTTTCGGGGTCGAGATAATAGACTTCGAAATTGAAGTGCGTCGCCCATTCCGGAAAGGCATATTCGAATGGGAAGCTAAGGTCGAATCCAAGCTTCACAAAGTCTTTTCGCATACGAGCATGGTTGAGGAGATTTTCCCAGTTATTGACCAACTCGTCCGGACTTGTTGAGGTTTCTACCGGTTCTTGTAGTTTGGGCAGTGAAGAAAGGTCTGAGTCCGTCGTTCTGGAGGATGTTTGGCTTCTTCTGGACATCTTTGGAAGTGCTCTAGTGCGGTATATCAACAGCAAATATGATTGGAAGGCTTGTACCAAATGGGTAACGAAAGTTGTTAGCAAGTCTGCTGCTGTTGAGGGCGAAAGCTGGGAAGTTGGAAACGAGCTTTGTAATGGATGATTGATAGGTAGCTAACAATTTTCTGAAGCCTTGTTGTTCTTGCCATTTAGAACTCGAGATGTTGGTAGAAGCGCGGCTGCCAGTCTCACGACGTAACCCTCTTCGTCTTTAATCAGACCAGATACGAGGCGGCAGAACCTCGTTGGTTCCAACATTTCGGAGGCGACTCCATATGAGGACGCAATGGTATTGACGGTGGAAAGAAAATGGAAAGAGCGGTTGTATCGAGTCTCAACTAACCAGCTTCCAACCACCCGACGACTTTGATCATCCAAGTTTAAGCGCCCATATGCACCCCTAACCCTGAATGCAACAAGGGGTTTGAAGAAAGTAGTACCCGGCCTTGCTGTTGACTCTGCGGCTCCGCTGGTTGGCAAATCTCATCATCCGTCTCCTTTCAGATTGCAATAATTGGCGGCTCCAGGGCCCAAGCAGCTTTTTCTCACTTAAGATAAATTGTCCGGTCCGTATGACGTGGGTGTCGCATGTATGAAGAGAAGAACCAAAACCCCCAAGGCAGCGCTCCAGCGGGGTTAGGGTTGGCGCCGTTTGATGCCCAGCGGTTCACACTGCTCATGGTGGGTGAAAAACATGCCGCAATGGGTGGTGGAGGATATAACCAGACATTACCATTTGTCACTGATTCCGGGGCGTAAACATCTTTCCAATTTGGAAGCCTGGACTTTGATGTTGCGAGTGCGAAGCTCGCTTGTAGATCTGCAGCTGTCAGGGCGCAAAACACCTGCAAGTTGATCCGTGCGCATCAGTTCACGATTCTCTCCCTTGCTCCTTCTGTTCACGAAACAAGAAGCCGCCGAAATTGAATGTGTCAACAACGAGCAACATCCACCTTCCTCTCACTTAGATCTCCCACTCTCTCTTTTGCATCGACATGTTTTCCCAGGGATGGGATGGCTCCGAGTAGAACGTCCGGACAAAGCCCAAGTTTGGTGTGATATTTCCACCACATGGCCCGTGCGCCCAAGAAGCTGACTGCTGCTTTCATTCAGCAACTTCGCGAACGGTGTTTTTACATTCCACCTGGATTTCGACTGCGCGTCGGCCATCTTTCGTCACTACCTGCCAGCATTCTGGAATTCGGTCTTCGTCGATGAATGAGGGCTGGCTGAAGAACTCCTTGCAAATGTCCGTTCACGGTAGTACCCGTCCTCAGTGCCGATTTCGCTTCTCCGAAGCCACAGTCCGCTGACAGCCATGCCACGCCATCGTCATCTTCCCTGCCTCGGTCCTCAGTCAATGCAGTTGATCACATCCAAGCCAGGCCATGCGAGGGACGCCAGTAGTACAGCCACCCTTCCCTCGTCTTTCTGATCAGTCAATCAAGTAATGGCTTCTTCACGGCTTGGACCCTAACCCTTATCAACCCCCAGATTGTGATGACCGCCGGGGGAGGTCAAAGCCATCGTCATGTCTCGAACAATGGTGTTGATCTGGTCTACATCTGCCGTCTACCCGCTAGGTCTTCGGCTCTCATGAGCGAGGTCTCATATCGGGCGGGACGGGGGAGATGCGGCGGCTCAGCGTTGTCCTTGCATGCCAGCCACCCGGGTCACCGACCGTTGATTCACAACAAGGCAATTCAGGGAGCATGCCAGTCGCCAGCCATGTAAACATTGCCAAGTCCGTCTACACTATACCGACCAGTATATACAAATGATCGTATCCGACTCCGTCACGCTTTCTCTGTTTCCAGGAACTTGGCTCTTGCATCGTCCTCATCGGTTGGGTGTTGTTGTTGCGTGTTCTACTAACCATCTAGGAACCCCCTTTTAACACTCGTTGATCCCCTTTCACATCACCAACTAGTCATTCGTTGTGTCATCCCCAGCACCCTATTGTAATATCAGTATGCGTTTTCTTCCACTTCTAGGCGGCTTATTGCCCCTTCTCGGCCTCGTTGGTGCCGCTCCAAGCTGCAACCATGAGTGCAACCGCGCTTGTTGGACATCCCGGTTCAACGTCAACACAGACTACGAGAACGAATGGCCTGTCACTGGGGTTACACGGAAGGTAAGATTTTCCAAACTATGTACCAGATCGACAAAGTTTCCCACATGCTCACACGAGACACTACCACAGTTCGACTTTGAAATCACCGAAGTGGATGAATGGGTTGGCCCAGATGGTCACATCAAGAAGGGAGCCATGCTCATCAATGGTGAGATATAGCGTCTGTCCGATGCTCAACTGCCTGCTAACGTGCAACCCAATAGGCGGTTACCCAGGGCCATTGATCAAGGCTGACTGGGGCGACAGGATCGAGGTCACAGTCACAAACAGGCTCAAGACGAACGGGTGAGTTCCGTCCTTCCAACTACAGTACGGGCCATTGACACTGACAATTCTTTCAGTACTTCTATGCACTGGCATGGTTTCCATCAACTGAACAGCAACAACCAAGATGGCGTGGCCGGCGTGACGGAGTGTCCCATCGCTCCTGGTACCAGCAAAGTCTACTCGTTCCTGGCAACTCAGCATGGAACTTCTTGGTTCGTCCACTCTGCCACTCGAGCAGAGGCGTCGACATATCCGCTAATACGTGATTTGTTCCAGGTACCACTCGCACATCTCCTCGCAATACGCCAACGGCATCGTTGGTCCAATCCAGATCAACGGCCCTTCCTCCTACCCGTACGATACCGACCTCGGCGTCTTCCCCATCAGCGACTGGTACTATGACTCCGCCGAGCACATCGTTGATCGGATGATGAACCCCAACGATCCCTTCCTCAAGGGTGTCCCTGGCTCTCCTCCGCCAAGTAACAACATCCTCTTCAACGGGATGAACATTGCGCCCAACAGCACTGGAGGCGAATATGCGAGATTGAAGTTCACAAAGAACAAGCGCCATCGTCTCCGGCTGGTCAACACCTCAGCCGATAACACCTTTGTCGTGTCCATCGTCGGCCACAACATGACGGTCATTGAAACGGACTTTGTCCCCGTAGAGCCGTACCCGGTCCACCAGCTTTACCTCACGGTTGGCCAGCGCTACGATGTCGTTATCAAGGCCGACCAAGAGGTGGACAACTATTGGATCAACGCAACCCTATCTTCGACTCCCCTATGCGGCGTATCGCTCAACCCTTATCCAGCAGCCATAGTCTCGTACGAAGGCGCCGATGAGTCCAGGCTTCCCACTGATCGCGGTTTACCTGCAATCGATCAGTTCTGCGAGGATGACGTCTCTTCTAAGCCCCGGACATCGAGGACAGCGCCAAAGGCCGACTTCAGCGACACCAAGGTGGATACTCTGTCCGTCACACTGGATGTGAAGGAGGTGAACAAGGGTATCTCCAAGGTACTTTGGTCGGTTGATGGCTCGGCCATTGATGTCCAATGGGACAAGCCGACGTTGGAGTATGTCGTCGAGGGTGACTTTACATTTCCGAGACAAGCAAATCTTATCCAGCTACCAGAAGCTGTCAAGGTTCGTTACCTCAACACCTTCCCATCGTGTCCCTTGCATTGACGACCAGAGCTAATGTATGAAACAGTGGTCCTTCTGGGTAATCCAAAACAACTCTCCCTCGCCGCATCCCATGCATCTCCACGTGAGTCTCTCTTTCCATCCCCTCCTCCCTTGCTCTTACACCTCTCCTTACACCCCCCCTCCCATCTCCCTCATACCCGAAATGAACTAACATCATCCCCAGGGCCACGACTTCCTCATCCTCGGCCGCTCCCGCTTCCCCGCGAACCCCCTCGTCGACCCAGGCCACCCCATCCTCTTCGACCCCTTAATCGACGGTCCCCATCTCAAGTTCGACAATCCCACGCGGCGCGACACCACTGTCGTCCCGTCTTTCGGATGGCTTGTTATTGCCTTTGAGGCCGGCCGCAACCCTGGTTCGTGGGTGTTTCATTGCCATATCCCGTGGCATATGAGCCAGGGACTCAGCGTTCAGTTTTTGGAGAGGGTCGATCGGATTAACAATGGGGCGATACCGAATTTGATGCCGGATTTGCGGGACAGGTGTTATGAGTGGGGGAGGTATGCGGATAATGATCCGGAGTTTAGGATGAAGAAGGTTGATTCGGGGATTTGAACTCATTTGAGTTGAGTGGGAGAGAAGAGGGGAGAGAAGAGGGGGGGGAGGTGGAGGTGGAGGTGGTGATGCCTAGCGTATGGGAGGGAAGGAGATGGGGGGTGACTGGAGGGGGGTTTCGTTCTTGTGTATTCTCTCCATATTTGTGTTGGATAGTTGATAGGCTGAAGTTGTGATATGAACGTTATATAAACACGTCTTTGAAAGGCATGGTGAAGCAGATGACGGCATGCATAGTCAATAGGCAGGTGAAAGAGTGAATGTGTTGAACCATACTGCAAGGGAGTGATCATAGTGAGCGATATGGTGGTGGTGAAAGTCTTGATAGATTGAGAAAGGAAGGAAGAAGGTGAAGAAGGAGGATGAAATCCGACTTATATCTAGGGTAGCAATGTGTGGATCATATCCACTGATGCCGAGAGAATGCCGAGAACTGGTGATGGCTTCAACAGAATGAAGGATATGTGGCGTTAAAGCAGCGGTGTACTCAGATGTTTCTTTCGGTCCAGGATTCATGTGGGCTGGAGTTCTCGAGAATCGCACGTCGAACCATGTTTGGAGGTGGGAAATTGGGCCATAAATCTGCGGGATTGTAGGGAGATGGGTATCAGGATGAGCAGAGGCTGGATGGACCAGCAGGTGGAGGAGCTCTGCCCGCGTTGAGCATGCTGGAAGCAACGTAACAGAGTATCGTGATTGGATCAGGGTCTTGGCTTTCCGGTGCAGATATGGAATGAAAGAACCTCGAACTTTTGACGTCGCCTATGATACGGACACACTTTTCGACAAGTTGTCTGGACTGGACCCTACATCACTCACGTTAGTAATCGTACAGGTGCCGTTCAATAGACTTTCACTCACAAGTCGTTTGAGTCCGCTTTGTGACCTTGCAACGATGCACTTGAATAACGAAGCCTCTGAAACTCCAATAACGGATCAACTAGGTCGAGAGCAGACTTGACGTATTTTCCCCGAGCTAATAGGAGCGCAATCTTTGGCCTCTTGTAGTTCCTCAGCACTTTCAATACGATGAGGGCAAATAAGCGCCGGGCACGGTTGCTGCTTTCGATCTCAGATCTCAACCTTGCTACCTTGTCCAGTTGTATCTGGCCATCGACTTGTAGCTTTTCCGCCATTGCCAGGATGCGTTCTATTACGTTGTGCTCCCGCATGTATCTCATTACAAGCCTGGGTGAAAGGCCATCCGTCTCTAGCTGATTGCTGAATACTTGGAAGGGCATAACTTCCCCATTCAACTGTTCACGGGCCTCCTTCGACGATTCGGGTAGCTCCTGATTAAGGCGTGGTACGTCGTATGCACCCAGAGCAGGCACAAGAGAAACGCCAAGTCCTTCCGCGAGATCCGTTCCTAGTCCTCCATGCTGGTATCTCTGTGCCTCCGTATGGTCTCTTATGTTGCCGAGCTGTGCAGACGTAGAATAGAAATCTCTCGGGTTATGGCTTAGCTGGACTTCCGGTGCAGTGGCGAACGATACCGTTGACGAGTAGCTACTTTTGGGAAAAGCCCACTTGGAGCTGTCGATCGATCTTCGTCCGCTGATAGGCAAAGAAATGATACTATCGGATGTTTGAAGCGGCGTTTCGACTGTATCACGATCTGCAGAGATGCCTTTGAAACCCAGAATTGCTTCTATGCGCAAGGACGGGGCCCGGTCCAAAATAAAGCTCTGGAAGGACAATTGACTATTTGAAGTCGAAAGGCTGGTGCGAGAGGTTCTGTTACGGGATTTGGCAGGATGAGGGCGTAGAAGGGTTCGTATCTCTTCTGTAGCGCGTTCAATCCTTTCTCTGTATGCTATCAGCAGGTGCTCCCAACTTTGTTGTGAGGGCCGACTCACAACTGTCCCGCTCCTGCTTCATTTTGCAAGGTTTGGATGGTTGCCGTCGCTAACAGCAAGCTTGTTTTGAGTCTCTCGATCCTTGGGTACAGATCGTGAATCTTAGGAACGAGTCTGAACCTGATTTTCATTGCTGTAAACAGTTGACGCCCAAATTCAGAATCATTCGCCATGTCGCTTCGGTATTGGTGGATCTTTTGGAGCTGAGGCTCAATGAGTGTGGTTGGTTCATCACATTCTTCCTTCAATAGACCAAACGGCCATAGGGCCTGTGACGTCTCGACAGCGTTGGGATCTGGGTTCTGGCCACATCGTGAGGTGATGTCTGATTCGACTTGTTCGACTAAACTGACGAAAAACTTTGAGAGAGTTGACTTCAGTGTCGAGTTGCTGGAAAACAGCGCCCGAGTCCTTTGCAACCTTCGCAACATCGTATATCGTGGATGCAAGAAGGTATGCCAGTTTGGCAACGCCGTGGACAGCGGTTATTGCTTCGATCACCTCCATGCCGAAAGCATATGGCAAGTAGCGGTTGAAAAAAGATGGTGTGTGCGAAACAACAAATTGTATGGTAGGTATCCCGAGAGAGTCAAGAGACTGACTCGAGTGAAAGAGCAAGATGTTATAACATCTCAGATGTGGAGGTACATGCATGTCGACTGCCGAAGCCGTCTGTATCGACTGGAAGGAAACCAATAGCGCGTACAGGCAGTATTGGATTTGGAGCGTTGCTTCCCATCGTTGGTGATTGGTGATAAGTGGCAAGTGTACTGGCCACTCAAAGAGCAAGCTGTAAATGCGCCTTCGATTCTACGCCTTGTCTGAGGTCTTTTGGGTGCAACTGGCTTGGGCAGTGACACAGACTGAGCAAGCCCAAGTCTTGGCAAGCTGAAAACCATGCCATTCCATGCGGGCGGGCATTCTCTCATCAGCTAAATACCATAGGCACGCCAGTAAAACATCACCAATTTTCACCTCCCTTCATCATACTCCCACGCACACTTCAGGCCTTTGAAGTTGGCATTCTAATCATGCAGCTTCAAAACCAATTCCTCTTCGCAAGGCATCTCCCGACAAACAATACACTTCACTCTTGGTCTCTCCACGACCAACTCATCCCAATCATCCAGACCCGGCTGTTTTTTCCACTCGATATCGACCGTGCCGATGCCTCTCACCGCGCGGTGCTCGTCATCATAGGGGAACACGAACTCGCGGCGATACCACTCGACACTTTCTGTCAGTGACAAGCTATCCACGTAGTCCTCGGAGATGAGACCGCCGTACGGGATTTCGGCGCCATTCGCACCGTGTCTATTGCGGATGTCGAGATTCGGGTCGAACCTCACGAACTGCGGTACCCAGGCGCCGTTGTTGTGCCACACAAGGACCTGTTCAACGGTGGTGGGTTGTCGTGGTCGGGGTGATCGTGACCTTGGCCTGTACAGTGGTGGTTCTCTAAGATACTGGTTCTCAGATCCTGGTTGTGTAGTCGAATCATCATCGGCGGGAACATGATGAAGTTCCGATCCCGAAGGCTGTTCTCGGATCTCAACCAGCGGCGGATTTGGATGGAACAGTGGAGGAATATGAGGGTGTGGGGGCGGGCTTGGCGCGCGGTACTGGGGGCGTGAAGCTGTTGGCTCCTGCCGATCCAGAGACTCGAGGGACTCTGGTGGTGGTAATGGAGGCAAGGGCCTTTCTCTGTGTCTGGAGCGATGATTCGTGATATTCGGGATCGATTTGTTGCGGTTCCAGCTAGTTCCGTCTGGCGGGTGTCCATTCTCCGCGCGCGTGTCGCGATAGCAATGAGGGCAAATGGGAGCATTTGCTGGCAAGCTGTCTGGTGGAGGCGCCCAATGACGGGGGTCGATATTCATGATTCGGCTTGTTGTCAACTGCGCGAAGTCAAGCTCCACAGGTATCTCCTGCCCCGTACGTGGAACCCGGCCTGTCAGGGCCATGTTGTAAGCGAGGAAGCATATACCTGTGGCCGCATCACCACCTCCGGTCATGCCTGGCTGTAGGGAAAAGTTTTGTTTGATTTGTCCAATAGCTTCGATGTGTTTCCCGATAACGTCCCTCAGTTCCTCGCTGGAGAGAAGTTAGCATCGGACAGCTTTACCGGTCGATAATGTATTCACCCACATCTCATTGAGCCTGGATTCGCCGCGGGTGGCACTTCCGTTTCGAGAGAGCACTTCGAGTTGGATAACCGCGATAATCAGCTGTAATGTCGACTTCAGCTGTGCCATTCTCGGTTGGAGAAGCTCGAGCTTCGGCTTCCTGATATTCTTCCATCTGTGGGCGGCATAGAAGCGAAGAGCATAGTTCGCATGGTCGCCGAAGTTGGATTGTAACCTCCTGATCTTTTCCTTTTGCTCGTCGATATCCCTGCTCAATTCGAATGCTTCTTGTTCCATGTTGTCCAACACCCGTCGATCACGCATATACGAGATGACTGCTGAGTCGTCCTGGGGGAGACGGAATTTGATGGAGTACTGGGCGGTTTCGATCAAATCCCCGAATGCTCGAAAAGGTAGAGCATCAATCCTCATCTGGTCTCCGATTTTCTTTGCATCTTCGGCAAGTTCAAGAATGACCTCGACGATTCCGTATGCGGCGACAGCAGTTGATATGATGGTCGGCACGCTTTCGAGGATGCCCGCCATTGAAAGGACTTTGCGTAGGTACCAAAGTACAACCAAGTGTGAGGAAGGGAGGTGAGGGGTATGAGATAGAAAGGGACCGCGGCACAAGTAATATGACAGATTATGGGCTTTATGTTACATCCATGATGTCTTGATATTGCTCTTGAAGAAGAATAGCATGCATATTGACGAACCATAAGACCAATATTAAAGCTCGCAGAGCCTCAAACTTCGTATTCGCGTCCACCCAGATGCCATTGGCACTAGTAAAGAGGGTGTTTGGTATGTGTTGTCAGTGCATCTGGCCTGCGAAGCGGCCTGTCAAAGGTGCAGCGAGCTAGCTCCTGTGCGACCATGCATTCTGCCAGCATGTTTTGCATCTTCGTGGGAACGAACGCTGTGATCGCCAGTGGGCGGTCGTTGATCGTCGAAATTTTATAGGGCGAGATACCGCCAGCTAGTGCAGGCGACCTGTAGGCTGGCCGCTGTGGCCCGGGTCGGCGCAATACAAGGTCTTTGGTGTGAAGTTATCTTGACGTTGCTCCCAATTGGGTTCCTGGGTGTTGTTCAGTCTTTTCTTTTGTCGTTGTACATCCAACTTCAGCTGAGCTAGGTCTTTTACCACCTTCTTTGAACCTGAAAGGGAAGAGGTAGTGATAGCCCACTCTGAATGCTTTGTGCTTGAAATGGCTTTGCTACTGACTAAGCGGACGATTCTCGTTGGAGCCTATGTCGTGGTGCGAGGCTCTGCCGTTAGGTAACTTTGGGCATTGCGTTGTCCTTTTGTGAATCCCCCACGTCTCTTTCAGCCTCAACTGGGTGGTAATGGTTTGCGGCTCTAAGATACAGTAATGTGCCCTGTTAATGCTAAGCCCCCTTAATGCAAAAAGCCCCCCTTTTGCTAAAGATTTCGGCTGCCCGCATTCCCTCTGGTGGTGAAGACTGCTAACTGCTAATTGCAATACTGACGGGGGGGATTTGCATTAACAGGGATCTGATTTAGGTGGGCAGGACGAATAGCGGCGGTGCGAGAGGGTCGAAGTGACCCACCTTTAGGGTAGTCGACCCGTAATCTAGTAGCCCCACAGCATATATTGGTCTGTGCACTAGTACCATCCTTTGCAAAAGCCCCCCTTTTGCAAAGAAATCTGGCTGCCGGCATTAGTTGCATTAACAGGGCACATTACTGTATCTCTAAACGCTTTGATGGGTCCGGTGTTTCCTTGGTCGAGTAAACTCAACCGCAATCGGCTTCCTATTGCTGATCCTGAAACCATGAGCGGCAAAGGCCGCAAAGTATTGGTCATGTTGCAACCATGCACCAGGGGCAGCGGATCCTTGGACATACAGTAATGTGCCCTGTAAATGTCAGTCCCCATAAATGCAAAGACCCATTTATTGCTAGACATTTTTGTGCCCGAATTATTTTACTATAGTATGGCCTGCTAACTGCTAAATGCAAGGCAGCCGGCTGGCCGCCCATACAAATTTGCAGTTGACCGGGTACTTAATAGGGGGTTCTTAACCCCTGTCATCCCTATCAGACTATGAGATCCCTTTATTAGAGCTGTCACTGGCTGTCACAAGCCCCCCCGTGCAGCTACCAGTAAGTGCAAGGACCTAGTAACTGCAAGGAAAATGACCTGCCCGGATTAGTTGCATTTACAGGGCACATTACTGTATGTAGGTAGCTCCCTGCACTGCGCACGGGGTTTCACGTTGTCGTCCTCCCGGGCCGCTTTTCCGTTACAGTCAGCTGCAGTGGTGGATGACCAGTGATCCGCCCGGCACTGGATGATCCGCTAGAGAACTAGGGAATTCCATCCTCTAGTGCGCGATGCTACTTTGGCTCGGCTTAGGTAACCTCTTCAAACCCTCCAGAGACGGGATTCCCTCCAACCACCACTGGCCAAGTGTAGAGGAGGTCGAAAGGCGGCCGGGCAGTAGGAGCGGGTCCATTCTGGTATGTAGGAACTCCGCGATAGTCGGTTTTTTCCAGCGTCGGATCAAAGAGATCCCGATATCGGTGAGTCTTGGTTTCAGCCCAATGGCAAGGGAACTGTGAGAGTAAAGGCAGCAGTTGCCTCAGTCACCAGATAATAAATACCCTGGCATGGTTCAGCTGCATCAAAAGCCCCACTATCCGAGCCTCAACCCGTTGTTGCCTGCGCCTTTCTCTTCTTCCATCACAACCCACCATCACCACTTCCAAATGGCGCGCACAAGAAGAACCAGAGAGCCTTCCCCTATCCCATCGGGACATTCGCTGCGACAAACCCTCATACTTGAAATGCAGACAACCTGCCAGCGCAGTGCCCCCCAGAGTCGTCCCCTGTATACGGTGTCGGCCAAGTGCGTACGACGCCATGGAAACTGTAGAGAAGATATCATTGTGAGCATAGGCATGGTAATCTGCCGGTCGTCACTCGAAATGACTCGTCTGTCCAATGAAGTGACAGTGTAGACCACCATCATGATTCAACTGGTTGCGAGTGCGACTCAGAACAACCTCTACCACAACAGCATTGCTCGGTTGGGAGACGATAGAAATGCGTGATGGAAAATCATGGGTTCCTTATACGGCACCTCCTACCCCGTTCGAGCGGCAAATGAGATACAGGATCAAGTACGCATGTGCGGCGGTGAGGTCGTACTCGATCCAAACTCAATGAAGCCTGATCCATTCCCGAGTTTGCCCACGCTCTTTGACTGCTTCGTCCCATCGACTCCGGACGACGTATCCAACAGCGACTCGGGACATTATATGAGGCTTTCCGGGTTGTCGGAACAGCCACATGACGAGCACCATGTCTGGATTGGCATCCACCAAGGCCAGGAACTCCGGGGAGAAGTTGCCTCGCCGGCTATATCTGTTCAGATACACAACGTCTTGAACATGTTCAAGGGAAAAGTCCAGACGACCAAAAGCAAGTAGCTCTACGTTGGTGGCAATGCCCATGTTGGAGGCTGCTGGTAAGAACTCATCAGGGAAGAAGGTCTGTAGCGTCCCGGAGTCGATCCTTATCTCCCCAATAAGCTCATCATTGTCCATGTCTTCCGATGCTTCAAGCGAGGCAAAGATGGAGCAAAAGTGAACTTGACCGGGCGCTTGCAAGGTATGGTCGCGTTCTCGGAGCCGAATTGGAAAGCTGCAGATTGTACCTCTGAAAACCAATTCGGTCTTTTCGGCTATAGCAAGGTCCTGCTGCCAGCGCTCTTTAGGACTGGCTATGCGCCGACGCAAAACCGTTGGAGGATTGTCTCCTGAATCGTGGTGACAAGGCTCCTTCCCTGGTGCTCGAAGCATGTGTTGTGCAACCCTCGCTATTCTTGCGTCTACTTGGAGGTAGGGTATGTACCTTGGCGAAGTCCGCACAGCATCAATAAACCAGTCCAAAGTAAGTTCTATGTTGAGACCGTCCAGTCTCCCGAGAGGATAAGAGATTGGGCCCGTCCACGAAGCCCAAGACCAAGATGGAAAACCTTCACAACGTCGCCTGCTTAGGACACCATATGGTTGCCACATCAGAGCTGCCCCCAAGTAGGACAGGGGAAGGCCAGCGACCGCCATCCCTAGGCTGTCAGCTATGTACATTGTGTACATACCCAGTGATGCCTTCAGGATGTCTTTGTCATGCGTGAAGTTTCTTGTGGAAAGCTTTTCGACCATGGAGACAAAAGTTGCCGAGGCTTTTTGGGCATCGCCTCCAACTTCCATGTCCAAGCCCAAACCTCTGGGGTCTTCATCCCGAAGGTAGCGTTGATATTGCTCAGGCGAAACGCTTTCATCCAGAGGCAGGTCCTCGTTCCAGTTTCCTTGTGCGCAGCTGAAGTACGTCCTCTCTGGAGTGAAGAACATGAACCGGTCAGAGCACGTTATTTCTTGAAGAGTCCATCCTCTTGTTGCCCATGTTGATGATGCGACAACTTCTTTGAACTCGGGTCTGTCTAGGCAGAAGCGTAGGCCTCCAATGGTATGGTACTTGTTCAATAGCTGATTCGGATCTATGTGCAGGATAGAGTGCTGTGCGTTGTCTCCGACGGCGGCAACAATTGTAAGGCTAGCCTGGGCGTAGATGATGTGCATCGATCCTATCTGAGTGACTGTATCCTCAGTGGAGTCTTGTTCAATGCAGAGGCCATCAATCCAGATGTATCGATAGCCTAAGAACTTGGTAACTTCAATGGCATCCAGGATGGTCTGTGGAAGCTTTATGGCGGGATCCCGGAAGGCGTCTTTCTCGCATAGGGTGCTGAGGTTTGGGCTTTGCAGGGTGAAGAACGGATCTCTTCCCCATACATAGCTGAGAGCGACATATTCGACTTGTTGAAGGTTCACATGACCGTTAATACCAGGACTAGTGGGTACTAATCTCATATCGACGACGTCAATCAGCCTGCTCGGGGCCGCCTGCAAAGCTTCTGTATCTGGTATCGCTGACTGATTGCATCTGTCATGGTTTTTGCGGCAGTTTTCGAGACAGCGCTTCATCAGATCCATGTCTCGTGTATCCCGGTCGAGTGGCTTCGGTATCATTAATGTAGCCTCTAGTTTCTGGGCATCGGCCATAATCGTTTGGTAGTCTTCAGGATGCAGAAACAACTGATATTCGTTATCGTCCACGTCTTCGGAGTCCCTCAAAGGAAGCCAGAGTGACATGGCGCCGTAATCACAAACAGCGTCGACGGAAATCTGAAGTATCAGTTCCTCAGGATCGAATATCTCGAAGTCATCCGATAGAGATGAGCTTGAACTGGCCATTGAACTTGTTTTGGAGACGGTGGTACTTTCCAATGACTTGAAAGCTTCCCTGATTGTGTCAATGTTTATGAGCGTGTCCTCGACCAATGGTATTGACCTCATTGCGTGATAGAGATGCCTCTCTTTGGCCCGCAGCATGAGACGAAGGACGAGTGAGCAGAAACTGCACTCGTGGTAGCTGGAAAAGACATGGTCGATGGTTGCAAGTCTTATGTTGCCGGTCGAGTCGCGGGTTCCGGGATGGAAGTCTGACTTGTCGGTTGAGTTGAGTATTTCGTCTAGACGTAGGGTTATGGGATGGCAAGCTTGACAGAGGGTGTTTCGAACCGAAGCAAATATCAGACTGTCCAAAGCAGCGAGGGTGCGCTTGAAGTCTTCGATGCTGAGTTGAGACGTAGACATGGTGGTTGCTCGTCAGCCGTAGGTCGTTGAAGTTTGCTCCGAAGCTTGACGATTCGAGACAATGACTGGAACATGGTTCATGTCAGCTTTCCAATCACTTGGAGAGGATCCATGACATATGTGAGTCGGGCGCTAACCTACCTCTAACTGCTAGCGGGTGCTGACCACTGATGGCAGTGTAACCTCCAGCGCTGGACTGCGTCGCATTCCGCTTCTTCAGCGACCCAAACGGAGCAGCGACATTCATCATTGTGAGATCCTGTAACAGTGCAGCTGGTGATCGTTCTGGTCGTTGATCCCTGCCGCAGAATCTCTCGTCTGCGAACTGATGCTTTGGATTCTGCAATGGGTGTTTTTGCCCTCTTGTAAGGAAGCGGAAAGCCGAAAATCTTAAATTCGTGAGCGCTACCCAGGCATGGCGAATGCGGGGTAACAAGACAACCCAACGCCGACTACCGAGAATGGCAACTTGTGATTCTGTGTAGTTGGAAAATATCAGCCAGGTGTGATATGAGAGGACAGGAGGAATTATTGAAAAGTGGAAGCCAAGTCACCCAAAGCTGTGTGCTGCCAAGACCGGCGGCAGGCATTGCACAATGGAAAGAACTGCATTCAAACTTGAAATCACCTATTCTTTCATCGTCCCTTCCCACTCGCACCTTAGCCCCTTCCACCCTTACGGCAACCCAACACTCAACCCTCCAACCGCAGCCTCGGGCAAATCCCCGCCAAGACCTGCCGGTGTCTCGAAACTCTCCCCCATACCGCCTTTCACGCCCGTGATCTGCTTCAACGTCGGCCTGCCCTCCTTGACCTCCCTCTCCTCAAACTCAAAGATGCGATAATCGGCATTGTTGAACCACCACCCCGTCACTCCCGCCCTCAGGAACCCCGAATGACTGACAGCGACAACAGCCTTGCCGTCCTCCATCTCAGGCCACACCTTGGCCTCAATCTCCTTCAACACGTCCTCTCCTCTTTGCATGATCGACTCCTTGGTGTACCAGTACTTCTTGGCCTTTTCCGAATTGCGGTTCTTTTCCGGCCAGACTTGGTCGACTCTTGAGAAATCTACCTCTGGGAACTCTTTGGAAAGGTCCTCGATGGATGAACCCGTGTCGCAGGGCTTGTCGCTGTTCTCTTGCCAGCCAGCGTTGGCGATGATGGGGATGTTGTGCTCCTTGGCGTAGTTGCCGAAGGAAAGAAGGGCCGTTTCGATGGTTCGGCGCATGGGGGAAACAATGATAAGGCTGACTTGGTACTTATTGGGCACCTCAGTCTTGAAAAAGTGCTCGCGGAGGGAGCCGCATTGTGTCCTGCCGAGCTCCGAGAGACAGGGATCGTGGATGGAATAGTCTCGTGGTAAGAGTTAGCAGGTGGGAACTTGAAAGACAAGAGTGGCACAAGTGAGACTTATTATCGACGTTGTGGAGGGCCTCAGCGTGGCGGACAAGGATGAGTGTTGGTGGCATGTTGACGTTGTGACCGACTTGGTGATGGCTTCAACCGCGATTCAGGGGGAAAGTAAACAAAGGGTCCAAGTGAGTGGGGCCAGTGGCTGGTTGGATGGTGTTTGGCGGTCGGAACCAAGCTTGAGAACCTGATGACTGGATGTGCAGAGGATACAGCAGGTTATAAGCAGAGTGGTCCTCTATCAGCAAGACACTTGTAGTTTCACGTTCCCTTGTGATGATGACTGATGAGGCCGGGAGCTGTCTCACTGCGCCACCCAGTGCGTAACCGTTGGCGATCACCCTCACTGTGGCAGCTCGTTGGCAAGGCGAGACCCACTGTCAAACAGGGCTAAATCCGCTGAAAGCCTGAAACAGCCGCCCGCGATGGAGCAACTGAAAAGGTGGGACCAGCCGTCACCGTCTATCCAATCACAGAAACGAAAAGGACACTGCAGTGACCGCGTTGCCAGCCGCGAGCACAGCAACCGCATCTCCAACTAGAGGTAACTACATCATCATCACCGTGTTTATTTGTTGGACTGTTCAACACAAACACCAGACCATTGGCCATCAAGATGAATGTCGACGAGCTGTTTCAGGTACGTAATCTCTTTTGAGTCCTCTATCACTGACAAGTCCTAATGAAAATTCCCTCCAGAAAGCGGGAGTTCCCAGCAAACGCAAGCTGGATCCCATTCGCGATCCGAACGAAATCTACAAGTCCGCCAAATTATCTTCCAACGGCAGCCGACACGCGCAGGTAGAGGACGGAGACGACATAGAAGCGGGTCCAGCACCACCTCCTGAAGATGGAGAAGATGATGGCGACTACGGTCCCTCAGCACCACCAGTCGAAGATGACGGCGACGATGAAGAAGGTCGATTCTTCGGCGGTGGCATAACCGCCCAGGAGAAGGAGATTCTCGATTTCATGGACAGCAACACCGCCGCCCCAGCCGACGACCTCTTGACAACAGACAAGATTGACCTTTCCTGGCTAAAGAAAACCGCACTCAACTTCGAGAAGCGCATCACGCGCAACGCGGAGCTCCGCGCCCGCCACGAAGACGATCCCTCGAAATTCATCGACTCGGAAGCCGACCTCGACGCCTCCATCAAGGCTCTCTCCATCCTCTCCGAGCACCCAGAACTTTACGCCGACTTTGCCCGTCTCGGCTGCGTTTCCAGCCTTGTCTCCCTCCTCGCCCACGAGAACACCGACATTGCCATTGACGCCGTCGAAATTATCAACGAGCTAACGGACGAAGACGTCGCTGCCTCCGACGAGCAGTTCTCCTCTCTAACCGACGCCCTTCTCGAAGCCGATCTGCTCGGTCTCCTAGTTAGCAACTTCTCCCGCCTAGACGAACAACAAGAAGCCGACCGCACGGGCGTCTACCATGCCCTCTCCATCATCGAAAACCTCTGCTCCCGCCGCGAAACCGCCGACCAAATCGGCAAACACACCGAACTCCTCGAATGGCTGCTCTCCCGCGCCAAAAAGTCCGAATCCCCAATTGTCTCACAAAACAAGCAATACGCCGCCGAAATCCTCGCCATCATGGTCCAATCCTCCCCCGCCAACCGTCGCCGCTTGGCCTCCGACGAGCTAAACGCCGTCGACACCCTCCTGACGCTCATCGCCCCCTACCGCCGCCGCGACCCCGAGCGCGGCTCCTTCGAGGAAGAATACATGGAAAACCTCTTTGAGTGCTTAACCTGCCTAGTCGACGACCCCCTCGGCAAAGCCAAGTTCGTCGAAGCCGAAGGCGTCGAACTCTGCCTGCTCATCCTCTCCTCCGCCGACATCAAAGGAAAGCTTTCCAAGCCCGCCTGCCTACGACTTCTCGACCACGCGGCCTCTTTTTCTTCCGAAGTCTCTCTCAAGATCGTCGAAGCCGGCGGTCTCAAGACCCTCTTCACCCTCTTCATGTCCGGAGACAAGTCGTCAGACAAAGACAACAAGAAGAAGAACAAATCCAAGACAACAACACTATCAAAACAAGACATCGAACACCTCTTGGGTATCTTTGCTTCCATGCTCCGCCATCTACCTGCAGCCACAGCCACAGCCACAGCCACAGCAGACGACTCAACAACCGGCGCAGAACGGATCCGCCTCCTAGCCAAATTCGTTGAAAAGAACTACGCCAAGACATCCAAGCTCATTCGACTTCGTCGCGAGTACGCCGCGCGCGTCAGCCACGTAGACGAAGCCATCAAGGCAGAAGAAAACTTGGACGAGGATGAGGCCTTTTCTCGCAGATTGGACGCCGGGCTTTTCTGTCTACAGACGATTGACGTGATCTTGGCATGGTTGATTGCTGAAGATACGGGATGTCGGGCAAAGATCAGGGAATTGTTGAAGGATCGGGATGAGGACTTTGGGACGCTGGCGAGGACGTTGAGGGAGCAGATGGCGGGGGTGGATGGGGAGACGGAGGAAGGGAGGGATACGGGGGAGATGTTGAAGGCGCTGTTGGAGTTTTTGGAGTAGTTTGTGTCTGAAAAAGGGGGATGGGGGGGTGTAGAAGGGGGGTAATGTTGAATAGGTTGGCTTAACCAAAACAGATCGGTGAAGTGCAGTGGGTAAGTAATGACCAAGTAGCCATAAAGATACCATTGAGCTAGGCTAGGCTCTTTCACACTACCTAGTTGCACTGTTTTTGGCTTTACGAATCTTGACTCTTCGGTATTGGAAGGTATGAATTTTGGCGATTCCCTTGGTCTACTATCAAGGCATGGCCTGGTTCATTTAGAACCCTTAAACGCAGACCACGTAACCACAACCGTAGGATAATAATACCAAGTCACAAACTTAACTTCATAATCTCCGTCTAACAACCTAACATGCCTTCATGACAGAAAAACGGCGCGGCCTCCCCTTTCGTCGTTTACCATAACGGGCCAGCCCAGGCCAATCCAACATCATCACCCCCATCGTCGCCCCATCACCTTCCATTTCTGTTTGTCCAACCAGGTACAGTTACTGCCCTTAGTGAGCAGCCATGGCCTCAGGAGAAGGAGTAAACACGGCATGCAACAAATCCTTAATCACCTGCTCGCGGTTCTTGTTGCCGGCCTCCTTGATCTCGCGAATCCGCGCCTCGGCTTCGCGGTTGGCTTCCTCTTGGGCGGCTTGGTTTCCTTGTGTGTGCTATATTGTATAGATAATGTTTGTTTAGTATGTACGTTTTCCTTGCATTCGTTGATTCGTGTTGTTGGTTTGTAGATGTGGAATAAAAAAAGGGAAAGAAAATGAGAAAGAGATGGGGAAGGGGAGGGGGGGGGGGATAAAAAGAGGATAAGCGGAAGAAGAGACAAAAGGGAGGAAACATACCTCGGCCTCAAACTTCTTGAACTCGGCTTCCTTTTGCGCCTTGTACGCTTCTATTTCCTTCTTGGCTTCGTCGCGCGCTTCGCGGACGCGCTTTGTGCGGTCTGTTCATTTTGTTTTGTTAGCCTACTACCTTGCCGGTCTAGGTCATGATTGACGGTAGTTTAAGCGTCGGTCTGCTGTTTCGTGTTTCCGGCCTCTTGTTGTAACTTGTACCATCGACAGGACCTTATTCACGTCGCGGGTGCAGGAACGTCGAATAATCTTGGGTATCAGTATCGGGTGAGGTTGATGGTCAGGATGCAATACGTACACTCTCTAGCTATACCCCCGAACCGAAAAACCAAACGTTAGCAACTATCATATCAAAACGTATGTTTCCGGCGGATCATCCACAAATGCAATGCAATGGGGAAAGAAGACATACCCTTCTGAACAATCTTGGTAGCTTCCCTCTCAGCCTGTAGAGTAAACACCCAGCAGTGTCAGCCAGTCTGTCATGTCATGTCATGTCATGTCATGTCATATCCCACAGCAGCATTGAACACCCCCCTCCCCCTCCTCCAACACATCCATCTTTTCATGGCCAACTGAAGCTCTAGCTAGGTAGGTTGGCTTTGCAAAGTCCAGTCCCCAAGAAGGAAGCTAGATCAATGGATCATCCGTCCGTGGCAAGGAGTGCGGGGGTCGAATCGTAGGGAAGAGGTGTGGGTGTTGGTGTTGGTGAAGATGGGGACGGGGACGACACGGGACGTACATCGAGAAGGAGCTGGATACCCGCTGACTTTTGGGCCGACTATTTTCAATCACCCACTCCGTTAGCTTTTCGTTGTTCTTTCTTTTGTTGGCGTCGTGTGTGCGGACGACGATGCTATGCTAGCTGGAAACGAACCATGGTGATAGCTGTAGAGGTAGATAGAGGTGGTAGTTGGAGGAGGTACAGGTAGCGGTACTAGTCGCTTCGGAGTTTCGAGGCTGGAACAATGGCGATTAGGAGGTGGAGATAGTATCGGTCGTAGCGAGTCGGATATAGGTATAGATGGTTGGGCTTGTTGTTCGTGATATCGTGATGTTGATGCGGCCGGTCGATGATTCGATGCGATGCGATGGTCGACCTGAGGTCGTCAAGTGGGTTGGCGTGGGCGGGCGGGCGTCGTAGCCCGGTACCTCCCCCGCTAGGCGCGCCTGCACAGCGCTACAGTGGCCGCCCGCAGCCGCTGTCCGTTGTAGCGGGACGGGCACTTTTAAGGTGCAGTTGGCAGCAGAGGCAGCGTGAACAGCTGGGCTCTGATGTCACCTTCCATTGCCTGCCGCCGCCTCTTCGCGGGCAGGGCAGCGGCAGCTGTGACAGCTCTCCGCCAAATTCAGTCGGTGAACAGCGGCAGAATAGTTGCCCGCCCGTTCGTCTCCGTCATCCCGTCGGTGCCGTTCCTCGTCTGATCTTGATCATAGAGGTAGCTTCCATTGCGCCGGTGTAGTTTACAGCTTTCTCTTTTTCGTCACGGGTTTCTTTCTTTCTTTCAGCTGTCCTTTACTTCTCGAGAAAAAAAAAGAAAAAGAAAAGCAACCATGTCCCGCGCCTCCAAGCTCACCCTCCTCGGCACCTCCGCCTTTGCGCTCGGCACCGTCGCCCTGGTGCATTGGCAGCAACAAGCCGAGAAGGAGGTTCGTTTTTGCTTCATTTTTCTTTTTCCTTTCTCCTTTCTCCCCCCTTCCATCAACGTTTCCCCCCCCCCCCCCCGCCCCCCCAGTCCAATACCGTCCTGAACAACACTGACAATGACATAAACAGGCAATGCACGCCGGCGTGATCCGCGACATGGAACAACAACGAATCAAGCGTGAGCGCCAGCTCGATTTCGAAATGCAGCGCGAGCTCGAGAACGAGTACAAGAAACTCCAGACTGTTCGCGATGTGACAGATCAGATGGACCCGGTACCTGCGAAACCCAGTAGTGCACTAGCAGAAGGACTGCCGAAGCCGAGTGCTGCGGCGGCTAGTATACCTGTTGGAGGGACCATTGGGACAGGGACAGGGACGGGAGAAAAATGAGGAGGGGTGGTTGCTGAGAGGGAAAGGAGAAAGTGAGAAAAAAGCAAGAGAAAGAGAAGGGAGCTACAACGATGGTCCGCTCGTTGACTACAAGCTAGCGAGGGGGGAGGTTCCGACAAAGCGGACCTAAAGTGAGGACAGTGAGGTACAGCTGGGCTACCTCTAGAGAGTCAAGAAGACGAGCAGAAACGCCGCTTCTCCTTTCTAGCTAGCGAGCGGTACCCTTTCCGAAGACCAAGGGGTACGCTTGTCAGCGTACGGATAGCCAGATGGTGCGGTTATCCTCCTGGCTCTGTCTGGTAGACCGACGTGCTCAATATGTCGGTCTTGTCTGTTTATGGGGCTGAGCTCGGCGGCTTCCTTCAGGCGGAAGTCTGCGGCTCGACACCTTGAGGGACAGCGGTCATAAACTGTATAACACTTGTATCATTACATCTCTGCTCGAAAGCAGATTGGCGTCTTGTATTTATTATTGTATTGCACATCCATAAGGAATTGTTTCGAGGTTACTTAATGTGTATGTGCCTCCAACGTCAAGTTTCCGGGCACACCATAATAGTGATAATTTGATAAGTGTATACTAAGTAGTAACTTTGCGCGTGAAAACTGAACCACTCCCCCCTCCCCTCGCAAATGCGCACAGAGACAGCCTGAATACTTTGCGAAACTCGCTTGCAAATTGCAATCTTCAATAATCAAACGCCAGAACGACCATTTCTATGCAACTTTTTGTGTCTCTCTTTGTCGTCTTTCTTCTTTCCTCATTCCTTCCGTCTCCTTTGGATCCCACACAGCACATCTACGAGCCCCAGCATGTAGAGAAAGAACCGCTTCTTTTTTTGCCAGTGCCTATAAATGCCATGCCATGTACAAGGACCATGATAAGAAAAAACCGTGATATTATAACCGAGCCTTTCCGCACCAACCAACCCCCCCGGGAACCCACAACTACCCTTAACGAACCGAGATGCCGGACCTGCTCGTGAACAAGCGCGAGGCAATGTTCATCGACATGAGCTCCTGGAACAGAAGCTTGGCCGCATAGGGCATGTGGACCTGGGCGATCTTGGTCTTGTTCTTGCAAGGACGGCATTCGAACGATTGCTTGGTGAGGTTTCTGCAGACAAGTTGTTAGCATCATATGGGTCCATCAAAAGAAAAGAGGAAGAACATACGCAATGGGAGTCATGAGACCGCAAATCTCGCAAATGTGCACTCTGAAAGCATCCGAGACCTCGAACAATCTCTCCTTCAAGAATGCAGCGGCACCGTGAGCAATCATACAGTCACGTTCCATTTCACCGAAACGGAGACCACCGTCTCTGGCACGACCTTCGACGGGCTGACGAGTCATGATCTGCACCGGACCACGAGCACGAGCGTGGATCTTGTCGTCCACCATATGCCTCAAACGCTGGTAGTAGGTAGGACCGAAGAACACCTGGGCGCGAAGCTTCTTGCCGGTATGGCCGTGGTACATGATCTCAAAGCCACGGGACTGGTAGCCGTGCTCGCGGAGGAGGTTGGAGACGGAATCGACGGTAACATCCGTGAAGGGGGTGGCATCACCCTCCATGCCCTTGAGCGCACCAACCTTGGACAGCAGACACTCGATCAAATGGGCAATTGTCATACGAGAAGGAATGGCATGAGGGTTGATGATAATATCAGGCGTGATACCCTCGGCGGTAAACGGCATGTCCTCTTGACGGTAAGTGACACCAATGGTACCCTTTTGACCGTGACGAGACGCGAACTTATCACCAATCTGGGGAATCTTTGTCGTACGAACCCTCACCTTTACGTAGCGCAAACCATCCTGGTTGGTTGTAAAGGCCACTGAATCGACGATACCACTCTCCGTGCTGCGCAGCGGCGTGGACGCATCACGCTTGACATGCTGAGCCGTGCGCTGGCCAAGTTCTTGGTTATCGGGGTTGATGGGAGATGTCTTGCCGATGATGATATCATCACCGGTGACTCTTATGCCAGGAGCAATGATACCATCATTTTCGAGCTTGTCGTACGTGCCGTGCTTGGGCCGCAGAGTGTTACTCCGATCTGGCTTCTCAAACTGCTCCACGATGTTGATGCCGACACGCTTCTCGCAATCCGTGTAGGAACGGAAGAAAAGACTGCGGAAGATACCACGATCGATACTGCTCTGGTTCATAATGACGGAATCTTCCTGGTTGTAACCAGAGTAACAAGCGATGGCAACGATGGCGTTCTGACCGGCAGGAAGCTCACGGAACTTGAGATATTCCATAGAGCGGGTGGTCGCCAAAGGTTTTTGAGGGTAGTAAAGAATGTTGGCCATGGTATCCATACGTCGGGAGTAGTTGGTAAGGAAGAAACCCATAGCTTGCTTACCCATGGCAGACTGGTAAGTGTTTCTGGGCGACTGGTTGTGATCGGGGAAAGGAATGATACTGGCGCAGATACCGAGAAGCATACTGGGGTGAATCTCGCAGTGCGTGTACATGTGTGTTGTCGGGTTGAATTTTGTCTTGATACGGCTATTGCCACGGTTGGCAGCGTCGTCCTCAAACTCGCGACCCTTGAACTTGTGCTGACGGTAAGTGTCCAGATCTTCTGGCGTCATGCAGATCATGGCTGTCTCTTCCTCCTCGGCGTCAAGGTATTCGATAGCACCAGACTCGAGCAGGCCTTGCCAGCCAAAGTAGTCCTCATGGTATTTGCCAAGCTCCTTATCCTGCTCAAGGCGCCTGATATGCTCCTTGGTAAGGATGAGCTGACCCTTTTCGACACCGGATTCGCTGTTGTCTTCTTGCTCGACAACAAACAACGGCCTCATGACTCTACCGGCATCCGAGAAAATCTTGAACTCTCTGTCACGAATGTCGCGAACCAGCGAAACCTCGAACGAAATGATGTTCTTGCGTCTGAGGTTCTGGACAAGAGTGACGAGATGCTTGGGATCTTGATGGACACCAACCCAGGTACCGTTGACGAACACCTTGGTGGCGTTGGGATACCGCAAAGGCTCGTACTCCTCCAACACTTCCATGTTTCGGGCAATCATGAACTCGATGATGGGATCGGCCAGCGTACCCACCGAGACGAAGCACATCAGAGACAAGTTCTTGACCAAACCGCAAGCCTGGCCTTCTGGCGTTTCTGCTGGGCAGACCAAGCCCCAATGTGTGTTGTGCAGCTGACGAGGCTTGGCGAGCTTACCGTCACGACCAATGGGCGTGTTTGTACGACGCAAATGCGACAGGGTCGAGGAGAATGTGTATCTGTTCAAGACCTGGGACACACCAGCAGTCGAGGACATGGCCTTCTTCTGGTCACCCCAGTTACCAGTGGCAAGCGAGTACTTGAGACCGTTGGTAAGAGTGGAGGCCTTGATACCCAGGGCCAGGGAGAAGTGCTTGTTGGTATCAACGCAGCGCTTCATGTAGCCCATGAGATCCTGAGTGAGGCGTCTCACGATGCCACGGAAAAGCTTGGCCAGCAGAGGACCAGCCAAGTCAAGGCGCTTCTTACCAAAGTGATCACGATCATCGGTATCTCTGCGGCCAAGGACACACTGGAGCAGCTTGTGGACCATGTAGCCAAGGAAGAAGGCCTTTCTGGTTTCGCAACCTTCAGCCTGAGAAATATGGGGTAACAGCTCCTTCTGAAGCATCTCCTTAGCAGCCTTGATACGGCCGTTACGGTTTATTCCGGTGCTGCCGTTACCACGCTTGCCAATGTAATCCAAGGCGACCTCACGATCCTGGATGCAGAAGGCCTCCTCGATGCAGGGACGAAGGGCTTCGAGCATTTGACTGTCGCGGCGGTCGTAGCAGATGTGGTTGAGAATATCCTCATCGGAAACAACTCCCAAAGCACGGAACACAATGGCAAGAGAGACCTCCTCCTTGACGTAGGGCAGGGTGACGCTCACGGTGTTGGCCAAGCGACCCTTGTTCTGGTCAGCCTTGGTGTGCAGCCTCATCTGGAGGGAGGAAATAAGACGGGAACCCTTCTCGAGAGCACTGCGGATCTCGGCCTGGTACGAGACGCTGCCACCAGGAGGCTTCTTGAAGACCTGGACAATGTTGGCGGCAGAGCGCTCTTGGGCGATCAAAACCTTTTCACTACCGTTGATGATAAAGTAGCCACCCTGGTCGTAGGGACACTCGTTGAGGGTGAACAAGGACTCGTCGTCCTCCATGTAAAGGTGGCAAATCTTGGACTTGACCATGATAGGGATCTTGCCAAGGAAGAGATATCCCTTGAGGTTTTCCGGGTTAATCTTGTCGTCCTTGGGTGGTTCTGGTGGCGCACTCTCCTCCTCGATCCAGCGCAGAGCAGTCGGGTGCTCGCCAGTGCGGGCCATGTGGTCGTGCTCGTCATCGGTCAGCTGGTTGAGGGGCTTCTTTTCGCTGACGGCGATACGGGCGCGCTTGGTGACCTTGCAGTAGATGGGAGCCGAGTAGGTCAGGTTGCGGTCACGGCATTCGTACGGGAGAAGACTGATAGTCTCGCCCGTGGCTTCGGTGAGGGTCGGCCTGGAAATGATGATCTCTCCGAAATGAACGTCGTATCTGCGCAAAATGATCTCTCTGCCCTCGTCGTCGCCTGGGCTTGGGTGGTCCAAGGTAAGATCGGCATACTCGTCTATTAGAGATTGCACTGTGTCTGTTGTGAACTCATTGAAAGAATCGATCTGCTGGGACACGAGGCCCTTGAGGTCGAAGTAGGAGGAGATGACCTCCCACGAATCCTCGGGCGTGATGGCGTTGGGGTCGGAACCGTCATCCTCGTCGTCGAAAGTGGAGAGGTTCTCGTAGTTGTCATCATTGTCGTATGTGTCTCCATAGCCGCCATAGCTCTGGCTGCCGTCCTTTGCGTAGGCGGCCATCTTGCAAATCAGCAAGGCGAGCGGTGCAGGTGGTTTGGTGAACGGGAGAGAGGGTGGTTGTCGAGCGGGCTGAGGGCTGGCTGAACAAGTAATCGATAAATCGTGAATGGATGGATGGTAGATGGCGGACCGTGAGTGGTGGCGGTCGGTGGCGGGGTATGTGAATGAAATATCCGACCGGGAATCGGCAGGCACTGGACTAGGCGGTAACGCGACGACAGCGTCTGGTCTGGCTGCTGTTGGGGTATCCGGAGTCGATTAAAAAGAAGATAACGGTCGGTCGAGTGCGGAAAGCAAAATGGGTATCGCGGCTCGGGTTAGCCGGCGGTGGTGGTAGATGGCCGAGGATCACTCAGTCGCCCATCTACAGCTCGTCACTTTTTCGGATTTTCCTTTGTCGATGTCGGAACGCGACGTTGCACACTCTTTGCCGCTTCAAAGAGATGCAAATGAACGGATGAAGTCGATCGATGCCGACTCGTTCGAGAACGGATGCAGCGCAACAGAAACGTCGACGGCGGCTGCAGGGAGTGGCGGGGTGAGAGGACAACACGCGCGGAGGAGGTCGCGATGTTGGTTGAGGAGGTGGTGATGGTGGTTTGGGGAAAGTGGCCGAACCGTACGCCAGCGAGGGACGGGAGAGTGCCACTCCAAAATCCCAAACCGACAGACAAGGTCTGGGCTACAAGGCAAGGCCAGACGTGGTTGCTGCTGGCAAAGCACAGACGGAACAGAGTCCAAGCTCCAGGCGGCGAGGCCAAAAGGTGGGTCTTTAACTGGCCAGTTCGTCAAGATGATTGGTTGGATTGCAGCTTTACTAATGCACCATAACGTCCATTCACCCAAGTCCCCGCCAAATCCGGCCGGCAACGAGAGAGGTCAAAGGCCCAGGCTCCCAGGGCAAAGGTACGGGGAAACGCCGGCCGGCGGCAGCTCACAGCAGGCGCAGCATTTACATTTGCCTACAGTATGGCGAAACTTTGTTTGGGTGTCACTTCTTCTCCATACATTCGAGGTTGTTCAAGCCCTTTCAACACCTCTTCCCTACTCTCTTGCCGGTCATCCTTACTCCTGCATCTCTCGGAAAGGCTTTGTACCCTATTTCATTCTTTTTTCCAACGTATTCTTGAGCTTTCCGCCGGCCTTTCAAAGGTTGGACTGTCTTTGTTTGATGTACCGAGCTAACAAACGTTCAAAATGGACCGTGCGTTGAGTTTATCAACATCGAGACAGAGATATAAGAACGCCATCCCAACAACTCATCAGGTAGATGCAATGAAAGCACTCGCCTTGCTTCGATCAAAAGCTTCAGAACCTACCATCCTTTGCTGCCAATCTCATGTATTACAACTGCCATGAAAGCCATCGCGACCGCGGAATAATATGAGCGTCGCCGAGAAAATGTTATCCACCGATTCCAAGGTTGAGCGACACCAAAAGGCCAAATGCACTGATGTACACCGTTAGAGGGCCCGCTGAAGGGCGAAATCTACACGGGCATGATCTGGACCGTAGCTCCCATTGCTGCAGCGCCAACATGAGTCTAATAGGTCTTCTTTGCGGCCATCGTTCGTGTGCTAACAAGGGCAGAGGCCGGCTAATCAGGATTGGTGTTGTTGAAGGCTTCCTGTGGGCCCGTGGGGATGCTTGTTCTCCGTACCCGATCCATACTACGCCGATGGTATCAGAGGCGATGGTACCTCCAAATACTTAGAAACCTTGGTTACAGACATGCATCGTCCTTGCGGTTTACTCTACAAGGTGCTGGTAGCCCAAGGCTTTGCCATGAAGGTCTGGAAGTTTTTGAGCCACGTCGGAAGATGGGTCTTGATATGGTACTTGACTCGAGGATCTGACCAGAGGGTTGTCATATAAACACATTACCATGGATCCGGAACATAACCTCTGAGCCACAGGATCATTTTCTCAGGTCCTGGTCCAGGCAGAGTCAAGCGTGACGTGGGCTACGTACAGCTGAATTTCTCAAGCATCTTACGTTTCTCTATCATTATGAGCATATCCTCCTGCAAACCGCTAACCGCCCGGACAGAGGGGATCTCACAAATGTCACCAGCTCCGCCGCAACTTTGTCATGCAGAAATGTCGTACTACGCCTCATTTACAAAGAGTCTGGGAGAATACAGTCAGTCAGTCATCCGCCACACCCGCAACCTCGTGTCCAATATCCTCTCACAGGCACTCGTCGATCTCATTTGATGGTCACGAGGAGAGTTCTGATGGGCGAGAAAGCTTTAGCGGATACGAAGACTCGAAGCAATGTCGAAGCGTCGTAATCCTTGACCTGCTCATAGAGGGACTCCAGTCTAGCGACGAGAACAACATCCGAACCATACATCCAGAGAATGAGGACACGGCGCGGGCACTGTATGATCTTACGAAACTTGGACGTCCGCGGGGAAATTATTTTTTGAATGGGATAAGCGGGCGATTGTTTGTCGGCTACCGGTGTGGCAGGCAAAACTCATAAGCCTCGACAGTAGGGGGCCAGAGCTATCATCACTCCGTCACTTTCCACGAACGGGAACTCCACAGTTTAATCTGATTGGTAGCAAAGTATGTGCATTCCCTTCTATCTCAAGCTGTATCTTACACCGAACTTGCGATGGAAGAGCTGTCCTACAGCATCATGAGATAATTGTGTCCAGACACAGTTGGTACCTATCTGCAACTCGGTCAGCGGAAGTTGCGCTTGAGACCTGAGGATGCTCCTGCGTGGGCTGCCAATCCGACAAGATAACGATCACGATAAGACTACATTCTGTACCAAGAAAAGGTAGTAGCAGCCGGCCGTTTGTCCAGCCACACTTTCCGTCATGTCCGCGTCCACCTGCCGTTGCTCAACTTGACCTCATTTCCTTTGACCGATCGCCAGTTCTTGCCTCAAAACATCTCATTGCATGGCAGCTACGGAGGCTGAAACTGCAAATACCGTTGAATAAGTGCACTGCGACTCTTGCAGCGAGGTGGAGAGGCAAGTGCGCCCCCACACCCAACATCCAAGTCGACAACATCTCCCTTAACAATCCGTCCATTCAAGACTTCGTTCGACGCAATAACCCGAATGGGCTGCCACAGTCTTTCTCCAACCCGGATCCCCTAGAGGTAGTGCTCTGTTGCCTTGAACTGGGCTGAGGTTTTCAAGAATACACGACGATTCATCACCAACGGTTCATTCTTCGTACGTCATGGGAACAATGCATCGCCAAGCCAAGGCTATCAATCCGCGGCGGCAAATCCATGGCCTCATGGGGTAACCTCTCCGTCGGGAAACCCCGTCAAGGAACCCGCTCCGCAGTTCCGCGTTTAAATGGAGTACTGATGCTCGGCTAGGGTAGCATTGCTGTCTTCTTGGAGGGTTCACGTCCCGGGATATCAGCCACTCGCCATCATCGATTGTACCCGGACACTCAGAACTTGTTCTTCGGGGCCCAGATCTGCCCCTTGCTACCGGCCGTGATACTTGGGATCTGCTGTACACCAGACATCCTCAATCACCAACTCGGATTACCGCTACAACCCAGCGCAACCATCTCTACGTCTATACCTGCGCTCAACACCGTGTTCCTTGCAGTTCCGTGGCCAACCTGCCGTGTTGGGGAAATGTTTGTCATGATTTCGAGCGCCAGAAACCGCCAATGTTTGAGCCACCCGGCTGCCCACATATCCAGGATATGTGCCCGGTTCTGGAGACGTGCTGGGTAATTAGAACCGAGTCCATGGACGGATGGGTCAACTAGTATAAGAAGACTGCTGGAACCCTTTGTCTTCCACCCAAACTCCGACAACAGGCTTCTACACTTCAGACACGATACACATCATGCGCTCCTCCACTATTCTGCAAACCGGGCTAGTGGCCGCTCTTCCCTTCGCCGTTCAGGCCGCTTCCGGATCCGGCCAGTCCACCAGATATTGGGACTGCTGCAAACCATCTTGCTCCTGGTCCGGCAAGGCTCCTGTCAACCGCCCCGTCCTCGCTTGCGACGCAAACAACAACCCCCTGAGCGACGCCAGTGTCAAGTCTGGATGTGATGGCGGTTCCGCATACACCTGTGCCAACAACTCGCCATGGGCGGTAAACGACCAGCTCGCCTACGGCTTTGCTGCCACGAAACTCAGTGGTGGAACCGAGTCATCTTGGTGCTGTGCCTGTTATGCGTGAGTTTCTCATCAACTCTCTTCAACTCTTGGGTATCACTCGATGGCTAACTTTTACTGCAGCCTTACCTTCACTTCGGGCCCTGTTGCTGGCAAGACCTTGGTCGTTCAGTCTACCAGTACCGGCGGTGATCTCGGCTCTAACCACTTTGATATCAACATGCCCGGGGGCGGCGTCGGCCTGTTTGATGGATGTACACGACAGTTCGGCGGTCTTCCCGGCGCTCAATATGGCGGCATCAGCTCCCGCAGCCAGTGCGATTCATTCCCTGCCGCGCTCAAGCCCGGTTGCCAGTGGCGCTTCGACTGGTTCCAGAACGCCGACAACCCCAACTTCACCTTCAAGCAGGTCCAATGCCCATCCGAGCTCACCTCCCGCACCGGCTGCAAGCGAAACGATGACTCCCAATTCCCTGTCTTCACTGCGCCCTCTGGTGGAGGCACCAACCCCTCTACTCCGACAACCCCTCCCTCTTCAGGCGGCGGTTCCGGATGTACGGCGGATAAATACGCTCAGTGTGGCGGCTCGGGGTGGTCTGGCTGCACCAACTGCCCGTCTGGATCGACCTGCAAGACTATCAACGATTATTACCACCAGTGTGCCTGAATGGTGCCAGATGGTATGCTGTGTGACCGTGCCTCGAGGCGAGAGTTAGGACGATTTTAGAGGAATCGGTAGACAGCACGATCCTCCAGTATAATTTGACATTCTGATGAGCATTGATCCCTCACGAATACTTCAATTCATTTCATGATGATTACTCTATCGCACTCTGTCCGTATCCAAGTCAAGCTGTAGGTTCGGTGTAGGCGGGCTTACATGGTCATCTACGATACTGGCGAATGCTGTTGAAGGTTCGAAGTTCCGTACTTGCGTGCCATTCACCAGTCATGCATTGCGCAAAGAGGGCAGGTTCACCGTTATACTTTGTAAACCGAGCATCGACTGACCTGCCGCTATCTTCGTGCAAGTACAACCCGAGTCTCAGTCCACTACCTCTGTCGCCTCTGTGTCGGAAGAAGAAGAATCTTGTACCTTGCCATGATGTGACTTCCTACCTCAAGGGAATCCAGACCATCACCCTCAAGGCATCAATCCCCTCGGGTCAGTATCTCGCTCCTTCGGCGACTTTTCGGCTCCACGCATGATAGCGGAACCGACAAGGCAAGTGCTCAAGGCAAGATTGGGTTCACTGAAGGCATCATGAGGGTCTTTGCGAAGGTGCTTGCGTACGGTGGGATGAATGATGATTGGGGTTCAAAATAAGCGCGACCTAACGGGACCTAGAAGTGGGAAATAGTAAGTGGATGCTCTCCTTGATTTCTCCTTGTCCTTCTTAAGTTATTCACGCTTCCATCCTGCTTGGATCCATTTTCTCACTGCCACCCTCGCTCCGTCGCTCAACCCAAGGCACTTTGACGACAACACCAGCCTGTTTGCCTTCATGAACGGGTCATCACTACCATCATGTCACTTCCACTCAAGCTGGCTTCTTCTGCTGCCCGCTGCTACTTTCCATCTACGTCTCTTATCTTGCCCAGGTATAGGGGCACCTCCAACATCTCTTCGGTACGCGTGTTCAAGGCCTACAGTCACTTAATATGCCAATAGGAGGAAGACCTTCGCTGTCAACGATACTAGACTCGGTTTCTTATGGGAGAAATTCTAATCTAGAGTAGACTGTCCAGGAACCCAAAGTCACATGCGGCCCAAAGTGTGCGTCCACACATGAGAGCCAAACTTTCCCGCTCTTGAAAGCCTACTGACTATCATCTCCTTTTCTGCAGAAGCGCTTCACAATCCACCAAAACCCATTTTATGCCCCGTCGAACCCAAGACAAAGTGCCCCATCCTCATTTTTGGTGTTGATGACGAGGTTCAAGTCACCGATGCGTACCGTCAGGGGCTGAAGTATTTCATGTTAGCCATCCCTGCCATCCGTCGCTGGTTTGTGGAAAAACTCACCACTTCATATCACATCCATCACCGCCACTTGCTTAGAAGTGGGTGGGGATAGCACGCTTGGCCCTCTCGACAATGGTGAGAGCAACGCCATCGACCGTGGCAATCTTGATGCCGTCTTCGACCACAACATCGGTGTCGGCAGCAACCGCGCGCTTGTGCGGGTAGTCGCAGTCCGAGGTTTGAGAGCCTCTGCTCTTGCAGCAGGTACGGAAGTTGGACAAGTGCTCGGAGATGGAGCTGGCGGCGCAATCGTTGCCGTTGCGCCAGCTGCCGTGCTGTTGGTCGCAGCATTGGTGGGAGGCATTCGAGTCGACGCCGCCGCCGAACGCAAGGCACTTGCAGGCCTCAGCGCCGGCGAAAAAGGCAATGGCCGAGAGAAGGACGGTGGAAAACTGCATTTTGATGGTGGTGGTTGGTAAGGGGTTTGGGTTGGGTTGTGATGTTGTTTTGAAGGTAAGAGAAGATGTGATGGTTGTGTTGGTGATGATCTGGGTGGACGAGAGCAGGAGGAAGGGAGAGCTTTTATAGCTGATTCTTTCTTCAAGCTCTTCATACTCCTTGCCCTTCTTCCCGTCGATGCTCTCCTCCTATTCCTCCTCTTTCTCGCCGTCTCACATCTCGTCTTCCTACTCTTCTGCCTTCTTCTCCTCCTCCGCCTCCTCCTCGATGTCACGAACCGTGCTGACAGACATGCTCATCCAGCTCCGGGCCGACAAGCATCATGATCCTAATGACATCAAGTCCAAAGTCCATGGTACGTGAATTACCAATCACATCTCTGCCCATGTGAGGTTCTGCTCTCTGCCTGTTCATGCATGACCTGCCAATTTGTGGAGATGGAATTGTTGGCTGAAGCTGACAGCCGAATACCACTCTCAGCTTGCAACGTAGTGGTCAGCGAATATCGATCAAATGATGAACCACACACGTAGGGAACGGAGTTATCAAACATTCACGGATTTTGAGCTATCAGGTAGTTTCGTGCTCCACTTTCTGTAGGAGAGCGGGCATGAGCGAGAAAACCACACCATACCCACGTAACGGGTATTCTCGCAGGACCCTCTGACGCTCTGAGAGAAAGCAAACCCAGATACATAACTCTCAAATATCTCTATAAGCACTCCCTAGTAAGTTTGTATCCCAGTCAACAGCTTTTACGGATCGTTTCTTGCCAGATACAGCGACAGTTCAGTCGCTGCTGAGTGCACCTCTTGTCTGCCTTCACTGAATCATCTTGGGCTTTGCCAGCTGGGCTAGCAACGTGGATTCCGATCCTTGCCAGCAATGGGACCATTCACGAGCCGCTCATCATGGGTAGGGCGTAGCCGCTACTCATTGAGCTTACGCTTGCTACCTTCGCTACCTTCCATACTGGGTTCTGATCAGGTCATCTCACCGTGTGGCAAACCAAGCAACTTTATAAATCAATGGCTGTAGGGCGCGTCGGTGCCGCTGTCTATATGAGGCTTTCTTGTCTGGATCTCGGACCGAGGTAGGCGAAGTGGTATCTATAACATAAACCATCGTTCGCTAACATTTCTTTGCCAATCCTAACAGGCTGCAAGTGGTCGAAATGCTGATCGGTCAGCCGTTAAACACCCTTGTTGAGATGATAAGAAGTAAGGACCGCGGACTAGGACAGCATTTGCGGATCTTGCAGGCCTTTATAACGGAAGATCCGATCCTTCGATGATACGGAAACTTACAACAGCCGAACAAAGCCGGCATAAGTGCTGACGGGCGTAAGCAACGGTCGTACACTACATAGTGCCACGACATGTGTCAACGGCGGTCAAAATTCGGCCCGGCCCTGGTCAAAAAAGCTTTGCGCTGCAATGTATCGCTATGGCTTACACTTCACACACAACCGTGCCACAGACCCCTGTGCTTCTCAAAAGAAAACACCACATTAGTGTGTGATTTCCCCACACCCTCGACATTTAGGTTGGCTGGCAGGGCTGGATGGTTACTTGGTGGCTCTGGGCGGTTCGCCAAAATCCGGTAGGGTATCATGAATCCGAGATCCTGCGGGTGAAACCGCCACTTTGAAGCTGCCATGAACGCCCTCAGGATTCTTGATGGGTAGAATTTCGACGCCAAGCATTACCGAGGCACCTTGATGGCTTCCTCGTATTCTGGATCTGTCAAGTGCGACTTTCTTCCCTTTTACAACTCCCTTTCTGAGACCAATGAACTGACAGAATGAAGCACGTGTCCGAGGACCAAACAAGAAAGCTCACGATGCGCCGTTTGAACTGTCGTTTTTTGCGCAGCGAGAGGACGAACCCGAGGAAAGCGAGAGTGAAGTTGCGGCACAGCCAAGCCGGCACTGCAAAACTGGGGAGGGCAAGGGATGTTGGCCAATTGGAATGGCGGCCATGGGTGTTGCCAATGCTACCTCATTGTCCCGCAACTAAAGGGGTACCGCCCCGTTTTGGAATGGAGGCTGTGCTACTACTGGGTAGGCCAACGCTCGGCATAGGCTCCCGCTCTGCTGTCCCTCGCTCGTCAATGTCGACGTTCAGTTGACAGAGTTTCTATCTGTTCATTCATCCGACCTCTATATTCATTAAGTCAGATCCTCCACTTGCGCAATACATGTCACCAGCGCATGTTTCCGACTGGATTATCCACACATGAGCACATAGCGATGGATCCCCGTGCCAGTGGTCAGCCCCATCCAGCTGCCCTGACGGTGGCAACCAGTGTAGCTCTCACATCGCTCGTTCAGTACGTGGCTTCTAGAGCTACAGAGTACGAACTTTCCTCGGAAGCTGTGTGTTGGATGATCATCCCATTTCTCTTCAGGCTACAAAGCAAGCCCTCGACATATGTGCCACAGTTAGGGGATGTGGTCGCTACCAGAAAGCCGACTGGGTCACTACGGCTTTGGCGCCCAGCGATCTGTGTTGCTGCCCTCAGTTTCTGTAAAGCAGAGTTCGGTGCGGTTGTCTGTTTGTTTGTAAGCCCTCCCGGTTGATGCGGACCCTTTCACGGCTCTTTGTCTCCCACCCTCTGCTCACACCACATCTTCAATAGCCTCTTGCAACACCGTTGCTGCTCAAGGCTCAAGAACATCTCCAACTACGGACTGGACCTTCAAGGTATGGGACTGCCAAGGAAGGGGCCGTGCCTCACTCGATCCTAAATACGTTCTGGGGATCACTTCTGGCAGCTGCAGTGGCCGTGTACAGCTTGGCAGCATGGGACGTCAAGGCAGCTGCCATGGCGGTGATACCGTTTGCGGTTCTCGTCGGCCTCTTTTTCTCATTGATGTCCCAAATGGGAGAGCAAGATCGCTTGAAAACCTTCCATCTTGAATTGGGAGATATCATTAAACCTCTCTCCTTGCGGATCGTAGGTTTCTTGATCGTCCTGCAGTTTGTCGACAGCTGGGCGGTTGGTTTCCCCAGCATTGATGGTGCGTGGACTGTCTTCCTGGGAGTAGCAAAGGCCTTTTCGTGGTATTTCGCTATTCAGAGTGTACGCCAGTCCTTGCTGACCCCTAACTGAGTTGCTTGCAGTGGTGAATGACGCTGACATTGTTTACAGACAAGGTATACGCCGGAGTCATGGCGAATCGTCACGGTGATTGCCACCTTTGGCTTGGTTGCAGCTCGCGACCCATACACACAGCCTTCAAACATTCAAGCCCTTGCGAACGTTGTTGCTTCGCTTGTTGCACTGGCTCAGAGCATCAGCATGCTGCCGAAGCACACAGAACAGCGAGCCCTGCTCTGGAGCTTTGCGCTCGTTCCCCTCTTCCCTTACCTGGCCAATTTGGTTGCCATCAGAGCCGTAGAGTCTGCAGCACAGCAGCTTACTTTTCAACACCCCGGCCAACATCCGGTAGCGCAGCTAATGGAGAAGGCAAAAGCAGACTTCGACAGCATGCTCTCCAGACAGTCAAAGACGTACGAGGCTGCTGTCGAGGAGTACAAGCGTCGATACAAGGTTGAACCACCACCGGGGTTCCGGGGCTGGTACGACTTTGCCGTGAAGAGCCAGTCTCCAATCATCGATGACTTTGATACCATTTACCACTCAGTGTCGCCTTTCTGGAAACTTAGCGGCCAAGAGGTAGTGGACCTCATGCACGAGGCTTATTACACGCGGTACAGCGAGTTATGGCAGTGTACCTTTCACGGCGCAACCGCAAAAACTGAGTGTCGGCATCCGTATCGCACCTTCGACAGACATCTTACCCTTTTGTTTGATGAGGTGTTGGGTGATCTGGCGGGGGTTCTTCCTGACATCAAGTTCGTTGTTAATCACCTTGACGAGCCACGAGTGGTGCTCCCGCATACTTCACCCTCCGGCAGCTGGCGCTTTTCTCTTATGGACATGTCTCATCATCCGGTTTGGAAGGAAATGAGAGCGCCCTGTTCCTCTTTTCCCTCCAAACCCAACGATACCACCAACGGCATCGACACCTTTGGTCTCCCCTTTGTCACATCCACGGCTTCCGTCCTGGACATCTGCGCCAATCCTTCCTACGCCGACACCTACGGCCTCTTCACCTCCCCCGTCTCCATGCGCTTGTTTGTCGGGCTCGTCCCCGTCCTCTCCACTGGTGCGCCATCCACCATGTCCGACATTCTCTACCCCTCCGCCGCCTACATCGAGTCCGGCTTCATCTACGATCCCACTCGCGACATCCCCTGGGAGCAAAAGTCCAACAACCTCTACTGGGCCGGCTCCACAACCGGCGGGTACTCCTCCGACTCCTCCTCCTCCGCTGATACACAATGGAAGTCCTTCCACCGCCAACGCTTCGTCTCCCTCGCCCAGAACCTCAACCGCCAACGACATACCTACCTCCGCTCCCTCAACGGCGCCATCACCCGTGTCAGCTCCCCGTTTCTCAACAGCCGCCTCTTCTCCGTCTTCTTCACCCGCTTCCAATTCTGCTCGCCTGCCTCCTGTCGCGCCCAACGCTCCTTCTTCCGCACCAAGTCCTACGCTGACAAGGACGAGGCCCTTTCGTCTCGCTTGGTGTTTGATCTCGACGGCAACGGCATTTCGGGACGGTATTACAAGCTTTTGGCGTCCAATAGTGCTGTTCTCAAGCAGACTTTGCTGAGGGAGTGGCATGATGATCGGCTGGTGCCGTGGGTGCATTATTTGCCGGTGAGTATGGGGATGGAGGAAGTACCGGAGTTGGTGATGTATTTGACGAGCACGGATGAGGGGAGGCAGAAGGCGAGGGAGGTGGCGGAGGGGGGGAAAGAGTGGTGGGGAAAGGCGTTGAGGGAGAGGGATATGGGGGTTTATCTGTATCGGTTGTTGTTGGAGGTGGGGAGATTGCAGGATGGAGGGAGGGGGGAGGGGGAGCCGCGGCGGGTGGTGGGGGCATGAGAGGTTGTGTTGTGGTGTGTAGGTGGGTTAGTGGCCAGGTCTTGGATAGGATAGTGTGTTGGTGTGTCACCACTTTTGGGTAGGCAGTGATGGACCTGACGGTTTGTTCGGTTGTGTTTGGACAGGAAGGCATGGGCTAATGGTTGGTTATATGACCACTTAGGTCTTGGATATGTCAATTTTGTATGACCGCGTCGCGACTTGAAGGGTTCAGAGACACTGCAGTACATTACGCGTGCTGCATGCAACATGGCACACGCTGTGCATATTCTTCCCAATCTCCGAAACCCTCAAGCAAGTACTTCCCTTGGTCATTTGCCCAGCAGGCAGGAAAATTGGCCTCCAGCATATGTGAAAGCACCGGAGTTCCGTAGCCCTTCGACGTCTATGCATTGCACTTATTCCCACACAACCTGTCCTCTTTGCATCATCATGCCTGGGCATAAACATTTCCCTGGAATTCCTACTGTATGGCTCAAGTTTGTCCAGGCCTTGGCCTTCCTCGAGATTCCTGGTTCTGATTTCGCCTTCCATGAAAGATCCAACCGCCAGTTGGTCGACTCTGCTCTCGACTACGGTTCTTCCTTCCCACTGGGAAATGTGATCTTGATCCCCGGTCATCGACTCACGATCCCCTCACAACACTACCACCACCCGGAACCACACATCCCCGACCCATACTCCTCACCTCGTCGCTCTTCCAGCAATCCCCCATCCTCAACACCTACCTGTTCGATCGCCATCACAAGGCTCACAGCCATGCCCCAGCATACGTTTCGTAATGCATTCAAACTCCTCAAAGCGAAGCAGCACAAATGGAAGCGATCCCTTCGCAAGAAGCTCGCTTGGCTGAAAACCAAGAGCAACTCGAAACTTCATATCCGCAATCTAGACACCATCACCACCACTACCAAATCCGAAATCTACCCCACCATCCGCGCTACCAGAAGATTCCCGATTGATGACTTTTCCGATTCCGATTCCGATTTCGATTCCGATTCTGAAGAAGAAGAAGAAGAAGAAGATCTCGCTGCTGAGTCGTTGTCGTCGTCGTCGTCGCTTGATGACGGATCAAGCAGCAGCAACGAATCAACTAGCAGCAAAGTGTATGATAGCGTGCCTCATCCCTCATGTCGGAACTCTTCGTTTTCGGCTTCGACTTCGGCGCCAGAGATAGAGACAAAGACAGATGATAGCAACGTGCCCGAACGACCCGAACCTGAGGTTTTGAACACCAGCGGTCGGTTTAGCTCTTTTAGGAAGAGTACCTGCACGGCTTCGACAAGGGACAGTTATGTTACTGCTGTTAGTTGCTTGGACTTTGAAGACAACGAAGACGAAGATGAAGATGAAGACGAAGACGATCCCGGACCAGGACCCAGTCTCAATGGCGACGAAAGCATCCGGTCAGATACATCCGCTACGTCCTTTTTTGAGTCACAGGACTCGCAGTCGGATACAAGTACCAGTACGACTTCGGCGTCATCGATAAGTTGTTAGTTGTGGAGTGGACTAAGGTACTTTTCTTACGACTACCGGGAGCTTGCAGGATGGATTCAGTTTCGGGTATTAGACTACCTCTACCTATATGTACACGCGATTTCGTCTTTGGTTCTTCTCGGTCGAATCTCATGTCTTGGTATCTGGCAAATGCTATCCTCGGTGAACAGCGGTTTTTGGGTGCGTTGAGCGGGATTTGTCTCTCGCACGCACGACAGTGGATCTTCTTCACTTTTTTTCCGGTTTCGTGGGATACGACTCCCCATCTCTCTTCGATTTTTTCCCCAAAACATCAGTGCATCAATCGGCGTTCCTGACGGTTCTTCTTCTCCATATCCATTGGACGGAGAGGAAACATGGGCAATCACATGAGTGACAACGATCAAGACAGCGAAGCAATGAATACCACCAGGCCTTCTAGCGCTATTAAGCGTCTGCTGGAGTGCATCTATCTCGTCTTCTGGAGTTTGAACGAGGGAGGCACACGAAGCTCTCGTACAAGTCTCGGACGTGAGGAATGCAGTGTTCGTTCCTTTCTCGAATGGCACAAGAGCTTGGAGCTGTGTAACCCAGAGGACGTGGTGGATCTTTTGAGGAAGATACAAAGTTATGGCGTTGTTGGATCCTGACTCTGTCAGTGCAATGAAAGTTTCTGACATGATGATTTCAAAGGGACGGAAGTTGGATCAGGCAATAGGGAGTTCTGAAAGGTTGTTTTGGGTCTTTGAAGGACAATGAGGGATGACGCCGCCTGTGCTGAATGTCCATTGAAGGAAGTGCTTGGATATAACGAGCCGCATCTTTATGCGAGAGTGAAGGAGGGGACTGCAAGGAATTTTCGAAGAGGGTTGGTTGAGTGCTAGAGACAAACCATCTCAGGATGGGGTTTACTTGTCTATTTTTAATTAATGTATAGCTCATCAGCGCATCCAGCGTAGCCGATTGTTTGCACTCTCATAACATGTTCACCCCTGGGAGGATTGTATTTCCTTGGAGTAAAGTGTCAGTCACTGCTCATTCTCATCGCTATAACCATCTTTAAAGTAATATGATCTAGACAAACCTCATCCGAACAGAAATTTCGCATCCAAAGAGACAAAAAGAAAGCATATCAGCGCGAGTCAGGCACCCACAAAGTCCAAAAACCCCAAAAAACTTCAGCAAAGAAAAAAAAACAGAATTTTGGACGAGCTGGGAATCGAACCCAGGACCTTTCGCATGCTCGGAAACATGCTAAGCGAACGCTCTACCAACTGAGCCACACGCCCGATTGATGTTAATCAAAGCTCAAAGAAGCCCCTATGATCTTGGTTGAGTGGAATGAAGGTGAAAGAGATTCGGGGTTCGTTGTATGTTTAGAACAGCAGGAAGCAAGATGAGCTTCACTCATTAGTTCGCTTCATAGACCCGGTATGTGATAAGTACTAACATCGGTGGAGTTCCCGCCTCGGGCGTTGAATTAGCGATTATATAAATAGTTCGCCGCTGATGTAGATACACCGGTACCTCTACCCAGGTAGATAATGGGTAATAAATGGTATCACAACATGCACTTGGTGTGGATAGGTAATGTAGGGCAGCTAGCTTACTAACTTAGCAGGGTACTGCCGTGAACAGATGGCTATCCTGAGCACACCAGCTTATCCTATTATGCCTCTGAAGTTTTACTATCACCGTTGCTGGCCAGTTACACTCTTCAAAAGGCGGAAGGCGGAGAGCGAAAGTGTAGTCATCGCTCCACTCTCTTGGTTCCCTCGAGTGGTTAAAGGCTTTCGGGTCACTGATCAAGTCGCCTATTGAAGAGTCATACGTCTTATTTGAGAATTGATTATATTATTCAAAGCTTGGATATTGTATGACAGCTACCTCTCGTTTTGTGGCATTCACTCACAGATATATTCTATGTATTCTTGTGGTGTGTGAGTTGGTCATATAGGGGAACCCAATACCGTTGGACCATAATGTGCCAGGCGATTGGTCCCGCTCCGCGACTAAATCTTAAATTACAAGCTACGGAAGATCTGTGTACCATAACACGCCCAGCCAACTTCATGAAAACGACAAGGCTGTGTGCTTACTGCGCAGCCTCTGTAAGTGTCACATTCATCCCGTGAGGCCAAGTGTTGGTGCTCACATACATAATGGTACAGCGGCGGCACTCGAAAGTCAAGCCCAGAAGGCCATGATCCGTCGGACGTATGTTACTAGAAGTAGAATATTGAGGACATTGATGAGGACAGCCCTGACCATGCCAAACGACCAGGCGCATATCCGCCGCCATCAAAAGCTTGTGAAGTCGAGATCAACGCGGAGTGAGCCAATATCAACTGAAAGACCCCAACGTATCGGCCAGTGTTGATCAGTTGAAAATGTAACGCCAAAGTAGGTGAAATATAGGATACCACGGCCCTACATGAAGTTGTCATCGAGCTATCACATGCAATCGATGGCGTGCCTGGGCTACAGTGCGCACCTGCCCCTGAGTGGCGTTCCTCCCAACAGAACGGACGCTAACAATCAATGGTAATGACCTGCAGTTTGACAATCCAAGGGGCCTTTGTGCACTGTGGTATATGTCTCCATGAACCGTCCGCTAGTAAGCGCCATTGACCGTTAGTAAGTGAACGTGATGATAAGGCGGAAACACAACGGCTGGGTTCGTTCTTTTGGACGATCGTGTCTTTCTGGGAGCCTCAGTCTGGTAAGCTCATGCAAGACGCTGCACTTCTGCGACTCCGCCACGTCACAATCATGAAGTTCATCTTTGGGGATGTAACTAAGTACCCCCACGAATGCTACCAAGGGCAGTGCTCGTCTATGCGGCCTCCGTAGTCCCCGTCAAGACCTAGTGATATGGATGGTTGGCGAATGAGCAACATTACCACAAGTAGACAAGTCGGGATCGACGCTCAATTGCAGTGATATGGCGGGTCTGTGGTGATGATCATGTTTATGATACGGGCCATCAGTAAGCGCACAGTAAGATTTGCCAGAATATAAGAATGCTCGGAATATCAGGAGGAAAAGACCAGTTGAGCCATGTATGCTACACTGGATACCCTGATTCTCACACCCAAGGACACCGACATTTCAAACACAAGGACAATGGCTACTACACCATATGACACTATCATTTTCGACCTTGGGGACGTGCTCTTTGACTGGGATGAGCCGGAAGACGTTGCGTCCCTTGTCGCGTTGCCAAAAGGTGCCATGCGAAAAATGATGAACTCAACCACTTGGCATGACCTCGACCGTGGTCTCCTACCTGCGGAGGAAGCCTACAAGGTAAGCAGGTCCCTCGCTTTCAGGACCTCCGTACCTTAAGACTAACCAAAGTCGAACAGATCATGGGCGACGAGATCAACACCGAGGCATCACTGGTACGGCAGGCCATTGATGCAGCTGCTTGCTCGCTTCGAGTTAACGAGCAATGGGCAGAGCTGGTGGAAAAGCTTGCGGCAAAGCCTGGGTTGAAGGTGTATGCCATGTCGAACATCTCCAAGGAACATTTCGAGTACATCCGTACGCTGCCGTTCCCATGGGAAGCGTTCACTCGCGTCTTTACCTCCGCGGCCGCCGGTATGCGCAAACCGGATCTCTGCTTCTACCAGTACGTCATCAATGAGACTGGATGCGATCCTAGCCGTACCATCTTCCTTGACGATCGTACCGAGAACATCGTCGCTGCTAGATCTTTGGGCATTCGGGGCGAGATCGTGACGGACAACGAGAGGACCAAGGAAGGAAGAATTTATCGATTCCTCAAGAACGTGGTCTTGGGGGAGCCCATTGCACTTGCAGAAGCCTTCTTACACTTCCAGAGCGGAAAGCTGGATTCGATCTACTCCGAGGAGGGGGTGGTTTTCAAGGACAACTTTGCCCAACTGCTGATATGGGGACTGACTGATATGGAAGATATCATCTACCTTTTGTGGCCAGACGGAACGCACTGGAAGGGATCATCGCGATGCTCGTCTCCAGATGACGATGCCTCCGTGGCCAGCTCAACCGACTCTGCAGTCGTCCTTAGCGACAAGGCCAGAGACGGCAAGAAGTCACGCCCTCTTCAGGATGGCCTGTGGAACTACTTCACCGAGAAGCCAGTCGGGACCACGGAGGCATTCCCAGCTGATGTTGATACCACCTCGATCGCCTACCTGACCATTCCGCAAGAGCACCTGCACAGAGTTGCCGATCCCAAGCTGGTTCTGGATGCCATGATCTCCAACGTAAACGTCGATGGCATCATGCAGGTGTACTTTACAAATGACAGGCCACGCATCTGCGCCATTGTCAGTGTGAACATGCTTCGGTTCTTCCTGAAGTATGGTGGTGATGATCTAGATCTGGACACCGATCCCCGTCTTGCTGCCACAGGGACCTTTGTTGTCAATTGCCTTGTCAACAATGCAGTGATAAATGGCACACGCCACTACACGACCATTGAAAGCTTCCTGTATTTTGTCAGCTTGTTCTTCGACGAGCTCAGGACAAAGGCCGAAAGGAACCCGACCAAAAACGCCAACACGCGTCAGACACTCCAACGACATATCTATCGCTTGCTGGTGCAATCGTTGGGGAAGCCTGCTAACCCGTTGGCTTTGGCGATGCGGGTGCGTGCTTGTCAGGTATTCGGTATCGACAGAGACCTCCTAAAGTGGGAGATGGACGAACTGCTTGTCCTTCAAGAGGAAGATGGAGGATGGCCGGCGGGTCACTTCTGCAAAGCGGGAAGGACGGGTGCTGTGATTGGTAGCCGGGGCTTGACGACAGCAATGGCTTGGCGAATTCTGAAGGACTACGAGCGTGAGGTCATTCCTACAGATAGGCTGAATCGTTGACAAGGCGGAGTGATCCCTGAGCATCCAATTCCGTTGCGGCCACCTCTTTTTACATGCCACGTTCGGACTTGGAGGCGGTGGCGCGGTGCTAATTGAACACATCGGACTCCAGGAACTCAGCTCGACAGGCCTAAGGCGAGGGGGAGAAGGCAACCGCGGAAAGAAGACCTGCCGTGTCACCAACGCCAAGCCCTAGGCAAGAATATAAGCCATATCATGGGCGCTGGTTTTTTGATCAGGCTTTCATGTTTTCCTTCTCCTTTCCTGTCCACACTCTTGACTGCGTCGGAAGCACGATTGCCTCCCTAACCAACCGTCGACTTTTTGCCAGTACAAGTGCAACCTGTATCATGAGCCGTACTCAGTGGGACGATGGCCTGCACACAGTGAACGGCACAGATGCGCCAGAAGCTGTTCTTCTTGGGCAACAGGTACCCAAAGAGCCGGTCTCGACAAGATGGACATCAACATATCCGCAATACAGCCGGCTGGTGCGACCGAATTCCCCGGAGAAGCATGATCAGGAACAGTGTGGGCACTTCCTCCCACAATCAAACGCATCTTCGCCGGGCCTGGAAAGGAGGATCTGCGGCCTACGGAGGTCCACGTTCTTTTTGACAGTGGCGCTTCTGGCTGTGATTGTGATTGCGGCCGTCGGAGGCGGTGTGGGTGGATTTATCGCGGTCAAGAATGCGAAAAGGTAAGCTGGGATGTTCGAGTCGCCATGTATTTTCTCCGGCTGTAGCTGACTATCGACGAAAGCACCAGCTCTGCGCCCCCGAGCACGACGACAGTGCCCTCCGCTACAACAGCCTCCATTATCACGGTCCCAACCGAGGGCGTTCTCGCGTTCGACTGCGCAGCCGTCGCCGCCAGTGGCAGCCAGATTATAACGATGGGTGAGAAGAACTGGAAATTCGGCGTGGGCTGCAATCAGAACTTTGGGGGAAGCCCGCACCTCGCCGGTTCGATAGCTTATTCGTTCGACGAATGTCTCCGATCGTGTGCACAAACGAACTGGTTAACGAACAACGATACGTGTGTCGGCATATCTTTCAACGGGGATTTGACGTCTTATGTGAAGAAATATCATGGGAACTGTTTCTTGAAAAAGTCCTTGGAGAAGGCCAATCCGGACACGAGCTCGATGGCTGCGATAGCGAGTCTGATGCCCTTATCGAGCGACCCGCCAAGGGTCACGGTCGTTGCGTCAGACTAGGTATGAGGTCGGGTATTGTACAAGATGTCGAGGGCAACCATCGGGAGGTCAAGGCGGGCAGCATGTTGAGGGCGTTTTCTGGCGTGCAACGGGAATTGATTCAGGGATTAGTGAGCAACAAGATATCCAAATGCCGTATATTTTTGATCTTGAAAATGGGGCGGAGGAGGAGGAATCGACCAAAACGATTGTATTTCTTGAGCTGCAAGAGGCACCTTGAAATTTGTCGAGCTGCTGATGCTTGGAGGTCATTGGGGAAAATGGAAGAGGGGAAACGACACGCGGGGTTCGGTCAGTGCGAGCATTTGTGCTACAGAAAATGGGGTTAAGATACACTACAAAAACGATTACCCCTGTACACTTCACCAATGCCATGCACCACAGTACATGTTTTCTGTACAAGTACTAGGTGACATCACATCGTATGTAACAACAGAAATACCAGGAAAACATACAAGGAAGAGGACATGATTCCTGTCACAGAGGACACTCGTAAATTATATCACCACGATCATGTCAAGGCGGGAAGGAAGAAGCCATTGGAATGACATGCTACCGGGCTCTAGCTTCCGTCTTGCTGGCCTCGCCAAATCCTTCCATAACACAAAAATAGCCAATTCATCGAGGCCCAGCATACCTCTGTGGTAGCCGTTCGCTGACTTTAAATCATCCTCGAAACTTTAGAATTAATACAGTTGACTTCCTATGCCTTGCTCACTCTTCCTCTTATCAGATTTGCAGAATAGCTAAAGCCCCAAGAGCTACAGGACCCGCCAGGAGTACGAAAACACAGCCAGCTATCAAGGTTTTGGAAACAGAGAAGCCTGCGCTGGCACGACCTGTGGGTAGATCAGCAGCGATCAGCTACCGCGGACATGAACTGAACAGTCCAATACCGCATTTGCTGTATCGTAAGAGTAACATCTGTAGATACTACAAGGTGTATCAACCAATCCAGTTGGCAAGATGCTGCATACCTATGGATCTAGTGCGCAAGCTTAAAACGCCCGCATAATGTATCGCCTTCCCCAGATGAGAATTTCTGTTACGGGAGAGTAGAACTGGTACACTAGGTACATACAACGGCTGCTGGGATTGGATTGACGCAGTCAAGGACGATGATACCTGCCACTCAAGACTCATGGAGTCAGCATTGGCAGGAACGAGGCAGGCCCGCAGGAAAGGATAAGGGAGGTCAAGTAGGAAACCACGCAAGGGCTGCGAAACATAACCACAACCAAGCGAAGAGCAAGTGTAACATTGGCTCCCTACACTGTAGACGTCAGGTTATGTAACAAGGTAAGTAACATCGGGCTTGGTCCCCTACTTACCGTTACAGTCTCGCCTGCCCCTGCCTTCGCGGCTGTCACAGTGCCTCCACACACCCCAGATTTTCACCAGTGGGCTATTTTCCCACACTTCTTCCGCCTCTCCCTCAACTCAATCATCATGATATATGCTCGTACATTGATGCGCACTGTGGTTAATGTTATGTCAGCATCCGACGTTGCCCCGATTCATGACCCGCAAACGCGCGTTTACTACCCAAGAGCGTATATTGAAGGAGCTTCTCTCTGGATAAGGCGTGCTCGGTCGTTTCTAGACCATCTGAACTGCATGACAACCGCGACAGGCCCAGGGTTCCGGCAAAGAGAGAGGTAGGTATCCCACGTCTTTGGAGGTCCCTATCCCAAACCTTGCAAGAAGTCACTAAAAAGTGTACGCTATGGCCCGGCCCGCCCCTCCCTCTAACCACCAACGGCGGCAGCGCTTGCACATACAGTAGGTTAGTTGCTTATCTCATGATTGGCTGTGAAGCCAACGTTTTACTGTATCTCTCGGAAAAAGCCGTACAGGGTGTCCTCAAACTGTTAAAAACTCAACCCATGTTATACGAGAAGGATCCGTCCGTAGTAGAATCAGTGTACTCATGCTTCTTGGGGGCTCAACGCTACCAGACCCCAACGCGCAGCCAAGATAGTACGCGATTCAAGCCCCCTAGTGAACATGTCCTGATGAATCCTGTATTCGCGCACCGTCATGAACTTCTCGAAAACCACTCACTGTCAGCCTACATACTTCCAAATGCACACTTTATCATGTGGAAGTATCATTGTACCCAAACAGTAAAACAAACCACCATCTTGCTCGCTACCGCAGTACAACCGTTCGTGGCTGTAACGCTGTCCCCTCTCAGCGTCACTGTCCAACGGCTGCCATGGTTGCAGGGCAGGGGAACGAGGTCATACGAGGATGGCTGATGGACAGGGGTTCCCGAGAATGGGTGTAAGATGATTGGCTAGACCCCAAAGGGTGACGTTGATTTAAAGACTTTTATGACGGTGCGAATAAAACTCAACTTTGCTGTGTACATACATGCAGTCAAATCTGCAATTACATACACGCAACGGTCGGGGTTGTTGTGGTTACAGGCTGATCGCTATACCGCGGTTATCGTCATTTCACGTAGTGCCGAGGATGCCAGGGCAGGTACTTGGGTGCTGAAAAGTGGTGGTCAAGGTACGGTCAGGGTGTTGTTGAAGTCTACCACCTAACGGGTATAACGATTACCATACTGGATTGAGACAAGGTTTTGATCGTGATGCTAATAATAGCTGATGTTCCGTTGTGCTGCTGAAAACTCTAAACGAATGGAATGGTGGCGGTGACATTTGATCGTTATGTCCAGATTATCGTTATACCTCTCTGATCGTGAATTGCCGACTTGACTGTATCTGTTGAGCAGGCCAGGACGAGCGGGTTGGGCATGCCCTTTTCTCTTTGCATAAATAGACAGAGGTCAGACCTTTCTCCACGGTCATAACTTGGTCTGCGGTACGGCAAGCTCCTTCTCACATTCCCAAGAGTCAAGACTCAAGAGACAATCCACAAGAGACAGCCAGCCCACCATGTCTACGACTCTTCACAACAAGCCAATTCCGGCTCTAGGACGTCTTTGGTCCATGTTCGGCACCGGATCATGGCACCCAAGCACTTCAACCCCCAAGCTCAAGGCAGATGATGACGACGTAGATTCCCGTTCCCCGGAATCCCCCATCCAAAAGCCCCTTCTCCCCGCTGAAAGCCTCATGGGGAACGTATCCGCCATGATCCGCATCATCTGGACCTTCACCAAGAACGACCTCTTTACCTTCTCCCTCCAATGCGTCCTCTTCGGCGTCGCCCTCTCCTTCGCCAAAGATGCAAGAACGGCACCCGACCCCCCACGCTCAAGCAAGCCCTCTCCCGGCTCCCGGGTAGCTGTCTCTTCCAGTTCATGAGCCAGCTCCTTGTCAACCTCGACAACCAGCGTGAGCCCGCCTCGGTAATTGAGGACAGCATCAACAAGCCATGGCGGCCCATTCCCTCGGGCATGATCACGGCCGACCAAACCCGCCGCCTGCTCCTTTGCCTGGTCCCAGTATACTTGGCCCTCGGCTATGCCCTGGGCGTTTGGAACATTGCATTGCTCATCGTCATCGCCGTCTTTATCTACAACGACCTCGGCGGCTCCGGTGAGCTTGTGGTGCGGGACATCGTGCTGGGCATCTCGTACATTATCTACCAGATGGGGCCGCTGCGAATCGCGCTCGGGTCGGGAGAGTACCGTGCGGACATGGCGGGGGATCTCGTCAGCCCGAGGGGATACGCCTGGGCGGCCATGAGCGGCTTGCTCGTCGTCACGACCGTGCCCATTCAGGACATCAAGGACCAGGAGGGCGACCGGCAGCGGGCAAACCGCAAGACGATGCCGCTTATTATTGGCGACGCGGCAACGCGCTATTACCTGGCTGTGACCATTCCGTTTTGGGCGGTGGTGGGAACGCTGTTTTGGGGGACGCCGGTATGGTATGCGGTGCCTCTTGTGGCGTATGGGTTATACATTTCGTGGCGGCTGCTGGTCAAGAGGAATCTGGTGGATGATGAGGCGAGTTGGAGGAACTGGACTCGGTGGCAGCTGCTTGCGTATGCGTTGCCTGCTGTGAGCGCACTGACAGAGTAAGCGGGGACAATTAGGGAGAGGTGATCGTAGAGACTATTACAAGGTACTGTGGGAAAATGACCAGGGAGGGACTTGCATGTTACGGATAGGGCAAGAGATTGGATCATGACATGAACGGAATGAATGGAATGACTAGGAGGAATGAAAGGGGATCAGGACCATAACGATTAAAGAAGACGGAAGGGTCAAGAAAAGACAAACAATGGATTTATGAAACCTTCATGAATGAATAAAGTCACACAACAGTATTTTCCCCTACGAATGTTCTGGTGCGCTCCGATGGTTGATGGGAAATGGCAAAGTCGAGTGTCTACTGCCCATTTTCTCTCCGTTATTCACTTAAAGTGTAAGCGAATGAATGAGATGCAACACTAACAGCATCCAGCGCAATTCCACTATAAATCTGATAGTGGGATAGCTGACCAACTAGACTAGGAGCAAGTCGCATGTCCGCTTAGAGGAAAGGGCCAATGAGTGCAAGACTGGCAAAGAACGACGATGCTGGAGAGAAACCCAAAAGCTCTCATTTGAAGAAAGAAGTCTAGGGAATGTCATCAAGCCCCGTGGGCGGTCAAAGGGAAGATATATCCTACTTGTGGGTTTTCGCAAGTCATCGCCGTACTGGCAAGGCCATTGTCATAGCCCAAGGAGGTTGGGTGTTCCTTCTCGGGGCGATCAAGGCGCTTGGCCGTGATTGAAGACATTGCTTGTTGACAAGGGGAGGTTGGGAATGTCGCTGAGCCAGACATTTGCCAGTCTTTGAGATTAACAAAATAAAAGCCGTGAATTGTCAGAGGAGTCCAACACCTGCCTGGAATCGACGCGGGGAAACATCGACAAATTGTGGGGGGAGATGGAATGGGAGTAGCGATGTTGCTACTCTAACAGCGAAACCGCGTAACTGTGCGGGCTTTTGATGGTGACATAACTGCCACCATGCATGGCCCATGCTCTCTGTACATTGGCCCCCCAGCGTTGCTTTCCTTTTGTTCTTGCTTCTACAATAACGTTGACCTCTCCTCGATCTTCATGCAGGCCAACAACTTCAGTTACCATCAGCCAAAGCCACGATGGACTGATCACGGCCCACTCGTCGTTGCGTTCCAATTTCGTACACTACGCAGTACTCGGGAATGATCGACGACACAGTGGATGCGCTCACGAGTCGCGCCAACTCAACAACTTTACTAGCCATGGCATGCTTGCGCAACGCCGGGGTGCCAAGAGGCCATGATACAAGGCCAACCGCGGCACGTCGCTAGTTTCCCCCCAACACGCCATAATACCTATGGTATAAGATGGCCAACATCAGAAAGAAGAACGTATCCATCAGCACCGGCAACGCCATCTACGCCAACGTCGACCGTGCCAGATACAACCTCTACAAGATTGTCATCCCCCGCAACCCCAAGGCCGGCTGGTACCACTTGACCGACGATGACAAACAAATCCCCGTGGACCGCAACGACTTCAGCGTCACCCTCTCAACCGGCGAAAAGATCCAGTTCGACCTAGCCTACATCAGCATTCACGGCAACCCAGGCGAGAACGGCGTGCTGCAGGGCTACTTCGACATGCTCGGCCTCCCCTACACAAGCTGCGGCTTCTACACCTCGGCTCTAACCGCCAACAAGGGCCACTGCAACCCCGTAGTCCGCAGCTTCGGCATCGTGGAGGTGGCCAAGTCCCGCCTGCTTCATCGCAACCAAATCAGCGCCCTCGACCCTGAAGCTCTGCTGTTCGATTTCGAGCTGCCCGTCTTCGTCAAGCCCGCGTCGGGAGGCAGCAGCGTGGCCACTACCAAAGTCAAGAGCCGCGAGCAGGTGGTCCAAGCAGTCGAAGACGCCATGCGCGAGGACGGCAACGGCCAAGTGTTGGTGGAGGAGTTCATCGAGGGCCGCGAGTTCAACTGTGGCGTGATTCGCGATGCGGAAGGCTGGCTGCACGTGTTCCCCATTACCGAAGTTATCCCCCACGGCGACAGCGAGTACTTTGACTACAATGCCAAGTACAATGGGTCGTCGAGCAAGGTGACGCCTGCCGAGGTGGAGACGCAGGTCAGCGACCGCATCAAGGATGTATCGACGATGCTGTATGATCTCCTCGACTGTCGTGGCGTAGTACGCTTCGATTACAGGTACAACCCCGAGCTGTATGCGTTGTACTTTCTTGAAGTCAACACGATACCTGGCCAGACGCCGGAGAGCATAGTACCGCAGCAGGCGCGCGCCGCCGGTATTAGCACTGCTGACCTCTATCATATGGTGATCGAGTGTGCCCTGGCAGCGGCCTCGCGATGAGCTACGGATGGAGGACTGTAGATAGATTGATATTGAGCACGCAGGCAGTAGAGGACAGTTCTTGTGCTAGCCTACATCTCCCGCTTGTCATATTCACTTGCTCTCTTTGGCCCTCTGTCCTTACTCGGTTACATACTATTTCCCTTGGGTATTTCCTTCTAATTATGACACGCTACACGTACTTTACTTGAGGCACGCCCTACACACGCCCACTCACCCTACAAGCTATTTTCCCCCCATGTGGGTTGATAACAGCTGATATTTTCGCCTGATGTCCAGTTCATAATTTCATAGTCCTCACCCATAAAAACTCGATCCCCAGGTGCAAAGAGTGTCCATTTCCTTCCTCGATAGGTACCCATCTAACCCCCCAAAGCTACCTTCATGCTCCTTCCTTCCTTCTCTCCCATAGTCCCATAGTCCCATTCGCGCGTCAACACCAATCGAATCAATCCAGTCCAGTCCAGCTGGCTCCAAACCAACCTAACCTACCCACAACCCCATTCGTCCTCCATTATCCATCACATACCCCCCCCTTCCCCCTCTTTATGTCCCGTCTACTCCATGACTACGCTACCGCTGTCATGTTCCAAAGCATGCATAAGGTAGTTAGGCCCTCATGCTACAATGATGGTTAAGAAAAAAAATACTGTCTCCCTCCCCCACATATGTAATGTGGTGATTTGGGGGAAGGGACAGTAATTTTTTTTTTTTTTTTTTTTACTATGAGTTTACTACTGTAACTTCCCCTCGCACTTTTCTTTGCCGTTTGCGCACCACCAGCAAAGATCCTTTTCCGGGTCTTTATCGTCGCCCAGCTCACTGCTTCTTACACTTGCACCACCAGAGGTCGTAGTGGGGACACCGTTTCATGTAGCGGGTTTCGGTCATGGTGGAGGGTATGATGGATGGTACGGTAGTAGAGTGATTGGATGATTTGAAAGGTGTCGATGGGATAATCGTCGGTGTTTTTATCTTATTTTGGCTTCGTTTGGTTTGGAGTATGGTACGCTTGTTGTGTTGTTCTTGTCCTTGTTGGACTTACTGTGCGGAATGGTCTGTCTGATGGACTGAGTGCCCTGGTCTTGGTCTGGTCTTGTTCGAAGCCCTGCTTCTGCTTCTGCGTGCTACGGATAAAAGTGTTCACGGTTGACCATTCCATAGCGTTGACGGAGCATTAAATAGGTATGTACCTACCTACTCTTGACTCCTTGCGCAAGATGAGACTAGCTAACCGCCCGACAAGGAGTGTTGTTCACTTCGATCATCTGAGAAGATTTGCCATTGTTGGGCTTAGTACCTATCAGTTGGCGACCGTCAGCCATGAAACCTTCATCAGCATCCGTCTGCCCAACAATGATGCTTTTTTCGATCATCTGAGATGTCAATAAATTCATTGTCTTGGCAACCGGCGGTCGTGAGACGGTAAGACCATCATCAGAACTGACAAAGCGCTTATAGGGAATCCATCGCGCGTCCTCTGTTAGTTAGGTACTCATCTGCTCCGTAGTGTTCATCTTGGTTGGTTGGTTCTGCACGGTCCTCCTGCAAGAAAGCTCTCGTTGAAGCGCTCACCTACCTACCTAAGAAACAGGTGACGAAAGATGAGGGGGGGGTTTGGAAGCCAACTGATATTTCAAACACTTTGCTTGACCACTGGAGAACCAACATAACCATTACCATTACCACAGCACAGCGCGAAAGCTTTGTTGACAACTTTTTGTCGTTGTCACGATCATATTGAAGCAGCACGAGAGACGTTCAGGGCTCCTCGGGATCATCAAGCAACTCCGCGTTGACATGAAATGATAGACTGTTGGGACCGACGTGGCGTTTTCATACCAGCGCCAATGCCACGTAAACTGAACGCCGCCAACTACCATAGGTAGTTTGGTTGTTGCCAGAGAGGGTATCATCGATCAGTCTCAGTGTTGACAGTGCTGTTGGTGATAGGGAGCAGACCCCTGGGCTGCCGAGCATGAGAAACAACGATACCATCGGCTAAATCTCGTCAAAGGGAGAAATGGCGCCTAAGTACGATGTGGTTGATCACCCACCAGAGGTAGAAAGACAGCAGCAGAAAAAAGAAACACTGTATTGCATGTACCTCGCCTCCCACCAAGGGCACAGTTTTCACCTCGCAAAACATGGGAAGGATACTATCGTTAAATACGTTTACTCCGAAGAAATACCACCAAACACCCTCCGCTGAATCACAACCCTCACCTCCTCCTTCGGCTTCACCGGCCCCGGACCACCCACCATCTCCGGTACCGTCCATCCACCCCCCTCAGCAGGACTAATATCCCACAGCATCACCAGCGCCGCGCCAATAGCCATGAGCTCCTTCTCCGCAAACACCCTTCCTCTGCACATACTCGCCCCGGCGCCCCACGGCCTCAGCTTTCCGTACTTGGCGACCAATTTACCTGACGCGGGATCCATCTCGAGGAAGCGATCGGGGACGAACTTGTCTGGGTCAGGGTACAAGGACGGGTCCCGCTGGGAGAAGGAGTGGGGGACGGAGAGGAAGGTGCCTGGATAGAGCTTGTGGGCATGGTTGCCGTCTTGGACGGTAATGGGGCGTTTGACGAAGCGAGTTGACACTGCGCCGAATGCCAGGCGGAGGGTCTCTAGGATGATGGACTTTAGCAGTTGGCACTCGCGGGACAGGCCGGAAGTGTCAATTGCCGTGATTTCTTTTTTGTTGTGACGAGAGTCGGAGAGCGTGATGAACGGAGCAACTTCCTGGCGAAGGGTGTTTACCAGTCCTGGTGTGGAGTAGATGTATAAGATGAGCCAGAAGAGAACGGGTTGGGTGTTGGTGTTGCTTGCGAAGAGGACGAGCAACTCGGAGGCGGCACGCTCTTGGTAAGACCACTCGTTCCGTTCGAGGGCGGTGTTGCGCTCTAGGACAACGTCACTGACATCTGACATGTCAGCGCCGTCGTCAACCTTTTCTCCTCGCTGGAACTGGGTGACGCGGCGAGAAAAGGCTTCAACGCCGGCAAGCAGCCGCTTTCGAGCTTCTATACCTTCCTTCATGACCTTGAACGGAACCCATGTTGGCATGTTGATGAACAGCAACGGAACAACGTGGTCGAACTTCCAGATGTCTTCCAGGAGGTGCGGGTTACGATCCAGCAGGTCGTGTCCGAAGATGGGAGGGATGGTGAAGCAAGCGCCAAAGTCCATGATCAGGGCTGAGAGATTGGCCTCGACCGCGTCACCTTGTTGGATAACTTTGGTGTCGGCACGGAGTTCCCATCTCTTCATCTTCTCCTTTTCCTGGTTGAAACTGACGAATTCGGACACAATCTTGGGAAGGTTACCCCTCTCAAAGGCTGCAGTGGCACCGGCATCGTTGTTGAAGACTCTTTCAATCGGGGAGTGCCAGGGTTTGAACGTGCTTTCGACCTTCTTCCTCAAGGTCGGTGTATCGGGAAACCCGAAGAAACGGAGAAAGAGGCCATATCCATGCCACTCGATGCTGAGGGCGTGGTTCATTTGAGATGAGAAGAGGCGATCGACGTCTTCATACCCAATGAGAGTCTGATTGGCTGATGAGATGCCGTAGAATGAACCACCATATCGTCGGATTGCAGAGCTGAGTAACGCATGTTAGCTGATGTAATCGATCTCGAGAACAAAGTTGGCATACTAGACTCGATAAACGATGCCGTTGCGTGCTCCATCCAGCAAGTACATGACAAGCCCCATTTCAATGGGTCCCCAAGCTGGCAACTCCTTGCGCCTGGTGGACTCTTGTCGGAACAGGAGTCTGTACAGGATGAAGGCGATGGAAATGGCGAGTGTCGCCTTGGTCGCCGTGCTCAAGTCATGATAGACGGTAAGAGCATGCTGTACGATACTGTTCTCCACGGTCATGATGCTGTCAGGATTCTTCGTAGGCTGTGATCTTGATTGAAGGAGCCGAGAAGAAGTGCTGGTGAGCCACCCCCCGGCCCAGGTGTATCGGTTGTCGCCATCGTTGCGGAAGCATGCTATATTCTTCTTGGGGTATTCGTGCACAATAACAACAAGCAAACCTTGTTACGATTGTTGTTGTAGCTTGTAAGTAGTTGGGTAGGCGTTGTTGCCCTGGTCAAGCCACAGAAAAGGCCAATCATATCGAGAGTCAGAGACAAAGCGACATGAGATGAAAAGGACAATCACAACAGGTGTGGCTGGTGCGCTTGTTTGGGAACTGGTAAAGTCCCGCGCTTTGTCAGTCTTTTCGGACCCGGATCCGGGATCCTGTAACCGGAAGACGTTGGAAATCAACGGTAGCGGAGCCGGGCGCGATGCGAAAATAATGGAGATTGCATCGTGTCGCACGACAGTGGTGTAGTGGTGTCGTGTCTAACAGTGATGAGTGACACTTGTACCCATTTCTGTTAGTACTCAAGTGACTGTGTTACAAGACCGATTGGTCCCTGGCGATCATCATGAATGAACACATGGTTTGCTGTTCTGCCATGGCAGTATCAATGCGAAGACCGTTGAATGGGAGAAGGCAGAGCAGTTAGATGGAGAGAAGAAAGGAAGCAAGTACGTCGAAAGTGGACAGAAGCGAAAGGATGTGTGGAGGAGGGGTTCGAGAGAACAAGGGGAGATGGAGTTTATAAAATGACATCATCCATCTACCGAATCAGATTGTCTGTTCTCTATCACGACTTCCAATCGAAGAAGGCGCGCCAAACATCTTCCATTATTGGACCTGCCCGTTCCTGCTCAATGTCACACTCGGGGAAATTCCTCGTCATTAAGGGCTGTCCGACTTTGATGACAAGTGGTGACCACGGCAAATATGCCTTCAGCACTCCAACCCGGAGGCACGATATGGGCGATTGAAAGAACACTACTGTATGCGCAGTCAACAACACACTGAGAGGGAATTGTTTTCTGTCGGGTTCGGAGGATTGATCGGCAACTGGGCTACAGGTGGCTTCCCAGCCCAGCCATTCGCGGATTCAGCCATGTTTCCGTGACTAACCACAGACTTCAGCATCAAGCAAGAAACGAGTCAAAAATATCATCGGCAGATGCGAGATACCCTCCATCATGTACAATTACATCACCGGTTCCCAACCTCTACCATCACACGAGATACATGCATTCTCATGATAAACAGCATTGGTTTCTGAGATACCAGGGGCCTCTTTCTTCAAGATGAAGGACCCTTATAACTAGCCTTCACTCGCCTGTTATACTTGGGGTCTTCACACAAATCATCAACCATGGCTCCCCTACCGCTCCCACGCATACCCACTTCAGCAGCCGAGAAACTCAAAGACTTTGTTTTCAAACGGGTCGTACACTTAGCTCTCCAAGGAATCGAAGCCATCCACCCTACAAACACCTTCAGCCCCATCACCCGGCGGCAAGACGCACCGCCCACCGCCACAGTAACCTTCGTCCAAGTCGACAACGACAACGATAACGACCCTGATGACGCGCAAACCCTCAGCGGCGGCGCCATTGCCGGCATCGTCATCGGCTCTATCGTCGGCTTGCTTCTCCTCATCTGGATCATCCGCAGCTGCTTCAACCTGGGCGCTCCACCGACACACGGCAAGCGCAACAGCAAGGCTTGGTACGATGGCGTGAGGGATGAGTACCCGCCCAGACACGTGGGCGGGGTGAGACACTCACGGTCGAGGTCGAGGCATTCGCGTAGCCGTCATCGAGGTCATTCTAGGCATCGGAGCCATTCGAGGAGGTCGTCTTCGATGCGCGAGGTGCCGGTTGTGGTGGCCTACCCGACTCATGTGTATGATGATCGGAGGGGGAGGAGCAGTAGGAGGAGTCGGAGTCGCAGTGTTAGTGTTTCGAGGTATTAAGGGGAAGAATGGAAGTTATTCGGGAGTATGGGAATGAGAACTCAACCGGGATGAGAGAGCATTGCACCATGCGTAACGGATTGACGAGGCAACGAACTGATGACTGATTGGTACAAACGTATTCTTTCCTTTCAACCATATAATATTCGGACAGAATAACATATAATAAATAATGAACAAAACACACAAGATACACACCGGAAAAGGGAGTTGAATGTAATAAACCTAGATATCTCGGGTTGTTTTCTTTTGATAAATTCGCAAGCCACGATGTCTGTTATCATATGGTATGCTAAGTACTTGATGATATGCTATGCTACTTGTGTAAAGTTATGATTTGGTTACGGTTGTAATCTTTTGTTGAGGCAACAAAGCTGGTATCTTGGTTGAAGCCGGAACAGTCCTTCAATAAAATCAATACAGCGACTTTTCACTTAGACACTAATTGTTAGCAGGCGGCAGTGCGATATGTGAAAACACTAACAGCGTCACTGGTGCATGATGTACATGTACCTTTGATGCCGGCTTATCGGCTTATCGGCCGTCAAGGTTGCGTTCAGCCAGGAACAAACCCCGCCCTTCCGGCACCTTTTGGCAGGAAGCTCCACTCCGTGAGTCACTAACGCGGCAGGCGGTGTAAAATTATAGCGTGCGAGGGCAAGCATGCCACTTTCACGGTTCAGTTGCGATCGATGGCGTCCCGTCTCCTCCGCGACCGGTTCAGTTGTCACTTTGACATCCATCCACTGACTCTTTCCACTCAGCGAATCCCCTCCGTCCTGTTTCTGCTTCTGCCTTTTTTTGCTTGGACGTTGCAGTTCAGTTGTTCAGCATGGCTGCCCTCGACATCAGGCCGTCCCTGGAGGACGCGCGCAAGCTCTTCGACCAGACATGCCAAGCATCAGCGACCTCGACAGCATCCCCAAGGCCCACCCTTCTCCCTCTCTGCATCTCCCTGCCTGCCGATCTGTTGACGCCCTCGGCCATCTACCTCAAGCTCTCCGCAGGGTGCGTCTTCCTCCCAAACCCCTCTCTCCCTCGCCGTGTGTCCCGTTCCGAATAGCTCAATTGACTCACTCGGCTAGAGCGACAGCTGAATACTCGTTCCTCCTCGAGAGCGCCACTGGCAGCACCGAGACTGTCGGCCGCTACAGCTTCATTGGCGCCAACCCCCGAAAGGTCCTCGAGACCGGCCCCGGCTACCAAGATGTCGGCGATCCCATGAAGGCCCTTGAGCAGGAGCTCAGCCAGGACAAGGTCCTCAGCATCCCCTCCCTCCGACTCCCCAAGCTGACGGGCGGCGCTGTCGGCTACATCTCGTACGACTGCATCAAGTACTTCGAGCCCAGGACGGTCAAGGGCCGCGAACTCAAGGACAACCTACACATCCCCGAGGCCCTCTTCATGCTCTACGATACCATGGTAGCCTTCGACCACTTCTCCTCCGCCTTCACCGTCGTCACCCACGTCCGACTTCCCGAGGACCCCTCCGGCGACTTCGAGGCGGCCTACAACGCGGCTTGCGACAGCATTCGCTCGACACTCCAAGTGATCAACCAGCCAGAGACGCCGCTCCCGCCCAAGGACTCCAGCACTCCCGCCGCCGATCAGACATTTGCTTCCAACGTTGGACGCCACGGTTACGAGACCTTTGTGACGGAGCTCAAGAAGAACATTGTCAAGGGTGACATCATCCAGGCCGTTCCGTCCCAGCGCTTCTCTCGCAGCACCAGCCTGCACCCCTTCAACATCTACCGCACCTTGCGCACGCTCAACCCCTCGCCGTACCTCTTCTTCCTCTCGTGCTCCGACTTCCACATTGTAGGCGCCTCGCCCGAATGCTTGATGAAGACCGACGGATATGCCGACCTTCCTGCCGATACCCGTTTTGGCTATAGCGCTGCTGAGGCCCGCTCTCGTCCCAGGATCGTCAACCACGCCATTGCCGGTACCATCAAGCGTGGCCTCAACTCGGAGGAGGACGATGAGCTTGCGGCCGTGCTGCTGGCCTCAACCAAGGACCGCGCCGAGCACGTCATGTTGGTCGATCTGGCCCGCAACGATGTCAACCGTGTCTGCCACCCGTCTACCGTCAAGGTCGACCGCCTCATGCGCATCGACCGTTTCTCGCACGTCCAACATATCACCTCGGAGGTCTCCGGTCTGCTGCGCCCCGAGTGCACCCGTTGGGACGCTTTGCGCTCCATCTTCCCCGCCGGCACCGTGTCGGGCGCTCCCAAGATTCGTGCCATGGAGCTGATTTACGACTTGGAGAAGGAGAAGCGCGGCATCTACGCTGGCGCTGCCGGTTGGTTCGCCTATGATGTCATTCGCGTCGAAGGTGGTGAGGGTGATGCCCCTGTTACCACTTTCCTGAGCGAAGGACAGATGGATACCTGCATTGCTATCCGCACCATGCTGGTCAAGAATAAGGTTGCTTACCTGCAAGCGGGCGGTGGTATTGTCTTTGACAGTGAGAAGACGGAGGAGTGGATGGAGACCATGAACAAGTTGGCGGCCAACTTGCGCTGCATCGAACTGGCCGAGAAGTACTACGGCGAGAGTACGGGATCCAAGTCGGTGCAGGAAATTATTGAGGAGGAGAGGAAGAAGGGCGACGAGCAGTACAAGCTGCAGACTATGAGCGCTGGGGCGTAAGTGTGTAGTGTATTTGTGCGTGTTGAAGGCTGAGTTAAAACAGGATACCAGGTGAATCAATGTTTGAGCTGCAGGCTGAAGCCTTCCATGATGTGGTCTGGGTGAAACTCGGTGTCCTTGTCTGTCAAGTCCACTGTTCCGTCTTACGTCCCACCCTGTCGGCGATAACTGTCCCATGAGCATCGAGACACCCTCCCCTTCTCGGCCGCCGCCGACTTTTTTTCTCCGGCCCCTATTTTCCCGACTCGCTAAAGCGGACCGGCCAACGGCCTCCCCATGCTAACACTCCGCTTTCCGGGGTTTACACCGTAAGCGCCCGTTTTCCCGCCGCACCGGGACCAAGCCACGTTCAAAAGATAGTAAACGAGGCAGAGACATCGGGGACCTTTAACCCCCCCTATTAAGCGGCGGGTATTGCAACGATCAACTATAGTAGAAGATCTCTTTGTTTCTGTGATTAAAAAAAAAAAAAAAAGGTGTAAGGCTATTGGAACGGTGGCACTTTTCCCGGGTACTACAGGGGCAATCAACTCATACGCAACTAGTGGTGCCACCTTTTTTGTCAGGGCGAGCTTGTCACACGTGAGACCACATCACAGCCTGACATGGTGTACTGGCTCGGTGCCGCGACCGGGAATAGTGGGTCCCGGATCTGAAGGCGCCTTGAGCTGGTCACTCATTCCCGCTCGCGCCCTTGATTCTATTCCGTTGTCAAACTCCATCTTCTAGTATTCTCTTAACAAAATGCAGCTACTGCATGATAATATCTAAACCAAACCATCCCGCCATTTCTTTCACAACGTGGCCAGCCATTTGCCACCTTCTCTTCATTCTCGATTACCTAACCACATCCTCACCCTGCCACCCGTTGTCGCCATCATGGTCCGCACTCGAGCTCAGATAGATCAACCCTTGACAGGAAATCGACCCCAGGGCATCCGCAAAAGCGCACCTCAAAAGCTCCGTCGCCTCCGAGACCCAGACCCGACAGGCACGCCACATGAGCAAGCTCTATCAGATCAAGTGAAAGTCCCGTCATCTCCAACGGGTGGACCTCTAAAACGAAAGGTATGACAAACCTGTCCTCCTTGTCATCTGTTCGCTAATTACACTATAGAATCGACAAATATCCGTCGAACGCAAAAATCAGGAGCTGTTGCATGCCGTTGCAGATCCACTCAAGCATACTTCAGACGAACACTCTCGGAAACGCAGACGAACATCTCCTGACCAACAAGACCCTTCTAACCATTCTCTCCGTCCCGCAGGCAACTCTCCGCCCCTTTCTAAGCCTCTCGAGCCCCCAGCTTTGCCAAATCTGCCAGTATCGCCGGCTCTCGTCCCGGTTCCAGAAGAGGCTGCAAGTGGCGACACCGAGGAGAGGCAATACATAATCGATCACTAGAGGAGAGAAGGCTCTTGGCCCAAGAAATATTTCGAACAGGACGATTACACTAGGAAAGATTTTGATAAGCTAATGGACTCAACTACAAGGGTTCAAGCCCTTCTGTTCCCATGTTACGATCCAGTCGCAAGGCTTCGTTTCGCGGAAAGGGATGCCTCGGCATCTCTCAGCCGCAAGCGATCTGGATCTAACAGTTCCACATCAACTTCGATGCCGCCACCTTCTACAACGATGGCGTCCAGCGATTGGAGACCAAGAGAAGAGAAGAGCGCCCCGTACCGGAGTGTCCAATACGAGTCCGCACTCGAGGCTAATGGTTCATACATGAAGACGTCACCGTTTGGTATTACGGATGAGAGCAAGAACCTTTGCAGGACCCTCCTCAACACTGAACAACCAGCTCCTAAAGGCACACTCTTCGACGACGATGTCTTTGAGAGTACCTGCGAGAGTCTTGCGAACAAGAACGAGGCGACGGTTTTCCTAGATATTCTTCGGCTGATCGTTCCTTCGGCGGTGCATTACGCTCTTCGTGCCAAACACCTCGAACACCTCAATCACCTTACCGAAAGTGTGAATGAGGGCTGGAACAGATGTTTCCCCTTGACCGGCATTCGTCCTCAGCCCGATTACTCTGTTGGTTTCCAACGAGACGCCTTCACCCAAGACCAGATCGATAAACTCATGCCCTTTACTGGTGACATGGGATACCGGTCCCTTTTCAAGGCCACATACCACATGTACTTTCCGTTCCTCACCTGTGAGATGAAGTGCGGCGCTGCGGCACTCGATATCGCAGACCGCCAGAATGCCCACAGTATGACACTTGCGGTGCGAGCCATCGTCGAGCTCTTCCGTATTGTCAAGCGCGAAGATGAAGTTAACCGGCAAATTCTTGCCTTCTCCGTCTCGCACGACCACCAATCTGTACGGAACTACGGCCATTACCCGGTCATAACAGAAAAAGACACCAAATATTATCGGCACCCGATCCGCAAGTTTGACTTTACTGACTTGGACGGCAAGGAGAAGTGGACAGCGTACCGATTCATCAAGAACATCTACGATATATGGGTGCCCGATCATTTCAAGAGGATTTGCTCTGCCATTGACCAGTTGCTGGTGCCAGATTCCGGAAATTCATCGCCTTCTGAGGCAACTGGACTTTCGCAGAATTTGGGAAATCTGATGCAGTCAGAGCAGCCCATGGCCACTTCATCGCAGAACTTGGGAAATCCGATGCAGTCAGAGCAGCCCATAGCCACTCCACCGCATGACTTGAGAAATTTGGTGCAATCGGAACAGCCTACAGCCCCTCCATCGCAGGACGTGGGGAATCCGGTGCAGTCGGAGCAACCTACAGCCCCTCCATCGCAGGACGTGGGGAATCCGGTGCAGTCGGAGCAACCTACAGCCCCTCCATCGCAGGACGTGGGAAATACGCTGCAGTCGGAGCAACCTACAGCCCCTCCAGACACTTCACGTACAAGACCGAAGGCGGCAAAGAGGAGGAAGGGTCAAGTCAAGACGTGAATACGTAGGTAGCATTGTTTTGGATATCACACAAGCCGTCGTGACGTGATGGTCAGTTGGTGCGTGTCCCCCCCAATTATTCTCCTTCCCTTGAGTCCCTGAAGTCGCCCGTCTCTTCAAGTTCCATCTCGAATTTAAATTCCCGGAATGATTAATTGCTGGGAAGCTGCTTCTCTCCGGGCAGTTCAATTGCCACTGTCATTAGACATGAAAGCCATCATAGAACCGTAGACGACAGACAGCCCGAGAACGCTTCGTTCTTTGTAGCACCTAGGTACTTTTTCAACATACATGCCTGACCCATCCTTGTTGCCCGAGTCTAAGTAATCCAGGCCACTTCATTCTCCTAGAAGGCCCCGCTCGTCCAAGATAAATTACATACACGCAGGTAGTAGGTACGGTAGTAACGTAGACTGCGGCCGTGTCGGACCAAAGAAAGCACGATACCTTTTTTTTTTCCTTTTCTTTTTTTCTTTTTTTTTTTCCACGGGTCAGCGAGGGACAAGTTTAATGCCTAAACAGTCCTTAGAAGAACGCACCGACGCACGTCACATGATCTCATTTTCTCATTCGAGCTTTTTAAAAAGTTCATTTACTGCCAGACGAAAAGGCATTATTACCTATTAACAATCCCCCCCCCCTCCCACTCAGATAAATCAGGAATACCCATCGACTTCCTGGCTACCGACCGACTACCAACCAACAACTAGCAAGCATCATCCACCCACCCCCTTTGCGATCAACATCGGAGGGTCGACATCGCATATATTTTTGTATCTACTATATATGACTGAATGAAATCGAAGCTATAGTATAGCACTTAGCTAATTAGTTCTTGGAATTATGAAATTCTGTTGTTTTTGTCTGCCTTCGCTAGCAGATGCGATACCCTTATCGCTGATGTACTGCAACTTTTCCGGCCAAACAGATCTGATCCTGCGATAACGGCCCCGTGGTTAGGCTGTTTCCAGGCGACCTGGTCCTAAGGTACCTTGACGGGTTACTTATCGAGTGAATGGATTTTTGGGGGAGATTCAGAGATAACTAGTTGGGTATAACAGTAGGTAAACAATATGTCTTTGTTTACGTGCTATGTTTCAAGGTTTAATCCATCTCCGTATATAGTCCAATACTAGTTTGTTTATTCGTTCGAGACCTCTTGTCAATATTCCTATGCGTTCTTATAGCTAACTAATGCATAATCTTACCTTGGATACGCCATCCCTAATATTCAAAATGCCGGATTAAATCCAGCGAATGCCTTTCGATTCATTAGTATAGAGTTTAGGACTATTCGAAATAGATTTCGTCTAGTGCACTATGTATATTGTACTACCAGGAGTGTCTAGTGTACTAAGCTAACAAACAAACTAGTATCGGACTGTATATAGGATGTCCGAAGAAAGAAAATCTCCACCCCTCCGCCTGAGATGCCCTCTTTTTTTGCTTGCTCTGCAACCAACTGGCGAGATTTACCCAATATGCGGAACATACTTGGACCATGACGGCAGTAAATACGCCGAGTCGGACAAGTGAGCAAGATTGATAAAGGAAACAACCACGAGATAACCCCGCGCCAGGAAATATAGCGGTATAAAACAGCATGTGGCGATGTCAAAGACGAGCCGTAGAAGAAGAGGTAGAAACATCGCTGGTATAACAGCCGCGAAGAACACAAAAATTGGGAGACTGAACAGTGCAAGCACAGTGGCAATGATGCTCAGGTAGAGAACTCCTCGCCATGTCCGAGGCCAGTTGGACAGCAAATGCATAGCCCGGTATTCTGCCAGCATTCTGTCAGCCAGCGACCAACGCGAACTGCTATCCACCCATTCAAGGCTGAGGATATGAGCTATTGGCTTTAGGTATCTTTTCTCCAATAGGCTGACCATGAATGCGAGGACAAATCCGATAGAGGATATGTAGCGAAAAGGGGGATATCTTTGCCACGCTGATAAGGCCACCACAAAGATCCCGCTGGCGGCTATAACCATACTGGACAGCCTCCATAGGATTGTTTCTGCAACTGACGTGAACGGGGCGTTCCAAGCGAGACAATGAAGCGCGCCATAAATGAGGCTGACAAGTCCGAAGCCGAAGTAGAGTGATGTATACTGCTCGTAGTCTTCAAATCGCGGAAGATTCCGTGCCCTGTCAACGAGCAAATTTGAAGGTATGTCGAGAATGTTCTCATATGCCATTGCCAACTGCCATCTTCTCATGTCAGAGTGGCTGATATCAATGAAGGGCCGAGACACCAATGGAACTTGAGGCGGATTGGGCTGACACTTGACTGTGCCATGGTCGGGGAGCGAGACATCAGGCAACTTGTACGAAAGGAATTCCGGGACTGTGCCCATCTTCTTCTTTCCCGTCCCTTCTGGTTCCCGCCACTTAAAATCCCGATCGCGTAGAAGCACGTTGGCCCAAACATCGGAACGTTGCTCGTTTGAAATGATTCGCTCGGTAGCATCGCCGGACGTTGTTCGTACTAATTCCAGTAAAGCATCCGATTTCCGTATTATCACCAAGCATTTTGTTGGAGGAGCAAGTCTATAAAAGAGATATGTCAGTAGAGTGTTCCTTTAATACAATTGATGACGGATGTGTGGTTGGACTCTGGAGCAACCGTTGATGCTGTAGAGATTCAGAAAGACAGTTGCTAACTTGTCGAGTGGTGGGTAGTGGCAAGATGTTGTGTACGTACTTGCTCTTCTTTAACGCGTATTTTTGCATCAGTGGTGAATACACGAGACTGTGTATAAGATAGGGCTTTTGTTCGGACATTCCGTCAAGCTGATCGAAGTAATTTGGGTAAGCAGCATCGAGGTCTTCTGGGCATACCGCGATGTTCTTATTAATTGTGCAGCCGAAAGAAGCTGTTTGCTCAAGATACTTGTATTCCACGTCGAACACGAAGGCCTCCGGTTCTTCGTAAAGATTCGCGACTTCGCTCAACGTGTCATCAAGTTCGCTGTGGACACACATCGCCGCAAGAAGTTTAGAACCATTTATAAGGTCCTCGCCGGTCAAGCTTGCATCGAGGGATATCTTTTCCGGTTCACCGACATCGAGTGGTTTGTGCCACCACATAGCATAGATGAACAGGGTACATAGAGCGTGCCCAAGAGTATTGAGTTCCAATAAGCTTATTGAGAGCCCCTGGGCAAATCTGTTAACACACCCTATGCAGAACCATGATGCTGTTATGGGCAAAGTCAGTAACGTGACTTATTACCCACCATTGAAGTGTTGGACTCGATTGTAACTTACCTTGGAAACAAACCAGTGCTTTTGCTAATGTGCTCCCTTTGCTCTTGTCGTCAATGCTCTCTCTTGGCAGAACCGGTATCAAATCTTCCAATCCTTTGCTCTTCAAGAATCGCAGAGCTTCTGGAGTTTAAGGTAAGGCGAGTTCGCGGGGCCCCTGTCGCCTTCTTCGGCAGGAAGTTCTTGACTCGTCGTTGGTTGGCGTTTCCGATCTCGTTGATCTCAATCGCAAAGCCCCCCATGACAGCAAGAAATCCATGAGCAATAGTCCATTTGGGAACACCGACTGCCTGTGCGGAGCGTCAGATGCGACTTATGACTTCTAGTGTTCTCCGTCGTAGTTACCTCATCTTCAATGCTGTCCGAGGATGTGAATAGAGATGTGACGAAGCGCCAGGGACCTCTATTTCGAGCTCGACAACGGTAACCGACGTGGTCGGAAGGATTGTTCGCGGAATTCATAGCCTGAGAGATTGCTCGGGCCTGATAGTGTTGTTGATAAGCTGTATATGCAATCTGCGCACCGCTACCTAGTCAGTTGAGTGCTCACGACAGTGTTCGAAGGACAGGATAAGAGCTCGAGTTGATCAACTCACCGCTTCCGGACTCAAGAGACCCATCAACATCCACCCGGCCTTTCGGACCAGCTGTTTTACCCATCCTTCCTTGTGTTCAGGGACATTGAGGTGAATTGCTGTCCACACGCACAGACCCAGCGTAACAAGACATGTTGAAAGAATGTTGAAAGTGCCACGACGGTCGGGCTCTGGGACCCAGTTCGGATCATTGGACCCAGTAAAGTTGTGGCCAAAGAGGTCTGCCATCCCGAGACAGCGAGTTCGGTTAGTTGAGTCGAGGACTGAAATGGATCCTTGAGTGTTGATGGCCAGAAAACAACGAGGTATTGAAGTTGGTAGGTTGACAGTTGGGCAAGCTTGACACTTTGACGTCGCACCATCCGACTTCAGCGACCGACGATGATAACAAGAGCAAGTCGTGTATACGGTAGAGTGAGTGTGCTGTGAAGAAAGGAGGAGATGCTGGCGAGAAGTCTGAAGGGAAGGGGCAAGGCAGACATGCCAAGATGGCAAAAAAGACGCGTTGGATAACACAGAGACCTAGTTGAGGGTGTACATACGGGCCAACCCGGACGCATCCTGACATGTCTTCGGGGCTGAGCAAGGCATATTGGTGGTCATGTGTAACACGTCATTTCCAAAGACCAGGCTCGCGGAGCCTTGTCGTGAGTGATTGCCGATGATATGAATGGATGGATACATCTGGAGGATCGAGCAGATGCAGCCCTAGCAAGGTCAGCGGAATTGTCTCGGGCGATACAGATAGTATACTAACAATTTGCCTGTCAGTCAGTCTGCCTTGTGTCAGCCCGAGCCGGTCCGTCTTGGCCAATAGCAATGTAATTGAGAAGGAACGACTGTCTGGGATATCTACATGATAGGTGTGTGATTGTGGATATAGAAGGAGCATTGCGACATGACATCGAGCACCGATATTCCTGAGACCAACACGGGAGCTCCTTCCACCACGAGTTTGCAAGAGGCGGGATGGCATTTATCCGGTCCTCACCCGTCCACGGCAGTTGTGTTGAGTTTATCCCATAATGGCAAGCGGGGAAACCAGAAGGAAACTGAACCAATGCATCTTCGACCGCCGGTGAGAATGGAATCAACATGATCGTTAGCCATCGCGCCGCGGGAATTGCCTTCATTGCAGTCATTCTTATCATTCAATCCTTCCGGTTGCATGGTGCCCAAGTAATTCGACATGTTGGCGATCAACTTTCCAGCAAAGTTTCATCAGATGTCCTGAACACCACTTTGGGAGTATGTACGCATCTCTTTTCTCCAGTCTCGATCCTCACCCAGATATAACACTGACACTGAACGACTGCCAGTTCCAAGAGATCGTCGTCATCAACCTCCCCGAGCGAACCGACCGTCGCGATGCCATGACCCTCGCCGCTGCCCTTACCAACCTCCAAATCACATGGGCCAAAGGCGTCCCCGGGACTGACGTTCCAGACAAAGTCATACCAGGTGAAGACTGGGAAAAGTCCATCTTGCGCGGCAACAAGGGCTCATGGCGCGCGCACATGAACGTTCTCAACACCATCATTGACCACAACCTCACCAGCGCCCTGATCCTCGAAGACGACGCAGACTGGGATATTCGTCTCAAGTCCCAACTGCAAGTCTTTGCTCGAGCAGCTCAGCCCTTCACCCTGAACACTCATCAAGCCGCCACAGTGACAGACCCAGACAAGATCGTAAACCTTCCCATCACCTCCATCCCCTCCCCTCCCAACCAATCTCTCTCATCACCCTACGGCAACAACTGGGACGTCCTCTGGCTAGGCCACTGCGGCACCAACTTTCCCACCTCCACCATTCTGACCACCCCTCCAACCAACACCTCCCTGCTTCGCGTAACTATTCTCAACGACCCCACCGTTCCCAACCCACAATACCTTAAAGCGCACCCCTTCGCGCTGCCGGACCAACTCGCCGAGCTCTACCCGCCTCACACGCGTGTCGTGCACCTCTCCAGCGGGACCATCTGCACGCAAGCATACGCCGTCAGCCAGCAAGGAGCGAGGAAGCTATTGTGGCGGTTTGGTGTTCAGGAGGCGTTGACGAAGGGTTGGGACTTGTTCTTGGGGGAGTGGTGTGATGGTTTGTTTGTCGAGCAGGGCAGAGACACAGCGCCAGTTTGTGTGACGGTGCAGCCCCCGTTGTTCAGTCACCACTTTGGGAAAGGGGCGGCATCGGATATCACGGCGCCTGGGGGAGGGTTTGTGGATACGGAGAAAGAGATGACGCCGTATGTGAGGTGGAGTGTGAGGTTGAATATAGGGCGGTGGGTGGAGGGTGGGGAGGTGAGGGATCAGTGGCCTGATGAGTGATGACACATGATGGTGATGTGGTCATGTGGGTGGCAAGAGGTAAGACAGGTATGTAAAGACAACTTGAAAGTTGAAGCTTGAAGGATTTCCCAGAAAAAGCATATATTTCAACACATGAACTGAAATGAGCTGCTAGCAGATACTTCTCATCACAAATGCGCATCTAAGAGTCATTCATCAAGTTCATTTGAAATTATTACTCATTGCACAAAAAAAGACACGAGGTATCCCAAGAAATCCCCCACCGTTTGAACTCCATCCTTAAATGCTGATTTGCGAAGAAAGCGTCAAAGTGACAGGCGAACCGGACAGCGTAGTCCAGTAAATCTTGGGCTCGTTGCCCAGAGCATCAACAGTAGCCGATCCAGACGCGGAAGCGGGCACAGTGACGGGGATAGGGACAGAGCACTGGTTGTTGGTGGCAGTAACAGTCACGCTGACGATCTTGGTGCCGTCAGCAGAGTAGTTATACTGCATGTTGGGGTTGCATTTGCTGTTTTCCATGTCAGTATTTACATTCAGCACACCAAAATGAAATGAATCGGTGAAGAAAACTTACTCAAGCGTCATGCGATCAACAAACAGACGGCCGATATCATCATGCTTCAGCGAAACAATAGGCCAGTTGGTAAGACGGACCATCTCCTGCGTGATAGTCTCCACCCAGATCTGAAGCAGCGAGAGCTTGCCGCTGACAGACCCAACAGTGATCTGGTCAACATCGCCACTGCGCAAGTTGGCCTGGTGGAACATGTACGGATCAGGATGGAGACCCAACAAGTACCGAACATTCACGCGGCGGGCATCATCAAGCAGGTTGCTAAAGGGCGCCGCGCCAGCCGAGGTATCGATCCACTCCTGCAGCGTGCATTCCTGCGTGTCGCAGTTATAGTAAATAGTCGTAGCCCAGCGCGGGATGATGACCAGACCATCATACCCGTTGGTCGCGACGTTGGTTATGGCCGGCCAGAACGAGTTCTCGGGGTTCCGCAGAATGGGGCGCGTGTTGTCGCCGACGACGTAGCGGATGCCGTTATCAAGAAAGGCCTTGATGGCGTCACCGTTGAGCAAGCCCGTGATGGCGGGCGGGATCAGGCCAAGCGGGGAGAACATGGAGGAGGCGCCGAAGCCGATCTGGTTGAGCCAGGCTTGGTTGAAGTAGATCTCCTTGTTGGCGTCGCTGTAGGTGGCGTTGTTGAGCTCCTCGTGCGTGAAGGTGTGAGACACAGAGGCGAAGGTGTTGATGTGGTTGAAGAACCACGTGGTGATGTCGTCGAGGAGCGCGCACTGCAGCGACCAGGTGTAGTTCACGTAGGTGGATTTCCAGAGGGTGAGACCGGTGCCGAGCGGCTTCTTGAAGTCCAGGGGCGTGTCGGGGGGAGACTCGTAGTCGACGGCCTCGGAGGGGTTGCACATGGTGTCGCTGGTGGCTTTGGGGAGGCCCTCGATAAAGTCACCGTTGCCGTTGTGGCCCATTTCGATAAAGTAGTGGGAGCCGGCGGGCAGACGGGTGTTGATGTTGCTTTGCCAGGTGGCGTGGGTCTCGAGATCCGAGATGCGGATGCGGAAGTTGTTGCCGGCCGGGTGGTAGATCTCGGTCTCCAAGCCCATGTCGTCGACCTGGGTGGACAGGTGGATCTTGCGCTTGCCGACGAAGAGACCGCGGGTCATCCAGTGGATGAAGCCGTGCTGGAGGTAGTTGGAGGCCAAGGCCCAGTCGGTGGCCCATGAGGTGAACCAGACCATCTGCTGGCGAGTGCCAAAGGTGTTGATGATGGCCGCGACGCTGGTGGTGGAAAAGGTGCCATCGGAAGAAGGAGCAAACGTGGCAATGGGCTTGGCGATGGTCGAGTTGACGATCTTGGCCGGGTAGTGCCAGAGACCCTGGGTGCTCACGCCGGCGCCGGTCTTGACGTTGGCGGTAGGGAAGTCGGAGACGTCCGAGAAGGAGATGAGCTGCTCGACGCCCGTGTTGCAGCAGCCGGCACCGGCAACAGCCAGGTCGACGCCCAAGTCCGTGCTGGGGAAGACGTCGAGGCGGACCAGGCGAACACCAAAGTTGGTCTGGTAGCTGTAGATGGTCTCCCATTGCGCGGCCGTGATGGCGGAGCGCCAGCCGTCGCTGTACTGGTACGAGAGCTCGCTGACGACGATGATGCCGCCGTAGTTGCCTTGGTCGGTGCCCGTGGTCAGGGCGGGGAGGGTGATGCCGGCCTGGGGCACCAGCACGATCTGGTAAGGGATGCCATAGCCCTGCAGGCCTTCGGCAGCGGAAGTACCCGAGTAGGTGTCGCGGGCGAGGATGAGGATGGTGTTGGTGAGCGACTTGGCGGCCAAGGCGAGGGTGAAGTGCAGGGCCACCAAGAGGCAGCTCCAAGCTGCGCTCCTAGAGAAGGAGAACATTGCGGACAGAGGTTGTTGTTGTTTGCTGCACGTGCAATGCAAAAACAAGTGTTCACAAAGTTTAAGCAGTGTAGCCGTAACCCACGACTCAGTCCTACAAGATAGCCGGACTGGAGGATGTGCGTGGGATAAACTGTGTGCTCTAGGGAGGGAAAGCACAACAGGTGAAAGAAAACGAGTGGAAGGACGGCGGTGATGCTTGTGAGAGTCTCACTTCATGGAAGAAGGAAGCGGGAATGAGACACACAATATAGTTGGACAGACAGAACCACAACAGCAACAACAAAGTTTGTAACTTTGTATATCCTTGTGTGTGTGGATGTATGTGTGTCTGACTTGAATCTTTGATGGTGTGTATTCGTATAGGGATGGAGAAGACGTCCAGAATGAGCCCACTCACACACACACGAGCCTTGCTTACACTCTCTTCTGGCTCACGAATATTGGCATTATCACACCCGTTCGGGCATGGCGAGAATGGGCTGGGCATGGCAGCATGGTGCTAGCATGGCGGCAAGCAAGCAAGCAGGCTACCATGTCGTTGGGTCGGGTTCACTATCGGAGATAGATCCATGTTCCTGAATAGAATAGGGATATCCGAATGGTCTGACGATACCATGCAGCCTCTGGGGCCCCGATGCTAGAGTGCCAATGCGAAGTGAGAGCCGAGACGCCGAGTTGTTGGAAGAAGAGAGATGAAGGAGACAGCGCTTTGAAGCAGTCAGCCTTCAATTTTCAGCTCGATCCGGTAAGCATTATTGAACGGAGTGCTTCCTACTAGTTGCCGCGTGGATCACAACAGGTTCGGCCTTGTCTCGATCTGGAAGATACAAACGAGCTGAAATCTCGTGGGAAGCTAGTTGGAGTGTTTGAGGAGTCCGAGAAAAAAAAAAAAAAAGATCCAAGTCGTGTGTCTCATGCAAGCAATCTTTCGGGGGGGGGGGGGGGGGGGGCTGAGAAACGTGCCCAGGAACTAACTCGGAACGCCAATGTTGAATTCCCCAAACATGCCATGCGAAGGTTGGGTCTGGGGGAGGACCTAGTGCTATGCTACTGCTTGGATCAAAGAGAGAGAGAGAAAAATAGCGAAATCGAGATGGGGCTCCCGGAGGGGGGCGCGGCGTCGAGTGGGCGTCAACGTGGACATGCAGCTGGATGGCGTTGAGGGGAACAACCACCAAGCCAGGGGAAGTATCCAGTTAGTTGATCCAGGGGGGGGAAATACGGGCTGCGATGGTAGCAATGGGCGTGCGTGGCTTGCCTTGGTGCCCTGGCATGTTACACAGAGAGGAGAGGCGTTGAGGGGTTCACAGTTGAGAGAGGGCTTCACTTCAATCGATGTCGAGGCCAACGGCTCTCGTTGCTTTTCGTGATTCGCCTCGCCATCTTTTTTGTGAATTGATCAATAATTGTATGTAACATATTGCTCGCCTACAGCGGGGGCAGGCAAAATACGATATGTAGAGGCACGGGGGGCAGGCAGAAGATGTTGGGGTAATTGGGCGCAAGTCAGACGATCGGAGACAAGCATAGCGTGATCTGGACGTCCATCTGGAAGCGGCCAGATCCGCGGAGAAGGATCATGGGTGTGAAATATGATGGACGGTAGAACGAAGGAATGAATCTGAATTCTTCAGTGTTGTTGTTGTTGAAGCCAAAACATGAACATGGAGGAGATTTCTTGTGGTGGTGATGTTTCCATGACGGGCGGGAGTTAGTTTAGTCTGATACTTGCAAACACCGGATGTTTCTTGAGCGGTTCAGCGGACTTCCCTGCTGCGACTGGCGGGCAATTGTAGAGAAGCTTTCCTGACGCTGTTTCACACAGTGTTTGTTTTCGTGATAAACAGCACGGTGTCGAGGTTACACTGCACTATCCTCTTATAGCAGCGAATCCATGACAGGCTGGCAGCGCCTAACCAGGCAAAGCTCACAAAGCCAGAAACAGCGATGGAATGCCAAGACGCAGGGGGGGGGGGGGGGGGGGGCCCAGCTGCACTAGAAAATGCAAGAGGAGACTGCACTGCATGGAACAAAGTGTCCAGACTGCATGAGCAGAGACTGCACAGGCAACGACCGGGACTGGCCTGGCCTGGACTTTAGCGGAGTGGTCCCCTGTCATCAATCAATCAGTCGGTGTCTGTGCACTCCTCGCTTCCATCTTGCTCGGTTCGAGGTCGCTCAGTCATTCTTTTACTTCTTACAATTACACTCCCATCACTCTCCTCTTCTCCACCTCGTCAACCGCAGCCAAGACAACCTCAACTGCCCGGTAGGTATTGGTGGGCTGAATGGGGACAATTTATTTCCAAGACCAAGACTCCAAGAAAGAATGTCAAGACAGACGGCCAACAGTACCTCTACTGTCAAGATGGAGAAAGCGGCTTTGAACGGGTGACGGATGAATTGACCGGTCTTTGTCCTCGCCGTTTCCATCACCACCAACGGGCAACACTGCCGCTTTTCTCTGCATCACACAAATTGCTCAAGTCCCGTCTTCCAGTGCCTTTGACACACATTTTGCTGTTGCACTGGGCAGTGGCAGTGACTGAGGTGACAGTGACCAAGCAACTAGACTAGACAAGGCAGATGAGCTCTCGGCTTTGAGACAAGCCTCGACAAGCTGCGCCGACAACCAAACAAACCCGTAGGCGCCAGACTGGAGGTCGTCCCAGAGTGGACGAGACTTGTGTGTTCCGCCTCGTCGACAAACCAGTGGTTGTGCCGTCCTTTGATTACCACCGGCGTCGAGTCACCACCGCTTTGGACTGTCACCGACATACATACCCACTGTTCCAGCCCCTTCCTGTCCTCGTTGTTGTCGTCGTCGTCGTCGTCGTCTTCCATATCCTTGGTGTTTGTTAAGTTGTTCATGGTGTTGGCGACGGTTACACAGCAGCACGACACCACCGCCGGATCCGCATTTTTCAGGTCAATCCTTACCCTTCTTTGCCCTCTCCGCTCCCCATTTACTTCGTATCCATCTTGATACCCTGCGCGCCTGTCCTTTCCGCATCACTTATACCTACTCTACTACTACACTGCATACCATCCGATCTGGCTGCATAGCGCATACCGTACGCAACTTACTTACCGTCCACTCACCTTCCCTCCTCGGTCAACAATCCCGAACAATGGCGGACACGCCCAAGTCCGGCCAGTCGGAGGAGCACCAGGCAAAGCCCGTCGTCGACGAGGCCGGCCTCAAATCGGCGGGAACTACCCCACCCCGGCGCCGATCCCGCAAGATCCTCTACATCGCCATCGCCGCCGCCGTCGTCGTCGTCCTCGGTCTCGCCCTCGGCCTCGGCCTAGGTCTCGGTCTCAAGGACCACGGCGGCCGCGACGAAAACGAGCCCTCCACCCCGAGTCCCTCCGAACCACCCGTCACCCCCAACGGCACAGTCTGGCAACCCCCCGTCGGCGCCAAATGGCAAATCATCCTCAACTCGGTCCTCGACGTGCCCTCCGCCAACGCCAAGACGTCACCGGCTTTAAGTCCTGACGTGCCCGTCTGGGACTTTGACATGTTTCTCCACCGCAACACCACCGTCATCGCCAACCTGCACTCCCTCGGCAAGCGCGCCATCTGCTACTTCTCCGCCGGCTCCTACGAGCCCTACACGCCCGACAACACGTCCTTCGTCGCCGCCGACCTGGGAAAAACCATGGACGGCTGGCCCGACGAGAAGTGGCTCGACATCCGCCGCACCTCGGTCCGCAACATCATGCTCAAGCGCCTCGACATCGCAGCCGCCATGAAATGCGACGCCGTCGACCCGGACAACGTGGACGGTTACCAAAACGCCAACGGCCTGGGCCTGACCAAGCAAGACACGATTGACTTTGTTCGGTTCCTAGGCAAGGAGGCCTCCAAGCGCGGATTGGCCATGGGTCTGAAAAACGCTGGCGAGGTCATTGAGGATGTCCTGGACGTGGTGCAGTTTTCGGTCAATGAGCAGTGCGCGCAGTATAACGAGTGTGATACCTTTGAAAAGTTCACGGCGGCGGGTAAGCCGGTGTTTCATATCGAGTACCCTAGTGGTGCGCCAAAGTCGGTCAAGACGCAGGATAGCAGGAAGCTGTGCGGCGCGACGGGCGCGGATAAGTTCAGTACTGTGTTGAAGGGCATGGATCTGGATGCGTGGGTGGAGTACTGCGATGGAAACGTGGCGGAGACCAAAGTTGCGAATACCTCCTCTGATGATGGAGATGATGGGTCGGATGATGAGTGATGGATTAATGATGTCTTCTTGGTGAGATGAATCGTTGCATGAACTGCTTGCCTTACCTTGTTACATTTACTATCTACTTGTATGGTACTGGGATTTCCCATGGAGTGGTGGGCCTTTGCATCGGGAAAAAAAAAAAAGGACCGTCGCACTAGAAGTTGTGTGTTCTCGCTTCATTTTCAGCTGTCGTTATTGTTATTTGTTGTTGGTGGCATTTATGCATGCTGTACCTCATGTTTGCTTAGTATAGTTCGTTATCACGATTATCACATGTGGTGTTGTCGTGGTGTTGTTGATCAATGATCACCATATCACACACACCTTGCCCACGAGGAGGCGGCGCGGCCCAGCACCCGACCGACCATCACAGCGCACATCACACCCAGCACAGCCAGCGCAGCCCACTGATGAGCCCGGCGTGGCCCAACAAGGCCAGCGAAAGCTGAAAACCCCGTATTTGTATGTAGGTACGTAGCATGGTAGCAAAAAGGCGCAGATCATCACCACACATTCCTCCGTGGCCGTGGTACGACTGCTGCTATTCCGAAATCCTATCTAATCACGACGTCCGGTCGTCGGAAATCTTTTTTTTTTTTTTTTTGTTTAAAAGTTGCATGGGAATTTGGCAACACCAACGAGATTTCTTCCATGTTATTCTTCAGCTCTTTCGGTTTTCTGCATCTTTGACAGCGTAGCATCTCATCAATTTTGTTCCTTGCCGACACTTACCGTCCGTACCTACCTTTACTATCCTGCCTTCGGGCACGTACCGGACCTACCTCCGCAACTCCGTTCCTCCGCTCCGTCCTGTATTGGGTGCATCGCCGGTACCTCTCTCTACCAACAACCTCACTACCTTCACACCAATCACTACCACCACTCACCTTTCTGGCCCACCACACCACCCATACCTCCTCACCAATACGAACTACCAAAACACCCAAGACAAAATGTCCACAATCCTCATACCCCTCTACATCTACCCCTCCTTCTCGTCCTCGCACGAGTCCTCCGGCTGGGCCCCGCTCTTCCGCGCCCTCACCACGGCCCTCACCAAGAACCCGTCATTGGAGTTTCTGGTGGTTATCAACCCCGGCAACGGACCGGGACCCGACTACCCCATCCCCAACGCCGATTACCGCGCGGCTCTATCCAAGCTTTCCGACACCACACAATATCCCAATGTGAAGGTTATTGGGTACGTGCATTGTAGTTATGGGCAGCGGGAGGTGGAGGAGGTGGAGAGGGATGTGAAGGCGTATTTGGGGTGGTTGGAGTTTGCGGAGCGGGGGGAGTGGGTGAGTTGACTTTCTTTCCTGTTTTCATTTTTGTGTTTTTGCAGTGGTTTGTCTCTCGTTTCTGTTTTTTTTTTTTTTTTTTTTTTTTTTTTTTTTTTTTTTTTTTTTTTTTTGCCTTCGATTGGCGGTGTTGTCGATTCAATCTGGGGCCCGAAAAATGTTGGGCGCTTGGGTTCCAAGTTTGAACTGGACTAAAACTTAAGCTGGTCGGGACCATCGAGATCGAGATGCGATAACTGGCATTGTCAACCCCATCACATGACTTCACCAGCATCGTCATCAGGAGGATCACCGACATTGCATCGCATCGCATTGCCCATCACTAGCAATCACCCGCCGGTGAACACGGGTTTATGGCAACATTGCACCATTACCTCCGAGTCTCCGATCCAGCAGCCCGGCAAGGACATCTCTTACGACGCCCGCCGAGCCGCCGATCACGGTTACCAGTGGCTCTTAAAGATCGCCGGCGCTTGGACACCACCTTGTCCGCACCTTCGGGTTGTCCGCACCTTCGGGTTGTCCGCACCGTGTCCCCGGCCGGCCGGAGTCCGGGACACGCACCTGAGCCTGGAACTGTCATCATTAGCGGCACCGGGGACGACCTTGGTTCTTGTGCGCTCGGCCGTTTGGACCCTTCTTGGCTTGATTTCAGTGTTTGACTCAGTGGAGCATCTCCGCCGACAACAACCCGCTGCCGATCCGCTCGCCGAGAACAACCAATTCTCCGGTCCTAGGTTACTACGCCGAGGGTCGGATGAACACCCGAACCGTGCGGTGCAGTGCCAGCGATTATGCTTGTCCAAATGTTTCAGAAGAAACAAGTCTGGACTCTTGCTTCCCTACGGCGAAAAACACAAACTGGGAAGAGGCGTCCCAACGGGAAATTAGACTTCGTCACTTCTGACGGGTCGGACAGTTTGGCTCGCCCCGAAACACGCACACAGGCAAATTCCCAGTTCAATCAGCCTAGTTTGAAACAGAAATGGCAGTGCAAGCAGGGTTCCTTGGACACACTTCGGACGATAGCTCGAGCGTCTGAGTGTCTCCAACTGTTGTGTCTACATCCCTCCTGTTCATCCTTTCCTCCCTGTTTCGTTGCTTTCTGGGGGGGAAAAGCTTCTTTGCTTTCTTAGGAAAAGCTTGGCCTCCACTCAGTTTCCGAATGGGGCCTCCTCCACTGGGATGTCAAAAGATCCGGAGCTATCGACCGAAGCTCAGCTGGAATTGCTTCTGGAGCTTGCTGAGAGACCCCACTCCATTTTCGCCTCGGGAAGAAGAAAAATCGAGACTTCAGCTGCCATTGCTTTGTTCCGAGGCAAAAGAGCCCTTGAACCTTGTTCTACATTTCTGGAGACTCTAGCACACTGGTGTTTCTCCCGAATTTCGGGCCTTGTGTGGAGGAGTCCTCATGCTCACGGACCTCAAGGTTGGCGGTCAATGTCTGAGCGAAAAGCAACCGAGATTTCGGATTTCCCAAACTTGCTTTTTCCGTCTGTTTTTTTGGCGAGTCCGCTCCGCTCCAACCCGGCTCGGTTCCAACCCGGCTCGGTCCCAGCCCGGGCCCGGCCCCACGGGGATCTTGGCGGGGAGGATCTCAATTTACCCTTGTTTTTTTTCAAGGGGTCCCTGTCCTTGTTTGCTGGCAAGCAGACTGGGATAAGGAGCCTCAAGGACCCTGTCTTGGCGATCGATACGAGACGTCGTGCAGTGCACGGCCCACTCTTGCGTTTCGTCCCACTTCCCGCTTTGTGTATCAGTCGTACCAAAGTTACCATACGTACCACTTGTAACGACTTGTAACTGACTTTCACCTCGTGAAACAAACAGGCGATCCGCTTGGACGGCATCTTTGTCGACGAAGTCCCAATAGACGCCCAGTATCTCGACTACCTCCAGCGCATCACGGACAGTGTACGGTCCGGCTTTGCTGAGGTTGCATCTCGCCGGAGCCATTGTGATAATATTAATAGCAGCGACAACACTTCCTTGTCAGCACCATCGTCATCGACAACATCCTCGACAACCGGACTGGGCATCGTGATCCACAACCCAGGCATCTTCCCCTCGGCCGACTCCTCTGACGCCTTCTTCTCTCCTCGCCTGGTGGATTACGTGGTGGTGTTTGAGAACTGCCTCGCCGCCTGGTGGGACTCGGGTGACTATGTCAACGCTAACCTCGCTCTCTTGACGCCCGAGAAGCGGGCCAAAGCGATAGCTGTTGCTCACACCTGCGGCTGTGGTCCAAAAAGCCAAGCAGGTGGTAGCAGTGGCGGCCGCCCCCAGCAGCCAGATTCAGGAGGTCACCATGCCGCCGACGCAGAGAAGACCGAAGGCAGTGAAAAAGAGGCCATCAAGAAGAATGTGCAGAACTTCTTGGACGAGGTGGTCACACAGCATAAACTTGCCGGACACTTTGCCACGTCTGCTACTGACTATGCGACGTGGTGCTCGGGTTGGGAAGGTTATGTGGAGGTGGCGTGTGACTTGGGCGGCAGCAACACGTTGACGGGCGAGGCCAGTGAGGAAGGGCTCCATGGCTGAATCGGGGTTGTTTGTTGTATGTGCCTCCCGCAAGTAGATAGACGAGATGGGAGCAGTGGTGGTATAACCGGAATAGACAGGTATAGAATCTCCAAAAGAGGCACTATCTGGATGCCCTTGGAGCGAATCTCGGCACGCCGCTGGGCCTCACCGTATTCACCAAAACAATGAAGTGATGGTGGTGGGACTGAGGTAGAATGTTCATCCGGGCTTGTTGGCGATGATTATTCTTTCAGGGCGGAGATTTTCCTTCACTCGTCTCATTTTCCTCGTCAGCATGTGTCAATCTGTCAGATTCAAGACAGCACGCCCCGCCGGTATGTCTGTACGATGTGCGCATACTTGACAGCTCGTAAACCGGGTAAACTGAGCCGGCTGAACCGTCTTTCTGGTGCTTGGTATTGGCGGCCGGTTTGTGCAAATGAACCACTGGCCGTACAACAAACAACTACCGGCGTGCAGGAAGCACACCTGCTGGCGACACTATATTGAGAAACATAGGTGGTGAGATCTTGGCGTGAGCAGGATGTTCTGACACACCGCAAAATGGCAAATTGGCACAATGGCATAAGGTACGTTGCAAACTGTGGTGCAGCACATATTCATGCCTACCTCTCCGTAAGCCGTATTGATACAGCCCCGCGACAGGCCACCAACAGGCCGTTGGTGAGATGGGTTTGGTGCAATTTGGCGCATTTGGCACACCGATCGCATGTGTGGCTTTGGGGGCGCGTTACACGGCATCTACCCCGTATGGGGTACGTCGCAACATGCCTGTTTTCGGTCAAGGACCAAAAAAAGAAATGTTCACGAACATTTCCGTTTTCCGATGCAAAAACTTGGATATGGCGTTGTCCGCTTGCCAAAATGGCGAAGTCGAGGTGAAATCGTGGTGTCCCTGTGGTGAGTCCTGGTGGTTCTGTGGCTGGCTGAACGGCGCGCTCACCCGATGCATACACACCTACGAACGCCCAACCTCAGGCTGTAACGCAGGGAGTCAGACTGGATTGACAGGGGCCATTGAGGCACCCGACGTGAAGGGAGGGCACACTGGGCAATGAGAGACCTCCATCTCATCAGCCACCTCCGTGATGGTCGACCACACGGGCAGCACCCAACCCAGCTTCCACCAGTGTCCGTGTCTCGGGAAGTCGGTGTGGCTGTGGCCAACGTGGAATGAATGTGTGCCTGGTGCCCTTTTCTGCCCTTGCGTGCCCTGGGTTGTGGTGCCTGGTGTGGTGTGGGCGTTGCCGGCCCGCTCCCGTGTTGCCTTTACCACGACTTGTTGTGGCCAGCTGAACTCCAAGAGCCTCTGTTCAACACCTCGACGACATCGTTTTCACATCAGTCAGCAGCCAGAGCTGCGCGTGGACGTCGGCTGTCGCGATCATGGCCGTCGTACAGAAAAGTCTTTACGAGCCTCGTTTCTGCTGTGACACGTTGGACAAAACCCGAGAGCCCAGAAAACCCGATGGTGACAACAGAGCCGGAACTTGAGCAATTGCCCTTCTGTGACTCCATGACGAGCTGTGTCTGCACAAACCGAACGAGTCTGCGATCTAGAAGTGACCAGACCGCAGAAAAATCTCGAGGACGCGTGGGATTTGTGCGATTTAGTGCAGACGAGCGCTGTGAATGGTGAATGGAATGCCCTGTAAGCTGGCCCTGTTCTGTACCAAAAGGTGCTGTACATATGCTCGCCCGACTGCAGCATGCGGTGCCCGTCCCAATTGTAGCGCCCCAATCCCGATGCACACATCAACCCACGCCGCCGACGCTGCCAGGTGGTTGGCCTTCAGCCCTGCCCGAAAAGTCCAACTCATGACGGCCGCCCATCACGTAATTGTATTGATATCTTGTGGTAGTGGGCTGGTACTGGGCGGCGAGGCTCCGCGTAGTCTTTTATTCCCGAATGTGGGCGTTGCTCCGTGGCCCTTGGCGTGAGCACTATCACCACCGGACCGCACCACCGCATCGACAACTAGCGAGACGGCATTGACAGACCCAATCTCACGGATGCACCCAGTTTGAGCTTTGGCATACCTACCCACTCGCCTCTTCTACACTACACATGTAGTGTATGTGCCTTCTTCATGCCGTCGGATTCACGCTGTCACGCTAGTTGGGGCTGAGAACACGGCTCGCTGAAGAATGTCTGGACCTTGGAGCCAGTGACTGCCCGGGGATGCTTGTTCGGAGGTGGCGAGTATCTAGACGGATTCTGGCTCGAGTCCGGCTGCTAGACTGGCTCGACTGGATCAATAGTCTGCTTCGATAGTCGGTGTCACCTACTGTACAGCTGAAGAGCTGAAAGCGTCGCGATGGTGGTAGGCACCGGGGAACATGAACAGTAGGACGGCCAAGAGGACAACAGACAGACCGGAGTACTTGCTAGGGCTTACTCGTTGAACTATTCCTGCCGCACCCCTGTTTGTACGCGAATAAGTGTGTGTTCCAGTAATGGAGTATTCTTCGGAGGAGTCGGTCTGGCAGAAGGCAGTGCAGGAGAAGGTTGGTTGGGGCCATGGTGGGATGACATTAGAACATAGATGGCGGCATCCCGCCTCGAGACGGAGTTTGGGGGTTTGAAAGTTCCTTCCTGTGAAAAGATTTGCCATAGCAGACGCCAGACACTCCGTCAGACAGACACACTTGCCCAACATGAAGTTCTCCTTGCCCATTGTTCTTGCTGCCTTTGCCCTGCAGTCCACCGCCCTCTTGGTGCCCATGGACGCTCTTTCCTCCAACTTGGGCGCTGGTCTTGCACCCGGAGCGGCCGAGATCCTTCCTCTCGAGGTTCGGGCAGGCAAGAGCAACTCCAGGGCCAACGGCAAGGGCAAGCAAAAGCACAAGCACGCCCACGGAGTGCGGCCCGACTTCCGCAAGCAGTGCAAGAGCTTGCCCTCGAACTGCCCGCCTTTCCTGAACAAGAAGGCCGTGAGTGCTTCCCCAACTTTGATTACCTGACGATACTACTTAAGTTACTTGCCCAGAGCGGAGTGTTGATACTTGGGTACTAACTCATTCCTGGACCAGATGTGCGAATGCAAGGCCGCCGCAACGGTCGCTTCCTACTTGGAATCCGAGAGAGGATGTCCAAAGCCGTCTCCAAAGGTACGTACTTGAGCCTCACGACAATCATCCTGGGGTCTGGCCCAATGTTGGATCTCGAGTGAAACTAAACTAACCATGATGGGTTAGGCGTGCTGATTTTGAGTGCGATGTAACTCGGTTTTTTGACGAAGTGACGGAATGTCGATATGAGATAATGCAGCGTCTGGGTTGATGGGATTACTTGGTTTTGTACCACAGGGGGGGCCTCTTTATTATGCCGTAAAGTGAAAAGAAAGTTGGAGTTCGGTTTGGACACAGATTGAGAGATACTTTGACGCAGCAAAATAAAGAAATGCAAAAAGCCATGTCCATTATGAATGGAAAAAGATGGCTTGCGATCTCTTGTCATCGGATAGCTGCAGTGAGCCCTGTATCAGCGAGGAGCGTATAGAAACTGAAGGTGACATGCTTCCGTAGTACAGGATGTGTTTTTCGTCGCCATCACCCGTCAGCAGAGTGAACGGATGGCTTGAAGGATTCAGGTCCCTGTTGCAGGTAGTGTACGCAGTAAGTGTCCAAGACGGGCTAGGTACCTAGCTCCACTTGACATTTGTGTGGCCATCAAGGTACACATGGCTGACTTATAACCCACATCGTTGAGTATCCCTAACACTACTCCTTATAACTGTCACCCAATAACGTTAAGAGTCAAGGTCACAGAATGAGGGGCAAAAACCCATTAACAGCTGTACGCGCCCTTCACCACCACCAACTGTTAATGATCGTCATATTTTGGGATAATTGATTTTCGATCGACTTGAATTTCTTCTGACGTCAACCCGTCGTCAACTATCATCATCACTCTGAGTATCTACAGTCTACGCGTACAGCTTGGAGGGCCAAAAAAAAAAAAAATTGACAAACGAACCAAAAGAACCGAATATGAAAAGTTTTGCGTGAGACCAGCGACCCTTTTGTTCAATGTACCCAAAATGGTACCCCGGAACTAAGCGAAGAACTCCAACCAACAAAAAAGAATTAAAAAAAAATCAAAAAATCAAAATAATCAGCACAGCAAACGTGCCAACCGGATCTTTTCCCATCCCAAAAGCCAGACCCAAAACAGTCGAGAGAAACAAAACAGTAAGAAACACGCCAACGATTCACTTCGCTGTTGCGCTCGGGATATCATCAATCAAACACAAGAGAAAGGAGGAGAGAGCAGGACGACGAGGGGTCAACGTCATGGCGTCCGTCACGACCTCAACGCGACCTTGGACACGTAGTTCCATAGGTCAGCAGCGCACTTGGTGATGCTCTCGCGAGTCGACCACCCGAGCTCCTTAGCCGCGCGCTCCGTCGACGCGACACACATGCCGACATCGCCAGGCCTCCTGTCAACGAGCGCGAGGGGAATTTCACGACCAGCCGCCTGCTCCAAGCTGCGAACCGCCTCGAGAACCGTCGTGCCCGTACCGCTGCCGAGATTGAAGGTGGAGAATCCGTTGCCCTTCTTCGAGTTCCAATTGAGCGCCGCAATGTGCCCACGGGCAACGTCGAGAACGTGAATAAAGTCACGGATCGCGGTACCGTCTCGGGTCGGCCAGTCAGATCCGAATACATTGAGGTTTGAGCGGTCGCCCTTGAGGACTTGCGTCAGCACGGGGAAGAGGTTGGTCGGCTCCCCGCGCGGGCTCTCGCCCAACACACCAGAAGGGTCGCATCCAACGGGGTTGAAGTAACGGAGCGCAACAATTCGCCAATCAGGGTCCGCCTCGGCCACATCCGCCAAGATGGCTTCTCCAAAGTACTTGGTGCGCGCATACGGGCACGACAGACCCTCGATGGTTGGCTCGACAATGGTCGTCTCTCCGGCCTCGTTCTGTGTCTTGACCTGGTGGTGGATGAGGTCCTCCTCCTTCAGTGGCAGGCCGGCGTTGGCCTTGGAGCCGTACACGGTGGCCGAGCTGCTAAAAATAAAGTTGCGGATGTTGAAACGCTCCAGCTCCTGTAGCAGGTTGACTAGTCCACACACGTTGTTGCGATAGTAGCGCAGGGGCTGCTGGATGCTTTCGACAACCGACTTGTATGCCGCAAAGTGGATCACCCCCGCAATCCGGGACTGGTACGACACCACCTGCTTGCCTGACGTAGCGTCCACCGTCATCACCAAGTTGCTGTATCTCTCCAGGAGCACATGCATGGCCTTGCTGCGGTAGTCGATACGGAAGAAGCGAAGACGGGGCATGGGAACGTTGTTGACCTTGCAGTGATGGGCCGCCAGCATTCGGACGTTCTTCAGAACCGTCTTGTAGCTGTTGCTCAGGTTGTCCACCACGATAACTGCGTACTCGTCGTTAGTATACTTGGACTCACAAGGGGCTGAATCTATTCAACTCCGTCTAGCATTGGCACTTACCATTGTGTCCCTCACGAAGCAACTCGAGTGTTGTGTGGGAGCCGATATACCCAAGACCACCAATCACCATAATGTACTTCTCCGAACCATCAGCCGGCGCCTGTGTTGGTGCGAGGAGAGCATCTTCAGACGGCACATCAAAGTCGAATTCCTCATCAGACAGCGCAGGCGTGGTAAGTGGGGAGCTGCCGGCGGAATAGTCGCGGGATGACGAAGACAGATACTCTTCAGAGAGGTCCTGATCCTGGACATGATCTCTGAGATCAACTCGTGAACTCGAAGTGCTCGACATGATGAATATGAACAAGAGCTTGTGAGAAGATTCGCAGTGTAGGACTGGTGAGCGAGTGTGAGGCAAGGATGGGGTTGATCACTGGCCTTTTCTGGAGGAGCTGCGTCGAGGGCTTTTATCAGAAAGAGCCTGGTTTGGTGACAGCACGAAAAAAAAAAAGGAACCAAGATGGCAACACTCTTCCCCGGCAGCAAACCTTCTCCATCAACACAACACCAAACAAACAAGCAGTGCTAGAAGGCCCGACCAACCAACCGATACGGTTACATCCCGGAAGCCGGCGGGAGGGCGGCGAGTATCAAGCTGAGATTATGCCAGCGCGCCTTTGCTGGCACATCGTGGCTCCATGTTCCTCCATGCCTGTCATGCTCTCGTCATGAATCCGATCCAATTTCCGTTCCGCGAGACCGAATCAATCCTAGCTTGACCGGGACCAGATGCTCGACATGCCATGCATCAGAGATCGTTTGGCCCAGCTGAAGCAAGTCTCTGACCCCTAGAGTCCCCTGGACTCCGCCGGATCCCAGCTGAAGGCATATTTCTAGACAACCAGTTCCGCAAACTTTTTCCCCACAGGAGTCTCGGCTTGCCTTTGCTCCATCCAGCTACCATGAAGTTGCCATGCTCTGATTCAAGCTTCAGGGCGTCCAATCCGCACTGACTGACATCACCCAGACCATTGCTGGTGGCGCTATGCAAGTGAGGAAATCTTAGGAGTGGATGGCATCAAATTCGCTGTAACGCGACTATTGACACCAGCCGTATCCGGTCCCACGTCCGACTCTCACGCCTACGTTGTGCATATCCAAGGTGCTACCATACCCTACAGGCTGCCACTACGAGCAATTCAGCCGATAAATGAGTTGGACAGATGAGCCCGGACGCTAATAGAATTTGATGGAGCATGGGGGCGGGCACTCGGGAGACTCATGTCATACGGGGTAAACCTCAGACAGGCACAGGCACAGTATAAGCTTATGTTGTCGGATATTTTTTGAGGTTCCTTAATCTGCAGCAACGGGAACCCCGACCTCCCTAGTCTGATGGCAGGCACTAGCATCATCAGTCTCGAATCGAGAGACTAACAAGGAGCATCCACCTTTGGACCCTCCAGAAAACAAAATGAGGCTCTCCCTTGGTCTTGTAGCTTTCCATGCTTCTTACTACTTGGCTCACTGGCCTCACCGCGGCAACCGCAGGACGAGAATGTTGCCAAATCATAGCTTGGTGTTGTAGCCACTATCACAGATTTCAAGACATTGGGTCTCAAAGAGCACCTTATTTTTATGTTCGACACACACTTCCCGAAGCCCGCCTGACCAGGATTTAAACACGAAATCCGAAACAGCAGGAAAATGGGCAGAACACATAATGCCCTATTCACGTGAAATCGGGTTCTTCCTGTAGTCATGTTGCAAGCCCATTTCCGTGGTGATCGACATCGACTGCGGTGCCGGCGTGTTGCTACCGTGTAACAGGATTGGATCTAACTAGGATTTTAAATATGGAAATGGGGTTCCTGTATGTAGTGTACAGTGGCAGAGCATGCATCAACAAGGGAGACACTACAGTTAGGTAGGTGACAAAAAAGCAACAAGCCAGCCAGCATCGGAAGTTGCATCTCTCATCTCACCACCACCCACATGCCGTAAGGTACTGTCACTATGTACCTTGAGTGAAGTCCGCGTCGCGAGCGAGCAGTCGTTGTTGGGCCAACCAATGACAGGCATCGGCACTCGGTCCCCCACTGTGTACTGCGCATGGAATTGTCCTGACTGTCGAATGGTCGTCCTTGGCGTCCTTTCCCTCTGGCGGCGGAGGCGGCGGGGGATCGTTTACCGGGATCACGGCTCGGACGATGTTGTCTTAGGTCCCCTTGTTGGCCCTAGGGCACAACTTGGCAACTTTTTTGACGGCACTGTATGAATGCGATGACGGGAGAGAGGCACGAATTGGCCGGGCATCAGTGAGTTCCTTTGTCTTTTTTTGTCGAATTTCCCTTGTGATCCTTGTTGGAGTTTCTCGTATACACTACGTGAAACCTTTGTTTTCCCCCGTGTGGGTTGGCTTTCATGTTTCAACTACATACCTACTACACTACAAAGTTACCTGGCTACTCCAGGTGTCATTCCTCCTTCATTGGGACCCTGGCCAGCCACCCACGTTGATGTTCAAGCAAATATGAAGGGTTGCCGCATGGCCCCTTGTACCTAGGTACCCAGCTATGGATGTGCATATCGTGACGATGCTAAGAACTTTTGTGTGTAGCATTCTGGGCCTGTCTGGTCGTGGCTTTTTTCTCCGACTCACGCTGCGATCAGATCATCCTAGTCACTAGTGTGCGGCCATGTTGAAATTTGGTGTCCATACAATCGCTAACGCTTGGATATTGGTAGTCAAGTCTGGTGAACTATTGGATCTTTGTAGTGCACTATCCATCAGGATACTCGATTTTCCAACACTGTTTGGACCCAAGAATCAAAAACCAAAGCGCTGACACAAGCGGCTAGCCGACTGGGGGCATATGGCGATGCCTTCTGGAAGCCCCTTGCAAAGTTTCGGAACTGGTGGAGAAACACCCGTCCGTATTTACCATGCTCGGTACAACGATACACCACACTACACGGCCCCCCGGCCGGACAACCTTGTACACGTGTACCGCTACGACATGCGGCTCGTTCGCTCGTTCTGGCTCCTCCTGACCAACCAAGCGCATCACAAAAATTACACTACGGCAAGATTCGCCTATTCTTGGATTCGTGGAGTCGTGGAGCCGAGAACATGCCCCCCCCTGCCATTACGAGGGCCTCGGGAGGCGGCACTTAGCGTAGTTGTATCGTACACTACACTAGAGGCAGAGAGACAGCCAGCAGCGGGAAAAGCTTGGAGGCACCTCCGATCTAGGAATCATCCTTTCTCTCGCTGCGACCCTTGACGTTGCCAGATTTCTCCCCTTTGGGACAGACGTCAAATTACACCCGCGCCTCCAGTACCACGACAGACACGGTGCACTGACAGAATCACAGATTTCGAGACACGCACGAGCCGCTGGATGGATGGGGAACGACCTGAAATAGGTAAAAGGAACCGGGCCAAGAGAGAGACAGACACCAGGGCGCCAGGCGTGCTGAAGCCAAGCATTCGCTAAGAGGCGCTCAGATGGGTGCATATGGTGCGATCCGCAAAGTGGACGACGTTTTTTTTTCTGGCAGACAACGAATGAGATACGAATTGGGTACTATACCTAGTTATCCCTCTCCGCGAGCATAAAAAAAAAAAAAAAAAAAAAAAAAAAAAAAAAAAAAAAAAAAAAAAAACCGCCAATGGCCAGCGCTTACGCAGTACACGTTACATACCAATTGGGAATATTACGCCAATTCCTAAATCGAAATGGGTTGGAAAAAGCTTGTGATACGCCCGGGGTGTCCAAGATCGGCTCCAATGGCCATCCCTTGCAACCGCAGGTGTGCATGATGGCTCGCCTCTTCTTCGAAATTCTCTTAAGCACTCGATTATTCTTTGCTGGCACTGGGGTCCAGCTAAGCACCGGTTGGATCAGCGGGATGGCTCACCCCCCAAGGGTAGGTAGGTATAATCGCGTACGAGCTTTGTTTCGTACCAGTCGGTGATACGGTACCATGCTTTGTCGTCGACTACGTTTCGCACCCTTACATTTCAGCAGACCCTTTGGGAGTGACTTCCCCCCCCTCTCTGTTAGGTGTGGGTCGGGCATGGCGACATGGTGGCCGCCGCCCGCCCGGTGCCGCTTGAACTCGAGACCGACCGGGACGCCCCGGTTTTTCGACTTCACGTTGTGAGTGAGGCTGTGAAGACAATTTTTGTCCAGTGTCACATACAACCGTCTCGAACATAGTGTGCTTCCTATTCCCTCTTCCAGTGCTTCACACCAAAGCATCACTTGCAGACGGGACCTCTTCCTGTCTTACCCTCTGGATACCTTATTCTTGGCCCGTCTCCTCTCTTGCAGCACGTCTCTCGTTTCAATAGTATGTTCATGTGGCGATGATCACTCTCTAGCTTTTTTACTGTACACATCACCGCCCACCGCGAACAGAAGCGCCATCCTATAATCGTTAATCCTAATCGATCGATTCTATCAGCGGGGACGGCGCTGTTTCGACATCATCCACACATGTTCTTTGCCTAGGCTTCCACCTGGGTCAGTCCTTTGCACCCTACCTACTACGTCTTTGATCAGTTTCACATAGCCCGTTCCTTGCTGCTGTCACCGGGGCATCGCCATTGACTGGCAATGGCTTCCATTTTCTCACCCCCGGGGGGCGCCGGGGACCCAGTCCTGCAGATATGCCATGGCAATAACGACACCGACCGTCTGGTCTACTGCAACAAGATCCTGTCTTCAGAGGAGAGGCTACAGACCTCATGGCAGTGGGGCACGTTGATAGTGGGAATCGCAGGGTTGGCTCTTCCCGTCCTACTATCGGTGATCCTAACCACATACCATCGTCTGTGTCAGTCAATATCAGACAGTTACACCAAGTGAGTTGACCCAAGACTTGTCTCCTGGCTCCCCAATTACTACCATCACCCATACTGTCCTCGGTATTCATCATATTGCCCATGATATTAACATCCACCATAGACGGAAACGCAAATCACCTCCCGGACGGAAGCAAGCTGGCTCACCACCGTCGCGGCCCGAGTTCAAGATCCCGTCCTCAACCAAGGCTTTCCAGTTCTTGGATGGCGGTGTATCATCAGGCGCCGCCGCCCCCCAGCCATTGGTAGGGGGCACTGTTTACATTAGTCCCTTGCCGTCGTGCACGGACCCCACCCCTTTCCAACCGCTTCAAGCTACCCCAACCCAAGACATCACTTGTCTCGGCCTGGTTGACGCCAAGGACGTCTCCCCTGCCGATGTTGCGGCGTGGGAGACGCATATCTCCGACTTCATCCTCAGTGATGACGTGTCCGGGGTGGTCTTGAAGGTAACGGACCTCGCCAAGGAGGATGAGGAGACGGCGGCGCGTCTCTTTGCGCGACTACGCCAGCGTGCGGTGCCGATTGTCCTTAACCTTGGCCTTGATGAGAAGGAGGGGGAGGAGTCCGAGCTTGTGAACAGTGTCGACTTCTCGAGCCTGGTGGGCATCATCGTTGAGAATGCGTGTATCCTGCCCAACGGCGAGAGACGGGATTACTTCCGCTCGGAGAAGTTGAGGGAGCTCATGAACAAGTGTGCCAAGGAGCGACTGGAGCGCCCGCACTTTTTTGTTGCCTTTCACGATCTCTGGGACCAACAGCCTTCGGTGGCGGTTGTGTGCAGAGGTGAGAAGGTCGCAAGCCATTTCGAGGCTATTTATCAGCATGGTCCTCGACATGTGGCGAGTGGTCTGAAGACGACCCAGCCTCCTGTGAGCGGCTTTGAGTATCTGCGAAAGCCAGAGACTTCTGAAGTAAGTCTTCCCAATGAACCCAATTGATCTGTTACAAGATGAGAGTTAACGAGACTGACTGTTACAACAGCTCCAAACTGCATGGTTGCAGCAAAAGAAAAAGGTCTATGTGGGCGATGACAACGAGCTACTTGACCAGACTTCACGACTTGACGTTGATAGAATCGCGTTTATCGTCCCTGGCGTCAAGAAGCTGTTGCAGCCCGTTGCGCAAACCACCGAGAAGCAAGAGTGGTGGTCTGACGAACCAGAGCTCTCCTTCCCGCCCCCCTATCGCGAGGTGGCGCCTGCAAGGGACGAGTTCTGGGAGTGCGACCACAGGGGTGAGGCGCTCTCAGCCTTGGGATGCATCCCACTCACTGCGTCGGCAACCGACATGCAGTACGAAGCCATCTTGGCGACGCAGACCCATCTGCGCGATTTGAACATGCTGCAAAGGCTGCGGCCTGCCGAGGTCGATAAGCTTGTCATGGCCTATCGCAACTTCCAGCTGGAAACCGCTCATCCTCATCTGTTTGCTCCCTTTGTCGAGGGCCTGGTCGAGGGCAAAGTCTGCGTCTACAAGGGTCTTGATACCGGCTTCAAGGTTCCTGATGGCGAGGCTCACTTCTGGGGTATCTCTGTTCCTCGTTCCGAGGATGGCGACGTTGACATCTTCATTTCGCGGAGCAATCCCAGTGATGTCGCGACCATTCTTCATGTTTGGCTGGCTCACAGTGGCGTTTCCCGCGTGGAAAGGTACGAGGAGGAACTTCGCTTGGAGAACAACATGGGCTCCGATTTGCCTCTCCCTACTAGCATCCAGACTGCCATCAACATGTGCTCGCCGTCTGAGGTTCTCTTCTTCTTGCAGCAGCTGCAAGTCAGTCGCTTGACGCATCCCTTCCGCATCGTCATGGAGGCCTATTGCCGAGCTGTTCTCCTGGATGAGTCTTCTACCATTGCTTGGAACGACGCTCACTGCCGTCTTTACCTCGAGGGCAAGGTCTCCATGCGGGACCTCCTCGAGCGGAGACTTGCCGAGTTCGCCCGCCAGGGTGCCACGGCCCTTCCTTCCGCTGATGGGCTCGTGGCTGTTGCAGAGAAAATCGAGCAGCGTGTCCGTGAATCTCTCTACTCTGGCAATGTCGATGCGCTCAACGCCATCAGGAACCCCCTTACATATGCTCTGGATCCTATGAACCAGTACCATGACAACAAGTTTGTCGATGTCAACACTGATCTGATTGCTCTCATGTTCTTCACCACTGTTCGCAAGCTTGCTCTGGAGGATGTCTACCTTGAGGCTACGGATCACTGCCCCCTTTTCTCGCAGGCCGATCAAGCAGCTGTTTTTGCTGAACTGTGGGTGCTTGGTTCTCAGTGCGAAGCTTTCTTCGGCATGCACCCGCGTGCCCTTGGCAAGATCATCTACGACCAGTACACCGCCTACCTTCGCAAGAACCCGCCCCCTACTCCTTCGGATGACGGCGATCGCAATGGCCACATGACTGTGTATTCCAAGCCCAAGCCTTCTCAGAGAGAGCCTGGCGATGAGTACGAGGATCCTGCTCGCCGTGGCTTCAGAGACCGCATGAAGCTCAGCTACTTCCGCGAGAAACTCGCTGACTTTGGCGCTCTCTCCATCTTCTGCATGCCCGCTATCATGGATATCCTGCTTCTCACCTTTGTCGGTCGTGGTCTGTTCATGACTGCCTACATGGGCGAAGACAACCTCCTTGCCGCTTGCTACGGTCTTTTGATCGCGCTGCTGATCTCGGCTGGTGTGACCGGCTGGGTCGGCAGTATCGGCAACTACTACCTCTGCAACTTTGCGTACACCAACATGGTCTTCTTCCACGCTCAGCGCCTCTCGGGTGGCTTCGTCTTGACCTTGTTAGTCGGTCTGGTTGGCTTCATTGCCTTCACTGTCAAGACCTCGGTCTACGCTGGTCTTGTCTTCTTCGCATATCTCGTGCTTCTCGCGACTTACCTCAACATCCTCGGTATCATGGCTACCATGCACCAGGAGGGCAGTCCCCTGACATCGGGTCGCAGTGTACTCTGGAGAACCATCCCGTTGCTTCTCATCTCGCCTGCGCTTTCATCCTTCGTCAACGGCAAGGACATTGCCATCTACCTGTCTGTCGGATACGGCTTCCTCGCACTGCTCATCTTCCAATACCGCAAGCTGTGCCACGAGTGGATGGGCTGGCTCAGTAACATCCCCAAGTTCACCGAGGCTGATGTCCACGCCTGGTACGAGCACCGCATGAGCCAGAGCTCGATCGCGAGCCCCAGCAGCGAGAAGATCAACGCGGATGAGACCAAGAAGCTCGCGCTCCAGGCTTTCCGCGACGCCGTCAAGAAGCAGCAAGGTCGCATCTTTGGCGCTGCGCCTGACGCCCTGGTGCACAAGGTGGTCGAGGGGTTGCCCTACATCAACTGGATCCTCCGCATGGACGGTCCTCCCGAGGAGGTAGTCGATGTCTTCTCGCCTCCTTGGTTTGCTCAGCTGAGCGAAGCACAGAAGAAACGACTCCAGATGTCCCAGGGTCTCAAGGAGCACAGCGTCTTCTTCCTCTTCCGCCAGGCTCGCTACGACATTGGCCAGAACGTCGGCCTTTTCCTCGTCTGCCTGCTGGATCGGTGGGTCAGCATCGTCATGTCGGGTAGCGGCAACGCGAACGTCTTCTCCAACTTCACTTCGCGCTACGCCATCTGCTTCGCGATCCTCTACTTTTGTCTGTCCATCATGGTGCTGGACGTCACTCTAAAGAAGTACTGGCAGTTCAGCTACGATCTTCCCAAGGGCATCCTCTCCAGCGATGCGGAGCTGTTCGCGCTCAGGAAAAAGTGGCAGCAAACTCGCCGGATCAAGTACATCGGCGCGCTCCTTACCCTCGCCACCAGGCTCCTGGCGACATTTGGCTTGACTACCATTCTCGTCTGGCTGTTCGTCAAGGAGACGCAAATCCTGGTGCTGTACTACCTGTACTGCCTCGGTTACACTGGCGTTATGATCTTCCAGTTCAACCGCTGCTTTACGACCAGCGTCCGCGCCCATGTTCTGTCCATTCTCACCTCTGCCGTCATCGGATTCATCGTCGGCTGCCTGCTTTACCTGATGCCCGAGGGCAAGATCGTGTCGGTGGACGTGATCGGTCTCTGCGTCGCTTCCGTCTTCGCTGCCGTGTCTACCTCGTACTGGGCCATCAGGAAGCCGAAGCAGATGGACCTCAAGGAGGATGGCGCCAACGGCGACAAGCCCAACACGTGGAAGCAGCACAAGATCGGCCACTCCGATAACTCGTTCACTGGCAAAAAGCCCGCTCAGGTCAAGGACCTCCCTGGAGACCTTCTCCTTGCTAAGCAGGAGACCCCCTTGGCTCGCTCGGTCTCGGAGACCCTTCGCGATGGTCAGAGTAACTTCCCCGGGGGGAACTCAGGGACGGTTTCCTGGCGGGAGGACGTCCTCAACGCTGCGCTGGCCATGTGGCTAGATGAGAAGATCCGCGTCACCGTCTGCCCACGCGGTGTTTTCCTAGACGCCGGACTCAGCGAATGCGTTTCCTTCAGCGAGCTTAAAGACGACGAGCTGCACATCACCACTGGCTTCCTTCCCGAAGAGGAAGTCCACCTGGCCACATGGCAGCCTCTCCTCGCTTGCATGATCGGCGAAGCCATCCTCTACCACACTGCCCGCGGCATCATCGGCCTGGACACCGCCAAGGCCGTCCAAGCCGAGCACATCCTCTCGGGCGCGGACCGTTCCTTCACCGTCTCCAAGCGCATCGCCTTCCAGCTCGCTACCGAGGACCGACAGGGTCTTTACCGGATCCGCGAGCAGACCAACCAGGAACTGATGAAGCATCTCTGCCTGGAAACCAACATCGACTCGGAGTGGGTGTCCCTCCCGCGTCCCGTGCAGGAAACCATCCTCTCGCGTATCCAGGGCATGTCGGCCTCGCAGTCGCGCGACTTCCCTGCCTGGATGGAGGAGAAGGGCGTCGATCTCCGCTGCAGCAATTTCCACGTCAAACTCTGTCTAGAACTCTACCTGATGGCTGGCGAGCGCGTCATGATGTACAATTCGGCATTCAACAATACCTCTACTTCCACTCTGTGTTACTTGCCTGAGCCCGACAGCGAGAGCAGCACCCAAGAGACCTCGCCTCTCTTGGATAACGGGAAGAAGAGCAAGCACATGCACTGGACGCACAAGATCCTCTTTTACGTGCCCATCAACTTCGTCAAGTGGGTAGCCATCATCTCTGGCGCCGGGTCCAACATTGAGCGCGAGCTATGGTACTCCCTCCGCAAGATGCCGCGCGCTCGCAAGGTGCTCATGTGGCTTATCCTGGCCATTTGGAAGATGTGCTTCCAGATCCGGGATACCTGGATTTTCATGATTCTTATCTTTCACCACAAGTCCCTGGTGCAGATTTGGCGGTTGGCGCGCAAGGGAACGCCCAGGACTTTGTACAAGAACCGTATCGTTGTGGTCATGCGCAGACAGGCTCTGACGGGCTTTGCGAAGCTGAATGAGTACGGGAAGCTGATGCTGAATATCTATGAGGGCCATCTCAAGGAGGTTCCGGAGGAGGAAAAGACTCAGCCTGTTGCTACTGCCGTTTATGATCATACTTACCGGCTCATTACCAAGTCTGTTAAGAAGGGGAAGGAGGAGATCCTCTCATCGTTCACCTATGGTGAGGGCAATAAGTCTAGACGCCCGACGGAAAAGTACGTCGTCGAAGGCACTACTGTCAAGCGCTGCCACTATGATGAGAGACGTCGCATTTCTCACGGTATCATCAAGTTCGGCGACGTCGAGTACTCCTTCCGGTACTTTTACAAGTCCAGTCCCAAGGGTTCTCAGGATGTGCTCAAGGCCGAGTACGAGCTAAAGGCCGACCACCCCTTCGTCTTGACCGTCTATTGGGGTACTCCTCCCAAGGAAAAGGTCGAGGAGTGCAACTGGACTCCCTCTGACCGCGTCGGTCAAGTCGACCGCAGCACCTACGGCAGAACCTTCACCACCGTCATCACGTATCCCCATCGTCGTGACCCCGTTGAGACCACTTACATGGAGGAGAACGGCAGACAAATCACTGTCGACCGCCCGCCCCGCATCTTTGAGCACGAGGATGTCCTTCTGCAGAGGCCTACGGATGTCTCCTTTGAGAATGACGATCTCTTCATCTACCACCGCCGCTCTTATGTCGAGCGCATGGCCAAGAACCTCAAGCAGACGCACTCGTTCGCCTCCCGCCTCAATCCCATGTCCTGGTTCTCTATGCGTAAGAAGTCCATCTACCGCCCTGTCCCTACCTGGTGGTTGCGTACCGAACTCTGGGATATCTGGCGCAAGTCCGGCACTCTCGATGCTGTCACTGCGTGCTGGATGGACGAGCTCATTCTGCGCGAGGAACCTCTTCTCCACCGGTACTGGTCTGCTAGAAACAGCGGTCAGCTCTCTCAGGCGCGCATGATTCTCGACGCCGACATTGACCAGATTTCCGCCGCCATTGAGATTGAGAAGCACGTTGGCGAGCTGTGCATGTTACCCATCAAGACTGCCGACTTGTATGCCATGGGTCTCGGCAAGGATGCCAACCAGATCACCACCCGGCCGCAGGACTGCTTCAATGATTCGGAGAACCGTATCTCGGTCATCTTCAACGATATTGGGTGCTGGCCCGAGTCTCCCGGTGGTGTCTCCAACTGCCGTCGCGATCTTGTCAACGGTCATACTACCATCCGTAACCACGTCTTGGCCGAGTCTGCCAACGAGTATGGCATCCCGCGCTTCCAGGTCGAACGCAACGTTCAGTCGCTCAAGGTCGTGCCCCTTTGGGGTCTTGACGGTCGTGTTCCCAACCACGGTCTCATTGAGAACCTCCTTGAGATGCAGGTCGAGGACAAGATTGTGCGCACCGACATTGATCGCGACGTCGTTGACACCTTCATCCCCCTTCTCCGTCTCTTCGTCAAGGGTGCGCGCTCGCGTCATATCTCCAAGGCAGATATGTATCGGTACAGCAATGCCATCCTGGATATGTTCCAGTACTTTGAACATAAGGATTACAACAAGACTTGGAACTCCAAGGAGGTCGCTGCCGCGTGGGCCGAGGCCTGGCTCATCAAGTACGATGATCCGGATATCACTGACCCCGAGGATAACCTGGCGGTTCAGCAGCCGACCATGTCGGACTTCCGCGACTCGCTTGCCATTTTCTCATCGTATTTCTTCATCTACGCCGTCCAGACCCCAGAGGACTGCCCCAGGGTCTTCCAGAGCACGCACCATGGTATCAGCTCCATGTTCGGTGTCTTCCTCAAGTACCAGCGCGGTGCCACCTTTGGTATCTGGGATCATGCCATTCTGTGGCGTGAGTGCTGCCTCAACCTCAGCCCTGCGCAGTCGACGTTGCCCATCCCTGTGCAGTCCATGGTCCTCGCTGGTATCGGTCTGGCCATGAAGCTCGCCTACTTCCACGCTGATGTCATCCTGCCTTGCACGTCCTTCTTCAACCCCATCTGGGAGACTTCGCTCGGCACCGACACGAACCGCATCGGGCATGAGAAGAAGTTCGCTCGCAAGATCGATCCCATTGTCAACGGTGTCAGCAACATGGATGCCTTCAAGCCCGTCGATGAAGTCCGCACCACCACGCCTACAGTCGTCATGCTGTCCAACGTGCAGTTCATCAAGGACATCCGCACCGCCATCCGCGCTGCCGACGTCATCGTCAACCAGTACGGCTTCAAGGAGTACCGCCTCTTCATCTACGGCGCCAAGGACCGCGAGCCCGAGTATGCCATCAACATGACCAAGCTGATTGAGGGGTGCAAGCTCACCGAGCACGTCATCCTCAAAGGCTTTGGTAAGCCCCAAGAGATTCTCAAGGACGCCTGGCTCTTCATGAACTCGTCTCTCTCCGAAGGTCTCCCGCTCGCCGTCGGCGAAGCTGCTCTAGCCGGTGTTCCCGTTGTCGCCACAGCCGTCGGTGCCACGGCGCTCGTCCTCACTGACCCCGACAACCCGTCCGTTGCCTACGGTGAAGTCGTCCCGCCCAACGACCCCGTCGGCCTCGCTCGCGCGCAGATCTCCATGCTCGCCATGGCTGGTCCCTGGGCCAAGTTTGCCGGCGACGTCGACAAGCGTGGTTCCGTCCTGCCCTCGCTCATGCTGCCTGATACCCTGACCCCCACTGACGTCGCCTTCCTCACTAAGCGTATGCACGAGAAGACGGACGCCCGTCGCAAGCTCGGCATGTTGACGAGAGAGGTTGTCCTCAAGGGCTTCCACGGCGAGCGGTACCTGCGCGAGCACGAGCAGATGTACTGGGTGCAGTGGCACATGGCCAAGATGCGTCGGGACCCTGGTGTGATGCGTCGTCGGGCGCTCGTCAGGAGGAGCGAGTTGATGAGGTTCAGCGGCCAGGGAACGACGACGCAGACGGGCGATTATGATGGCGACGCGAGCACGGTCATCTATGGCGGTAGCGAGGCGGCGTTGGATGATGAGTACAGGGAGGATCGGAACTCGAGGAGGAGTCGGAGCAGCTATCAGGGGCAGAGGCAGGGCAGGAGGCTGAGCAAGCCGCAGCCGCAGCAGAACGTGAGGAACTTGTCGAGGTTGACGGTTGCGACGGTGGGAGGAGGGTCCGAGGCGGGGCCGAGCGGGTTGAGTTCGGGAAGGGCGAGTATGGTTAGTCAGAGGGAGGTTGTTTGATGGTGGTGTAGTTCTGTATTGAAATTGGTAGATGTCGGAGGAGGTGCTGCTGGAGGTTGAGAGTTCAGCTGAACATACAAAAATCTTGGAGTGGGGGTGGGAGACGAGAAAGTTACGAAAGAAGTAGAAAGGATGGAAGGAACTTGGAAATCACATACTGGATCTAGGTTGGACGGGGGAGGCTTTTTGCATACACAACCAAAAGTACATACCACTACCATATTTCCCTTTGCTCGTCACATATCTGCTTTTTATCATGGGAGCCGGCGGGTTTGCGAAGCGTGTGTGGAAAAGTTTGCATGATTATGAGACTGAAGAAGATGGATGAGATATCCTAAAAGCATTGTTTTGGATTAGCGAAGGGAGAGAGATGGTCGTCAATAATAATATTATCACGACTGCTTCATTGTTGACCGGATGCGTTCTCTTTCTGCTTGTGATTGTGATTGTGGTGTTTGTCTGGTGAGAGAAGGAGAAGGGGACCTCTAGAATGGAAGGCATGGTTCAACGAAGCTAGAGGGAACTCGACGGGGTGATTGTTGTCGTTGGCTTTGGACGGTTTTGGAGGCAGGTACTTTGGATGGGCATGGTGGGTGTTTCCTTTATGCTTGATTGGGTTGAAATAATGACGACGGAGGTGTTGAGTCTTGGCGGGCGAGGAAAGCGCGGATGGAGGATGGACCGTTGCATCCTTCCGTTTCTTGCTTTCTTTTCCAAACAACCAAACGAATGACAAATCGCCGTCACCAAGTTCATGTCCATTCGGCGTCTTTCCACATCTTGCGCTCATATTCTCCATTCTTTACTTGTATCAAACATACTTCCTTCGAACGGACAATACAGGTGTATCTCATGGCTTGGTAGCAAACGACACATAAGCGGCACCAGCAAATTGTTAGTAAGTAACACTTGATCACTAGTACATAACCGGACAGAAAGAATGCATTGCGGGCATTGAGGGGCATTGGAGGGCTGATGAATTGAAGACCGCGACCTGCATCATGATCTTTGGAAATTTCGTGGTTCGCCTCGAGTCAACCTTGCATCCGAACCCAAATTGTTGACCGTTTTGACTCTATCCAGTTTTCAAATTCAATAAAGGATCTTCGAACGATGTCGAAACAACACCCAATCCTCTCCCTTTCCATCGGCGGATTGGATGAAGGGTGAGTCTGTCTGCCCCTCAATCGATGTTGCATTTTATCTCCAGACTCGACCAAGCCACGATCGAGTCGCACCCTCACATTGGACGCCTGTCTCATGGAGAGAGAGGTCCATCGCCAATGGCTCGCGTCAACACAGCCCCAAACCCCTCCTTGTCGCCAACTCAATTCTTACCAAACTCCATATCTTATTACCTTCAGTTCAAACCCCAACCATTCTATCTTGCAATGTCCCTGAGCATTGGTGCCCACCATGGCAGACCCTCTATCTATCGCAGGCCTGGTCACAGGCGTGGTCTCCCTCGGCATCCAGCTTCACAACGATCTCAAAATCTTCCTCGACATCGTCAAGAATCGAGATGAAGATATCGCCAAACTTACAAGACAAGCTGCGACCATGGCTCAGGCCTTGGACGCCATTGACCGGTCTCTGCAGAACAGCAAACAGGCAAACCCTGGAGTCGTCGATAGTGCCGCTATCATACCACTTCTCGATGCATCGCGCCAGGAATTGTTGCTTCTGCAGCAGGAAGTCGCGTCCCTAACAAAGATATCAAAAGGCCAGAAGCCGAAGGCCTCAGTTGTGGTAGACTTCGCCAAAGCCACAACGCAAAAGCTCAAGTATCCAAGACAGCGCGCCAAGATCGAGAAACTGGAGGAGGGTTTGGACCAAGCAAACACAACTCTTCAACTCGCCCTCGATGCCTTTGGACTGTAAGTTGTCTCATACTCTGAACCCCGTGAGTTGTCATCAAGTGTGCTCTGTGTCAACAGACAAAATCTTGCTAGATGCGAGAACCTGGTTCACATACTGATCATTGCCATTCTATCAATCTTCAGATCTGAACTAAACTCCATCAAGTCGAATACCGAAGCGATGGTTCATGGCCTCAGCCACGTCCAGAAAACACTTCCAGACGTTGAAGCTTGTGTATCGGAGCTGTCAGAAAAACTGATGGCAACGAGTGAAACGGCCACGCAGAGCATCCAGAACATCGAAGCAATCCTCAACCTTGCCATATCCTCCCATCAATCCGATCTTGAACAGATTGGACAAGCACAATCCAATGAGTTCAGCCAAATTAAGCAGCTTATCCAAGACCTTTTGCTAAGGATGGATGCCAATGCTTCTACAGGTTCAAAGGTAGCTACAACACACTTCTTCCCCACCGGCAAGCTGTTGCTTACAGAGTTCTTATGCAGGACATTGAAGTGAACAGGAACCTCGCTTGTCTCGTGTCGAAGCCAAGCGCACTCAAAGTACTTTGCGATGAGTATTCTAATCAACAGCCCCAGTCGGAGTGTCCACCAGACGCGAACGCCTGGTCTGCCTGTACTTGTCAACGTCGCCGAATTGCCACTCGGCGATCTGTTGATTGGGGTCCTTTTCGACTATCCGCGGAATCCAAGGCAGAACTCGCTCACCATGAAAGCTGCCAATGGGCCCAATTCGATACGTCTAAACGGTCCAAGGTCATAAGTCTTGCGTATCGTGGGTTTGCTCGCCTACTCCGACATGCTGTGGTTCTCAACTTCCGCTTGAATCATGGCGCTGGAGGATTCAGCTTTGGCCCAGGAATTGTCCATTATCCTGTGATGGATGAACGTGTTTACCCACCATTTAGGCTTGTTCACTATGTCGGCCAAGCCATGCAGACTTTGACAGAACCTTTTTACTTCGAGCCATTCTGGGCAAGACAAAGACGTATCTCTCAAGGCAAGATTGCACCTTTGTCCTTGAAGCACAGTGTGTTGAGAGCCTTCGGCGTGCATATATCCCGCGCTTGTTGCAACAGAACCATCGTTCCCCGAGCGATCAACACCCGTGGTCAGACATTACTACACTGCATTTCCCGTATCATCGAGGTAAAGTCACCAGCGGCTTGTCCTTTCACTTTTTCGTGCAACATCAGCTCTAACTGTGCCAGAATGACGCATGCGGCGGTATAATCAAAAGTCTTAAAGGCTCGTGGACCCCATCAATGGTAGCATCAGTACATGAGGTTCTTTCAACATTGATCATGTGCAATGTCCCATTGACAGTTCACGATGATCGCGGGAGGTATGACTTGAGCTGACTTCGAATTTCGCTGCATGCTATATGCTAATCATGATAAAATAGCCCTGCACACTTGTCGATAGCCAACTGTATACGAACCACAGATGAGAAGTTGCTAGCTTCCATGACCAGCATCCTTAGGCTTCTCACCCCAGAGGACATGGATATCGACCCCTCAAAGGCTAACAATCGGTCAAATCCTTTCATACCTCGACTCGATTTTCTGAAACCCCTCCCCGATCCTTGCATCTTTAGCAAAGGTAGCGTCATTTGTATCTTTCCGTCTGTACTAAGCTAACCTTTTACGCTTAGCATTCGGTTCCAATGAGTTAGGTACTGCAATCCTACAACAGAACATTTCAGCTGTCAGGTCCCTCCTATCCCGCAGTCCCTCTTTGGCACTCGAACAGGACCTGAACGGCATGACCCCAATCCACTACGCCGTGCTTTGGGAGGATGGCTTGTCACTACTCCTGGAGCAAGTTCCAGTCGATATCTTCACGGAGGACTTGGCATGGGACATCTTTCAATACGCCTTATCGATGGGTAGAAGGAATGATGAAGACCTGCGCTCGGTCATGTTATTCCTTGACCATTCGTGGTACTTCGCTCCTTGCCCAAGCCGAGGCCGAGATGATGGTACACTTGGCTTGATAATAAAACTATCTTCACTGGCTACCCAGAAGAAGTTCTTCCTATATCTCAAGCAAACTCGGCTGGAAGTCGTCCCTCTTTCCCTTCAGAATGAGACAGTCTATAGCATCATTGACCACCTGCAGGAAATAGCGGCGACATTTCCCCCAGCCAAGAGACGCGCAAGAATCCAAGCCGCAATTGATTCATTCAACATCTACCAATATATAAAGGATGCAAGGACGGCAGATGCTGCCTGGCAGTCGGGACTTCATGAAGTGAACTACCACGCAGCTACAGACTCTCCAGTCCTTGCACGCAGCGATCACAGCGAAGACTACGTCCTCTGGCTGTTGGATCATGACGCGGACCCGTTCCAACCGCTCTACAACGCTCAAGATCAAAAGGCGTCGATACTGGCGGCTCACAAGGCTATCCATTGCATTGGTTACCCAGAATCGAACTGGTCGGACGATATAGATGACTGGGAGCCAAATGGGCTAAGACCAGCCGCGCAAGAGGTGGCTCGTCGGTTATGCAGTAAACCAGCCACGGACAATTGTTTATGTACATGCTCTCCAAATGGCTGCACGCCATTCCTCATCTTGTTGAGGAACTTGATTCTTACATCCTCTCACATCTCGCAGTGCACATCTTCTCGGCCCGAGGACTATGCGTATGAGTTTAGGAATGTTCGAACAATATTATACGAAAATGACGGCTTCGTATGTCAGTATGATGGGCAGTTTCACGAGGCTTTACGCCTTTTCACATTTATAACTCTCGGTATCCGACACACGTGTTGCGAGAAGGACGGCTACCATAACGATGATGATGCCAAGGAAATCCGCGAGGAGGACAGCGAGCGCGTGGGTATCCTCGAAACTTTGATGGAGCAATGGGAAGATGTGCGCTTTAAATCCGCAGATGAGTTCTGGCGTTTCCTCAAGGGTGGCTGGGTCATCCGTTTAAACGAGGTCTTTGAAGATATGCGCCGAATGGACCAGTCAGAGGAACACAAGGTTCAACGCCAAAGCCTCGGGGTTCAGCTTCATGTCCCAATCGTGAAAGCTAAAGCTACGAAGCCGCGGGTACGAACGAAAGGGTTCGTCTGGTGCGAAGAGAGTTTTTGGTTGGATCTCCTGGATACGGTTGCAAAGGGAGGTGATACTCGCTATTTTGACCGCGTCCTTGAAGATGCCAGGCAGATTGAAATGGGGTTTATGCTCCGGGGGAGATATATTGAAGAGGATGAGGAATGGGAGGGGGAATAGAAAGGGTCACGGTCTTGTAGAGCAGTGCTCGATGGAAACGACAGGAATGGTCATGTGAGAGAAAAGATTGGATGATGGGGTATCATATGAGCATGAAGTACTCCAAGACATAACATCGAAATATCGAGACATAAAAGCGTTGCTTTGAGTTTTTTTGCGTCCGCGCGCTCGTGTACAGATCGTCGTGAAAGCACCGGACAATGGTGGTCCCAATGTCGGTGGTCAGTTCTCATCATCAGTGGATGGACGTGGGCAATTGGCGCCAATTGAAGGGGAATCGCTTGATGATATTGTCGTGACATCTGCATGAAAAAGAACCTCAGAGAGGCGCCCGACTGTCCCAAAATGATGGCCTATTCGAGTTGTTGTCTTGGATTGAGAGCTGAGAATTCGAGCTCTCCTCAGCTCCTCCATGACCTCCAGGTCTCCGCTTATCTTATCCTTATCGCTGTCTTATGTCCCCTGCCATCAAGGTACCCAACCGATAAGAGCTTCACTCCGCACAGACCATGTCGTAAGCCTTCCCCTGTTTCCGCGCTGAACTGGTACTGGTGCAGGGGATGACGTAACAAGCCGCATGGAAGCTGGAAGGCTGCGTCGTAAGCAACCAGCAACAGCGCCCACACAGCCACAATCATCCAGCTTCCATCCCCCGTCCCGTTTCCCAACCACCTCCGATTTGCTCAGATTTGTGTCTTCTTTTTCTCCGAGTTTCGTAGCATCGATCCTGTTCCTTCCTCGAGTTTCGTATCTTCCCTAGCAAATATAACCACCGAAGCTTCTTTTCCGCCAAGTCCTTTCTTTGCTGCTTTATTTTGTTGTTTGCTGCATTCTGCACTTGAACTTTGAACTTGCAACCAGTGTCAAACATCGCATCGCATCGCATCGCATAACCCTCTACGTCGCGCACAGGGACGGACATTACTACCTAATACACAAATACGAAACCAATACCGACGAACGCACAGGAAAGAAGACAAAACAAACATGACTTACACACAACAACCCCCCGCCAACAACACCATGACCGTTGTCGAGGAGCCTGAGCCCGCGCATGTCTCGGTCAAGACGAAACCAGGCGATATCGAGATGGCGCAGCCTGGTGTTGCGCAGCCTATGGGTATGTTTATGTTATTCTCTTCTCTCTAATCTCTTCCGCTGCTCCTCGCGATCCAATCATACTCCCCATTGCCTCGTTTCTGTTTCTTCCGCCGCAACACTTGCCACATCTCCTCATCATCGCCCACAAGTGCCTGGCTTAGTTGATCCTTCGAACCACCTTGCTAACTACCAATTAATAAAATAGACCCCATGCGCCCTCACGACGACTCCACTATTGGCCTCCGCGGCGGTGATCGTGGCGGGATGTGCCCTGGTCGCTTCTGCTTCTGCATTCCGTGCCCGATACCGTGCGATTGCTGCTTTATTCCTCTTTAATCGAGACGGAAGACGACTGCCTGAGGTCTAAGCAGATGATGATGCAGAGGTGACGATACATACGATGATGGAAAGAAAAACGAGATGAAGGAGTTGTTTAATGATGGATGGATGGACGATGGATGATAATGTTGATGATACCACTACGCTTTTTCTTGTTTTGTTGCTGTTTTTCTGGAGATGGAGGAGGGGATGATGGGGGTCGATGTTGGACGACTGCCGATAGGTGGTTGGACTTGGAGTTCTGGTTCGTACCAGCGCATTCGTGTGTCCAACGAGTCACGACTTTGTTTTTTTCTTTTTCCTATGGAGATATCTTCGTTGATAGTCTCAAAAGTAATGACGGTTGGCTGGGACGGATGTACGAACTCTTCTGTCTTCACACGAACACGAGAACAGAAGAGGCAGTGAACGCTCAGCTTGACGAGTAGTAATGAAAGCCAATGAACATCCCGGGATTCTCTTCCAAGTCGAATAATAGCCGTCCAGTCATTGGTGCTCCGCAAGTGCTAAGGAATGCTAATCAATGAATGTAAAGGTCAATTCTACTCAAGCTGGTTTCACCGTCTTCATCATGTTGGTTCGCCACGACCTCCAACGCAGCTTCAGATGCCACGAGAAGACTACCTCGCGTGGGGAGTGTCTCCCGGGAGGCACAACCCGGTAATCGTGTGAAGCTCATGTCTGAATTGATATGTAAAATGCACAATCATACAGGAAGTGCGAACCACAGACAGAGGAAGAAATACTCGAGGTGATCTAATCACACTCTAGTAGTAGGGTTTCGACAAACTTTTAATACTAGGTACGCTACTAAGACATGTCGAATATCTTGTCTTGAGCATTTGGTGGTTGATATGATATAAATGATGTGACCGAGATCGTGTACGACCTTATCGCAATTTGGTTGAACTTTCCATCCATGTCTGATACTGTAGCTTTCCAACGCCTCAATAGAAAACGTAGAGATGTCCCAACTTCAACATCGTAGCCACCACACACACACATTGAGTGATTCAATTGCATCCCTCAACAAAACTCCCCACACCAACATCGATACCTCTCCCTAACCATTCACACACGAAACACCACCAGAACCTAAATATACCTAAACATATTCTCCCTCACCCCCCTCTTCATACCCACCGCCTTCCCATCCTCATACTCTACCCCCGCCGCCCCCCCTTCCCCCGCCACACTCTCCTCCATCCGCATCCTCACCTCCTCATCTAACTGCGCCTGCGTTTTTTTCTTTGGCTTTTCCTGCTTTTGTTGCTGTCCAGATAATCCCGTAGCCATTGTGATATTCGGCGAAGTAGAAGCCGAAGCCGAACTAGAACTAGAAGTCGAATAATGCGACCGAGCGAATCTCGACGCACCACGAACATTGATATTGTTCTGGGGAGACTGTATACAAGTCCAAGAAATCCACGCAGTCGAAGATGTCGCGAACGGTTTGATGGCTGTTGGAGCTGGACGGGGCTGTGGTTCGAGTGTAAAGCTTCCGGAGATGGAGGAAAGGGTTGTCCCGAGGGAGAGGTTGGGGTGCAGGGCCAAGTGGGGGATTGAGTCCTCGCTTATTGTATTTGCTGCTGCTGCTGCTGCTGCTGCTGCTGCTGCTGAGGTGAAATCGGGTGGGGGAACCGGTTGTTGGCCTGTTGCTGTGTCCATGGTGGAGTGCGGGAGGGGTTGGGTGTGGTGCGCGTCCATGGGGGAAGCGTAGTCGGGACTGTTTGTAGAGTCGGTGGTGGATTCTTTGCCTCTTGCTGCTTTCCTTCCCTCTTTGGGTTGAGATTTTTTTCTGCTGGTGGTGTTGCTGCTGCTGCTGCTGGATTCTTTCTTGGGGGCTGGCTTTTTGGAAGACGAACCTTCCGCTGCTGCTGCTCGTTTGCTACTACCCTTCGTCCGAGAACTTCTTCCCGCGTTAGTACTCGGAGAGTCACTGGCCATCTCACTGCCCCATGCTTCAGTCACGTCCCTTTCTGCATCCCGTCCTGCTCGACTGGCTTCCCACTTCTCAGCGTTAGCACTGTTGGCTTCCTCCACAGCGCAAATATGTTCAGCGTGAATCCCTTCCCATTCCTCAGGGTGTTCCATTGTTTGTTGAACTGATTGTTTGAGGGACGGGAGGATTGTGTGGCCGGTCTTTCATGCATTTGTAAGTGTTAGCCACTTGCTCTTTTATGCCCTCCTCTGTACAGTAACAAGACAGCTGGAGATAGTAATGATGATGGTGAAGGGTTAGATTGAATTGTAGGTCAAGGAGACATACAGAAGTGGAATACTTCGGAGGCATTGGTTCATCACCCTTGTCAGAGGTAGGCATGCCACGATCCTGTTGCCCGCCAACGGAGACGAAGCCTTTGCCGGCGGTTTGCTTGGCTTTGCGGGTGCCGCCTGTCTCGAGGTCGGTGACTATACCTCTTGTAACAGTGATCCTGCTGCTGCCCAGGGTGAGTTGGAGGGGAGCAGTGGGGGGTATGGTGCGTGGGAGGCGGGTTAGTAGACGTGACATTGTGATTTTTGTGGTGTTCGAGTGACTGATTTGATGGTGATTTTTCTAGAGTCAAGGTGTACTGAGGTTGCGTCTTGAGAGATGAGGTTGAGTTAACAATTGCAGGTGATGGTTGGTGTTGTCGAGATATCAAAGTTCTTGGCGTTAAACCGACCAAGTCTCCTCAAATCCACTGGCAATTGATGGTGGCGCTCAATGGCCATATATCACCGTTTAAACCTTCGGCCGAAAGACCCTGGAGCTGTGACGAGCAGTAACCGTCATTGAGGTGGTGATGTCATACCCAGATAAGGAATAAGCTGTTTGCGATAAGAGCTCTGGCCAACTACCTAACGAATTGCTCTCTTCATCCCATCTTGAGCACCTTGACGGCCATTGCGCTGAGGACACTCGGAAATTTTGTCCACCTTCACGGGCACTTTGACATTCACTGGACGTCGTTTAATCGCTGGAAAAAAAACTCACCCAATTCACGGCCACCTCAAGATATGGAGAAACAGCATTAATAACCTGATGTCGGCATTATTAACTATCATTGTGGGCAGTCGTAATTAGGGTACCATAATTCCAGCCAAACACCAACACCAAAAGAGAAACACTGTACACTTATCTATTCAACACCTCCATTATGTACATCCCCTTTTCCACTCCAGTTGTTCATCATGACTCGTCATACAATTACATAGGCAGCTCGCACAGAACTGCGTGCAAAATCACCCGGGTATAAACATTAAAGAAATTGTTGCAACCCCTTAACCAGATTGGTACATGCCAACAGCATAAACGTGAGGGTTCAGCTGCGTCAAGTTGTACGGAGTAACATACAGATCCTCATCAGTCAAGACAAGGAAGATCGTACCGTTGATAGCCGGGTTGCCATCAAAAGTGCTGACATCAGGCTGGACCGTGTAGGCGCTGTTGCCCTGGATGTTCTCCAGAGGCGAGTACGTGACGTTGAGCTGCGAGACCCACGCGGCAAACTTGGGAGCACCAGCCTGAGTGTCGGTAACATACGAGTTGTTGGGGCCGATGGGCTTGCCGGGCTCGTCCCACTCGAGGAAGACCTGGCGGCCGGGGTACGAGAGGGGCATGGAGCGGTTGCGGGTGATGCCGGGGGCGCACGAGACGCCGACGTCCGTCGACTTGGTGCAGTCATCGCTCTCGTCAATGTCCTGGTACGAGGCCGTGTTGGCGTAGCCGCCGTCCGTGGTCTCGTTCCACACGTAAGAGCCGTTGATGCGGAACGGGTTGGGCTGGTTCAGGATGTTGAGGGCAGGGTAGTTCTGCCAGATCAGACGGGTGTTGTTCTCGGGGCACGAAGAGATGTAAGGGGCGAGAAGAGACCAGGCCCAGGACTGAGGAATGCCGACCTCGAACCATTCGGGCATGGGGAAGAGACCCTCGAACTGGCGGAAGATCATCTGCTGACGAGCCTCGGTGGTGATGGACTGCAGCAGCAACTGACCGACATCGTGGGCGTTGAGGTGGTTGAGGAAGCCGTAGACACCGGACTCACCGTAGCGAGTCAACTTTTGGCAGAAGTCAATGAACTCGTGCACGTTGGTGGCAGGGTAGTTGTAGGTGCACTGGTTGGGGGCAGAGGGGCCAAGAATGTTGCTGAGCAGAGTAGCGTGGCCGACTTCCTGGTCTGCCATGAACTCAATCAAGTGACGGTCTTCAGCAGTGAGGCCGGCCTCCTCAAAGTCCTCCACTGAGAATGTGGCGAGACCCCAGTGGAAGAGATCGAGCTCAATCCATTCCTGGTGAAGGGCCAGGGCAATGGACTGGTAGTCGAAGTCGGAAAGCACTCTGTAAACGGGAGCAGAGCCGTTGGTGCCAACACCGCCAGCCGGAGTGTAAGGGGCAGGCTGAGGAGCGTGAAGTTGCCCATCACTCGGGTACTTGAAAGCGTCTGGCCCTGGGGGAAGAGCTGGAACTGATGGAGCAAGGACTGAAGTCGACAAGGCGCCGGTGGTAAAAGCGGGTGGCCCTGTGTAGGTACCATGAGAGGTTACATTGGTAACGGGCTCGACCACTGCCGTGATCTTGGGGACCGAGAAGGTGGTGGTGGGCTCCGAGTAGATGGGAGCGGGAACGGCAAGCGATCTAGCAGCGAGGCCGAGAAGGCCAACGCCTGCCGAGAGTTTGAACCCAGCCATTGTAACTGATGTGGTGTGGTTGAAGAGTGTCGAACGGGAGCGAATGCTAGGAATGCTCGATGTCGACTGTTTGGTGACTTGATTGAAACGAATTTTGGGTAAGCCGGGTCCGGATGCTGTCAAATTATATGTTCTGTATTCACAGCCAAGCAAAGGCTCCCGGAGGGTTTGCACCGCGTCGTCAAGGGTCCTGCCATGCCAAAACTACATACCTAGAGGTAGTACTCCGACCCAGGCGTCGGATGTGCCTGCGAGGTGAGTTGCTGTACCATCATCATCATCATCATCGATGATTTCGTTGATCTCGACCTAGGGCACCTGCCAGTCACTCAGTCACACGTCAACCAACCAGGGTGTTCGGCTGTTGTGCCTGCCCACCGAGTTTTACCCCGAGTGTCTCTGTTGACTTTTGTGTCTTTCCCTATATGAGAGGCTGACGCTAGCATTCCGCACCCGGCCAGGCTTGAGGATCTGCAAACCGTGGACCCAAAATCCCAGCAGATCCACGAGGTAGTGTACACCACATCGGTGTGCAAGGAAGGCAGTTGCTGGTCGTCCGCTGACGGAGCTTCGTCGTCATTGACGGTCATGGAGATGACTGACCAGGCCAAAAGCTCGATTGGTAATGGGGGCGAATCTCCGCTCTCGGCAGCTCAGAAGACGGGAAATTTTGCTCTTGTTCTCCAAATGGCATTGTCCGAACACAGCCTGGAAACGGACGTTGCACTCGCTGGCACCCTTGAATTGACCCCTTATTCCTCTGAAAACGGGAAACACCCGAACCATGTTTTCCATTGAGTGGTCCGATGTGAGTCGCAACTACTTTGCATCGCAAGCTTGACACGGATCGTAGGGAAAAAGGGGTACCATCGAAGCTGAACCTGCAATGGTCCAACAGGAGGAGGCTTGCCCCAGGAGATGGAGGTGTCGTTGAAGCCAAGGTCAGACAACGACCCGACCTAGTAGGGGAGGCTCTTCATGGTCAATGTCCCGAATGGGCAGAGACAACGAAGCTGGGAGTCCCTTGATTGGGCGCCACATGGTTTTCGTTATGCGAAAGCTGGGGTAGAAATCAACACAAAAAGTGGGAAGGCGGGGATCGTTACTAGAGAAAGCTTTAAAAGATGAAGAAAAGAAGTCATGACGACATGATGATGTGCCTCTTTGTACCTGCTGCCAGGGGGGGCCGGCAGTGGTGCAGTGTAATTGGGGTTCTCCGGCCCCACCTTGCCGGGGCGGCCAAGCTACGTACCGCTTCAACATATTCAAGTGCCGAGCCGCGAGGGCATTTGTTGTCTATCCCCAACCTATCTACCGGAAGAGAAACAAAAGAATCACAATTCTGGGAAAGATCCATGTACCGTACATGCCGCTTGAAACGATGGATTCATACACTACAACAAGAGCTGGTACCGACATGCTTCACAGTATAAACATATCCATGTTAGTATACCGAGAAATGAAACAGGATATTAGAATCCAGAGAGGAAGATCTCACGACAGGTACGTTGATGCTCTACACGTAATCTGGAGAATCAACGCATCTCGATTCACCACCAGCCACGAAGTGAAGATCATAGGGTGTACAACTAGATCAGCAGTTGTTTGCTGCGGCTAAGTTGTGTCATCTGATGTCAGACATGTCTTTGTGTCTGGGCGGCGATCCGGCACACTCCAGAATTGACCACCAGCATCCGGAGCCGCAAAGACCCAGTTTCCCGGATAGGAGTGTAAGTGAATACTAACCATTTTCAGCCAGGTCGACAGGTTTTGATGGGTTTGCTTGTTTCGACAAAACAAAACTAGCGCAAGAGAACTTGATGAATGCCCCTTGAAGACACTCGTATATGTGGATGCTGTACGATACACCCGTCAAACGTGATATTATAAGGATAGTTATGCAATGTTCAAGGTCTTGCCTCCGCAAAGCCTAATGAGGTTGGTGCGGGCCGAGGCAACGACAGATAAAGGGCACCGGTGCGAAACTATAGAGACGAGGCAATGTCCGGGAAGATCGACTCCCGTCCGTATCATAGTCCGGTCGCAAAGCAAAGGTCGAGCAGCGTGACAGGCCCAAACATTTACCTGTTGGGATCCGCACCCTTCTCAATAAACAAGACAACCGCATCCTCCATCCCCTTTGACACCGCCGCATGCAATGGACTCGTCCCCTTCAGATCTAACTTGGTCACATCCGCACCCTTGTTCACCAGCAGCGTCACTGTATCCATCCGCTCACCCTCAATAGCGCAATGCAGCGGTGTCCGTCCCGTACTATCATGCGCATTAATGTCACCTCCCTTGTTGATCAAAATCTCCAAGATCTTGTTCTGCCCCTTCAACGCCGCCATGTGCAACGGTCCCGACGGCGGTCCCAGCGGGAACACAGGGTTACCCACCACCCCGCCGCCACCGACCTGATGGAACTTTGGCGGCGGCACCGGCGGCATAACCTTGGGCTTCTTCATCCTCGCATACCGTTCCGATTGCGTCTCCAGCGCGCGTCCACCGGCCTGCAACCTCCGATACCGACGGTAACTGGCAATGGAATCCATATTGTTGGGGTCCAGATCGTGATTGTGCTCCTCGCACCGCACCTCGATAAACCACTTGCTCGCGTGCCGCTTCTTGCACACCAGCTTCATCTTGGCTGGACACCCGATCTTGTGCGTGGGGCGCTTGCGGATGCCCGTGCCACTGTTCTTGCACGTGCCGCCGCGGTCGCACATCAGATCGACCCGCACTACTTCGGAGCCTTTGGCATACTTGCCGCCTGGGTTCTTGGCTTTGGCGCACCCGGATTGCACCAGCATGTAGCCCTGGCTGATGGCGTACTCCATCACGGAGCTCATGGCTTGCTCGCGTGTATCATAGGGCCCGAGCATCAGGTTAGGACGCACGGTGGGGAGACGGAGCGGCGTGATGGGCTGCACGAGAGGAGCTTTGTAGTCGGCTGACCCGGGCAGGTTTCCGTTCGCATCCGGATTTAAGTTTTGGCCGTCCGCGGGGTTGGCGGTTCCGTCGCTGCCGTCGCCGTTGGGTTGAGGCGTGTCGTTGTTGGAGCTGACGTCGTTCATGGTCTCGTCTTCCTCGTCCTCGTCCTCGTCTTCGTGTTCCTCCGCTGCCTCCTCGTCAAGCATCGTCTCGTCTGGGGTACCATTACCATTGGTACCCTGTGAGTGCTGCTGCTGCTGCTGGTCAACCTGAAAGGCCGGGTGGTTCAGCGGATCATGCACATAGAATTTATCTTGCTGTTGCTGTTGCTGTTGCTGGCGGAATTGCTGGTGTTGCTGGCGAGTCATCCCCTTGCTGCGCTGGGGCCGTGACTTTGCCTCTTGTTCAGCGCGCTGCTGTTCCCGTTCCTGGGCCTTTCTTTCCAGCCATGCTTGTTGCTCGGGAGTCAAGTTCTTTTGCGGTGGATTAAACTGTGCTGCCGCTAGACTCGAGTGCGGCTGTTGTTGTGGTTGTTGTTGCTGAGGTTGTTGTTGCTGCTGCTGCTGCTGCTGCTGCTGCTGCTGCTGCTGCTGCTGCTGGGTTTGTGCTTGATGTTGTTGCTGCCCGTCGGCCTCGGGAGACTTGGCATTTTGAAGCCATTGGTGTTGGTTGGGATAGTTTGCCTGGGCACCCCAGTACGCATTGCCGGATAGTTGTTGATCTCGTAGGATCTCTTCGGGAGTTCGAGGTTTCTGGGTAGGTAGGATCTGGTGGTATAAGGGCGCAGATGTTTGGAGAGCCAACTGTTGCAACTGTGACTGGGTGTGAGGTGCAAAGAGGTTTGGCAGCTGTTGCTGTTGCGGTTGTTGTGGTGATTGTTGAGGTTGCGGCGGTTGTGGTGATTGTTGTTGTTGTTGTTGTTGTTGCGGTTGCTGTGGTTGCTGCTGCTGTTGTTGCTGAGTAGATCGCTGGGGCGGGATCGGAGGAGGGTGGATGGGGGTTTCGACCCGAGGTTGGCGCTGGGGAGTCCGGCTGGCGTTTTGCTGCTGTGGACTTTGTTGTTCTTGTTGATGCTGTTGCTGTAGATGCTGATCCTGTTCCCGGGCAGAGAGTGAGTGGTCAGCGAAGAAGTGCCAAGACGAGTCATATGAAAGTCAGAGGATTCGGTTCCATACCGTGACCTGGGACTGCTGGGCCAGGTAGCTGCTACTAGTATTACTATTACCAGAGTTGTTGCCCGACATGGTTGGTGGTGGTGGCCGCTTTGTTCTTGTGGATTGGTATCTGGCGATAGATGGCGGTAAAAGCACAGGCAAGGAGAAAAGGCGGGAGACCGCGGATGATATCCGGAGAGTCAGATTTGTTGCGTCGTCGGCGAGGACGGGCCAATCGTATGCAGAGGTCTGCACGTCTTTGTGGGGCATGTGGCTTGTCCAGCCATTCGCACGGACCTTTTTTCTATCTTCTGCATATCTGCCTATCGTCCAAGCCTCCTAAAGCACAAGCGCCAACTTGTTCAGCGGCCACAGCGCGTCTGCTTCAGTGCTTCAGCCTTCAATCCATCCCTTCGACCAAGGCGGGGTTCATCCTCTTCATCCTCTTTTCACACTTCTTCCATTTTTCAACCATCACAAAGCATCTTACAGGCCACCTTGGAGACTCGATCTCATTTGTTTCCAACATGACAGACACAATGGCCCGAATCTTAGTTCCTTTGTCGTCTCCTGATGCTCTGGATGGGATTCCATTGTTTGCAAAGTTGAGGCTTGCCGGATGCGGCCCATTAGCCCCCGACCGCTTCTGTCCCAATACCTCTTTGTGTCAATCTTAATGTTGTCCTTAAGCTGAATGTCAGAACGATGCTCAATCAAGTCATTTCACCAACCACTATTTTCTGTCACACGTCGAACCCTCAAACCTTGACTTGACCGTTCGTTTTGTTTCTATGAGTTTCTCAGCGCACCGCCAGGATTAACAGTCGGCATCTGATATACCATCTCCATCCACAATGCCGCCCAAAAGATGGGCTGCGAAAGGTGCGGCAAACAAGGTGGTACCAGATCAGGAAAGGAAGAAATACAATGACTACTATTACTTTTACCGAAGGGGCGAACCCGAACGACGGCGGAACAAAGTCAAACTGGCAAGCCAACCCGTGAACTTGCGCCTACATCATGGAGTGGTTCCGGATGAAATCTTTCCCTGGAGAACGAACGAGGGGCTACAACGCTACGACGAGTATTACGCCTATTTAGCAGAACAGAAGGACCAGATGCAAATTGACCAGAAGGACAGCTGGGACAGCAAGGACAATGAAAGCGAGGAGAGTGAAAGCGAGGATAGCGACGACGAAGAAGAAAAAGAAAAAGCAGAGACTGAGAAATGGGAAACGGCCAGGGGGCTGACCAAGGACATGTACGAAAAGGGAGCTGGCCTGCACTTTTGCAAGATTCTTGGGGCTGGCGGCATGGGCATCATCTGCGTTTTTGTCAGCTACAACGAGACCCAAACCCCTACCTTCTGGACTGTAAAGAGAGACATAGGGGGCTATGACGAGGTGGCTAGGGAAAAGGAGACCACACTGGTTAGTTGTCCTTACATCGCCGGTTCTTGTTTTCGAGGCTTCTATCTTTTTGGGCCTTTACTAACCAATGGATCGACAGACCTTACTCCGCGCGCCCCATATTGTTCAGGTCTTCCATCCTGACAAGGAGAAACCTCAAGACACAGATGACGACGAGCCGCTGGCGCGGCGGCCAAAGAAGCGGGCAAGAACAGAGCGAAGCCAAGCTGAAGTACGAAAGGAGAGTCGCGCTACCCGGGCAGGGCAAAGGGTCGCGTCCATTGCAAGAAAGGCGGGTACAGCGGCGCGTCAGCCTCCAATCGGACCTACCGACCAAGTAGAGCAGGTTCCCAAGAGCATGGTTATGGAATACGTAGCAAGGGGCTCCCTTTACGACTGGTTGGAAGGACTAGGGAAATTAAAGGCCGGGACGGAACCGGATTTGCGCATTCCAAATCGAGTCCTCTGGGATATGATGGCTTGCTGTAAGTCGTTCTTTTCAGTCACTCATATTCTATCCTATACTAACAGCTGCTATACAGTCATGAAAATGTGCTTGGCCATGGAGTATCCCCCTTTAATTTTTTTCCCTAATCTTACGGGGCCTGACCCTTTGGCAGAGGATTTCGTCTGGAATACTGATGATCGTGATGACGGGAACATGGTACCAGAGCTCAATCCAGGACCACATAATGGTTATGTTGACAAGCCAGCCGGAACTAGTCTCATTCACTTTGACATTGATCCACAAAACGGTAAGCTTCACCCAAACCTTGCGGTTCATGACTGATAAATGCTGATGGCGGTGACACTCAGTGCTCATCGGGGATTTTGATTCGGAATCCAGGGAAGGCAAGCATAGGGTCAGTCCAACACATCCGCTTTTCGAAAGGATGACCGATACTCATGATGGGACGCCTATGTTCAAGCTAATTGACTTTGGGCTCGCCCGAGATATGAGCGTTGATGATGCATGTCGCCGTAATCTGTAAGTATAAATGAAGTGTCTTGATGCATACCTCTACCGAGACTCGTTTGAAGCTTACTCTTCTCATTCATACAGAAAAGATCTCTGGGCCCATCGCCGATGTGGCAAACCAGGTTTCTATCTCCCGGTAGGTATCCGTGTTTTGCTCACTTTCTTTGATAGCAGTGACGCTGACATCTTTTGCCCTCTGTGCCTAGGAACAATTCACCAGGGAGTGGGAAGCGATCGTAGAATCACCCGATGCTCAACAGGCGAGGGTAGCCGGACAGTATAGCTGGAAATCCAATCTATGGCAACTTGCATTGGTAAGTCCCGTTCTCTGCCTCTACTCCATCTCCCTTTACGCCCTGACCTTGTCACTAACCTTATATCTACCCCCAATGACTATAGATCATGCACATCGTCATAACTTTCCGATGGAACCCAACTAATACCATTCATCCCCTGAGAGACGCGGACTTGATATACGGCCCGCCAAACGACTTACCGCTCAAACGGCAGCGCAAGAGGTCGTACCCGACTTATGGCGCCCACTTGCTCGACCCGCAATACGACCATGTGCCCATCCGGCTCCGCCACCTGGTCGCCCGCTGTCTGTGCGAGATTCCCGACGATAGGCCGAGTTTTGAGGAGATTCGCGCCGAAATCCAGTGGGCATGTGATCATGAGAGTGCGGAGGAAAAGGAGGCGGCAAGACAATGGAGTCGAACGCACTTTGAGAAGCCGCCGCCGCCCGTGATTCCGCCGTGGAAGAAAGTGGAATCGGTACGTTTCTGTTCCGTATCACCTCAAGACTAAGAAGCGGTAGAGGTATTCCCTTGACTGAAGAGTTACTAATTCACCTGCTTGTTGTACAGTGGGCGAAGCAAAAGACGATCTTGCGGTTTGACCAGTATTTGGAGAAGTACCCTCCTAAATAATAATTTGCAGAGGCTCAAACGGAAAGTCAACTTTTTGCCTTTTTAGGTATTTTTCTACTCATCTCACAGCATCCATGGAGTTGGTCTGCATGTTCTTGTCAAGTCCATGACGATTTCGCTTGAACGAGCTTCCTGCATCACCCTATCATACTCACGCCATATAGGGCAGTGTACCACTTCACAAGTTCAGGACTAGGCGTATACCTAAGTCTCCACATATCTCCTTCCCCAAGTGAACCAGAACTGATGAACTCTCAAACCCCAAACTTCTTATAAAGCTTATACTTGACCGTCTTGAACTCGGGCTTGAGGGTCTGTTCCGTGTTCGGTTCCACTTCGTGCTATTTCCCCTCTTGTCAGCATCCATTCTACCGTCAAGTGTAGTAACAAAGCAGAGAGATAGGGTTCACATACCACAGCCAAATACTGCTTGATACCAGTACCATCACAACAGTTATATGCAGGAGCAGTGTACTTGAGCAGTCTCGACCGGACCGGATCTGAGCCTTCCCAGCCCTTGCGGGAGTAGTCGAGGAGAGCAGACGGGTGGGCGCCGGGAACGTCGTAGCCGGGGATATCAGAGGAGTCGACAGGCACAAGGATTACGTCTGTGTCTTTGGAAGAGTCTGTGGTAGTTGTTAGCTTGTTCTCTTTTTCCTTTTCCCTTTCCCACCGGTCTGGTATTCGACCTTCATTCATCCATCATCCCGTAGTAATAGTTGGAGTATCACTCAACGCATCCCATTCCACTTGGGGTTTCCAGTCAACTCTTCCCGTCCCTTTTGATCCCCTTCCACCCCTCCGATATCATCCATCAACTCAACCCGTCCTCACTTCCCCACGAGTTCATCCCATTCCATCCTCTTCCCTCCCTCCCTCCTCCCCTCTTTCCCCATCTACCCCAACTACCCCAGCTCAAAATGACATCAAACTTACCACTTTCCTTTTCACCAACAACCTCCCAAAACCCCAGTTCCCACTTCGCTACCTCCATCGCATTTCCCCCACCAGGCAACATCTCATGCACCAACGGCGCCTTATACAGCCCGCTCTCGGGCCTACTGGCCTTTGCCACGTCCGGAACGGGGTACATGGCCAGATAAAGCCACTTTTCGTTCTTGGGGTAGGTCACTTCGTTTGCTGTAGTGCCCGCAGCAGAGGAGGAGGCAAAGGAGGAAGGATTAGAAGGATCGAACCCAGCGCGGGCATAGCGAAAGGCAGAAGTAAAGCCGTCAGAGCGGCCGAGGCGAAGAATGTCGGGGATGTGGACTTCGTTGTACCATTTGTTGAAAGTGTCGTGGGAGGTGGAGAACGAAGGATGGGTAGGGCGGGAGAAGACGACGAGGTAGCCTTTTTTGGGGGATGTTGACATGGTGATTTGGGGAGGGTATGGAAGGTGGTGGTGTTGGATGGGTTACTCTGGGTCGTGTCTGAGGTTGATGTTGTTGATGAAAAGACAAGAACTTAGGTTGAGAGGTTAGGAAGGGATGACGTTCATGTTGAGGTTGGAACTGACCAGAGGACCGGGAGCAGAAGGCGGTCTACTATGTACATATGTCCTACTTATGAAGTGCACTATGAGGTGGCAGTGTGGAGTCAGGAACCGTGCATCACGCAACGACTGACGTTGACGAGGACAAGGACAAGGGCAGCGGGATGGCTTACCTTACTTGTAGGTAGGAGGAAGCAGAACTGATGTCGTGTCACATGTTTGAGATTAGATAGCTGCGAATGTTTGATGCTTACCTTAAGGTAAGGGGGTTGGAAACTTGATTCGATGACACCTGTTAGAACTGGCTCTGTCAGGAATCGGGGACGTTGCGGGCGCTGTGAATAAGGGGAAAACACGGATTACCAAAGTCCGCTCGGATCCGGCGCACCAAAGACGGAAAGTGGGGCCGTGGTTCGGGACTCGGCCGGGACCCGGCAGCGGGGAAGTGGGGTAACGGTCCAGTGCTGGACTCTGCGACAGGACCCATTCTGATCCCAAACCATAAAACAGCGAATTCGATTTCCCATAGCATCCAGAGGCGATCCATGTGTCTTTGATGCAATATATTCATAATTCATAGGTGTCATGACGTCCTGCACTCGCCCATGCGCAAGCAGCACTCAGTGTGCAGTCGCACTCGCCTTCGCACTCGCACTTTTTCAGTTCCCGATTCCCTTGAGTGCCTTCAGTTCCCTCTCATCGATTGCCATTGTAATCGCGCACTCATCCCCTTCCTCCCACTCCCACTCCGGTCACCCCCTCCAACCCTTCCAACAAAGAACCAATCAGTCGCTTACTGACTAGCACCCAAAGGCGCCGTACCCTTCTTGTCCCCCTTCCTATAAAACATATACCCCAAAGCAACCACAACACCAACAACAGTGATTGTCCCGGCTCTCCTGTTTTTTGAAGGTCAGCCAATCTGCTTGTCCCTTCTACCCGTAAAGCGTAGTATCGGATATAGGGGTACGCACACGTTGTATCGGTTAGGTTTGGTAGCGGGCTCTGATCCCTTGACGCCACCGAGTTCGTCGCCGTTGGAAGAGACGGAGCGGATTTGGGTGAATGCCGGTGCGGTCGTGCGGGCAGTAGCAGCGGGGACGATGCGGCGCGCGGCGATGGGGCGGAGAGCGGAGGTGGAGAGTTTGATGGCGGACATTTTTGTGATGGTCTGATAGTTGCTCGCTTGACTGGTAGATATGAAGTGGTCGTTGGATGGTTACTCTAGATTCGGATGCAGGTTGTAGTTATGTTGCTGGTGATGATGAATTGGCCTGGAACTCTTTTTCCCAAACAAACCTGCAGCCGTTCCCATCTATTTACTTTATACCTCTAGCCGTCGCATTCACCCGCCATGGGGCCATTGATGTTCATTGATTCCCGCTGGTGACGAGTGTGCATCTCCGCATTGGAGAATGCCCCCACTTATCCTTATTATTCGATTGGCTGGATTACAACAGGAACACTGGGCCTGAGCAGCTGCAATGCCGGGACAGGAACGATGACATCATGTAAACTGGTCAACTCTGCAGGTCCATCGGAATGAACAAATGCATCTCCATACTTGTCCCCAGGTTCACGACTACTAGTACAAGATGGTTCACAAACGTATGGATGTGCGTGTTCGGATCATGTCGGGCAGCCAAGTCAATACCTACGCTCGAGCTACCTACGCTGCCAGCGGCCAGTTGCCAGATGTCACTTGCACCAACAAGTGCTGAACGATGATGTGCAAGTCCAGTTCCCTATCAAACCCTTGGAAACACAGCCCATCGTCCTAAATGCAAGAGTTACCGTACCTGCCACCGCCCATTAGACGCGCCCTTCCCCAGACATCGGACGACGTGACTGCTGCCTGCCTCCCTTCCGCGACCGCGGGCGCCCAGACTGGACCTGACCCAGCCACCAGTAGCAGGCACCATATAAGGTCCGCTACCTAGCTCGTCTACCGCAACGGGGCCCTGTCGTCTTATGGCGCAGTGGTTCCTGTTGATGAAAACATTGCCGGGTGCGCGGTACTCGAGGTACAGTTTTCGTTGGTCACAGCTGGGGCGTTGTGGTTCGTTCCACAAGCTTGCCTGGGCGACTGAGCTTTTTGCTTCGCTTGTTCAACTTGGTAATGGCTGACGAATTTGAATAAGATTCTCGTATTTTTCTTTTCTGTTCTGGAGGTGTAGATGGAGGGGCAATGTCATTGGGGACCCCGTTGATGACCAGGACCTTGTCGCCGCTCCATGCCCTGTTCTTCGCGATAAACTCACGTTGATGGTCTTGATCTCGTATGCCAGGTAGCCAGACACACCGAGTCCACTTGCAGCACGAAATCCTGATTATGTTGATGTCATGAACACAATGAGAACAGCCATGTATCTGCAGTTCAACCAGTCAGCCAGCCGCATCACACAAATCCAGAAGTATACAAAGAAACGTCAAACTTACGCAGCACAACTCCCAAAGATCTCATGCTTCTTTGCCCTCGTACACACACTCAACACCACGCCAAATGCAAACGCGCACGCAACAATCAAGCCCATGATCTTGGCTAGCGTCTGTCCAGTTACTGCCGCGCTGTTCGTCCCTCCGTCTGCCGGGCCTGAGCCTTCCTGGGTCCAGGAATAGAGCGGGACTAAAGGTAGACATAATAGGCAGAGCATGAGCAAGATCAGAATGACCATCTTGAGGAAGTGGACGCGGGCAATGGAGAAGAGGTTCAATGCTGCGTGCTTGCTGTCGGCATGGGTCTTGGTATGAGCGTTGGCAAAGATGTACTGAGAGATGAGTTAGTTTTGGGCTCAATGACTCTCGATAATATGGAAAGCTACCGACCCGTAGTGGTGCACAGTTGTACTTGACCAGTAACTGCATGATCACCCGATCAAGCCAGGCGTCGTCTCTCCCTGCTTTGAGGGTTATCATGTCGGACTGACACCCAATGTATCGCTCATGTCTAAACAGAGGCTCTTTGGCTCGGAAGAAGTTTTCGAGACTTTGGATGTCAAAACGGGATGGTCGGTCGAAATTGGCGAGGTCGTTGGACATAATGAGAAGTTCGCCTGCATCCCTGAAGGTCAGCCAAGTGTTCCATTCTCAGCATCTTTGTGTTACTGCTCCGTCTCCAGGATCTGGTTGAACTGAAGAACACTGCTGAAACACTAGAAAATAAGGAAAGAGAAAATAAAGCATACCATATGTCTTGAGTTTCTCCGCAATTTCTTCCATCAGCCGTCCCCTCACCTTCAGTCGATCATCATCCATCTCCCTCGTCCTGAGGAAGATGGCCCTGTGTTTAACATCATACTGGTCCATCCTGTGCAGCTGCACTTCGAGGGCTCGTAGTTCATCTTGCATGTGCAAGAGCGTCCGGGATTGTAGGTAGCGGAATTCCCGAAAGATGTAGCCGTCTTCATGAGAAGAGATGAAGCGGGCAAGCATAGGGTAGCCTTCTGGAGCATCGTTTACTGTGATGGTGTTAGATTTGAGTTCCGGTCACAGGTCAGCGAAAGTGTGGTAGTACCTTGCATGTTGACATAACTTGCAGGCTCTTCCATGGGATTGATGTAATCGAGATTGGGATATGGGTCAAGACTGATGCTGTTAGGTGTATTAGCCAGTGACTTGACGGTCGAGCGTGAGGCTCAAACTGAGTGTACCTACCCATCAATTCCTTTCTCTGGCCCCCCTTTCGCCCGAGTCCCTCCCTTTTCCAAGTCAACAGACCATGCTTTGTGATTTGCCCCCTCGACCTCAGAAATCCCAGTGCCCACTGACCGTATGGAAGGTTGGTACTGCTGTGAAGGCATCACGTTCGCCACCTGCGTACTTTCTAAACACTGGGCTAAAAGTGAGGCCACCGACACTCGTCTTGGATCTTGGGCACCAACAGAAGAATCTGAAACTCAATTGGGCGGCTACTCGGAGTGCAGATAATGTCAAGTGACTTTTCGACGCTTCAATCTCGGGGAGGAAGTCAAAGACATGCAGAACAAGGAAGCTTTCGCATCCCACCTCAACTCGACTTGATTCAACTGAGAACAGTGAGGACCGTTTCTTGTTCATATCTCTCTTCTCTTCTGCCCGCGACCATTCCTGTTTGCCAACTGGCAGACGGGCTGTGGCAGCATACTGAGGGGCTCAGTGTAACCATATTGGGGCGCTTGGGGGAGACTTGTACGGATTTGGAGGGTTTGACTGCATCGAGTGCTACCAAGCATCCGTTGCGTGCGTTGGGCTGGTCAGGGGTAGGTATTGAGGCGATCTGGGATCCTCGACGCGGGATTCGACGGGTTTTGGCAGATGGGACTCAAGGACCTTGCAGCTGTTAGCCTGATCAGTGTTGGGAGAACGCCTTGCCATTTTCGTGGATGGCTCGACCGGTGGATTCGAGGTGGTTGACGTCTGTGATGGAAATGAGAAGATTTGCCCAATGGAATCAGTAAACATGGAGACAATTGAGGTCAAATGATTCTGTCATTTCCTTGCCCTTTCTCTTGATCTGACTCCTGACTATGGGCATTGAGTTGCGAGTTCAACCAGCGAGTTGTGGGTTATGACGAGGATTGAGAAAGGTGGATGGGCACTGGGGAGTTGTGGACAGCTGCATCGAGGAGTGCTGAGCCACAATTGTTGGCTGCAATTGATATGGGCTGGCGACAAGATGGATGGAATTGATTGGATGTAGGGGTTGAGCCAAGTTGGACTCGTGATGGTCGAGAACATTGAAGCAACTGCAATGCCAAAGGAGAAGACAGGGACGTTTGGCAAAATCAAACCGTGTCGTGTTCATGAGGAAAAGGAAGTGGACAATTCCATCGAGTTGAGGATTGCTCCTTCTATCTCTTGTGTAAGAAATGCAAACCCAGTTCTAAAATTCCAAAATGTCAATCGTGCTTGCCGTGCCATGTCATGTCCCAATGCTACTGCCAAATCCCACTGAAGGGCTCCTCCATATGGGGGGGTATCAATGTCCCGTGTAGTGTAGCGCCCGAATACTAATGCAATGTCGTGTCGGTCATCTCCCGTTCTGATCCATCCCCGTCTTTGATGCAAAATCCCCGCCGCCAACTCGGAAACAGGTGTAGAGGTATCGTCAAATGCTCGCAAGAAACCACCAAATGCAATGCCCGAAACAAGAGGAGGAAAGGTCGTGAAGCGTCGATGTCCCGTGTCCCCGAAGAAGTGAAGAGTTGATGAAGAAACTGGGGGAAAGTGGAAGTGTCCCACTGTCCAGTCGCGTGTCGATCATGGGCCCCCGGTAAGCGCCCAGACGACCAAACTGGTGTCTGACTGGCTGCAGAGAAATGCCCCTGTCTTGCGGGGGATGCGTCGACCCGATGGGGTGTGTGTTGAAGAACTCAGAGAACGAGCTTGTAGCGTTTGAATGTTGGTCTGGGGTCGTCTATCGACACCCCCTTTATGCTTGCACACTTGGACTTCTTGGTGGCCTCCGAATGAGATGGAGATTTGGATCCTTCCTTGGGTTTGGGAGACGATGGCTTTTTCGATTCATTCTTGGGAGAATAACGGTTGACGTCCTTGATCGTCGGGAGTGTTCCTTGGTCTACTTCCCCATGACGTGCGTTGTCGGGGTCTATTACGGGTTTGCCATCGCTATCACGAATTTTACCTTTTCGGTCCTGGTGGTTAGTATGCGTCTTGTGTGCGAATGATGAAGAGATCTGGTGGGTGGGCTCACTGGCGAGAACACGGGCATCCAGAATTGGAGCGGAGCTTGTCTGATTGGCCCAGTCAGTGTTCTGCAGAGACATGGATGGGAGCGATATGCAGAGCAAATGCAAAGTTGTGCATGTGCTACAAGAAATTCTCACATTTGTATTATCGTAATGCCCACTGACCCCTTTGGGGTGAGGTGGTTTCTCGCCTTTTTTGTCTGATGAACCCTGAGAAAGTGGGGGAGCACTGTCAGCGCCATTCGCTCTGTGTGAGTGCAGATGAGTGGTGTCTTTGGATGTCTGACAGGGGCAATCTGCGACCAAGTGGGCAATGTGACGTTGGAGGACACTCGGCCAGGTACGTACCATGGCTTCTGAATAGCTGCAAAAACACCAGAACTTGAGGTAGAATCACGATGGACCAGGCAAAAAAAACGGCGAGTTTTGGAAGCAATGAGAGCGCTGAATTCGTTCGAGTTTGAGCTTTCTAGCTATCATAGCGATCCTTCTCTCTTATAGTCTTCTACTTTCCCATACAAAAACAGCTTCTTTGTCCTGCAAAGAGCATCCAAAACCCTCTGTACGGGCTATGTCTGGTGTTTCTTTGTTGACTTCCAGCAAAATGTCAACCAAATGGTCGTTTGGACTGCTCCTGACATGGAGGTGCAAGGCACCGCTGGCGGATTTCTTTGTTCTCAAAGTCTGCCATATGTACGTTGGTTTTGGGATCTGAAATAATGCTACCCTGAGCCAGGATCTACTGTTCAGCCATTAAAAGGGTCGCTCACAGGACTGGACCAAGCCAATCAATCTCCTTTCTGGAACGGGATGTTGGTGTATCCTGGATCTTCAAAGGGGCTGAGATGTCCAAGTGATGGTCCCATTGAAAAGGATACGTACATCAAGAGCTTCTACAGGTATTGAAGTTCATTGAAGGTCAAAATAATAGAGTGTCTTGGAGAATCGAGTAGTCCTAGACTGCTGCCTTTGACATTCTACCACCAACAGGCGACCCTCTCTGTTCAGACTCCACTTGCCTCTTTGCCTTGCCCGTTGGTCACTCATGGTCTGTATTCATTGAGGACATGCCCTTGACCTGCCAGATTTCTGGATCCTCAGCTCTTTTTCGGTGAGTGACCTTTGGCGATACTATTTGGTGTTCCTGGTCACTTTGCGCGATTTCACCTGGAATTACTGGGACATGATGACATTGCTTTTAGGTCCAGCACCTTCATGCTCTTCATTGGTACGCTTCCCATATAATACATAGTACTCGTTTGTAACACATCTGAATGGGGTCTTTGTCTTGTTTACTCGGTTGATTACCCCCTTTCCTGCACCATCGATCCAGAACCAGGTTGGTGGAAAGACGAGATGACAGGCCATGTACAACGAAACACAGGCGGGTTAGGGTACCAATGCCAGGAACAGGGAACGAATCTTGAAAGCAGGAACAGTACAATGATCGATACGATGAGTGGACGACGAGTGGACCGGCATCAGTTCCCGTCGTTATCAGACGAACTCGGTTCTTTATCGGCCACCCCCACCTTCCACAGTGGACTAGGTACGTCATCGAACGATACCAATTAGTGATAATTGTTAGTGCAATCCGTGTACCTTGATGGTCCTCGCCGTCATCGCAAGCAATTCCCTCCTCTTTGCACTTTGTCGGATATTTTTCAAGACATTGCCCTGCACATCTTCCACTTTGCATCTTTAACAAACGTTCACATTGAGTTGTGAAAGACGCTAAACAAAGGCTCGGCCCGCACCTACAAAGCTCATTGTGCCCTTTTGGATCCCGAATTTCTTGCAGTGTCCCATCATTTTGCAAGCAAACAACAACACCATTGATTCCACATTCCAACCACCCACAGGCGCCACAAACGATTGACGTCTGCAAGGGAGAGCGCAACTACTTACCACCAAACCCCCATCTTGCGGCTCTTTCATCAAGACACCCCTTTCAACGACAGACCATCAAAAGTCAACACACCGACAACATGGGCGGCGCACAGATCACAATTCCCAACCCCCCTCCTCTACCATCCCACCTCCCGGACAATGTTCTCAACCTGGCAGTCCAAATTGAGCGCCAGAACCTCCCAGACAATGTCCGCGAGTCGCTGCGCGCATTCCAGCGTGCAGGATGCTACATTGCCGCCTCCATGATCTTCCTGCGCGACAACGTCCTCCTCCAAGACAAACTCCAAGTTTCGCACATCAAGCCCCGACTCCTCGGTCATTGGGGAACATGCCCCGGCCTCATCCTGGTCTGGTCGCATCTCAACGTTTTGATCCGCAACCATGACCTTGACATGATTTACCTTATCGGCCCCGGCCACGGCGCCCCTGCCGCCCTCGCCTCTCTATGGCTCGAAGGCTCCCTTGAGCGCTTCTACCCTGGCGAATACGACCGCAACGCTACTGGCTTGCGCAACCTCATCACCCGTTTCTCCGTCCCCGGCGGTTTCCCTAGCCACATCAACGCTGAGACCCCAGGTGCGATCCATGAGGGTGGTGAGCTCGGATATGCCCTTTCTGTCTCGTTCGGCGCCGTCATGGATAACCCCGATTTGATCGTCACTTGTGTGGTAGGCGATGGTGAGGCGGAGACTGGCCCGACAGCAACAGCCTGGCATGCTATCAAGTACATCGACCCCAAGGAGTCAGGTGCCGTCATCCCCATTCTGCATGTCAACGGCTTCAAGATCAGCGAGCGCACCATTTTTGGGTGCATGGACGACAAGGAGATCGCCTGCTTGTTTAGTGGCTACGGATACCAGGTGCGCATTGTGGAAGACCTGGAGAACATTGATGACGACTTGCAAAGCTCCCTGGAATGGGCTCTAGCCGAGATCAAGAAGATCCAGAAGGCTGCGCGAGAGGACAACAAGCCCATTATAAAGCCGAGATGGCCAATGATTGTCCTCAGAACGCCCAAGGGATGGACGGGTCCTAAAGAGGTGGAGGGCCAAATCATCGAAGGATCCTTCCACTCCCATCAAGTCCCCCTTCCCAAGGCTGGTAGTGATGAGAAGCAACTCCAGGCTCTAGACGAGTGGCTTTCCAGCTACAGGATCAGCGAGCTCCTTGATGATGAGGGCAAGCCTACTGAGGCCATCACTCGTGTCTTGCCCAAGCCAGAGAAGCGGCTCGGTCAACTCAAGATCACATATGACCCATACATTCCTCTGAAACTGATTGACTGGAAGCAGTTTGGCGTTGAAAAGGGCATCGACGAAAGCTGCATGAAGAGTGCCGGCAAGTTCCTCGACAAGTTGTTCCAAGAGAACCCCAAAACCCTCCGGCTATTCTCCCCTGACGAGCTCGAGTCGAACAAGCTCAACGCCATCCTTGATCACACACAGCGCGACTTTCAGTGGGACGAGTTCTCAAGGGCACATGGCGGCCGCGTCATCGAGGTTCTCTCCGAGCACAATTGCCAGGGCTTCATGCAAGGATACACTCTCACAGGCCGCACCGCCCTCTTCCCCTCCTATGAGTCCTTCCTGGGTATCGTCCACACCATGATGGTGCAATACTCCAAGTTCGTCAAGATCGCGCGTGAAGTACCCTGGCGTGGCGACCTGGCCTCCATTAACTACATCGAGACTTCAACCTGGGCGCGTCAAGAACACAACGGTTTCTCGCACCAGAACCCCTCCTTTATCGGCGCCGTCCTCAACCTGAAGGCCGAGGCCGCTCGCGTTTACCTCCCGCCCGACGCCAACTGCTTCCTCAGCACCGTACATCACGTCATGGACAGCAAGAACAAGACCAACCTCATCATCGGCTCCAAGCAGCCCACGGCCGTCTACCTCTCTCCCGCCGAAGCAGCCGAGCACTGTCGCCAGGGTGCCTCTATCTGGCATTTCGCCTCTTCACCCGACCCCAACTCATCCGCAGGAAAGTCGGTACAAGAACCAGATGTAGTCCTGGTCGGCATCGGCGTCGAAGTCACCTTTGAAGTGATCAAAGCCGCTGAACTCTTGCGCTCTATTGCGCCCACCCTCAAGATCCGCGTCGTCAATGTGACGGATCTGATGATTCTCATCGAAGAGTCCAAGCACCCGCATGCCCTGGCCAAGTCCAAGTTCATCGAAATGTTCACCGCCGACAGACCGGTGTTGTTCAACTACCATGGTTACCCGACGGAACTGCAGGGTCTCTTGTTTGGGAGGGAAAAGGCGGAGCGCATGGACGTCGAAGGTTACCAAGAAGAGGGAAGCACGACCACACCGTTTGATATGATGTTGAGGAATCGGGTCAGTCGGTTTGATGTGGCGAGTTGGGCGCTGAAGAGGGGCGCGGAGAGGAATGCGGAGGTGAAGAAGGATTTGGAAGGGCTGTTGGGTGACGTGGATAGGAGGGTGAAGGAGGTTCGGGAGTTTATTGGGAATGAAGGGAAGGGTAAGTCGAACCGAACCGGTGGAAAGTTGGTGAAAGGCAGAATGCTGACGAGTGACACAGATCCCGATGATATCTACCAACTGCCCAAGTTCGAGTAGAATTCTAACCCGCAGGAGCTATTGAGAAAACTGGGCCTGATCATGGGGATTGTGGCTTTGGGGAGTCGTGGAGTTCCTTTTGTGCACCTCATGGGGAGGGGCTCCAATTGGTAGATTGTGACTTGATGGGAGGAAGTGCTTGGGTACTTCTATGGAAGGTACTGACTGTGGAGCGATAGTTACCTCTAAGATGGCCAGGATATCGTGGTGCATTGATCGAGAAAAGTATCTTTCAATATAAAATTATTGACCATACTTATTTTCTTTCTTATCCGAAGCAACCGGCATTATCGTTTCGACATGGCAGCGAGACAAATCAGAGGGGCAGGCATTCTTGCTGCACTGGAATACTTACGGTACCTACTCTTGATGAGCCTCTTGGTAAGACTGGTCAGGTAGTGAGTTGATGGATTATTTCTACCCAAAAGGGAATGTAGACACTGAATGTATAATACCTGATTGGTCACTCCGAGTGTTTTGAGGTTTGGACGGGACCGACGGGAGCTCGGTCCACCCTCCCTCGATCCACCCTTCCGCTAAACACCCACTACGTACCACTACGTGCCACTATAAGCCCAACCACAGCACACATATAAAAAAATGGAAGCTTCGATGTCAACACTTCATCAGTTGTCTTGGCAAACCTTCACCAACTCGGCGTGGTGACACACGGATATTAGCCACGGGATTCCCGTCCAGTAAAAAACAATATGCACATTCACACCTTTTCAATTATATGTACACCGGTCCCAATCTTGTTGCTACTACTGAGCTTGAGGTGTAATGGACTGGTCGGCGGCATGGCTGACTTCGATTTCCTCCGACTGAGCATGTCCGATTTCTTGACGAATGGGGCACATCAAGTTTACCTCTTTTCTCGCCCATCTCCGACGCTTAGCGGATTGCGGAGCAGTCATCATTGATGACAAGCGCGTGCCTAGGTAGTGACGAAAACATTGTTATGAGCCCCAATCCGTTTTTTGTTTTGTACCTACTTGTGATCGTGCAAGGCTTGGAAGAGGACGAGGCACGAGGCATCATCATCCAGCCATCCGTCAGCGAGGGCTTTCCTGGTTTGGTACTTGGATCATGGGTCGAACAGTGAAGTCTTGGAGCGCTTGTTGCCCTTTCAAGAGAGAAACTGTCTCCCGCAGAAGAGGCGATATAGGACAATGGCAAGGGTTTGTGACGCCGCGGAAACCTCTGATGGGTATCAATCCCCTCATACCTCTCTCTATCTCTTTCGAGGCCCTCAAGACTAAAAGATAGGCTTTTAAGACCAGGTGAAACACTTGAGAGAAAGCCAAAATCCGTTACTCTTTATAATCAGTAAGACTTTGGCTTTTCTGTACCGGACTAACAAACAAACACACAAACAAACCAGGGCTGGACTGTATTGCTGCCATTGAACTCGTTTGTCTCTTAGTCCCAGCCAGGGAGCCAGGTAATACCAAGTCTGTGCTACTGGTTCTCCAAGGCCGGCCAAGAACAAGACGAAAAACATCTGTTGACAGCGATGGACCACAATCCGCAGAGTCAAAGAGCATGGACATCAGTGGACAGAGCGGGTGAGCTTTCGAGACATTCTTCACCCAATACGAGGTGGACCGAGATAACTCGACAGCTTCAATGCAGCATCGTAGGCTGGGAGGTAGAGCCGCTACACCACCGGCCCAATGGGGACGTTCGACACGAGAACTGTCCACGAGAACGGTATGGTGGAGAAATCTCCTGCACACACATAATGAATAATTGCTTTCAAATCATCGGTAAAAGACCGTAGCTGGGGTAAACCTCTTGTACAAAGTCAGGTCCCATACGTTGATTCGTGAATTCGGAGATGTCGAGCACAGAGCTGGGGGTGAAAAACATCGGTCGATAAAGGATCTGGACCTCTTCATCTTGGTCAATGCTAATATGTGTTGAATTAACAAGCTAGGGTACACTCTACCGTCCTCTGTTCCCGTTGAGGAGAGGTGGCAGGACAGAACTGGGATGTTCCAATCCGAAGTCGAGGGAATCTTTTCTGGACCAGGGCCTGAGACAGGTTCATTACTCGAGCTTCAACAACAGTGAATGCCGGCTTGAGGGACCCCAAAAGATCACGAAATTGGTATAGGGGGTGAAAGTTGGGGGAAAGATAGGTAATTGTTGCGCGAGGTAGTGGGTAGAAGGAATCCATGCATGATTGCATGTTGCAGACAGGCATTGAAAAGGCAAGGGCAAACGCAGCATTCAGGGAAAAGGGCGGTGAATGCCATCGTATAATCCAACGTTCCTTCCTGTTGTCATCTAAAATAAGTCCTGTTTGCTGTCTCAACGAGTGACTGTGCGTTCCGGAATGCGCCTTCCATCTGGCCCGACTCTGCAGCCTGTAATGGAAGGAACTGTAGGTGGCAAACGGTCCCGGTTAACATTTTATACCAGGCAAGGAAACTGGCTGCCGGCTGCCAGAAGTCATGTTGGATCATGGAAGTTGCCGTCATCACACCCTAAACCTTGTGTTTTTCCAACCTTCAACTCGACCCCGGAAAACAAGGATTGCAGATCATACCCGCGCCCGAATCTGCAGCAGCAGTATTCTACATGCTCCGCTGCAGAAAGATAGAGATCCAGATTCTTCGTCTTGCGCCAATTGACAAGACCGGCGAATAGGCCGCGACAGAGTCAAATTGCCAATTGATGAGGTTGCCAACTTTGGACCTTAAGCGAGACAAGCCTCGACAAGCGACACCACAAGCGCGGACGACGATACCTGCATACCCTTTACCTGCTTCAGGTTTTTGCATCTTTGCCGCCGTTTGCTAGGTCAACCCTGACATTCTAGGCCTTTCGTGCAGAGTCGCGGTGAAGTTTGACGCCTGGAAACGTCACTCGTGCTTCGTACTCCACTTGTCGCCTGATAATAGAGAATACCGCTGACCGAGGACGCATCGGAAACAGTCAGTGTAAGGAAGGACTCCATTGCGCCTTCATGGTTGCTGGTACACATCTCGGCGGATCGAAAGGTCTCATCGGCTTCCCGCGCCTCCCCGCCTTTTAGCGCCTACTATTGACGGTTCAGTGCCGCCTACAGCGCGCCCCCCGCTGAAGCACCCGACATCTGCCAACGTATCGAAACATCAAATACACTCTACTACAATCATCCCACGGGTTCATATGCACAGGGACTGTATCCGCGGTCCCGGCATCCGGGAAAAAAAAAAGAAAACTACCAAAATGATGCCCACCATGCCGGTCGCTCAGGTCTTGGCCTGCATCTACTGCGGCTCCCAACTCTGCTCAACCGCCTGTTACCCGACTCACAAGGACCAATACACCTGCCACGTCTGGCGCTGCCCTGGACGGAACCCTGTAGCGCCTGTTCAGCTTCCGAGCGCTGCCACCAGCCACGCCGTCCAAGCCCACGGAAGCGGGACCAGCCGTCCAGCACCAATCTACACAAACATGCCGTCGACCACTTTGACGTACAACAACTACCTACCCACGAACCCTCAATTCGAGGTCTCCCCACCCGCAAGGCATAGTGTCGTCGCCGACACGTTTCGGGGTGGACCACACGAGCATTCCCCTTACCAAGGCATGTGGCATGTGCAAAGTGGCAGGGGTCTCTTGAATGAAATTGGTTCCGAAAAAAGAAATATCGTTCCTTCGCTAACTGTTATACATGCGTCATAGGCTCCAAAACTACAAGGAATCCGAGGCCGCCCAGCGCCGTTATTAACGACTCTCTGAACCCATCGGGTCAGCAGACACAGGAACAAAGCAATCAGACTTTTCGGGCTTCTCAACCTCCCCAAACAGAAAGGGCAGCTGGTCCTGAAACTAGCACTAGCGGCGATCCGTCTGTCACCAATTGGACTCCAGACTTCCGCCGTGGTTTTGAAACGGGGATCGCCATGGGCACGGGCATGGGTTTAATGTTTGCTATGGGTCTCCCGCTAGCGCGCCCACAAGAGACTCGCCAAGGTCGCCGAGGCGAGCGTGACAGCGCTGCCGGGAGCCACTCGAGCCACTCGCTGTGCAACATTGCGAACGCCATGATCGATACCCGTTCCGATGACGCCAGCGACGACGCCCAAGGTCGTCCAGTGGAGAGGAGTGAGCTCCCCGCCAAAAGGCCGGACAAGGAGGAGGCCAGGGTTGACCGGAAGTTGAATGTGAATTGATGAAACCAGGCGCGGTGATTACCAATTACTAACTTGAACCCAATCGTGTCAGCGTACCGTGGCTATGGATTTGGGGTGCGGGAATGGCGGGAGTGCGAGATCGCATGGGTTTACGGTATTTACTGCATTGAGCACCGCGAAGGGGTTGCTTTTTGTCGCTGATGGTTCAAACTCGGCCGAGGGTAAGACACAATGACGGTCGAGTGGGGGTTCAGGTATACACATCGTGGGAGTCGCCGCATCCAGGAATGCCAAGGGAGCCACATCTGGACAACCACTTAAGAGAAACTCCTCCGCTATGGATGCCGTATGTACATCATCCTGGCTTGGAGGCGCCTGCAGAGCAACCGGAACAGGCGGATGGCCCGACCGGATGGAGCCTTTCCACGCCTACATTAGGTCGAGCTTTTGTGGCCCGTGGGGAGGGTCTGGGGGGGACCGCTAGCTAAGTACCTACCTTACCTACCCTGACCGGTGAATCAAAAAAAAAAAAAAAAAAAAAAAAAAAAAAAAAAAAAGAACAGTACACACACGATCACCCTTTTTTTTTTTGGAGAGCCCGTGTGTAGTCTTTTCTTTGAACGACTTGCCTGGGTAACACCCTCATCATGTTGTATCATGAAAATTCCAACAAACAAACTCTGCTAACCAGCCAGCTATGTACTATAGCGGCATGGCACCGGAGCCTTCTTTTTTCGTCACACAAACGCACACCTTGGCAAAAGTGGAGAGGATGCGACGGTCCAATCTGCCTTGTCCTCCCGACCCCGAACAGGACGCTTGGTGGTAACAGTTGATCTAATCTTGACGGCGCAGTGCATGCCGCCTGCACTCGTTTGTCCTTTTCTGTCTCGCCGATGCGTCCGTCTGTCTCTTTGGGTGAAAAGCGAGCTGACGCCGCTGCTCTGTGAGTGGCATAGGTGCCCGCCCGCACTGGCGTACAGACTGTAACCCCGGGCCGTCTGTTGCAGTCTCTGCTTCTGCCGCGAATGCTGCTTGGCGGCGCTGGGGTCTGGGGGATCCAGACGTTGTGTTGGGCGGCTGAGGGACTTTTGGATGCACGATGCATCATTTTTTCAGCTCCGGAGTTATCCCTTCGGGAACAAAAGGCAGCCGTATTAGGCATGCCTCGGTGGTGTCGTCGTGCATGGAACGGTACGGCATGGACGGGGTTGGTCCCCGAACCCCTGACTAATGCCAGGGGGGAAAATGGTGGACATGGATCCGCTGCCATGCGCTTCTGCACGTCTGCACGCGACACCTACAACTGCAGTAAAGCGTGCCGGAAGGGCGGAAGTGGCCCGGGGCGACAACAAGGTTGAACCTTTTTCGCGGAGGTCACACGGCGGCAAGATGCCTCCTTTTTGGCCCAATTCCAGGCTTCCAGAAGCATCCGAACATGTGCGAAACGCGGTCGGCGATATGCGATCTTTTCACGCTTGATCCATGCCGGTTTCCACCCATCTACCTTTTCAGCTCCATAGCTTCGCGACACACACCAAACCGAAGCAAACGGCCACATGGGATGGGATTTGCCATGACACGCAGCAGAACAAGCAAGCAGTAGTGTGTATGTACGTATGCGCGCACCATACTACACTACACTACACTACATGGTAGGGTCGTGGTCGGTGATAAACGGCAGCTACACTACACAGCGCTAGACCAGCCAGGGGCAACAGGGTTGGGCCCCATGCGGAGTCCCCCGAAAGGAGTTCGTCCATGGGCGAATTTCCTGATCGCAATGCAAGCAACACCGGCCTCCTTCGTTTTCTCAGCGACACAAACCTCAGCATTAATACCAACAATATGCCATCATTACTCAGCGAAGCGGCTATCTGCAGGCTATCGTCCGAGCTTACGTATCATTACATATGTCTACGCCGTTATTTGCGGCCTCGTATTGTGCACGAGTTGCTGCAACTCGTGGCTTCGCTTCGGGGTAAGACGTTCATGGGTTTGCCGTGTTGGTGGTGGTTTGGTTACACCTACAAGTCCGCTAAAAAGGGAATAATGCCATGGCTCGAGAAAGGCACAGCGGTGGTCCAGCTTATACATACATATACCACTATGAGCTCCCCCATCAATTCCTCGTGTGCTTTTCAGGTCCTACACTAGCATCATCATCGCTACCCCCGTATTAAGCTCCCCTGTGCAACCCACCTACCCTCGTCGACTCCAACTTCCTGACGACACACGGCCACGAGAAAAAGTTGGTTCCGACTTCCGAGGCTTGGCTAAAAACAACCACACTGTTGATTTTTTTTGGCTTTGTCACCCCCCCCCCTGGAATTTCTTGTGTCCCGTCATCTTGGACCCGTCTACCCCTGTCCGGGGAAGTGATCGAACCCATCCGTGGGGTCAGCCTAGCCATCCAGGGCCGCCCAGGACAGATCAAGAAGAGGCCCGTCCCAACTAAGTCCGGGCTTCTCGTACCAAATCTCGCCAAACCCTTCGTGGCCCGGGCAAGTTTGGAATTTGCACCAGGAGTGGCAAGGCGTCAATCCTCATTTTACAAATCGGTAGATTCACTTCAGGGACAAAGCCTGCTCTCCCCCATCCATTCGAAACCATTTTGAATTTTGTTTGGCATAATTTTGCACCCGCAAAATCACATTTTAACAACCATTTTACCAAACACCGACCCATTTTTCCCTCGGCACAGCGGCCACACCAACTACATAACACAACCAAGCCGCAACTAACTGCCCTCGACTACATCCTTCAGCCGCCAACCGAATACACACACCAAACTTTCCTTTAGCGGTCAACCGCCCTACTGCTTCACTTCACTTCATACACACACACACACACACAGATACAATGGATAATATCGAAAAACAGCCTCTAGGCGCGGCAGGGGTATCCTTCCCTGCTGGCCTTGACGACTTCCGCGCCGCCAGGGATCGGTGCGCTCACGCCTGTAGACGCTTCAACAGCATGCCTGAAGACGCTACACCAGATGTTCGAACAAGCCTCTTTCTCGAGTGAGTCTGCAGAGATGCAATCATCAGATCTTGATCATCACAGCGCGCTAACACGTTCAATAGCATCATCCGACCGGCTCGGAACAGGAAAGAAGATGGCGCTATTACCCATGACATGACTTTCCGCGACCCAACCCTCAAGGCTCTTACTCCCTTTGTCAAGCCCCCATTTTTCGTCGACTACGGGTTGCGGCTTCGGGTAGGAGGTTCGACCTTCATTAACCGGGGCTGCTTCATCATGGACACGCCTGTAGCCGACGTTACAATTGGTGAGAACTGCAACATTGGACCTCACTGTACGCTAGTAAGCGTCGGCCACCCAATTCACCCAGAGGCTCGGGAATCGCAGAGGAGCAGCATTGGAAAGCCCATCACCATCGGCAATGGCGTGTGGATCGGAGCCAACGTTACCATCTTGTGAGTTTTCCCTCGTCATTCTCGTTTTGCTTTTTCCCCCTTTATTATTTTTTTTCCTTTTCTGTGGAGACTTGTTCTCATCTCCTTTTGTTTACTTTCCCCTGCATCGGACCCACCCCCTTTTTGCCCTACCAAGGTTTCCCCTACTAACATCAGCCCCCTTTCCCCCAAACAGAGGCGGCGTAACCATCGGTGACGGAGCCGTCATTGGCGCCGGTTCCGTAGTAACCAAATCCGTCCCACCACTCCACCTCGCCATCGGCGTTCCCGCCCGCTTCCGCCCCCTCGCCGAAGTTCCCCGCAAACTCGACGCCGGCTCAACCGTCGATTCCCTCAAGGAGGCTCTTGCCTGCGGTCGCTCCTCCTCACCACTTAGCTCACAACAACAACAACCATCCTTCACTACTACTACTACTACTGCCGGCAGCTACCACCACCACCACCATCAACAACAAAACCGATTAACCCAAAGCCAAGCCGAAGAACTCGACCGCCTCGCCAAACTGTGCGTCAACCCGGCCCTCATGCGCGCCGCCACCAACGAATCCCACTACCACTTTTCCAGCCACCAGTCCATGCTTACCGAGCTCCGCTACACCGCCGGCGCACAGCAGCTCAAGCTGCGCAAGACCGAAACGATTAGTCCGAGCGATATGCCTCGCGTGGACATGACGCAGTTTGCGTGGCAGCATCATTCACACTCGTCATCATCATCATCATCATCACAACAGTGCAGCAGCGGTGGCGGTGTTGGTGGCTCCTCATCAAAGGAAGCTGGTTCATCAGTGGGAGTGCATGGAGGACATGGAGCGGGAAGGAGGAGGGTGTCGAGGATCGTGAGGGCCGAGTTGACGGCCATTGCGACGGTTACAGTGGTGGCGCTGCTGCTGATTGTCGGTATCTTCTTTGCGGGCGTGTTGTTGGGGGCCAAGAGGATCACGATTGTGGTGGATGCGGTGCCGGAGGAGTTGAGGAAGTTTGGAGGAGTGGGAGGGGTGAATTTGGTTAGGGGGCTGTAGTTCAGTCTCCGAGGGATCCTTGGGTCTCAAAGTCCGGGAGGCAGCAAGAGGTTGGTCGCATTCTGAGGCGTTTGTTTGATTTCTTCTTTCCTCTTTTTGGTCATGCTTTTTCACAGCGTGGGTTACTTACTGGTTGGATATACCCATTGGTTCAGGTCGGAGATGGTACGCGCGAGATGGCATCCAAGGCGGCTATTGGGTTTCCATTGCGTCTCTGTGGCAGGTGGCTGGGGGTAACTACTAGTTGCATTGTCATTTGGTGTTTGGTTTTTCCTTTTTTTTTTTCCCTGGCTCCTGTCTCATTCACATTTTTTCCCCTTCTATCACTATTTTCTTTTTGTCTTACTACACCTGTTCTAATATCTGGGGTCACCTTATACATCACACATCATCTGTAATATCGTCGGGCGAGGAATGTCGGAAAGGGAGGGGGGCCAATAGAATGGCCAAAGGGGAGAGAAAGGGAGCCAACAGGTTTTGGTGTCCATACAACGATGGCGGCGACAGGCGGGACGGACGGACGGAGTTTTATGGCATCGAACACGGCTGGGCCTCCCTCCATCCACAACAAATGCTGCTGAGCGGCAAAAACAACACAACAACGAAACATGGAAGGAAGGAAGGAAGGAAGGGAGGGATAACAACAACCACACATGGACAGGCGTCGAATCATCGTTATTTTTTTTTTCTTTTTTTTTTTTTTTTTGGGAAAAGAATCTTATATACCCCCTCAAGGCAAAATGGGCAAACTGGGTTTGCTGTTTTTGTTTTGCCTTGCACGTGTGCTATTATGTGTGGTTTGATTTACTTTATAGGATATATATGTACTTTTAGTCTTAATCACATTCGTTTCTGGTTGGCGGTAACCTTTTTGGCTTTCACGATTTCGTTACTTACCTATCTACCTCTACAATGAGTTCCAAAAAGCATTTGCGCGCTGCCGGATGGACGAAACATGCAGCTCCATTTGCTAGTCGCCCGCAAGGCCGCATGCTGCATAGGAGACAACTTGGTAGTTCTAGTATGCAGCATTTATTCACATCGGGCCTTGTCACTCTGACAGGCGCTGTACGCTGCATAAGGTTGCTAAAAATGACACTTTAGTAACAGCAAGAATGGTTTTGGATTGAGTCATAGTGATAAGTGATGGCCGGTTCGAGATGATGGAAACCAAGTCCACAGAGTTAGGCTCAATGGGACGCTCAAGAAGAACTGGTTGAGTAATCAAAGGCTAAAGCAATGTCTCGAACGGAGGTTTGGTGCCCCTGCATCCTTGAATTTTGAAATAGTATTTATTAAAGTTCATCATCGAAAACACTGGGTACCAGCCGCAGTAAAAAAATACTAAAACACCGCTGTTTCACTAAAGATAGAAACGTATTCATGTTCTCTAACACTAACAAAGACACACCCCGAATCATTAGTAATCGTGTAGGCAGAAACTACCAACTCCCTACTCCAACTTCTTATTCTACTGGCTAGCCATACCCTTTCCTTTTTTCGTAGAGAGCCTCCGAATAGGTCTTACCTTCCCGTCCAACTAAGACCAACTCCTCCCCAACCTTGAACTATGCACTCTCGCTCTCTGTCCTCTCAAACCGGTATGCACTCTGCCCGGCGGCAGGGGCGGCCTGTCCACTGGCTGCTTCTCCTGATCCTCACCCTCCTTCTTCTTGCGCTTGAAGATCTTGGGCATGGGAATATGCACGTGCGGCATCATGGCCTCGGCCCAGCGGTCGGGGAACTTGCGGATCAAAGCACCCCAGGGGATGGAGATGGCACCAAGTCCGATAGACATGCCCCATTCCTTGCCGTTCAGACGAGTAATCTTGAAGGCTTCCCCGCCGACGAAGATGATGAGGACTTGGCCGCCAATCATGATGGCGTTGATGGCCCAGAAGAAATAGTTGCGCGTGATACCTTCGAAAATATTGAGCTTGTTGTCGAGACGCCGGTTATTGAGTTCGTTGAAGATCTGGAGCCAGACAAAGGTGTTGAAGACAAAGGTGCTGTGACGTTTGGATTCCGTGGGGTCCGACATGTTGTAGCCGAGCAGAGAGCGGCCGCCAAAGTAGAGGCAGAGAGTGATGGCCAGCTGGGCAATGGCCTGTCCAATAATCGTCTTCCACATTCTGATTGTGATTAATGGCGCAGATTTGCGATCTGGCTTGCGGTCGAGAACGGTGTGTGAGGGAGGATCGGTTGCCAAAGCAAGGGCCGCGAAGGTGTCCATGATCAGATTAACCCAGAGAAGCTGAACTGCGTTCAAAACGGACTGTTCTTCGTCGTTGGAAACGGCGGAAATGAACGTCAAGGCTACGGCCGTGATATTGACCGTAAGTTGGAACTGTTTACCTCTCGTTAGCCATTACCTCACTCCGAATAAAGTGCACGTTGCTTACCTGCAAGAACTTCTTCACGGCATCATTTACCGCACGACCCCAGCTGATACCCTTGACAATAGACGCAAAGTTATCATCCATCAAGATGATAGATGCAGCCTCCTTTGCAACTTCCGTGCCAGCAATACCCATGGCAAAGCCGATATCCGCCATCTTGAGAGCTGGCGCGTCATTCGTTCCATCGCCTGTAACCGCCACCGTCTCACCCAGTTCCTTGAGAGTATGAACGAGGATTCTCTTGTCTTCAGGGCTCGAGCGAGCGAGAACCTGCAAGTGCGGTACGACTTGCTTGAGCTTATCTTCGGACAGCCTACGGAAAGCAGGACCCTCCATGGCAATTCCGCCCTCTTCGGGTTTGTAGATACCACATTCCTTCGCAATTGCCTTTCCGGTCAAGAGATTGTCGCCAGTGACCATACGGACGTACACGCCGGCGCGGTTACAATCCTTGATGGCGTCAATGACCTGCGGGCGAAGGGGATCCTTGATGCCAAAAATGGCTACGAGCGTCATGTCATGGTGGACCTTTGCAAATTCGTCGGCCGTCAATTCTCCGTGGCCGTTAAGCTCCGGAGGCGGCCAGTTATCGAAATCGCGGTAAGAGGAACCAATCGTACGAAGTGTTTGGCCAGCATATGAGGAGATGGTGTGCAAGAACATCTTGCGATCCGCATCGGTAAGCTCGACAGTATGCAACTCATCCTCGCTCGGGTTGGCGATAACCGTGTTACATCTCTCGAGGAGAATCTCGGAAGCACCCTTGACGTATGCGCGAAACTTGCCGTTGGGAAGTCTAACGACGGTAGCCATCAACTTGTACTTTGAATCGAAAGGAACGACCTGGACAACATCAGCATTCTTGCGCTCCTCCTCCACCGGTGCAGCGCCGAGATGGTCACGGCAGAAGGTGAGCAAAGCGACTTCCGTCTTGGACCCGATGAATGTCTTCTCGCCATCCTCATCTCCCTCAAACGCGGTCGAGTTGACAGCATTAGCTTGGTTGAGAATCTTCTTGGTAGTCTTGCTGAGTTCCCTGGTGAAATCTGCCACAGGCATATTGGGCACAGTATTTGGCGCCTCCAAACCGTTTGCGCCATTATTGATCTTCTCTTTGTCCGAGTCGGGTTCCTCCAGCGGTTTATCCGTGCCGCCAAAGCTGAGACTCTTGCCAAGAGTGGTAGCAACCACGGTCATCTTGTTCTGAGTCAGGGTTCCCGTCTTGTCGGAACATACCGTTGTCGCGTTACCCATGGTCTCACAGGCCTTGAGTACGCGGACAAGATTGTTGTCCTTCATCATCCGAGTGGTTGCAAACGCGAGGGCTAGCGTAACAGCCAGGGGAAGGCCTTCTGGGACAGCAACAACAACGACCGTAACAGAGGTGATGAAGAGGCGCAGAAAGGTCTGTCCTTTTTGGTCTGGCGAATCGTGGTTGTGCGGTAACTGGACACAGAACTTGATAAACAGCACGATGAAGAGAATCAGGGCCGCGCCACCACCAAATTTGGCAATCCAATCGGCAAGCACGTTTAGCTTCTGCTGCAGCGGGGTGTCTTCCTGCTCGGTCTGCATGGCCATGGAGATTTGCCCGTAGCTCGAGTAAACGCCTACGGCTGTCACGAGGAACGTGCCGGTTCCCTCGTTTACTTTGCTGCCAGAAATGATGAACGGGTCGAGCTTGTGGATGTCCTCTCTGGGAGGCTTCCCATCTGCGATGTCTTTCAGCGCAGCAAACACTTCGTCGGCGGGCGTCTTCTTGAGCAGGTCGGATTCACCCGTGGCGGAGGATTCGTCGCATTTGACACCATGGCCACTGATAAAGATGCCGTCAACGGGAATAAGGTCCCCTGCGAACAGATGCATTACGTCGCCGACCATGACGTCGAAAACTGAAATCTCGACAGACTTTCCGGAGCGGATAACCTTGACAGTACGGTCGTTGTGTTTCTTGTTGAGCTGGTTGAACTGCCTTTCCATCTGCCAGTCGTTGAGCGTACCCACTAGCACCACAATGATAATAGCCACCATGATAGCCACGCCCTCGACCCATTCCACTTTGGCTTCGCCTGGTTCGTGTTTGCCGCCAAAAGTCTGATATAGACCAAGCGCCAGGGAGACGACAGCAGCAATAGTAAGCAGGATCAGCACCTTGTCGTTGTACGTGGTCCAAGCCAGTTGTAGGAGTGTCTTGCTCTTCTTCTCAGGTAACCGGTTTTCTCTGTAGACGCGCCGGCGGTCGGCGTAATTACTCCCGGCCTTGTGATCGAGAGGAAGCGGCTCCGGGACAGACGCATCATGCTTGCCTGACGCAAAGGGCTCGTTGTCGCCATGCTGGCCGTACTGCGGCGTTCCTGGGGGGGCGACATCCTTGAAGGCGATGGGACCATCGACGTGCTTCTCGTCGGCGCTGAGACCAGTGTTGCGATTTGTGTGCAGCCCTTTCTCCAGGCCCTCCAGGCCGCCGAGGGCGTAGAAAGCATCGAGGCTTTTGGGGTTAAGTAGTTTTGCAAGATGGCCTGGTGTGAAGGCGAAGGGACTATTCTCAACCTTGAACAGTCCTTCCTTGCCGGGATCCGGAGTTAGGGCGTCATTCACGTTGAGCTGAAAGCCTTCGCGTTTGGGCTGTGGCAAAGCAAAGATGGTCAGCCCCCGATGTTGATGTGGTATTGCGTCAGAAGGTCTGCAAAGGGGACGCGTTTTTAAGGTAAATACAGGGACATACCTGGTTGCCCTGCGGCTCATGGTCCGCCATGAGCGCTGTTGAGTAGACGTCTTCTTTCTAGTCGATGCTCGATAAGTCGATACCTCAGCTGAGTGTGGGTTGAGAGAAGGGCAAAAGAGAAGTGAGGAAAGAGAAGAGTAAGAGAAGAGAGTTGACGAAAGCAGTGAACCAGATGGCCCGGGCTGTACCACGTCGTATCCCTGGGAATGACGTGGTGCCGTGTTTGACTACAGGAAGCACAAACCACACCACAGGGCAAGTTGGAGCACCGGTAGGTACCCTCCGCCCACTATATGGGATGGGATGAACAAAGCGGTCCGGGCGCTCTGGACTTGAATACGCTCAAGGGCCAAGGTGCACAGCAAGGCATCGATACTAGCCAAGAGGAATGCCTATCCAGGTAGAGGTAGTAACAATGGAAGGATGTTGAGATAAAACTTGAAGGTACCTCTCCCTGGCAAAATGAGGCGGTTCCTCTTCAATCATTCGGTCATTAGGTTCCTTTGCACACAAACAAGCCACATGCATGCCTGGGCCTTTGCGCTTTCCCTCAATGCATTGTTAGGTAGAAAATGCGGTCAAGTACTGTAATTACCCAACTTGCACACGGGCCTTGTCGAACGGAAGGTGCGTTGAAAAGTGAGGCTCGATCACCCGTTTTCGAGTTGGGAAAGACTGCTCGGGCAGTGTGATATTGAATTGCATATCCGGCCTACAGCCCCAATCAAGGAGAAGGAAGGCATTTGATTGCGCTTGGCACTCAACATCGGTTGGCTTTGAGAATTCGTGATTTCTTTAGATGACCTCAGGAACAGAAAAGAAAAACAGCGGTTTGTTCGCTAATACGAGTCTAATGCAGGAGTGCATCAAGGTCCGGTGTGCTGAGCTTGCTGAGGCTTGAGCCTGTGAGGTGAGAATGCGCCTGTTCAGTCATACTTCCTGCGAGGTTACGCACGATTTGTGGGGAAATTGCTTTACCGTTAGAAGTACTTCGGACTCGCTTCCGCTGTTTTCGCCCTGACCTTTGTTGAGAAGCAAGCCCAGTTCGGGCTGGCCATGATCAAGGCAAGAGGACCAGAAACCCCCCTTTTGCAATTGTAGAGGTATACAATGGGAAGCTGGTTTTGCTTTCTTGTTCCTCATTTCAATTCAAAAAGGCCAAGAATGACTGGGCGCATCGAGGAACAAAGAGCCAACCTAAGTCGAATTAAGCTCAGCTGTCTCGAGCAGGGGTGCGTCTTTTACCACTAATCTGGCAGCTTTGACCAATGAGATGTTTTGACTAGAAGCCCGCTGGTCGCACCTTGTCCCCAGATCGACATGCGTGAAAATGCGGAGGAGAGACATCTTCAACTCCGGACCTGGGAGGCCTCCTTTGCATCTGAATAGGTAATTGGGGAAGGTCAACGCCAACACTCCAACAATTGGTTGATATTTGCCAACATGCCAGGGGCTATGCTCGCAATTGCCCGTTGGGTTGAGGAATCGGGACACTCGAGCGAGCAGGTTGAGCGAGCAAAGGGAAACCCATGGGAACGGATATTCAGGTTTTAAGGTGACGGTGAGCAGCTGCAAGTTATCGGACTTTTGAAACCTTGAAACTTTACTTGGGTCTTTGGGCGTGCCGTCGGTGGGGTCCGAATTAGGTAGTACCACCCACCATCTGGTACGTACCGATAGGTAGACATCACTGCAATGTATCGCTTCTATCCCTTCTTGTTGATAGCGATAAGGTTTCCCAAGTTCCAACGGCGTTGCACTGGACCGCATTCCTTCTTCCACTTTGGATTTCCAGACGCGTTACACGGCGCGTGCTGATGCCGTTCCCCGTTCGACGAGAATTCCACTGCGTGTAGAACATACATGACCGCCCCTGATGTCATTTGTAGCACACATCGCTGAAAGCTTGACTGACTGATTGTCACCGGCCGGGCAGCCACCGTTCACAACTGTGCTGCCGGGCGAACGGACACGTGCACGCAGGGCCGATGGAAGGCAGGAAGGAGGACTCTTCCGGCTGTGTGTTCCCAGGCACTCATCTTCGCATCCCTACGCTGACTGAACACATGGGTCAAAACAGTACGCTGCAAACCTATTTATGAGAACTTGTGAATCTGAGCCCATGAGCCATCGGAAGAAAACCAAAGAAAGCTGTCCATCTGGCAGCTGGCTTGCAGGGGTACTGTCCCCGTCAAACACTGCAAATGTTTGCCCGCTCAGCTGTCCTTTTCACCGTGGGATTGGAGTATCAAGGGATGTAAAATGTGGTTGGGCATCTGGCCGGCATTGGGTAACTCGTAAAAGTCGCCAACAAGACCTTGTTGGTAGTAAGATTCGGCAGTTGCCCTGGCGGAAAAGGATGAGGTTTGGGGAAAAATCGCAATGCCTGAATCGTTGACCTCGTTATTTTCGTCGAAAATAGATTTGTACAGATTTTGTTGTTGAGGGTTGGGTTGGCTGAAGGTGTGCAAAAAGTGCAGTTTGGCGATGCGGGAACGAATGTTGCGGTGATGCCCAAGGCTTGTCAATTCGACAGTTTCTCGAGGTATCATTTCCGATCATCTCGGATGGCTGCCGTGGCTGCTTTGTGCAAGGTACGGATGCATCTGAAACGGTCAGTCAGCTAAGTAGCTCGTCACTTGCGATCGTGAAAGATCAGAATTGTGCTTCGAAGCAAAACTGTCGCTGTGTCAGAGCAGGACTGGAGGAAAAGTGACAATCGAATCATAAAGGATGCACTGTTGTTTGGATGTGTCGTTTGGGGATGGTGGTGTGGGCGGACCTCATTGTGCCACGTGCAATGTGCTGGAAGCTGGAAGTCGTGCCAAGGTCCAGGCTGTGGGGTTTACCATTCTTAGGCTGCCGTAACAGCATACAATAACAAGTCCCATGGGTGCATGGTCTAGTGGTATGATTTCTGTTTTGCATTGAAATTTCTATCTTGCTCTACAGACGGTCCCGCGTTCGATCCGCGGTGCATCCATTCTTTTTTTAACTTTTTCCATTCTTTGCGTATGCTGCTTCCTTTCTTTATCCATGTTTTTGCTTTTGCACTTTTTCTTTTTGGTTTTTGGAATTGCTCCCCCCTCCTCATTGTCCTCCCAACTGCGCGTGAGTCGTGTCAATGTCCCTTTTACGCACTTCCCCTGGTTAAGACTGATAAATAATCGGCTCGAAAGTATAATACTCGTCGAATGAGCTTCTCAATGTTATTGCACTTCGAGGGGAAAAAAAAACCCTATTCGTAACTAGAAGAAAGGGGTGCCACCGGAGCCCGCTCATAGATGGTTTCTCCAGTTGAGTTCCATGATATCAAGATGCAATCCGGAATATTGTCAAGCTGGTGAATACCTACCGTACTTCTCTTCTGTCTCAATATATCGCAATTGTGACTGTTCGCAAAAAGCAAACCATCGCCATCAAACAACTTTGACTCAGCACGTCATTGAAGGGAAAGACCATCAAGAATTACGCAGTTACGAAAAGCTCTTCAAGAACCAGACGCTGCTAGAAACCCCAGATGATAGGAAAGCAGCAAACGTCGGCGAGCATGGCGGGTTAGGGTCCATAGCGACCAGCAACGAAGTGTATCCACTTTACCCCTTTTCCGGTCTCGGCGTAAACATTGGCAGGAGCATCCCAATATGGATGATGGATCTTGCCATTTTCTTTGTGCTTGGGAATTGGGGAAAGAAGTGACTAGCAAAAACAAAACCAACTTGACTCTGTAACAGAGCAGTTGGTAAGTTCTTACTCCCGAAATGTTTCTCGTCCAAAACAATCCGTTTGTGCCGCAGAGTTGGATGGTAATGGGATGACAGTCGAGATGACGACGGCGTCATTAGATTGCCGCTCGATGGAAACTTCCCCTTCACTTCCATGTTGTAGGAAGTTCATGGGCGTCGACGCAGCGGGTTTCCCAATTACTGACATCCCCATTCACTTGCCCTCTCAATCTCTCATTCAGCAACCTTAGGCTGCCTTGCTTTCAGCCTTTCCTTCCATCTTCCACCTCCGACATTCGTTGACAAACGGGAGCTCAAGCTTCTGTTTCGCGAGCACCTCATCGAAGCAAATGTGGACATTGCTCAATCATCTACCCAGGTAACTTCGGATATAAGCGCACGCCTTTCTATTTGCCCAGAATTATAGCTTCACTCCAGAGACTGATCCCCAATCTCCCGACAACCAAACCACCATAATGCGTGCATTACCAACCCTCACCTCCACCAAGAGGGCGCTTTTCCCAGCCCTTCTAGCGTCCCTCGCTCTTGCCCTACCGCAAAGTGGAAAGCAGGGCAATGACACGCCATACACACTATCACCCAGCACCTCCACATCCTCCACGGCCTCCACACACTTATCCCCTTCTCTTGTCCACAGCAGCCCTCCCACCCTTGACTCCAAGGCCCAAGTCAAGAACGACCAAAGGGAAGATATCTCGACCGCAACCATCTTCTCAACCATCATCGTCCCAACAGCTACAGAGTTAACTACCATCCTCACCGTCATCACCAACGCTCCTCCTCCTTCACCTCCGCCTTCCACGACCACCTCTTCCTCTTTACCTTCTACATCATCCACATCTAACTGCATCGTCGAAGGCGGAGCAGACGGTATCTGCATAACCGTCGTACCCATCTGGCCCACCCAAGCAGTAAAGAGGCAGACGACCCAGACCCCCTCCATTTCGTACTCCTCCACCTCCACCTCCACAGCCTCAGTAACCGTCATCGAGATGTTAACAGTGATCGTTGCCCCCCACACAACCTACACCCTCACTGGGTTCGTGCCGTTCTTAACTACAGGTACCTCTTCGGCTCCCATTCCTGCTACCACTACCGCCGCTACCAGCGATATAACTACCTCTACTAGCGTCACCTGCCCCAGTCCCAGCTGGCTGATCGACGGCCACTGCGTCTACAACACCCCCGGGTGGAACCCCGCTCCGCAGATCCCGACTGGGACGGACGATTGGGCGGGTAGACCTCGTCCTCCTTGGGAGACGGGGACGAGGGCGGTATAAACACGTGTATCTGCCAAAGATTTGAGAGACAAGAGAAGAAGAAGTGGGGATTGTGTGGGGAGGTGTTGCTTTAAGAAGTGGAGGGGGGGGAAGATAGGAGGAAGAGCATGAGATGAGTTGAGAGGTAGATGGCTGGAGCAATGAGGAAACATAAATGGAAACAAAGCAAGACACTGGAAAGTGGAAAGAACATGGAATGGCAAGAGCGGGTGGGATGCAGTCATCTATCAAACTCGTTGAGACAAAAGGGATAAATTGGGTGAAAGAGGCTTCAACCCCCTAGCATCATGCGTTGTCTTTATTGCATTTATCCCAGAGAACAGTGACAGGACCACTGCAGGGACCGTCAAAGATTTAGAACGGCCACCAAGAAGCTGGCGTCCTCTTAACCACGAACGCACCTCTGTCCATCGTGTTGATAACAATGTACCCACTCGGGAAGAAGGGATAGTGAGACCATGTACCGGTGAAAGTGACATTGCCCCCGCCCGGCGCATTATCATCCTCCGGGTGGACATCAAAGTACGCCACCTCCTTGATCAGCTTACCCGTGGGATCCAACGGCACACTTCTCAGATCCAGAATGCTGAGACCCAAGCCATAGTTGCTCTGGTACGAGAACCCATCCTTGATGAACTGGTTGTGGTCAATACCACGACGCAAACCCTTGTAGTGACCCGTCTGCTTGGGGTTTTCAAGCGAGGAAATGTCCCAGATGTAGGTGATCGGGTACCCGTCCGCGCCTAAGCCGGCGGCGTCGTACTCGTCGTACTCGTCGTCGAGGATCAAGTATTGTTGCCAGTTGGGATCGAGGACCCAGCCTTGGTGGGTGTAGGAGGCGCCTTCGTACGAGGTGTTGGAGATGATGCGGATGTTTTGCTTGTCGGATACGTCGAAGCTGTTTGTCATTTGTCAGTGTCTCGTGTTCATGTGCCACTGGCAGGAAGACAGGGTGATAGGGGAAAGAGGGAACTAACATGGTCAACGAATCCTCATCATATCCATAACAAATATCCTTCCCATAGTACTTGATATCCGGTCCGCGATACACAATGCACTGCGCATCGTGGACATACCCATCCTCACCACTTCCTCCCAGTGTCTTGGGATTCTTCGGATCCGTCAAGTCAAAAAACACCAGTCCCGCGCGCAACGGCCCGGTTCTCGGCTGGAACCCAACAGCCACACCGTAATTCTTCTCCTCGTTCGTCACCACATTATGCGATCTCCCCACCGGCAACCCCTCGGTCCACCAGCCATCCAAGTCGTTTTCGTTCGTGAACACCTTGGGACTTGCAGGGTCAACATCCTGCAACTTGGCCAAATTAAAGATCTGCACACCGTGGTTGACTGCCTCCGAGCCGATCAGGATGTAGCTCTTGTATCCCTTAATCTCCCTCCACAGGCTGGGTTGAGCAGTGGTGTACTGCGGCAGCCTTCCCAAATAAACTAGCTTGCCATTCTTTGTGACCTCCGCGAAAGCGGTGCCGTCTTCCTGGGCGATAGCCACGAACTCGCGTCCCTTGGGCGAAGTCCACCCCCAGGAGCCCGCGCCGCGGCCGGAAGAGGACCCGAGCTCCGCGTGCGTCTTGAAGTCGTACAGGTCAAGATTGTTGCACCGGAAGGTGTACTTGGGGTCGTTGGGGACGTAGGAAGCGTAGCCCTTGGTGCAGGGGACGTAGTCGAGCTTGGAGGAAGGGAATTTCTTGTATTGGGTGGAGTCATAGACGCCGGCGGCGTCGAGTTCTGCCCAGGTTTGCTGTTGTGGCAGGGTGTTAGCCATGTGAATGAGAGTGACTGTAAGGGATGGAGGAGGAGGAATGGGAGAGAAAGTATGGAAGGGAGAGACGGAATAGACGGGATGCTTACGTGCTTGAGAGCCATGATATGCTCATGTCTGGCACCGCTGTCGTAAAGCTCGGCTTTGAGCTTCATGTCGACGGCCTTCTCTTTGGCCGAGGCCAGGGCGGCTAGGGATGCCGCGAGGGCGAGGAGGGAGGTTCTCATGTTGGGTTGATGCTTGCCTCTGTGGTTGAGTCCAACAAGATGAGATGGAGGTCGAGATATCTCCAGGTTGACGCAAGAGAGGTGATATGATCTTATACTTGTGTACTTGCATTCCTTGAGGACGGGTCCCGTCGATCGTCATAAACCCTGTAAACACCGACACTGCAACCTTGTCCACTGACGTTCTCTCCCTACTGTAGCACTGGCAAGATGCCAACGGTCTGGATCTTGCGAATGCTTACCAAGAGCGGGGAAATCTGGACTAAAATGTGAGATATGCCGGTCACATAGCCTCGTCTGGGAAGGTCGAGCTTGAGGTAACACTTGCGACATACAAACAGTCGTTGGCGTTATAACCCTAATTCGGCAGGTGTGAAGCCTGATACGATGGATTGCCTTGGAAGGCCTCGTAGTCTCACTGCATAACCCGACAAGCGCGGATGGCGATATCTAGCCAAGAGATGGAGGCTCTACGGTCTCGGCTCTCGTATACCGAGTGGGGGGAGGAATCGTGGCTACGGAGACAGCACGTCTCCTCCCGGTCCCCTTGGCCATTGTCTGCCTCGCGAATTCGTGAGTTTAAATGTACTCCATCGGTAGTTCTCTTGACGGGGGAAGCCTTCAAGTGCCACGGCATTCCGACAATGCGTATAAGTTTGCGTGATGCCCATGTCGATGAAAGCGGAAGGAGATCTGTATATTGCATGCAGCCAAGGCCAGTCGATACCACCATCGTTGGTCCGATGGACAGTCTAGTGCTACCAGCCAAGCTCTGCACCGGTGTTAGGTGCACCACGGTTCCAACGCCGTCCCGCTCGGCATTTCTTATCATGGGTGCCCGATGTGATTTGGTTGCTGGTAGGATGGCTTTGCCACCAAGAAGTGGGATGTAAGAAAAGGATCCGAATAATACTGCGGAGAAAATGGATATTGGAGTCTTCGGAATGTTGGCTTTCCGTGGCCATCCTTTTCCATGTGCGTATATCCCGCTCCCTCAGATATTGACCTTGAGAATCTGCCCTGTTGGGCTCAACTGCCCGTCATCACACTGCAGGTCTGAATCACAAGTACGACCAAAAGCTGTGTTGGTTGTTCAATGGAGGCAAAATCCAGACACAGCCGTCCAACACGAACACTGTGATTGAAGGTGATAGCCTCGGCTCGGCGGAAGTAGTCTGTGGCAACTGGCAATGAGATCTCCACGACATGCCACAACCCACAGGCCATCTTCCTAATGACAGCGTACCGATCAATCACATTCGTTATGTCCCGTGGGGCCCAAGGTGGAATAGTCCACCGTGACAAAAGCTCTGTCCACTTCTTGAAGACTCTCGTAGCAATACTGCAGCGTCTCGGAAATATCATGTGCCAAAGGCAGCGAGGTGCTCTCATCCAACAGTATGTCCAGCTCGACCCAAACACCATCGCCAGCATGGTATGCCGTCAACGTCTTGAAGCCTGCAACGACAGGGGAAAAGCGGAAGCCGAGATACATCAGCTTCTTTTGCAAGGCATCATCTACACTGCTTCCGGTCAAGCGGCTGATGTTTTCGATGCACGTCTCAGCCCAGTCACAGATGACATAGAGGGCTAATAAAGTTGCACCGAGGGGATCCAGCCACCAGATCTGGGCAGCAACACCAATCAGGGGGAAGAGGAGAGAGGCGGTGTTGAAGTACACATCGGTCTTGCAGTCCTGCACCAGCGCTTGTACCTGCGTCGTCTTGATGGGTCTGCATATGAGCCCGATGATGCCCTTGATGATGGCATTGGCAGCCATGGCACCAATAGCAACAGGAGGCAGAGGCGCAACATCTCTGTCACCGCCAGGTAACAGCTTCTTGACCGACTCTTGAAGGATCTGGAGAAAGGAAACAACCATGATGACACTGAAGACAAGAATCCCGATGGGTTCGAGGCGCCGCCTTCCGACGGGGTACTTGAGCCGTAGAGCGCGCAGACGCCAGGAGACAATGCGGTTGGTACTGTAAATGATCAAGGTACAGAACAAGTCCAAGGCCGAGTCCGCGGTGCTGGCAGCCAAGGAAAGCGATGGACTAAAGCGTAGACTGACCAGCTTGCCAATGAGCATGAACACATTGGCGATGACATTGGTGTTTATAGCCCATTTCGCGTTTCGTTCATCACGGCGGCGCTTCTCGATGTGCTCGGGAGGCAGAAATGCTTCAACGGCGCCTTTGGAGTCGGCGAGGGGAACACGGCGTTCGGCAATGCCGTCCCTATCGGCGTCGGGATTCATGCTGTCAATGACATCATCGGCAACGGCCATGACCAAAGCGTCAACCTCGACCCAGCTATCGAGCGTCTCGTTTTGGGACTCGTAGTATCTCCTGATCTTCTTGTTCTTGATGGCTTTAAGCTCGGCATCGGACTTGCGATAGTGTCCATCCCAGGAGGACAAGCCTTTCATGCCATCGAGCACCCTCTGTTTCAAGTCAATGCGACGCTGTTCGGCGATGGCCAGGTGTCGGGCATCTTTGAAGCCGCTGAAGGAGGTGACCTTGGCGCGGTCGTCGTGGATCTGGATTTCGCGTGGGGAAGGGCGCAGCGTGGGGGCGGCGATGGTGCTCTGCGTGGAAGTGGGCTCGGTGGAGGGAGGGCCGTGGTGATCGCCAGGGGAGACGTTGGGAGGGAGTCCGGCTTCTTCGTCGTCATCACGATACCGTCGGCGGATGGAAGACGGCTGACGAGACGGCATGGTCCCGTGCCAATCGGTGGCCGAGTTGACGGTTCTGGGTCTTCTTCCCACCATGTTGCTCGGTCGTTCGTGTCGAGATTCTAAATTGGACGGTTTTTTCGCCGGCAGATCGATCGGGTGGGATGAACAGGTTCACGAAAGGTCAGATCGAGGTTGAAACAGAGACAACGAAACGAACAGCTGGTCAAGGGGGGCGTACCGGGCGGGCCGGGCCTTCCTGTTGTGTCCGTGTGTAGTGTAAACTCGGGATGGAAAGAACAACCCAGGATGAAATGCTTGGATGCAAGTCTTTGTTTGCTCCTTCCTCACCTTCTGTATCCGCGTGGAGAAAGAGGAAAAGGAAGGCATGGGCCAAAATGACGTCATGCGGGGCGGTTGTCCATGTCTGACCTGTGGCTTCTGCATCGCGTTCAACGAATATTGGCAATCGCAACATCGATCGATGGTCAGTATTTTACGTATTCCGAGTGTGTCCTCTTCCTCTTTTGTGAATCCTCCTCTTTCGTTAGTGTAGGTGAATGAATGTCCAAACATTCAAAGTCCAAAAGATGCAGCCGGAAAACCTCTTCATAGATACGGTCTGCTTATCGAAACATTCAAATCGCCGTGGTCGAAGCATTTTGGCAACGCGACGGAACTACTTGAAGAACATTTCTGTCTCTTGTCGAATTCTATGGATTACTACAGACAACTCTATATGTCATTGGTTAGATGTTCCGAGTCCTCGGGGATGCTAGTAGCTACCTATGTTGTTCAACTGAGGCGGCCCGGCGGCTAGTTCGCGCACCAGACTCGTTAAACAAACTCACAGTACTGTGTCACAAGCAGTTTAATGTCGTCGGAATAGGTACGCAGAAACTCTCGATGGTAAGATTTGATACTTTCAAGCCTACCCCCTCCCTTAGCGTATCAGCATTTCCTGAGCGGGTAGTGCACGGTTTCTATTATTCCAGCTAGATCATTGCACATACACCATATTCGACTAGATCGTTAGTCGTTTAATAGAAATATCATAACCCTTATTAGCTTACTGGAAGTTCTGTTATAATCACGTTCAAATCACACGCGTTTGGCTTCAATGCAACGGCACCCAATTTGAGGAGACCACTGCACTCCTATCGCCCCCCTTAAGGCGCGAACAATTGATGACAAAGGAATGATTGACCTTTAGATTTCCTGATGAATAATATTCCAGAACCCCAACTTTCTAGTTTTCCATCAGCAGCTTGACCACCTCATCCCACTGTACTTCCCCATCATTTGGCCATTTGCTCTTGATCCTACTACTCCTCCTTGCAGAACTCACCACCACTTCCCTCCCCTTTCGTCGCCGAACTGGCACTCGCCATCGGAGAAGCCCTCGTAATAGTCGTCCTCCCATCACTCCCACTCACAACCGTCAACCGATCCCCCACGCTCACCGTAGGATGCACCAACACACGACTGCTCTGTCCCCCCATTCCCTGGATATGTCCCAGCATCTGGCCCACGTCCTGGCTGTTTGTACTGCCGCTAGACCCAAACCCAGAAGAAACAGGAATAACTACTACGGTGGTAGCAGTCGCACTCGGCACCATCACAGTCTCGTAATCCACCAAATCAGTTACCGTGCCGGTGACGGGTATGATTTCCAGCGGACCATCATCCGAGATCGACGACGACGACGACGATTTGCTGCTGACGCTGACCCTGGGACCAGGAGGAGGAAGAAGAGGAGGCAAGGGCGGTAGAGAGGCGGGGGCGGTGTATGTATTATAGTTGATTAGGTCTGTGACGGTTCCAGTGACGGGGATGATGACGAGGGGGTCCGTGTCTGTTGAAGTTGAAGTTGATGTAGATTTGCTGGCGGTAGAGGTCGTGATAGCGTTGGTGGTGGATGTTGGGGAAGCTGTCAAAGAGCTAGAAGTAGATGTGATCGTAAAGCTAATACTGCTAGAACTTTCACCAGAACTAGAACTAGACTTTGTTCCCCTCGTAGTAGTACTAGTCACCAGCGTGCTAGGCACACACTTGCCATTGACCGCGACCTCTCCCTTCCTGGTGCAGTACCCTTTAGGCCATGACCCACTTTGACTTGACGTTGTCGTTGAAAGGGTATCCGAAGCACTAGTCTCATGATCAGGAGTAAGTGTCTTGACGATAGTTACTACCTCTGTCACTTGGGCGACAGTGGCCCAAACCGTTTGCGTCCTGGTCTGATCTGCCGCCCCCGGAGTAGGGAACGTAGTTGTAGTGGTGGTGACACTTGGGATGATCCCGTGAAGAAGGGAAGGAGTCAGGTGCGTTGAGTGGCTGCTGCTGCTTGTTTCGATGGCTGATGCCGGTTGAGTTGCAGAGGTCGTGGCTGCCGTAATGCTTTCGGCAATTTCGGAGAAATTCACCGGCCCATGGGCGTTGGGGTTGCTTTCGTGGGAAGCTGCGAGGGAAGCTAGAGGGACGAGTGCGAGGAGCACCTTCCTGTCGAAATGGGGGGTTGTGTGGGTGGACATTTTCGTTGTTGTATGTCACGTGGGTTGATCTTGGGTGTAAAAGTGCGATCTTGTGCTGTCGTCGTAATTGAATCCTGGAATTGGGTGAGGAGGATGTGGCAGAGAAGAAACAAAGAACGTGAGAGATGTCAGAGAGGTTTTATGTATATTTTCTGGAAGCACAATTGACCGAGACTTCGAGTGAAGTGTGAGTAACCAAGCGTAATATGGACTCACTGGCCGAGGAATCGAGAACCTGGGCAACGTGAAGGGGAGCGTGAATCAATTCAATGACAAGCTCCATTGTTATTGTACTCCTTCTCTTCAGGTTTGACTCGATAGCCTTCATCCCAAGTGTGGACAAACTTGGCGCGAGTGACACACCTGGTGGTTCGAGAGAGAACTCCAGACGCTTCAGTATCCTTCACTAGGCTTGAAGTACGGATGATACATGGGCTTTACACATGACCAGCTACTATACCATTGAATAACAATCCAGTGTCCCTTCCACTACCTGGTTCACGGATAGGACGTTTAGACTATGGAGAGGTTAAGACACGAGGGCAGGCAATGGGCCATGTAGTGATTGGATGTCGGCGCCGGCCATGATGAGGAATAAGACCGCAACTTAACAATGTGATACGGCAAGCATGTTGGAGGAAGGCAGTGGCATGGCCCGTTGATATAGTGGCCGGCATAGTATGTTCATTTCAGCATCGGCATCAAGCTATTCATATACAAAGAAGTTGTCGACCGATGGGACCTTCTGACTACCCAGAGTTAAACAGTCTAGATCCCAGGCCCTTATCACCACCACTCATCCCTTCACGTACATTCCCCCCCAACTTAGATGCACTGGGAGTACCACTGGTTAGCAGCCTGGCAAGTCGACCCAGACTGGCAGCAGGTGGCGCCCGTCCAGCCCTGTCCACCGCACTGGCCCCATTTGGCCGCGCAGTTTCCTGTGCTAGGGGTTGTAGGGGTAGAAGGGTTGCTAGGGTTGGTAGGAGTACTTCCGCCGCCGCCGCTGCTGCTGAGCTTGGACTTGACGAAAGCAAGGGCCTGCTGGCCGTACTTGGAGCCGTAGCCTTGGTGGGTGGCTGCGTCGTTACCCGTGCAGCAGTACGGGTCGGGCGAGTCACAGTAGTTCTGGAGCTTGGAGGCGGAGGCACAGGTGTAGCCGGCAGGGCGGGGGTCGAACTGTAAGAGGAAGGGTCAGTACTTGTTGTTGAACGCAGTGATGTCGGAAAGAATGGAGAGGAAGAACATACGCCATAAGCAGTACAGGTTCCCACATTGTAGGAGAGACCAGCGCGGTAACGGGGGTTACCCATCATGATGACGGCCTTGACCTGGTTAAGGGCGCTGGCGTTGATGCCAGGGGTGCTGGTGGTGATACCAGCACCGCTGTCAGGTCCACCGCAGACGGCATTGTCCATAATTTGACCACCCTGTTTAGCACATAGGTTAGAGGCTTTCTTCCAGGAAACAAAAGCGATAAAGGCAACGCAAAACACCTGAGAATATCCGACAAGAACAATCTGGGTGTCGGGGCAGCGAGCATTGAGACTGTTAACAGCCGTGGCAACGGCGTTGGTGCCCTGTCTGGCGGAATCACCGTACTGGACGCCGCCGCAAGAGGACTGGCCACCACAGGCTGGGTAGACGATGGCTTCGGAGGTGGCACCTGGATAGGCCTGGAGGATAAGGTTGACAACGACGCCAGCGGTACCAAATCCGGGGGAGACCGTGGTCTCACGAGCACCGAAGACGTGAATGGAAGGGCATGACTGACGCTCTTCAAGCTCGACAGGGGACGCGCCGACGAGAGCCGAGCGGGCCAACAGGAGGAGATAAGCAGCTTTGGGCGAGGGCCACATCTTGATATTTGGTGCTGATGAAGAAGTTGCAATAGATCTATCCCTGGGCTTGTCGATCGACCTGTCTCGATGGGATGTGGGGTGGCGAATAGTTATACTCAGCGGTCAGACTGGTAGCCAGAACGTTATCGAGACATCTGAGCATGTAAGATATTGACGATGTCACCGTTGTTGCAGAAGCATGTCGCCGCCCATTTTACCCAAGGCCAGTCGCATTCCGCTCCCCCGCAAGAAGGCCAAGGCCAGCATGACTAACAAGATCCAGCTACTGTCACCCCAAGGCCAGGGTTTAGACGTAATGGGAGGGTGACCATTGCATGAAAATAGTAACGCTTAGAGGTCCTTTGTGGTTTTGTTGTAGAGTGCCTTGGACGGTCAACCGGGTAAAGTTGGGGGCGCAGAGAATCAGGGGGCAGCATTTGTTCGAAGAGCCTCTGTTGAATCCTGGTTTCTGGAATGTTTCGCTCGCTGGATCGGATGTCTTGTTCTTGGTTGAGCTAGCCCTGTCCAGAGTTTATGCATGTTTGCATTGCTTGAGGTCCTGTCAATCTTAGGATGCTTGGGTTGCATTGGTCATTTGAACCGGCATTGGATAAATTGGGAGGTACGTGACCACGCGTCGGCGACCCATTTCCCCAGATCCGGGGATCCTTGATTTGTAGCCAACAAGTGTCCAGTAGCACCTATGTAGCTAGCTCGGAAAATGGAGCGGAGGTGTTGAGCACTTCTTTGCGGAGAAGGGATCGAGGACGAAGGAGGCGGGTGCAGCAGGCGAGATCCGAGCACGAGGAACGGGACGGGAGTTTAGCCTTTAGGCTTTGGCTAAGCCTCCACTGCCAGTGTGACCTTGACCAGGAGGGGCAAAGATTTTGACGTTTCAGGACGCGGACGTGTTTCCGCTTCTCGAAAAGGAATCGTCGGTGATTTAAAGATAAAGTTGAGGCTTGATCATGGTGGGTGTTTCGAGGTCAGGTGAGGTGGCTCGACGACGATGGTCTGGCACCAGGGCGTGGCTGAGCAGTTTGGGGAACAGCCTTTTCTTTGAACAAACTGTATGCGCCGTCAGAAATCCTCTGCTTTTGATTGCTTATTTTGAGCTATGCAACCTGGGCATTTTAGCTGGTGAACTTCGGAATCTCGATGTTCGTTGTCAGTGTCACACAGTCCACTCTGCTTGTTTGTTCTTTCCAATTCCATCGCAGCAGGTCCGACCAGCGGCTCCAGGGGGTCATAGCGGCAGCCAGGCGGGCATTCACTGCAATCTATGTAGTGCACTTACATGCCCCTGCGCTGCCGGGCGTCTGTGTCCACTATCAACCACAGGGGCATCGTACCTGACATTTGAAGAATTTCTGGATCTCTGAACGTCAACATTGCAGGTCGTCCTTGATCACCAGGAATTGTTAGCCTACCCGTAAGTACAATACAGCCAGACCTTTTTTTTTTTTTTATAACCGCAAACTGCGATTACCTCCCCATCGTTGCTATCGCTCCTGTCAGTCAGAATGAAGTTGAGCTCTGCAGAAAGGCGCTTTCCGCGCCAGATTCTCCGGTGATCCTCCCGCTGTATAAATGGTTGAGCGCGTTGGTTTTTGTTTTCCACAACAACCTGATCATGGCCTTCCCGCACGCTGCCATACATGGAACACTCTGTCACTTGAACATGACTAAGTACCTACTTAGAATAGGGCATCGATGGAGGTCAATGGCCCAGGGTGTTCTGGTTGTCATGTTGTTTTTGACAGCAACATATTTCTTTCCATTATTTATCATGTTTCTCCTTGCCCACGTACAATAAAAAGTCACACCTACGTACCAATTTTGGACCTCCACCTCCCTAGCTCCCGCCATGTTAGCTGTTTGAACCCGGAGGTGTTCTTCTATGGTACACGATGGCCAAGCCTCTGGTTCTACGTTCCTTTTCACAGGACTCAACTGTTTTGTGCTTGCAAAATAGTGAGCGGGTGAACTCAAATAGGTATGTCCGGTTGTCGAAGGATGTGGACGTGAGATCTCAATCACTTGAACGATGGCAAAATCAGGTATCGAAGAGGCTTTACTGTCGAAGTGGAAACGTTTGAGATGCGTGGAACTGGCGATGCCTATATTAGGACACGAAATTTTGGGCGATAATGCAGTCGTTATCGTGAAAGAAATATGAAAGATTGCAAATTCTGTAGGGTACGTGTAGGAAATCATAGGATGCGCGCAGGTTCTCCCTTGCATATCTCTGTCATCTCCAAGGCCATCAATCCTTCCGAGTTACATCCAAGTGCTCTTCATTTGAAGCGAACTCAACACCCCGTCCATTGTTGATGTCAATACAGATATAATAGCTCTAGCTCGCGATTCCCCACATAGGGAGGTCTCACTTTATGCTCGCATGCCTTCTCCATGTTCGGGTCGTTCTGTAGGCATTGGAGGCAGAGACTGGTTTCGCTCTCGGTCCAGTCCGGAAGGATGTAATGAATACCATCACATGAGTGCCGAGTAAGAGATGGGCAGTTACTTTTCCTGAAAATATCTTGCGCCATGGCAACCTCGAGCATGCCCCTCAATGCTTCCAGGATCGAGATACTAGTATCGGAGGCAACACGGTAGTCAAGGTTCACCGAATTTATTTCACCATCAAGGGTATCCGCGCAGTTACATGAGCCGAATATGCGAGTTGCTTTTGCTCTTTGCAAGGCCTTGGAAAGTTGTGCACGGATCGAGAAGCTTCGCTCCATGAGTAGGACTTCAATCACGCAAGGTGTCAGCAAATATACGTAGAAAAGTTTGTGGATGTCTAGCCGCCCGTGGGACAACCCTTACAGAACATTTCCGAGGGGAACAGCTCCCTAAGTTGATCATCGTTTTGGAAGCGGAGATAGCTGCCTTCGTGGGTGATCATGACAAGCCAGGTGAGCTTGGAAAAAGCCTTGTAGTTCTTCAACACCATGGCCGCCGCGGCCATGTACAGCAGGTCCTCGACGCTTTTGGCTCGTAGCTGTTGACGGAGCCACTTGTCGGTAACGAGTTGCATTGCCGTACCCAGATCGTATTTGTCAATGGTACGGGCAGCCTGTAGAATTTGCTTTGCATTCACATCAACAAAGGATATCATGTCAGGACGGTGGTGGATGACGTAACAGATTGCTTTCATTGCCTCGGGGTCGTCTTCAGGAAGTTCAACGTCCTTGGGAGATTCGAGCGAAAGCGTGCGGGAGCTTTCAACCCAAGGCGGCGAAAACATGGCGTCGAAGACTTTGGAGGCCGATCTAAGGATTGTGGACGAAACCCTAAGACGCAATTGCTCCTCCCCAGGAGGGCCGACGACCAGGATGATGTCTCCCACAGGGGAAACTTCGAGGATATCCGAATTGTCGTCCATATTGGTAATTGTGAGGCCGGCTCTTGACAAGGTCGAAGCGTAATCGGGAACTGATGAAAGAGGGGAGTTCCGGACGGTCGATAGAGTTCATGGAACGTGGATGGGAGATACTGTCATGACGTGGTCCGAGGCACAAACGCAGCTTCCCCAGTGATGAGGTTGAGGTGTCATGGAACCCCGCCTTTCCAGTCTTGAGCTGCATCGCGCAAGCCACACCCTTCGTTTGATGACTTGAGGCATGCTCATGGCTTGCAGATCTGCATCGATGTGAGTGGTTGACACGATGACTCCTGCAGAGCTGAGCCTCAACCTACCCCTCTCCACCTGGTGTCTTGGCTCTAATACCTTGAGTAGACGTTAAAATCCCAAGTCCCTTCTCTTGTGCTTGGGGTATCTGCAACACGAGACAGTGTTGTTCTTCGTTTTGGATAATCACGTTCCATGTTAACATTTGCCTACATGGATCCCTCACATGACACCTCTCGGTACACAATCGGCTGAATCGCCCAAGTAGGCATCAAAACCAGGCCCCATGATGTTACGACCCAATAAAAGATCACTTATGTAAGCAGTGAGGTAGACCAATGAGGCGGCACTCACTGAAGGATCAGTATGTAAAGAAGGTGTTGAACCATACGGAAGGGAGTGATCACGGTGAACGACATTGTGGTGGTGAAAGTCTTGATTTATTGAAGAGAAAGCAAGAAAGAAAAAGGAGGAGGATGAAATCCGACTTATATATAGGGTAGCCATGTGTGGATCGTATCCACTAATGCCAAGGGAATGCCAAGAACTGGTGATGGCTTCAACAAAAGGCCTTCCCAGGCCTTCTGTCTACTGGGCTCTTCAGCTAGCAACCAGCTGACACAATCAACCAGTACCTTTTGGCTACCTCCATCCGTTACTACTCTTTGTTCCCAGCGATATACTCCTGTGCTTGTAACGGTCCGTCACACGTTGCTTGCTCATCAATTTGCACACTAGTATTCTGGGATCTGCTGCTGCACCCAAAGTTTTCCTCAACCCTCACCTTGACTCTTTCACCGTTAACATGACCGGAATCCCGACGGGTAATCTTGCTGGAGGACCCGCTGGAGCTGGACGGCCAGAGACCCTGGCCCCGGCACTGATGCCATGACCGGCATTGTGGATGACGACGGCAACCGAGTCAAGGCCGCCGAGCCGGCTCACTCCACCATAAAGAGCACCATCAAGCTCAACGCCCCCCCCAAAGTTCGATGGCACCAAGTAGACCCACAAGTTCAATCTGGACGACAAGTACAACCGCCAGATTCAGACAGAATTCTATGCGACTACATAATCAGCATCAACACACCCGCAGGACGAGGCTCATCAAAGAAGACACCACCATGGAAACTCATTGCCAAGCATCATTACCATGTTATCCTCCAGTCTTAATCCCCTAGCAGAGACGCCTTGTAACCGTTTCCCTCATTACCCATAACCTACGCACCGATACCGGCCAGTTCACTCTTGTGCTTCCCCGCAACCGGATAAACGGTACCCTCGTCTGTCCGTAAACTATTCCCTTGTGGTGTACGTACGATCTTTGCCTTGGTGTTTTCAACTTCCTTAAATCGTCTAGTAGATCATATCGGATGAGGATCTTACATACGATCATCGTCAAACGGGGTATTCGGCATCCTTCGGCGCGCCCTCGCTAGGTTGATTTGCAGGAACGTGCCAGCTAGTCCTGATTGAGAAGGTTGATGCTACCCCTGACTGTGAATGTAGCATGGCACTTTTAGCATTTCCACCACTGGCACCTCCACAAATGGCTCCTCGGCTACCCTTGCATGATCTTTTAGCAGCGTCGCATAGTGATCATCTTGTAGATTTGCCAAGAGAGTAAGGTGTCTTTCGACAGAACAGATTACATATCGATAAGGAGGACGTGCCAGCTAGTCCTAATTGAGAAGGTTGATTTGATGCTACCCCTGACTGTGAATAGCATCACACTTTCCTCTTCGCGACCTTCAGAAACGGCTTCCTCGTCCCAGCGCTTTGAGACCCTCGGGCTAGGATACTTGGGGATGCTTGTGGAGGTTGTGGTAGTAATCGGTCGAGACTCCTACAATAGGGTATGTTTCGCCGGACTGGGAGAGATCGATATCGGGGTAGGAAGGGGGGGATGGTCGAGTTTGTCGTGCCCCGTAGGATACCTACTTATACTCATGTATTCCCCCCTATGACCTCTTCCCCTAGACAGGCTATCCAGACATCTTTGAATCAATTTCAGTCTCGACACACAAAACCATGATCTCCAACGTCCTCACCGTTGCCACTCTGGCCGGCGCAGCCATGGCTGCTTGCCCACTCTCTGTCCAGATTGTCGGCGCAGACCATCATGTCGCCCAAGTCTCCGTCACCAACACCGGAGCCGAGCCCATCACAGTCTTCAAGGGCAACACGGTGCTCAGTGAACACGCTACCAAGGATCTCGTCGTAACTGATGCCTGTAAGCAAAGCCCCCGTTCCCCCTCCCCTTAGCATTGTCCCAACGCATCATGGCTGACATGTCCATAAGCCGGCAAGGCACTTCCCTTCGAGGGCGCCTACGTCAACTACAAGCGTAGCGGCGTCTCTCCCGACATGTTCCAGACCCTCCAGCCCGGCGAGTCCGTCACGGCGTCCGTCAACGCCGCCAGGACCTACAGGCTCTCGGGCGTCAAGAGCGCCAACATCTCGGCCCTCCAGGGTTTCAAGTACGTCACGGGAACGACCGCGCCCGACTCGCTCAAGGACCTCTCCTTCTGCGAGGCCAGCTCGGACTCGTACACCATCACGCCCGACCAGAGCAAAGCCGCCGAGTAAGCCCACCCACCCGCCTGTCAGCCACTCATGAAGCCCCGTCCCCGGCTAACATATTCCTCCTACTCCCCAAAAGTGACCACATCTCCAAGCGCCTAGCAGGAGCTCCCGCCTCCCGCATCGCCAGGCGCTCCGTTACCTACCACTCCTGCTCCACCGCGCAGACCAACTCACTCAAGACCAGTGTCTCGGACGCCATCTCCATGGCCGGCGCGGCCTACACGGCCGCCGGCTCGGCGGCGTACTACTTCACCACCTGGTTCCGGTCCACCTCGCAGGAGTCCAAGGTGCGCTCCATCTACAACGACGTCAAGAACGTCCAGACCACCTCGCCCGCCATCTCCTGCGCCGACACCTACCGCGGCTGCTCCGACGGCAGCGCCCTGCTGTACACGATCCCCAGCGCCAACACCATCGTCCCCTGCCCCAACAACGGCTTCTGGGGCTTCCCCGAGTTCGCCAGTACCTGCGCCGACGACGACTATGACAGGGCTGGCAGCATCCTGCACGAGATGACGCACCTGTACGGCACGGATGACTATGCGTACGGCCAGACGGCTGCGAAGCAGCTCTCGGCTGCGCAGGCAGCGGCGAATGCTGATAGTTATGAGATCTATGCTGGGAGTGTGCGTCTTGGTGGGTGCAGCTCTTAGAGGAGGATCAAAATGGGTGGCGGGCACAATGTGACAGATCTGGTGACAATTTTCCATGACGATCATGATAATCTATGACCATGGCTCCAATAGGTACTCGGCGTGGTTTGATGATGTAGTACGAGATATGTAGACGAATATGAAGTGCTTCCTCTGAGTCGTCCGAATGTTGTGCGGTAGCCAGTCCCTCACCGTCGATTCGTTCGTTCAGTCTCGATGAATCGCATGATTTGCATCGATGACAAGGAAGTGAGTGTTGCAGCTGAACCTACCAAGCAAGATAGGTAGTTGATGATGTCGAAGTGATATTCAAAGTATAGCCCCACCCAGGAAAGCAATCCCGGTCACGAGTTGCTGCAGTGGACCACCATGTCATTCAAGACTTGCCCATAGAGGCGAACATACCTAGCGTTCGGGAGGCTTTGAGCGGACAGGTGCCGTAAGGGGTTGCCCTCTTATATCTTCCAGCCTTATGGGAGCTCGAAAGAGACGGAGAGAGGCATAAGAATAGACGGGGAGAGACCGAAAAGAGGCTTTCGTAGCGTTATAAACTCTGGTTATTGTTAGTGATTAGGTACAAACGAAGACTAGTTTGAGGCTAATTAGTGCTCCAACCGAGAGCCGTCCCCGAGATGGTTACGGGTTATTATTGAGGATGGTAAGTCGCGGGAGAAGGTACCTCTAAGCAGATGGGCCTTCCAGCGCACGCGGAGGACCCGGATGTTGAAGAAGAAAGACTAAAGGGGGAGTGCGTAGGTAGGCTTTGGCTACGTAGAGGTAATCTTCCAAGGACATGGAGACAGAACTTGGCCGCGGATGCGGTCAGTTAGAACATGCAGAAGTCTTTGATGCGGAGGCGGAAGGGGCGCGGCATGGTCTCAAGGCCGCTGTGGCGCTCTTTCCGGAGGCGCAGGCCCGGCTCTCCATCTATTCACCACAAAATTGGTTGCGCCTTGGTATCCACCCTACCGTCTCCCATCGATGCCACTGCATCCAATGATACATAGGTAGCAAACAGCTGTTGAGGCAGGCTCCGGATGCCACCCGAATGCTGCATCATGCATGCATCATGCCGTCAATATCATGAGCATGCCTCAGCAGGCCTCCACGCCAAGAGGTGGGGATGCCAAACAAGGTCGGCCCAGAACTGGCAGGTCTGAGAGCAATCGAAAAGATGGGTATATGAGGGGTAGGAGGCCTCGTTGGATTGATGTTGCTCCTTCGACGACAAGATTCACTTGGGGGAGACCGCCCGTCCTTTCACCAGTTGCTCTGGGAGCACCAATCCCTCCTCCCCCTTCGGTACCTTAGGCACCCCATCCGCAAATCTGCCCAACCTTTGATCGGAAACAACGAAACCAACAAGACTGACCAAAACGAGTAGTTCGACATACATGTTTGGGCCCTGGACAGGTGTCTGGATTGCGATGATACAGATCGAAGGATAAGACGAAGGAGGAAAGCACTGGACGCAGACTACAGAGTCAATATTACCTCTACACATGAAGGGATAAAAGCCCAAAGATCGGCAAACGCAACGGATTTCTTGTTTTTTTCTTGTTGAGGAGAGATGGAGGTAGCGGATGGAGATTGAGGGAAGATGTGTATTTACGAGGTTCAGATCGTCAGTGCTTGGTCTTGCCATCATTTGTTGACATCTGGACCCTCCAAGTGGATGTCTTTGGTGGGGTAGATAGCAATGCAATGGAAGAAGAGCTTTTCACTTATTTATCACCTGCGGTTTCGGCGTCTCGCCGTCGTTTGCTCTAGCATCCCGTCCTCTATTAGCTCTCTATGGAATCTCGACTTCGCATGTTGAGATATGAACTACGAACTAGGTAAGTGGTGATCTCTTCTCCCAACACCTGGCACAAGATACCTTCCAGGCGTGGACATTCAGTTCAGATGACTGCACACCATTTCGACCGGTTTCTCCACACATTCCAAACAGATTCTGACCTCCTTCTTGATTCTCTCCAACTTCTCTTGGACAGCTTCAGAATCCAGTTCTCGGTTTCCGCACAGACAGTCAGGACACATCCTCTCGTGCTTGTTGACTGTCTCTATCCCTAACGCAAGATCAATGGGCGGGTAGTTGTCCCCGGAGGGTCTGACTCTGCCAGACCCGAACCGTTTGTAAAGCTGTTGGTAATCATCAATGGAGTGCCAAGGGTGATGACACGCAGGGGTGGGCTTGCCATCAGCGTCATTTTCCTGTCCAAGGATGTAGATGAGTTCGAGAAGATTGGAACGGAGGCGAGCAGTACGTTCGATGAGAAGGACTGAACAGTTTCAAGTAAGTTAGTATTGCCAAGTCCACACCACCACTTAGAGAAAAGTACATACTCCAAAACTTCTTGAGCATCGCCTGTTCCAATAGTCTATCCTCCAAAAACCAAGTAAAGCTTTCCTGGTGTCTCATCGCCAACTCAACAGTCAACTTCGCAAAAGCTGACTTGTTCCTGAACAGCCACGCAGCAGCCACCAAGTCCATGATTTCTTTTGACGCCATTCTAGGCCTGAAGACAGGATCACTGTTGTCATTCATACTGCCTAAGTCAACAGGTTCAGGTTCAGGACCCAAAGCCATACAATCGACTATGCTTTTCGCGAACCATGCTTCGCTTGCTAACCTTAATGCTCTATGAAGGTCGTATTTATCGGCAAGGAGCGCTATATGCAGTAGCTCTCTGGGCTTGGGAACATCAGTTACTAAGTCATTACGAAGATGTAAAACGCAGAGAATCGTCTTCATAGCATCGGGGTCCATGTTGTCATCCGGGATAGGGAGGACGACCTCCTTTGGCGGGATTGAGGGCTGGGGCCATACGTCTAATGGGTGGCTGAGTAGTCGATTCCGCTGCTGACGCTCAGGTTCAGGTGGGAATAGCAAAGTTGAGAGCTTCTCAGACGCGGAACGGATGATGGTGTCGTTGACGAGTAGGCGGATGAGAGGTTGGGAATGGGGTTGGTGTGACTCAGGCGGAGAGGATGGGTCGTCTTCGTTGCTGACGTTGATGGTGATGATTACGTTTCCGTCGGGAGAGAGGTTGATGAGTGGAATATCACTGGTATTGGTTAGAGCGTTGGAAACGGAAGGGGGGGAGGGCATTAGGGCACCCTGTGAGGGGTTTGTGTATTCCATCGTTGCGTGGTGGATAGAGAAGTTGGCTTAGTGGCTGGGTGATGGAGCTGGGTCTGTCTTATATGACAGACGTATATAGGAAACGAGAAGTTACAAGAAGCATCGAAGGCTGGCCAGGGAGAAAGGGCATTTTAGAGAAAGCATAGCAGATGAAAAGGAATTTCAAGAATTGCCGACAAAGCTCTGACCGGGAAACTTCAGATACAGTCTTTGAGAGCCGGTCACAAAGGATGTCACTTTGAAGGCAACCGGGAAGCAATTCACTGAGGATGAAGTGGGAATGAGTACTGTGAGAAAGGAAGCCAGTTTCATATGTGGAATCAACGTTACTGGCATTAAATAAGAAGGTTTAGTCGTGGTAGTTGATGAATGAAAGACCTCCAAATGTTCAAAGTGCATGAATGGTTTCCCTCAAAAAGCAATATCCACCTTCGTAGACTGCACAGATTTCCTAGGGATTCTCCTCTTCCAAACTGGAAGGCATGACCAGAACCACACTCCTTCTCCGTCGTCCTCTTTGCACCTGTTCCGTCAACTTCTCTGTCAGCATGTGGGTCCGGCCCACAACCAGTCTGTAGGGAGCGTGACTGCCCTAGTAGGTACTCAGGACAGTGACGTCCAGAGGTACCTGATACAAGCCATTGCCTTTTCTTGAAATTTTTTTATAATAGAACCTGAAGTCAGTGGTAAACAGAGTTCTCAACCGAATGAGAGCCCTCGTCCATCAGCACGCACTCAACACAGATCTTTGCCTCCCTCTTAAACTTCTCCAGCTCCTCCTTGACAGCCGCCGGACCCAAGTCCCTCTCACCCATGCAATCACACTCCTCCGCCACACTAGCCGCCTCCTGCTCAGCCAGCAGCTCGGCCGCTCCAAGCAACTCGCTCAGCGGAACAGCAGCAACCCAGCCGTACTCGTCATAGACGCTTGCCCACGAGCTATTGACCTCCGCCCTTCCCCCACAACCGCAACCGTCATCTTGGGCCCTCGAGCGAACGAGGTCAACAACCCGCTTATGCAAACGAGCCGCGCGCTCCCCGATAAGGCCTAGAAAAGCAGATCAAAAAGAGTTAGCTTTCATTGAACCCAACATAAATGACTCAGAGATATGTGACTTACACCAAAACTTCAGAGGCAGCGCCCTCTGCACGACCCCATCCCTCTCGCAGAACCGAAAGTAGCTTCCGGCCCTACCCTCATGCTTGACCATCAAGTCCAAGCCAAGCTCCGCAAACAGTCTTCTCTGTCCCAGCTGCCAAGCAGCAGCGACCAACCAGACCATCTCCTGGGCCGTTCCGTTCGCCTTGACCTTGTCAACAGCCGCCTCGAACCAGCGAGGCCACGGCACAAACCAGTTGTCCTGCAACTTGTACTTCTTAATAGCCACCGCGAGGTGGAGAAACTCCGTCACACTCTGGCCAGGCGCAGGGTCAGCGGGGGTCGCCGGGCAGATGAATCGGCCGGGAAAAGCGAGGGCGTAAATGATTGCTTTCATGGCGAAAGCGTCGTCATCAGGGAGAGCGATCTCCCGGGGAAGCGGGGAAGCAAAGCGAGAACCGGGGCGTCTTCTGGGGCTACGTCATGAACAAGGTCCAAGGCTACTTCTTTCGGAACATTGAACGCAAGACTGCCCCTGTTAGGAGCACTTCGCCGCCGCCAGCTTATGCGGCTGTTGATAGTCGCAACTTCTCTACCTACCATTAAGGAATGAGCTCACTCGAAGAAATGTCTGACGGAGGACCGCTTCCCAAACGACAGGGACGACGTAAGGGGCAGGTTCGTTGCCGACGTATCGATCTCTACGCTTTGTCTCGATGAAAAACAGCCTGGCTGCTTCGAGCACCCAAAGACCACAATCCCAAGTGACCTGCTGCTTGGGGAACATATGCGTTAGGCGAGTGTATTGCACCCTCTCCTGTTTTCCCTCGGTGTTCCTGTACACTCCGTTGTCGCCACTGAATCTTGAAAGCGCGGCGTGTATCTGCTCCGTCCTCTCTGAAGAAAAGTCTGAATCGTACAAATGCCAAACGCGGTCCATTTGGTCGACAATGGCCAGTGAGAAATGATTGCTCGCCCAAACTGCTGGCAAACACCACCATCTTGTCTTAGCCAAGAAATCCTTGAGCTCCAAGGATATAAAGCGAAGGTGTTGATGGTCGGCAGTGGTCTCATGACAGTTTTTTTCTTTATTCAGCGACAATACTTCCCTACTGTTACGCGTTGGTGATTTATTTCAAAGAGGAAAGGGAAAAGATAACAAGCTGGGGAACGCATGGCGGGGCATGGAAGGAGAATACACGCTGTACATCCAGGTTGTTTTGGGTGTTGTGTTACGCGGAAGAAAATGCTATCTATGCGCGGAACAGTTTCGAATAGGGTGTGGAAGTCATTATTATCGAAGATTGCTAGTAGACTTTTCCAGAACTAGCTCATATCCATGGCGTGGGGCGCCAGGAGTTCCGCAAAGACGGACGAGGCTTCACGGAGACCCGTCACGTCCACGGGGATCTCTTCTTGGGCGGGGCCCACGAGGAAAACGAGGGCACCGCTTGATGCATCCTCAGATGAAATCGAGCCGCGAGACTCGGCGGGAGAGTTGGGAGGCTGGGAGGGGAGGTTGGTGTTATCCATCTTGGATAATGTTGGGAGAGAAGTTTGGGGTGGGGTGATATATAGAGGTAGGGGTTTTGGATGAGTGGATGATTCTTTTGTCTGTGGTGTTGGAAGTTGTGATCGAAACCCGAGAGGTGTAGTCAAGTTTGGAGAAACTGCTGTCAAAATCAAAAGGTGTATAGATTGTAGTGAAGCTGTGAAACTTGGAGCTGTCTTTGACCATCGAAGAAAAAAGAATCTCAGCTCAACTTTAGCTGACGAGAAAAAAGATCGAAGAGAGAGAAAGAGGAGAGAGAAGGGCATTTATATTTGAACTTCCAATCTCGCTAAGTCGATGTCCCTATTGTGAAGCTGTACAATAACCGAGTCCATCTATTGACTTGACATTGAAAATCAGACACGTATTTAGTGTACTGCTCATGGATTCATGAATAGGTGTGGGATCACCAACGAGAGCAAGCGGTTGAATCCGATTGATTGAGTGCTATGGAGAAGAAGAGAGAGAGAGAGAGAGACTGGCGGAGTCTGGAAGGCTAGATGTGGTGCGGTCTGGGCAGGGCACAGAGTGGGGACTGTGCCCAGTGAATGCCCGGGACCCACCAACAATAGGACATTTATAGTCTAGTGACCATGGAAACTAGAACAGATGGAAACAGGGCTGTAACTGAACCAGATGTCCATCGTCACAGGGAGGATTAAATTGACTCAACAATACGAAGAAATGCACGTATTCTACTCTAGAACTAGAAGAGTTATTGGCCAAACTCTGAGACAGGGTGTAAGAAATCTATCATCTGATCTTCTCTATCACATTTGTTTCAAAAGCTGTCAGCCATTACTGACTGCCCTGGAGAGGCAGAATAGAAGCTGGACTCGCCGCACTGTCTCTTTTGCTCCACGCACAGCGTTTTTGCATGTATGTGCACCACCCCGTCCGACCAATGTTGAACCTTGCACCACCCATGGATCAAGTGCTGGTGAGTTTCTTTAGTTGTTACGTAGGTACGTATGTGACTTTGATAACATTCAAACTACCTCATAAGGTCATAATATTTTTTTCGTGGTTGCAAAAAAAAATATAAAAAAAATGAATAGCTTTGAATCGGGTCATTACCTAGGCTCGGACGTCGATGGTTTTACTAGTATTTCGGGTCTAGAAAGAGGTACCTCTAACCTCAAACAAAAGCAGCAACACTGAAGTATATCTGGTAACAGTATATTAGTGAGAGTTCTACAATTAAATGGCATTTAGAGGTAGTTAAGTTATGGTCTGCAAAGAATGTAGAGGCTGGTGCGCGTACTTAACGGGTGATGCATGGAGCAAAAAGGGGTCGTGTAAGCCATGCGGTGGGTTGTTCATCTCCTCGCACTCTCGTCAATACGGACTAGCGACTGAGCGTTCTGTTGAAGGACGTTGTTACTAGGGGTGTTGGTGCCCTTTCAGTAGATTCCCATTTTCATATTGATAGGCCAAGGGGAGGCAGTTCTTTTATAGATCAAGTTTCCTAAGATGTTTGCCTCCATGAGCCATTCATTGGCAGTGTTGATGTGAACTAGTAACCAAAGACTGGACTCATTGCTAGGTTTAGTACTACTGACAATCATGTCTATACCATGTAGGTAGATTAGCATACCATTTGAGCAAGATGACAGGGGTAGTAGATGCATCGATCCCAAAGACTTCCCAAGAAAATGACTCTATGTGAATGTAGTGAGCGTTGGTATGGGTACAGCAAAGTAATGGTGCTAGGTTTTGATCCATCATTCAAAAAGCTTTTAATCAGGAACTCTGGGTTGCTTTCATGGGTCTCCGCAACAGTTGTCGATTTGTCATCCTTTTTGGGGTGTCCAAACAGCGCGTACAAAATTGCCGCCTTTTGTCTCGGGGATACCACTTACCAGTTGCCTAGGTAGATGGAGCCGGGCATAGACAGACAAACCCTTTAATCATAATGAACGCTCAACGGGTTGTGCCAGGTTCTGTCAACAAAAGGCCACAATCAGCGGGACAAAGTGGTGGAAGGATACCGGGGACATGCGGACTAAGTCGCATCAATCTATCTTTGAGCTGGGGGACAAGGTCACCGTGAGTTTGCAATATCCCATAACCTGTTGCTTCAGTCAGCTTCTTCTTTGGATCATAACAGGGCCATGCGGTATGTCAGGCTGATGTTGTTCAGACTTCGGTGGGTAAGTTGACGGAGGGTTAGTGGAACAAGTGCACCACGACTTCGAAAGCCAGCGACCACACAACTAGGGCTTCAAGTAACCAGCATATGTATTCAGTCACTAGCCAACATACCTATACAATGAACACCGTAGTCACTGCACGTGACGGCTTCTTGTATTTCTGCAGAGGCCCCTCAGCGGGTTAGAAGGAAAGGGACAACATGAATGGCAAGGGCAAACGGGGACGAAAAAGTGGCATTCGTGGAGGATCACTAAGTTATCATGAGACTGCTGATCTATGAAAATATCTGTACGGATCCATTCAGTTCGTCCACTTTTGTCAAGACCTTCGTCTTTGTGGTGGTTCCTTACGCTCACCCGCGGTTACCACCCAGAGCGTCCAAGCCTACAACGCAACTGCCTTTTGAAGTCCTTGCCATTTGGTACAACGGCGGTCTGGACAAAATTCCTGATATTGAGCAAAATAACCGACGGAAAGAGCGAATGATGCAAGATACCACCCTCTCTCCACATGCATGCCCGCAACCCGACGCATGTTTGATTCCGTTAAACAAATCTGTTCCTGTAATGCAAGAGGCTAATCCCAACATATCCTGTAAAGCAGAAGCTCCAAGACGCCACGCTATAACCCTCCCGTCATGCAATCATGCATTCGCTTATGCTTCTCCATGTAATGGTCCTCCAAGCAACCGACTCAAGCAATGCGGCCTAGGCGTCTCAACTCAACATGTAGCCAAGCGAGCTGCAGGAGCTTGCCACTTCCCCAACAAACAGCAAAGTGCCCAGCCCACCCAGTCCCTCAAATGGACTGCCAATAAGGACCATACGGCTTCCCCAACCTCATCGGCCAACAAAAAACTCTCTCCTCCGGCTCCGTTCTCTTGACTCTCGGATACACCACATCCCTCAACTCACTCTCCTTCTCACTGTCCGGCGGGATCGGGTCCCCGTTCTCATCCCACCTGCGCGGCTCCCACCAATCCTCATACCCCTCCCACTCCACCTGAAAGCTCGTCACCAACTTCTTCTTGCCCCTCTGATCCGGCATTCCGCCCCACGGACACTTCGGGTCCTTCACGCCCACCGTCAAATCCGTATACCGAAACATTCTCTCGGCCGCCAACGCCGTCTCGCGATTTCCGCACAACAAGACAATGTACCGCATCCCAGCAACACTTGCCTCAATCTCATACGTCGCCCTGCCGTCCAAAATGGGAGCCTCCTGCCATGCGCTCCAGCTGAAGTATCGATGGCCCATGCGCTTGCGGAACCAAGCCCTGATGGCGTCGGGACCCTCGATGCGCTCGAGCCAGCCCATGGCGTAGCAGAAGCCGGAGGAGACAGGGCCGATGACAACCATGTCCCAGGACTCGGTGGTCTCGGACGCGGGGAGACGCAGGTGGTGGTGGTGGTCGCGGAGCAAAAAGTCGGGCAGGTCGAGGGGGGCTAAGCGAGGGTAGGCAGGACGAATGAGGGGGCTGGTGAGACAGGCATAGGGGTCGGCGGCGGCGGCGGCGAGGGCGAGGCCGATGCGCCGTGGGACGCCGATGCCGTTGGAGGCGATGAAGGCGATGGAGTCCGGGGGTGATCCTGGTGAGGGTTGTTAGTCTTGTTTAATGTTCTATTTATTTTTTACTGCGTTCAGCGACAGTGGGAGAGAGGGGTGAGTTGGAGTTTCTTACTTTTTCCCTTCTTGTCAAGATCTTCTTCGTTGGCTTGGTAAGGACACAACTGCATGCCCGTAGGCTCAGCCATGAGGGTTGCGTGCGGATCGACCCATCCCGGCCACAACACGTGGTTGGGAATGGGGTTGTTGTACTGGTACATTGCAGCAACTTCTTGTGGTCAAAGAAGGTCAAGTGACGATGCCAATAGTTGATGGTTGGCTAAGTTTGTGAAATGGTTCAACCTTGCTCTGAGATAAATTCTTGGTCGAATTCCAAGTTGATCAAGAGAACGTAGTTGCTGTGGTAACTCGGACAGGCCACGGTAATGGAAGATTAAGAACGGTAGTTAGGTTTTTCCGGGACATCTAGTTTGTCCACCTTGCGCACGGTGTGTATTATCGTCAGAACTTTCAACTGGAGAGCGAATAAGAAGAGAATGTTAGATGGGAGATCCATTCTGGGACGGATGAAACACATCTCACGCTGCGCCAAGGAGGTGTTTGACAGCTGTTGAACGAGAACCCTAACGGGTACCTGGTTTTAGGGCTGAACGTGACTAACGTAAGGCTGCACGATGTATCAAAGTTGGGACGAACATGTCATAAGAGGAGCAGTGAGTGGGGATAGCAAGTAGGCAGCAGGAAAAGTATCAGGTTACGAACACCAAAACTCCGATAACCGGAGTGACGACAGCTCCAACCGGTGTGGGTGAGTATTGCGGCAAGGAGAGACTGCAAGCGATGATGTGACGTCGAGAGGCATGACTAACCCATGCAAAGCTGGAAATGATTAGAGAAAGCGGTGAAACCTATTCAGAATAGCGCGAATAACAAAGAATGGAAGCAAGCTACTTCCCAATGGTTGTGGTAATTCAGTCTCGACACATGACATGGATCAAAAGCTGGAATACTCTGTCGCATAGCCTCATAACACACGCAAGACACTAGACAATTTCACCACATTACGCGTTAGATGACGGACTAAAATAATAGACATTGGACAGTAAATGCGCAAAAACGGTATCATAGGCAACAATCAGGCAATTATTTGTGCCTAAGGTCGTGTATTAACCGAGTGTCCACCAGGTATAAGTGTAAACAATGGACGAAAGACAGATCAAAAAAGAGAGGAGTGGTCTGTGCGCCGCCCGCGAAAGAATATAGGAAAAAAAAAAAGAGAGAAAAAGAAATGCGCCAGCCGCGAATCGAACGCGGGGCCCATCGATGGCAACGATGGATTTTACCACTAAACCACTGGCGCTTTTAGTGATGATGATTCAATTACCTAAGAGTATGAGTATATGAGCTTCCTTGCTTCATAACCTTCGCAGGGCTCCCTTTCGGCGCCTTTTCCTTGGAATTCCGTTTGAAACACGGCGAGACACTCGTTGTTTCTGGGCACAACTGCAAAAAAGGTGGCCATTAAAGTGCATATGCATCATGCTAAATGCTGGAAGAACGCTTATGATATCTTCTTCCACGAAAGTACTCGAACGGTGAATGTGTTTCGGAAATGCAGTGCGAACAGTTAATATTTCTGCATCAAGAGAGGTAAACGAAAAAATGGTGGTCAGTTTCTTAACATTCAACCCGGTCAACGCCTCTTGCACTTTTGTACTGTGAAATATATTTGTCGATTCAAGAAAAACATGACAAGACAGAACCCCCCTCCCCCTCCCCCTCGACTGAACTTTGCCAGCATCCCAGCGGAACACCTTCTCGCTGTAGCCGCTTCCAGATATCGACCCCACGGGCAGTTCACCGGCATATCTTGCACACAACAATCGTTCAACTCCTTCGGCCATTTCTCACTCGCCAGCTCTCTCGGACTACTAGACAGCATCCATACCCTGTAGGTATTCAGGAATCGAGTCCACTGATTGCGGTCAGGGGGCTGTCGTGCGTTTTTGATTGCTGGTTTAGCGTTCGGTTAGCACATAAAGAGGTGATTCCATCTCTATAAGAGGTGACATACCATGTAGTAGTCGGCAATGACGAGCTATCGGTGAAACTGCAGCCCTTGGAGCAAGCGTAACTGTCAACACAGCGTCTGCCAATCTACCAAAGACCATATTACGAAGTGATGCCGGTTATGGCCCTAGGGCCCTTGGGCGAGCTGTGTGGCCGGGTATCATGGCGCTGTTTCATACCTAAACTTTGGCGTTCCATTCCTGCATGTTTGCTGCGTCTTTTCTCATTGCCGCCGTTGTAACATAACTTTCGAAGGAGCACGATCTCCAAGATCAGGGCTTTGGCTACCTGATGCAATCTCCATCCGCCATGCCGTCGATGTTTGTGAGAACCTGAAGGGACGGTGACATCCGCCGAGGCTTGTCTCCTGGTGCACGAAGCATGCCCTGAGCGGAAACTGTTAGTGTGTTCATGCCCCGGAACGTTCGCCACGGCAGTAAGGTAGCACCTGCAGACCCTAGATACAGGGGATCCGATTGGGCCAATGCCCCTGGCGGTCGCTACCGGATGGCTGGCACTGCCAAGGGCGGTTACTCACTGAAGCCAACCGGGTGCCGCGCCTCTGTTATCCGCTGACGGCAACGCTGCGATGTATCCTCGCGTTTCTTCTCCCTGCCATGTTTGCTCGTTTCCATTTCGGCTGTTTGTTCTTTGTTGCATCGTCATCCTGCTTCGGAAATACTCAATGTTGCTCATGAGCGACGATGATCATGATCTTTTGAAAGCTGGAAATGTTTTTCTTTACGGTTTCCCGTCTTCGAGTGAAGACCTGGACACTCGTCCTTCACAACACAGGTGCCTTGGTTGGGAGCTACAAATTGAACTACTTCCGTTGGTATCCCAACAGCTCTCGGCTTGAATTAAGCGCGGCTAATCTAGTCTCCAAGTTGACAAGCGCTCCTCCTCTTGTGAGTGGCCCGCTCTCCGTCGGCGCGATATCCGAATGCAAGTCATTCATTGCAAGCAGAAGCCTGTCAGAGTAGCGCGAGACTTGTAAGCACTGCGAAAGCCGACAGTCCAATAGACGCGTTGGGCACGGCATTTGGCCATGAGTCGGGCAGTTCTCTTTGCTTGGCAGGCTGCCTTCTGTCTCTCCATCATCCTCAGTCTCTACTGGTATCTCGGCCATGACCAGCTATCCAACGTGCACACGCCACCATCATCCTTTTCTGGCCTCGGCACCGGGCACGACCACGACAGCAACCAGAGGCATTGGTGGGTTTCAGGCACTCCTGGCAAGGTCCTACCGACACATACCGCTGTCTCAGTCAGCCAAGCACCTTCAGCAACCCCGACCACAGCCGCCATCACGCCAGCCTCTAACAAGACCACTGGCAATGGTAAGCAGATACTTACCCGGCCTATGACAGGCTTTTTGACCATGATGATTGGTTCCTGCTTGTCAGTCGTACATATGCAAGTGTTAACACGGTCCATGCAAACCAGATGTCCTCCCACCGTCGAATCGTACCGCTTACGTCCATGCGATAATCCACCCCGATGACAAGACACTCCCACGCCTCAAATGCCCTTCCTTTAACTCTTCCCGCTACGAATATCTCAAAGCCCAAGATGACGAAGGCGACACCAACACCTCGACAATCCAGTACTTCTTCGCCCTCGACATTCGCGAGCGTCTCCCACTTCTACCTCGTCTTTTGGGGAGCATAGTCGAAGCTATCCGTTTTCTCGGACCCGAACATTGTGCCCTATCTATAATCGAAGGTAATTCGTACGATGGAACTGGGCAAGTCCTCGAGGCACTCCGCTCGGACCTGGACGCCCTCCACATAAGATACTACTTCAACTCGAGCGTCGTGAACCCGAAGGAGGGCCATCGCATCGACAAGCTCGCCAAACTGCGAAACCTAGCACTAGAACCTATGCTCAACCCCAACAATGCGCACCTGTATAATAACGATGCAAACACGACCGTGGTCTTTCTCAACGATGTCGCCATCTGCCCGGATGATATACTCGAGCTGGTTCATCAGCGTCACTTTCTCGGCGCGGACATGACGTGTGCGATGGATTGGACATACGCCGGGCGGGATCCCACCTTTTACGATGTCTGGGTTGCACGGACACTTGCCGGAGGGGACTCATTCTTTGAGATTCCATCGGATGGCAACTGGAACTCTGCCTGGAACCTCTTTTGGGACGAGCCGACGGCGCGACAGCGTTTCTCCGCCAAGCAACCATTCCAAGTGTTCTCGTGTTGGAATGGGGCCACGGCTTTCACGGCAAAGCCCTTCCTTGAGAACAAGATTAGGTTTCGGGGACCAAGAAAGGATGAATGCATGCAGGGAGAACCGCAACTTCTATGCAAAGACCTATGGTGGCATGGCTATGCCAAGATCGCTGTTGTACCGACTGTCAATCTAGAGTACTCGGACGAGAAGGGAAAGCAGATTAAGGAGGCCAAGGGTTTCACGAGCCATTTGGTCGGCGCAGAGGGTCACAAGGACGAAGCCATTCAGTGGCAGGCAAGCCCGCCCGAAAAGGTCAAGTGCATGCCTGACTACGCCCATCAGTTCTTTGAGGAGTGGAACAAGACGCAGCCTGGGGAATGAGCCAGATATGTGTCGAGAATGACACTACAGCAGTCCGCACAGCTCAAGCATGCCATTCGGAGCATGGTCCTCCCCGGGAATGGAATGGACAGCATTCTGACAGTACTGGAATGTCTCCTGATGCTAATTCTGAACATTCACCACAGCGAAGAATGCCCGAAAACAGATAACGGAACTGGAATGCATCTGTCCATGACTAACAGTAAAGCAATGTCTCAGAATCAACTCAATCTCTATCCAGGTATGGGCTCATTAAACAACAATGGGCATCACGGTGAGATGGATGTCCCTACACGACCGGCTGGAACGCGAGTCTTGTCATGGTTCTTGTTGCTCAGGAGTTGTATCACCGATTACACTCCGGAATATGAGTATAAGTATAGATGGACAGACTTCTTCGAGTTCACCGTCTTTTTTGAGCTTCGCGGGTCTTGGTTGAACTGGTTGATCCTACCAGTGCTCAAACCCAACTGTCTCCTTCAACAATCGCCTCGACGCCCACATATCGCCATGAAGTACAGCGCAGCTCTCACTCTCGGGGGTGCTCTCGCCTCCGTCCAGGCCCAGTGGCTCGATACCGAATCTGTCAGCTGGCCTGAGCTTGAAGCTCTCGGCGGCGGCAACCGCCCGTGGGGTGGCATCGATATTGGCGATACCAGCATCATGCCCCTCGAGTACATCCTTGGGGAGCTCAATGCCATCACCGGAGACTATCCCTACAACTACTATTACCCCTATGCCTACTACCCTCCTCCGCTCACCATTCCCCGTCCCATTCCTGGCTACCCGGTCAACACCGTCGGTTACCTGCTGCCCACCACAACCATTCAATTCAACCAGCTCAACCGCCAGGCCGATTGCTCTGTGCCAGGCGGGCGCATCGAGTATCTCACCGACCCTACCAATTCAGAAACACCAATTGTAACCGACACCAGAACCCAAGTCACTTTCAGCTTCCCGCTCGACGTCCTCGACAAGAACTGCCAGTTCATCTTCTTCCTCGGCAACACCAGCACGATTAACGGCTCGGGCAGATTCCTTCTGCTGCAGAACGAAACCCCGACCACATCATGCCCTACCGAGGACCCCCCGACCATCCCGGAGACCGACCAGGCTGTGATTGCCGGCTACCAAGCCAAACTCGCGGATCTTGCCGTGGTTGATGATTCTAGAGGCAATGCGTATCTGGTGGGGCCCAATACTAAATGCCCGATCCCCGGAACTATCCTGACGCTGGAACTTCGCGGATTGGATGACTCGGCAGATGCGAATGAGCCTACCACTGACACTATTGCGTGGAACGGCATCTTTTCCGGTCCGGCAATCAAGTACACGACCCCGCCTTCTGATACGACGAACACTAACTCTCAGTAATGTCGAGCTAGGCAACACCATCTCGATTGACGACATCCCATTTAACACCACCCTTGCACTTAACACCACTCTCCAACCAGAGAGATCTTGGTTCCTCTTTGAGAAAACCTATCTTGTTCTCACTTCTGTCTTGTTCGCTTGGCGAGGCCCTGCTGTGGTTTAAGCATGTACTTTGTATCCTACTGAGGATATCGGCGATGGTCATCTTGGTTTGGTTGTCCTTGTAATGTCGAAGCACGTTTGTGGGTGGTGGTCAGTGACAGGTTTGGTAGTAATTCCAGATAGGTAACAATGCGAGTTGGGCTTATCAACGTACTCGGATACCATGAAACATTACCAGATTTGATTCACAGGGAGGCATAGAATCACATGGGGCTTGATATGGCCGGGTGGCCCAATCAGTCAGCAGGATGACCAAGGTGGCAGACATTGAGAACGAGTGAAAATACGGAAGGTATTCATGCTAATTTCAACTTCACATGCTCTTCACCACCCTATGCAAAACCATACTGAACCCAATACTGTAAACGTATTATGCAGACTTCGTTCTCCTTTCCAACCCGAAGACCCCTCCGACGCTCCAGAACCACACAATCAACTTCTACAACGACATATAGTTCATATGGGCTGTAATCACAGCAACCTCCAAGTCCCCGTTCGCCTCGTTCACAAGCAAGTCTACAAACTCCATTGCGTAAAATGGATCAACACGCCCCTGAGTCAAAGTCCCGTTCATTCTCGCCGTTATTGCCTCATTCCATACCTCGTGCCTCTGCTCCTTCAGCACCGCGAGATCCACCCCGGCAGCCACCATCTCGCACGCCAACACGGGATTCCTCACAATCACCTCCCTCAGCTTCTCAGCCAAATACCTCCTATCCTCCGCATCTAGCAGCGGTTGTGGCGGATCCTTCTTGTAGGGCCGTATCAAACTGAACAACAATGCACCAACGAATTGGTACGTGCAGTATCGATATTGCTCGCGCAGATCATGGTCAAATTGATTGACACTTTCGTGCAATTCCGAGCGAAGAATCGCCAGGTCCAACACCGTGCGTCCATCCGAGTTTGGAGTGCGGATTCTCGCGCCCGCCATGGCCAAAACGACACATTTCAAAATGGCTGTCCACTGATGCAGTTGCGTGGGCGTGTCGATTCGCGGTGGGGGCACGTCGGCTTCCCCGACCACGCTCGCGTCTGGTCCAATGGCGTAAATCCGGCCCGACTCGGCGTCGTAGTCCGGATGAAACTTTAGTAACATTAGCGTTGGCCAACGCGGGATGGAAAGGATGGCTTCGTGCATTGCTGTGATCCATCGCCCGTGGGTGTACCCTGAGAGGGCGTTCGGGTCCGCGCCGTGATTGAGAAAGAAGGAGACAGCAGTAGCGGGATTACTACCGTCGCCTGCGGCGATGGTTAACGGGTGCAGGACTTGGATTTCGCCCTCGTCGTCGATGTTGATGGATTCGACACAGCCGCAGTCAATGAGAGTAGAGGCACGTTCGGGTAGTGAAAGGCCCATGATGGTGTCTAACAAGGCGACGCGCTGCGCTTCCCAGGTGGGTCGGGTCACGGGTCCCAGCTGTCCCGGGAAGGGCGCAGGTGTGGAATTGGGGAAGAAAGTCTCGTACGAGTACGCGAGCACTTGCAAGGGGTAGCAAAGCCTGTTGGTGTGCAGGCACAAAAAGCGGGATTGGTGTTTGGCTCCCCACTTGAGGAGGAGGTGCTTTGCAGCGGAAAGGCAGCCGAAGTTGAGGGCCGTGGTGAAGGGAGTTTGGGAGTGGTCGGCGCGCATTTCGAGGTTCGCGCCAGCTGATAAGAGGAGTTTGATACAGGGGAGATCGTCCTCCTCGTCGTCGTCGTCCCCCTTGTCGTCGTCGAGGAAGGAGGAGGAGGAGTAGCGGAGGGCGGCATAGTGGAGCGGTGTGCGGCCTTCGTGGTCGCGGGCGTTGATGTCTACTTCCTCTTTGCGTGGAAAATCGGGGGAGAGGACGTAAGAGAGGACATCGTCTCGGCCTTTCAGTGCTGCGGTATGGAGGATCGTGATCTTTGCCTGCTGGGATGGGTCCGCTGAGACGGTGAGGGACGCGCCTGCCTTTACCAAATCCTTCACGATTTGTAGCGAGGGCTCGCGGTCTGGCGGTGTGATGCGTGGGCCGTAGTTGTGCACGTTGTCTTTTCCCTGGCAAATGGCCAAGTGCAAAGCGGTCCAGTGCCCTGTATCATCCGACACGCCGTAATCAGCTAGGGCATGAGGGTCAACGGGTTGGAAGGGGCATTTGCAGAGGTTGAAGACAGGGTCGTCAATGTGGGGGAGAACTTCAGGAATGGAGAGCAATTGGGAGACAACTTTGGGGTGCGAGAACATGGAGGCTACGCCGAGGGGGCGGCACTGGACTGGCTCAGCGGGAGACCGTCCTATCGGCAAGTGGGGAGAGATGGACGTTGTGGTGAAAGAGATGGGAGGCTCGGATGAGTCGCAGAGTCGAAGGATGGTGAGGAGGTCTCCGACACGGAGGGCGTCCGCGAGGGCTTGGAAGGTGTCCTTGCGAGATTGTTCATCCTCATCCATCGGGTGGTATGATTGAGGTTGAAATTGATGATAGAATAACTTGGAAGAAGACAGGCTGTAATCCAATGATACTGTTGAGTATTTCCAAAATGAGGCTAAAATCAGTCGACCAAGACGCATTGTGTGCTGTGATGTAAAGAGAAAAGTAAAGTCACTAGGTCTGAGGTCTGGATTTAGATACTTGAGACCCTTGGTGCTCAACGGACCTTCCATTAATCTACGTAGTCATGGTCTCGGTTGATGTAAGTGTCTTCCTTCCTTTACTGCTTACTTCCTTTCCTATGCTGCTGGGCTCCTCCTCGTGGTGACCGCTTCCTTCTTTGCCTGACTTGTTTGTTGGCTCAAAACCTCTGGTCAACTTATCCAGGCGTTTCAACGATAAGTCTATCGCCTTTGTGCTAGATGCAATGTGCCCCAATCACATGGCATAAGATTGCACATGTAACGGGACTACCGATCTCACAGCCTGTGGCTCTACTGTGTGGGATTATCTTGTTGAAATAGACGTAGCAACCGATGTCATCGCTCAACACTAGGAAAGACTGTGGCACACAAGGGGTTGAGGCTCCTATGTGTTCGGTAAACTTGACTTGAAGAGATGATTTATATGTACCTATGTATAGCCATTCGACGCATGCTTTCCCATGACCTTTTCCATGGTTTTGGTCTTTTCGTGGATCCATACTCGTATCATCATCTTTCGCGCTTCATCTTCCCATCTTCTTCCACCATATGATTGTCTATCTTACCAGTCTACCACCCTCCCAGCCTGAACATCATTCACGAACCACCAATCCATTAACCTAAGAGAACCATCCCGAATAGGAATAAGGGTTAGAAACCCCCGACTTGTCCGTGGGAGTGTTGTAAGAAGTGGAGCTACTGCTTGTCGTGCTCGTCCCGGAACTATCTGCCCCTGTGGATGTCGTACCCGAGGACGTTGTGCTAGTGCTGCTGGATGTTGTCGAGCCACTAGCGCTGGTATAAGTGGGGGTGTTGGTAGAAGACGTTGAGGACCCTGTCCCTCCGTAAAGACTGGTGTTGGTGGTTGTGGAAGACATTGTCTCGGTTCTTAATGAAGAGACTGAAACGCGGGAAGTAGGCGGCCGGGAGTTGTCAAGGTTATCGAGTACGTTGTTGGTGTGTTCACAGTGGAAGATGGCAGTGCCCTGTGTCGGGAGTTCGAGCAGGATGGGTTATCCAGGGATATATATCTCTTTGGGAACAAGTAACATCGTATGGTAGAACACAAGAAGTGACTGGAGGCCACTGACCAATAAAGGCTGACACGACATCATAACTTTGATTTCCAAACGGGACTGTCCTTGCGGTTGTCGATTGAACAAATCATGGCTCGTTCTATGATAAGTCTTGAGATCCTGAGGAGCAGTGGTCAGAGAATCCGTTTGCGATGGTGTTGTTGGGTTCTCAATCCTCCGTCAGGAATGAAGCCGCAGACACATCCCGGACTGCCATCCCGCTGATGGTTGCGCATTTCTCGACAAGACGTAAGGTCTCGAGTGTTCGATGATGGTATCAATGAAGTAAGAACTTGTCGTGAACAAGCGAATGGCGCTCTGCTGCAATGATGTGTCTCCCTGTCCCGGTAGCCTGTCGACTTTTACTCAAAATCGAGGGTGAAGTTGGTCCATTTGTAATGAAGAGGGTCGGGTGGGTGACAACTGAAGTGACACCCGAAAGAAGGCGGTAGGGCGGGTGGGCATCGATGTGGTCTGAGCGCTGAGATAACTGTAGGCCTCTGTTCGCCTGCCCCTGATTGCTCTTTTCTGCCGTGGGCTCCTCCTCTCCTTCTTCCCTTTCTTTCCTGAACAACACTCGTTGTCATCATACAATCATTCACTTCGTCCGCTTAACCACAGAATACTTATACAATGGAAAATCCAGCAAGACATTCCGCTTGTCGGCGCGATAATGATCCCTACAGTCGAACAGCCAAGGCAGTTATCGCACTATCTTGTTGCTTGCCAAGCTTGCTGCCGTCAGGATAGACAAGCGTCTAAGCCATCAAATCGACCAAGTCAAACCATGTTGGGCAATCTGTTCAATCAACATGTCAATTGTCCCGAAGGCACTTGCAAATGGCTGTTGTCAGCCACCACCAGCCTCAGACCGACCATCACCAATCCAGCGAAATGAACGGGCCGGTGAACGGCCAATCACAGAGGTAACCGGCCCGAAGCACTACGGCCTACCCCCGCGAACTTATCAGCTCCGATGTTCCGATACGACATTGGAGAGGAGACGGTGGCTGACTCTCCAAACCATTCATAGGAAGCGAACCCCGCCCCCAGTCTGTCCCGCGTTTCTCTCTGCTCGACGATCGAATACTGCCCGCTGCGCCGTTGTTCGGATCACGATTGTCTACTTGCTCAAGTCAACGACGGTAACTACAACCTCAGACGCACGGCAAAAGCCGAGGCCAGCATTGTACGCAAATCCAAGCACACGAGAACCACAATGAGATTGATCAACACCGAGACACTGGAGCTCCATGAGTTCTTCGAGTCGCAGGCTCCGACCTACGCGATACTTTCGCACACATGGGACAAAGACGAGATTACCTTGCAGGAGATGCTTTCCATGTCTCCGTCCACCATGGTAAAGGCTGGATACAAGAAGATCCAGGATACCTGCAAAATGGCACAATCGAGGGGTCAACAATGGGTCTGGATTGACACCTGTTGCATCGACAAGTCAAGCAGCGCCGAACTCACCGAGAGCATCAACTCCATGTACCGCTGGTACCAAAATGCCCACGAATGCTACGCTTATCTTGTCGATTTTGCCCCCGGATCGCTGCCGCAAGATGAACTTGAGAAATGCCGCTGGTTCACACGAGGGTTCACTTTGCAGGAACTCATTGCGCCCAAGACTGTGGTATTCTTCGACAGAGACTGGAACGTGGTTGGCGAGAAAGGGGACAAGAACATTCTCGAAATTATCGCCCGTTTCACGGGTATTTCAGAAGATCTTCTGTCTGGTTTTCGGCCAGTGGATGACTATGCAATTGCCGAGCGGATGCTCTGGGCTTCGTCTCGCGAAACGACCCGCCCTGAAGACAAAGCTTACTGTCTTCTCGGCATATTCGAAGTCAATATGCCCCTCATATACGGAGAAGGTGACAATGCGTTCCGCAGACTCCAAGAGGAGATCATCAAGCGTAGTAACGATCTATCAATCTTCGCCTGGGGCACACCTCTCAACTGGGAACCTACCAAGAAGGGAAGCTTGACGGAGCGTCGATATTTGGGCCTTTTTGCCAGATCACCAGCAGACTTTGGGGCAACATGGGAGTGCATGGAACAGACAAAGGGAGAAAAGTTTATCTGGGAATATAAGTTTGCACCGGGATCTCAGGTCATCCCGGAGTTCACTTTGACTAACAGGGGATTGAATATTCGCGCAAACATGCAGGTATTCCAAATTCTTGACTCAGCGGACCGACGGGAACCGAAACCAGCTTTTTACACTATATTTTTGGGCCTAGCGAGCATAGGAGGCTTTGCCATTTTGCTCGAGAAAGTCAGCCCAGAACTCTACATTCGGCTAGGCATAAGAATCAAGAAGAACGACAGTTACCTTGCAGAGTCCGGGCCCAGCATTAGGAACACCATTCTTATGGACCACAAGAGCCTCTTGGGAGTAAAAGATATATTTGAGGGAACAGTATCAATAAGAGCTTCGTTGGGCCTACGACTTAGCGTTATTCATCCACTTCCTAATACACACTGGGATTTCTCCAAGTCGCTGTTCTTCCCCCCAGAAACAAATCAATACCAGCAACAATCCTATGAAGTCGCCTGTGCTCTGGTTAGTCTAAGTCACTTGAGGCCCGAGTTTGGGGTGTGGGACTTGCGGTTATTCGTGATCATCAATTTCCCACGCAGGTTGGAACCCGGAATTCCTCAAGCATTTATTCTAGGCGAGGATGACCTGCCAGAAATTGGCAGGTTGACTCAGCAGAACCACATCCCTCGCCATGTCCTCTTTCCTGGCCGCGGCCAACAATCATTCCACCTTCTCAATAAAGGGCCCGAATACGGTCGCCAAAAGGTGATCATGCTTAAGACCGCAAAGAAAATGACCATCGGTATTGAAGCAGCTTTCACCGACCCCCTTGCTGAGTTTGACTGCGCTTTAAGTCGGATTAGGCCCGTGGAGCAATATACTGCAATGCTTCACGCTACAGTCGAAGATGATGTCGATGAGAAGGTTCATAGCAATTCTATGGTCCCCCGCTCACTTCAAGGAACCTGGAAAAGTTGATGGGTGTACCTTGAAGCTCTGATTAGTGGGCACTTTGGGACAGATGGTCGTTGCTCCAGGAAGCGTTGGTGTTCATAGTCAAGAAACAAAGCAATCTAATAGCTCGAACCGCCTCCAGCACGCATTCCGTCCACTTTTGAATAGCCCCCAATCCACAAGGAGACACACTTGTTTTCGCAAACTTGCTGAACCTACCCATGTTGTGCCACATGTCTACTGGTTGATACTGCAACAGACGTCGATAAACGGGATTGTTGCCTAACCCGACTACGATTCGATGATGGTTTCGTACATACTACACGACTGGTATTAACAGAGCAATCCTCATTCCGAAGCCAGCGACACACCCCGGCAAAGATCCTGCGTCGCTTGCTCAATGCTTTATCAGCACTCCAAACGGTTGAAAACCCTGCGGGTGAGTTTTCGTTGTTCGCCGCGTGATATATCCCTGACCCTGTCGGTTGGTTGGGGCGTGTGTTTGGCTGCAGCTTGTTTGATCCAAGGGAGATAATCGGTAACCACAGAACAATGGTGTTACGAGGACCAAAGATCGGAGCGGGGGAAGGACGGTTTAAGCTTTTTCCTGCCTTACTCAGGAACGAACCTCGGAATTGGCGGAAGTGAGCGCGTCCCGTAATCCTTTGACATTGTGACAGTTGATGATATCTTGAAGCATGAGGCGCTCTAGGTGATCACATCAGCTAGAGGCATTGATGATCTGTCTTAGCGGACGAGGCAGCACGATTCGTTTGATTCCCGTACTGGTAGCATACTCGTTGCTGATACAGAGTGGGCGTGCGAGCTGGGTGAAGAACGAGTTTGAGCGACGGTTACCAAAGAGGTATGGAATTGCGAGGGTGACCGGTCATTATGTTGGGGAATGGAGCATGGATGTACTGTTCGCGACTACGACGTGGAAGTATGTGTGATGGCCGTGGGTAGTACGGGCTTTACATGTGGCTGTTGGTCTCTTGCGGCATACCGGCATCGGCAGCCCATTGGGCCGGGATATAAGATAGCAATAAGAGGTACCTGTCTATAAAGAGTGGGGGATGATGAGTTGGAGTCGCAATGTCTTCGAATTTTGAAAGAGGTTAGCTCGAAGACATTTATCCTGGGGCTTCGGAGGATTTTCATCATGAACAGAGAGTCATTCATTGAGAAGATGAGAGGCTTGACAAGGTCAACGAAGAACATGCGGGATTGAGATTGATTACCATGGATCGGCCATGAACAAGATATTACTATTGACCCCTCAAAACTATCATACCAAGCAAGGGAACATAAAATCATGCAGGGGCTCTGCCATCTCTGTCATCGTCCTGTGTATCTCGCTTGCCCAATAGGTTCATCGCGGAACCAGTAGATCCCAGCTGTCTTGATTTGGAGTGCTCGCAAAGCAGATTGTTCCTAGAGTAGATATAGTCTCCACGCGATTCATCCTCTCGGAGACACCGAAGGCAAAGGCTTGTCTCTCTCTCCATCCACTCCGGAAGCCTGGAGAAGATGGTAGAGCCACTCCAATCGAAACGTGTGCAGAAGTTCGGGTTCCAGATCTTTTCGTTGTGTACCTGTTCAATATCGTTGCACCAGGACTTCTGGAGAACCTTTTGTTCTTCGGCAAGCGGGATCAACTCGTCTATGATAGACAGGATCGAACAAATGGGTTCTTGACTTGTAGAATGTTGTGTGAGACGCTCCCAAATTGGTCGAAAGCGACTCTGAAGAGACTTCTTCCATTCGCAGTTGCAGTCCCTGGTACTATCGCAAGCCATACGACCTCTATCAAAACCAGCTTCACGGCATACTGAATCGAGAAAACGTATTCGAAGATTGGACGATCGCTCTGCTAGCAGGACTGCAGGCCGCTCACAATTAGAACTTTATTCCAAACTTTTGTAATCTATCCCTGAAGAGTAAAGTTTGTGGAGAAATGCTTACAGAATATTTGTGGAGGCAATCTTTCCCTGAAGGGCTCGTCGGAAAGAAGTTTGGCGTAAGGGCCCGGATAGGTGATCATGACTATCCAGCTATATTGCGCAAAAAATTTCTCCTCTTCGAGAGTCCAGGCTGCGGCCATACGGTATATGGACTCCTCTGTGATACACCCCATGGACTGTCGGAACCATATGTCGGTGATAAGCTTCATCGGTGCCTTCAAGTCGTACTTGTCAATGAGAATGGCAACATGGAGCATTCTTTGTCCACCTTGTTCCTCAAGCCAATGGGGATTCATCAGGTTGTTGCGGAAATGTAATGCTAGACAAACAACCTCCATGGCTTTAGGTTCATCTTCCGGAAGTTGAATCTCCTTCGGGTTTTCGGCCGAAATCCCCTGACTTTCGACCCAAGGCGGGGAAAGCATGGTCCTGAAGACCGTAGACGCCTCTCGAAGGATAGTCGACTGAACTCTGAGACGAAGCTGTGGATCCTCGGAATCAGGAGCCCCGACGACGAGAATGATATCCCCAGTGGCTGAAATCTCTCTGTTTGGGTCGCCTTTCATGTCGCTACTCTCCCTATGGTCCTCCATGGTGTGGTTTGCCTTGTCGTGCAGTGTCGCAGGTTGATCAATCCGAGTATTGAGCCTGTAGCAGGTGGCTGGCGTAGTGAATGAAGCGACTAAGACAAGATAACGCGAAGTTAAAAGTAGAAAAGAAAAAGGTTTAACAAGAGCAAGGAACTGCCCAACTTTGGAGGTAGTCGAGCAAGAAGGGCGGAAGGGCGGGGATCTGGAGGGAGATGCATGACTGCACACAGCCTGATGAAATCATGAGGTCAGTACCCATTTCACATGCAGACGTGATCGGTGGTGGAGTTTATTGCAGATAGAGTCCCGCATCATGCTGTATATGAACGTTCGACGCAAGAATGGGTACCCGATAGACAAACGCTCTTAAGATGTACTATCTACTCACTTCTTTGGTTCTACCTTTCATCTTGAATGATTAGAACGACAACAGCCCCGTTTGCAAACGTCCCGTCTTTTTTCATCCTGCCCCGCGCGCTTGACGCGTCCCGTCACGGTAGGTCCTTGACCCTCAGCTCACAATTACATACCACACTTTCGCCTCTCCCTGCACTCAACATTTCCCGTTCAACCCCTCCTCTCTCAACCCTTTGTTTGGAACACCAACCCTCGAGGACCCATAAAACAACCGGATTACTCGTTTCTCTTCATCGATGACGGAGCGCACCATTCCGGACGTGATCGGCGTCGAGCCAGACACGATAGAAGACAACATGGCAGACCAGACGACCTTCTCGCCCGACCTTGACCTTGCTTTGATCGTTGGCTCGGAGAAGACACGCCCCGAGAAGAAACTGTAACAATGGGTTGGTAATGTGGATTGTATTGAAGTAACGAAGGAGGAGAAACCCAGGAGTTCATTATGCCTGAAGGAAGGTATGAATTGGTTTACAGGTGGATGATGCCATAATCGCTGCATTGTCGCCTGCCATGTACGGTTATAGCAGACGCTGCCTGGAAATGACGAGTTAATGACTACGTTGGCATGACCAGCCCACAGACAGCTCATAATTGGGAGAGTGGGGCTGGTGACTTGATAATAACTCTTCTTTTCCCCGTGCGACATCCATTCCAGTGCTCTTCAAGCAACTCATCATCACTCGCCCACTCTGCACCGAACTCCTCAATCCCGCTTCACGACACAATGGACAGCGAGCCAGCAATCATCGAGACGGTCCCCGACCCCGACCTTGTTCTAATCGTCGGACCGAGTAAGGAGCGCATCCCCGTCGAGTTGGCCATCCTCAAAGCCACCTCACCCGTCTTCGCCTCGATGCTCTCTCCACCTTGGCTGGAAGCCCAAAGCAAGGAGATTTCCCTCCCCGAAGACGACCCAAATGCGATGCGTTTCATCACTCTCACCCTTTCGTACTACAACGAGCACGAGCTCGTGACCAAAACCCAGACGCCCCAGGAGATCTTGCAGATTGCTATTGCAGTGGACAAGTACGACCTGTGTGCGGCGCTCAAGTTTGCGCTGGACTACTTGTTGAGGGACGCGAGTAAGAGATACACGGCGGAAAACGACGAGTTCATGGAGGACGACGAGCCCGGGGAGCTCCTCGTATACCTTTGCGCCGCGGCTTACGTACTCGGCTGGTGCGAGTGGTTTAGTAGATTTGCACTGGACCTGATATGTTGCCATAGGATGTCCTTCATTACGCTCATGGATGATGTATTGATTAGTAGTATCATCCCTGATATGTTCTTTGGTGAGTTCCTTAATTCTCTTACTTGTCATGTTTCGACTGTCTCTACACTACCCACCTAATGACACTCATTTCAAATCTTGTCTATTAACTCATTTCTATGACAGTCATGCTCGCAGAGAAAGCCGCACTCTTTCAAATGAACGTCTATTGGCACATTCAATGGTGCCTCCATGCTGGGAGCTCTTACCATGTCTGTCATTGTTCCTGGAGCGCATCACTCTGCAAAAGCTATGCGCGGTTTGTTCTCGATTTTGGCAATTCCAAGGAGGATGGAATTTGCTCCGCCCTGTTATCGGGCATTGGTGATTTGCGGGTTCTGCTCCATGAAGACATCTCTTGGTTTAAAGGGGACTGCCCGCAGGATGGAAAGCCGCACCACACAATCATTCAAGAAAACTCGACGTTCAGTCACATGGTGCAAAGGGAGTCGTCACACCTCTATTTTTGTCTTCGCGACCTGAAAATCAAGGAGAATTGCTACGTAGAGCATGCACGACTAACTCTCGCTTAACCTACGAAAGCTTCCGCAAATGAGTAGGCTGTGGGGAAAGATGATTCCAGGTTGCTGGATCGAAAACACAGTGGTTTGGAGTCGACGTTGAGGGAAGTTTGGGAATGATCGTTGGAGAGGTATGTTTGGCGGGAGGCTAACCGGCTTTTCATGTACTGTCAATCGATCATATTCGATAAGTGGTCTTGTTCCTGGACAAAACAGTTGAGACCTTTGTCATTACACCTTTTGTAGACTCCTACTACGCATCCGAGCGCCTTTGTGACACCTCTTATCTTGAGTTCTACGCAATTCCTGGAAATGAATATTCAAATAGGACGCTAGCCGATGTCTTTTTGAATTGTTGTAGTCCCTATCACAGTCTTGCAACGGCCTTTTTTTTTCCCCTTGACGAGCGGTAGTGGACTGGTTTCCCTAACCTGCTAGTTGGTCTCATCTATTTTGTTTCGGACCAGCTAGTCTCATCGAGCCATCGTGCGTCAAACCAATCCATGATTACGTGCATGTACTTAGATAGATCAAGTCCAAGGCGCCACAAATCTAACTACTTGTTCATTCGACACCTTGACAGTCTCCTTCGCCACCGCTAGAACCATCTCCCACTTCAGCTCATGCGTCCGCCGAATATTATATGTCATGAAATCCGGGTAGAGGAGTGCTCTCAGCTTCGCCGGTCCACCGTTATACGCCAATTCCGTCGGGTTAAACCTCAACCCCAGCTCAGCTCCGATATCTCGAGCCGGCGGTTCTCCTGTTGAACCAGAAGCAGGACCACCACTACTACCACCACTACTACTCCCACCAGCAACACCAGCAGCTGGACTCATTCCCCCCTTCAACGCTGCCTTTTCGTCCATAAACTGCCCCTTTTCCCCCAAGGCCATCTTCTCCTTCTTCTCCTCACCCTCCAAGCCCGCATCCGCACCCGCATTCGAGCCCATCCTCCTATCCCAAACCGGCAACACCATCCCCTCCTCCCCTTCCTTCCACACCCAGCTCCACTCAACGACCTTATCCGTCTTATCCGTATACCGATCCCAAATCCTCGAATTACCCACCTTGACCTCCGTCCTCGTCTTGACCACCATCCGCAAACTAACCACACTAACCGTCGGAGTCCTCTCCAACTCCTTCACCTCGTCGCTCGTCTCATCCGCTGGCCCCAGCCGCGGCACAGCCGCCACCCGAAACGGCACAGGATCCACACTGCCCAATTGGATCACCCCAGGTGTAATCACCAACACGTCAAACGAGTACTTGGGCACTTTGGACGAGTGAAACAACTTAAGAGTTTTCTGCTTGAAGGAAAGCTCCTCGCTATCTGCAAACTCGGGGATTAACCGCTGTGTGCGCACCCCCTCGCGCTTCACCCAGCGACCTAGACGCCACTCATCCGGATGCAGAGGGGGGATAGTTGGTGGGCGGATCGTTATGGGGAGTACGGCCGTGGCGGTTTTCTTGGCCGAGGGAGAGCTGCTGAAGCGGGGAGTGTGTTGCTCGAAGAACTCGGCCTCGAGGACGTACTCGACGTAGGCCTCGATGCCGTTGTAGTAGCGCGAGCCGATTTGGGTGTAAAAGGTGAAAGGGAGAGGGTGGGAGGTGATTTGGTCGGGTGGATCAATCGGTAAGAAAGAATGTTTCTGTTTGTTGTGGGCTCCCTCGCAGATGCCTTGGGGGTTGACGGGGCCGAAGGGGAGGGAGAAGGAAAAGGGCCAGGATTCGGGTTTGCTGCCGTCTGGTGGGATGTGGATGGGTCCTCGGAAGATGGTGTTGTAGAAGGCTGGGCCGGAGCCGAGCAGCTCGAAGCGCGAGCGCACCGTGTGGTGGTGGTTGCTGTTGCCGCTGTTGGTGGTGTAGTCGACGCGCACCTTGGTGCGGCCGTAGAGCTTGACGCTCACGAGGGCCTCGGAAGAGACGACGTGGCTGTGTCGGTAGACGCGGCCCGTGATGGGCTCGCCTGGGTTGAATTCCCGGTTGGGGACGTCAAGCGCTATCGCTAGGTCCGGACTTGCTTCGGTCACGGCCTGGGGCATGGTGGAGGAAATGTAGGGGAAGTCGGTAAATCGTGAAAATCAAGACGTGAGTTTAAAGTTCGGGAACCCAACTAATTATATACCTTTCCCATTTCCCCGGAAAATGATACGCTGAAAGTGCAGGTGATGTTGCGGACAAGCAATTGGTCTCCATTGTAGCCGCCGATGTCATCTCACTCCGGCTGTACGGCCCCGTTTTGAGAGGCGCAATCCGTCCCGAGACCCCTCATTGCCCTCCTCGGACTGACAACACAGCCACATTCTGCCACCTCCAGATAACTTTATAACGCTTTGTCTGCTAAGTCTTGGCTGTTTCCTGTGGTGATGATCATCAAAAACTCATTTGATGGCGGGTAAGCGGCACAAACAAATAGGAAACTAAGTGGATGTTTACGGCGGTAGGTCGGGTGAGAAGTTTAAGGGAACATCTGTGGGCACTTCGTCTCTAACATAGAGGATTTCAGCCCAAAATTACTACTTCAACTCTGCGCAGTCGGAAGCCGAAAATCAGACGAAAATTCAAAGTTTTAGGAAGGATACCAACTTCCTTCTTTCCGACAAGGCTTTTTCATCTCATTAACGCTGCTTGTGGACAAGAGGAATCGTTGTTCTCCGAGAAGACATGAAATGAGTGTTAGTGCACGCAGAGAGGCCCCACCATCATTGGGTGCTGGGAAGACCTTGCAACACATTCAGGCGCATCAGCAACCCCCACTGAGATCTGAACCTCCTTTACAAGCAACCTCCAAGCTTCCCTTTCAGACGCAAAAAAAAATAAATGTCCTAAGAGGACCATGAAAGAAGACGTCTTTTCTGCGATCTGAAACTTCCAGAAGGTGGGCTCAAGAAAAAGCAAAAAAGATTTGGAACGACGGGAATTGAGCCCGACGTGGGGGTCGAACCCACAACCTTGAGATTACGGAGGAACTCCTTAAGAGTCTCACGCTCTACCGATTGAGCTAGCCGGGCAAGCGGCTATCAATTATTCCTTGATGATTAGGCGCTTCCTGAAAGAGCCCTATAGCCGCAAGTTCACATACTCAACATCACCAACATCTGCCCACCACGACGATAGCTCGCCATGGACACTCGCAAATGACGCAGACCCAGTAAAGGTTATTGAAACAATACCTGAAGTATTAAGGGTGAAGAAATATAAAAGTCCTGTTTTCTTCGACAGCTAAACTTTGAACTCCAAAATTTGGTAATATAGGCTAAGGATACATCCCGTTGTCAAATACCGACACCTTGCCTACAAATACAGCGACATTTGCTTCATCTTGTTTGTCGCCGCTCATCTTCTCCATTTCCCCTTGCCATTGCCGCCAGGCAGAGATGGCACAGGCTTCAAGGCCAAGATTCGCTGTGCAGCATGCTCCGATGCAATCACGATCATTGCCGACGGGTTGCCGGTGGTCATGCCAGGGAAGATGGAGGCGTCAACAACAAAGAGGTTATCGGTACCGTACACCTTGGTGTTCAGATCCACGACAGCGCTGCCTCCAGCACGGCCATCATCCTTGCCAAGCTTGGCAGTTCCCATCCAATGGTTTGACCGGCGGTTGGAGGGTGAGACGATCATCTACAGGCACCGATTTGTCAGTAAAAGGTATGGCTCAGACAGCGATGGACAGAAAAGGGGAACTCACATTGTTGATAAATGACTCGACAGTCGTGTTTGGGGGAGGCAAGACCCAGGAAATGTTGGGAATGACATTCAGCGCCGCCTGGAGGTTCTTGATGCCTTGGATGACGGTCTGCTTGTCGACATCGTTGTGGAGGTACGGGTGTTCGGCCACATTGGTGTCCAGACCCGATGAAATGGCCATCCGGCCTCTGGAAACAACACCTCTGCCGAGATATTGGCTGAGAGTCATGGCATGCTTAGAGGTGGTGTACTGATCGCTTCCCTCCACTCGAGCAGTCCATTGCAGAGTACGAACGATGTTGTCCGAGCCCTTAAGTTCATCCCACATCTGTAGAGTCACATGTTAGCCAGACTCGATTGACTGTACTGCATCTGATGTCACGTACCAAAGGACCAATATTGGGAGCAGCCTGGGCAAGGATTCCAGATCTGTTTTGAAGATAGGCGCTCTTGTCACCTTCAATGGGCGTGTTCCAAGCTTCGTAGAAGTCATAAAAGACAACGTCAGGATGGGTGATAATGAGATCAGTGTTGAGATGATCCATGAGGTTGTAGCCAACTGGAAGGTTGATCCATTGGTCCTCGGAAATGAACGTTGGGCCATCCGTCGACCCCTTGACAATTTCGAGTTGATCGGTAGGTCCGATACCGCCTATGTTGTATCTGTCAGCAAACAAGTCATCCAATGTAATTTCACACATCATCATGATAACTTACTGCGAAGGAGAAGCTTGGCCGAACCAAAAGTGCCTGCAGCAAAGATAACACGGCCAGTGTTAGGGGTCACGTTGACAATTCCGCTGAGACCACCATCCGTCAAGCATTCGAGCTCAATGCCAGTGACACGGCTTCCGTTACGAACCGCCCTTCTCACAGCTACATTCGTCCAGAGAGTGAACTGCTTGCGAGCTGCCGCCGTCACAAGGTAGGTTGCCAGAGGACCACCTCGCTCGCCCTTAGCAAACATGAAGGTGCTGTGACCAAAGGTGTGATTCTTATGGTTGTATGCATCGTTGGGGATCACCTCTTTCCAACCGCTCTTGCTCAGCCCGCTGGCTAGGACGTTGAAGCCCTCTTGCCGGTACAGCTTGCCGTTTTGCGAGGGATGCCAAGTTCCAGGAATACGACCGAACACACGGTTAGTGGCTGGCACGGTATCTCTCGACTTCCAGCCCTCGGGAAAGTTGTAATCCCAATCCTGAGGATGCGGCTATGGTTCGCGGTTAGTGAATGACTTTCCTGGTCAATAGAACTAAAGCAACTCACCTTCCACCACAGGCCGGCATTAACAGCCGTTCCTCCGCCCAGGACACATCCCGCCATTTGGTCGGTATCTGTACAGGCGATGCCGGCAGAGTCAACCCAGATCTGGTTGCAAAGACCAGGAACATCGAAGCGGGTCAAGTTCGTGGCCTGAAGCCACTCGGGCTTCATGGTACCCTTCCATCTTCCAGTGGAGGGAGGTCCTTTTTCGATCAACAACACACTTTTTCCGGCCTCGCTGAGCTTGTCCGCAATGGGAATGCCACCAGCACCGGCGCCAACGATGATGTAGTCGTACATCTTGCTTGGGGCAGGTGTGCAAACGGGAACGGGCTCCGCTGTCGAAGTTGGCTCGGCTGGTGGCTCGGATCCAGTGGGTGCTGGGTCGGATGCCCTGTTTCAGCACATGTTAGTAACCATATGTAAACAAAGCGCATAGAACAAAACATACCCAGAGCAGTCAGCAGTAGTCGTCTTTGTGGCCAAGGAGGCCCAAGCTGAGTAGGAGGTATGCGGGACTTTCTCGAGAGGCGCTCCATATTGACCGAATCCATTGTCGTGAAAGCCGGGAATGGCCTTGTCAGGGCAAGTCGGGTTCTCAAGATTTCCTTTGGCCGCGGCACGGCCCAAGACGAGAAGGCCACTGCTGGTTGATACACTTCCCTTGCTTCCTCCTTGGTTCCAGGCGAAACAGTCCTGGCAGCGATAAATCAGTTCGAACTGGGTCGAGTTCACAGTGGCAGAGATCTGGGTCAGGGTTGCATTTCCGGTATAAAGTCCTGGCACATTATACCCGGATGCGTAGCGAAACGAGGTGAAGACTTGGCCCTTGGAGGTCCAAGCCATGAGCAGCAATGACTGTGTCATTTGTCCAGATTGGCCGTGGGAGACACCGCACCATCCGGGGCTCGCCGCATCACCAACGTCACAGCGCTGCCAATCGTGTTAGCTGATGTCCACCCTAGAGCAAGGAAGTGGTGGAGGGCGCCGTACCAAGAGACCGATGTATTCGTTGGCATCTTTGGTCAGCGCATCCGGAGGCAAGACCAAGCCAAAGGCGTAAGTGGCAGCATCTCCACCCCCGGAATTAGAACCATAGTCCGGTCGCCAGGTGCTGAGGGTGATCTTGTTCACGGGATCGGTATATTGCTCGTTGATGTATTGAGCGGAGCATTGCTGTAGGTCTGATGAGGTTGACTGATGTCAGATGATGCGAAGGGCCACCGATTGGAGTACCGAAGGACAACTTACACAGTGACGCCGCCAGAGCGATCGTTCCAATGCGGGTGAAGACCTTCATCTTCCCGATCTGGCCACTCGGGAAGCTGGAGGTTTGTTGACTTTTGTTCAACCTCAACTGGGGCAGACGGAAGTAGAAATAGTACTACCGAGTACCATCCAAATCTGCGCTTGCCACTGTTCTAGACGTACGATGTGGCTGCCTGTTTGAGTTCCTTCTCTTTCCAATCAACTGAACGGAAGTGACTGGACGCAGCAAACGAGCATCTCCTTCCTTTTTCTGCCACGCTACTTCCATCCGAGTCTTGAAAAGGACTTCAGTTTGCGGAAACTGCCACAAGGTGCTGATGTTTGATGAGGAAGGAGCCATGAGGGTAAAAATTCACTCCATGCGAACTTATGGAGGAATGATCGGGGAATGAAGGATCACATGGCGCCCGATCCTGGCCTTTAGACGAACAGCGAATTTGCTCATACTTTGGATAAAACGGGTGCTAACGATCAACGGTCAGCCATTGCCAGTCTTCATTAATCCCAGACATCGTAAGCCGCAAGAAGGGTAGCGAGCCAATGGTTGGGTCAATCAGGCTATATGGAGCATCCGTCTTGTACTTGATGTTGCGGTCCGGCGGGCCATCCTCCAGGTTTCCCATCTCTACACTCGGTGCCTGCCACAACGGTCTTCGGAGCGCTTGGCGATGAAAGAAAGAAAAAAGTTACATTTTGATGTTGACATGAATGATTCTCCACACTCAAATTTGAATGTTGGTAGTTGACAAGCTTCCGTCCAACGATGTGATGCCGTGAACCGAGGCCCAGATGATGTTGGTTGTTGGAGTGTTGTTGCATCGGATGGGATGTCGCTAAACGTAGGAAGAGGTGTCCAAAGACGCAGCCTCTATAGATGCTGTGCTATCGCGTCTGCCACACAGATCAGCGTCTAAGCTGATAGTGCAGTAACTTTTTGCTCTTCAGCAGGGCATTTGTGTGCGGGGTCATGGCAACAACAATCGACTGTCCAGGCATCTCTGGGCATGGGCTCCCGTCTGGACGGTCCTCCTTGCTACTCACGTTGGTAAGCACATTCATGATCTATCTGATCTTGGATTTCTTGCACATCTTTACGACTTCGGTTCGCACTATGGAAGACCAAGACTAGCAAACGAGCTACGGCCAACGAAACAACTCCAAGGCATCAATCTATCTGGATGACGGAGAGCCGCATCAAGCAGGCAGTTCCGGGTCTCAGATGTCGGCTGTCTCTGGCTTACTGCATGCATCGATGACCAACTGAACTATTCCCATTTCCTTGCGCGGGCAAGTATTTCACAAGGTCAGCATCAGCCTCATCGTTCTCACTGGTCCAAGTTGAATATCTTGTTGATGAGCACCAATAACTCCATCATGATCATGCCTCACGTCTTTAAGGCCAACAGCACTGAGGCTTTCGGCATGTGGGCTAGGACAGAGGCTTGAGGACTCTAAGATGGATGTAAGAAGACGTCAAGACACTTCGAGAGACGGTCAATTGTGCTGGGCTTAACCATAGCGTCCGGACTTCGACGATACCGGGCCTCTAGTGTACAAGAAACTTCCCGCTGTTGTGCCGTTCTTGGGCCTTTGCCTTGATCACTACGATCAGCCTCAACCCAGTTTCAACTTCAAAGATATGGCCTGCAACAGGCCTTTGAATCCAGCAACATCTTCAGACAAGGTCCTCATGCTACCCAGGTATGTACCAACCTCTGGGCCCCGTACACTTCACCAGGTCAGACCAATCTCGACCCTCAATAGTCACGCTTCTCTTACATGCCCCAGAGATGGCGTGATACTCGAGTTATCCAGAGACAGACACAGGTTGAAGAAGGGTATTGTATCGAGACCGTACCTGATTGCCGGGCTCGTGGCACATGGTCAGTCTTTTAGCGGTAATTAGCGGTAATTGTTAGTGACTTCAAGTGGAGTCCGATTTTTGGAGGTTTCCCAACATATTGCAGTAACAGGAACACTATTGCTGCTCACCTCACTTCGTTAGTGCATCATCTTATTACAGTCCTTTTTTCCAAATTCGGCTCTCTGCAACGATCTCTTTCTCAACCATCAGCGTCCGAACCATCATATCCCGTCATAATCCTTGTTCAACACCAGGACCTGGTCCTAAATGCATATTCCCGAATGTAGTATAGAGGGCTCACAGAGCTCTCACTGGACTGATCACGGTATATTTTCCCTTCAGCACATGGCGATAAATCGGGTTGGTGTTCGGTACCATCGTCGCCATGCCCACCTCGGCATTTAAGGCTAGCAACCACACTGCACCCTGTTTCACAGCCTTCCAGTTATATCTACACCCCAACGAATGTGCTCGTAATAGGTCAGTATCTGACCTGTACATTTCAGTTTTCAATTTGCTGTGCACAGGTTAAGATTACGCGTGGCAGTAGGAGGAGCGAAAAGCCGGAGCCGTTGGTGAAGATCCCGGGCGCGTTCCAAGGCGACGGATACGGGGTACACTGCCAAGGTGAGTTCTACTAGTTAATAACATAACCTTACAGTAGGAGGACAAGGATGATAAATCATAGTAGATCTATAATAACTTCCACTGAAACATTGTTCCCGGTCCATCGATGTTCAGCTGCTCGGATCGGAATCCTGATGGATCTGGCGGTACAGGGAGGATTTAGCTAATTGAAAGCGAAAGAACGAAGAGAGTCGAGAATTTGCGAAATCTAGAGGCTCTGGATAAGTTCCTTAAGTAAAGCATCATTGTAGATGCAGCCGATGATTGGCAAGTTCAACAATAATTGGGGCGACATGTTGTTGCAAACTGCCAAGGTCCTCTGATCCTATTCTCGTGATTGCTGCACCGAACATCCTCAACGATGACAGTGCAACGATGTATCCGCACCAATACGTGCCAATAAAAAGAACACAAAAAACTGCACGAAAGGTAAGGAAATAAGTCAATCGATTGATCAATGGGAAAAAAAGAAAAAAAAGAAAAAAAGAAGATCATATTCTAGCTGCAACTCGTTTCGATCGAGTGACCTCCGGGTTATGAGCCCGGCGCGCTTCCGCTGCGCCATGCAGCTTGTTTTGCTGTCATTGTTAACAGGGGGCCAAACTCTTGTACCTATAATGTCCATCTCAGTGTGTCGGTGCCACTATCCTTCTTGCACCCACCCCGTATCATGGCAGGCCGCCCTAGAGGTAATTCCTGGTCGTGACAAAGAAGGTTCAATAACACACAAGGAAAAAAAATCGAGGTTGGTGGCTTTGAAGGCTCTGCTTCCCGATTGAGAGTTGAAGTTGGGTTACAGCTGGTTTCCCTGACGTGTTTTGACCGAGTGTCTGCCGAGCAATTGACGGGAGGTTTAAACTGAATGTTCAAGGCGACGGAAGGTGCATTCCGTGATAATGTCCCGATCTGGAGGGTGACAATTTCGGTTCCGAAGGATTGGTGAAGCTTTCAGTTTACTCTCCGCTATATTGCCGACTAGACGTCGGATACGGCAGGCATGAGCAAAATCCTCGATTACCGTCACTTGCCTCGGTTTACCAGCCGATGCCTGCCAGATGTAAAGATGGATGATTTAATCCACGTGGAGAAACTAGTGAGTGTATACTTTTTGCGGATTTGATCAAACCCAATAACTGAACTTGATATGGGGAATGCCAGGACTTGCAAAATTTGTAGATTCGGTAGCTAGCATTTCACTCCCAGGTTATTGCCGACATACTTGTCACCCCCCCAACACGGTGTTCTGTTTTTTGACTGCCTGGAAAGGTGACCTGACTTTTGGATTAACATTGATTGGAAATATACAACCTCTTCCTCATGGCAATGACAGCGACCATACAATCCAAACACTGCAATGAATGTTCACCACCCGCCTCGCTTACTGAAGAGCCTGGACAATAGAGTTGTAGGCAGCCTTGGGGTTCCAGTTGGCATCGAAAAGGAGCGGGTTGCCATTGGGTCTCCACGAGTCCTGCGAAAAACGGTCAGCATCGTCGTCTGTACCAAAAAGTAGTCGCTAGGGGACGAGCACTTACAGGGTCACGAACACCCCAAACAGTGATACCGACACACTTGGGCTCGCTCAAGCATCCCTTGGTGATAGTAGCATAATCGCCAGCGTTGTTACCCTGAATATCGAGCTCCGTAACAGCAACCTCCTTCACGTTGGCAGCAGCAAGCGCCTTTATGGCGGCGGCGAGGTTGCTACCGCCTCCGGCACTGATGTGGCCCTGAGTACCGATGCCGTCGATGGGCACACCGGCGGCGACCCACTTGTTGACGTGCTGGACCATGCCTGTGGTTACCTTGGCGTAGTTGGGGCTGTCGAGGTTGTAATCGTTGATGTACAACTTGGCGTTCGGGTCAGCTGCCCGGGCCGCCTTGAAGGCAATCGAGACCATGTCTTCGCCGAGGACCTGGTAGAAGATGCTGCTGCGGAGGGAGCCGTCTTCATTGAAGATTTCGTTGGCGACGTCCTGTCGGAAGGATTGTGTTAGCGATTACGCTCACAACTTGACGGGTATGAGTGCAGGGAACTTACATAGCCATAGATCTTGCCCTTGTAGCGGGTCATGACAGTGGTGATGTGTTCCTGGAGAACCGTGGTCAACTGGTTTTTATCGCGGATGTTGTTGACCCAACTGGCAAGCTGCGAGTGCCAGAGGAAGGTATGGCCACGGATAGTCTTGTTGTTGGCGGTGGCCCAGTTGACGAGGTAGTCCGCCTGACCAAAGTTATATTGGCCCCTTTGGGGTTGAATGCTATCCCACTTCATACTGTTCTCAGGCGTGACCTGGCCGAAATTCTGCTGCAAAATGGCCGCGTTTTTGCCCGAGGTGAGACGGCCCTGGTCGGTGCAGGCACCGAAGTAGAGCTTGCCCTTGGCCTTCATCAGAGCGTCGATGCTCTGGCTGGCCTGACGAGCCTCCAAGTTGTCGGGGGTGGGTGCTGCCATGGCCGCCAGAGGCGCCAACAGCATCATGAGACTGGCCTTCATAGTGAAGAGATCTGAACCTGTGAACCGAAAGGATTGATGAGGCTTGAGGATTCGATGGAAAGGATGCTTCGTCTAACGTTCAGCTCCTGACTTCAGCAACCGGCGAGGCAACGCCTTTAAATACATCACTTTGGTCAGTGCCAAGCTAGCTTCTATACCTCAAACAGCCATGCTAACCGCCTCATGGGAAAACTTCTGATCTTCCAACTTGGCGAATATTTGAAGCTCATTGGACCGGCTGATAGGAACGACGGCCGTGTCACATCTGGTCTCCTGGCACCGTCTTTTTCGTTTCTTCCGCGTACCTGTTTGTCAATGCTCAAGATGTTCTCCAACAATATCCGATGCTCGGCCGCGTCAACGGATGCGTTTGAAGTCTATGCGTCTACGGGGCCCCGCAGAAAGAAACGCCGCCAATCGGTCAAGTATACTCCATCGAGTATAAGAATGACCTCCAGTTTTAGCCGGGTGTTTCAGGGGTACTCGAAATCCGGTTAAAGGCTGGACCTTGAAATCGGATGCCACCTCACTTTCGTAACATGTTTACAATTTCCATCTGATTGATTTTCGTCAGTAATACTGCTCAGAAAGGAGTTGCCCCATGACGTTCCGCCACTTTCCCATGCGCGCCAATGGAGGGAGCGCTGTCGACGACTACGACGTTCACTACATAACACCGATTCTCGGGGCAATTGGGAGCTCATAAGAAAGTCGATGCCAAGGGTGTTTCATCGGGGTTTCCATCTCCGCCCCCCAGAAAGAGTAAAGGGGATTTCGCAACACGGGTACACGTCACCGCCTGGAGTCGCCGACTGCCCGTCTTCCACGCGTACTTCTAGGACAACAGTAGCTAGCCGTCACCTCTGTAGCACCATATATGCTTGAGAAAAAAATTGGAAAGTCGAATACGCCTTACGAAGCGCGACCAAAGTATGGATGTCGAGAGATTCGTTGGATTGGCAAAATTAGTATATTTTCAGCGGCACGTTGACCATTCTTGGAGGCAAATCTTGAGTTCAGAAATTCAACGATGACAAGCTCCCAAAGAGCCCAAATTCAGAGCTGGCATCATGTTGACTTTTCTCCTACTCAATGAAGCTTGGAGATGGGGTTGCTGGCGGGGGTTTGAAGAGTGCAACGACACTTGTAAGTCTCCGAACCTTGGCAATTCGGGAAACATTCCTGGGGGACAAAACGTTGGTGGGAGCCGGCCGGTAAGATGGGCACGGATGCATTCGACCCCACAGGTTTGTGGGGCTACGTCGGGACGGGACTCCAAGGCCCGGGCCGAGGCCGGAGTGGGGTCCGGAGCCCCGAAGCCAGATGGAACGAAATTCCGAGCGATAACGAAAGCTAGACTGAGACCAAACAAACACAGCGAAATAAAAACAAAAAAAAAAGGGGGGGGGGGGGGGAGGGAGGTAATTGACCTAAGGAACGCGATCGCAAAATAACAAAAAACTCAACGTGAACAAAGGGGAAGGTCCTTGTCAACATATTCATTCGTAGGGGGCGAGATCTCGTGTCTTGCTTGGCAACGATTTTGAGAGCTGAACACTACCCATCTTCACGGGTAAGTCACAGACCTTTCAGCAGTTGCGAGCGTAGAGATAGGTGACCGGCGATGACCGACCAAGCCACCAGAAATCTGAGGGATATGGGGGAGCATTGGAATGGCGGAACGAGGGAGTGGAAGGGATTCGCGCAGGAAGGGGGGGCAGGTCTTCCATTTCTTTCCTCTTTTAGGTCTTGGGTGGTCTTGGGTGCGACATTACGGTGACACTGATGTCTTCCAAGACGTCCATTGTTGGAGAGGTGGTCGCCGGTCCGAACACATCATCATCTCAAGTACAATCTCGTCTCCTTTTTAATACTTCGTAAAGACCTCTGATTTCGTTTCCTTCATGCTTCCTTTGGTTGCAATGGCAACCGTGGTGAGAGGATCAACTCCTTTTCGCTTGATTCGTCTTGGATGTTGCGACACAACATCGATTGATAACTGTGATATCAGCAAGGATGACAGGCCGACACGAAACGGGCTATTGCTGAAGTATGTATAAGTGTTGCCTGGACTGGTAGTGTACTTTGAAGCGGCGGTCAATATTGATGACGGTAGTAACGGTTTATCAGGGTGTTCCTTGACCTGGTCGGTTATTCTCAGCTGGGATGGATGAAGATGGGAAATCAAAGGAGATGACTGGAGGTGCGGTGTTGGAGGATCAAATAATTGCGCAGGCAGAAGCAATGAATGCACATGCAGGGCATCACCTGCTGTCACCTGGCAGGCATCCCTTCTTCTCCAGCGGTTCGCTGTGTACAAGTCTTGGCCGCCAGCTGGCCGTTCTGGGCTCAATCATGCACCACGGCAGCCCAGAAATGTAGCGACCACCGGCAGGGCTTCCGGCAGAGATTGGGCACGTCAGCTTGAGGCTCTTGGTCGACAGATGGTGGACAGCATCAATCTCGCTGACGGGGCTTTCTGGAATGAAATTGGAAAGGCAAGGTTCCTAACCTTTCCCACCGGCCGTTGCGGTTACGGGTACGCTATTCCGGTGCTAACAAGGCTGGGGCACCCCTACCACAGCAGCTGACGCGCCGGGAATCGAGACCGGGAGCGACGGGGACTGTTCGCCAGCTTCGACCAACTGGAAGCTTTACCGCTTTGTGCACGCTTGTTGGCCGTTGGCTGGCCCCATAACCCGGGGCTGTCGCTCGCCCATCATGTCCCCTTCCTGTACGACCTCTGCCCTGAAAGTGGAAAGCCCAGACTCCAGCAGCGACTCCAGAACGACCTGACCTGACATCCAGCAGCGGCCGCCCTACCCGACCGAACCTCACCCGCCGCCCTCTCCCGGCGCGACGGGTCACGGAGCACCGCACACAACGTCCCATTCAACGGGCCACAACGGGCCAACATCCAGCGCCACGTGTTGGCGGCGGGGAACCTCCTCCAGTGGCAATCCAACGAGAAACGAGCAACGAGTAGCAGTCCGTCAATCAGTCAGCATCCAGTCAGCAGCAGAAGGGGACAAGCGTCGGTTTTGCGGTTTGCCGTTTGTGCTTCCATCCGACAACATACCTCGCCAGCCAGCTCGCGCGACGCCGACGCCGACGCCCATCGGCCACCTCCGCGAACGGGAAGATCGCCCCGAGAACCAGGAAACACCCCCACAGCCTGTCGAGGATCAGCAATCGCGCCATTCAGTAACCAACGCCGTCCGAGTCGTCATCACCGAGTCCCGAGTCTCGACGGCTGAGAGGCGTCGCCGAAAAGATACGGACGTTACGCTGCGACACGACGTTCGGTCCAAGTGGAAGTCAACAGTCGTTGGTTGTCAAACGAGAAGGGGGAGGAAAAATAGCGAGCGCGGGAACACGTGGAAATGTCTGAAGCTCCGGGGGGAGAGGGGAAGGGGGAATGGAAGGGAAAGGGGAAGCGACCACACCAAGCCGATCATTACAGCCAAGAACCACCGAGTCCAGCGCTCAATCAGCCGACCCAACAGCAACAGAACCGCCAGTATCCTTCATATCAACCGCCGCCGCCACCACCACGACCACCATCACAACATTCGCAATCAAGTACTTTGCAATCGCCATTACAATCGCCGTCGCCGCTGCCTTTCCCGTTGTCATCTTCGTTGCCAAACTTGTCAGCTTTGGCCTCCAAACCGGCCCCAGTACCAGAGCGAGCACAGACGAACCCGACGCAACTACCAACAGGATTAGCAAGCGCATCACCAACACGAACAACGACGCGACTACCAACACCAGCTTCTCCGTTGCCCTTGCCGCCACGACCACTAACACAACCGACACGCTCAAAGACTGCGCCAAGTGTCCCCGGCGACGTTTCATGCTTCCGACACACCCATCAATCCAACGAGCCCTTCCGCGACGGCAAGGCCACTGAAGCCGCAGCATCAGAACAGGAACAACAACAACAACCGTCAACATCAGTCGCGTCAGCTTCGTCCTCATCAACACATCCGTCATCGTTGTACGTGTACACGCCCGTTTCCGAATCAGCGGTGTCTACTTCGTCGTATGTGACGGCGGCTACAGGTCTCGAGGATCTACCGCCAAACGACCCAACTTTCGCCCGCCATGTCGCGAATAACGATCCGGAAAGGGAGACCATGCTGTCTGGTGACCATATCAATAGCGGGCAAGATTCAGCTGGGCTGAGTGTAAGTGAGCAAATGGTAATTTTTCCAGGACTTCCCTCACGGTTGAATGGAGTTAGCAAGTGCTGGTAGCGGACCTGAACGGGAAGCGGCTCAACGAAAACGCGGCACAAAGCAAGGACGGGTGCTGAACATATACTCGCGAGAACCAGGTGGACTCCGACGCAGACTCGGCTATGGGCGACATAACAGGGGCGTAAGTGGAAATAGTCCTTTTTTCTCGCAGCGCTCTCCCACATATCCTTCCCTCCCCTCAAGGTTTCACTACTGGCGGGACGTGAACGGCTATCTGACAGTTTTGCCTTTTTTGTGCGCCCCGCTCTTGCAGGCTGTCGACATCCTCGTTACGATCCAGCATTTACAACTACATTGAAGAACATGGGAGGACGTTCCACAGGTACAAACAGGGCAGTAAGTGTCTCGGGTGCAACCTTTCACGTGGACGGGAACTGACCTTGGACCGGCAGAGTACTGGATGCCCAATGACAAAGTTAGTGTTACGTTTGGCCTTTTCGTGAGGGTTACGTATGGGAGCTGACCGTGGGATTTTACGTGGACAAGATTGAGCAGGACCGATTGGGTGAGTTTTTACGGACGAGATCACCGAGGGTCGGATTCATGGTTTCGGAATATTAACACCCCTCGCTGACAGATCTACAACATGCCGTGTTTATGCGCATGCTGAAGGGGAAGTTTGGGTTAGCGCCAGTCACAAATCCACAGTCAGTCCTCGACATTGGTACAGGTAAGGCTTGTTCAGGCCAGATTGGACGAAATGCCACTAACGAAGATCAATAGGGACTGGTATATGGGCCATTGAGTTTGGTAAGCAAGAGAAATACAATGAGGCTTCGAGCCCTGTAAGACTAACAGTTTGTGTCTTTAGCGATACAAAATCCAGCGGCTCATGTAGTTGGGACTGATCTAAGTCCTATACAGCCCGAATAGTAAGTAGTTACCCATTGCTGTTTGTTCAAACACGGGCATGCGGTCGGAGCCTCGGATCACCGTCCACAGGCTAACCAACTCCTTTCACCAATTAGTGTACCTCCCAACTGCCATTTCGAGATAGATGACGCCGAGGATGAGTGGATTTTCTCGCAACAGTTTGACTACGTCCACGTCCGCTTACTGTTCCACGCCTTCAACTCACACAAAGAAGTGATGATGTCGGCCTTTCGGCAATTGAACCCTGGCGGCTGGATGGAGTGGCAGGACTACTATCCCCACATACAATCAGTGGACGGCAGCATCGCTGGCACCGCCCTTGAGCGCTGGTCACGGATGTACATTGAGGGCGGTCAACGACTTGGGAGAGACATGCTCGCACCGAGAAGGTACAAACAGTGGATGGAAGAAGCCGGGTTTATCAATGTGGTTGAGGAGAAGCTCGTGATACCGGGGAACCCGTGGCCTAAAGGGAAGGAGCAAAAGGTGACGGGCGTGTGGCAGATGACCAACTTTCTTGAGGGTTTGCATGCTGTGAGCATGACTATTTTCACAAAAGGGTTGGGGATGTCGCCAGAAGAGGTGGAGGTATTTTTGGTGGATGTGAGAAAGGATATCAGGAATCTGCGGATACATTTTTACTTTTTGACGTAAGTCCTCTTTTTTCCTTTCGCCTTGAACCTTGACTGTTCCCTAGAGCTACCAGGGTTAAGCCAAGCGCCCGATACTGACATCATCATGTCCAGATACTTTGTGTATGGACAGAAACCACCGATATCCAACTACGCACGATCAGTCCGGTCATCACGGTCGGCGGCTACATAAACAGAGAGATGACGCAAGGTTGCACAGCAACAGTCGGAGAGTCGAGCATGGATGGGGGATATAGAGGGGCAAAACAACATGGATGGGTGGGTTTTTGAAACACTTTTTGGACATTCGTTGAAGTCAGATATCATACCAGGCAGGGCCGGGAAACACAAAGCAAGCGAGCGTGTCATTCTGTCCTTTCATGGCAGAACTCAGCACTTGATACCACTATATACCGCGGAACAACGACTTTCGGGGTCTTTTGGGGGGGAGGGGTCGAAGAAGGAACCTTGGAATCAAACAAGAATATTTCTGGGACCATACTTTTCATCCAGTCCTATCCTTTTTCCGTGATTTTCCCATGACGGCGGCTTTCCAGCTACCGACCGTCGATGGCAATACTACACGGTCACTAATGCTCCCGCAACGGCCGACGGCGACCAGGATGAGGCAAGCATGAAACATTATGCGTTTTGGACTTATCAACGGTGCCAAGATGGTAAGAGAGCCGAGTGACGCCCATTTGTAAACTTGGCGTTATATGTGGAAGCATTGGCATGGGAAATAATAAGTAGATGAGTCGATGGCGCTGATATCATAGGAGCTATGCTTGACGTTTGTGGCGTGTCTGGGGGTGTTGTCAATACGACCGGCCCTATACTTTGTATGCATTCAAAGGATATGATCGATGCCCCCTTGAATGGGGAAGCAGGTAGAAAATCAGTTTGGGGGGTAGAAAGCCAAATTGACATTAAGATGCCAAAATGCAAGAAATCATTTCAAAATGTTACTCAACATCGAGATGATCTCAGACAAGATCGAGATGATGGCGAGCAAGGGGAGCGAAGGAACCGTTGGAGGTCTTTTGGGGGAACTGGAGCTCAAAGCACGCCGCACGTGGGGGGGGGAAACTGAAGCACGAAATGGGAAATCCTTGAGAGACTCCACCAGCGGTTGATTGTGATCCCCCTCCCCTCCTTCTCAACACGCCATTCCGTTACACTAGTGGTCAAGTGCATCTTTCAAAGTTTCTTATCAGCAAAGGCGGTTCAGACACATACAGCCTTGTTAGTGGAAAGTAGCTGAGGTACCCCCGGCTGCATCAGGACATGTTGCGCGCACCGACGTTTCGTTGATCTGAATCCCCGAATCTCGCCCGGGCCCCAGGTCCCGCTTAGGTTCCTCTGACTACCTAGGTGTCTCCACAATTTTGATGATGGGCATCTTTCAGTTTTCATTTACAACCAATCAGAGCTTGTACCTATCCTCTAACAGGAACAGTGATGAGCGCTGTGGGTTGCTGTTCCTGCGGCGGCACTTGAAGCCTCCAGCTGTGATGGTCGTCGCTCTTCAGGCACCACCACCTCACGTTTTCTGAGACTAATTTGGCATTGGCGGGGACCTGCCGTGTGTGGATTAGTTTAGTTGGATTGGATCTCCGGCGCGGGTCATAGGTCGGGCAGGTCGGGTCTCCCCACTTGGATCCTACCAGTAGGTAGCTGAGTGCCCTGTGACTTTCCATTTGGGACACAGCGACCTGACTGCCGGCCGACAATGCGACAAGACGAGACGAGCCAAAGCAGGGAAGAGATCAAGAAAAGCGAAAAAAAAAGAAAAAAAAGAAACGACTACGTACTATGACTGCATCATGGCACATTGGGTAGATATAGGGCGTCTAAACTGAGGCTTAAAAAAGAGGTTGAAGAGCCATGGTTAATGATAAAAATCACAGTTTCCATCTTTTACTATACCTAGTATCTGTTACCCACCTACCTTCGGAGCACTCTAAAGAGTACCTACACTACCTAGTGTACTATGTAGAGGTAGTCTTGGTGGTCCTCGCTCTCGGGCAGTCAGTCCAGCCTCCAGCTGCTCCATGCATTCGCAATCCGAGGAGGGGAAATCCGATCCATCTCCCGTCACTCGTCACGCCCACATTTGTCTTGTCTTGCCTTTCAGTCCTTCAGTCTCTGCCACCCCGAGCCATCCATCCATCCATCCATCGATCCATCGATCCATCCACCTACCCAGACACACCTACCTATGTAACGCGACGGACTTGGGCACATAGCACGCTACCTTCTTTTTCCAGCTAATAGCCACCATTGACCACTCAAAGGCCGCCGTTATGTGTTACCACTCAAAGCGTCGACAACCGCCTCCCAGTTCAGTGTAACAGCCGCACCCTGCACACCATTCCCTTCAGCAGATTGGATTGCACGAATCCCGTCTCGAGATCAGCATCCCATCGTCGACATCAGGGACCACCCAGGAATATCCAGTGACGCGCAATTACACGGCGGCGTCCACAGACCCCAAGACAAGAGCTAGTGTACGCCAGTACCAGTAGTACCGGCAGAGACAGGGGCACAACGCCAATCCGTACCTAATCTATCATCGAATCCCGTCCGCCATTTCCATTGGCCAACCCCGGCAAGCAAAAAGCGTCGCTGCTACGCTACACCGAGAAAATCCGGTCGCTTAACCAAAAAGCAAAACCGCTCCGGTTGTCTGGAGCCATCCATCGGGACGAGCAGCCAAACAGCAGGGCATCCGGGGATTCTCCCATCAAAAGGGGAAAAAGAAGAAAAAGAAAAAAAGAAAAAAGAGAAGGAAAAGGAAAACAAGACAATACCTAGTGGAAGAGGAAGCCGAGGCGAGGGCAGGAGTGAACTGAAAGACAGGACCATCCGCACCCACAACCTGATCTCGCGTTTTAAGTTCTGGGAACTACAACTGAGAACTTAACTGAAGCAACCTCACCTCACCTCACCAGGCAGTGCGAATAACGACAAAGCTCCAGTGCTGACCCCCAATCTGGCTTGCATATCCCGTCATTGCCCAATCAATCCCACCGCGCCGTGCACTCTGCCTCCCCTGGTTGTCCTCCCCCTGTCGTTTCCATCTGGTCCCCCCTGGTTTTACTACACCCAGGTCCCAGGGCAGCCAACGAGCGAGTGCGACCTCCATATTTTCCAGGGTAGGGGAGTGGCCGACTTGGCTTCCCCTTTCGACCCTTAGCGATGCCCTTGCCCCATTTCACCATAGCACCACCTCCACCAGCACCGCCCGCACCTGCGACCTCGACCTCGACCTCGTCCAAGATCCCGACCTCGTCCAACAACCCTGGGTCGTCTGCCTCAGCCACCACCGATATCTCCTCTGCTCGGACGCCGCCCGCGACCGTCACCACTTTTGCTGGCTCTGCCTCGTACACGTCCTCGCCGTCGCCGCGAACACGGCTGCCGGACCGGGACTTCATCAGCCCCGGTTTACGGAACCCCTATCCCCAGGGGCAGCGACCCAGCCGACCTCCGCCGCCACCACCGCGACAACAACAACAACAACAACAACAACACTCTGAGCGCTTTGGCACTGTGACGGTGCCCACCGCGGCCGAACATAATCAATCAACCTTCAGTCCCTTTCCACCCGACCGTCTTCCGCCCAAAGTCCCGACTGACTCGCGACCGTCCCAAGACCTTCTGGAATCGTTCAATGAGCCACTACTCCACGGCCCAGCAACACCAGACTCGACCAAAGGCCTGAAACCTCCATCGCATAAGCGAGGTCATTCGCGATCTGGGAGCTCGAGTAGCATAGGCGATCGACTTAGGAACTTCAATCGCTGGTCTGTCTCGTCCGCGTCAAGTAAAGGCTCAAACGGTGGTGGTTCCAGTTGGCGCATTGGGTGGGATAGTGGGAAAGAGAGGGAAGACTCATCTGGTCAAAAGTCACACAAACGCCGACCCTCGACGTCAGAAATCTCTCCGCGCTCTGTAAGCCACCTCCGAGGCCGCAGTGATTCACCCCTGCGTCATCCGATCCCGCCCTTACCTAGCCTGCCGCGCATTTCGACCGGGCCTTCTTTGGTAGAGGCATTCCGGCACCAGGCCAGTGAGATTGGCAAGCAATCACCGGTACCACCCAGGCGGTATTATCTTCGGCCGCCTCCTGACGACAACGCCGCCTTCTGGGATGGTGCTCCGCAGATCCCAGAAGACACACCAGGATCGTTGCCACGGTCACATCAAGCAGCGGGGTTGCTACCTCCGGCAGAACTCGCGCCAGACCGCATGATGCCCCAATATACACAAAACGGCGACCCCCGAGGGCAATCGCGAGGGAGGTCGCATGGCGCAAAGTCAAGTACTGATTCAACTGCGTCAAACCGAAACCGAGATCGCCAGCGCCATCGCTCCGACAAAAAGGCAATGCTTTCTGAGGCACTGTCAAAGGCAAATACCGCAGTACAACTCGACAATGGGCAAGACTTTGAGACCGCCAGGAGGGCCTACACGGAAGCTTGCCACCTATTACAGGAGGTATTGCAGCGAACTTCGGTAGAGGTGGATCGCAGGAAATTGGAAACCATTGTAGGTGACTCGCATGTTATTGCTCCCGAAGCTTTGAACCACTGATACCAACCATGTCAACAGCATCAAACATACGTGGGAAGAATTGCCGAACTCAACGAGATCCTCGGTGACAGTCTGGATGAGAAAGCGCTTCCAGAAGAGCCCGAAAGCTACGATGAACGGGGATACATGCGTGCTCAGGCTTACAATGGAGAAGTGTCTGATGACGAGCCGATGCTCTCAACCTACACCCGAGAACGTAGCCGCACTCGGGAGCCTAGCCTCTCTGTTCAGACTCAGTTCAGACGACAACCACCGTCCGGTAGACCGCCAGCACCACCCACGTTAACTCTCCAGACACCGGGGGGTTCCAATGGCCCTACTTCCTACCTTAGCGAGCAATATTCGCTACAGTCTTCGTTTTCCAAGGCACGATTTGAAAAGGCACCGATGGATAATGCTTACATGCCACCGCCACTATTGCCTCGGAGACCTTTATCACCCGCTCAGCCACCGCCACCTCCACCGGCGCCCGAGAAGGATGCCCCTCGCCAACAAGTGTTCCGACCCGACTATTCCATGTCTGGCGCTCAGGCTACTTCGAGAAATTACAAGACGAATGGTGGACATCAGAGGGATCCCAGTCACGAGTCGATATCATGGCTTGATCCGATCGAGGAGTCTGGTGGATCTAGCGCCTCTTCGGTACACTCGCGATCTTCATCAACAGGAATACGAAGAAAGCATATCCGGGCCGCCAGTGGGGATACGGAAGCCGAATTTGATGCTGCATTGGACGACGCTATTGAAGCTGCGTACGACGAGGGATTTGAGCCGGAGGATCAGTATTACACAGATGGGCATGATGCTGTCACGGGAAGTTCATACCCAAGAGACCAGGTACAGGATGAGGGAATGGATGCGCTCGAATTAGCGAACGAAAGGGAGCGGAAACTACGGCTACAGCAACACTTGGAAGATGAGGAGTACCGAAAAAGAGGTTGGACAGGGCACGATGACTTCTACGACGAGGGCCATGACTCGGAGGAGGAGGAACGATTTCTGGAGGAGATGACGAAAGGGTACCAGATCGAGGACTTTGCGTTTGGACGGAACAACAAGCAATCAATTCCTCGAGAGTCCGACTCCAGCGGGGTCACGAATCGTACATGGAATAGCTCTACAGGGTCGAACCAAAATACCTCTACAACGCTACTTAGTACGGTGAGCGAGAGCCCGACTCATCCGGAACCCAAGGGGCCGTTACCCCCATTACCGCCTCCGCCAGCAGGTGCCTTGCCTCAACTACCTGATCGACCACCAGGAACTTCGGGATCCGGGGCTTCAAATCGGAGCGTAAGACAACGGCGTCTGTCTGGCCAAAACTTGAAGCAGCTGAAGATCGAGACCACGAAGCTTGCTCAGCCGGGACCAACCACAGCCGGGCCAGCATTCCCGCCACAACCGGCACGATCGCACAACTACATTGCGCAACAGAGACAAGCCTTGTCTGCTGGTCCTCACCGCAATGCTAATCCTCTTGCCGCCCGGCGTGTGGTTTCCCCATCCATGGGAGAAGGGGGAGCTCCTCCTTTGCCGTCTCACTTGCAGGACGACTACCCGCCTCGCGCAGGGTCTCCCTCGGTTGGTCGGCCTAGTCTAAAAAAGACCTTCTCTTCATCAAGCTTGCGGAGCGCGCATCGGAAGCTTTCTGTGTCGCATAATGATGATGTATTTGATATGTCTCCTGGCACACCGGTGAGTAATCAGTTTGGCATCAGTGGCTCAACGACCCGCCTGCCATCAATTCCATCCATGCCGACACCGATAGCTGGATCGTTCCGAGAAAGAGCGGACACAGTTGTCGGAACAGCGGGCATGTATCTGTTTGATGCCGAGTTCCACTCTGCCAATGATCCTGGATCGCCCAACGGAACGCTCGCTGATGCGCCAGCACCGCTCGAGCCTTGCCCAAGCGATGTGTTACTCCGACCGTTCTGGCTTATGCGCTGTCTGTACCAGACCCTCTGCCACCCACGCGGAGGATACATCAGCAACAAACTGTTTGTCCCACGGGACGTGTGGAGAGTCAAAGGCGTAAAACTCAAGTACGTCGAGGAGAAGATCTCGCAGTGTGATCTGATGACTGCCGCGCTACAGAAGCTTGCCCGGGTGGATACATGCGACGCGGACGCCGTATTGGAGGAGATGCAAGCTCTCGAAACGGTGATCGAGTCCGTCGAGAAGTTCCTAGTCAAGAAGCTTGGCGCCAGCGAAGTCGGACCCCACGCCACCTCGTTCAAGGATCCAGTACACGCGGAGGATGGGTCCCTGCCACGGTCAGCCAGCGTAAGCGCCAAGACGAGTGCTTTCTCGTGGAGGAGGTTACGAAGCAAAAACAGCTCAGCGAACCTGACCAGTGCGGGCAAGGGAAGCAGTAGTGCTGGTGGGACCAGTGGTAATGTGGCGTCGACACCTATTGAGGGAGCAGGGAAGGATATCATCTGCCCTAGTCTGCCGATGACGACGCACCCGACGAACCGACCGATGAAGAGAGACGTAGGAAACGTGCTGTTTCAGGGGCCTAATGCGAATTATATGAGCTCGTTGGCGAGATTGTTCGATGCGGCTCAGTTAGTTGGTATGTTTAGATATCCTGTCTCTTCCCCCCTTTTCCCCCTCCCTCCAGCTATCTTACCCTTTTGCCAGTTTACTAACGAAAATACAAAAAAAACAGACCAAATCGCTCGCCAAGTTGAAGACCCAGGCCTCCGGCACGCCGACAAGACGCAGGTGGGACTCGAGCTCAGCACTAGGCATGCGGCGGAATTCTTTGCCCTCTACATTTGTCGGTTCGTCCTGTCAGACCTCACGCTGATGCTGGACAAGTTCCTCAAGAGAGGAAGCGAGTGGGTGCTTGTCTAGGAGGCAGGACCCAAGCACAAGAGAAGCAGCGGGGAAGGGAGCGTGGATATACTTTACTCGTATCCGTGGGTTTGATAACAGACAGGGTGGATGGGTGTTGGAGTACTGTGTATAGATGGAAAGGATTGCCAGGGTGAGGTACAATGGGAGGAGGGAAAACTGGGAGGACAGGGAAGTAAGGGCTGGCTAGGGAGTGGGAAGGTATGCATGGGTGGGTGGATGGACGGGGTGATGGGAACGGATTGGAATGCGTGGGACGGACGGACGGACGGACGGACGGACGGGTGGGATGTGCGAAGCCCCGGTTGGCTTGGCTTGTCTGTTCCAACTTCACACACCGTGGACATATGTGTTTTATTACTGTTGCTGCTGTTGTTGTTGTGTTTCTTCTTGATACCTATACTGCTTGAAATGTTATACATAATCATGAGGAAAAAAGAGAAAGAGCAAAAGGAGGGGATGACGCAAGCTTTTGGTGACGAGGAGAAAGGGGTTGGAAATTTGGCGGATGAGGTTTGGTGCTAGCGGTCAATGGTGGTCATGATTACCTGGATCAAGTGGAAGGGACTGGGGAGCAGAAGCAAAGCAAATAGCGACTTGAAAGTGGAAATAAAGTAGCGTCAAAGGGTCACGGTGTTTGTGGAATATGACTGTGCATGTCAAGCGTCTTTCAGAAGAAAAAACTGTTGCATTAGACATTCCCGAAGTGAAGCAGACGGGAGTGAAGAGAGTAACAATATCAACCTAAGCATGTTTGGCGGTTGCGCTGTTGTCTTTCTAAAGGGGTGGTTTGTTTACAATTTACCTACTATAAGGTGGTGGGGGAGCTCGGATATCAAGCCGAGCAATGTACTTCCGAGTTGTATCAGTACTTTCACTCTCCCATAAGCTCTGCCAATTGCGCCGCGCCTCGAAGCTCGCAAAGTAGGTACTTGTACTTTACATGCTCGCCCTACGAGTACCGAGCATCAGGGTCCGATAAGATAAGAGCTCGGGGATTTTTGAAGCGGGGATGAATTTTGGGACTCGGCGGCACCAGACCGGGCAGCGTCCAGGAGAGGATAAGGATTCGCAGTGGGCCACTGTACCTATCCCAGGCCTTCGTTCCGTCATTCTCTCCTCCCGAAAAGTGCAAAGTCGCGATTCATTTTGCGACCAAGCCAAACCGGTTCCTTCCAGCCACTTTCCTTTCATGACCCGGTGACGTCCAATTGAATGCGTGGCGCGCTCTGTCGTCCCGACGTTCAGATGCGGCCATGTCTGAGGCCTTGCGCGCGTCTGCCTCGTCTGCCTCCTAGCCGCCGTCTTCCCTCTTCTATCACGACATCATGTCAACAACCACCCAGGACACTGCCAGGTAGAGCTGGCTTCTCCTCGCTAGCTAGCCTCAAATCGCGCCAGAATGACCGAGCCAGACGCTTTCCAGCTCTGAGATCGCTCAGCAGCTCCCAACTCCTTCCGACCACCGCCCCCGTTCTCGCGAGATACAATAGCACGACTGCGACCTCCCAGATGCCCCTCGAGAGGAAAGCGATCGAGATCGAGAAACGAATCGCTGCCATTCCGCTCGAGCGCTACCGAAACTTCTGTATCGTCGCCCACATCGACCATGGCAAGAGCACACTCTCTGATCGTCTGTTGGAGCATACGGGAACCATCACGGCCGGCGATGGAAACAAGCAGGTCTTGGATAAGCTCGACGTCGAGCGCGAGCGCGGCATTACTGTCAAGGCGCAGACATGCACCATGATCTACAAGCACAGAGACGGCCTCGATTACCTTCTCCACCTCGTCGATACCCCAGGCCACGTCGACTTTCGCGCCGAAGTGACACGGTCCTATTCGTCGTGCAGCGGCGCCCTGTTGCTGGTCGACGCCTCGCAGGGTGTGCAGGCGCAGACGGTCGCTAACTTTTACCTCGCCTTTGCGCAGGGCTTGTCTCTGGTGCCCGTCGTCAACAAGATCGACATGGCCAGCGCCGACGTGCCGCGCGTGCTGGAACAGTTGGAAACCGTCTTTGAGCTGGACACCTCGACGGCCGTCAAGGTCAGCGCCAAGACCGGTCAAGGCGTGGGCGAGATCTTGCCCGCGGTCATCTCTAACGTGCCGGCTCCCGTCGGTGACGCCAAGAAGCCGCTGCGCATGCTCCTGGTGGACTCGTGGTACGACACCTTCAAGGGCGTCGTCTTGCTTGTCCGTCTCTTTGACGGCACGCTCAAGCAGGGCGACAAGGTTTACTCCTTCGCCACGGGCAATGAGTACATTGTCGGCGAAGTCGGTATCCAGTACCCTGACGCCGTTCCGCAAAAGGTTTTGAGGGCAGGCCAAGTCGGCTACGTCTTCTTCAACCCCGGCATGAAGCGCATCCAAGACGCCAAGCTAGGCGATACCTTTACCAACGTCGGGTGCGAAGACATCGTCGAGCCTTTGCCCGGCTTTGAGGAGCCCAAACCTATGGTCTTCGTCGCCGCTTTCCCTACCAACCAAGACGACTACGGCCGCTTGGCCGACTCCATCGCCCACCTCGTGCTCAACGACCGTTCCGTCACTTTACAAAAGGACTACTCCGAAGCCCTGGGCGCCGGCTGGCGTCTGGGCTTCTTGGGCTCTCTCCACTGCTCCGTCTTCCAAGACCGCTTGCGCCAAGAACACGGCGCCTCCATCATCATCACCGAGCCGGCCGTTCCTACCAAGATCATCTGGTCCACCGGCGAAGAACTCATCGTCACCAACCCCGCCGAGTTCCCTGACCCAGACGACCACCGCATCCGCTCCGCCACTTTGTACGAGCCCTTTGTCAACGCCACCGTCACGCTACCAGAGGAGTACGTAGGCCGGTGTATCGAAATCTGCGAAAACGCGCGCGGCGTGCAAAAGTCGCTCGAGTTCTTCACTGCCACGCAGGTCATCCTCAAGTACGAGCTTCCCGCCGCTTCGCTGGTCGATGATCTCTTTGGCAAGCTGAAGGGCGCGACGAAGGGGTATGCGACGCTGGATTATGAAGATGCGGGGTGGAGGCAGGCGCAGCTGGTGAAGCTGAACTTGTTGGTCAATAAGAAGGCGGTGGATGCCGTGGCGAGGATTGTTCATGTCAGTCAGGTGGAGAGGTTGGGGAGGCAGTGGGTTACCAAGTTTAAGGAGCATGTGGATCGACAGATGTTTGGTAAGTGTCTTTCTTCTTTTATTTCTCGGGGTTTTTTTTTTCCCCTTTCCTCGCTTCGCTCGATCTTTGAGAGTTCTGTCAAGGAAATGTGCTAACCACGTAAACAGAGGTGATTATTCAAGCCGCCGCCGGCCGCCGCATCGTCGCCCGTGAAACTATCAAGCCGTTCAGGAAGGACGTGTTGGCTAAGCTGCATGCTAGTGATATCACTAGACGCAGGAAGCTGTTGGAGAAGCAGAAGGCGGGTAGGAAGAGGTTGAGGGCGGTGGGTAACGTGATTATTGATCAGTCGGCGTTTCAAAAGTTCTTGTCGAAGTGAGTGGGTGAAAGACAAACTGAAGGAGGAGGACGAGGAGGAGGAGGACGAGGAAGAGGAAGAGGTAATGTACGAATACTTGTAGGTATCTTATGTCCCTTTGGCGTTCCTGTTGGATTACAGGTGGCATGTGTTACTAATTCTGTTTATTTGTTTGTTTGTTTGTTTGTTGACTTGTGGTTCTTGCTTGTGGTGTTTTCATCATCTGCCCGTTCAGTCTTCGTTCAGTTTCCTCTTTACCCCGTTTCCTTTTTGTGGTCCTTTTCTCTCTTGCGGCGGAGTGACAGCACGATTTCTTCAACCCTCACCCCGCACTTGCTGTCACAGTCCTGGCTTCCGTTTAGTGCTGATGGACGATTGATGGTTCGTCTCGCCTACCGTCTTCACACACTTCGGAGTCTCCTCTGATTTGCCAAGCGTTGAGACTCGCAAGGATCATGGTCTGAGAAAAAGGTGCGAATGCCTCCCGTTCTGTCATCATCGCTTGGCGTAACTCCACTTTGGACGACAGAGAAGAAACCACAGAGCGTCCTGAACTCGGATGGAAGGACTGTTGCCTAGATTTCGAGAGGCTTGGTGATCAGTGCTTGCCCGTTGATGAAGTTCATCATTACAAGTTTGGCAAGCACAAAGGGTTCACTGTCCGGTCACAGGTCATGGTTTCCGTCGTCGTTCTGGTTCTTCAAGGTCATGGCGGATGTTTCCCAACACAGAACAATTTAGTTTCGTCCTTCAGCAACATCTCCTCTTCGTTCTTTCATCTCTTTTTCCTTGTCACCAAGACCAAGCAAATGACAAGAGCCACAACGCGCCGCACCTCCTACCATATATTCATGATAATAACGCACAAGACTTCCACACTCCTCCTACACCCGCCTCTACTGTCCCGGTACCACCAATCTTGGTCCTATTCCAAACATTGCCCGCAACAAATCTCGCCTTCTTGGCGTACGCCCTGCGTCACTGGGTGCGGGAGATCGTTCGCTACATATTCCAACAATTAGCCACGAACGTTCACGGGAATGGCTACTCCGTCTCCCATCCTTCAAGAAACTAACCATCTGTGGATAGGTTGCTCATCTGGCTGGTATGGTGGTGCTGGCGCTCTGCCTCTGGCGGGCACTTCCATGCCCTGCCACATACCGGATGCTCTCGGGTCCAGGTATGGGCTTGCCGGCCTTCCTGCTTCTGCTTGCCCTGCGTTACCAGTGTTGCTGGGCCTCCTGGCCTTATCGTCAAAGCTCCCTGGCGCGCGAACAATGGGTAAGGTGCTGGTGGCGATCATCTTGGCCAGTGTCACCTTAAGTTGATCTCGTTCCTGCAGAATATGGGCAAGCTGGTCCTCTACCTGTTTCCGGCATTCTTCCAATATCATCACTGTACTTTCGTCATCTTTTTTCTTCTGTGCCTCCTTCAGTTCCGCTACTGTACTCTGCAACTCCCTCTTCAATTTCTCTTCCATTTTGCGATACTCACTGTTCAACTCCATGCCAGCTTGGGTGTCTAACAACTGCTTCCCACCATTCACGAGTTCCTCTTGCATGGCAGTGACAACTTGTTCTTCTGTGAAGAACTTGCTGAGGATTTGCATGGCAGACTCTCGGTTATTGTAGTGTCTTTCCACTTTGGCACCGTTTGACCGCATGAAACCCCAGAATTCTTGGGTTGCGAGCAGTTCATGCTCTCGGCGTTCGCCATCTGATTGCGAGACAGCCTCCCACATCGTGGTGGCCAGAGTGACGTTTTTGAGAGCATTTGGCCCACACAGCTTCTTGAAAATGAAGAGATTTTTCTTGGCCGACCCTACCATACGAGGATCAGTGATCCGGTGCAAGTATATGATGCCGTTGAGCTTGATGTCCTTCTTGTATGCATCACCCATCCAGGTACCGATGGCCTTGAGCACATCGCTGTCTGTGAGGTTGGTGTCGTCAAAGCCGGGCGTATCGACGAGATACACGTTGACGGACTCTGAATGAGGGAACATATAGAAGTCAACCGCTTGTGTGTCTTGCAAATGAGAAGATCGTCAGTCATAGCGATCAGTACAGAGTTTTCTTTTGGCAATTGCACTCACATCCTTGGAGACCGTGGCCAACAATGCCGAGATCCACCCCCATGCAATGGGAGATGAATGTGCTTTTGCCTGAGCCAGTCATTCCCATCACCGCCACAATAATATCTGTGGGACGAGGGTCAAACTTCGTGGCATGTTGAGACTCGCTGATGGTGGGCATGATGGATCGGCAGCCTGGTGCCTGTTACGCAGTATACAGTATGGAAGGTGTCCAAGTGGAAACGAAGGAAGCAGAGCAGAGCCTCATGAACGCATGGCGCAAAGTTATCTGTTGAAGAATTTGTGAAAAGTGAGCCGTCCTGAAGGGTTATTATGCAAGTCTAGGGACAAGTCAAATCGCACGGAGAAGCTGTCCGATTGTGTATCAAGCAGAGCAAGGCTCTGTCAGGCTGCCAACTGCCTGATTTCAAACCCAAAAGCTCGTTACGCAATAGCTGCAGCGAGCGCATGCCAAAGGCCAATCATGCTTTGGATCAAGAATGTCCAAGATGCAGCAATTACTTTTTTTTCGCAGGTCTCTTTCACAGCCTGCTTATACCATCCGTCAATCCCGACGTTCCCACCACTCGCAAGCCTCGTTTTTATCTTGATGCGTCGCGGCTGATTGGGTCAGGGGAGTTGGATGGTCGCTCAATAGTTTGAAAACCTGCAAGCCGGCAGCTGCAAGGCACAGCGTATTGGTGTGGATTGTTCCACGCAACTGCGGCTCAAAAAGTACTTGCATAATGCTACTCAATGATGATGCCCAACTCAGCCCGCCCTCTCGACAAAGGTGGGTGGTGGATAAGGCTTTGGAGTGTTAGTTCAACTGGGGAATACCAGATCCCCGCAATGCGGCTCAAGTCAACTACCAGACTCTTCATATGTTAAGGTTACAAAATGTCAGCATTGAATCGGTCAGTCGTCAGTCCCCAGCTTCTTGTTTCTGATATGTTACAGACCCCATCTCTCACCTAACCCAGGTCTGACCATTCTGACACCACATACGTTCCTTTCACTGCAGCTGGTTCTGCTGTCTCTTTTACCTTAATTCTGATTCACCAACGGAAACACAGTTCGTCCATCATTCGATCCAATCATTACAGCCATGGCCCGTAGAACAAGCCATCGAATGGGCCCATCCGATGTGGTCATTCTCGTCATGGGAATGACAGGCAGCGGGAAAAGTCAATTTGTCTCAAAATTGACGGGAGAAAATGCTGGTGTTGGTCACAGTCTCACAGCAGGTATGCTCGATATCATATACAGGATCCCACCACAATCCGGAGTACTGACAATTTCACTGAATACAGGCACCGTTTCTCTTGACCTCTACAGCTGCGTCGAAAATGGCCAGCGAATCTTTGTGGCGGATACTCCTGGCTTTAACGACACTCAAATCTCAGACGTTGAGATTTTGAAGGATATCGCCTTTTTCCTTGGCCAGCTCCATCTCAGAAACGTTCGCTTAGGAGGCATCCTCTATCTTCATTCCATTACCGACAACCGAGTCAGCGGCTCGGCTCTGAGAACGTTCAACATGCTTCGAGCTTTGTGTGGCCCGCAAGCATTGAACTGTGCTGCTCTGGTAACCACAAAGTGGGGTGCCTTGCGCAGTCCTAAGGATGACCTTGCTGCCTGTGACCGGGAGAACGAACTGATGTACACATCAAACTTCTGGGGCTCCATGCGCCAGCACGGCAGCCAATCGTACAGATGGCTCGGAAGTGAGGCATCAGCCCGCTCTATCGTTCGGGAAGTCATTCAGACGACCTGTCGAAGAACCTCCTCCCCAGTCCTTCAGATCCAACGCGAACTGATCGATGAGAAGCGACCCCTAGACAGCACCTCAGCCGGGCGTGAGATGATGAAGCGTTACGAAGACAGATGTCAAAAGGTCAAGCAGGAACTTGACGACCTCAGGTCTGAGCTACTCAGTGCCTCTGGTCTCACACGAGAAGAGCTCAAAGAGGGTGAAGCGGAGGTGAACCGTTTGATGAACGAGCTGAGCAGATCAGAGACTTCCCAACAGGGGCTTCGCGTCAGCCAGCGAGATCTCTTTGAGCAAAAGACGGGCGAATATAAGCAGTTGTATCAGGGAATCTGGGAGGAGGTAGAACAAGAGGATCAAATGGTCAGTGAGATTGGTGGGCGTGAGCAGAGATTGAGTCATCTCGAACCCAAGAGGGACAGTGCCAAGGGCCTCGCCACTGCAGAAAATCCCCCGATCCCTCCCAGAGCCGGAACGTGGGCAAGGGTGGGGCGTTTCCTCAAGCGGAACGTGCTCCCGCTGCTTGGAGTTCTGGCAGGCGTGGGAGTTGTTGCGGCTGGTGCTGCGGTGATCAGCCCGCCTCTGATAATGGCAGGTGCGCAACTCTTGGCATTGTCCTTTGCCGGAGTTCAATGGCACACTGGTCAGGGTGCTGATGGGCCAGATCTGATAGCTGGCGTCGAAGGGGTGATTAGAGCATGTCCACCGACTCCTATAACTGCTGGTTTTCGCATGCATACCTAGCCTGGAGCAGGTCTTCTTACCGTTACTGTATATATATTTGTTGTGGATAGGGAATGTAAGACTTTGAATAAAACACGATGGCGCGTTTCAGTCTTTCAGAGGGCAGTGGAAGGAGAAGGAGAGATTCATTGAGAGGTGAAATGAGATGAAGTGGGAGATAGTTCTTTTCTATTGGTAGGGGAGAAAACTGTCGAGGTATCGAATACTCCTATCTTGCGTCTGGTGGCGCCTTGGACACGAGTTTGTGGACTGGAGTGACCGGTCTTACTCACAGCGTCTTATAGTGTGTAGATACCCGAAAAATAGGGCGTCGAGGTAGTCAGAGGTTTGGAAGTATGTAACATAAGAATGCAGTGGAAATTGGTATGTCGTAAATGAGATAAGTAGCGACCTACAGTTAGCAAGTACTGCGGTCTCAAAAAGTCGTTTATTCGTCACTCTCTACGATGTCCACTCCCTCTTCTTGACTTGAAATTCGTCATAAAAAATCCCATTGATACGCTCAGACGACAAAGGTGGTGCTTCCGCGGAGTCTGTTATATATTTCGGGGAACAACTACCTACGGAATTAGTCAGTACTTTTGAGGTGATGAGCTTGACTGAAGTCGAAGACGACAGGGGAGTGAATGGGGACAAGGAGCCTAATGCTTTTGGCCATACATATACCTTCTGGTAGGTAACGATGACACCAAGAATCACGAAGGCTTTTTATTTTATTTTTAATTTTTATCGCTGAATGCCGATCAGTTGATGTGCTGTTCACGAGGCATAAGGCCAAAACAGTACGTTGACTACATAGGCGAGTCCGAGTGGATCTAAAATCTACTAAATCAACCACATGTAGAGTCGATCTCGGTTTGAGCGTTTAGTGAACTCTTCATTCGTCACTGAGTACCTGAAAGCAGGGCCATCCCTTAGGTTTATCAATTGTGAGAGACATACTCGTTTATCAGCAGTATCTGATACGTACGGCAATGTCAGGAGGAAGCGAAGCGGCTCTCTCGGTTCTCCAAGTGGTTCGAATACGGCGGAGCAAAACAAGAAGAGCAAGGAGGATTAGCTGTGAGGGAAGACGCGAGGCGGGAATCACTCACGTCTCGCACCGAGATGGAGCGAAAAAGGGTCGACTGTTGAATGGCCGTGGGAATAAAGTATAAGCCGAACATGCTATGGTCAGTACATTGCACCTTTGAGTATACTCTTGTCACGCACCAGGCGTCTTTGTCTCACAGTAAACCTTCAAATCCAACTACGAGGCAGTTTTTGTAAGGGAAAAAAAAAAAAAAAAAAAAAAAAAAATTCCCCCCCGTGACTCTGACCGAGGTGCTTTCCCAGTGGGCATTTGGACGGACCGCCTGTACGGGAAGGGATGATCTGTCTTTTTCTCGGGTTGCTGAATTCCGTTTTCATGTATCGGTGTCTGTCATTCTCTTCCCTTGGATTAACTCGAGTCCATGATTTGATGATAGTGGAAACAAAAGAAGAGAAAAGAAAAAAAGAGAAAAGAAAAAAAAAAGAAAAGAAAAGAATTGCCGTGCTTTAAGCAAGCTAGAGGTAGCGCGTGGTGCGGGGAAGGGAATCATTCCAGTGAGCGCTGTCTCGTGTCACTTCCCCCTGCAGGCCGTTGCATTGCTCTAACTGTTTTTCGTCGCACGTGCATGGAGTGCCTGAGCTTTTGCTTTGCAGTTCGATGTGTCTCTATTCTTCCATCTTTTTGTTACACTTTTCCCAAACATCGTCGTCCACTGTTCTTGACCTTGTCCCCCGCCGATTTCATCCCCGCACTGGGCTGGGCTGTTTCCTCCGGTGCCCCCCAGCAGTGAAGAGATTGGCCAATCTCCTAACCCCTTGGTCACGCTTGACCACATGAATAAGAAGGAAACAATGCACATATTCCCAATTTCGTCCCTTCGGGCAGCGCGATAGTTGAGTGTCGTATGTCGGAAGCCGGATCACGCCCCACTTCTCACCCGGACCGGTGCGGCTATCGGAAGCTCCACTCGCGGATGTGTGGGTCATTTTGTCTCAGGCCATCGGCGGGGTACGTCGGTACCTTGCAGGCCACGACGTCGGGATGTGGCAGATCATATGTACACCTAACAGGACAGGGTATAGTATTTTCAGCTCCGTCTGTTTCATTTCCCAACATCGCACCTTGTCGGACGCCTCACGTCGTTACTACCTAGTCCTCTTTTTCAACAACTTCCTGATCCCCGACATCACATCCATCTGCAGCTGCACTCGAAAGCAGACATCAAGCCGACTCTCATTTCCACGATTCATTCTCGCCAATCGATGCCGACTCTTCTCCGATAATTATAAATAGCAAAGCATCGAAACCATGCGGAGCTGAGAGGAGAAGGTGGTCAGTTGACCCATCTTTCTCAACTATGCCCTCCATATCTCAATGGGGATTAGGTTCTAGTCAAGGCATCATCGAGTCATTGAGTCGACAGAGCCCTTCACCGCCTTTGGTTTCGCTTCTGCCCTCCAATCGATACAACCAACAGCCAGTCCAATGTGCTCTTTCAGCTCGCATCCAATCTTGTCAACACGGGCGGCTAATCACCTTCGGGAAGAGACCATAGGCAAATGGAAACTGATGAAAGCTCCAGGCATCCCTTTACTCAGCAGAGGCAAAAGGATATTTGGCCGGTTTATTCGGGGGAATTGAAGCACCATTACCGAGTTCGGGCTGATTGGTGACAACGTTGCTGACCATAGCCATACAGGTGAGACAAGCAAGACTAGAGATGGAGGGAGAGTTGACTGAACACCCCTCGCTGTCGTCCCGTGGCTGCTTTGAGCCTTTGAGCCGGAGTATTCTAGTCTAGCTTTCTTATACTTGGACAAAGGACCAATTGCGCCAGATACCAGCACTGTGGGTCAGCCCCTTTCAAGCAGCTCTGAAGGAAGTCCTGGGATAGCCCGCGGTCCACGCCCTTGGGATCACCACAACAGAATGTAACCCTGGGGCTTGACTAGCGCTGCTGTGGGCTTGCGGCTACGGCGTGCTTCCGCGCCACTGACACTACGATACACTCGCTTCATCAACGCCCTCAGCAGTTGGTGTGGGTAGCAGCTTGGCATAAGCACAATGTGCTGAAGAATTCGATACACCCCTTAACCAATGGGCGTAGCCGACCCAGACATCGATCATGGCGCGAATCCTTCCCTCCAATGTGGCAAAGCATCCACTAAAGACGACGCATTATCTTATACTGGCATGAGAACATCTGATAATAAACAAAGTTTGCTAGAGTTTCCCATCGGCTTGCCCGCGATTGCTCAACACCAAGGCACTCTAGACGTCCCCAGCACCTTCGTCAGACTATCGTCACACACTTATCATCCCGTCTTCCCCGTCAGTGATGTACCCTGTCGGACTGGATTGATATGGAGACTGGCTCCTAACCTCACCGCATGGAGAGTTCCGCAAGAAAGCGAGACTGCAGTTGGTCGTGTTCTTCTACTCTTTAGGATCACTTTGGTCTCAACCAGTCCACGGTGACTCTGATTCCTAACAACTATATGTCTGGAATCCACCGACCAGGCAGTGCACATCAAAGGCTGTAAAAGACCCTTGGCATATAGCAGTTCTATCCCTTTCCTTCCTAGGCCGATCACCGATCCAGGGAGTCACACTTCGCGTAACCAAGGAAAGATGCCGGCTCGCCGCACGACCGACACTCTGTTGAGAAGCAAACCTTTCTTTGGTCCTCCCTCGCCGGCTTCGGTTAGCTCGCTTCCACCAGTCCGACGGCCGCCCACATCGTATAAAGGACAACACAGCGAAATCGATCATGCGTCGCAACATGATAGGGTGGTGTCATGACATGGTGTCGCGAATCGTGTGGGCGTGCGTGAGCCCGACGGGAGGCGTCAGTAGGTACAGGATCTTGCATGTTGCCCGCTGCGTACTGTGATCAAGATGAGCCGATTGGGTAGTAATTCTGTCGAGAAGGCTACATACAGGAGGGAAGCAAGCCCGATGGCTCATCAAACTTCGATTTGTGTCCCTGAACCCATGCTTCACCTACTCGTGTACGCGATCTTGACGATACACAAGTGTAACCCTTGCCAGGCACTGGTTACTGATATGCCTCCAGCTCGCTCCTGTCCATGGCCATGATGCTCAACCTCCGAAGCTCTCATGACGACAGCGGCTTGTTCGGCCGCTTGTTACGCTGTTCGTCGACTTTTTTTTTACTAGTTCAACTTTGACGTCGAAGACTACAACGACTCTTCACGATGCGGTTCCTGTCGCGTGCCTCTGGCGTTGCCGACGAAGTGTTTGGTGAATGCATGGCTGCTACAAAACTGGTTGTTTCACGAACGTTTGGCTTTCGCCATGAGAGTACGGAGGGTATTGACGAGGAAGCCATCGGAAAGAGGGATACGGACAGATACCAACCACCTGCTGAAGCCTCTAGACACCGTCGTCAAGATAGCATCTCTAGACGGGCCCTCGACAACCCTTATTCACCCAAAATATCAGCGACTAGTACCCTCATCAACGACACCAGTTACTCAACAACTGTTCCCAAGCAACCTTCGTTGCCGTTGTCGGTGGAGGAGATCTTGGCCCTTACGAAGCCCACTATTGAGAAGCTTTTGCAAGATTCCGGGAGTGTGGGGGCTTCTATAGGGGTCCTTCGCCATGGTCAACAACATTTTGTCAATCTGGGGACTCAGGATCTGGGAGTTGCCACGCTTCCGGATAAGGATACTGTCTACCTCACCTCATCAATGTCAAAGCCAATCATTTCTACGGCAGTAGGAATTTTGATGGATGACTTTTCGAAATACCAGCTCAAGTTCGACACCCCTGTATCAGCAGTCTTGTCTGAGCTCAAAGGCAGTCCCGGTATACTGAAAACATACACCAACCAGGAGCTTACCGTTGGTGACCTTTTGGACCTTCGTTCCTCGTTTCAGTGGATGACGAATCTGTGGGAAAGCCCCAATGGCGATATTCCATGGAAGACCATAGATCCTGTCACCTCCCTGCTCCAACATCTCCCAGCAAACGATACTTACACGTCTCAAGAGGGTTTTGTCTACAACCGGAATTACTCGAACGAGTGTTTTGCCTTGATGGCTATGATTATCGAAAGAAAGACTGGGCATTCATGGACGGAATTCGTCCGTGAAAAGGTTTTTGAGCCACTTGGAATGCACGACACCTTCGTCGGGTTGACAGAAGCTGAGAAAAATAGCAAGTCCCAGATCTTTGCCAAGTCACATTCGGTTCAGGTGACGGGGGTCATGCCGGAACTTCTGCAATGCACAGATGCACACGGGGTGGTCTGCAGAACTAAGATTGCAGAATGCTTCGACAGACACTACGGCCACATTCCACAACCTGTCGAAATTCTCCCGTCCCAGGCTTCGGGAGCCGGTCCTGTGGGACCACCGCCGGTCGCCGCGGCAGCAGGCATCATGTCTACCACCTCTGATCTTCTCAAGTTTTACAGCAAGATTATGGATGTTTGCAACCAAAGACAACAGCAGCAAAACAGCAAGCTTCTCTCGTATCAAGACCATGTCAGCTCCCCTCTCGAGCGAGGCATAAACCATCTCTTCTCTCACATAGAGAGAAAATTGTCTCCTAATCCATTCAGTAGCACATGCACCTACTCCGGCGGTTGGAACACCGTCACCGTACCCATGACCTCCGAAGAGCGGAACGCCTCCCCAAGACCAAGATGGCCAGGCGCAGATGGCGACAACGCCAGACGATTAGAGAGCGCTATTAACAGCAAGGTCCATGGGGATAACCTGGATTATACCTTTTTCGTTACAAAACCTGAGCTCAATGTCCCCGATGTCAACACGGAAATTGACACGCCCCCCGTCACTGAGCCTGAAATGAACAACAAGCACCTCGCCCTCTACCACGGCGGTAACATGGTCGGCGCTACGTCTTTCTGCTGGTTGCTTCCCGACCACGAAACAGCCGTGGTAGTACTCTGCAATACGAGGGGGTTCTTGCTCGACGCTGCGAACCTGAGCGGGATGTTGTTGGCTGAGTGTTTGTTTCTCGCCGAGTTAGGTTCCGATTCCCACCACGATGCGGGATCTGTCATCAAGACTGTGAGAAGGACTTGTGAAGACACGAAAAAGATGGCTAGGGCGATCCAAATCGACTATCTATACAATCTGGCGAGGTACGAACACACACTTGCTTCGCGGTTCCGTGAAGTGGCATCGCCTCCAGACGCAGGCGAAACAGAACTTGAAAGGTTTCAAGGCAGATACGAACTCACCCAGGATGTCTTTATTACCATCACTGGAGAGAAAAGGGGTCTGGTCCTGCGACTTTACGGTACCGGATACGGGTACTTGCTACGCGAACTGCACGAAAGGGTAGACAATGAAGAGCTGGAAAAGACAATGACTTTTGCCCAACCGATGGCAGAGCTGATACCGAGCGGAGTTGGAGGGACAAATAGGTTGAAGGTGGAGGACTTTGTGGTGGTGTTTAAGCGGGAGACGATGGCAGGGGAATGGAAGGGGTTTGAATGGAACTTTGCGAGGAATAAGACTACACGGAAACAAGGAGATACAAGCCCGTACTTTTGGCGTCGGATGACGGAGAAAGGGACTTGGATCTAAGGTGATGGTCTAGATGGACTAAGGGCATGGAGATGTTCAATTGTGCCGTAGCGGTGTTGTGAAGTGTTGTTAGGATTTGGGAGGTAGGAATGGTGACTCAGTCAGCTCTTCCCTCACTGGTGGTGAGTTTCTGTTCGGAAACTTTCCGAATAAAACGCCTATGCCTTCAACTACGAGATCCGATCGTGGGCACACTGTGTCGTGGGAGAAGCGCACTCACCCAAGATCCGGGTCCATGGGCCCACATGAGGCCGGTAACGAAAGCGGAGATTGCCGGGAAAAACGCCCGGGAAAAGTGGGTCTCCTGGAGCAAAGTGGATTCGTGGCCGCTTCACTGTCTCACCGGGAATTTGGCTCCGTCCCAGGGGAAGACGATTTTCTGTATGTTTCACTGCATTCCAGGATTGAGAAAGCATTTACACTTCCATTCACTTGTTTCACCGCTTTGTTTCTGCTTTGATGGATGAACAACAGTGGAGTGTCATGTATCTTCAGCCAGGGGGGATCATCTGCATCCGGGCTTAGGTCTGTACACCCGTCCCGCCTGGCCATGCATCTCCCATTTATATCACGAGTCAAATCACCAGTATTGTTACATCCCGCTTCCCCCTCCGTACGACGAGGTTGCAACACAGCAAGATCTCGATCTCTTCCACAGTCAGCACGTGTTGGACTAGACCTTGAGCCTGTCATCTACCATTGACCTCAACCGACTCGACCCGCCTATCGCCTCGTGGTAACAAAGCAACCCCCTTTGACCCTCGACAGACTGACAATGGAACTTTCCGCCATTCCGTGTCCATTCCACCTCCATGTAACAAGCCTTTTTGAGTGACCCAGCCGTGCACAATGGGCATTGAACAATGACTCGTTGCTTTCAGGTACAAAGAAGCGGGTACTAATAGACCATGGGATATGACTGCGGGAGAGCAAACTGCACTGTTCATCACGGACTGCTGAGTAGCATCGAATGAAATAACTTGCTGAAAATCCTTGATCTTGAGTATCTCCCTCGTCTTTCCCTTCCACACGTTCATTTTCCTCCTTCTATTCGAACAAACATCGAATGATAGTTTGTTCGTTCTTGAGTCTTCTTGCGGCAAGAACTTTTCCATCTCGAGTCTCGACACTCGACAGACAGACACTTGATAATTAAAGTCTGGCTACGAGAGCAAATATGATACCCTTCACACCCTTCGCCCCAGCCGGAGCAGCAGCAGCAACAAGGCAGGTCTTTGCCTTCCTCTTCCTTCTCCTCACCACACTCACCCCCCTCGTCGCCTCCCATGCCATGATGACATTTCCCATCCCCTACGCATCCCCTCAACAAGGAAACGGTCCCATAAACGGCGCCTCCTTCCCCTGCCATGGTGGTGCGGGCGCCAGCCTCCAACTGCCCTCCTCCGGCTACAACGTCTTCCCCCTCGGCTCCAAACAGCCTCTCCGACTCATCGGAACCGCCGTCCACGGCGGGGGCTCCTGCCAAATCTCCATCACGTATGACAACCCGCCCACGCCTCAGAGCAAATTCAAAGTGATCAAGTCCATCGAAGGCGGCTGTATCGCCCGCAACGAAGCCGGCAACCGGCCCGGCGCCAGCGCCGTCCAAATCAACCCGGATTCCTACGAGTACAGCATCCCCGACGACATCCCCACGGGCAACGGCACCATCGCATGGACGTGGTTCAACAAGATGGGGTATCGCGAGATGTACATGGCGTGCGGGCCCGTGCAGCTGACGGGCGAGGAGAAGCCGGGAGCGAAAGAAACGTTTGAGAAGCTGCCGGATATCCTTGTGGCGAACCTTGATAATGGCTGTGGTACCCCCGAAAATCGAGATATCCTGTTTCCCAATCCGGGGCAGAATGTGGAGAAGGCGAATGGAGCGACTGATGCGTTTGCTGCGCCTACGGGACAGGGGTGTCAGAAGCCGACCGGTGGTGCCCCTGGTGCCCTTGGTAGAGAAGCGGCGACTCCAACTCCGGCTCCGGCTCCGTATCCCGTTGCTAATGGGACCGTGACTCCCATGATTGAGCGCGAGACAGGGGCAGCGGGTACAGCGGGTACGGCCGCTTTTCCTGCGACTGTCTCTGTGACTGGCGCGCCTGAAGTCAACATAAACGGAAGCACATCATTCCCAGCTGGTGTCTCTCGAGGTATCACCAAGCCATCGATCGACGACGACCACGCTCCAGTAGCGACTACACCCCCTACTTCCAACACCGTCCATGTCCCCCCTTCAACCCTCTTAACCTCCACCATCCCTGTCTCCCCCAAATCCATCATCAAAAAAAGGTCAGACGGCACCCTCCCCGAAACCGTCCCGCCCACTGGCGCCTGCCCCGCCTACCAAGACGGGTGGTACATCTGCCACCTGCCTCGCAACCAAAACTATGGGTTTGTTTACTACCGCTGTGCCTCGGGGAGGTGGACGGGCGCCATGCATGTGCCGGCCGGCACGCAGTGTACTATTAGGGGAGACAAGTATAATGCGTGGGTGAGACAGGCGCCGGAACGGGAGTTGACGCTGGAAATGTCGGCGGAAAAAGATGATGATCCGCTGGTGATTATTCCAGTGACGATGACAAAGGCGACGCCGAATGCGCCGATGAGGCCTACGGCGAAGTTGTGAGTGGATGGAGTTGGTGAAAGAGAATAGGCTGGGAACAAAGAAGGGGGTGGTGGTGGTAAATGGAAAGGGATCAGTGAGTACAAAAGTGAAGACGATGACTACAGGCCTGGAGTTGAAGCTTGAAAAGAGGAAGGAAGAAGAAAAGAACCAAGACTCGTCCATCAGGTTCCTACTCCTCGACGACAACCACCATCACAGAAGACAACCTGGAACAGAATGCCTCGACAAAGTTGCTCTTCCACTCAGTAGCCAGGAAAAAGCGCAGCAGAAGGCCGAGCAGACTGGAGATAACCACCACCACAACAAACATGACAAGAGGGGAAACGAGAACCAGGAGTGTGAATGATAATGATAATGAAATGACCACCTGCAATAAAGGCAGGAAAAGGGCGACGAGGACAATGCGTGGGGTATACGAGTGTATCGTGCAAAGAAGCTGAGAAGTAGCTCGCACACATGAATGGGATAAAATGCCACAAGAAAAAAGAGAGGAAGAAGCGTATGGGACGCTGGGTGGGGATGGTAACAAGAACTAACCCCTTAAGGATAGTTCAAAGAATAATGGTCACTTGACGATGAATGCGAGGATTGGGACGGGTTATTTCTGGAGAAAAGTAGGTAAGCAGGATATGACAGAGGATACCCCTAACACTACGGGTCTGTGAGCGAGAATAGAGGGAAGGATTGGGATTATATATGGGTACCTTACATAATTCACTTTGACCATGAAGGGAGGAGGGGGCTTTCATGGGAGCAGATTGCCGGCTTTTCTCTGCTTGGGTGTCTTATTATTTGCTGTACCTGCCCTTTATTTACTTTGCGTTGTATATCTCTTTTAACAATATGATTACATCTTATTCATGAAGGGATGCCGTTCTCGTAGATGCATAACTTGATGACGTGTAAATTAGAACCACGATATTCATAAATGCGTTGAATGCTGTCTTCGTTTCCTTTGGGTTGGGAGGCTGCAGGCGTAGAAATGGACGATGTGTCTCAACTAGCTCTGTGACAGACGGATGAAACCACCTTAATGATTGCGTGTCCTTCGGGGCATCGAGAATCGCAGCGTGCATGCTGATGAGGTGCCTTGAGAGCGAGCACTTGAAGGCACAGGTGGTTGGTTTGAGCGCTGGTATCTGGGAACAGAAGACACTCACGACGATCCCCATTTAGCGAGCGACTGGTAGAATACTGAATCAATCAGGAGCGAGTCAGTACGGACTAGAACCTCGACATGATGTGAGACCATCGTCAAGCCCAACAAAGGGTGTAAAGGTCACGGAACTTGGTAGTTAACAAAAGCGAAATGCAATGCGCAACATAAGAAATCCCGACATCAAAACACAGTGAGAATGAACAGAAAGGTAAAGAGCATGCCAACATAATTCAGAATAATATTCTAGGATAGTAATGTTAGGTATTGTGGAAGACAGTCGTTGATGTCTGAAATGTGCAAACAGTCCAGGCGCCGGTGGCATACATAGCCCCAACACTCAGCGCAATTTGGTACAATTTACTGCCGAAATGGCCGAGTGGTCTAAGGCGCTTGACTTAAGTTTGATTTTCTCCAATCTTAAGGTCTTCAAGTTCTCGCGAGAGAGCGTGGGTTCGAACCCCACTTTCGGCATTATTTTTGTGATTTCTTTTTTTTTTGGCTTTTGCTTTGAGCCTTCAGTAGCGTGATCTTGAAAGGAATGGTGATGATAATTGTTCTGTTTTTCTACTGCACTTGTTTTATTGCTATGTAGTTCACGAGTCATTTCCGATATTTGCTTCCCGACTCGAAGACCCCGGCACCGGCTACGGATCGGATCTCTCCGGCGTCGCGGCGGTGCGCTTACTTACTTGTCGGGGCACAAACTACCCCGCACTTCCGGTGGTTCCATGATGCGGAGTCGGCGGTTTTCAGCCCGAGTTCGCAACATCAAACTTCATTTCCACAAGATCCAGGGTTCTACATTTTTTCACGTATCTTGTGATCTTGCTTCTGCTATTTTCACAGTCTCTTTTTGATGTCTAAGTTTGTGCGGCTGCCTCTCAGTCTCGCTGGATACGCCACTCACCGCCGTCGCCATTGTCACCATTGTCACGACTTCATTTTCGTATCATGCCATGTATCACCACTTCCGACCTTCGTTACGCTCCAATTCTCTCTTCTTGCTTCTATCCTGGTGCTTCTTTCTAGGCTATCCAGTTGTCTCTCTACTCCGCTCGAGCTACCAGTAGTGGGCACTCACTGTTCTAGGCGGCTCGTCACTTCCCAACCCTCATCCTTCCTCCAACTCTCTCACTCATATCCTCACCTACAAGAGCGCTTTCAACACCTTGTTTTTTCCACCCTCTCCGTCCTTGGAGTTTCCCTTCTTCAACGCTTGAATAATCTCCTTCGCTCCCCTAAACCCACTCCTCGCCGCTCCCTCCATGAAACCCCTCCATTCCTCTGCCGTCTCCGTGCCCGCAAAATGCACATTGCCAAACGGCTCTCTCATCGTCGCATCTCCCTTTCCCGGCCCATCATACTTCCAGGTCCTCAACAGCTCCTCCAATTCTTCCCCATTGCTCGGCAATTCCCTCGGGGGCGTAACCCCCATCCCCATCCACCATCTCACATTGTACGTAATCGGTGGTCCCGCACCTTCTTCTCTCTCCCTCTCTTCTTCCTCCTCCTTCCAATTTAAGGACCCTTTCCTCGGCAATGGAATCTCCATCTCCAGGGCATCCATCCGCTCCTTGAACACTCTCAGCAAATGCATCCACACCGGATTCGCCTCCCAGCCACCTTTCATCTCCTCCGGCTCGTCATCATCCCGCGTGTAAGTATTGCTAGTCCAACTCCAGACTTCGTACGCGTTTTCGGCTGTGCACCAGCAGGTCAAACTCCACACCTTCTTTTTCGTGTTCACCTTGCCACCTACCTCTTCACTCGTGTCCCTCACCCATGAGATCGGCCCGTCTAGGTCTCGAGTGACGCGACAATCCATGGATCCCGAGAGCCCGGCGTCGCGCCACCATGGCTGGGTAAAGTAAAAGGTCACAGCGGTGAAGAAGCCGCAGTGTCTGCTGTAGCGGTTGATGGCGGTGGTTTTGTGGGGAGGCAGAGGCGGGTGGAAGATGATGGCTTTGGGGACGTCGGTCCACAAAGGGGAGCAGAAGGCTGGGGGCGTGGCGAGAAGGACCTTTTTGGCGTAGAAGGTTTTCGCGGTGGTGCTCGCGGTGGAGTCGGTACCGGAGGGAGGTGAAGTTTCGACTTTGCATGGGTGAGGGGGGTAGTAAATTTTGCTGATGGGGGTGGTTTGCTGGGTAATTTTGGTCACCATGGTGGAGAGATGGATGGATCCCTCGGGAAGAAGGCCAACTAAGTTGGCGATGAACGCTTGCTGTCCCTGTGGGACGCAGAAATGGTGAGCGCCGCCTCCAGGTGAGTCAGGGTGGAAGTAGAGGTTGGCAAGCCCGCCGCCGGAGGCGATGTGGTCGAGGACGTAGAGAGCCGAGACACAGGCGGGGGTAATGCCGAGGAGATAACTGGTGAGAAAGTGGGCTTCCTGTTGGACCGCCTTGCTGTGGAAGAAATTAGCTTCCACGAGCTCAAGGAAGGAGACCGCATCGAGAAACAAGGCGTCGGGGCCATGCCAGGTTTCAGAGAGATCGGAGATGCGGCGGTAGAACTTTTGGATTGCGGGGTCTTCGATCAGTGACCTGAAGGAAAGTTGGTACTCTTGAGGTGGCCAGACGGCGGTTTCAAGCGCCGGGATAGTTTCGGAAACTTGGGGGCTGTCTTTAAAAAAGTCATAGCGCTGTTGGAGGCTCAGTCCCTCTCTGTGCTGCTTGATGAGGTCGATCTTGAAGTCCTTGGCCAGGGAGAGCATCTCGGTGTGGGTGTCGCCTATGGACGTGATCCTGGCTGTAACAGGAGTGGAATCTGCGTGACAACCACCACCGACATGGTTGCTCGCTTCGAGGATAGCGACTGTGAGGCCTGCTTTGTGCAACTCGACAGCTGCTCTTAAGCCGCTTAGGCCAGCGCCGACTATGACCACGTCGACTTCAATCTCGGAGTCCAGGGCTGAGTCGGAATCCATCATGAGATGGGTGTTGATATTGTCGAAAAGAGCCGTAAGCTAAGGATGGGTAGGTATACTGCAATGGCACAAATGAGCTGGGTATAGAAAGTGGTGGAGGGATTTGTGGTGGGAAGAGAGATAAAGAAGGTATGTTTGTTTATTTGCTTCGAGGTTGTCAAGTCCTTGAGGTTTACGGGTTCGGCTGGAGGTGAACCTGAAGGTCCATCGCGAGGACTCTTCACCTGTCCCAAAAGGCAGGTGAAGGGTTGCGAAGGAAGTGCCATCGTAGCGGTTGCCTTGTCTGTGTTTTGTCATTGCTGGTCAACCTTGGCTGGAAGGACAACCCAACACGAGCGGGTTGCTGGCTGTTGCCGTGTTGGCCCTTGAGCCCGGTCCCATTCACAACTTCCGAATTCGGCATTCCCATCACCTATCCGACCTCGCCGAGGTCGTTTTATCTGACTGCCGCCGTTTCCTTTCCCGACATCTTCGAGTAATACAGCTCGGTGTCTTGGATGAAATGGCGGAAAGAAGAATATTACATTGTCAAAGTGTTGACATTCATCGCAAGCGAACTTGATCAGTGGACATAGAACAGTTTAGAAGAAGCAATCCAAAACCACGAGTTGTTAAAATTCATTGAGGTAGGAATGTGAGCGACACGAGCTTCCATCATTGCTGCCTCGACTTGGACATATCGATGTAGACGTAACATGGTAAGCATCGTGAGGATTCGACAAAGAAGTCCGTTACCGGTAAAATTTCGGTATGAGACGAAACAAGACAAAGGACGCCAAGTTTTCTCCGAACCAACCACAGTTAGCTATCTGGTTGAACTGTGTCGAAACCGAAAAGGAAGTTCACCGATGATGGTGAAGAGGGAGACTGAAGGAAAAGGTACCCGATGAGTTGCCGTTGGGTTAAGGTCTGGGCTAAGTATGTACTTGGAGTATGTAGCACTGTGGTGTATGGAAACGGGTACGGTGGTCTTTACATTGGATTACAGACGGCGGAATCTCCACAAGTGACGGAGCCCAAAACGACGGGGCCAGGCAGTTCGTTGTGGTTCAGTTATAGGTCCACTCCGGATCTCGACTACACGGCATTCTGAATCGTAAACTGAAGCCGGTTGAATGTTACATACGTAGCACTAGTATGGTGGGTAACTTACCCCGCGTTTCACAAGTACTTACTGCGTACACTACATACATCCGTCTGGTTTGATCAGCTGCACACTCATGCACAGCACCGCACCTGATCCAGCAAGACATCCATCTCACTGCGCCGGCGCCTGCCATCCCGTCTCCTTCGCTCCCTCGGACTCCTGACCGGGAATCGGGTGGGCCTGTTGCACACTACATAACACTACATGACCCACTGCACTGTCCCACTATGGACGCTACCTACACACCTAGTGTACATGCCCGGTCGTGGTAGGGCAGCAGCAGATGCCCAACAACCTATGGCCTCTCCGCTAACAGTGACCGCCTAACCTGCTGTAACAGCCCAGGTAGACAGCAGGCATGAACCTGGAACTTGGAAATGGCAACCACCGGGAACGTCACTGTCAGCCTCAACCTAACTCAACTGACACGCTCGAGGACGTCGGCAGGGCATCTCCGCCTCCCGTCTTTCACTCCTTCAACCACTCAACGAACCATCAACACCACCACCACCACCTCCTTTGACACATCCTTCGGTTTCCATCACACAAAGTTCCCTCGGCGTCGTCGCCTCTTCTCACCATTCTCCCTCCATCCGGGAAAACATCACCAGGTTCCTGGCCCTAACCACCATCCCAGCCCAACATACAAATCGACACACTCACTGCCTGCAGCATCATCCTCATCATCGCCAGCGACAGACAGCGTCATTTTGTCGCTGACGTCCTTCTTCGCACATTTTTCCTTGAAGTAATCTGCCACCATGTCGGCCAGACCATCAAAACGGGCCAAAACCGGCCACAGCCCTCTCCGTGTCACCCGCATTCAACCACACCGACAATGTGCTAATCGCCCCCCTCGGTTTTGGCGCTTCCTGGAACTGCCCGCCGAGGTCCGCAACATGATTTACTCGCAACTGCTCACCATCCCCACCGCCGCCGACGTGGCCGGCGTCTGGGAATCCCAGCCCCGTCTGGACCTCAGTCTTTTGTACGTCGACAAGCAGATATCCCGTGAGGCCGCCTTTGTCCTGTACAGTAAAAACACCTTTGTCTTTCTCGAGCCCTGCGACGAGCACCGGGACGACTCTCCGGACGCCCAGGACTGTGCCCGCCACCGCAGCTGCAACTGGCTCCGCCTGATAGGTCCCAACAACGCCCTGTCGGTCCGCAACCTGCACATCCGCATCCGCGCCGAGCGCTCCTCGCGCCCAGACTCGTACTACTCGGACTTGATCCTCGCCCTGTCCGGCCTGGCACCCAACCTGACCCGGCTGGCCGTCATTGCCGAGAAGCACGCGATGCAAACCCGCCCCGTCACCATCCCCGCCGGGCCCGCCGGTTCATTAACGGGAGGACACCAGCAGGTCTTGGAGATGCACTGGAACCGCCAGTGGGACCCCAACCACGTCACGCCCATCAACACGTGGACCCTGTACCAGATGCGCTTCGGCCTGCGCAAGTTTCCTAACTTGATGAACTTGGTCCTGGCCGGCTTCGAGCAGCCCGGCCAATTCTTCATACCCATGTGCCACTTGATTAACAGGAACAGGCGCTGCAGGATCCACGTCGTGAGGCGGACCGTCGCTAGCAGGAGTTGTAGGAAACACCCCAACTTCTCGACGCTGTGGAATGAGCTGCCTGTGTTGGACCAGAAGGGCAGGCCCATTCCTAAACCCGAGAAAAAGCAGGGTGGCGGCGGTGCGTGTGGAAGCGGCGGCGGTATTTTGACTGCTGATGATGCTCAGGCCACTACTACTACTGGTCAGAGTAGTGTTGCAGGTCAGCAGAATGCTGCTGCTGCCGCTGGTGGTGGCCAGAATGCTGCTGCTGCTGCTCAGAATCAGGAGGAGGATGACGGTGATGCTGCTTCGGACGATGGCTGGCAAGATATCGAGGCTCTTGCAAGTGACAGTGGAGCCGAAGAAGACGACGAAGGCGAGGAAGACGAGATGATCATCTAGTAGTGTGCGTGCCGATTATGGTGGTGCATCGCCAGGCACCAACATGTCTTTGTCGACTCTTGTCTTGACGGCGACAACCCCCTGGTTCAACAAATTGTACGAGTGCCATTCATCCCAAGGGAGGGGACTTGCTGTCATCTGGACTGGCCACCAAAACGGACGAAGTGGAGATTGGGAGTGATTCAAGAAAACATATGGCATGGTGGTTTCGACGAGCTGTTATGATGGCATTTACAACAAGCGGCAAACAACTGGACTTGCACCTTTTTTTCGGTCAGCGATGCTGCGAACCATTCGGCAATTTTTTTTTTATTTATTTTTTTTTTTTTTTCCAGGCTCAAGCTGGAAGAGCCCAATTCGACCTGACCAGCAACACAGCACCATGTGTGGTATATATATATATATATATTAACGGAAGGCGGGCTGTTTACTACATTTCGACTAACCCGTGTAACGAAACTTGACGACGACATGTTCTCTTATTTTCTGTCATTGAGGGAATCAGGCGTTCTTCCGGGCGGCGGGATTTCTTCTTTTTTTTTTTTTTTTTTTTTTTTTTTTTTTCCTTGTCAAACATCGGTTTTTCGGTGCCACACAGCACAGTGCCGGGACCTTATATATGCCTTTGAATCCTTCAATTTGTTAGGAGGGCATCCTTCCCCAAGGATGATGGGAATTACACCCAACTAAAAAGCCAGGAGCAACCAAACAAGTGGAAGAACAGAACAACAACAACAGCTTTTCACGTTCAAAACGGAACTGGTCGGCGTGTCTGACCACTGAAAGAAAGTATATATATATCTATTGTACGTCCGAGATTGCTTACACCAGGACTTGTTAGTGACGAGCGTGGCAAAAGCAGGCGAAGACTTTACTTTACTCGCAGCAGAAGCAAACATTCGCATGAATGGGAGACAGATACCTGTCAAGGCACGCGATAGTTTTAGGAACTCGTAATAAAAGCGACATACACACAAACAAAAGACAATCCGCGTCTGATATCCAAACGATATAACCAAGTTCATCCATCGTGTATGATCTCCGAAAAGGAAAAGGGGAAAAATGCCACTCGTCATCGCGGCGAAACCTTCACCAAGGATCCCCAACCGCCCTCCATATCAAAATCTACACCTCATCAGGCCCCAGAAGCACCGCACGCTGGTACAAGCTCAACCTATTCGGGCCTCCACAGTACTCAGTCTCACTTCCAGCGCACAGCTGCTCACACTGGCTATCATCAACCTCTTCAACATCATCACCACCGTTCAACTCATTTCCGCAGTAGCACTCGCTCTGGAACTCCAGCCCAGCATACACGAAACCCCCCTGGTTGCAAAACGCCACGCAAGTCTCGACAGTCATGTCATTTCTCCTCAACGTCGGTCCTGTCAAGGTCCTCTGCACCACATCATCCCTCATGCACGCTCGGTAGTTCCAGTTTTGCAAGCTCGCAAACTCAGGGTCCAACGGGCCCAAGTTCCGCGCTCCGCTGACGATGCCATTCCAGTACACCGACAGCCGATTGGCATCGCCGCAAGTAGTCGCATTCGTTGCGTCGCCTCCGCACCTCATTGAGCATTCGCGGTCCGGCACAAGGAATGCTCTAGCGGGATAATCGCCTTCGTTATCGGAGTCGTCGCCATCATAGAGCTTGGTCCCGCAGAAACACTGGCTGCCGTACTCGGTGCCGAAATAAGGGTATCCATCCTCCTGACAGCTCACTCGGCACTCATCAAGCGTCATGTCGGCATCGTACATGACTGTACCCGTCAGACTCTTCTCGCTCGGCACGGGCGAATCGGTATAACAGCCCTGGTACGAGTAGTCCCCGACATCAGCAGGCATGACCATCTGCCTCCCATACACATTAATCCTGTTGCCCGCACCGCAGATCTCGTCACTAGCACCGGCGCAAGTCATGCTGCATTCCGTCTCGGGAACCTGCTGCGCGGCATCAGGCTGGGACACGCCGCACCAGCATTCACGACCGTATTCGACGCCAAAGTAAGGGAAGGACAAGTCGGTGCAGTAGGCAGCGCACTTTTCGGCTGTCAGGGTATCGTCCCCAAGCAGAGAGTTGGGGAGTAAGCGCGGCGACGACTCGCGGTAGCAGCCGAGGTAATCGAACCCCCGGACGTTGGCCACGCGAGGAGGGCGGTACAAAGCGTTGGTGTACACTTCGATGCGGTCGCCCGCGCCGCAGGTTTGGTCGGCGTTGCCGGCGCAGGGGAACGAGCATTGCGCGTCGTCGACCTTGGCGGCGACAGTGGAGGGGGAGGTGGGATTGAATCCCGAAGTGGAAGAGGCGCACCAGCATTCTCGACCGTATTCGACGCCAAAGTAAGGAGAGGAAGAGCCGCAGAAGACGGCGCAGGATTCAAGTGTGAGAGTGTCGGAGGCGGTGAAAGAGGTCGGGAGAAGGCGGGAGGTGGGGGAGTCGTCGCGGTAGCAGCCTAGGCGGTTGCCTGGGTTGGATGGGGGGATGGCTGTGATGGAAGAGTCCGAGTCGTCATCATCGTCGATGTCGGCGGCAGCGGGGGAATTGGTGGTAGTGTTTTGTTGGCGTTTGAAGAGAGTGGGAAAGTGGGAGCGGGGCTTGAGGAGGTTGAGGTTGGCGTCGACTGCTTTGGAGTTGGCGTTGCTGTTGGTGTTGTAGGGGAAGGCAGAGATGGAGGAGACGAGGAAGGGGAGGAGGAACGCTCCTTGGAGGAGAACGGAGCGGGATGAGGGCGCCATTGTTGGCTGTTTGGGTGATAAACGTCTATGAGATGATGACACCTTTGTCTGGAGAGGTAAAGACTGGTGCTGGTGAGATGATGATTCCTCTGCTGTGTCTGTCAACAAGGAGGAGGAAGGTAGGGCGCCATCGTGGGATTTATACCGACCCTCGGTCCGGTTATCTAGGCCTTTGCCGCGTTGTTTATCAGAAAAGTTCATCAGCAAATCCTGGCTGCATTGGCATAGTTCACCGAGTGTAAGTGGCGCTTACAGAAAGCATGCCAGCGCGGTCTGATGATGAGGTTGAGATTGCCTCTTGGAGTCCAGGGCTTGGGAATGGGGTGGGCAGGCGAAGACCTCGGAGAAGTGAAGCCAAACGTTTGGGGCGTGTAGGTGACTCGGCATAGTGCTGGGAATGTGGGCGGCATTTTGAGGGTCAGTCTCACATTCCATGAGTCTACGGCCCGATGTCAGGCACAGGGAGCGCTAAAGGGGTAAATCTAGGTGTCTGTCTTGGCGGTTTAATGTGATGATGGATGTGGCATACACACTTGGCCCTCATGACCGAATAGTCAGCTTGCCAAACGTCAGACAGGCAATTCAGAAGTAAAGTGGTGTACGACTGAGATGTTGATGTGGGGTGGATTGTTCGACTATGGTGTCGCTGGAATGTGCCTTGCCCTGAGGGGAAAGGCTCTGAGGGCGAAGTGGCTAAGACAAGATCTGAACTCCCGAATTCCTGTGGCTATATTTTACTATCGTGATGCCGCGATGGAATGAGCAAGTCTGTTGTCAGGGCGGAATAATCACGAGTGCCTTACCAATGTAGATGACCGGTGGATGATAGAATGTCTAAGCTGTTTGCCATAACCATAGATCTCGCAGACTTTATGAGACCTGGAACCCAGATTATGTATTGAGATCAGTCAAAAGATTGCCTTGGTGGTTTAACCCTGCTGGAATGAGGATCAAATCGAAGGAGAGAACCTCGCAGTCTGGGATAAGTTCAGGCATTGATAGTGGCGGAATGACAACTGCCTCACGATGGTTAATTTGAAGCTGCGAACTCGCAGTTGCTACGCCTGACAGGGCCGAGCCCCCCGACTCCGTATGACGGAAATGAGCATCAGGCGAGCTGGGACGGGCCCAATAAAGTGGCAGGAAAGAAACTTTCCCGGAGGCGTGATTTACTAGACGCTCCGTCTGAATCAAAAAGCAGCCTCGGTAAGTTGAATGACACAACGCGCATCACACGAGAGGAGGAACAAGTGGACAGGTCTCGTATTGTATAGGTCATCATTGATATTCATTGACAACCTTGAGCTCAATCCGTCTGCTTCGTACCCAACACTTCCTAAAGTGAAGCTGTTTGGGCGTCAAAATAGCTATCATTTGTCTAGCAAGCAACCCCAACAGTCTTGCCATCCACAAAAAGACCCAAGCTCGTGGCAACTATGTCCCGTAAATGTTAACAGTCCAGCAACTGATACGTAAACATCGACGCCTTTGTATGCCCACCACTCGAGATATGTGCCAGTTATGGTTCCTCTCTCCGCAATCGCGGGATATAAGGTGACGACCTCAATTCCGGGCCTGGTATATAGTCCTTCCCCCCGGCAAGTTCCAATCCAGTAATATGAACCAGGGCCTCAACGCGTGTCTGAGGTTACCCATGGGTGGTGGTGAACCTTGTCCTCGCAACATCCACTCTCACCACCCACAGGAAACCATCTGGATACACATTCCTCTCTTTCTCATGTCTATAAACATGGACCATTTATAACACACCGGTCTTCAGACCACAAAGCAAACTCATACAAAGCAACAGGTATAGCAAGGTATATCCCACCTCAACTCCGACAACAACAAGATAAACACCAAATCCTTCCCATCTGTTACAAACACCGTTATTTTTCCATCGATCCATCCTTTGCACATTTTGCCCACATACTTTCTGGACTTCCCTCTCAAGCCTCATAGGTCCCGATAGGCGTCGGCGCCCTCTCACTCACCGGCGTCGCCACCCCTCCATTCGCATTCGTCCTAATGCTCAACTCGGGCCTCTGACCAGCATGACCACCCTGGCTCATCATCTGCGTCGCCTGTGAATTGGCCGCCGTAGCCGTAGCCATCTGCTCCTTATTCTCCAAATTGACGATAATCTCCATCGCCTGATCCAGCCTTTCCTTCTCGACCCTCAGCTCTCCGCGCTTGCGCTCCGTCTCGGGGCCCTCGCTCATCAGTCTCATAAAGATCTCCGGCCCCGATCCAGAAGTGCGGCTGTACAGACCGAGTTTCTCGTGCAGGTAGATATCAATCACGGACGCGACTCTAGGTAAAAGGCCCGACATGATGTGAATGGCGACAATATCAATGAAACGGCTGGCTGCCGTCAGGTAGTAGCCGCGCACATAGGCGGCGACCGTAATCTCTTGATCGTAGGGGTCGGGCCCAATGACTTTGAGCTCCTTGGCCATCTTGGCTTGCTCCTGAACCAGCTCCTCCTCCGTCAGCTCCTCCATCTTACGAATGGCTGGGGATTCGCCGGTTCGGACTGCCATGCGGAGGAAGTGGCGGTGGCGCTCTAGGATGCGCTTTTCTGCGGCTTTGTTGCGTTGAAGCGCATCTTCATCTTTCGTGAAGATGCGCTGCGTCTCGAGATTATAAATGAGGTTCAATTGGTTCCGAACCTCCTCCTTATGTTTCTCCATAAAGTATTTCATGTGCTCGACTGACTCGCGGTAAACGGCCCGGTTCTTAAGGTTGGAGAAAGCGTTATCGAGAATTTTCATGACCTCGTTATGTAGAAACTGAATGGTCTGGTTCACAAAATTCTCGAGGTGAGGACCCCAGGTTCTGGCTGCCTCGGTGTAAAGCGGCTCGTAGACGGAGGCCGACACAAGCCCGGGCTGGCCGGGTATGGCGCTCCGTCTAATGATCGTGCGAAGCTCCATCAGGTTCTTGGAGCGAGGAGGTGGTCCGCCGCCAGGTCCGGGAGAGAAGGGAAAGGATCCGGGACCTGGAGTACCCCGCATGGTGGCAGATGTCGACGGAGACATGATCATGCGGTCGCCATCCTCGACCTTGATTTGGCCACGGCGCTTAGAAGGCGTCATAGCGATATCCTGTGCCATGGACCTCTTTCTGGGAGTCTGTCCCAGAGGAGCCGGAGTGGCCATCGGGCTGTTATCGTCGATAGTAATCACGTCCGGCTCTTTGACATTGAATTTCGGTTTGCAGCCGAGGATTCTCTTCTTGAACGGCTCGGCAAAGAGACAGTCCCACTGGCTCATGAACTCTTGCTGAAGCACACGGGTCTTGACGTTGGTCGCGAATTCCGCCAAGCTGCGCATGATTTCCATCTCAGGATTCGGCGGGGGATTGGGGTACTTTTCGAGCTGCTCCTCAATCCTGAGCAGGCGGTTGTACACCTTTTGCTTGACCTCGGGGAGACTGAAACAAAACGAGTCAGCATCAGAGTCACACCACAAGATGTCATCTTAGGGAAAATAGGGAAGACTTACACCTTGGAGAATTCCCGTCCAAGAGTGATGGACAAGAACTCTTTCAACTTTTCAATACCACACCTATCACGGTATTTCTCGAAAATCTCTGGCCATTGGCCCATAGTCGCTGAGTCCGCAGTCCTGTTGAAGAAGGCCTCTTCAAATTTGTTCTGCTCGTCCAAGTCACTACCTTGGCGAGATGTGATGAAGTAGCCCAAACCTGTGCGATGGGCCTGTTCGTTCAGCATCGAGAGCCAAGAGGAAAAGCCGTTGGTCTCCCTAGGCAAAAGGTCCGCCTTGGTCATGACGCCAACGCAGCGATCCTCTGCGTTCATTTCTTGAATCAGCTTGAAGGCGAAGCTGTTCTCGGCATCCTGGTTCATAGGCACTGCCCAAAGGATAATGGCATTCTGGCGGGAAATGTATTCGCACGTGAGGTTGCGAACAACCCGCTCCAAGAATCTATCCTCGGGGCGCTTGGCAGTGATAAAGACACCCGGAAGATCATAGAAGTTCAAGTCAGCAAGGTCAGGACCCTTGACCTCGAGGGCGACCGTGTTGGGTGAAAATTGGGCTTCGCCGTGGGCCTCCTTCTCCTTGATCCGATCCAGATGCTCGCGGCGAGCGGCGTCAGATTGTCCACTCTCATTCTTGAGACGGGGAACGAAAAAGCGGTAAGGTGTGCTAGGATTTAGGATGGCAACCTGAGCACAGCGGAGGAGGGTCTCGATTTCCTCGGCATCGAAGCGGTCGCGAATCGTCTTGAACTCCTTGCGAGTCTGTCGACTTGGGTCTAACTTTACCCAGGGCGGGAACCTGTCTCGATCGGTGACATCCTGGAGAGTGATAGGATGGTTGCGCGGGACAAAGGCATAGTCCTCCTTGAGGAACACACGGCATGACCATTCGTCGGCTCGTGAAATGCGGATATGGATTGGGCATCTTGTGCAGGTTCCACTGCTCCTTGGAAGACTGAGGCCAGCAATGGCTGACATCAAACTCGACTTTCCCGAGGATTGATCGCCTACGAGAACAAGCTCTGGGAGGCTGACGACATGTTGAATGCCCCTTGCTTGGAGTTCGCCCAAGGCATCGTTGATATCCTTGAGCTCTTGGCCAAAATCCTTGAGTGCCTGGCCGGGGCCGATAAACGACCGATCCATGTTGACGAAGCTCCTTGGTGTAGGAAGGTCCTGTTCCACGACTTCGGTCTTGGTCTTTACTTCCATCAGCATGCATTCATCATCCTCGTCTTCACCGTCGACGTCCATGTCGCCAATGACCGACGCGCCAGGCGCAAGTCTGGTGTCCACGCTAGCTGTGACCATGTTGTTAGTTGGTTATGACATCAATAAGTGAGGGGATCTGGACTTGACTTACGGGCATCTGACCGCTGCATGCGTCTCTCAACTTCCGAGTGTGCCACCGTCGAGTTATCGTCCTCGTCAATCCTGGCGAGGCCCGAGTTCGCCATGGGCTGCTGGGAACCAGGTTCCCGCTTGATGCGGGCATGTTGATTTGCGCGGCGCATGTTTGTTTGAGTCTATCGAATGCGTCAGAATATCGTGAAAGAAAAGAAGGAATAAAGCAGCAAGTGATGGAAGAAAAGGTGAAAGTGATTATTACAAACTTACCATGATAAACACTAGACTCACCCTGTGGAAATGCGATTCAGCAAGGAATCATGAAAACCTCAGATCCAGCTGAGGCCGATTACACCATCGACTAGACCAGCTCTTGGTGATTATCTCTTGGTGACAACAAGGGAGTGATAATTACAGTACGGGTCTGAGGGTATTTCGACGGGGACGCGTGAAGCTCTGGACTGGATGGGGGAGTGTTGTGGTGAGAGATGGTTGGTTTGTGACGTTGGGTTACTTGGCGATAGAAGGTGTAAGTGACCGGGAGTACTTCCAACGACCAGACAAGATGGAGGGGTAGATGGGAGAAAAAAAAGAAAAGAGGCAGCGGTCCAATCTCGACGACGAGAAGATGAGAGAGGCAGGTCTCGAGTTAGACTCCTATTGGTGCTAGACACTGCTAAGGGAAGCGGGGTAGATGTGAGACAGCCCTAACAGATTCGATCTTGGTGAGGAGGAAGCAAGGTGGAGGGAGGAAAGTGAGGTTGTGTCGGGTGTTGCAAGGGAAACGGATATCAAAGATTCGCGATAAGAATCCCAATCCATCCAAGTGTGCCTGGATTATTTGTATGATGGGCGTATTCACTCCCGTCCGATGTAAATTGCCCGACCCTTGCGCTTTGCAAACAATGAGCAGCCCCTCTATCACGGTTGCTACAGCAAACTCAGGCGGGGAGTGGTGACCTTTTTTGGTTGAGTGTCCAATGGCAGCAAACGCGTGTTCGTCGCGACTCTGAAATCTGCCACTTTACGCGACCCCAGCGAGCCTGGCCAACCCTGGTCTGCCTGTAAGTATCAGGGTAGTTTTGGATGGCGGTCCAATGAGAGAGACCGTTTGGACACTGGAAACCTGTACGTCTGTGCGGAAAAGGAAAGATAGCAAACACATATTGCATCGCATGGAGAAAGCACAGATATCAAGAAGGGAATGGTATATGTACAGCATCTCAAGTGGTGATTTATATTCTTCACATTGTTGACTTTGTGGTGGTCCTGTCATCGGTTTGATGCTGACGATGACTTTCTGCCACTGCCTGCCGGATCTTTACCGTTTTCCATCCTTTTTTTGACTCTTAATTAGCACGTTGCCGGCCGCAATGTGTTGTACTTGGCCCCACCAAGGAGGACAAAGTGGGGAAGAAACCAGTCTGCAGTGGGTGCCAGGCCAGTTCGAGGCCGTACCCGCGCCCGGCCCCTGTCCACCAAAAACAGAGTTGGGTGTTCACGTGGGGCACCGCCGCCCATGAGACTGACCGGGGACTGCAAGCTTTGGTTCAGGGGATTTGGGGATGGAGAGCTAAGAGCGAGCTCGTGTAGCAGTGGTGGACCTTGACGGGAAGCAGCCCAGTTACACCATTGACCGCAGCACCATACACAAGTGGGCGTACGACATCCCGTCTTCGAGACGACTAATTAAACACTTCCTGTGTTGATCTCTCCGTCTCTTTTTTTTTTTTTTTTTTTTCTCTTTTACACATCTACCGTCTCTTTCATATCCCAAGTATACCATTGTGTCAACCACATACATCTATTGGGAACCCATACACGACAATGTCTCTCCAGGTCCCTTACCACACCAAGGCCAACGGGGCTGCTGCTGGCGGCGCAACCAAGGCCGTCATCCTGGTGAGTATTTCCAGAACCTCCTTGGCTTACGGAACACCTCCTTCACCCCGAGTCCTGTAGTCATGATTGGGGTAGAGGTAGCTCCGTCTAAGACAAAGCAAGCAAAATGTTGACATCTATAACCCAACTCTAGGTCGGCGGTGCCTCGCGCGGTACTCGCTTCAGACCCCTTTCCCTCGATGTCCCCAAGGTAAGTCTTTGAATGCCCCCCAGGCTATATCCTGCAAGTCACTTTCCACTAACGGCGTCTCACCGACAACCAACTAGCCCCTCTTCGACGTTGCCGGCCACCCCATCATCTGGCACTGCCTAACCGCCATTGCCAAAGTCCCCTCGATCCACGAAGTCTACCTAATCGGCTACTACGACGAGTCCGTCTTCCGGGACTTCATCAAGGATGCCGTCCACGAATTCCCCCAGCTGACCATCAAGTACCTGCGGGAGTACCAAGCGCTGGGCACCGCCGGCGGCCTGTACCACTTCCGCGACATCATCCTCAAGGGCCGTCCGGAGCGCCTGTTCGTCCTCAACAGCGACGTGTGCTGCTCCTTTCCCTTGGGCGAGATGCTCCGCCTCTTTGAAGAAAAAGACGCCGAGGCCGTGATCCTGGGCACCCGCGTGGCGGAAGACGCCGCAACCAACTTTGGCTGTATCGTGTCGGACGCGCACACGCGCCGCGTGCTGCACTACGTCGAGAAGCCCGAGAGCCACATCAGCAACCTGATCAACTGCGGTGTCTACCTCTTCGCCACGGAAGCCATCTTCCCCTCCATCCGCACGGCCATCAAGCGCCGCACCGACCGGCCCAACCGCTTGATCCGCTACCCGTCCGCCGAGAACCTCGAGTCCTCCTTCTTCGCCCAGCAGGCCGCCGACGAGGACGACGAGGAATCCGAGAAGCGATCCGAAGTCATCCGTCTCGAGCAGGACATTCTCTCCGACATGGCCGACTCGAAGCAATTCTTCGTCTATGAAACCCAGGATTTCTGGCGGCAGATCAAGACGGCCGGGTCCGCCATCCCCGCCAACGCGCTGTACCTGCAGAACGCGTGGCAATCGGGTTCTTCCGAGCTGGCTCAGCCTCAGCCGAACCACATCATCGCGCCCGTCTTCATCCACCCCACGGCCCGCGTCGACCCCACCGCCAAGTTGGGTCCCAACGTGAGCATCGGTCCCCGCGCCGTGGTGGGCGCTGGTGCCCGTGTCAAGGAGTCGATTGTGCTGGAGGACAGCGAGATCAAGCACGACGCTTGTGTCTTGTACTCCATCATCGGCTGGAACAGCCGCGTGGGCGCCTGGGCCCGTGTCGAGGGTACGCCGACGCCTGTGACGAGCCACACGACGAGCATCATCAAGAATGGCGTCAAGGTGCAGGCCATTACGATTTTGGGCAAGGAGTGTGCCGTTGGTGACGAGGTGCGCGTGCAGAACTGCGTGTGCTTGCCGTTCAAGGAGTTGAAAAGGGTGGGTTTCTGTTCTGTGTTTCCATCAAGACTTCTATCCGCGACAGCAAAACTAACAAGTTTTCACAGGATGTTGCCAACGAGGTTATCATGTAGAGGTGACGAGATAGCAGGTGTCAAAAGATCTGACGCGAATGGATGGATGGATGACAAGATACCACTGAAGCCGAAGCCGCTTCAAACTTAATCAACAAGAAAACTAATGCAATAACCGATTCGTGGCAATCTACTATCAGACTCGCTGTATCTCGCTGCGGGAAAAAGGCCGCGTAGCTAGACACATCACAGATAGCCCAGTTGGAGCACATTCCCACGGCCAGAGAAAAGTTCAACAGTACTGATAACATTTTGCGTTTCTTTCTGTTTTTCTGTTAGGAATTCGGACCCGGCAAAAACGTACAAGGTGTCGATTTGATAGCAGACAGCGACAGTGATCATACCACACTTTATCTTCATCTTGACCCATCTAGAGACTGACTTGACCTCGAGATAATACAAGCCTAGAAAACAACAGGCGATTTCTAGCGACACATACGTTCCCGTCATCATCATGAATATCACCTATGACGAAACGACCGGGATGCATCTTCATATCCTCAGGCGTGGCCGCTCTGTCGTCTGCTGACGAGACTCACGATTGGGCTATCCTCATCCTCACTGTCAAGAATCCCCGGAAACATCCTCTCAGTCTGGGACGTCTGAAGCGGCTGGAAATCGAAAGACATATCGGTGGGCGGATATCTATTGTTGGGGTCACCCATCAAGCTATCGCCGATCTGTTCGTCACCGGCGGTTGCGTTCTCCATATTTTCCAGGACCGGATCCGTTCGCAAAAAAGCGGGTGTAACAGCGAAGGACGGTGGACCTCGCTGCGCGTCCGAAGGAGTATCCAGAAGGTGATCCTCATCGATGCTTTCCAAGAAGTCGGACACAACTTGGGCATCCGGTGTGGAGGATATACGTGCGGGAGGAGGGGGGGGAGGAGGAGGAGGAGGATGAGTGGCTTTCACCCTTTTGGCCCTTGTGTTCGAGACATTGCCTCCTACCGGACCTCCGTCATTTGCGGCAAGCCTCTTGCTGCTTCTGGTTCGGGACAGTTGACTTTGTTGTGTCTGACTCTCGCGTGCAACCTCTTGGGTTTCAGGCAGATTGGATGTCACGTCTTCGTAAATTTGCTGCACGATATTAGCCACCGCCCATTTCTTGGGACCCTCGATCACGTAGCCTGTGTTTGACTTACCAAGGGACGCTTTGGCTTCCTCTTCTGGGTGCTAGGAGGTCCTGGAGTTGGTGCCTGCTTCTGTGTTGAGGCTGGCTTTTGTGCCATCTTTGTCACTTGTTTTGCTTTCGCATTCGGCTTCTTTGCGCTCGGCCGGGTTGCCTTCTTTTGTGAACCCTTTGCGGTGGTTTTGCTCTGTAACCCTCGGTTCTGGAGTGGGGAAGCTCTGTGACCAGCTTTAGTCTCTTTTGCTTTCGATGGCGGGTTCACCTTTTCTGTTTCTTGGGCTCGCAGTGTTCTCTGCCGTGTGTTGATAGCTCGTAATGGTTCTTGAACCGCTTTGCGTTTCGTGTTTGCCTGTTTCCTGGGTTTTGGAGCTTCAAGCTCCTGGGGTGTAGTGTCAAGTTGCACAGAGGGAGAAGACGGCTTATGGTTGTTGGTGTTCTGACTGACGGGAACAACAGGTACGCTCTCGATTTGTTGAGAATCTGATCGAAGTGGTTCTATCCTATTCGAGGGTTAGCGCAAGGATCAAAACAGTGGAAAGAGTTCGCATACTCTAGGCTCGCGATTCGGTCGTAACGGTATCCCTCTTTCTGTTGAAGCTTGAGATTTGCATCGTCGAACTCGGTACGATCAAACTTCCAGAATCCAATGGTGGGAATATCTGGAAGTTCATTTGCGTGAAAGGCCATAGCCCAATACAGAGGCCCTGTAAGAAGCAAGTTAATCATAATCTCGCTGCTGGTTATCGCCCATTGTATTTCAACCACTATCTGGTATGCATGCGGCGTATGCTGCAGCTGGTTTAGGTGTGCGATGATAGCCGTACTACTTACCTTTGAGAGAGGGAAGCCGGTTCAGGTAGTCACCCAAATTCCAAAGCTTGAAGTTGGTGTCAGATATGTGTTGCTCCCCGATGCCTGCTCTCCAAATGTCGATTCCACATTTTCCGTCGGGGGGGTACTTGAACACCAAAGTGTAGTACTCGATCAAACAGTTCTCATCCCAAGTTGTTGATCTCAAAAAGCTGATGCGGAATCTGGCCAGATTTTCGGTCTCCATGATGGGAAATATGTCGTGATTCTGGTTCAGAACAAGGTCAGTGATACCGTATCTGAAGTGGGTGAGGAAGGTGACTGGTCCTAACCAGGATGCCCAAGAAGCGTTTGAGGTCGTAATCGACATCCTGGTGCAAGAATACGGTGGTCGATTGTTCCCTCAATATTTCTCCGTCAAAAGTCGGTATGCCTGATCCTGAGGCCATGATCTCTTCATACGTCTTTGACACAAGGTCACTCAGGGGTAAGACATGGAAGAAGTTCGATGGGAAAGCGCGTCTGAGAAAGGTCAGTAATTCCACGAAGCGGAAGAGTGCTTGAAGCCACGACCGAAGCCAAAGTGATTCATAGTACCGAGCATATAGTATCTGGCTGATCTGTGAAGGGTGTCAGTTGCCGCAACATATCAAGAGGTCAAGATTTCTGGCGCAGTGGGCAAGAAAGGGGACGGCACTCACGGCAGCCACAAACACTGTCTTGCACAACTGGATGTCACGCTTCCGCAATCCACGAGCTCCATACGTCTGGGGATTGGGCATGTTCGAAATGATAGCAGAGTTGTACGATTAGGGAACGTCGGCGGTGCTTGATTGAGGGGTTTCATAACTGGAGGGATGAGCAATCTCGGCCCAGATGGCTTCGAAAAAATGCCCGGAGTGGAGGAGGAATTTGTGCGAAGATCTTCATTGTGTTCTCAGCGACACACTTGGACTGGGAAAGAGCACAGAGAAGTAGTGGGAACATTCGAAATTGAAAGTGGTGGAAGGTGCAAACGGTGCACAGGAAGTGAGGAGAGCAAAGATGGAAGGAGCTCTCCCCTGGACTCGATCTCGACCACGGCCTGAGCTGTGTGCAGCCATCCAATGTTCATCATGATCACTTCTAGTGTATCACCGATGTTGGTTCAATGTAAAGCCACGCATCGCAAGACCGAGTTCGAGTATGTTCAATTTGGATGTTGTTTCCTGTGAATGAAGTCCACCGCGAGTGTTGTATGGCCCTGTTTGGCGCCACATTCATTCGCCAAGGTATTCAGCCTCTCATACCATATTATCCTGCAGTCCGTCATATGTCGATGTCCATCTGTATGAGCAAGTTTATTTGGAGAGGTGAGAATGATAATTTAAAATCCGGTCTGAGATGACTGGAGCACAAGTATATATCCAGACACTTGGAACTTCTGAAAGTAGAAACACCCATGAACCCTCTAAAATCCGTGACATGGCGAGCGAAAACATACGGCTACAGCACTTCAATAATTCCTAAAATGGTTGTTTGGGTATGGGAAACATAACATTTACCCCGGATTGGCATATTAGTGTAGTTTGAAGTCTCGGACGGGATGATCCTCCGTTCGGATCTCATATCGATCTTGACCGAGACCACCGTAATTCCGCATCCTTCCCAGGGCCTTTCAAGAAGGGACAGGTAGTAGTGCAACAATCATTCGACAAACAGAGTCATAACCCCAAATTATGTTTAAGATGTGTGGTTGCAAGAAGAATACAAGGAACGGCTCCTAGGCCTAGAGGTAGGAAGGGAGAGATTTATATCTCCTTGCTCGATGTCCGCCAAGGTGTTGGTAGAGCGACGCAACCCGGAAGTCCGATGGCACGGCGTTTCGCCTCCTGACATGATTTTCTGCGTATATCGAAAGTTGGGTTTTGATTGATGAGGTCTCCTAGCATTGTGGTTCTCCTGTGTTGATACAGCACGGTTACTGTACCAGACTTACGAGTATTGTTCGATGCGCACATGGAAAGGCAACTGACGGCTAGCTGCCCCTCAAGATCTTCGACAGCCTCAAACCTGCCCCGAATGTCTCCAAGGTTCTGACTGCGTCACCACTCATAAGATGCACTTGTGCGTATATCGTGATGATCATACATATCAAGCAGACATGGATCCTGTATTGTGTCGAATGTGCGCACAACAGACTCGAGAGTTTGGGAAGTACGCTAGGCAAGGCGCTTGGACCACCAGGAAACCCGGTTGCCAGGATGTCGACAATCCAGCTGGCAAAGCAGGGAAGAGGCGAAGCGGCAGGTCGGCAACAGGGCATCGCTTATATCAGTTGCAATTCTGAGCAAAAGCGATCTGTGCAACTTGCACAAGCGACAAGTTCAATCTCCATCTGTCAACTTTCAAGCCGCCGCTTTGAAAACCGCCGTAATTGAAGTGGGACAAGACAAACTCCCCCCCCCTCCTTTTGAGCGAACTGAAGATCGTGGATTTATTGCTGTTGTTGCAGAGTTGATATTACTCGAAGTATCTTTGCCTCGACAGAATCTGGAGTACCTGGAACTCAGTGAGACAAGTTAAAGAGGGCGCCAAGACTGGTAAGCGGGATAATCGACAGCGTGAAGGGGCAGGTCGGCAAAAGGGGAACCGAAGAAACCCACATCAAAGCTGTCGATGAATCCCTCCTCCTCCTCCTCTTTCTTCAGAATCCAGGACTGAAGACTCAAGGCTGAGCGGGTCATGACAATCTGTGGGTGACGGTGGAGCACTGGCATTCGGCTGCCCCTGAAAATGATGACCTGACTTGGAGTTGGGTACACTAGTTGGACTGCGAGGGTGTCACAAGTCCAAGTCCAAGTGGTTGCTGGCAGATTGACAAAGGCATGCCAAGGTAGATATATGTGCACGCTGTCATCCAGGGCGAGTCGATCAAGGGTGATAATCTGTATGTATTCTCGGAACCCCATCGAGCAAGTCAGTTGGTCCAAGCATGACATTGATAAATAGGGCTTGGACTCAGTGACGTATCGCGATGTGTCGTGGCCTGGAATAACAACAGAACTATCGAAACATGATGGGGCTCCGCTCACGCCAGCCAGCGGCTAGGTGGTGGTGGTTCATGACTGATCATGGCCGGATCGCGATGGCAGCAGGGACAGTTGCTCGTCCAAAAGTGTTGTACTCTTGCTGGAGACGAGAGCATGGAAGCGGGACATTTAAGGATTCACTCGGCCAACCTCGTGTCTCGCATGTCAGCGCGATCCATCAAGGGTTGGCAGTGGTGTGTGAGTGGTGGTGGTGCATGCTTTGCCTGCCGGACGAACCGAGTGACCAATGAAAGCAAGTCAAAAGAAGTGCAGGAAGTTCACAAATCCATAGGTACCTAGGTACCTCGGTACCCTGGTCAACAGAAAGGAAGCAGCTGTCACCAGATGGCATGCAAGACCCAGGACATGCAGCATTGGATGTTCTTGGGACTGCATCACATCAGCAAAGACCGGCCCAGAACTGCCCTGGAGGAGGCCTGAAGTGATAAGTGAAATGATGATTGCAATCAGCTTACATGTATTCGAGTAGGTAGGAAGAAAGGCTTCGGAGGTAGGAAGTAGATGCACGGGGAGTAGAGGCAGGTACGCCCGGGGTTATACATGCAAGTAGGTACATCTCCACCTACAGTACCGACTACAATCACCTGCACTAGAGGCCAATATGCAGATGGAAGGAGCAAGTCACCTATGTCAGGTCCTTCGTACCTACCTTAATCGTGTAGTGTGCAGTGCACAAGAAAAGAGGACAACGACTGAGCGGAAAGTGGACGCCCGGACAGTTGTTTTCCGACTCCTGCCCTTTTCTGTCAACAGCATGGCGATCTATCGTGTGCAGCTGTGGACTTGTGAGCGTTCCTTTTGTCACGACAGCCCTGCTCGTCAGACTCAGTTTCATCGCTTGGGTGCGCTGGATGCAGTACGCACTACGCGGTATGTTAAGGTACTTAGTCAGGTAATCTTCAATGCCCGACATGTAGAACTCTTTCCGCACTCTCCTACCGCCTGCGTGTGCATGAATTTAAAGTTTTTTTTTTGATTCAAAACAAGTTCGTCTTCGTATCGTCTCGTACATATCAAGACTCCCGTCGGATTCGGAACTTCTTGTATTGCATCTCCGTGTCCGTGTGAAGACTGCTGTTAAATATGTGTATGTATATATATGGCAGGTGTGAGAGCCCTCCGTTCCATCTTCAGCCTTTTTCTTTTTCCAGCAGTCCCACGCTACTGCCCCTGTCCAGGTATACCTAGTACGGAACACCCCCTTCAGTCCGACTCCGCCCTAGGATATCGCTGAAAATCGGTGGTAAGAGGTACCTATCTGACTGACATCTCGATCGCACCTGGACCCGTTGTTGTCACCTGCCTCCCAGCTAGGTTTTGAAAATGTACCGCCCGCTCACCACCGAAGAATACTTACCCCCATTCCCAAAGCCACCGAACGGCCGGACTCCAACGATCCCACCTGGCAGATTCGACATAAATCGGCCATAACATAACCCAGATCAGACTCCCGCCTCCACTGCCCGTGCCTCTGCTGTCATCCCCGTCTCCCCGTCCTCCAGTCCACCAGGCAGACCGGGAGCCTAGTCTAGTACAAGTACCTGGCTAGTCTAGGTCGCCCAATTACTAACCAAGAACAACTTCCGTCCAACAACTTGAACACCCGACTCCCACATTCAGGTTGTTGTTCGCCTTCCGCCCCTGCCGCCGCCGCTCCACGCTCCGCCCCCTCCCCATTCCCCAGTCTTCCATCCCGTCCGCTGCCTCTGACAACCACAAAAAAACTGGCTTGGTCATTCCGCCGACCCCTTCCTTCCCTTTGCCAGGGACTCGAACGCATTCAAAACTTGCAAACATCCAGTCCAGCCCACGCCATTTCTCCCCTTGCCCTTCTTTCTTCAACTCGACAGGGCTACGCTGGGCAATCATTTACTTCGACCTGACTCGACACAGACACGCGCGAACAGACCCTCTTCTGTCAACGTCAGCAACGTCAACGTCAACCCTGCCTCTTCGTCGGTCACGGCACGCCATGCGTTCGTGGCAATTAGCACTCTAAAATCCCGTTTGCTTGCCTGCCATCGCGTAAAGGGGATTTTACTACCGACAACACGCGTGTGGCGACCACCCACGCAGCCGCGACTTGGAACGCGTTGAAAGCACCACAACCAGCATCTCCGATACAGTCCGAATAAGGCTTTCACCTTGTTTGAACAGGAATCCTTCGTTGTGCCCCCCAGGGTCGTCAACCTCTATCTCAACCTCAGCCTATTCAGCCCATCCCGGACTTTGCCAATTTTTTTTTGTACCTCTACCGGCCGAGATCCAACTTTTCCGTTCGTCGTTCGATCGACTCCTTTTAACCACGAACGTTGGGGCGACGTCGACAAACGATGCCTTTCGAATTTGATGGTCCACGACCGACAACACTTCAATCTGCAAACATGAGTTCTCCTACACCTACTCAAAAGACCATCGCGGATCGCCCACCACGATCGAAGCAGCGGGTTTCGATGACGTGGGCCGAAGAAGATGACCCTTCCTCGAAAACTCGCACTCTCACGCTTTCCGAGCAATACGTAGAGACGAAGACGGTCACGACTACAACGACTACTCAGCGAAGATTTTCTCCCATCCAGATCCGAGAACCACAAATGCTCGACCCCAAAGAATACCCGCTCGCTGCACAGCCAACGCCCATGTTTCTGAAAAATTTCTCGTCCACGTATACTGTTCCTCAAGGATCTCAAAACAATGGTCAAATATGGTCTCCAGTTGGCGGGTTTGGTGTCGATGGAAACTCCTCTCAACATCGGGTAGAGAATATCGACTACATCGAGGAGCCAACAGTCGAGAGTGGTGGGTCTCTTACCCCTTCTTTGATCCAGCGACGCCCGCAACCCAAACGACTTCAGAGATCTAGCAGTCGGTTCGAGTCTCCCAACAACAGCCCTTTGCCGAGATCTACGGCCAGACTAGGTGTGCTTACTTCCGATACCGAGCTTCGTCGCGCACTGGCAAAGGGGCCACGCCTTCAACGCTCCCCCCGGACGGATACAGATTATTTGGCAACGCCTGATGAGGCCGAAAGAGATAGCGGTGATTTTGACCATGATGCCCCAGCGCTTCAGCTCGTGAACACGACGGAAGCTGAGACAAGCCAGTCAACCACTTATGATGACGCAGAGAGCCAGGCTGGCAGCGAGACTCAGACCGTCTTCAGCGCGGTTGCTACGCCCCCCGTTACGGATGTCGAATTTCAACCCGCTGCCGATTACGATGAGCCTCTTCAACAAACGGTTAGGGGACTGCACGCGAGCCACGCCATTAGTGCAATAGCCGCACAAGACGTCAGTTTGCCTAGTCCGCGCCTCTCGCCTACGCTTGCTGCGGCTCAGCTACAGCTAGGACCTTCGGATGACGAAGGTGCTGATGACGAGGTCACAGCCTCTACTAATGCTTTTGGCCGTAGCGGCCCGAGTCAGTGGCTAGATGAGACACAAAGAACGGGTGATGCGGACGCTGAGATGGTTGATGATTCGCTTGTTCTATCACCAGGTCGTTGTGATCCTACCATTTCCCCGTCTCAGCTCGACGGAGCCTATCACCATACCCTGATGAACCCCGACATGATGATCGACAGCTTTGATGCTATGCCGACCCAAATGAAGTCTTGGATGATTTATCAACTTTTGCGTCGGTGCCCCCGGAAGACTCTTCAAGCGGTTGCTGATGTTGTCAACCCAGCCTTGAAGTGTGATTTCTTTCGACGTCTTCCTACCGAACTCAGTCTCCATATTCTCTCTTATCTGGATCACCGCGATCTTTGCCGGGCGGCACAAGTATCAAAACAGTGGCGTAATATCGTCGATAGCAATGAGACAGGTTGGAAGGAGCTGTTCGATCGGGATGGCTTTCAACTTGCTCCTGGCGAGCTTCAAAAGGCCATCGCTCAAGGGTGGGGTTGGCAGGATCCCGTTGGCGCGTTGGAAGGCGAGGTTGACCTGAGCCAGCATTCTAAACTGACATCAAGCGAGTCGGAACTGTTCAAGTCTGCAGTCAAGTCTGAGAAATCAGATAAGGCCGATGCCAGCCCTACTCCCAGGACAAGATCTTCGAAGCGCAAGCGCCACGCAGGCTACACGAACACTGAAAGATCCAAGCGTCGTGTCAGCTTTCAGGATTTCAGAGAAAGGTTTCACCAGACACACAGGTCGGAGGGACCCATGTCAGCCGCTAATGCCGCAGCTTTGGCCGTTCCAGATCCCCAGATTGGGCTTCCAAGCCTACGTCGGCTTCACCTCTACAAGTCTCTGTACAGGAGACACTACATGATTCGCCAGAACTGGACCAGCGGGAAGGTTAGGCCCAGTCACGTTGCCTTTGCGGCGCACCCTCGCCATGTCATAACCTGCCTGCAGTTCGACGAGGACAAAATCATCACCGGTAGTGACGACACGCTAATTCATGTCTACGACACTAAAACCGGTAAGCTGCGCACGAAACTCGAGGGCCATGAAGGCGGAGTCTGGGCTCTTCAATACGTTGGGAACACCCTGGTTTCGGGTAGTACCGACCGGTCTGTCCGTGTCTGGGATATCCAAAAGGGTATTTGTACTCAAACATTCTATGGGCACACGTCCACGGTCCGATGTCTGCAAATCCTCATGCCGACGGAGACCGGGGAAGTTAAGAACGGCGAGCCGATCATGATGCCCGAGAAGCCCTTGATCATTACCGGGTCTAGGGATAGCCAGCTGCGCGTCTGGCGCCTTCCGGAGCCGGGTTCTCGCCGGTACATTATGAACGGGCCTGCCGCTAATGAAGAAAACTGCCCCTATTTTGTCCGTATTCTTTCCGGACACGCCCACTCTGTCAGGTCCATTTCGGCTCACGGGGATACTCTGGTTTCGGGCAGCTACGACAGCACCGTGCGTGTGTGGCGCATCAGCACGGGCCAGCAGCTCCATGTTCTGTCCGGCCACAATCAAAAGGTTTACTCGGTCGTCTTGGACCACAAGCGGAATCGGTGCATTTCTGGCTCGATGGATAGCTTCGTCAAGATCTGGGATCTCGACACTGGTGCATGCTTGTACACCTTGGAAGGGCACAGCTTGCTAGTTGGACTTCTCGACTTGCGTGACGAAAAGTTGGTCTCGGCTGCGGCGGACAGCACGCTGCGCATCTGGGACCCTGAGAACGGAAAATGTAAGCACACTTTGATGGCTCACACCGGAGCGATCACGTGTTTCCAACATGATGGCCGCAAAGTCATCTCTGGGAGCGAGAAGACCGTCAAAATGTGGGATGTTCAAACGGGCGAATGCATGCAGGATCTTTTGACAGACCTCAGCGGGGTCTGGCAAGTAAAGTTTGATGAAAGGCGGTGCGTTGCGGCGGTGCAGCGTGGCAATTTGACTTACGTCGAGGTATGTGCCAATCTCCTTAGCAGCGGCATAACGCCGGACGCGCACATGAGCTGACTCGAAGGTTTTTAGATTCTTGATTTTGGGGCTGTCCGAGACGGAGCTCCGCCCGAGGAACTCGGCAAACGTAAGCTCCTCAATGAGGCAGAAGTCCAACAACTCTTGCTTGCAGAAGGCGAATAATTCGGACAGAAGAACTACGCATCAACGACAACGCCAGCGGTCATGGAAGCATGGACTTGAACTTGGCTTTTATACAGTCAACCTGTCAGCGAAATGCGGCACCCTCAAAATAGAAACCCAATCAACAGCCCACTGGAAAGAAGGGCATATCAGGGTGGAAAGGTCGGCGCGCGCAAGAGTAACTTCTTCAGAAGTTGGACAGCCACTGCTCGTCTTAGGACGCTATTTCAAAGCCCAGGCCAGCCCGGGTCTGGGTCTCTCTCCACGTTACCGGATTATTTTTTTATTTCTCTTTCTTTTTTTCTCAAAAAGCCATGATCATTTTCGATGACTTGCTAGGTGTGTATGGGACATGAACGGAAACCACTCAAGGGCAAATGGGCGAAACAAAGCGAACGGAGTCAGGGAACACACGTTTTTGTGCGGAATATCGCACATCAATCATCAGCATTTCAAGGTGTTGGGAGCCCGGTCATTCTCAAAGGTTTTTCCATGGAACGTTTTCTCTCTTCATAATTTTCTTTGTACTTTGTTCTTCTCTTGTTCTCCGGCGTTAGCATGTCAATTTCATGTTTTACATACTAGTCTCGTCGATGGCATTCGATCGATATTTACCTACATCGATTGCGTCTTTCGCCTTTCAGTTTTGCCATTTCTAGTTCATTGGAATGAAAAAAAGGAGGAAAATTCAATCCAGACCTGGGAGCGTAGGGTATAGTTGCCCATTCGTACAAGAGCGTCACATTAAATCCGTTCAAAACTTTCGTTCGCGGTCTACACAGTCGCTTTTAATAGTAGTCCCTTCATCTCAAAATGTGGGATGGGGTGGAGTGGCGGTTCATCATTATCAAGTGAACTCACACGTGTAGGAGGAAGAGCGAGGGCAGGTGAAAATACAGTCGTCTTAAAGTTAAAAGCGATCTACGATGGCGATCACTGATGTGGTGGTTCATAGTAATGATGGCGTCGTTGCAGCTGTCAGAGTGTACACAGTTGGCCTTGGCGTTTCTTAATTTTATCGTTATCTCACAGTTTGCACAGGCAAGGGTTACATAGCAACTTTATGGTTTCTGAAGATAACCTGTTTCATGCTTGTGATTTCTTGTTGGGGGTGCCTAGCTCCGATGTGCCTAAACAGCGAACGTGACAGCCAGGAAGAGACTAAGAAACCCTGAAAAAAAAAAAAAAATGGTATGATAACGGCCACGAGCCAACACATGCAAGCCCATCAAGACGTGCACATGCGGCTCAAGTTGAACGAGCTGCCGATTCCGTTCTATATTAATAGGTAATTTTGTGTTTCTGTCTCATTATTTAGGTACATACTGTGTCAATAATGATGAAGTCGAGCCAGTCGACGTGTTGGTTGTATGCATGTATAAACCATAATTCCTCGTCATCATGACTTCTCAAAAACACCATGGCAGAGTCACTCATGTAAGTACCCACTCATGTACCTAGGTAGAGACCGAATATTTCGTTCCATGCCGACCATACCAGAAATTTGACCAGAAAAAGTAAAGCAAAAGGCAGAAACTGGGAGTGTCCTCAGTGCAATCAGGGAGGCACGCACGACCGACGTCCATCAGTGCCCCGTCTCCAAAATGCAGTGTTATTTTTCGCTCCCAGTGAGTGGATCCATATGCAGCAGGAGCAACACGGTTGCCAAGAAAAAAGTAAGAGTGTATGCAACAAAATTGGTGGTGCGTAAGTATCGATGCAGTGGCTTGTCCATTCGATTTCAAACAACTTGAACCTAACGGCTGCATCGGCCAACTACCGTGCATAGGCCTCGCTGCATAGAGGTATATGCAATGAAAGTCTTCCAATCATGGTTTGGATTTTGGACCTCTCATCTCAACCAAGGTTAAGGTCAAGGCCAAGACCAAGGTCTATATCTAGGAGGGTTCCTCCCTCCTTTTTGTTCTCCTCCTTTTCCGTTTGTTGTTGCTTCTCCGTCCCTGACTCAGAGATAGAATCATTGCTCTTCTCTTGTCCTTCATTAGAGGTACTGATCTTCTTGGCTTTGTCGGGATCTTCTTGATTGCTATTTCCCCAGTTCCAAGGATTGCCCCATCCCATGCCCATGCCCCAGCTGTGATCTGCAGAGGAAGGAGCATGGGTGAGTGAGATTGTTGATGTCGGGGTATTATCAATTATGGGTTGGGTAGTGGTGGTGGATACCCAAGTGGTGAGGAAGCTGGTTCCCGTTGAGTGAGAGGATGAGCAAGGAGATGTTGAAGAAGATGTGGAAGTGGAAGTGGAAGTGGTTGAGTTTGACGAGCAGCGGGTGGTGATGGTTGACCATTTTGGTATTTGCCAGGTTGTTATTGTTGTAGGAGGAATTATCACGGCCGGGGAGGTGCTGGTGGCAGAAGCACAAGGGGTTGTAGTTGGGGATGTAGTGGTGGTGGTGGTGGTGCAAGGCGTTGGCTTATTCTCACTGTGGATATGAGTTGAAGTGGTCGTAGTCCAGGTGGAGGATGACCTTGAAGTCAAAGTCGAACACGGAAGCGACACGCTCTGCACCCCCACAGGAACAGTGACAGTCGTGTTCGGCTGCCAGTTCGGCCTTGGATCGGGGTGATAAGGCGGATGAGGATGAGGGTCGAAATGAGGCCATTGAGGCTTGGGCCAAGTAGGTGGGCCGTTATGTTCACTCCAGGGATCCAAAGGTGTCGTAGACGTGGTTACTGGTCTTTCCCACGATGTTGATGTCGATGTCGATGTTGACGTTGACGTTGACCAAGAGGATGAGGTAGGCCAAGAAGATGGTGTAGGTCTCCAGCGGTTGTCACCACCACCAGACATGGTAACAGTCACGGTGACCAAACTCAGTCCATCCCGATCAACACTAACACTGGGATTGGGATGAGATGCCCAGTCCGAATGTCTCCACCCATCTTCCGGATGAGGCCAACCATTCCCATTGTGAGGGTGGCTGAAACCAGGTGCTGGTCGAGTGACAGTAACCACCGAAAGCGAAACCATCGTCGACGCGGGGGCTGATGCTGGACCAGCAGGCTCAGTAATAGTAACTATTTGAACCAGCGGACCCCTATCCGGTCCCCAAGCCGAACCTTCGTCGTCATGGTTAGGGAGTCCATGACCCCATTCAGCCCCAGTCCCGGCGTCAGGCCCCCAGCTGGGTTGCGGTTGCCCCTGCAGTTGCTGTTGAGGACCAGGATAAGCGGTAACCGCAACAGTTTGGATCGTCTGGATCTCAGCCGGCTGAGACCATACCGCAAAAGGCGGTACACGAAGTCCAGCTTCGGTGACAGTAACCGTCACTACTCCATTCTGTGAAGATGAGGGCGTGGGGAAGGACAAGGTTGAGGATGTGATAGTAATTGTCTCTACTGATAAAGCGGTAACTGTTACTGTCGAGGTTGAATCCCCGCATGGCGATGGCGGTACTTTCGGAGGGTAAAAGTTGCCGTTCTGAGGGGGCTGGTGGGGAATACTTTGGACTTGGACGGGTAGAGCCCACGCCAGGAGGGCAAGAGAGAGAAGTGAAGAGGACATTATTATGGGTAGAAGAAACTCAAGACACCGGGTATTGAGCTGGTGGTTATTTGGTATGGTTAAGGAAATGAGGTCATTATGGGGGTGGATGATGTGGGATTTATACAGCTTGTCATTGACGACTTGGGACATCTTTCACTTCTGCCTCTTTGGGTTCTTTGGACGTGGGGAGGGAGCCCGGCGGAACATTGTGGTAAGGGAGCTTCATTGAAGTAACGATACTGATAGTTTTCTAGTAGCACGCAGGGTCACTTGAGTTATACCCTTGATAACGAGGAGGGATTCTTCAACTGTTCACGATCTCTTCAACGTGAAGAAACCGACACTGAAGATGGACACTTCTTCCGGTCGGTTCTTTGGCAAATGGAAGCCACTTGATCAGTAATGAATATGAGATATTGACAATCCCAAAGTAAGGGTGAGAAATCACTAGAGCGCAGAAGGCGATATTGCTGATAATATTTCCGAGTGTCTTTCCAGAGTTGAAGGGAAAAGTCAAAGTTGGAAGTTGTCTCAGGAGTTGTCGTTAACATCCCTGTCCCACCAAGCCCCACAGGCACCGGGGAAGTCCCCACAGCAAGTGCCAGGGAACATTTCATTGACGTGCGTGGGCGTCCCTTGCAGGGGCAGCAGGGCTGAAATTAGGTGGGTGACTGCGGCAGCAGCGCGACCGCCGCCCGCTGTGGGACAAGCAAATTCCATTCATTTGACGAGTGCCCCCTGGACGCCGGGCGGCGGGCCGGGGGTGGTGCTAGCTCGAGCCCGCCACTACCATAGGTGCCAGGAGCATCCAACTTTCCGGTTTCCGGTTTCCTGTCCTGACTGAGGTGCTACCACCCAATTCCCGTCCGGCAACCTAAGTAACGTCGCCTTTCCTGGTCGCCGATAACCTCTATCGCAGAGGTACACGATACCGTTCGACACCGACACCACCCCGTTTCCCGCTCCTTTCCTCGGCAGGAGAAATCCGATGCTATACACCCTCTTCAAGTCGATTCGCAGGCGGTGACTAGTCACCCTCAACATGGCAAGTAGGACGAGGGCGGGTTCCCTTGGGTCGATCGAGTCCAAGCACGGCTTGATCGGGTCCGTTTCGAGGTGGTGGACGGTACGTGATGGTTTCATTTTTATGGCAAGGACTGGAGTAGATGCTAACCAAGACACTTTTGTATGTACAGAGATCATACACCTCGGACTGGGTCGCTTTCTCCCTCCTCCTCGTCGGATACATCTACATCGCCGCTTTCGTCGAGCCTTTTCACCGATTATTTACCATTAATGATATTCGGATTTCGTTTCCTCATGCTGAGGTGGAGCGGGTGCCTCTCGGTATGTTTTTGCCCTTTTGCCCTTCTGCCCTTTTTGCCCTTCTCCGTCCCTTTCCAGTCTTTGCTCCTTCCCCTCCCCTCGCCCATCCCTTCCAGCTTCCCTATGCCCCTCCCTTTCCAGTTTAACTATAGTACTAACTTTACGTCCAACCAACAGCCCACCTCTTCGGCTACGTCCTCTTCCTCCCTCTGGCCCTCCTCACCCTAACCAACTACCTCCTCTCCTCCCCGCGGCACATCCATCATCTCACCACTTTAGGTTTCCTAACCTCCATAATCCTCACCACCTTCCTCACGGACCTCATCAAAAACATGGTCGGCCGCCCTCGCCCTGACCTGATCGATCGATGCCAACCCGACCCTTCCACCCCTCCAAACAAACTAGTCAGTGTCGAGGTATGCACGCAGACAGACCACCACACCCTGCACGACGGCTGGCGCAGTTTTCCCAGTGGGCACAGTAGTTTTGCGTTTTCCGGGTTAGGGTACCTGGCGCTTTTCTGGTGCGGGCAGTTCAGAGTGTTTGCGAGCAGTTCTTCTCCTCTGTCTTCTTCTCCTGGAATCATGGAGGGCATGGAAAAAGTGCTGGTTCGTCGGGATCTACTCAAGGCGTTACTTTGCCTCAGTCCGTTGCTGGGAGCGTTGATGATTGCTATTAGCAGGTGCATGGATTACCGACATGATGTGGAGGATGTCTGTGTGGGCGCGGTCATGGGATGGGTGATTACGTATTGGAGTTATCGGCGGTATTGGCCGAGGTTGAGCAGTGTGAGGAGTGAGGAGCCTTATTCGGGGATGACGGGGGAGCGGGACGGAGAGGGGGTTCAGAGTAGTGGGAGGTATGGGAGGGTGAGGGATGAGGAGGAGGGGGTCATCGGAGGAGGGTTTCAGCGAAATGTAGGAACGTTTGATTTGACTGCCCCGGTGGAGTTGGCACCTTTGGAGAGCCCTCGATGATGAGTGGATGAAGGCTAACTTGGATGGTTTCCGTAGATATCTTAATTTGATACTATAATGTATCTTGCTTGCGCCAGATGTGCGTCTAACACTTTGAACTTTTGCCTTGTTCAAATATGGCAACTTTCGAGCACGGGGAACGTCAAAGAGCATATAGCTGGGAGCTTGGGACCAACGTTTGTCTGTCCATTTCATCATTTGGCGTACCATGGTCATTCCTTGTATTAGTACAGAAAGCGCTCTCTAGACTAAACGCAGGCCGGCTTTCCGCTCTGTTCCACATCCAGAACTATGCGTGACATTCATCCTTCTTACTTGTCTTCCGTGTTGTCGTCCTTCGCCAAGTCGTGTTCCTTCAATAGCGCCGTGATCTCGTCGGCGCTCCATAGCCTGTGGTAGATCTTGCCGTCCTTGGTCTGGCCAACCGTCGCAAACTCGACTGTTACAAAAACATTAGCATGCTTTCATCCATGACCGCAATAGCGCCAACACTCACTCTTCTCCGGGCTCAGCTTGGTCGAGTCCATGGTCTTGCTCAACACCTTGACGGCCATGGCGCACGCCTCCTTGAGCGTGCAGTCCTCCTTGTAATCCTGCTTCAGCAAGCTCTGGGCGCTCGCATTGTTGGCGCCCGCACTGGTCGCCTTCCAGCCACCGTAGTTGCCCGAGGGGTTGCTGAGGTAGAGCTGGAACTGGCGCTGGGGATCCCAGCCGGCGTAGATGAAGGAAACGCCAAAGGGACGGAGACCACCATGTTGTGTGTAACCTTGCTTGAGATCGCAGAGACGGCGCACTAGCTGCTCGCAGGGGATGTCCTCGTTGTAGGTCAAAAGATAGCGTTGGGCGGCTTGTCGGGCGTAGTTGATGAGGATGTTGGCATCGGCTGTCATGCCGGCGACGGCGCAGATCATGTTGCTGGAGGGCAGCGACGAGGTTAGCGTCTGTATGACCTTAAGTAAGAAAGGAATGCGCCTACTCGTTGAGAATGTAGAGCTTCTCGGCCGATGTGTCTTGCTCGAGGAGCTTGGAGGTGACCTTGCGCTCAGCAGCTAGGACGATGCCATCCTTGGCGAGGATACCGATGGCGGTACCGGCATGGGAAATGGCTTCAAGAGCATATTCGACCTGGTACAGACGACCTTCGGGGGAGAAGATGGTTGTCTATGAGAAAGGCGTGTCAGTCTATGTGCGAACCCCCAAAAGCTTTAAACAAGCTGCCATCACCACACCACCACTGCTACCCCCCCTCCTTCGCCCACTACTTGTCGATATGTAAGGTAACCAGGCGGCGGCGGGCTGACGGGCCACTGCCCACTTACTCGGGAATCGTATCTTCTCGCCATGATTTAATTCGATACAGCGATCACTTGTTGAAATCTGTCTGGTTCGTGGTCTGTCGTTCGCAAGCGCCAACCTAGTGCTTGTCTTTTGCGTCGTCGTGGTGCCGTGATGTTGTTTTGGTTTGGTTTGTATTCCTTCAACAAACTGGAAGCGGGATGGAGGGCGGAAGGCGGAAGGCGGAAGGCTTGACGCTGAGGTGCAGCAGCGCAGTGGACTTCGTTAGTTCCTTCAACAGTGCTGTCGGGTCAGGTCGCCCTGGAGCTCCAGGCAAGCAAGCATCCAACGCGTCACCTATGGTCGGGCAGGTACCTAAGCTAAGGTACCTCCTTGACACGGAAGAAGGTCCAGATTACCTCTACAAGGTTGCCCGCTCGCCAGCTGCCAACTGCCTGCCGGGGTCTCTGGATAAGGTACTGATAGGACTCCCGTCTGACGTCTTATCCAATGTCCACTCAGAGCCTCAGCGCCCGAGATCACCCCGCTTTCCCGCTCCGGCAGGGTTCCATGGAGAGAGTCCCGCTGTTAAGCTTGCAGTACGCAGCTTGACTGGCTGATTAACAATTATCGCTGGAGGTAAGCGGGCAATCGGTACAAGAGATCTGGTCGCCGCCTCCACCTCAGCAAACTCCTCTCCTTCCAACCTCCACAATTCCGTCACTCAGTCGCGACACGGCTGCTTTCTTTCTCTCTTCCATTCCGTTTCAGCGACCTCTTCCTCTCTGAACACCTCTCGGCAATCCGACTTGACTACTACCACACCACTCCCCAGTCTTGTCGCCCAACTATCTCGTGCTGTGCTGTCTGTCGGCTAACAACACCCATACTCTAAATCGCCGACGCGTTATTCATCTCTCGACATCCAGTGTGCTCCCGGTCACGCGAGGGTCCCCGACGATCCCTCCGCATTCTACCTACACTACAGTACTCGTCGACCTTCTAACGGTCCCGCGTGGAGCTTGGGCCCCTCTCTGACTGAAGGCAGACGGGAAGGACTGACACCAACATTCTGACTGCAACGACCAACACCATCCAACAGTACCTATCCATCCAACTGCCGGAGAAGAAGAAGAAGCAGCAACAAGGCGACCAACAAGCAAAACAGCAGGCATCAACACTTTGCCTTGCGCAAACCAGGAGGGTCATAATTTGAGGATTGCTAGGTCTAGCTGCTGCAAGAATCTCGCCTGCCAGCGACACATAGCTTCAGGATCATTTTCTTCGTTCTTTTGTTGTTGTTGAGACAGCCCTCCTCTGTCCGGGTAGTCACTGTCGCCATCGTTGCTAGCTCTACCTACTTTCACACGCGTAAAATATCTTTCTCTCGCTGTCTAATGCCCGCATGAGGATCCGCTCTCCACACGCATGTCTTGAGCCATCTGCAGTAGACCGCGCGCGCGTCAGACAAAGTGGAAAGCCCTCCCAATTGTATCCGAACAAGGCTGGAAAGTTCGCTGTCCACTGAGCCCGTACCTACTACATACCCCAAAGTTACCCGACCTGACCATTGTCGAGAACCGCCATCATGTCTGGTAAGCTACGCAGTCACCATGTTTCATTTTCGTCTCGCAACAGCATCAACCAACCAAGCTAGCGCCAACGCCAGCGCCAGCTACCAACTCTCCATGCCATTTTCAGATACCGAGCCGTTCAGCCCTTCGTGACTTGAAAGCTAACCACGAAACACCTGATGCTAGAACCCGAGCCGCGCCGATCGGTTAGAGCCACCAAGGGCCAACACAAGGCCCTGGAACAGCTCGACCAAATCGACATCCCCAAGAAGCGCGGAAAGAAGGCCGCCAAGAAGGCGGTCCCCGAGCCAGAAGAGCCCGAGGAAGAAATCATCCGATGTGTCTGCGGCGCCACCGAACAAGATGAGGATTCCGGCGAGCCCTGGATTGCCTGCGACATGTGCGGCGCCTGGCAGCACAACATCTGCATGGGCATGAGCCAGTATAGCGAAGATCTACCTAAGGAGTATTTTTGCGAGCTCTGCAAGCCCGAGAACCACCAGGAACTGCTCAATGGCATGAAGAACGGCGAGAGGCCCTGGGAGGCCAGGCGCAAAGCCTTCGAGGAGGAAAAGGCAGAGAAGCGGAGAAGAGGCAACAAGAAGAAATCCAAGAGGGTGAGCGACCACAAGGAAGAAAGCGCCCAGGTCTCCCAGAAGCCAAAGCCATCTCCGGTACCAGAGCCCAAGAAGGATGCCAAGAGCGCCGCTGGACAGAAGCGCAAGACGACAGAACCGGTGCCAGAGAAGGAGCCCAAGGTACGTCACGTTTATTCTCACTCCTCTTCTCTTCATGACGCTGACTAATTCTTCCGTACAGCAAAAGGTCCGAAAGGTCACAGAAACCCAACCTCCATCTCTTTCGTCATACAAGGCCCCGGATGACATCGCTGGAAAGATCAGTGAGCTACCAGAGCTCCGGCAAGGCGCCGCCAAGCTCCTTTCTAAATCTCTTGTGCACTCTATTGGAGTTGCCGAGAAGAAGGGCGTGTCGATTCCTTCCGAAGGCGTCTCAGCTACCGCCGAGCGTTTAGCTATCCAGATTGAGCGTGCTGTCCACGATTCGCACCAACCCACTGCCTATAGCGGCCAGATGCGGACATTAAGTTACAACCTCAAGACCAACCAAGACCTTACTACCGGCCTGCTTGGCGGCACCCTTACTCCTACCATGTTGGCTTCCATGACAACAGAGGAGCTGGCAACAAAGGAGCTGCAGAAAGAGACCGCCGAGATGAAGGCCAGGGCAGAGAAGCAGTCCATTATGATCACCGAGGATGTCCCCAGGATACGAAAGACGCACAAGGGCGAGGAAGTTATTGGGGACGAAAGTTTCAACCTTTCGACTGATGTTTCCTCCGCCCCCGTACGTAGGCCGCCCCAGGATACAGCTGAGCCCCCGAAAAAACGCGTTAAGGAAGAGGGTCCGGAGAAGGCCGCTCAGGGGACGGCTTCGAAGCGGTCTTCGAGGGATCTGACAGTGGACACGCAAAAGTCGCCTAGCACAGGGAACTTTGATATCAACAAGGTCTTCTCAAGTGTTAGGTCGCCTACTCAGTCTCACCACAGACGTCCATCCGCCATGTCTACTTCAACAGGACCTGGGGTTGATGCTGATGTGGATCGTCTTTTGGATGACGGCACCCAGTCTCCGCCTTACTCGCCCAAAGAAGAGATCCTTGACCCCGACGTGGTGTGGAAGGGAAATTTGGTGATGAATACCATTGCTGACTTCCAAGTGACGGCCAAGCATATTGGAGGCGCCAAACTCAAGGAGTCAATCGGCTTGGAATGGGACAAGTTGATGCCCAAGACTCTTACAGTTTGCGGACGGATTGACGAACAACAGGCTATTGTCTACCTCTGTAGTCTGAGGTATAGTCTTCCCACTGATGTGGTAGTAGTGAACTTACAGCCCACGTCGGCGGCCTCGAAGCCGCAGTTCCAACGCCTGGTCGACTACTTTGTGTCCAAGAAGCGATACGGAGTCATAGGAGACAGAGGGGTAGCGAACGTCCGCGACACCTACCTCGTTCCCGTGCTTCCCGGCACAGGTCAATACCCAGAGTTTATGCTCAACCTGGCGGACAACCACATTCCCGAGACGAGGACAGAGCCAATGTTGCTCGCCGTATTTGTCTACCGTAACGATCCCGATACTATCATGCGGCTACATGGGACTAATGACTATAACCAAGTAGTGGCAAACCAGTCCACAAAGGTCCACACCAGCTTCGCCAATACACCGGCGCCATCATCGCCAGCGCTGGCGAACCTTCCCCCGGGCCATCGACCTTCGCTCTCGACGCCCGCTTTCTCACCAACATCTCCACAGGGCACATTCCCCAATTACCCAACTCCTAGGCACAGTAGCACCCCTTCCCAAGTGCCACCGCAGCAGCAACCGCAGCCAACACCACCAGCCCAGCATTCAGTGAGCCAGATGCAGCATCCCGCCGTGGATCAAGTGCAAAAACAAGGCGAGGCCATTGCTAGAGAAGTACTGGGCTCTCTCATCACCAGCCCGACGGTTGCCTTCTTGTTGCCTCAGGCCCACAAGATGTCCCGGAAGGAATGGGAAGTGATCAAGAAAATCTACGAGCGGGATCCCAAGGCTCGCGACGACCTCCCTTACCTTAGCAATGTTTTGGAAAGGGAAAGCACAAATGCGCAGGCCAAGGCGGCTCAAGCTCAGCAGCAATCCCAGCAGCATCCGGTCCATCAACAGCACCAGAATCAACACCAACAGATGCATCATCAGCCTCACCACCAACAACATCATCCACAGCATCAGGTTCAGCAGCAGCAGCAGCAGCAGCATCTGCCGCAGCATCCGCCCCAACATCAACCACACAATCAGGCTCATTTTCAGCCTCAGCCTCAGCATCAACAGCAACACCAAGCTCATCACCCACCCCATCATCAGCCTCAGCACCAGTCACAGCAGCAGGCCCATCATCAACCTCATCCCGCTCCACCGCAGCATCATCAACAACAGCAGCAGCAACAGCAACACCCATCAAAACATCAAGCTCAGCATCCACCTCAGCATACTCCTCAGCATCAACCGCAGCACCAGTCCCCTGCTCAACAACCGCAAGCAGCCTACCCGCCCCAACCGGCCTCTCATCATCCTCAACCACCTCAACAGCAGCAGCATCAACCACCGCAACCGCAGCACGCGCAGCCTCACCCACAGGCCCAGCCCCAGCAAGCTCATCCACAGCACCACCAACAACACTTCACCCCGCCGGTGCGAACCACTCCTATTCCTCCCCCGCCCATCCCACCGGTAACTTCTGGCTCGGGTGGCCCCATTAAGCAAACGCCCATCCCGCCTCCGCCGATTCCTCCCCAGGCTGCCACAGCAGCAACCGGTCCTCCTTCCGCCTAGAGGGGCGACGGACAGCGGACAAACCACCCGGACTCAGCAGCAGCGGTCAGGAATAGTAGTAGTAGCAATAGTACGAGGCCTGCAGCAGCGACAAAGCAAAGTGACAAGAAACCACCGCCGAGCACACCGCGAAGGGAGGAGGGGGAGAGGGGTTCAATTTTAGGAACTGGAACAGGATCAGGAGCGTCAAGATCAAAAGTGGCAACGACATCGGCCTCAACAAATAAGCCGGCGCTGCCACCGCTTGATACCGATTTCGATCATCATCTCGACCGTCGTCCTCATTTCCCCCCTCATCAACATTCTCATACAACAAACCCTTCGCCGCGGAGTCCGTTGGTTGCCGCTAGTCCGGTAGTTGATCATCGAAGAAGAAGAAGAAGTAGCACTGCAGCCAGCAGTGCAGCCGGTAGCATATTAGGTGGTTTCGGGGGTGGTGGAAGTAGCATAGCAGGCGGAAGCAGACATCAATCTCCCTCGGCCAACTCGGTTGCGTCATCTATTCGATCATCTGTCTTGGGCTCAGCATCAACGGGTGCGAACCAAGCGACACCGGCCAGTAGACCAACGCCGAGGAGAAGGAGGTTGTTGTGTTTGCAGCCGGTGGAGAAGCAGACGAAGAAGAAGAAGAATCAGGCAAAGGACGTGATGGGGGGGTGGGATGTTGAGTCTGACTAGAAGCCGCGCGGTTAATGGGGTTGAAGTCAGTTGGTTTTTTGAGATTCGGAGGGGTGGAAGTTCGTCTTAGTCTGTTGTAAAGGGAGGAGGATAGGTATCAGAGATGGAGTTGTCGTGTAGGAAAGGGCAGTAAGAAAATGTTGCATGGTAGAGGTATGTTTACCTATTGGAAGCGGTCAACGAAACGTGAAGTGGAAAGGGGGGGAAAAGGAGGAAGAAAAATGAGACATCAAAAGGAAACTTCAGATTCAAGTTCGTTGGGGAGAAAGTGAAGATAAGGGGTTCTTTTTGTGGTTTTGGTTTTGGAGGGGCGTATTCTAGGTTATTTACGGTTACTAGGGGAGGGGGAGGAGTTAATCAGGCATCGTGATATGCCCGTTTTGGTCCCCTTGGTTTTCAAGTCAGTCATTGTTCTTGCTCGATATTTATTGCTGGTCACAAATTGTTGTTGTAGTAACTCTGGCTGTCTAAGTAGAGTTGTTCTCACTCACAGAATATCCTCTCCATTCTAGTCTACAGTAGTGATGTTGACTCTGGAATTTAGGAGGAAACGATCAAGTTCGGGACTTCATATTGGTTTCTTTATACTCATGTTTGGGTGGTTGACTGCAAACTGTTCATGTCAAGAGAATGTCTTTTCGCACTGCCACGAATATCTTCCTACACTGTTGTCTGGAAAAGAATTAAGTATAACTTAGCCAAAGGTAAAGCTACAAGCATACTAATGGTATCAGAATTTTTGTCATCTTTTTCTCTATAGAATGGTATTCCTATCGTAACTGTACACTGTTTCTAGACCTTCATAATCAAGAAGATATAAAAATGAGATTTAATTAACTTCAAGTATTATATCTTTACTTTCATGTCTTATGTGTGGGGATATGAAGGCGACGTGACCTTAGTAATATAGAGTAAAAAATACGGAAAATTCCAATACCATTACCCCTCTTGTACCCCCAACTTTGGCCAAGTTATACTTGATTCTTTTCCAAACGACAGTGTAGAAAGACATTCGTGGCAGTGCGAAAAGACATTCTCCATGTCAAAGCTATGATAACTCGTGGCTTCAGTTTGAGATAGAAAATGGAAATTGAATCTAGCGATTTGCTTGTGCCGGGTGGCGAAGTGAATAAATTGTGCTCATGTGATTTGCGAGTTGATTCATTGTCGGATGAGACTTTCCCGCTTTTGATGCCTTACTGAAGTGTACGAGTAGAGACCGCATTTCTTAAACTTGACGGACTGAGGTATATGTTTCCATGATCTCGAACTCTATCCATTGCTGGCATCTGCTCTCTCATAGCTTTTCAATAACCAAGTGGTCTTCTTCTCTCGGGGTATATCCACAACATCAACAAACATAAAACCAAAACACGCCATGCTCAATTTTTCCAGAACCAAACCCAACCCAACCCAAACATCCACATCCACATCCTCCCCCCTAAGACTAAGCAAACTCAGCATCCAAAACCCCCCACCCCATCCCCTCCCGTTCCCAATACCTCCTCTCCTCCTCCTCCGCCCCCTCACCATCCACACCCACCCTCCTATCCCCCACCGTCGTCCCTGTCCTCGCACCCACCGGTACTGGTACTGCTGCTGACCCATACCCCCCATCCCCATCCCCTACACCTGCCCCAGCAACATTAACATCAACAGCCGGGATCTCCACACTCCCCAACCCCTCCAACACCCTCCGTGCTTTCTCCGCCACCGCCCGATTCGCAGCCGTCTCTGCCCGCGTCTGATCCAATCGCTCCTGCATCAACTGAATCAATTGCTCACGAGCCTGATGCGGGCGATACTCGTTTAATACGTGGTGGAAGTTTAGAAACAAAGTGCGTAGGTCGGCGGCCTTTTGGGAGCCGGCGGCGGGGTCGAGGGACATGATCCCCAAAAGCTCGAGGAAGTTGAGGAGGAGGGACTTGGAGAGGCGTTTGAGGTGGAGGTGGAGGGTGTCGTGGGTTTGGGTGGAGGGGGCACCACTGGAGGTAGCGGGGGCTGTGATGGAAGTAGAAGGAGGAGGGAGAGGGAGTTGGGAGGTGGGTTGGGTGTCGTCAGTTGTTGGTTGGGTTGTTGATTGGCTGTCGGTGGTGGTTTGGGTGTCGGATGTGGTGGTTGAGCCCGGAAGGGGAGGGCCGAGACGTTCGATGCCGGCTGATTCGAGGGGTTGGAGGGATTCTTCTAGCTTTGAGGGAGTTAGTGACCATGTATATAACTGGAGAGGAGTGAGAATAGGCAAGACGTACAGACTGAGGTTCGCCGTATAGTCGCCATGTTCCATCCTTGGGCTCGGCTGGTGGTTGGAGGTATATGAGGTCTGAATCGGCAGGGAGATCGGGGACGCGGATGACGTCTTCGACGGGAATGCCGTGCTGAGAGGCATATTGCTGTTTGATTTCGGCGTAGGCTTGGAGATTGGATGGGGTGAAGGCTTTCCAGAAGAGAGGAGGGTCGGGGAAGAAGGAGGCGAGAGCCGAGTTGTCGTCTTCGGTGTCGGCCATGATGGTCTGCAATAGAGGGCGAGTGGTGTTTGGCGCGAGGTCGCGAAGGCGGTGCGCAGTGCTACTTTGGTGATGCGCCCGGTATTTTTATTGAGATTGGTGTTTTGTTCTGGCGTATTCAGGGTTAGAAGCGTCGGTGTTTGGGACAATCAATTGACTTGCAAGTGACGTTGCCGGGAAGACGAATGGTGGTCGCAGGCAACAGACGCGGCAAAGTCGCGGCAATCGATAAGAGCTCTCCACACTTGGAGCTTCCCCTTGCTCCAGCTTGAGGTACCTTGTACCCTTGCTTGCCTTAAAAGCTTAGGGTAGCTCCACAAGAAACATTGACGTCGCAGCCTCAACCGCATCGAGTCGCGATTCGCTCATGAGTTTCACTGACGACTTCACATTCCTAGCCCGAGTCTAAACATTGCACGACTGAACCTCTAGCGGCAACTTAATATCACATGCCTTGATGGGTTCAGATCTCGAAACACTCACCACTGCTTTCACCTCACTCTCACCTCTCCGGGTCACTTTGCGCTGCTCTCAGACTGCCATCTTCGTCTCACCCAAGACTAAGTAAACGATGGCTGACGTACGCGCCCTCTTACGCCAGCAGCGTGCCGCGCGCAGAATAGAACACCCACACGCTGCCTACACCGACGCCGGCAAGCTCGTCTGCGTCCTCTGTCGGGAACACATCAAGACCGAAGCTCTTTGGGATGGCCACATCCGCAACACCGCTCATCGTCAACGTCTACAAGCACTCCAACAGCAGCAACAGCAACAGACTGAAGCGCAAGATGAATCAACTGATCAATCTCACAAACGCAAATTCGACTTGCAAGATGACGACGAAGCCACCACCCCCGTCTCTACAGACGAGACCGACCGCGCATCCAAGCGCACCCGCCCCAACACTCTATCCCCCGAACCAGGACCGGCACCGCCAACATCCAACCCAGCGGAGGTCACCAAGCCACCAACCCTGACCCGGCAGCAGTCATTCACGCCAACAGCCGGCATCGAGCTCGCTATCCCTTCGCGGCCAGCAACGCCAGCAGATGCCACCACAACGCCCAATTCAGCCGGAGGACCACTGCGCCCCTTTTCACAATTATCCGAACAACAAAAATCGCAGCCACCAACTTCTCAATCAACTTTCACTCCCACCGCCACCACCTCTGCCCCAACCCCAACCTCAGCAGACGCCCCACAGGCACCACAAGCACCAGCAGTCGACGACGACCTCTGGGCCTCCTTCGAAGCCGATCTCCTCGCTACCCCCAGCCATAAACCTCCCCCAGCCGCCGCCCTAACAGGGGGAGAAGCCGTAATCTCAGCTGCACCCGTCTCAGCAGCACAGGCAGCAGCTGCCAAGTCCCATGACGAAGAGCAATCCCTTCGCCGAGCGGCCAAGGATATGGAGATTGAAGACGAGCGCGAAGAGGCCACGAGGGCGTTGGAGACCGAGTTTGAGGTTATGGAGGAGCTGGAGGCTAGGGCGAGGAGGTTGAGGGAGAGGAGGGAGGCGTTGAGGGCTGGAGGGAAGTTGGGTGGTGCTGGGCAAGGTGCGGAGACGGGGGCGGGCGTGGGACAAGGGGAAGGGATGATAGATACGCCGATGGGAGGAGGGGATAAGGATGTTGTTGGTGAGGGTGTGGCAAAGACGAGTGCTGCTGCTGCTGCTGTTTTGGCGGCGTTGGGGAAGGAGAATGCTGCAGGGACGACAAAAGGGAAAGTGGTGGAGGAGAATGAGGAGGAGGACGAGGATGACGAGGATGATGAGGACGATTGGGATGGGTTCCGGTTCCGTGCGTAGGACGCTTTTGGCTGCCGGCAATGGTAATGAAGGACGCGCAGATGGGCATCGTTGTTCCCGATTATCTTCTGTCCTTGCTACGGGAATACCACTTAGGTAGGCAGGTACATCTACGTGGTTGTTCTCAGGAGTAAGTTTGGACTCCTGAGATCCGCATCGATTACGAACGAAATGAATAAACCCCCGCGACTGAGAATATTGGGGACTATGAACCAACGTCCAGATGCCAGACAAACCGCAAACACTTTGGTTGGCTTCCAACCACCAATTCGAACACGGGATGGATGAACACAATTGCACAAAAGGCCAAACCATCAACAAGTGCCTCTGTTCACCTAGATCCCAACTGTCATCCGGCTTCTTCCCAAACTGACAAACACTTGTTCCTCCACTTCGAATCTTCAAATCCAACGGCGAAACCTTGCATGATGGACGGTAGAGATATCAGTACCAAAGTATTTTTTTCATATACTTTAAGATGGCGGTAATTTCGACCTGGTCTTGAACAATTTATTGCCCAGAACGGCATCACCTCAAGCACAAAGAAAAGGAACTGAGATGAGATGACACACCATCACATTTCCAACCGTGGAGAGTCATCTAAGCAAACGCACTTCGTTTGTCCACTCAAACACTCAGTCCCTCAGGCGGGCGTTGAGTCGATGGTCGCGAGAGGGTATATAAGACCCGAACTCCCTACTCTTTCCCCCAGAAACTTCATCCATCATCACATCAAGCCACTTCCACACTTTCCACTTTTTTAAACTACACCAACAATCTAACCCCCCAAACCAAATCTCAACCACAACTCCTCACTTTCCAACCACCCAAAAAAAAAAAAAAAAAAAAAAAAAAAAAAAAAAAAAAAAAAACACCACTCAAGAAAATGTCCGGCCAGACTCCCACCACCACCATTGCCTGCGAGCAAACCAAGGAGACCACCGTCTCCCCCGCTGGAACCACAGCCACCACCACCACTGTCATCGAGGAGACCACCACCACCACCGCCGCCGCCGCCGCCGCCACCACTGAGCCTGCTCAGCCTGTCGCTGCCACTGAGTCTGCCGCTGAGTCTGCCGCTGAGTCTGCCACTGTGGCTGTGGCTGAGGAGAAGAAGATTGAGGAGACCAAGGTCGAGGAGGACAACAAGGAGGAGAAGAAGTAAAGGACAAGATGGAGGAGAGATGAGGTTCAACCCGGTGCTTATACTTAGGAGGTGGACGGAAGTTGGGCCATGGTCACAGCAGTGTCTTTGTCTGGAGTAGTGGAGGAGTGCAGTGCAAGTCACTGAGACATTTACATTTGGTCGCCTGAGAGGGAAAAAAAACGAAAAATGGAGGAATGGATGAATAGCATGGTCGTGTTAAGAATGGAAGGAGCGAGGTTCTTGGTATTCACATGAGGGCTGGCTCAGGTATAGATAAGTAAGGGATGTCAATCGGTCAAATGGTGGATGTGTTGCCTATTTACCTACGATATTACGGCTTCGACTGAACTTGTGTGAGGGAACCAAGAAGTGAGCTGAGGAACAATATACCTGCAGACTGAATCATGAGGAATCCATAAAGACATCGCTGTGATTGTTGTTTCAAGTATTGACTCTTTGAACTGATGATACCTATACTCAAACAGCAACTTGCGCCTTGATATGTCCAGCATATGGTAAATCGCGACTAACTGACCAACAGCAGATCAACCAGTGAAAGATAAGAAGACGCCAAACCGAAACCAAGCAACAAGACCTCCTTCATTTACATCGTGACTCAAACTTATCCAACGCCTTTGCCTACAGTCACTCACACACTCATCCGTTATTCGCCATGCTCACTGAAACCAAAAAAAAAACCATCCCCATCCCTTATCCTGCCTCCTACACCCCTAAACCCTCCCTCGACTAACCCCCTCCCAAAACCTTCTCAACCTCCAAACCCTCCCCACACCGCTCTCCTCCTCCTCCTTCCTCACCTTACCCTCCCTCTCTTTCACTCTGCCCATCCACACCTCACCAATCCACCCCCTCAACCCATCCTTCACCCTCTCCCTCTCTACCGCTCTCTTCTTGGCTACCAGCGCCGGCGCAACCACCACTTTCTTTCTGGTCCCGCAAGGAACGCACTCAGCCGGCAACACACAGCGCTCTACCAGCTGCTCAGCCGAGGGACGGGCGGCGAGACGGCGGGCGAGGTGGATGGAGGCTAGCTTGCGGGCGAGCTTGCGGGACATCAGGGCGGTGTTGGTGAGGAAGATGGAGCGCCGGATCAGGTCAGCGAGGGAAGGACGGCTAGGGGAGGTGAGGGATAGAGGAAGGAGGAGGCGGGCGCGGCGGAGGCGGAGGGTGTGCAAGGTGGGGGAGGTGGAGAGGGTGCGGAGGTGGTGAGAGGTCTGGGGGATGTTTTGTTAGTACTATGTTTCTTGCTTCGTAGTCATGAATAGGTAGAAAAAAGACGGAATTGTACGGGATAAGGATTTGACGGTTCTTCTCTGGGTGGAGGTGCAAGAGAGGTGTAGCATCATGGTCAATGTGGCTAAGAAACGTGGAAAATGGATGTGATGTGATTGGCAAGTGTACATGGTGTGTAATCAGGGCAAAATGTGAGGTCGCTAGAATGATTCACGGCACGGTGACGAGAAAAGAAAGAAGAGTTCAAGTCACCAAGGACCAAAAAGGAGAGAAGGACAGACGTATAGATTGTACCTAAGAAAAGTGAAACTCACTTTAGATGTCGAGAACAAATCGCAGACGTCTAGATGGCTCAGAATTTCGTACAATACTTCGTTTGGTAGTTCCGTCAGTTGCACGTGGTGTCCAGTTTCCTCAAAATTCGTGTCGGACTCTTTCCGGTGCTCACTGAATCTCACGATAGCACGTGTGTCGGGACGGATATCAGTAAGGATATTGTTCACCCCTCCTGTTGCCATGCCATCCCACTCCCTTGAAGATCCTTCAGACCTCTCCATCACAGGAAGTGGAGTGCTTCCCGAAGAGAGCAGTGTCATTTGACTTGTCTGGCTGGCAAAGTGCACACTGGTACTTTCCTCGAGTTGCTCCCTATCCCTCCCTTCTTCAACGGTGGGCCAGGACCAGATCTGCCGCTGGCCGGCCCCTGACTGGAGCGGCAATGGCGCCATAGGCAAGGGCTTTCTTGCTCAATCCGGCGACGTGCGTCTGATGTTTTCGTGATCAGCGAGTCTGACGGACTGACCAGTCGTGCTAGCCTAGTCTGGCCTCGAGTTATTTCCCCGAGTTCGTCTGGTGTCCACTCTGATTTACCTCAATTAACATGCAAATAAGAACTTTTGGTAGCGGAGCGGGCTGTAGAGAGGAAGCGAGACAAATAATTCCAGGAGCCAGAACCGCGTCGATGTCGAATCAAGAGCGTTTTTGCTCGGATACGTCTCCTCTCCCGTTCGTTATTCTTGCCGCGGCTGCCAATCGCGGGACGCTGGGTAGTTTCCCGACAGAAAAGCGGAGAGCGGTGACGTCTGGTATGAATCCGTGAGTCCGCGGTGCGGCTAATCAAGAAGGTGTTAGGAGACGATACAGCTAGGCTGATGTGGTCTGCTAGATTGGCCTTCGGATGTACTCCTGGCCGGGCTGGTGGCTGGGAATCGTCGACCGAGATAAAGAAGACGAGGAGGAGGATTCTTGGCCTGATGGAGTACAGTAGCTTGCAGAAATCACCGAGGTATCACTGCACGATATCTTGTTGGGGGCTGTTCATGTGAGCAGGACTCGGGTCTCGATCGAGTCCAGCCGGCGGTCGCAATGACGAGATGTTACATGACAGAAGGACCGAAGCGTGCCAAGTGAACAGGACGGGGAGATGGACGGACCAGGAGGCCGAGAAACGGCACCGTACTTTGATTATGGAATGTGTTTGAGGTATTGTCTGGATTATGGTCGAAGTGGTCGCGTATAGGACGGTAATCGAGATGTTCTTTGGCACGGTGAGTTTGTAAATTGACGAGGGTTGCTGAAATCACGGTATCATGGCCGACATGATGAGTGTGTCTCCAGTTTGGAGGGTGAGTGATCAAGGTGATGAATCAAGATGAGCCAAGTGATGGCCGCGCGCGACAACGTCACCACTGGCACTTTGTTCTCTCGGATGGAGTCCAAGCCGAGACGCGGAATGGTGGGGCAGGTCTGCAGGCCGCTGATTTGGACCAGACAAGACGGGAGTGGAAGAGTCAAAGCAATTGAAAAGTTCAAACGAAGCGAGCAATGGGGAAATGGTGGTGAGGCTCGACAAAATTGGATGAACTGCAGTGAATTGACAAGGTGGTGGAAGTGACCGATGAAGGGTCGATGGTCGATGGGAAGGAGTGAAGTCGGGCAGAAGAGCAACAGGGCAGGTGCGGGAAGGAAGCATGACATACTGTACCCTGGATGATGATTGGCTCACTGTGAACGGGGGAGGAAGCAGCGCGGACACTGCACACTGCACAGACCTTGCAAGAGTCTGTGCATACCCTCGGTTTCACCAATGGCCGCTTGCCAGGCCGCGTTGTACACTACTGGGATGGAAAGCGCGACGGTTTCCTCCCCCCCTTCACCGTCTGCCGCCGTTTCCTCTTCCGCGCGGCAATGAACCACTAGTGTACCTAGGCTCAGTCGTCTTTGGCTCTTTCCTTTCCATTTCAGTCGTGAGACAGGACTCGGAAGGAGCCGCCTCTGTGCACAGGCTGCAGTGGCCTCAAGCGGGCACTTCCCTTGACCGGAACATCATCCAAATCCAATTCACCTCCTCATCCTGTCTTGATCGCCACCACCATACATGGGCCACATCGTCAAATTGAACGTCAAATTCTGTTGAGCATATCCCACGTCGCCCAACGCATCATCATCATCATCATCATCAACTCACCAATACCACCGCCCTTTTACTTTTCCACTCTCTCCATTCTGCATACCACCTCTTACCGAGTCACAGCCTGCTCAATTAGGCCCCTGATGAGCGATCCATGCTATGCTCGTTCTGGATAATGACGCGGGCCTCGTCAAATCCATGATGAACCCATCTCCTGTGCTCCAGTCTCGCTGAATGGCACGTCTTGGACGGTTAAGCGCGCTGCGAATCACAACCCCCAATTCCAGGACCCCCGACCCTGGCTTAGTGTACACTAGAAACAACTTCAGCGTACGGCTATCTCGGATGTGACGTTGGACATGGGGCCTTGCCGCATCTGAACAAGAGTCCCCTGTCGCTCATTGGCTTGCTGCCACCGTGTAAGTCGACAAGGCATCCAATGCCTTCCTTTTTTGTGTCCCCTCTCTTGCCCGTCTTGTCCTCTATCCTTCTCTAGCCTTCTTGAAAGTTTGGCCGGGAAAGGAGGTCAGAGTGAGGAGCTCTCTAACTGCTCCAGCCTGATCCAAGGCCACTCAGTTTCAAACCGGTTCGGCCGTGCAAAAACATTGGTTCATCCCGTCCAGCGCAGGCATCCCGGTGGCTTACAGGAGGCCTGGGGGCCGCTAAAGGCAGGCAAGGGTTCAGGCCTCAGGGGAGAGATCTGGGGGCCAAGCCAACAGTGCGCAAGGGGAAAGCAACAGGGGAGCAGAGGACGACAGCCTCACCTGCCGTTACTCGTTAGGGTGGTTTGAGTGTCAGAGGCATCCAGTGGGCTTCCCCTGTCGGTCGCTGTGTGTCAAGTAGACAGGCATCTCTCAAACGACGGCGGACTGTGCCGAATCTCGATATGTGAACTGACGGCTAACAGCAACCATGAGCAGCTAGGTCCCCGATCCGGCCAAAGAATCAGGTGCAACCGTCAAGATGGAGCCCCGGATTTCGGTTAGAGACTCCAGTTTCTAGCGAAGCTGTTCACCGGTCTCGCTTTCACTTGACGCTCGCTAAACGATTGGAGCAAGACGCTCTACGGTCTGAGCTTGAGCCTTGTGCAAGAAACACCGGACCATGATTTATCGTCTTACCGAGCAGGCTACCCAAGACTATCAGCCGAGAAGAAGCTGGCCAAGCCGGCCAAAGCTGCTCATACTTCGCTGTTACTTCTCAGCCTCTGCCTCTGGGTAATCCCCGAAATGTCATCGAACGCCCGTCGGGTTTGCTCCCTCGTGGACCCCACCAGCCGTCCGTTCCGCAGCTCGGTCGCATACTCTAGCAAGCTCATTCTTGAACGCGTTCATGACGTGTCGTGGGGCTGGCCTTCTGTGATGCGGCCATTGACTTTCTCATCACTATCACGGCTCCCAATCGCCCTTTTCGTACACACATCGACTCGAAAACTCACGAGCCTCCGCCGATGAGGGCAGAGCGTACTCGCCTCTCGGGCAAGTACACCACTCCCACCACACTGTAGCCCAAGCCGCATACGAGTGGCAAATTGGCATCAACAGTTTCTTTTCCTGCACATTTGCAATCACCGGACTCGGAGTCCTGCAACTCTCAGTGGTGGAGGAGCCACACATCCCCCCGATACTCCGAAAAAGGCGGTTGCCCTTCCCTCTCCTCAGCCGTTAGCTACAGGGATGATAATGTTTTCCTCCCCCCTACCCCGGCTTACTTGGTCTAAGAACCATGCACCCTCCATAGTCTGGGCCAGCCAGCCTGCCAGCACATCGTCCAATTCCTTGCGATCCGAGCTCATTTGTGGATGTCTGTGGAAAGTGGTTGGCGTTGGAACTATGAAGATGAGCCATTTCCCTGCAGGACTAATGATGCAGTCAAAGCATACGCGCGAGCGTCTGCAGGGACGGAGAAGTGAGGGGAGAAGAAGGTCTTCGAACATCGACTGCGACGCGGCACCCGAGACTCTGCTCGTAAGTGAAGTCTTCTACCGCATACGCAAAGGTCGAAGCGATGACGGTACGGCCACCGTATTATCAGACACGGGCCCGTTGTGTGACCGTTTCAAGTGGAGTCAAGACGAATTGTGACGGGCGCCCAGGCCTTAGAATACAGTAGTCAAGGGCAGATCCGTGAGCAAATGGCCCAAGACTGGTCGTCAGTTCGGCGACCCTCTCTGTCCACTCCCGTCTTACCCCCAAGGCAGGGCCGACCAATGAGACGACTCAGCTGGCTCCGTTGAGGCTGTTCCTAGACACCTCCCTCCGTTACCCGTCGCTCCCGAAAAGTGATCCGTCAAATCCCTGTTCTCAACTGTGACTCGATCGCTTCAGGCCGCTTCACGTCGAGCTAACCTCGTTGCTGCGTTATAATGTAGCCTGTACCTTGCACAAGCTAATCCGTACATTCTTTAGTATACTTCCCATCTTGGCATCTTACAACGTCCAGGTCCATCGCATCAACGCTATATGGGACGGTATGAGCAGCCATCACCACCGTTTGGGCTATCACAACTATCGCCTTACACATTTTTACAATGACCTGCTCCGTCCTCTTTGTCAAAGAAAAGGCTGGTAGCCTTCTGAACGCTTTTCGTTGGTGTAACGGCATCAACCCCTGCCGGATGCATCAAATAGCCGAGAACATCTCGATCAGTTTCGAATATCTTTCTTTCACCAACGGCGCGCAGCCGGCAGCTGCTGCTCATATTCCTACTTGACGCCGCTCAGCTACCGTCCCAAAATTTGCATTCACACTCCAATGGCTTGGAGGCTCCCTTCATCCAGGGCGGTGTACGGGATCTGACGACAACAATTATTTGACTTTGCGCGGCTAGAACTTAACTTGTCTCGTATACGGATGCAAGTTATGGGGGAACGGGCCGCTCCTGATCTACTCGGCCATGGCGACCGGTCCTGAATCAGGAATAGACCAGACAAAAAAAGGGTATTTTGCTAGAGAAGACCACACACTCCGTTCAAAATCTGTCGAGATACGGGGCAAGATCAACGCCTGGTCGCCTCACCACGGCCTTGTTTACCCTACAACTCCACTTTCTCCCTTGGCCCGTTGGCCCAGCCTGATAACGCGGAAGCTTGACCACAGCGTCGCTTCATATCCGGTCACCCTTGTCTCATTTTCGGCTTGTCCCTGTTCCCCTGGATGTCCGGATGAATCCTACCCCCCTTCAAACCCTGAGGAGCTTGAATTTGAAATGATGATGATTGACTGCCTATTCGGGAAGAGGAGATTTTGGGGATTCCCTTCTTAGATGGAACTTGGATTGGCTGCCAAGGCCAAAAAGAGTCAAGGCCAGGCTTGGGCGGAACGTATTCGGTCCTCGTGTGTCACATAGTCGGCAAAGGCCAAGGTCGGAGCCACACGGTATGTTCATGTTCCCAATTTGGCCCATTTATTCAACCCAGACTTGACGCGAAACAGGATAGTCAAGCGGACCATACCCGGAATAAGGGTCCGGATATTGCGTCTTGTATGCTGCGACTGTAGCAACCTCGCGAGCCCGCAGCAGTTCATGATCATCCCGCTTGTATCACCCCACAGGAAGCATGATGAAGTGTAAGTCACAGCCCCCATCAGGATGGAGCTGATGCCTCGGTTCCTCTGAGCAACGTCTCATTCCACTATGGGTCCCTACCAGGGCAGAAGGAGGTAGCCCCCCTCTTACTTTCGGCACCAGAAGACTTCGCCCCATGATCTCTGCGCGTTTGTCCTTCATGACCCTTGTGTTTGCTGTTCTTTCGCTCTCCTTGGTCTCGACCCACTCAACCCTGCTGTGTGCTGCGGATCCCTCCATTCAACAGTTCGTCCGTTCGTCTCGGTTTTCAGTATTACCTTTATTGGAAGGACTGATCTAGAACCCAAGTGGCTTTTCCGTGAAGCAGGCCTTTGCCAGCTTTGAACCCAGACGTGGCTCATCAAAATGTTTATGAGCACTGAGAGACTTGAACCTGGCTAGACACGATTGCTATCCTCTAGGCTTCATATGGATATCAGACACACCGGCGCAATATAGCTCGATAATGGATGGGGAAAATCCCTGAAATGGGCTTCAAGCCATCACTAGTCAACGCTTGCCACGTCGCCATCTGTTTCTTGCAGTCACTCGTTGATAGTATAGACTGATATGACAGAATCCAGAAGGTGTGACAGCCCGCGGAGTTGATATGGGTGAATTTCAAGGTCAAAGTTGACCGTCCCCACCGGGATAACGGCGAGAGTTCATGTGAGAGAACGTTCCTGCGAGCGTGCGCTGCTAGAGTGTCCCTTGCTCCCCATCTGCTCCTATCAACACTCGAAGCGTGGCTGCAGCCAGGGCCGCAACGCTCTAATGCCGCCAATTCAGGGTTTTGATGGTACGCCATGGGTGCCGTGAGTTTCAACGTCCTTTGAGAATAATTTGTGCTTATCAGGCGGAACTAACTGCCATCCAGATGACCCAAAGCTTCCCGAGCTGTAAGCCAGTCTGTGCCATCAACTCCCGCGATCTAGCACGTCTTGTGTTGACCATTGGCTGGCAGTCCTGGCGAAGCAAGGCCCCATACTTCGACCCCGAGTATAGTGACCTACCCGTCCTGTGGCCCCCTAGGCCACCAACCATTGGCCATTACGCAACGCAGAAATATGTGGTTATTCATTAATCCGGGAAGTTAACAGGAGCTCAATAGAGCTGGTCCAACTGATCACGCTTATGGTGGCGTTTCTGCGTGAGAGACTTGCGAAGTGGCAGAACACAACCAAGTGGTTAGGATCGACCTGCTCTGGACCAGCGACCTTTGTTCGATTTCACCGCATTCAAGGCTCAAGGTTCAGAGGACCGGCTTCTACTCTCGTTCAAGCCGATTGAGAGATGTTCGAAGTCGTACTGTCACTATGGCCAGTTTTTGTGATTGGGCCCTTTTGTTGACCAGCTTGACCGTAATCCGTTCACATATACGACACAAACCTAGAAAACCTTCCACATCTGTACGCTTTCCCTTGTTTTCCTGCGGATCCTGTGGCCTTACCCCTTAGACCTACTTTAGGTCCAAACCCTGGTCTTAGCCTCCGGAGACCGGCCACCTGTACCGGCCGCGGCCATAAATGACGGCCCTGAAACCCACGCTAGCCGGATATCCTTCTGCTATGTGGGCCGATACAGAATTGAGTGCTCTAGTGCTGGTTCCATTAGCAGAAAAGATCCTCACGGGTCTATCTGCGTGTTTCTCCTTGATGGGCAACCTGGCCCAGCCAAGTCCCGTACTGGAAGTGCCTAGCAAAAGTCGGTGGGGCGCACACGCAGAGAGAGGAAGGAGACAACAACAATGGCGAAAAAGGACTAGGGTATGTGCACTCAATTGACGCCGTCTAAACCATTCTCACCGTTCAGATACTTCTTCCAACTCCCCAACACTCAGGCACCATCCCGAGTGGGTCGTAATAACATGACCATAGCAACAGGGGTCCGCGTGTATGCAAGGTCCACGAGGAATGGAGAGAACAAGGGAACATGTACGAAGTACACGCATACATCCATCCATACATGGTACATACATATGTGAGAACCATGTGGGAGAGTGCCACTAGAGCCAATGAGGACTGACTGTATCGAAGATGGAAGGAACAGCGAAAACGCTAAACTTTCATAGGCCGTCTGGTTTTAACGGAGCGTGGCCACTTGCTCACCATTTCAAAGAGGACGAGAAGCAATGGAGACTATAGGCTCGTCGTCATGATATACGATCTTTACAGCATCTATTCAGCTCATTATCAGTCCGCCCCTCATGGCTTGGGAAAGAAGGGCCTTCTTGATGGTGGCCACTCCAAAGTAGGAACCATCGCTGATCTTGGGCCAAAAAGAAACATGGCTTACCCCGGCTCATCTGTAGGACACTCAGATGTTTCAAGAGCCTGGTGGGGAAGAGGCGTTCTGGGGGGGATCATGATAAATGAGCCATGGTCGACGTGGCTCCTATGACGGCCATTCTCCCGGAAGACCTGCGGGACATGGGGGGGAACGAGGCTAAATTATCGGCATGTCGTTGAGCAGGCCTGGCATATCTACACACATGGTACGTGCCCAATCTACTCCAGCCATTACATACTGTGTACTGCACACTGATATACACAATCCACTGCCCCGGCTCGCGCAAGCAGCTTCCTGCAATGTATGATTGACAACGTGATTTAGCACGGGTTGTTCGGTTGAGCCAAAGAGAAAAGTTCTTTGGCCTTACCCACCCAGTATACCCACCTCAAGAGGACCCCAGATGGGGTAACTGGTAAAGGGTCCTGATCTAGGGAAGAACTGGCAACAGGTACCTACTACCCACCGGATATTTGACCAGTGGAGAGAGGGTCGCCATCACAACCTCACTACATGCTGTATCTGCGATGGTTTACCATTACAGGCGAGGGCCGGAAAGAAGCCAAAACAAAACGAAAACGCCTCTCCACACAGTTCGTCACATCACGCATATGGACGTTACCTACCAGCCCTCGATGTGTGGCTTTTGAAGCCATTCGTGTGGTTGTGTTGACGGGCTCTAGTACTAGCATGGTGGTAGGTGGTCTCCACCCCCCTGTCCTGGACCATGGACCTACTGCAACGGCCGGGATCCTCTTTTTTTTCCCTTTCTCTTCGTTGGAAGACCGGGGGAAGGAAACGACACGACACGATACAGCATCTAGGGACCAGGGATGATGATGAACAACATGTCTGCGATGAGTAACAAGATATAAATATGGCCTCGGTATCCTCGACTGTGGAGTTTTGATCGAAGGATAACCGCAGCCATCAAAACAAGCATATCACCAACAGTCATCACGTCAATTCCCCATCTCCATCATCCGGCATATCCTGCTCAATCTCGGCAGGACAGATTGGCATTGTCACATCGCCGCAACCAAGCAAAGCACAACACCGCTTGGACCGAGACAGTCTGATCATACTTCTTTCCTCAATTATCCCTCACTCGCTCAATCAGCTGTTTGTCAACACAACCCACCATATAGGCCGACTTGGCTGTCAACGCGACTGCCTTTGCCCATCAGAGATATTGAATTCTCCGAACGGCACGGCACTGCTCCCAACCCTCTCATCCCCGGCTTGCGGAACTGTTCACTTGCATCCGGTCCAATTTGTTTCGACTAAGTTGTCACAAGTGTAAGTCATGGTTTAGTGTTCATGGATCGGCTTCTATTTCCTGCCCCTTGCCCCCCTTGCTTGCTTACTGAATGCTGCTGGAATGCTGTTGTGTTACCTGAAGGAGGCTTGCAGGAGCTCGCAGCTCTCCAGTAAAGTAATGTCCAAAATGAAAGGAGCGAAGAGGAACAGGAGACGAAGGAGACGACGAAAAAGACCATCGAGGCAAAGAAGAACAATATTTGTGCGTATACTAACTCGTGTTCAAAGCATAGACTGACATAAGGAGACGTGGAAGTAAACTATCGGTTCGGATATTTTGCTTCTTGAGCGTACATTGAACGGTCGTCTACCTGTTCCACTCCCAACGTCTGCCATAAGTATTGCCTCCGTCAAGCATCACTCCAGCCATCACACAGAACGGGCTTACACCCGCGATACCAACAAGCCAAACCTACCTCACGTGCACGCCATCCACACCCGCCAATTTCCACCGTGCTACCACCACCCCATCCAACCAGCCACACCTCCCTTTTTCCCTACCACCAATTACTACCACCCAAAATGTGCTACTTCGAACAAACCCTCTGGTCCTGCGGCTACTGGAAGTGGGGAAACTTCCGCCAGCAGTGCAACAAGGAATACCGCACGGGCGAGACGTGCGGACTCAAGCTCGTCTACGAAACCAACTTTATTCCTTCTCCTTGCAAGATTTGCGAGCAAATCACCAAGAAGGATCGAAGACTACGCAAGATGGCAGAGGATATTGAACGCTGGACACGCGAGGGAAATCGCAGAGCCACCATAGAAAAGACGCAGGCGGATATGTTGGGGGTGCGGGGGCAGATTCAAGAGCTGTGGAGGGGGCACGAGGAGAAGCAGAGGAGTATTTGTTGAGGAGTGTGGCGGTGCAAGTATGACCATTTCTTTCTTATCGTTTTGGGAGTGCGTTATTACCTCTCATATCCGATTTTTCTTAATTTTTTCTGGTTGGTCAGAAAATTGAGGATGGACGGATGTTGATATGAACGAAGCTGCTAGTGGTGGTTGTGGTGGTGGATGGGGAGATGAGGCAATGCGGTAGCGGTAATTAGGTAGGTGGCTGTTAGGATGCCACAATGATGAAATGACTTGCACGGGTAATGGTTTGATGAAACGCAAGGAAAGAAAAATATGGGATATATGGATGTATGAAACAAAAGAGGAAGGCGATAAGAAAGAAAGAAGGGGGGCCAAAGAGAAAAGCACACCGGGAATGATTGGTCCAGATCTTTCCAAAGTTTTCTTTTGATTCATATATAGGTCTGCAACTTTGTCCCATAGCAATTTTATTTTTTTGTTTCCAACTTTGGTCATGAAGGATACAAGATAGTTCAGTATGTGCATCAATCCATGATGGTTCCTGGATGATATTCTTTTAAGCAAGTCCAGCTTCAATTTTCGGCTCGGCAGGCAGGATATAACAGGTAGACTAGACGGCACAGCAAAAGGTGGTGATTGACGTACTCGCCCCATCACTCGGGTAGGAATATACATAAGCTGCATCTGCTACAAATGGCTCTCTTAGGAAGAAAGATTGTGTTTCCTCCGAGTGATAGGGGGTCAGAGCTACGTAGGATGATGAGCTCGAGGGACAGCACAAAATAAAGAAAAAGGGAAGCAAAAAAAAAAAAAAAAAAAAAAGAAAAGAAAAAAAAAAAAAAAGAAAAAAATGCGACAAATAAATGTAAGAAGGAAGGTCAATTTCTTATCAGGTCAGGAGTTGATCATCAGTTTTCGACATTCACTACTCACTCACTCATGAGCGAGCGGCCTTCGCGGCTTTTACTATCCACGAGTTTTCTCGCATAGCTTCGCGAACTTTTTACGCAGGTAAGTTGAACTGAGGTCCCTCGCGCGACGAATTCTTGTCCAACTAGTCTAATCAAGAGTAATCCAAAGAAAAGATCCCCAGTAAGCATCTCAATCTATATAGCCAGGGAATCCATTTATCAGAGCAGAGCTACTTCACAGGAGGAAGTAGTGTGTGCTGTTGCGCTGTGCCAGGAAAACCAAAAGAAAACTCACAAAGACAGAATAGAACTGCCTACTTGCCTGCCTGCCTGCCTGCTTGCCTGCTTGCCTGCTTGCCTGACCCAGATGGGGGCCGGTCCGTAGGGCGTAGAGACCTAGCTACTTAGGTATTTACTTACTGACCGTGCGTGCGTGGTGGCTCCATTTTGATCTGATCTGATCTGATCTGATTTGATCCTCTCTCTTTCCCAAACAACAGCTTCCGTAGACATGGAAGTGACCTGTCCAGCCTGCGAGTAAGACAGCCTTGCTTTTCTACACTCTACAACCTCTCCTCTCTTCTCCAGCAAAATAAATAAGGTTGGATAACGCTTACTCGCTGGGTGCGTTGAATGTGAATAAGAGGTATGATGATGATGATGCTGATGCTGATGCTCATGTTGATGATGCCTGTGTAGTAGATTGCAGAGTAGAGTAGAGTAGAGTAGAGTAGAGGAGTGGTCAGCACCGGGGAAAGTGGGCCCGAAACCAAGCCCAGCCGGAGCCTAGCCCAACCTAGCCGGAGTCGGAGCCGGGGGCCGGAGCCGGAAACGGCAACTGCAGGTTTAGCTGGAACGGGAACGAAGGAACACTGGAGAGGGGGGTGGAGGGTAGAGAAACGATAGTAGAGGTACTGACAATTTTAGGTATGGGTGATTAGCAGAGGGTCTCAGCTTAATTTTTTTTTTTTTTTTTTGGACAAATTGTCATGAACGTGGACGTGGACACGGTGGTATCACAGATAAAGAGTAGGTGGAGCTATAGCTGGAGCTGGAGCTGGAGCTGGAACTGGTGCTGGAGTCTACCTAGGTGTACGTACATACACTGTCGTTGTGAGTATACTGTTATGGGCGCACTGGGTGGTCTGGAGAATGGGTTGAGTAGTGTAGTAGTGTTGTATTGTGTGTGTGAGTTGTCTTGGTGTGAGCGGGAGGTTTCCAATTCCCCCTCGCCTTTTTATTCTTTTCCTTGAGGCCTCCTTTTTTTCTTTTATCATGTGGTATCTACCTGGGTTGTTACCCAGTAATAGAATTGTTCTATTCTCTTTCAAGGTTTTGCAGGGTGGGATAAGGGAGATTGATTCGACACTCAGGCTTAGAGACAGGAACACATAATCCTGGCAAAGAAGATATTGATGCATCTATGTAGTTCCTTGTGTTCGATACAGTCTTGACCCAATCTTGCACATATAAACATTGTTTAATCGACCAGTGTCCCATTGTCCCTCGCCCGGATGTTCGCTTCATTTTTGCCATGATAAGCGACTGTTTTCCCATCTTTTCCCTCTCTCTCTCACCTTCAAATGCAAGCCGTGAGTTGGATCAAGTAGTCAAGCAAGGTAGCAAATGGCAAGAGTAGCTCCCACTCCACCTCCAAGATGCCTCCTCCCCCTTCGAGTCAGCGCTGATAATGTTTGTACACGGTAGCAGCGGTTGTCTTTCAAAGAAGGTACCAAAGGCACCGAAAACCAGCCCTCCCACAGGTGCTTGCTCCTCTCACTCCATCCTCCCCACTGGGGATAACACAAAGTTTGCATTAGTGTGCACACATACGGTGGTATTGACGCAAACAAAGGTGAGAGGATGGGGGCGAGATGCAGAAGCACACCCGGGGAAGATCCCAACTGGACATTTCCCCCCCACAATGAGTCTTTTCCATCGACAGGCGTCGGAAGAAGGAGAGGGACGACGGATGGTGAGTGGGTGGGTGAATGTTGAACAGTGGTGGATAGTAAGAAGCAGGCTGTCCATGACTGGCCCCAGTATGAGCGTCGGAATTTTCCTCCCCTCCCTCCATTCCAGCTATGCCCAAGAATGTGGAGTTCATCGCGCAGGAAGGCTGCATGATCCAGCGAATGGCGCCCGAATTGACTCGAACCTTGCCGTAGCCGATATGTAAGGCCCCCATAGAGAAAAAAAGACAGGTCGGGGAGGCGGAGACGGGCCAGCTGGCGAATTGGGGCCGAGGAGGGATATGCGAGGACCAAGCATGTTTCCCTCCTTTTTGCATGCCTCTGACAAGCCCGCGATGTAAAACTCTTGCTCAAATAGGCAGAAGAGAACAGAACGACCTTGGCATGAGGTGACCTGGCCGACCTCATCATCCGTGTGCTTTTCTTTTTTCTGCTGCCATCCCGACGCAGGCGTGGCCCCTCGGGAGGTCGTCAGTCGGCCGCGGGCTAGACAGTGGAGACCATTTGGGACTCGAAAAATCCGTTGTTTTCATGGGGAGCTGGGCCGCAACCCAAGATGCCGAATCTCGCGGGACTCCTGGATGAGGAAGCCGAGAGCATCTCTTCACTCCACCTGAACTTAATCCAGTGACAGGGGAAAAAAGGGAGGGCGACCTTGAGTTGGCCTCGCTAGAACTAGACCATCAGGCCTCCAGTTCGTCCTTGGGTGGTACCGCGGCCTATAACGAAGGCCATGGCTGGCTGATGTGACGTGCTCTGCTGTCCCTGCCTGCTTCCGAATGTTGCATGTCCTTCCACTTTTGGGGGTCACTGGCGCACCCTCCTACTCTTCCTTCCCCTCTGAGCTCTCATTCCTCGTCTCGATTCATGTTACCTGTTCCGCACTCCTCGATAGCCATCTGCGACCTGAAAGTGACCCAACAGGTTCATCTGAAGCTGAGGGGTGCGCGGGCTCCTGGCGAAACCTTGTTGCCATGGAAAGAAAATGGAGAAATTGTTGGTGCAATGGTCCGAAAAGATGAGGTGATGCATATGGCTGTGGTCGCATCTCGAATTATGTCCACCACCGATGGAAACGCGGTGTTTCTGTACAAGCATTAAACAGGGTCAGTTTTGTGCAAAGGGAACCGGACAAGATGGCTTGGGGATTTATATCTTTGGCAATGGGCAAGAAGACGGAACTTGATGAACGTGGCTGACATTTAGTGGGCGCGCGCCTTGTCAACATTTTGTTTGTTGGGGGCCGGAGGACTACACCACCATGGGTTGGTCCAAACAGCCTTGATCCAGTCATTGAACAAAGGAAAGCATTAAAATTGAATTGTTGCTGTACAACGCATACATACCCCCAAACACGCCGTTTTAAGCCTATCCTTGGCCTTATCCAACATCTTGGGCATACGAGGCGGTGATGTATGAGACGAATGGACGCTGTATCCCACCTCGACGGGTATCGACAACTCATCAACATAACATCCTGCCATGCCACGTTGTCTCTGGCCGCAGACCTATCGAATCGCTGAACGCCCGCTGTTTCCGGAACAGCATCAGGAAAGACGAGAAATTACAAAAGGAAAAAAATGATGGGGGAAACCGGCCAAGCGAACTTGGGCATGCCACCTCGTATCGGCATGGCCAAGGAGTCCCGGATTTATTGTTGTGTCAGGTGGTTCTGGTTTGCTGAACGTATGGTGTGGTATATTCTGGGTCGGAGGATACTGTGGATGTTCTGTCATGTTGCCGTCGGCATCAGGTGGACAACAAGTCACGGTTTTGATGTCGTGGTATGGTTTCAGCGCATGGCGGCAGCGGCATCGGTAAAGTTACCGACGAGGGCCTCGCCTCCTTCAGCCTTGATGGGGATGGTTGGCAAGGAAGCTTTACGCAGCATCTCCATGCTGTCGTCCTCAGGGGTGCCCCAGTCAACCCGTGCAACGGAGGCCATGTCGTCGTGGGTTGAGAGTTTGGAAAGCAGGGCATTGTAGCGCTGGCCGGCAAAGCCGTAGGGAACAGGAGCGTCTTGCATGGGTTTGTCATGCGGGACCATATCATAGATGTCGACCATGTTACTGCGCGGTTCCAGGTCAGTTATTCGCGGCTACGTGGATTTGGGTCTCGGGCTAGATCTTGGATGGGAGACATTTCGGATGGGAGGGCATACTTTGATGTGCGTTCCACCACGCCCTGCAGAGCCGCAATTTCCCTTTCTGTCTCTTGGGGGTCTTCCTGGTTCATCATGTGTTGCTGATCAAAGCTACCGTAGTGCATGTTGTTCTCGTCGAAGAGATGCTGGGCCTCGTCCTCCTGGGTTACGCAACAGTCCACGTCAGTTCTCTTGTTCCGTCGAATGCCTCTTTTGATGGTCATGTCATCTGACTGTGACCGCTATGCCGAAACCTACCTCATCGTAGTCATCGCTCCTCCTACCGCCGAAGCAGGTTGAGCAAAAGTTGCCCATCTTGTTATCTCGTCCTCCCTTCTTTATGTGCCGTGTCGCCAGTCGGATGGTGGTCGGTCGGTCGGTCGGTGTCAAGTCGTCGGATGACGTTTGTCAATTGGAATCGCGCGAAGCGACAAGAAAAAGTCTCGTCTTGAAGTCAGACGTCGTCGAAGTAAAGTTGGGAGAAAAGACTGTCGCGAAGAGATGAAACTTGATCGATACCGAAATGAGATCAAACCAAAAAAAAAAAAAAAAAAAAAAAGTTGGGTCCCGTCGTGAAAATCGCTTGTGGTGCTGGTTTAGTTGAGTTGCTTCGGCTTCTGTCGGGTGCCCGCGGGGGAGGGGACTGCTAGCGAGGTCGGTTCATCAGGCAAAGGAAGGAATGTGTCGCGATGGACTTGCTGCAGTGTCCCGAAATGTGGTCGGCCGTCGGCTTGGAATCGGGCGATGATTGCGCGACGGGAGGCAGGAGGGATGAATGATGGAATAAGGGAACCCAAGGAAGGGAAAGTTGTCCTTATCGATATCGATCGTCGTCGTCGTTGTTTCCAAATTTCAACGCGCCTCGATTCATTTCCAGGCGTTCCTTCCCGCAAGCCCAGCACAAGGTCTTCTCGGTCGCGAATTGAATTGCAGTGGTGATTTCAACAAATGTGTCACGGCTCAATGCGCCTGCCATGTGCGGCTAAAAATCCACCGACGAAAGATTTGGAGCGGTCATCTGGTTGGTTCATCCTTGCTCGTGCCTTATTCAGCCGCCTCCGGCAAAACTTTTGCTAGTGTACAGGCGCCAGAGCCCAACAAACTCTAGCGAACCCTGTGTGGCCCTGGGGCTGAACCGCAGGCGCGAGTGCACGTGCGGCTATCCAGACTAGCCTCTAGCCTCCTCAGCCTACCAAGGCGCTGCCCTGTTGGTGGGTGGCAGAAACAGTTGGTCAATGCGCACTTATACGCCATTTTAACCTTGTTTGGTCGCTAATGTGTACAGTGATCTGTCAGTCGCACGAGTCACTCATATCAGTGGTTGAGCATCCAACCAAAAACCCCTTCGACTATATACCCAAGTATGTACAAGGATTGAATCATCAGGAACGGACCACGAGTTCAACAGGGAAGATGAAGTCATCCGGAAATGTTCCGTCATTTCTGAAACGTCGCAACTTGCTGATTGATGAGCGTTCTAGACAAGGAAGCCCCGGTGCGGAGCTCACCGGACTTCGGACTTACTGCCCTGATAGTGGAAGCGACCCGACTTTCCGGTACACTATTGCCCTGGAAGTCCCACTGTAACTTGGGTGATGCCCATCATGGAGTTCCATCTCGTTCCCGTCAACTCGGTTTATATTTTCATGTTGCAACGTCTGCACATGGCGAAAACATGGAAACATGTTGCAAGAAATGCTACGTGCTGCTATCGGAGACTGCGAAAATGGAGCTTTACCATCAAAATCAGGCCTGGAACTCGTTCAAGTCGACGAGTGTCACAGCCGAGATTGGCATCTTTTTTGCGGGGAACCTTTAAACTCCACTGACGGTCTGGGCTTTGCTTCCTGTCTTCGGAGGTCCCTCGGGCTTCACGGCCCTACACAATGAGCTCTTGTCGCAAGCATATCAGAGTGATGAGACCACTTCGATTTTTGACATTTACGACTGAGCAAAATGACGAGATAAAACATTAAGGGTATATCCTAACTTTACATAAACGCTCCAATCTTATCCCATTCCTTCCAACACCCACGCCAGCACCATAAGACATGCAAATCTTTGATACATGAAGCTTAAAAACGTATAAAGAAAAAAGAGCCTCTGTGTAGCTCATTAACCGTAGATTTTCATTCCCCGTTCCTCCTGTTGTTATACGCGAGGTGTTCCTGTTCCTTCTCCTCGTGCACCAACTCACTACAGCGCTGTCCCCGGGCGCACACCATTATGATCGACCGACTGATCGACCGTATGCCTCGGATAATACACCGTGGCCCTTGAGGGATCCACCGGCGACCCGGGATGCATACCATCCGCCTCCGGCCAATGTCCAGCCTGATTCTCATGCTCCGGCGTCCCAACCGTCGTGCTCGCCACCGACAGCCTCACATCCATCACACTCAACCTCTGATCCAGCGGCGGCAACCTGGGCGACGGTGATAAGGGGACACTCAAAGTCGACATCTCCATCCCTTGCTCCGGAGAAAGCGACTCGTTACCATACACCGAAGTGGCAGCCGAAGAGGCCGCGGGAACCGTCGAATCGAGCGTGGTGGCGGATTTGGTATAGGCCGGTGGTGGCGTAGTCGGGTAGTAGCTTGATGGGCGGTCCAAGTCTGAAGGAGCAACGACGTGGAAGCGGGGCGGGAATTCACCGGGCGCGTCTCCCATTGAGAGTCGGCGGGACTTGGACCGCCGGAAGAGCACCATCCAGAGACCGAAGACGAGGAAGATGCAGAATACGGGGACGATGACCCCGATGGAGATTTGGGCGGCCATGGGTATCCCGCCTTCGCGGTCGGGGAGGGGGGGACTGCTGTGGGTGCGGCAGCTGCTTGTGAAGAGCTCATACTGAAAGATACGGATATGGAGGTATCTGATGTTGTAGAAGCTGAGGAAGATGGAGTTGTCATCATGGTTGGCGTTGCTTGTGCAACCGTCGAACTGATCAAAGCCGTTGTTGTGGGAGTTGTCGGAAGAGCAACGTTGCTCATCAAAGTGTTGCTGGTGGTGCTAGGATTCACACAGTAAGGGGATCCAGAGTCGGCGCCCATGCATGTTTGCCCGTCAGCGCAGCAAACATTTCCACATTGGAAATCACCAGTGGCGCAAACCCTTGCACACCCGTCTTGGCCAGCCTCCGGAGGGCAACAGAAAAAGGCGCCGTTATCAAGCGAGCACGTTGAGCCGAATCCGCAACACCAGCTTCCTTGTGTACATGTTGTTTCGTCGCTCGCACACGTGAGATCGCGTTGTACGAGTTCGACAAGTCCTCGACGACCTGGACTTAGTAGGGTGCCAATGTCGTGTTTGGGTCGATGGGCAGGTTGGAACAGGAACCGGGTGGGTGGGATAAGGAAAGGAGCGTCGTTCATTGTGGCATTAAGTGAAGGATTCATATTGATTGATTGGTCAAGATATCGTCAGATAGAATATAGTTGGTGTTTGTTTAAAAGAGCGACATGACAGAGAGTGAAAAACAGTGTGAAAGAGCGGATAGGGGAAAAGGGTCAGAAACTGGAGGCAAAACGGCAAGGCAAAAGTCGACGAAAACGAAAAAGAAAGGAAAGTCGGTCCATGTTATCAGAATTTCTGATGTTAACGGTTGGTGAGGCGCCATGAGGGTTAGTTGAAGATCAACAGTCATCAAGTCCGTGACGTTAATTTCATTCAGTGTTGATCCCGTGCAGCAAGGGAAGGAAGAAAGGTACCATGGCCTGTGATTGGTCCATCCACACCCCCCGGCTCCGAGCCGGATCCCGACGCGGCCTGGAGCTAGCATGCTTGTCCCTTGACACCTTGATGGGCAGCTATGGGCCCCTCTCGGAGATCGGCATGCAAAGGACTCCTCAAGCCGCCCAATCCGGCCAGGACAATCCGGGGAAGTGCCGGGGCTAACACCTGATAGAGGATCGTTCCTCACTCGTCGCCATTTCGGTATCACGGCGACATTCGGCAACAAGAGGTTTTGACGTCGGTGCACTTTAATCTCCATGGTTAGCGCCGTGGCGAAGAGGTCCACCCAGTGACGGCATGTCGATTGTCAGTGGGCTCGTTGAGGACAAATATAAAACATGAGGTCCAGAGTAGTGTATGATGTGGAGGGCAAATTAACGAGTTTGTAGCCCTGTGAATAGTCATCAGAGACTATAAGTGACCATGAGGACGAATGAAAACAATCAAGGTAATGAGACCAGTCAAGACCGTCCTATGAAGTTTTACGGCGATCGATATTACAGTTTCGGAGGTCTGACCCGGCTGCAGTCGTCAAGTCATTCTGGATGAGGTGGGTTAGGGTTTGCGACGATCAGGATATGCATGTCTCAGCATCAACCCAGCATTTCCTTCTTATCGAACTTCTAAAGTCAGTGTACGGGGACAGGGCATGCATGAGATTGAAATCTGCTTCTTTGGGAATCAGGTGGTGGCTGATTAGAAGGAAGAGAGAAATAAATCCAGGAAACAAGTAGGCAAGTAGAAATAGGTAGGTACCCCTCATCACTACCTAGGCACACAGCGCACCTTCCCAACTTCTACCTCTACATTTGCAATGAATCTTGGTGGCCTCTCTGATAAAGCACGCACATGCAGCTTTGCAGACTGCACGAGTCTCTTGAAGAATCTTCAGCAACATTATTTCTGCAAATAATTGGGACGGACATCCCAAGATCACGTATTCCATTGGTTCCTCTGTTCGAAATCTCGGCGGTTGAGATTGGCAATATACCTGCTTTCCGGATTTTCCATGCTGGTGCTCGCCTCCAGGATCTAGCCCTAATTCCATAATCGTTGACTTCACTTGGAAGGCGCGGCCCTCCCTATGCCGCAAGAGAACTTATGCTCTGCCTCTTGCGCGCCAGGAGAGGAACGGAATTTCCCCAACGCCGATATCTGTTTACCTTCCACTTCCACTTCCTGCCTTTACATGTACCTCTATCCACATGCATCAACTCCCCTCTGGCATGGACATTGCCCGGTTTGATCAAGATACAGCTTACAAACCTAGTTCGGCATTTCATGCGCATCAGCAAGCTATTCGGACATTGCCCGCATCACCTTGGTTGATACATGCCACTACATGGAAGCCTCTGGTCCTTGATTTAAAACTTTAAAGATGAGTTGTCCTCCTCTCCCCTTCTACCTTCCCACCTTCTTCACTCTTCCCACAAACTGGCAACATGATAGCCAACCAAGAGTCTCTTGGCAAAGCCATCAACAGCGCAGGCCTCCACGAGCCTGTGAACTTTCGGTGGCGTGTCACTGGCTACTACACGCCCGACCTTCTCGAGGGCCACCTTGAGAGACTGACCAAGGCTACCGAAAAGTACCTAAAATCTTGTCCCTGGCCAGCCAAAGAACTCGAGTATGGGTCTCTCAGGGTCAAGTCGATGCCCCTGTGCTCCCGCGAGGAACGCAACAAGGCTCCTTTGGACAAGAACGGAAGAGCGTACTTTGACATGACGGTACATGAATCCAGCGTCTCTTTTGTAAGCTCACATTTAGAGAGGGAGTCTAACAATGTCCCTCACAGGTTCAAATAACTGCTCAGCTCAACCCTGGACGCATCTTCATTCCACAGAATCTGGTCGAATTGCACGAATCGCTCTATGACTGCCTGTTTCCCAGACGTGGTGAAAAGTACCCTGTCACCAAGGGCTCCGGCTTTCGCTGTCAACTGCCCATTGGTGGTTTTGAGGGGCCAAATCACATCTTTAGTATCGTGAGGCTTTGTTGGACTGATGCACTATCAACAGCCCTAAAAGGAGTGTTCATCAGAAGGGGGATCATCACCCACACGCATGCTCCAGAACAATTTCCCGCCTCCGCAATCGTGGCCTTTATAAGAAACGTGAGAGCCAGCGATCAAGACCGATTACAGAATGAATTATGGCTGACTTTGGCGCAGAACCTTCTGAGACTCAGGGCCGTTTCTACAGAGTCCGCCGAAGAGCTCTCACACGTGCGCAACGGTCCAATTGCCGTCCAGACAGTCGTACACAATCTACTCGATACTTACCTCACATCGTGGGAGGCCTTCAAGCATACGCTCGCTGCGGCCAAAGACGAAGGTTAGTCCACCCTCAAGCCCTCATTTCTTCAATGTACACCTCGAACATCTGACATGGATTAGACACTACACCCAAGATGATCAAGAACGTCGTGACCAATGCCGAGATCATGCTATCTTCGTTGAAGAGACTCGTCAATAACATTGAGCGCCATGTCGGGAAGCCCGTCCCGGGATCCAAGAGTCGATTCTTCCTCAAGAGGTGGATCAAGAACTTTTTCGGAACAGCGGAATCGCCTACCGTTTGCCTTGACACTGACATCGAGGGCTTGGACGTTGATCGTTTCAAGTGCATGCGTACGTATCGATCAAATGTTCTCATCGGGTACAAAAGGCTGATTTGAACCGCCCTACAACAGTTCACCGCAAACTTCGTCGCTACGAAGCAGCCTTGTGCAACATGATAGCTACCGTCCGTCTTCTGGATCCGAGCACATGCAAAAAGTTCGAGCAGGTGGTTGACTCGACGGCCAACACTCCCGACAAGGCCGACTTTTTGCATATGTACGCCGGCACTCGGAAAGGGATGCCGAATTTGACCAGAGGGCGCCTGCTGGACGATATCAAAGGGTTCATGGAAGGAGTCGAGGATACACACCGCAAGCTTGTTGATCACCTCGAGGTCATCAAACGAGAGATTGGCAGGTCGATCGACCTTAATTCGAGGGATTCGTGGTTCCGTTCGGCAGAGCTGAAGGAAAAGTGCTACGACTCGGACTCTACTGACTCTACTGACTGATCGGACTCCTGTTGTGGGACGCCGCCCTATTTCGGTCGGGCCCAAGGAGCTGCATATTCGAAGGGGTGATATTGGTATAGTTTCAGGACGATCTCCACGAAACGTTATGGATATGACGTCTGCTAATAGGGCGTCTTGGACGATTGGTTCGACCTTTTTTTATGTGTGATTTACCAGACACACAAATACATGGCGTACACATCTTTGGCACGCACACAATACGCAATCACCACGTGGCTATCGCAGACAATGCAATCGGGTTTCAACACTGTAAAATCCCCATGGGGTTAGAGTAGTAGCCGTCCGGTCGTCTGTAGTGACGGGCTAGATACGAGAGACGTCATGTCGGTATTACATTTCGGCAAAGCGAGCCAATCAGCTCGCAATATGCCCTAGTCCCAACGTTGACAGTTTATGTACATTCCTTTTTGACAATTGTTGGTCATCCTTTGTTTGTCTGTTACTGGCCAGAACAGGCGGTGATGGTGATATTGTTTGTCAAGACTGGTATGAACTAGTAGTAGTGGCTGACATATCACAGCCAACCATGCCCCTGCTTTTTTGGATTAACAACAACCAGACACCACCAAACAAAATGGCGATGATCCCCAACTTTTCAAATTGCCGTGTTGTTTCCTTACCTTTGCGGTAATTCAATAACCTATCCATCAGCGATGACCGGATCGAAGACCAAAACCCCCCAAGTATCACCCAGAGCGAAATTCAATTATGCTCATGGTCCAGCTCCCCTATCGGAATTTCAGGACCTAGGCAACGGAATCCTCTTCTTGGATCCAGCAGCAGCAGCAGCAGCATCACCACCAAACCATGACGGTAACCACAACCATACCCCTCAACTCATAGTTCTCTGCACCTGGCTAGGCGGCGCCACTCCCCGGCGCATCGCCAAATACACCTCAGGCTACCGGCGTCTCTTCCCCGCCTCGCCCATCCTCGTCATCCAAACCGTCATTGCCGATTTCACCGTCCGTTCCGAACAGGCCATTCGGCGAAACCTAGCCCCGGCAAGAGACGTCATTCGACATGTCCTCCTTACCCACGATCGCTCCAATTCCCAATTACATGCAGGAGCAACTTATAGCGCACCGGAAAACAAGAGTCACGGGACAGGCACGGGAATCTTGTTACACATCTTCTCCAACGGCGGGTGCCACCTATCCCTCCAACTAGCCCACACCTACCTCTCCTCTTTTGGTGACAACTCACTCCCCGTCACGCTACAAATCCTCGATTCCTGCCCTGGCACGTTTTCCATTGCGCAGACCTATGGAGCAGCAGTGCATTCTGTGCCCTCGCATCATCCTTGGGTATTACAGAGCATGGAGCGATGGGGGTTGTGGAGCGCGGTGGTCCTGATTGCGGGAATACAGCACGGACTACCGAGAGCGATTGGGGAGAATGTGCTAAGACAAAAGTTGTTGGGTGGGGTGGGGGTGGATTTTGAGGGGATGAGGGGGGGAGTTTTGGATGATGGACTTTTTGGGGGACAGGGAAATGGGGGAAAAGAAGAAGGAGGAGGGGGAACGGGGACGGGGAGGTTGTATTTGTATTCGAAAGCGGATGAGGTGGTGGGGTGGAGGGATGTTGAGAGGCATGTGAGGCAGGCTAGGAAGTTGGTGGTGAAGAAGAAGAGTAAGAAGGGGGGAGGAGATGATGAAAGACAAGGGTTGGTGAGAGCGGAGAGGTTTGAAAAGGCGAGCCATTGTGCGTTGGTGATGGAGGATGAGGAGAGGTATTGGAGGGCTGTGAGGGAGAGTTGGGAGAGGCAAATGGAGAGGAGGCGGATGCGGAGAGAGAGTCGCGAAGAAGAGGAGTGTGAACCCGGAAAAGTCGTGTTGGGGGCTACAAATGAACAAGGGGGAGAAGGGGGGTTGGCGAGGAGCCAGGAACAAGGTTCGGTGTTGAAGAAGGAGTTGAGTCGAGAGCAGCTGAGGCTACTAAGTCTAGGAGAGGTCGCACTAGCAAGCTCTGACGGACTCGACGCTTCTGCTGTCGACGTTGCGAAGAACAGCTTAGAAGATGGGGTGCGGTTTCGATAATCGTATCGGGAAGAGGATTTGCTATTCTTGTTGCAGTTTGATTTATGGGACTCCAAAAGGAATAGACACATGGAGCGTGCCTCAGAAGACCGTTGGTACTCTCGTCTATGATAGCGTGGTTTGTAATTAACAACAGCTCTCATCATGATCATCCAGACGATGTGACAGTATACATGAGACAATCAGATATAAAACCAGTTTGAGCAACGGCGGTCTGCGTCCTCTCAAAGATAACTAACCGTCGTGAACATGGGAGTTGCTTGCAAAAAGAATTAGGCACAAAGCGGACGACAACGGCAGAGGTTACCTTGTATTTTTTTGGTTAGACCACTGGGGACCCACATTTCAGCCCCCATTCGCACATCCGAAAGCGGTTGGGCGCATGATAAGGCTGGAGTTAGAGCGGTTGCTGGGGTCCACTGTCATCTCCAACGACTCCAACTTGTGCGACTCCACAACTGGGACACAGTGACCAGCTTCAAGTTGTGGTTGGTCCGTCTTTCCCCGAAAAGAAAACAAATCAATGGAAATAAAACCACAAAGTCAACATCCCAAAGGGTCCCTGCTTGTGTCGAGAGACATCGAGAACCACAGCAACATTGTGGATAATTTTGGACGGTGCCAGAGAAAGTGCCTCTTAGGTATAGTCCTTTGTTGGCATACTATTGCCCGATCGGCTCGAAACCCCACTTTCATCCCAGAATCTGCAAGTACGGAGTCGCCAGGCATTATTGGCTTTGTTTACTTTCAACCTTTCTGACTTCCGACATCAACCACGGCGACTTGCTTCTATATCGGCGGCCAGGCCCCTGAAATCACCTCGTTGAAATCGAAAGACATTCAAAGGCCTTCAAGTTACCATAAGCCGACGACTTTAAGAGCTTGAAACCCGGGGTCCACACCGCCTAACCCACATCACATGTAACGCTTTGCATAGCAGTGCTTGAAGCCAAGCGAGTTCGCAGCCGACATACACCATCCGTCTATCGCTCGACGGAACCCGTTTGGGAACCGCCACAAACCATTTACAGGTTTCATCCATCGGCATATCAAGCCATATAATTCCCAATGGCTCTCTCATCATCATCATCATCGCCCAGTGAGGCCGTCTCCAGACGACAGTCTCTTTCCATCGGCTGCGCTCCAAAGAGACAACTCAATAACATCGAGGTCCTCAGTCTGATGCGCCAGCAACGAGAACACCCAAGCCCACTCCGAGAATGGTCCCCCGTCCACCCAGGCATCCAGCTGAGGGTCAACCTGCTCAACAAACTCATCTCGGACCTCGAGCGTACCCATCTTCGCCTCCAGCAAGAGGCTCAAAAGACACAACAAGCCTCCCAAATAGTTCAAGACTTTGCCGCATGGCCATCCATAGCACCCGAGTATGCCGCGATAAAGGCAGCCAACCCGTGGCTAGCAAAACAAGCCGCCAAGTATGCTCGGCCAGTCATCGAGAAGGAGTATACCCAGGCTATTGCTTTTTTGCAAGCTAAGCAGAGGAGAGAACAGTTACCAGAAGGAGACAAGTTAAAAAGGATATCTGGGGAGGAGAGGACACCAAGTCCGGCGTCGAGTCCCGAGGAACACCGCCAGCTTAGGAAAAAGGCGAGTAGTCAGGACCTGCGATCCAGTCTCATCACCCACCAAGGTTCGCCTGCTCCCCGTAGGCCAAGGACGCCCCCAGAGAAGGAAGGGAGTGGGAGACCCAAGACGCCCGAAAGGCCCACCCCTAATGTTACGCGACGACCGGAAAAGACCCCAAGCCCGCGACAAAGACCACCACCAGTCAACGAGATCAAGAAACTGCGCCTCTCCCCACACGACTCGAGCAAATCTTTGCCTTCCAAAACCCGCAGTACTCCATCCGGTCTGTCGCCCAGTCCCATGTCGAACCACCTCTCGAAACCGAAGGCCTCGCCGTTGGCCTGCCTAGAGTCGATGGGCATCGTCCTCACCCCCGAACAAAGACTCGAATTTGCCCAGCGCGCCGAACAGCTGGAAGCCATGGCATATCTCGAACTGCGTTGGCATAGGTTGCACTATGCAATGACTGAGATCCAAGGATTCTGTGTCCGGGGGCTTGCGGAGAGGGAAAGCGAACGGATAGCCAAGATGATGTACCCAATACGGAGACGGAGGTCTACTGCTGCTGGCGGTTCTGGAGTTTCTGCGCTGCGGGGGTTGCTGGCGGGTTTGGACGAGGATGACGACTTGACGCTCTTTGGTAGCGACGACGATGACGACGAATTCGAAAACGAACTGAACCACTACGAAGACGAATGGGAGGCCGAATCAGAGGATTCCGACTTGGACGGCGAATGTGACTCGGGAGAAAACGATGACTCAGACGAGGACAACTTCCCCGGCTCGACAGTTGCCTACAACAACCGCAAGTATGGAGGTCGCGGTACCATCAGCACCAGCAACACTCCAGATCTCTTCGCCCGCGCCGGAGCACAAAGTAGACTATCCATGTCCGCGGACATCGAACAGCAACAGCAGCAGCAGCATCTTCCTCTCGATCCTCACCATCCGCCCCTGCCAGATACGCCTCCCATCGTCTCTAGCATCGAACGTGACACTGCCCTTCCAAACATCGAAGCCGGACCCGAGGAGCCCATCGCCCTAACCCCTCCCGCTACCCCCAAACCTGCCCCCCGAAAAATCAACCTAAACCCGCGCAACGTGACCCTGCCACCTTCCAACCCGCGCGCCTCAACGCTGAACCTCAACCTCGGTCTTGGCGGCGGCGGCAACCTAAGAAACAAACCGAACACGGCACTGGCAAAGGAGATCGACACCCTCTTGCCCTGCGAAAAGGAGAACCTGCCTAGCACCCCGCTGAAGACGCTGAATATCAATCGGAGTAACGCGCGGCCGCTTGGTGGGACGGGTTTACTCACGCCGACGGCGTCGGGGCAGAGCAACGGTGGGAAGAAGGTGGGGATTGTTGATCTGGGGATCAAGAGCAGGCCGCCTGTGTTGAGGAAGTTGGGTGTCATGTCAGCGAAGGAGGTGGATGGAGGAGGAAAGGTTGATGCGGGAGGGAGGAAAGAGGATGCTGCTGCGAAGGAGAATCAACCGTCTGATGCTGGAAATGGCAATGGTGGTGCAGGAGCCCCTGGAGGTGGCAGTAGTAGTAGTAGACCTGGGCTACTGAGGCCGGGGTTGGGGAGGAGGTTTTCTTATCATGCTGGTGGTGGAAGGGTTTTGGGATAATTCTGCTCGGCAATGGATTATGTAAAGGAGAAGGGAAAGGGGAAAGAGAAGAGGATGAAAGTTTTGTGCGTGAACAGGTGAACGGGGTTGTTGTTATTGTTAAGGAGTTGAATGATGGATGACCCTCCAAGGGATGGATGGGACTGGAACATTCCAGGCATGGAAAGATGTCTCGGTCTATGTCACGAAGCAGGCTCGTGGGTGGACTGGTCTTCCTGTTCCACATATTTGTCAAGGGAAGATCTGAACCAAGGAACTCAGTCTTGGATAGTATGACAAACGAGCGAATGCGAATCGCACGTGGGAACTTGGATTGAACTGAACAAAAAAAGCATTTACCGGTATGCATATATATACATAGCCCATGGACTGGCACACTTCTAGTATAGTGTTAGGATTACCAACGATACATGTACACTAAAATGATATTCTTTTCAAGCTAAATGCATTTCGTACCTACTGTCTGCCCTTATTTGAATCCTCTTTTCAGACTTGTTCATCATTGTTGCTGGTCCCACATGGGGATCTGGTACATTCAGTAAGAGTCTTGTTAGCCATGAGGCCCATTGGTGTGAGTACATAACTCCTAATGAAAAGCAAATTATTTCATCAACAGAGAAAAAAAGCTGCATGGCGCAGCGGAAGCGCGCCGGGCTCATAACCCGGAGGTCACTCGATCGAAACGAGTTGCAGCTAAAATACGCTTTCTTTTTTTGCGTCTCTTTTCTTTTGCTCCTTTCTCCTGCCAATCTGTGTTTCACTCTCCTCTTTTCATTTCATTTTTTTCTTCGGGGGTTACCTCTGTTTCTTGGCCGGCAAGGGTTTCTCGCCGACAGTACCAAACCCGACTGCGTGCATATAACCCTGCAGTGCGGCTCTTTTTGCCATTTTGCCTTTGTGCATTTTGCATTTTGCAACACACCCCTGTACACTACACTCTGCTATACTAGGTATACTACAACCTGGAAGTGCAAGCTTGGCGGTCCTCTGGTGTACACTCCACTGTGTACATAGTAGTGTACCAAAACCCAATTGACTGGTCAGTAAGACCTTGATTCAGTTCGTTGGTGGTCGTTGTCGGTTCGTTGGGCAGGCAACAATAAGTTGGTTAGTTCCGGCCCATCTTGCTGATCCCCAATGCGTGTACATAGTTAGCTCAACTAGCACCATATAATAACTCAACATCCGGTATAGTGTAACGGTTAACATATCGCGTTTTCACCGCGAAGCTCGGGGTTCGATTCCCCGTACCGGAGTTTCTTTTTTCGTTTTCCTCGGCTTTTTAGCTTTTTTGCCCGTTTTGTGCTTTTCCTTGTTTTCGTGTCATTGTTCCTCCGCGGCATAAAGTTTGCCCATTACATGTTACTTATATCTTTCTGCCTGCAGGTCTTCGTATGCTCACCTTTTCTTCGTTTAGTTTAAATAAGCATGCGTCATACAGCATCTTTCGATACAATTTCATGGGCAGATTCAATCTTACAGAGTGACAGATGGGGAGATGCCACGATTTTAGCTGTGCTGCGCATACCTGTTAAACTAAGATGACAAAGAATATCTCTGTCTTCCTCACAAGAACCATTCGCTTTCTTGCTACGCACATACGGGGACTCGAAAGTATAGCATATCCATCAAAACGAGGAACAATGGGTTAGGTTATGGATCCAACAGAATTGAAATTGAAATTGTATGTGCAAGATTTATGTTCATATGTACAAATGCTCATGTCAAGATATTCACAATGAAAAAAGTTAAGTAGGTTCACCAACCAAAAATCACCCTTCCATCACTTCATCAGTCTTCCACTTCTCATCACATCCCATCCGCAGGCATGCACACACCCCCTTCCACTTGCCCTGGTACTTGCTTACACGCACTGCGAATAGTAATCATTCTGCTTTTCGCACTTATAAGGCGACACGCAAGCCGTCGGGCCCGTCCAGCCTACACCTCCGCACTGATACCAGTGCTGCGCGAGCTCAGCGCCGACAGTCGAGGTAGTCTTGACCGACGACAAAGTCAAGGTAGCAGTAGTAGGCTTGACAGTCGACGTCACAAGCGTGGTAGTAGCAGCAGCCTTGCTCGTCGTCGTGCTCACTGGAGCAGCAGCAGAAGTGGAGGAAGTCTTCACCGCAGCAGAAGATGATGACACAGCAGCAGCAGTGGAGGAAGAAGTCTTCACCGGAGCAGAAGACGACGACGTAGCACCAGGGGCGGTGCCGCTGACAGAAACCTGCGCGTACAGCACACCGCGGCCGTTGGTGCCGACATAGACCTGCCCAGCGACGTTTCCGGAACCGAGTACCTTGCTAGAGGCCACGGCGATGGAACCAAAGCCCTGAGCACCCTGGACGTCAGTCCAAGTAGCACCAGCGTCGGCGCTAGCGTACAGCTTGTTGCCGTTGGCGCCGGTGCCGAAGGCGTACAAGTTCCACGAGCCAGAAGCGGAACCGACGCCGAGGGAGATGGACTGCGTGTTGGTGAGTCCGCTGAGCTTGGTGAAGGAGACGCCAAAGTCGGTCGAGCGGAAGATGCCGGCGTCCGTGCTGACGTACAGCTCGCCAGCGACGGTGGGGTGGGCGACAATGTCGCGGACGGCCTTGGCGGATCCCAAAGCGTCAGAGACGGCGGTGAAGGTCGCGCCAGTGTCGGTGCTGCGGTAGAAGGTGCCGGTGGTCGAGCCGGCGTAGAAGACGGTGTTGTTGCGCTTGTCAGAGGCGATGACGGCGCCCGATGGGAGCGAGGCGACGGCGGTGAAGGTGCCCTGGTTCTGCGAGCGGACGACGCCGGAGGTGCCCGAAGACCAAACGATGGTGTCGGCGTCGGCAGAGTAGGCGACCGTGCCGCTGCTCTTGGTGGTGTCGGTGCCGTTGTGAGCGTGCCACGAGGCGCCGCCGTCCGAGGATACGGCCACCTGCTGCGCGCCGGAGCCGGAGCCGATGCGCACCACGTTGGCGGGCTTGTTGCCGGCGTAGTCGACGTCGGCGGAGCTGGCCCACTGGGGCGTCATCCAGGGCGTCTTGGGAGAGGTGCCGAGGTCGGAGCTGGCCTTGAAGGTGAAACCACAGTCGTCACCGACAGCCGCGAGAAGCTCGGAGCCACCGGGGGCGGAGGCGAGACCGAGGACGGCCATTTCTTCGATGCCAACGGCCAAGGACTGGATGGTTACGTTGTGGACGGTGTCCCACTTGGTCAGGTCGTGGCCGCCGTAGACGGTGAGACCGGTGGCGTAGAGCCAATGGTCGCTGTCGAGGGGGTTGATTTCGAGGGATTCGATCATCCAGCCGAGATGCTTGGTATCCTGAGAGAGGAAGCCGGTCTCGATCCAGGGAGCGTTAGGGGTCTGATAGTTAGAAAGTTAGTATAACGTCAAATGAGTATGGGAGAAAAGAGAACGCCTTACGGTCAATCCATAGTACTGGTTCATGTTGGGATAACCATCCCACTCCCAGATGGGAGACCAGGTGGCACCAGAGTCGGTAGAGCGGTAGATCTGGGCATCGGGCCACCACAAGTTCAAGCTGGCCACCATAATGGTACCGGGGTTCTGCATGTCAACACCCAAGCCACCAAAGCCATAGGCGAGGTCGCTGCCAGAAACGGGAGTGATGTCCTTCCAGGTACCGTTGGTGATGTCGTAGCGGTAAACGGCACCGGCAGTGCCATCGTAGGGACCAGTACCGTCGCTATAGGTAAGGTAGAGGGCCTTCTCGGTGGGCTGAAGCTTGCACTTATGAGGGAAATACGTGCCGGGCTGGCCAGCGACGGCGGACCAGGTGGCACCAGCGTCGTTGGAAACCCAGACCGAAGAGGTGCTGTTAGTGGCGGAACCAACAAAGATGCGGGACGTGGCGCCGTTGGTGGTAGCCGAAGTCGAGTCAAAAGTAACAAAAGCAATGCCCTGCTTGTCGTTGTTGAGGCCAGTGGTATCGGATGGGTCTACGACATAGTCGCCGACAGCGGTGAACGAAGACACCTTGGAGAAGGTGACACCGCCGTCTGTGCTCTTGTAGAGGCCATGGCCGCTGCGAGCACCGAAGTAGATGATCTTGGAGTTCTTGGGATCGACAGCAAGTCTCTCGCCCATGCCGCGACCGGGCATGTTTCCTCCAACCTTGAAGGGCAGCTCGGTGCTAGACCATGTAGCACCTCTGTCGGAACTGCGGATAAGGGTACCGTTGTTGGGGTCCCATCTAGAGTTGTGTTAGCCTACATTGAAGGGAACGAAGGACTGTTCCAGGACTTACGAGTTGGTGTACATGCCGGTAGCGGCATAGACCTTGTCGGGATCTTGAGGATCGAGAGCAACAGCATCGATACCCCAGTTGTTCCTGATGATTGTATGGTCAGCGTGCGGGTGACTAGGGGAGTTGACGATGGCTAGTATTTACCATTTGTCGTCCGTAGTGATGGAGTCGGTAATGGCAGTCCAGGAGTCATCGGCATTTAGTCTGTAAAGACCGCCAATATCGGTACGAGCATAGGCAACGCCCTTTTCCGTTGGGTGAAAGACAAAGCCAGGCACGAAACCACCACCGCCGCCAATGTTGACGTTCTTCCAGGAAGCAGCAGCCCTCACAGGAGCTGCCGCGGCTGCTAGAAGCAGCTGGATCACCGAGATGCTCTTCATGACAGGCTGACACAATGGTTGGAGGTGTCGTTCAGCAGAGCCTCCCAAAACGGTCCATACAAGAGGTCATAATGCAGTTAATATATGTATCAAGCACGTCCCAGTACCAGAGATCAAGACGGATCCCCCCGTTGGCCAAGGCCATGGCATGTCGACCCGTCTACCCGGAGAGTGCGGAGACTATGGTCTGACAGTTTCTGGAAGCGCTGCCATGACTGTGAGTCGGTGTAGGTGGGGGTGGCGGAGAGATCATTTCGTTCGAGGACGACTGGCGTGCTGGAACGTCATGCTCCATGGTGGAAGGAGATGAAGGAGAAGGGAGATGAGGAGGAGGCTCCAAAGAGAGAAAATGATCGAGGAGTCCGCGAATCGGTTGGTTTAGCGAAAAGGAGACCAGTCCACACTTTCGGGCCCGAGATGCCGCTGTTGCTACTTTGGTGTGTGGAAGCGTGGAGCGTCAACCTCCGCGTTTCACTTTTCGGGCCATGGCGTGCTTGTCAATAGCAGGGGACAGGGACCAGGGATGGTGATAGCCGAAACCGAGGAGATCATATTGCATGTGAGTGACGGGCAAAGGCAAGCATTGAAAAGGGCGGCTCTTCCTGCAATCTATCTTGGATCACCGGGTTGTTTCTGTGGAAGAAGTCTGGTGATGTTTTTGTTTTGGTTGTCGTTGCCAAGGAGAATTGGGGGTGCACAGGTTGCTTGCTGATGTCAGTGCTGTTAGCAGGAGACCGCATCCTGGTTCGTGGCCCCTTTGATGTCGGACTTGTTTTGCAGATCAAATGGAACAACAACAATCGGTACAGGATCGAAACAACTGCTATATCCGGTTTTAGTGTTTATACCCTTCATTTTTACTTTTAACCCCCAAACACGAGGCCATTCCCTGTCCAAGAGTTGAAGAATGGAAGAAGTCGGTTAACATGCAGCATCAGTATCCAACCCTAACCCCAAGACACACACCGTAGATCATCCTCCTTTCTCCTCGTCTTCTTGATGTTCCCCGCACTCTTCCATTGCTTCTCCCCGCATATGCATCGCTGGCCATGTTTCGTGCACACCGCATGGCAGCTGACTGACCGAGGAGTTCCAGTTGGGAAACACCAAAATATCCGTCGGCAGGACATCATGACCGTAACCACTTTCTCGTTTTTTCGTCTCATCAATCTGACCTTGACCGTCACCCTCTGTCATCTTTAGAGGCCCTGGAAATCTGGAAAGGAGTATCAGACCCGCGGGTTGCTTGGAGAACTCTTATCCATTTCACTTGCACACGTCTTCGCTTGTCTCACGAAATCAGTCCTCTCTGTTTTGATACTCCATTATCTTCGCCTTGTTAGTGTTCTGTTCTTGGTTCGATGAGTTCAGACCTCTCAACACCTGCCAAAATGTCATCAGTCTATCCAAGCTCAACCCCGGACTGGAACAACCATCAAGTCATTCATCGCAACACGCTGCCTCCCCGCAGTCACTTCTTCCTCTACCCAGACAGCGAGAAAGCATTAACTCGTCATGTCTCCTTGGCCAAGGCCCAGCTTCTCTCTGGCGAGTGGAAGTTCAATCTCTCCAAGTCGCCTTTGGTAGGTCCAGTGGGCTTCCAACACTTCGATTCCTTCACGGACCCGGACTGGAAACCCATCCATGTCCCGGGCATGTGGCAACTTCAGGGCTTCGGAAAAGGCCCGCATTATACCAACATCAACTACCCTTTCCCCGTGAACACTCCACATGTCCCCATTGATGAGAACGAGTGCGGACGCTACGTGACCCATTTCCAACTTGCACCCGAAGACAAGGACCACCAACTGCGCCTTCGCTTTGAAGGTGTTGACTCGGCTTTTACAGTTTGGTTGAACGGCAAGCATGTCGGCTACTCTCAAGGCTCGCGAAATCCATCCGAATTCGACATTACCACCTATGTGAATCTCGAAGGAGATAATGTTCTCGCTGTCGAGGTCTACCAGCGATGTGACGGCACCTACATCGAGGATCAGGACCAATGGTGGCTGAGTGGCATCTTTCGCCATGTCTGGATACACAAGTTTCCCCAGAAGTCTCACTTCAAGGATGTCAAGATTCTGCCAACCCTAGACAACGAGTACAAGGATGCCAAGCTATCCGTGACTGTTGAACTTAGCAGCCCGGAAGAGTTTACTTTCAGGTTGCTGAATCCCAGTGGTGGCCAAGTCATTCAGGGGACAATATCTGGAGAACAGTCCACCGTTATGGAGTTCAACATCCAAGACCCCCTAAAGTGGACGGCCGAGACGCCGAACCTCTACACGTTAGTATTGAGCATGCCGGATTGTGCTCTGACCGAGAGAGTCGGTTTCCGCCGCGTTGAACTTCTTGATGGTGTCTTTTCCGTCAACGGAAATCCCATCAAGCTGAGAGGCGTCAACCGGCATGAACACCACCCCGATTTCGGACGCGCCGTCCCATACGAGTGGCTCAAGAGAGACTTGTTGCTCATGAAACAGCACAACATCAACGCCATTCGGACTTCCCACTACATCAACGACCCTCGGCTATATGAGTTGGCGGACGAGCTCGGCTTGTGGATCCTGGATGAAGCTGATTTGGAATGCCATGGTATCTTTGTTGTCGGAGGTGATGGTAACAAGATGCTCTCTGACAACCCCGAGTGGAAGGAGGCGTATCTTGACCGCGCACGCCAGATGGTCATGCGCGACTACAACCGCCCTTCCATCATCATCTGGTCGCTTGGAAATGAATCCGGCTACGGCAGCAACCACAGAGCCATGTACGACTACATCAAGAGCGTCGACACCAGTCGTCCTATTCACTATGAAGGTGACTGGAACGCTCATTCGGCCGATATCTTCAGCAGAATGTACACATCGGTTGACGACATGGAGCGCTACGCCAGGGAGCCGTCGTGGGACAAACCTTTCGTCATGTGCGAGTTTGCCCATGCCATGGGCAACGGACCAGGTGCTCTCAAGGAGTATATTGAGCTTTTCTACAAATGGCCTAGATTAATGGGAGGCTTCGTTTGGGAGTGGGCGAATCACGTATGTATCCGGGGTTTCAAATCTCCCATCCTTTGCATGCGACTAACAAATAATCAGGGTCTGAGAACCAAAAACAAAGAAGGAGAAGAGTACATGGCCTATGGCGGTGACTTTGGAGATGAGCCCAACGATGGTAACTTCGTCTTGGATGGCCTTTGTTTCTCTAATCACACTCCCACCCCTGGTCTGTTAGAGTACAAGAAGGCCATTGAGCCTGTCCAGACACTCAAGCTTGAAAACAGGAATCAGGTGCGAATCATCAACAGATACGACTTTGTGACTCTTGACCACCTCAAGTGTCTCTATTACTACTCGGATGATGAGCCCGACTGGATTGAGAAACGGGAGGTTAAGATCCCCAAAGGTACTTACCATCACAACTCATCCCCAACTTCCAAACCAAACCACTAACGAAAATAAAAACCACAGGGGTCAAACCACACGAACAAGCCCTCATCACCATCTCCGACCTACTCGACGCCAAAGCGCTCCAAGCCGCGGGCCGCCACGACTGCTACCTAACGCTCGAATTCTCCCTCGCCGAGGCCACCAACTGGGCAGAACCCAACCACATCATCGCCACAGGCCAACTCCCTCTCACACCCCCGCACAACCCCTTCGCCAATCTCCCCGCCGCCACCAACGCCCACTTCGACCTTCTCTCACCTACTCTCCTCTCCATCACCGTTCCCGGCTCCAACTCCAACACCTACGAATTCGACCTCTCCATCGGCGCCCTCACAAGCTGGAAACGCTCCCCCTCTTCCGCCAACATCCTCACCACCCCCCTCACCCTCTGTCTCTACCGCGCTCAAACCGACAACGACCACGGCTGCGACTTTGGTCGCAACTGGACTTCTTCGCGACTAAACCTGGCCAAACACCACCTCCTCTCCACATCCTGGGACCCTACCGCCTCTCCTCCGACCGTAACCATCAAAGGCCGCTTCGCGCCCCCTGTGCTCAACTGGGCACTCGAAACCATAACCGTCTACTCCTTTCTTGAAGGAGGCAAAGTGAAGGTCAAGATGCACGGCAAACCGGTAGGTAACTGGCTGCCGCGTGCTTGGGCGCGCTTAGGATTAGAGGTTGGATTGAACGACGTGCACTTTGCGTCGTGGCAGGGTCGCGGGCCGGGGGAGTCGTACCGCGATAAGAAGGAGTCGCAGCTTATTGGGGCTTGGACAAGTACCATTGATGAGCTGTGGACTGAGTACGAGGTCCCGCAGGAGGGGGGAAACAGGACGGATGTGAGGTCGGTGGAGTTTAGGACGGAGGGGTGGGACATGGTACTGGGAGCGAGGTTTGTCGAGCCCAATGGAGAGAATACGAGTTTTCAGGCGAGTAGGTATAAGGTGATGGATGTGGAGGCGGCGAAACACCCGTTTGAGTTGCATAAGAAGAGGAGGGAGGATACGATTGTGCATTTGGATTGGATGCATCATGGTTTGGGCACGGGGAGCTGTGGGCCGGAGACGAGGCCGGAGTATACGCTGTGGGCGGATAGGGAGTATGAGGTTGAGATGGTCCTTTATTGAGTCTCTTTGGGTCCAAAACATCTGTCGTCCATGAGCTTTTGGGTCGAGGAGGTGATTTGCAAAGCATAGCTACCTAAGGTAGTTGTGGAAGCCATAACATGTTCGCCATTTGGTTAAGTTAACGGTAGGAACAAGATAAGAAACAAAGGGAAAGGAAAATGGATAACAATTAACGAAAGCCCTAGGAAGCTCATACCGAGCAGCATACATGCCACTCGACAATGGTCGTGTTCAGCACAACAGTGAACCGGAACTACCCTTTACATTATGTCTTATATCAGCCGTACCTCCATTTCCCTTGTCAAGCTGGCCAATCGTGGCCAGTCATCTTTGCTCACTTCGATTAAGCAACTGTTCAGTCTCTCGTAAAATGTGCGAACCTCCCCCTCTGACGACCTTGTCACCGGCCTAAGTATCATCCCTGAAAGTGTCAATGGTTCGTACAAATTAAGCTCGTAATCGCATCCCACGATCAGAAAGAGAAGTTTTGAGCAATCTCCTTTGCCAGAAACCGCTTCTTCAAATAGCCATTGAGGAGATCCTAGACTTGTTTCGAAAGGTCGTGTAATTACCCATCCATCTTCGTCCGGGTCTAATGGATGTTCTTGCCATACCATCTGTACATCCATAACCAGGCCCGTAATATTGAGACTCAGCGGTATCTTTCCGTTACGTGACAGATCAAGAATCCTTGGGTTATCATCCTCCCAATTCAGTAACAGTTCACCACTGTACTGCACCCTGATTCTCAAGCAACTGTCAAAAAGGTTAATTCTCCTGGGCTTAACCTTTCTGGTTCTCCAACCAGCCGTTGTCCAGCTGCAAAACACTTTTCTTCGGGCCCGTTCGAAGCTGGCTGGTAAATCAAACGATTCGCGCCATCCGTGACTCCAGCATAGACTGAAAGCCAGGCTGAAAGTAAGGTTATTGTCGTCAGTCCGCTGGGCCTTGAATGCTTCTTTGAACGCGTCTGCATCTTCAAACGATGTGCGAAAGTTCAATGCCTGTGGCTCGCTGTATAAACGATCATATTTCGCCCATGAGCGAATAGACAAAACGGGTAAGCCACAGAATAACTTGAACGCCGAGTCTCCCGCTGCGAGCGCGTACATTTCCATCACACCACTGATGGCGTTCAAGGCATCAGAGTCGTGACCAAGTTCTCTCGGTCCGTATTCACTGATTCTATCCCAGGCCGTGAAAGGGTCGTCCCAGTCGGTCACTTTCGGAAATACCATCCCAAACTCGGATTTCTTGAGCAAAAGTGGACGAATCGCATCAAAACCTTCTCCTGGTTCAGGAATGGGAAGGGACAGGACTTCATCGCCATGCATTTCCTGACACTGAAAGTAGACCATAAGATCTGTGAAGACAAGCCTTCGCTTCGACAAAAGGCCTTCTTGGTATGTCCAACCTCGGGTATTCCATTTCGAATTGGTGATGTGATCCGTTGGTGATTCATATAGTACGAGAAATCTCGTCGTTGATTTGCACTCCCACCTGCGCGACACGAGATCGTGAGCTCACGCCTGGAAGTCCGTATTCTGGCTCATCACCAGCTGCTGCAATGATCGTAAGAATCGAATTTGAATATATCCTTCCCATGTTCAGGATCTGTATGTGCTTGGCGGCCCCGTCTTCTTGTGGGATACAGTACCTATCTACCCACAGATATCGGTATCCCAGTTGCTTTACAACCCGTATCGCGTCACTGATGACTAGGGGTATCTGAGTAGGAAGAGCAAGAACGCTAACACCATCACAGTTGATCGATTGAACAACTGACCCGCCGGTTGCCTCAGCTGTGCCCCAAAGGTAACTGAGCGTAACATAGTTTGCCACCTGATCGGCAGCCTCCTGTCTAAGTGGGAGAGGGACGACGTGGTTCGTAGTACAGTCAATAACGAGAAGCCCTGGTATTCTGCCTGCGTCCACGTCTTCGCAATGGGAATGTGTCGACCGGCAGAGCGTTAGCCATTGCTCGATGAGATTCAAGTTGACTTTGTTAGGATCAAGTTTTCTTCCTTGAAGTCCACCGCCGGCACGTTTATTTCGTATCAGGGTTTTGCTGCTACTGTCAACCACACGCAAAATGGGCTGCGGCATCAGCTGAGACTGAATAAATCTGCCACTTCCTGTCAGTTGGACTTTCCAAATTTGCAAAATCGCAACGTCTTGTAAGAAGGGGTCGCTCGGCTTGCGAAGCTTTGGTAGAAAGTCTTCCAGTGAACATTCCGGCCTGATACTGCAGCGCCAATGTTCTTGTTTCGTGGGACTCAGATTCAAGCGAACTTGGCACTGATACAGAAAAGCACAGAACGAACAACCAGACGCCTGGCTATTCAACTTGCCCAGCAAGCCTGTGTATAACAACTTGAAGTTCAAAAGTCGAAATTCCGAACAAAATGTTTGTTCCTGTATGCAACGGCACTTTGGCCGATGAGTATCGCAGTTGACCCATCTGTTGCGCTGCAGCGATGCATCTACCTCACAGTCATGAGACCAGAATAGTGACTTGAAGTCCACTTTTCTGCAAGTGCTGCACAGATTTGAGTTCTTTTCGTCGAAGCCCACGTTTGGGCCGACCTTTTTGTCCGCCATTTCGTCGCATTTGTCATTCCCCTTTTCACTAATCTTGTTGCTGTTCTCTTTCGCGTCACCACTGTCATGGTCGTCTCTGTGGCCGTCGTGTGACAGCATCCCGAAGCAACAACACAAGGGAATCTTGAACAGACGTGAACGCGCCGTGGCTAGGTAGGTTGTGCCAAGGGCGAAATTTACATCAAGAGATGGAGACTTTTGGACTGAGCCGAAGTGCGGATGTAATGATAGGATGGATGCGGGATGCGCAAGCGAGAGCTTCCTCTATTGTTGCCTTGATCGTTGTGAAACCCCGGTTTAATGTCGATAACTCGGACAAAGGGCAGCAAAGGGCAGCAACGAAAAGGATCCGTAAATATAGTCGTCGTGAACACTGACGGATGATGGGCTGCGATTTGAAGCTCGGGAAAGTCCTGCTGGAGTCGAGATTGAGGTTATTTCTTTGGTTCCATGGGGAGATAAACTCGCAGAAATCCCAGCGCCTCACAGCCTAACCTATCTGTCAGCTGATGTAGCAGACAGCAGCGGCCTCCATTTGCGGGCTTGTATTACTAGCAGGTATGTCTTGACAACGTGGCTTGCGTGGTTTCATAGGCCCTACAGGTGGGCATCCGAAGGCAATTGGTCCAGCACTCGTGAGGCAGTGTGGTTAGCTTACGTTCACACACTAGCAAGCAAATGGGGAGAAAATACCTAGCAAACCATTTCTGTCAAAATACCATCTTATGGGTATCCCCAGCCCAATCACCACCGATCATCATAATGGAGGCTGAGTGTCTCCAACTGGAAGGCCCCGTGCTTTCCGTAGAAGGGTCCATCTTTGGCCGTTGCCGTAGTGCTTCATGACTGTTGAAGAGACGCACTAGATGATCGGCAGCGATTGAGGTTCACCCTGGCCAAGGTCGATGTTTCGTTAGCGTAGGGGCAGGAGAACAAGGAAGAATAACGCCAACTAGATAACCAATCCGTCGGCTATATGGCAGGCCTAAAGTTAAACCAAGAAAGGCGAACATCCAAACGATGATTAATTGGGAAAACAAGGTTAAGGTTGAAAGAGGGAAGATGCCCGGCAGACTGGGATAATTCCAGGCACTGCAGTCAGCAGTGGTGGGCCGCGACTGCCATATAACCTTCCATCCGCATGCAGCCTGTGATATTTGGAAGGTGCTCTCCACTCAAATGCCTTTCTCTTTTTAACAAACCAAACCACCAATCAAACAATCTCCCTACCTACTCGTAGCCATTGGGAAGGTAGGCGATTCGAGCCCTGACGAGACAGTATTTCCCATCACCCAAGTTCCCGTCACTTCGTCTCAAGCCGAGTTAGGTAAGTGGTCGTTACCCATCTCCCCCTTCCACTCCTTCAACCACCCCCTCACCTACTTTACCCAACGCAAAAACATCACTCTTCACCTCCGAAGTCGTCCACGCTTCCTTAGTCATCAATCCAATCCGACATCCCTTTCCCCTCCCCAAGTGGAAGCTCCTCCCCAATCCATCTTGCCATCCCAAACCCCACCAAAACATATCACCCTCCCGACCCCCTCCCCTCACCTCAACCATAACATTCTCCGAATTACCAGCCACTGTCAACTCCACATACAAACACCGCACAACCACCTCTTCCGAAGCGCCCATTCAATCAACTCCTTGTTTTCGGTAGTCACAATTCCGGTCCCGGTCCCGACGCTCATCTCGAGGTATTGATACAGCTTATACTCCTCGCCTCCTCACCACCAACCCCACGCACCTTATTGATACGACCGATTGATTTATTCAACCCCCTATTCTAGGTAGGTACTCAATAACGCTTGGATGTCCGATCCACGCGCTGGAGCCTCGTTTACACGCCGGCTCGGAAGCTCGCCTAGTACTTCTAGGCACCGATTCGGGTAATTTTTATAGTTGAAGATAGATCATGCCTCGTGGTAAGTCTGGCTCTGATGCAATGATACCATAAACTCCGACAGTCTAGGTACCCTAGGTACAATCGGATAGACCTAGGTAATCATCCGGCATTGCACCGGTCCTAATGAAGCAATGATCTGTGTAAAAGCGAGTTCTGAGATGTCGCTCAGGGGGGGGGGGGGGGGGGGGGGCATTTGGCGTAAACCGAAAATACTAGCGAGCCTTGCACAAGTTATGTGGGTGGGTAGTGATTCAAAGACTAGCTCTATGTTGGATTAGCAACGAAGCAGATGAGGAGCTAGAAAGAGAACTTATGAAGAGCCTTGTACGTGATTCATGATTCAGTGATCTCATTGAAACATATATACGGTAATGGTATAGTATGGTAGTATCGTGGGTATGGATGAGATGAGTGTGGACCATTGACTCCATGCCAATTCCAGTTCCCTCTGCACCCTATTCCGGCCCAATGTGGAAAAAGAATAGAAAAAAAAACAAAGAAAAAAGTGGGCTAACAACAAATGGGTATAATAATTTCTCTCCTCTTTCCTTCACGCCGTTTCACTCCTTCTCCGTGAGACCCTCTCATCGAGGGCCATCGTCTCTAACGAGACCCAAGCTTATGAACCCACCTCTTCAGCATCATCCTCATGCCTGGCTTCTTCTCCTTCTCCCCCTTGACACCCTTGTGCACCGCAAAGGTGGTATCGACCACCAACTTCGGCACCTCACGTGCCTTTTTCTCTTCTTCCACTACTTTCTCTGTCGTTGGCCTCACATCCATAGAAGGTCTAATTTCCTGAATAGGTGCGCAGTACGTTGACGCCATCGAATCGTCCCTCTGATGCCCAAAGTAATGGTGTTGAGAATGCAGTAGCCCTCCGCCCACCAGCGGGTCCGCCGACCTGTTCCTCAACGGACACATTCCTTGCAGTCCGTGCCGAACCTTTTCGCTAATAGGGCTACCCAGTTCCTGATCGCTTTGCGCTTCCGAAAGTAAGCGGTGTCGCATAAAGTTGGCACCGGTGCTGGTTGCGCGGCGCGGGCCGGGTAGGCGGACGTTGCTGGCAGAAGGCGCGGGTGAGGTGCCCCGTTCGCTGATAGCTTTCTTGATAGGTTGGGCGGGCATGGAGTGGCGTTTTGGTTTGGCCGATTGCGCTGGTGTTGCTGGCTGTTGTAACCGTGGTGTTTCTGCGTCGGACGGCTGCCTGCTTATTGGCGGGGTGCTGCCCTTTGAGGAGCACAAGGAGTCGGATGCCATCGGTCGGGACCATGTGTGCCTGCGGCGGGTCTTTTCGTTGCCGGTCGTTGGACTTGTTGGTGACTTGTCGTCCGAGCAGGGGCTGGAGTGGTTGTGAGTGCTGGGAACGTAATTTGGCGACCATCCTGACCGCAGGACTATCCATAGGGCCGTGGTCGAAATGAGAGACTTGGTGGCTTCGTCGATAATGCGCACGGTTCGCTCAGGCTCGGGCTCAGGCTGGGTGATGCCGATCCCGGAGTCAGCTTCGCTATCTTCTGGTGATGAGGTTTGTGGGCTCGAGGGGCAAGACGATGAGCCACCCCGGCTGAGAGCATTGACTGAAACCGCGCGACCAAGTGGCCTTGGTGGGAAGCGACCATAGGACGAGGATACAGTAGTGTAAGTGTCCTGGACAACGAGTGTACAGTGAGTTAGGGTTGCCATGACTGGATGGCGTCGTGACAAGGGGTTGAGAATACTGAAGGTGAAGCGAGGATATTCGGGCGGCGGCGCAGGTGTATCCGCTGGGGATGTAGGTGGTGTTTTGCCAGCGCTTCGGCGAGCCCAGCGGGCTGTCGTTACATGACCGCGTTCATCGACATGGACAAAGTCGTAGGACCCGTTAGGCAACGCTTTGGCAGTCCAGATGGATCCATCTCCCAATACAATCTCCGTTTCCTCCGAATGCTTGACCGGGCTGTACACAGCAAGAAGCTTGCTCTTCTCAAATGTCTCGTCACTGTCGCCGCTTTCCGAACCCTCCCGCTCCGACTCGTCATCATCCCGCTTCATCAACACTAGATCGTCGTACCCAAGCTGGCGCTTGACCCCGAAAATGCCCGGAAATCGCTTTGCTAATCGGGGAGTTATCACAAGGCCGGCGATCCGCGAAGACGGAAAGACCTCGAGCATAGGGCGCGCATGGCCATCAGGAGAGACCGCTTTAAGTTGTAAAAGCAGCCTAGGTAGAACTGTATGCATCACCTTGAGATTTCCAAGCTTCTTTGGAGTAGGATAGCCAAGGTAGTAGGTGGTACTGGTGCTCTTGCGCGAGGGCGTCCGACGGCGGCGGGGACGGCGACCTGACTCGGAGTGACCGTCGACCGAGGCGGCCGTCTCGCTCATTTCGGAGTCAGAGAAGACATGGTGGTCGTCATGTTGCATCTCAGGCGTCTGGGGTTCCACCACATCGGGTTCCAGGAAGCGAACTAAGGGCTCGGGAGTGCGGCTCCGGGGAATGTACTCTGATGCTGGCCGTTGTCGCAAAACAGGCTTCTTTGGAAGGGCGGTAGTCGTGGTGGTCACGCGGCTCTTTGGTGGTGAGAGAGCCGAGAACAGAAGGGGAGGTCGTAGCTTGTGCGAAGAATGGGACGACGAGGGTCTGTTGGAGTATTCGTGACCGTGCATGCTGGCGCCCGAGTGAAGAAACATGGTGGTGAGGTACCCCTAGGGCCCCGGAGGCCCTTTCCGTTTGGGGTCGACAGGATGTGTATGGCAAGGGAGGAAATTGCTAAGTGAGCGGATCGTAGTAGGAAAGTGCGCAGGGGTGTGTATGATACGGAAGGAAGTGCAGTGCCGTATGAGGAAGGATCGAATATAGAAGCCGTTGCCGAGTCCGTCTCAACGGAACCAGCCGCGATGTAAAGTAGGTAGGTGTTGGTACGTAGTTGGCCGTCCCCCCTCTTATATGAAGTCTCGATATTCGGAACCCGGGAGCCGATTGAAAACAATCCCCAGCTATATCCCCCTGCTCTCAGAGCACTGCCACATGCGCAAATCCCGAAACACGGGAACTGAATCAACTCAACGGTCAACAGTGGACTCCAGCTCTGGCGCAATCCGACGAAAGCGAAACCGTTCCTCCCCGTCTCAACTGAACAATGGAGAGCCCTGACTGATGAGCTGGCCTTCACATCGATGGTTGTATACAGAGTTGCAGGTCGAAATGCGGTTGCCTAATCAACAGTTGGCCAGTGGTGATGAGGGCGTAAGAGCTAAGAACGTGGTGAAGCAAGGGGGTGATGGAACGTTATATGAGAGGTCTACCACGGCGGTCCGGTGGCGTCGTATCGGAGAAAGCAGAAAAGTCGCGAAAGAAGGAAGGGAAAGAAACAAAAACAGGATTCCAGATCAACAGGAGATACACCTTGGGAGACACCAGGAACGTGGAGACAGCACGGAAGAGAAGAAGACAAGGAAGGCCCTGATGATGTTTTGAATTAATTAGCCGTTCCGGATGGATAAGGTGAGGAGCTGGAGAAAAATAAGACCCTGGGCTACCGGAGCCTCTGGAGTTCTTGAGGAGCCCGAGAGAAGCAAAGCCTCGGACGTTGTTGTGGTGTGTGGAAGGATGTCAAGAGAGAAACCAAACAAATCAAGGGGGACCTGGGCAGACTCGGAGTGGCAGGGGAGGGAGCACCAACAAAGTGGATGACCAATTGGCGTCCGACTGTCACCGTGTCTTGGCCTCACCCCTCTGACTGACGGGGTTCAAGCCGTGGCCGAGCTGCGAGGAGCTCCAAGAGGTTTGGAAACGGTGGTGTTGCTGTGCCAGTGGCCGGTCACGACACCCGCGACGCCCAAAGAAGAAAAAAAGCGACGGCGGAAGCGCACGGCAGATCCTGCTAGATCCTGGTAAAGGTAAGCGGGCAGGGGACTGGCCAAGCCCTGAGCTAGCCTGGCCAAATTAAAAAGATGGGGCCAGTTCGGTGCCGATGGTGGATGACGGTGGACGCCGGCAACGGTGAGTCGCTGAAATCGGCCGCCGATGTGTCAAAACCGTCGGACGTTGGCGTGGGCTTTTTCCTTCGGCGGCGGCGGCGGTACGTAACTCGATCCTTGTGGATGTCGCCAACACTCTCCACTAAGCCAAGCGATGATGTATTCCAGCGAATCCCACTGCGTGCCGAGAGTGGATCGGCCTGACAAACCTTCGAATGAAGAACCTCGCAGCGAATTCTCGAATTGTGACCGGGGTCGCTGATTTGTCCGTTGGTGATGTTTTGTGGTGGAGGTTTAGTCAGACGGGTACACTAGGTATCGCTGGGCTGAAGCCTGGTGCTGTTGGACGACGAGCAACAGAGAGAGAGTCAGTGTGTGTGTAAGTGTGTGCCACGAGGCCGGACCAGATGGCCATGAGCGGTCCTGGTGTTTTGATGTCGGCGACGAAATCCGAATGTCATAGCTGACATATATATGATTTAAGAGAAGGTGCAAATCTCGTGGCAATGTCCAGCAGCTACTATTTGCGCCGCAAAATCACATTGCCGACCAATCCGACCCGACTGCCAGGAGAACATTTTCCCAAAGCATCGGTGGCGACAGACTAGAAACCCAAAAAAGACTTGGAAAATTCAAGACACCAAACAGAAACAAAAGGCTGGCAATGTGTCCATTTTCTGGGGAAGCCAGCCAAGGTTCGCGTCAAGCAGCCGTGACAGTGTATAGTGTACACTACTATCTTAGCATGTCTTGGGACGTGGCCGCTGACTGGACCTTCTAAGCGATATGTTCCCCAAAACAGTTCCCTTTCCTCGTCATCGGTCTCAATTCGTTGCTGGCTGGTGGAAGGTCAACTCGGTCATACAAAGAAACCAATTGAAGAGTTTCAAGACGCCAAAGTCCCCGGCAGTCCCAGGCGGGGTTGATTTGTTCAACATGGTCCGTGTAAGTTACACTTTGCAAACATTACAGCGCTTGCGTACACGTACTGCAACAACACTGCAACGGTGACCACTGTAACTGTATGTAACAATGTCATGTGCCCCTGCTGGTCCGTGCCCACAGCTGCTGTCGTCTCCCGCCTGCCTAGGTACCTTTCAGTTCGCTTGTCAGGCTGTTGAGACGACCGACTAACGGGGCTCGAAGCACACTGGTGTCGCTGGCGACAGACAACATTCGACGACGACCACTCCTTGCGATCAGACCAACCACACGCCAGCCCAACCACATCTCCCCCAACGCGACCGCATCAACGACGCCCCTCTTTGGCATGATTAATGACGAATCTGAGTAATTGAGAAGAACGATACCCGCCGATACACGAGCATCACCAAACGAAACCCCGATACGGCCAGCCCGACGACAGCACCCCCACACCTGCCCCAACCCCGAACCTCCACACCCGATAGCGATACATACTCCATTTAAGCCAAGATGGCCAACATTCTCGACAGCGAAGCCGGCACGGAGCTCTTCAAGCACTATGAGACGGAATACCAGCTGGTCCAGGCCGACCTGGTCCAGAAGCTCGACCAAATCTCGGAGCTGACGGGCGAGCCCAGGAAAGCCGCCCTTAGCACGGCCGAGCGCGCCCTGGAGGAGGCCGGCGAGCTGCTGGACCAGATGAATATGGAGAAGCAGAACGTGCCCAGCTCGTCGCGGACCGCCATCAACAAGCGACTGCGCGACTACCGAAGCGACGTGGACAAGTATCGTCGCAAGCTGCAGACGCTGGCGACCGACCGGAGCGCCCTGTTCGGCGGCAGATACACCGATAACCCGGGCTCGTCGAGTGGCGATAGGCATTTTGAGCAGAGGCAGCAGCTGCTATCTGGTGGGTGGTAGACAGAAGCACCTTATACATGGCAAGAAGAAACGGAATGCTGACTGTTTCCCCCGAAACGTAAAAGGCACCGACCGGCTCGATCGGAGCACACAGCGCCTCAAGGCCAGTCAGGCGCTGGCTGCCGAGACAGAGGCCATTGGCGCCAGCACCCTGGCCGACCTGCACCGCCAACGCGAAGTGATTGAGCACACCACCACGATACTATACGAGAGTGAAGGCTATGTGGACCGAAGTGTCAAGACACTAAAGGGCATGGCACGCAGGTACCACCCTCCCCTTTTTCCCGATGCGAATCATGATGATTAGGTAATACTGACCACTTGCGCCTCTTCGATTAGGATGGCTACGAATCGGATAATCACCATTGCTATCATTACCGTGCTGGTTCTGCTTATCATTGCGGTTATCGTTAGCAAGTTCAGGTGATTGAGTTGAGAGAGCTGAGCGAATCCATAAAGAAAGGGATACAACAGGAGGTAGAACAGACATGGGGTGTTCAGTGGTGACATCACGATATATACGAACAGGTGGTGGATGGTTTGGACTGTACCGATGGAGCGTTTGTTATAACAGAGACTTGTTCCAGTTGTTTTTTCGTATCGTAGGGATGGTATCGTACGGGGGTTTGTATTTTTACACAGACGGCGTCACAAAGGGAGGTGGTTTCGAAATTCCGACGTATTTCTTTCTCATGACCATACGGCGGCATTGCTTCCATGGACGTTCCGACATCCGACAGGGGAAAACGGCTCCCATTTGCACAACCGGCGGGGACCTCGCCGCCACATGGGCAGCGGATCGTTCTATGATTTCAAATGATTCTCCTCTGAGACATAGTATCCCTGACTTTGGTCGGTGTTGACCGGGGCCTTGGTTATACACTACTGTTTAACCTGCACATAACGATCAAGAGGGTGTCAAGGGGTTTGATCGTTGTAGCCAGGTTATCGTTACTCTCAGGTAGACTAATTTGGGCTTCTAGACCAATTAGAAGGCCGTCAACAGCTGAAAGGACCCACTCCTGGCCGTTACAAACTGTAACGGCCTGTCACTGTACGTCTCAGAACTGAACCAAACCCCCCAAGTATAACGATTTTGGTGTGGCTCGCCGTCAAAATCTGATCGAAATCGTAATGCGAAGGTTGATCGTTACTCCCATATAAATCTGCACCGTTACCGTGGTCTTGAACGTCATAGTCAGAATATCGTTATATGGCTGATCGTTATGTGCAGGTTAGACAGTAACAGATTTTCCGTTGGCCACTGTTGCTTGAATGATTTGCGTTCACCACACCTCTGCTGGGAATATGACTTGGTAACTTGGTAGTTCTACAAGAAACAGAGAACGGGTCAACGACAAACTGGCCATTTCCTGTGCTCAAATTAAGCTTCTTTGCCACCCTGAAAAACCGAGGTGGATATCCCAGCAGAGGTGTCTTGGTAACTCATGTACACTACACTACAGGCCTATTATAGATGAGTAGACTCAAGAAATTTTCCATGTGATAGAAACACGCATCACTGCAAATCAGGTCAAGACATCTTCAAAATACTTTCGTTGTTGTTGTTGACATTTGCATAACCCCACTTTCACAGATACATAACGGACCCTCAGACCTTCACAGCTCCAAGTGAACTTTAGGCGGTGAAAAAAAGTCCACCGGACTGATGTTCCGCAGCTCAAGCTGCAGCTGGAGATCGCCGGTCTCTCCCCGGCTTTCCCACTCGTCTCCATTTTCACCAATTCTTCACTTCGCGATGGAGTCACAAGACAAAACACCAAAACCGCTTACGGAGCGGACTTTTGGCGAGGGGAGTTCCTTGGGTATGGAGTCGTCGTCGGGTCCCATATGATGGAAGCTAGGGCACCGACGGAGAAAAGCCTCGCTCCACTGTGGACCCTCTCTCTCTCTCTTCCACTGCAGCGGGACTGACTGCAGTGGGCCAGCTGAAAGTCTGAAGGGATGGAACATCCGGGATGGATGGAAAACGAGGGACGGATGCACATCTTGCACAGCTTTCACAAAATGCACAAAAAATCGGAGGACACAGAATTCGGATTCGGGTTCGGATCGATGCGGATTCGGATCGCCGACATGAAATTTCTCATCACAACGTGGTGAAGTCTTCACCAGTCACGTTGACTTCAAGTTGAGAGAGAAGCAGACAGAAAAACCCCGCCCGGCCGGCCGTGAGTCGGAAACGGAGTCAAGAAGGACCCCGATGTCCGTTGCGATCCTTTCTTTGTTGTTGTTGTTTTGGGCTTCCACACCTGTGGGAACATAAAGCAAAGGGACGATGTCACTGTTGCAGCCACCAATGCCTGGTGGCCGTTTCGGCAGGCCTAGCGTAGAAGATATGTCACAGGGCAGAAAGAAAGAAAGAAAGAAAGTCAATAGGTAGGGCGGGCAATGACTTGATATGATACATGATACATCACTGATGGGTGGGATTCAAGATTCCCAAAGGTTGGCAGGGGCGCTATTGTTTGGAGATCGTCAAACGGTTTAAAAAAGAGAAGAGGAGCTAATAACGTGAAGAGCCGCTTACATAACGATCTGGTGGGCTTCTACCGACGTGTACTGCAGTGCATATCAAAAGCTAGAGCACAAGAGCTAGTGATGATGCCAAGGGTCGGAGAAAAAAAAAAGAAAAAAAAAAAAAAAAAGACACAAAGTCCAAAATGGGTCCAGGGAACATACTCGTGTCATCTGGAGTGCATTCGCATGTCTCGGGGAAGGCTTGTGGTCATTCATGAGAGGAATGTCAAACGAGTTTCGGCCGAATTCTCTTGAATCCTTCCGCAGTCTTCTTTCAACGGTGTTTTACGCATTAGGCAAAAGTCCCTTCATCGGCCCTTTTATAGCCGTGCTGCAGTTCTGGACTTTGAACACGATGGATCGTGTTTAGCGAAGATGTCCAGCAGCTTTTCACATGCGAATATCGTTCGGAAGGTCAGGCCACCTCCTACAGTGATCTGATAATCTCGAGTTGACACTCAACTACCGGCAGATAGCCTCGTGCGATCTTGTGGTTCACCGCCAAGAAGGGATACATCATATCGTGGTGATGAGATTGGGACCTGGGAGCGGTTTCCGGTTACTCCCGACGTTTTGGATCATGTCAAAAAAGGAAGTTTGTTTACTTGGGAGGAAAGGAGGCGTGAAGCCCTCACCATGACTGGCGTGCAGTCGTGTCTTGTATTTAGGACGACGTTAATAAGAGCATAGGTCCGAGCGCTGCGTCTCATAAAAGGCTAGAGTGCGTTAACAATTAGCGCTCTCCAGTACAGCGCATACCGTAAGTTTCAGTGCCACGCCGCAAGCACTGAATGTTTCGCAATGTCACTTGCTGCAACCTCGAGGCAGTGGTGGTGACACTGGCAGTGACAACTTCGTTCTCATCTCAAAGAGGCACATACCCCCCGTTCACCACATTGGATTTGGAGGCCTGAAACGCCACAACACGGCACATACAACGGTATAGGGAAGAACTCAGAGCCAAAAGGAGAGCAAGACCTTTAACCATAACCAGTTAAAGATTTCTCATTCATCGGTTTCATTCAGCCTTACCGAAACACCGGAAACTCGCCAATCTCAACGACCAAGAACCCCTGACTTCCACGTGGAACTTTACCAACAACTCTCAAAGTGACACGACACGAACCATCACACACACACGGACGACACACTGAGGACGCAGTACCACCTTTCGCGCGCCCAAGGTACACACATACCTTTGATGGTCTGAGTGAGATACACGTTGTGTTGCACCACAGTCCCACGGCCTTCCCGTCGCCATCCCAATCACCGTCTACAATTCTTCTCGAGTCTCCCGTAGGTCTTTGACCCCTACCTATTGCAGCTCCGGATCCAGATACACTAGATATCAACAAAATATCAAAACGAAAAAAAAAAAAAAACCAATGACATGACAACCACCACATCTTCTCCCAAGAGTTCCGGTTCCGCACTCGCGCACCCCCACAAAATCATCCTCAAATCCTTTATCCTCTGGAAACTCTTCCTCTTGCTGATCGCTGTTGGCTCGACCCTCGTTAATGATCGCGCCTACGACACTTCAGCCGATTTATTGCTGGTAGGCAATGCCGAACCTCTTTCTGTCAACGATGGTAATGATGGGGTTGCAGAGCTGTTGAGCAACTTTGGCAAGCGGCTGGTCACGAGGTTCACGAGTTGGGATGCTATCTATTTTGTGAGTGCGGCGAAGAGGGGGTATGTTTATGAGCAGGAGTGGGCTTTTGGGACAGGGTTGGTGGTGTGCGTGAGGGGGGTTTTGAAGGGTGAGTTTCTTGATCTTTCTTTGTTTGACGTGTTGGGATGGGTTGAGATGGATGGGTGGAAATGGATGGTTGAGTGAGGAGGTGAGAAGGTGAGAGGGGGACAAGTGGTGAGAAGCTGGTTTGGGAATATGCTCTCCTTTGCTGAAGGGGATTGATGTCCCTACTAGTCACGCCTCGGACTCACATCACCAATCCACACTCGCCTCGTCCATCTTCACGCACCTCACACATCTACCTACCTCAAACTTCGCAAAAGCCAGTAACTAACAAACCTCACAGCTCTCCAAACCCTCGGCCTGCCCCTGCCCCTCGCCACCTCACCCACCGCCCTCGCAGAAGCAACCACGGCCCTCCTCCTCTCCAACGCTTCCCACCTCCTCGCCTCTCTTGTTCTCTACCGCCTGACTCTCCTCTTACCATTCTCCGGTTCGAAGTCTTCTCCCCAAAAGCAGCGTAAACTAGCCCTCCTCACCTCCCTCCTGCACATCTTCTCCCCCGCCGGCCTGTTTCTCTCCGCCCCCTACGCCGAAAGCTCGTGTGCTTTGTTTTCGTTCTTGGGGTGGTGGTTTTATGCTCAATCTTGTTTATCTGATCAAGATGGTACCACCGCTGTGTCTGACAACGTTGAGGGGAGTGAAAAGGGGTCATTAACCCTGAAAGGAGACCTCCATCTGCTCCTAGCCGGCCTTTCCTTCGGTCTCGCCACATTATTCAGAAGTAACGGTATCTTGAACGGACTACCCTTTGCTTGGGAGGTTCTTACTATTCTATCAGGGCTCGTTATCACTACGTCTGAGGAAAGAGGAAGAGGAAGAGTCCCGCTGCTCAGGACGCTGAGACGACTCATCGCCCTAGGCTTGGGTGGGATCTTTGTAGCGGCGGGAAGTATCGTGCCGCAAGCTGTGGCGTGGTTGAGGTATTGCCCTTCTGGGAGTTTGTGGTTGTTAAACAAGTTTTTGTCATCGGGGTCAGAGGTAGAGGTATCCGAGACATCCGGCGGTAGTGGTAGCGCCCGCGGCTATGGTAGCAGTGGCGTTGGTGCTGGTGTGAATGCTGGTGCTGGTGGTGGGCTAGAGGAACTTGTGGCGCAGGACGAAGCAAGGGAGTGGTGCGCTGCGGTGGTGCCTAGCATTTACACGTTTGTGCAGAAACATTATTGGTAAGTCCTTTTCCGATGAGCCCTTTCTTGTTATTTTTCTTTTTGCTTGAATGGAGACAGGAGCGGCTATCCGTCTTCGTCCGGGTGGTCAAATGAAGCAGAATGAGGCTTCTTTCTCTCCCTTCAAAACCAACAGCGATTGGACGCACCAAAACGCCTCGTCTGACTTCCTTCCATATCACCGACTTCTATCACCTCTCTACTCATTTCGCCGAAAGAATGGTGTAATCATTACTAACAAACTCCCAATAAACAGGAACGTCGGTTTCCTCCGCTACTGGACCCTTCCCAACATCCCGCTTTTCCTACTCGCTGCTCCGATGCTCGCGATCCTCGTCAAATCGGCACTTGACCAGCTCAGTCAGCAATCATCCACAGCAACAGTACCCCTAGCCATGAACTCCGACGCCAAGTCTACGTCTTCTGCCTCCCCAGACACCCCTTCATCGGGCTCTGTCAAGTCCGATGAAGCCGGTTTCATCCCCCCACCCCCCGAATTACCAACGATAGCCCAACAACGCATGCAGATCCTCATCGGCTCGGCAGCCGCGGAACAGGTGCTGCTTGCGGTCCTGGCGGTAAGCACGTACCACGTGCAAATCATCACGCGGATATCGTCAGGGTATCCGCTGTGGTACTGGTGGTTGGCTCAGCAGCTTATCGGTGATGGGGACATGCAGCAGCAGCAGCAGCAGCAGCAGCAGAAGAAGCTGGGCAAGGGGATTGTGGTGTTTATGGTCATGTATGCGGCGATTCAGGGGGTGTTGTTTACTTCGTTTTTGCCGCCGGCGTAGACTAGGATTCATCGTTTTGAGGAACAGAAATGGGGTACCTGTGTTGAGGTAAGGGATATGTCGTTTGTTGCTACCCTTGGATGTTGGAGTTAGGAAGAAACGAAATGTACCTATATACACAGCCAATCCATCATGTCTTTGCTGTCGAGCTTCTTTGCGATTGAGAGAGATTCTTGACTGTCTTATGGTTGTTTATTGTCGCAGGCAGCTTCTTCATCTGCGTGCGTATCTGTAAAACTTGACAGATGAGTAAAACCGATTTGAAGTCTAAATTCCAAGGCTGAAAAAACAATGCTTATGTCGCTCCGATGTGGTGCTATGCTATATCCCATGCAGATCCAAAACTGTCCGTGAATGCACAACGCCTAGTCGAATACTCGTCGTTGGTTACTCAGTCCGAATCAGAATCGTAAGCCACGAGTCCGGGTTTGCTCGTTTGTGTAGTTGAGCCACCCTCTGTCGTCTGCTTTCGGCTCTTGGTTTCCTCAGCATCCCTTCCTTCAGCAAGAGGACCAGTCATCGATGACGCTGCACCCACAGGTGGATCGGGAGTCTCTTCTCCAGCAGCCCGTTTCCTCTTGAGCCCAGGTATCATAGCTCCTCGCGGCTTGGGTGTTGATTCCCTACTCCCCCAGTCAAGAAATGGATCCTTGGCCGCGCGGGTATTACCCACAATCTCGGAAACCAACGCCTCCCGCATCTTGGTAGCAGCAATCTCCGACTTGAGCTTTCCCTTGGACGCATCCTTCTTCTTCCCGCCCTTTTTCTCCTCCGTTTTGCTGTTCTTCCCATCCTCAAACAACGGTCTCGCCAACGCCTTTTGCACCACGTCATCCCTGCCCAGAGCCACATCCGGCACGCCCCCAAACTCAATCAGCCTCGCCCTCTGTTCATCCTCCTCCGTGCCCGGCAACAGCTCAATCCCCAACCCCATCCTCTCCTTGAGATCTTCCGTCCTCTCCGCCTCCTTCTCCCTCTCCTTCCTCCCCACCCTAAACGCCTTTCTCAGCTTCTGATTCCTCGCATACGGATCCTCCCAACCCTTTTCCTGCGCCTCTAGCAACTCATCGATCCTCACTTTCGCCTCCTCCGCCCTCTCACGGTCCGCAATCGTCTTCTCCAGCTTCCCAAACGCCGCATCCCTCTGTTCCTGCCGTTCCTTTTCCGTCTGTATCTCAAACCCACCAGCACTCCCTTCCAGACCAAGTTTGACCAAACTATCCTCATCTGTCCCCGTATCCCGCGCCCGCCCCCCACTCACAACCACATACCTCGTCATTTTTGGGTCTGTCCTAATCTCAATCTCGCCGCCACATTGCGCGTGCTTGATGGTGAAACTCCAGATGGGAGTGGAGTAGTAATTGCCGACTTTCTTCTTGGCCGCGTTGAACCGCACGCCCTGGCCGATGATGGTGGGGTGAGGCTGGCAGTGGTCGCACCAGACGGCAAAGGGGAGCTCGAAGCGCACGGTGAGAATGCCCTGGGTGGCGAGCTTGGAGGCGCGGTGGCCGAGGGGGTGCTTTTTGCTGAGCTGGTTGCCTGAGTAGACGCCCTCGGCGTCTGGAGGGACGTATTTGCCCATGTTGAAGCCTTGCATTTTGAAGGTTTGGGGGGGCCGGAGCCGGTGGTGGGCTTTGGGTTGGTTTGGGTAGGGCTGGTTGAAGGTGTTGGAGGGAGGTGGGAGTGGATGGACGGGTAGGTGAACGAGTCCAGGCGCAGGCAGTTATGGATGGCGATGCTTTGGATTACTCGACGATGAAATACCGGATCTGATGGTGTGCTTCTCACTTGGAAGTGAAGGTAGGGTAGCACGCGCGTAATTTGCGATAGACAAAGAAAGTTGGAAGTGAAGTTGAAAATGGGAAAATGACGATATCTTGAAGTGCTGTTGTTGCCCTGAAATTGTCCGCTGTATCTGACCCGCCGCAGCGGCTCAGTGGGGGCTGTGCGGCTGAGGTTGGGTGTCAGGGCTGCAAGGCCCGGCCTGCGCGGGCGGCAGGGACCACCCGCTTTTAGGGTGCTATGTCGGTAGTGAGCAGGGACCCACTCTCTAGTGGAAATTGTTAAGGATCGCCCGCCGCTACCTACCTATGTTTCGAAACATTGGACAAGTGCAATTCTTTTCCGGAACATGGTCGGTTTCATTGCTTGCTAGATGACACTCCGAGGTCATAAAACGGGGAACGCCATGAACAAAATTCTACAGACCGGATCCTCCTACACTAATCATTTCTAAACCCTTTGTGCCCCTCATACACTTCCTCGCACAAACCAGCGCACCCACGCCATTCTCCCTCCGCCCATCACTGGTACAATAAACCCTCCAGAATCCCGGGTAAACGCCCACCCACCCTGCCACTCGCCGAGAACGAGGAGGGAAAGAGAGATTCGACGTCGTATCTCCGCACAAGTCACTAGCTGGAGATTTGGAGTAGATTGAGTCGAGTCCAGACTGTCGAGCATCGATCTTGAGAAATATTTTTTGGGGTTTACCTCAATGTGTGAACTTGGAGTTGGGGATGGCTTCATCGGATCGGATCATGGACAACACTCGTCAGCATGATGTGGAATATGTTCAGATGCCAGTGGTCAATAGTTCATTGACAAGCACGGGCTCCTATTGTCAAGGAATCAAGTAACGGATTGTTTTCCATCAGAGGTACCTTGAGGGCCACCGCACCCAGCAAATCTTTCGGATGAAATCCTGCGACACTCGCACAGAGGAAGCCTTTCGCACTAAAAAGAGGACAATAGCAACCATCCGACAAACTTGGCTGGTAATAATCATCTCACGAACACACAAGCTCAAGCCCTTGCTACTTCAACAAACGTCACGAGTCCCTTCACGAAACTTCCAGCTATTCACGGAGCCCAACCCCCTTTGTTGTCATCCCAAGTTCTCAACCGCTTAACGTGACCTTTGTCAATAGAGTTTGATTTATAACTTATCACACAGCACTCCACTTTGGCCACTCTACCTATTACCTACTCTGCTTATTGTACCTGTTACACCTATTCACTCCTCCTCACAACCGCTCTACCGTCTTCCCCGACAAGCATTGCACAATCATGGAATGTTCGGTCACGACACGATTTGACAGGTAGTCCAACAGCTCGAGCACAAATATCGATGTGTGCAGGCTCCCTTCTTACTTTTCCAGTCTACTTCCAATCCTCGTCAAGTCTTGTCTAGAGGTAGTCCAAACTCTCTAGTAAACTGTCACCAACCATCGACAGTTCTTCAGCAATCCGCTAATCATAGATTACCAGACAGACACACTTACCAACAACCTCCTAAACCAACTTGGCGACATCGACATTTACAAAAGTCTCAATCAAGAAAGTTCTCAGAATGTCATCCAAGCCAACCGGAACACCCTCGTCCAAAAAGCCGAAACCCCTCTTCATCCTCCCCAAATCTCACTTCGACAAGGCCAAGTCCTCAGAAGACGCCCTCTCCAAACGTCCGCCGACTCCGTATTACCCTCCTGCCCGCCAGTCTGAGGGGGAGAGTTCTGGAGTCGCCGATGAGAAGGGAAAAGACCAGAAGGAGGATATCAACGATGCCAAGAAGCAGAACAACTAAGCAGAAGCAGAGATAGGCTGCATTACGTATGTAAAATCTAACACCTGGAGGTTTCGTGTTTCTTTGCTTTCCTGCCAGTACCTTCTTCAAAACACACTTTACTCCTTCCACCAACTTACCTACCTACTTTGGTCATGACAAGGAAGTATATACATGTACATGAATCTGCCGGCAACAGTTCAGCATTGTAGAGTCCCCGGTAGTTGCTTGCATCCCCAGTATCCCCAGAATCCCCATCAAGGTACCCAGCGCCCAGTGCTCAGTGCCCAGTACCGAGTGGTATTCAAGGCTATATCCAAGGTGAACTGTAAAAGTAACACCAAGCAAGAGACAGGCCGTCATCTGTTCAATGCCATATGCAAAGTCGCAACACAAGGAGTTGTCCATCTGCATCATCACTTTCAATTCAACTGACGGAACCAGACTGAAACGAACGGTCTCCAAGACTACCATAAGCACTCAACGAAGCGGCTCAGTGAGCTATGCCCTTTGCGGTCTTTTAGCTTACCCTGCTACATCTTTCTAGGTATCTGAGGTATACTTGCAGAAAGTTACTCTTCCTACACGGACCATGCTAACAAGTCAACTTTCCAGGCTATTCAGCAAGGGACTGTAGAGGGATCTACATAGGTTCGGGTGATGTCGCGGATTGTAGTGGCTGTAAGAACGGAAGGTCAGTCTCTGACAAACGCTTTATCATGAAGCTTCTTGATGTGCCATGTGGTTTCTTTACCTATTGACGTGTGAATAGAGTAGTTGACTGACTTATCTGTGTTTTTAGGTACTTACCTAGTGACGGGATGAGGTGCCAGGAGAGTCAGCAGTAAGTGGGCTTGGTGGAGGTAAATCGGATCAACCAAGGTAGAGGTATCCTCCTCCTTTTCACTAGAGACAGTTAGTTAGGTATCCAGTAGATACCTACGGTCTTTCTGATGGGAGTAATCAAAGGGATGGAACCCCATTGACAGTTTTTCGTGGGCGCCAAACGTTGTACTTCTCACTGCCTGCAAGATGTGAACTTCCATTCTATCTCTGCTATGATCGACCGTCCGTACATGTTTCCGGACATCGTAGATGAGAAGCTCAAGTGTTTGTTTTGTACGTCGGTTGATCCCTCGACACGAGCATCTTTTATCAAGATACGTGTCTAGGTAAGAACATATGGAAATAAACAAGTTCGACTATAGAGATATACGATGAGAGACGGCCTCTTCCCGCCTCGTAAATATCTATATTGAATCTCCCTTCATAGTTGGAAGGATAACATTCTGATGACACTGAAAAGTAGTCTAGGTAACCATTGCGGTTCTACACCGACAGATATCAAGATTCCCACGAGAAAACAAGTTGGACATGTAGAACTGTAGAGGAAGAAGAAGAGCAGACTAAGTGAAGACGCCTTTTTTCCCTCGCAGCGTAAGGTACCTAGGTATTCAACATCTCACTTTCCTTTCAAATCAATTCCTGACATTTCCTTCCCCCTTAGAGGTACCTACCTAGGTAGCGATAGATACTCCCGATCCCTTCATATGCCCGGTTTTCTCGCTCCTTTTACACCTATCCTTTGGAAACCCCTGAACTCGTCCATCACGTAACTTTACCACAACGCGCTTCCTGAAAATGCGATTTGAATATATTCGATACTAGGTAATTGTTTTCTATCGCAGGCCACCACACATAATCTGGCATCTGGCATCTGACACCTGACAAATGACATCTGACATACAGCACGGGATGAAGCGAGCAATGATCTAAAGAAGTATCAAGAGAGAGCCCACATGAATGTGGGAATTACTTGTGCAGATGCGGACTACTATACGGTACTGAGAAGTTCAACTAGTCTCTAAATCCCGGGATTATGTAGATTCACCATCTGCCATCGCTCGCTGGCTGGCACAGAGAAGGGTGCCCCCCCGATTCCATCGAGGAGAGCATGAGTTCAGCGATAGTGACACCTGATATCTTGATTTGGGGGAGCATTGTACGTCCCTTGAAGAAAGAATGGGAATGTAAGCCGAGCGACCCGGAAACCCGAATTACCAACCCCTATGTGCAGGCGGAGGCACGATCGGCATGCCGCTGCTGTGGCAAGTTGAACTCTCTACATGTCATACAAACATCAAGGGGTTCCGTCTCATAGAGAGACTTCCTGACTGCACTTTCAGTGAACACTCTTGAGGACACTCCAGATTCTGAGTGCCCCCCCCCCCCAAAAAAAAGGGAACAAGGCCTTTCGGGCGGATCTCCGGCCCACTAGTTGCATGTCATGCTTTTGCTGTTGTATATTCTTAACTTTATTTGGATCCCGTCGATGAGAACGGTCGAGATGAATGAACCAGGCTAGAAAACGCAGGGGACAAAGGCCAGTACCTGTAGGTACTCTCCAGAAACAGGGAGACAAGTTAGCCCCTCTTCAATCGACGGGCTGGCAGTTACTCTGCCCCTTCAATCTCGTAATTGGTCACCCGTTGGCCAGTTGCAACCCGATGTAACGACGGCTCGCGGATGCTAAAATGCCTAACTGGCGGCGGACATCGGAAGGCTGGACCCCTGGTCTGAATGGAATAGTGAGATCACGCCGGCTTGAGCGGATCGTTGAGCTTATTACTTTGTCTCCCGAGTCCCGATCCTGCTCGTCTTGCCTCCAGCCGTCGACGAACTTCGCTCTCTGCAATCTGTTTCCGCAGTCCCAGAGAGCGAGTGACCAAGGTAGAGTCATTGGCGATTTGCTGCTATTCTTGGAAAGCTACCAGCTACCTCTCTGTCGGTAAAAGCAAGTAATCTGGATCGTCTGGTAGATACAAAAATGTGTATGAAGCATATGGTACCCGTCAGCTGTTCTGAAGATCAAGAACGAGCATGGGAAAGACTCTCTCACCTGTCACCAAGCGAGGGGCACGGATTTCTTCGCGGAATGAGCAGCACACCAGACATACGTGAGTGTGTTTGTCATGAGGTGCGAAGGAGGCGTACATACGTACCCACTGGGGCTCTGGAAAAGAAGGCTGCGAAGGACAGTCCCGGTCGTTTGTGATATCACGGTGGTAGACGTGTGTAAGACGGTTGGAGGGTCGGGGATCTGTCGAGACGATACCGGCATGGCTATTAAGCAGCCAACAGCATTAGAGGTCAGCAGCACCACCTTTTCCAACCCGTATGTATCCGACAATGTCACTCCGCGGACAAAGTACAAACCACCTTAAGGACTGACTACGAGAGCTGACCCCCGATATGAACCGACGAAACGGCCCAACCTCCGTTCCGAAGCGGTCTTGACCGGACCTACCGAGGTCGTCTGGCACCGCGCAATATCTGGTCAGTGTCAAGACAGAGACGGCGGTGCCTTGTCCGTAGTGTCTTTGAGGGTCGTCGGCAGTGAAGGGCCAAGGGGATGGCCGCATGACAGGACGCGCCGCTGAATGTATGCGTGCCGTTGTGACATGGCGGGTAACTGCACACTGCACACTGTAAAGAAAGGCAGGCTTGCCACTGGGATGTGAATATGCAGCTTCAAGCAGTTGGAACACTTGCTTTGAGAGTCCCGTTTCGGACATATCTTGGTTGCGGCAATCCAGAAAGGGTCATGACATGCCTGGGAATCTGCTGTACGCTCGGTCAATTGCCAGGTTGACGCCTCTAGGGTTGCCTTGTAGACGATCTCGGCTATGCAAGCTTGCGCTTTTCGACCAACGGTAGTGGTAGGGCATCGATAGTCTGGTGGAATCTTTGGACCTTGCCAGTCTGCCAATCCTACTGCAACTTCCTATGAAGCTGCGTAGGTAGTCAGGTGCTGTGCATTCGCACTGGGAAACCCTTCCCCCTCTGTACATGCCAAACATAAGCAACAGTCAGCACTTGCTCTTGTCCGAATGTTTTATCCGATTCGATGAAAAGTCAGGGACGTTGCACACCGGTACTCATTCGTATAAAGTGCCTGCAGCCACATCCCTCCTTACTTCCATTATCATGGCTGCAAAATAGCACCCAGGCCAAGTGGACAGGACCCTTTCTTGGCGACTTCATGAATCCTCGTCGTGACTACCGGTTCTGGTTGTCTTGATCATGGTTAACGAGAGATGGTAGGTTGATGTGCGAGTTGACAAATGATGACACCCATTGGGGTCGAGCTTGGCCATGCCGTCCATATAAATTATCATGGAAAAAGCGAAAGAATTGGTGACCTGAATTTTTTGTTCTTCGTCTTGGAATTTTCTGATTTGGTGGGAGACGTCCTCTGTTGTTCGTCTTTCCCTTGGAAGGCACGGGGTACGCACAGACCTGGTGTTCTTGGAAAGAGCCATCGCCGAATGCCGATTACCGATCTCCAACAGTGGGCAACAACCACTTGAAAGCCCATTCATTGTTCATTCCTCAGTTATCTACACAGCCTGTGAAGATTCAAACGAAGTGACTCCTCCTTGGAAGAGCATCATCGGTGCAGATATCTTCAATTCTAATAAGCTGGGACGAACCAATAAAGTGTCTCCAGGAACTACGGGCCGGCCAAGGACGCCACAACTGACAATTGGGCACAGCACGGCCATATCAGCTTTACTGATATACCAACCCACCACCACCACATATTGCTGGACCCGTTGCGTCTAAGAGGTTGACATATACATCTAGACCTCTGTCCAACACAGGAGACCGAAATGCGTAGCCTATGCACTCTTTGTAGCACGTGAAGTTGATTTAGAGTCGGTGTGACAGTATGCGTTAGTATAATTTGTAGTGTCGCCCAGTGTATACTTGGAATCCCATCCCCGGGGCCAACACGTTTCTTGAATCCCATCTGTTCGTTACCTGAGTGGGTTGTGCCATTACGCTTTGAAGCTGAATGTGGCTCTGGTCTATGTAGCACCATAAATATGCCAAGATGGACTATGATTGCACCGTATTATGCGACACATAGCTCATCACCATAGCTCTGGGATTCTTCTACGTAGAAGAGAGCTTGATAAGACCAATTTCAGCCTCAAACATAGCTCTGGATTGGATGACGTGATCCCAATATCCAGCCCGGACCCGCTCGACGGGATAGTTAAAAGTCCAGAAAAGGAAGGTCGTAACAGATGGATGTCAATAAATTTCCACCCCAATATCGCGACTGATGAGGTGCATAGATTTTTGCGACCAGCTTTTATCTCACACTTCCAGGATAGTTACTGGCCATGTCTGTACCGAGTCGCTCGCTGAGATCAAGAGAATGCACTGGCGATCCTGTTCTGATTAATGCTAGCTTCTCCAATGCACCACGCAAAGCCCAAGTTTGGTTCGGGTCTGAGAAACGTGCGTTATACACAAGTAACCATAAACTTCGCCTCGTGCCTGCAATAGTCACATCAATCCCGAAACTTGGCCACGGTTTACTCCGTGGAGAAGACTCAAATATTGGGAAAGCAACCGGACGTTCAAAATCTCTGCATGGCATGTAGCGCATTGGTGTACAATCATGGAGCTTAGGCAGGAGGGTAAAGCTCGATTTCTATCCTCCTAGTGGCCCAGCTTGCTCATCGCGCCTGGCTAAAAGTCAAACCATGTTCTTATGCGATTCAGATAAGGATCAAACTCATGTTCAGTATTGAACCCACCGAAAACCCTTTGCTGGTAACGTGAGTGTCAGTATTGGTTTGGCTAACCCCATAAAAAGCGTCGGAGCTGCGGGAGATGCAGCAGGAAGACAAATCCAGGTGTAGTAGACATGGCGTGTTTCTGGAACTTGCTGCCGACCTTTCCTTTCCCTTCGTTCCTCTTTCGTAAGGTTGGACATATAGAGGTAGGTGAGACAATATGGAGGCTAATAGCTATCGCTCCCGGACGCCAACGCAGAATTCTCTAGTGATACTTCGCTGATCAATTGGCACCAACTTCGGTTCATCATGTGTTCGGTAACCCCATTCTCACTGAGACATGATAAGCAAAGTTTAGGAAGATGGGTCTAGATCTGGCGAATGCCCGATCCAGAAGAATTTGGGGATTTAAGACTTGAGGGGCTTTGTTTCTTCGCAGGTCAGGAAAGAAAAGGCCCCGACATCGGCGATTCTTGGCGAGTATGTCATGGACTTCTCACCGTCGAACGTTTCCGTGTCATAGCTGGCCACGACGTCCTTCCTCGCCAATGGAACAGAGGAACAGCAAAAGACACGTCGGCAAGGAAACATAGAGTCTCTTCATCTCCAGAACAAGCGCTCTAAGACCATGACATTGATTGTATGCAGGACCCAAAGACGCCCTCGACTGGTGTTGATAATAGTTCCAGGTATTTTTGGCTAGCGAGAAACGGGAAATGATTCATTGCCGGCCGGGGAGAGCGGGACACCAATTACAGACCCTTTCAGCGAACGGCCCGTTTGGTATCTGTGCTGCTTTTGCTCAACTCTCGTCCCGTGGTTTTGCAGGAGGTTTCTGAAGAAGCGGGTAATGCGAAGACTGCCCCTTGGGCTAGCAAGGAGCAGCAAACGTTGCGCCATCTTGACCACTTTGTTTTTTATTTTATTTTTACTACCCCTCTTTTACATGGGACGTCCTAAGGGAGTAGTCGTGACGGAGCAAAGGGGAGCGGATCGTGATGAGAATTGTCATCGGCCGAATGCACCTCCTCGTCATCCCCACAGCCTGTGAGTCCAACTGGAGAGGGACAGAATCCACTAGAGTCTAGATCCTCTAGGGATAAAGTCATGGGTCTTCGAACCCCACAAAATGCACCGTTGAGAACCAAGGTTCTGATCCCGACGTGGGCCCTTACTCCCGTTGTATCGTTATACATTACTCAAATAGAGCTTTCCTGATGGGGAGAGGCCTGGACAACGTCCAAGCTGAACCATAACTGAACTGGAAACAAACTTAAGAGACGTGACCGATATCAGAGTGGAGGATCCATACAAGATTGGCGTGGAGATGACTCTTGTCATCTATCGTCAGACTGTCAGAGCGTTGATGGGGAGATCCATGTCTTTTTCTGCAGATCGAGTCTCCTAGCAGTGCCTTTTTGTCACTCAACAGACACGCCAATTGAGCCGAGTCAAGCTAATCGGAGACGATTACCCGCACAACTCAAGAAGAGTAGTGATAACAAGCAGGCGGATAGAGGGGCGCGAGCGGTCCGATGTGAAAGTGGTGGGGATGGTGATGGGGAGATACAAGGGGCAAACAGCGAATGGAATATTTCCTGATGGTGTTAATATGCTCAAATATAGGGCTGAGGTCCAAGAAACCCAAGCGTGATTGGCTTTCCTGCAGTCTTCAAGGTAACTGGATTGGGCAAAAGGGCAAGCCTGGGTCTGTCTGCATTCAGAACTGCCCTTGCTGCCCTCTGACCATAGAGCTTCAGACGATGGCACCGTTGGCACCTTGGCAGTAGTGATGCTGGTTGCCGTGCGGACCAGTGCAAGAAACACCGTAGAGAGCGTGTCGAATGAGCACGATGGAAAAGACATGCCGTCTATATCGCGGCCGCTAGCCGGTTTCAGATGACCAGCAGAGTCGTCGGCCACACGAATCAGGTTGCCCGCGCTTGGAAAAGGGAATCGATGAGGCATTGGAAGTCGGAGCAAGAAGACCCACGAGAGTACCATTGGCCGGTGAAAGCATGGCGACAGGGAAGGAAGCATCACCGTCTGCTGATTTTTAAGCATGCAATGTGCAGTCGTGGGGGAGAATATGGAGAAGATCGCCATGACGTTGGGTCATCTGAAGGCCAATACCATTGAGTTCGCGTGGTGCTGACACTTGTTCTGACTCTTTGACTGCAGAAAGGTCACGTCCCAGGTGGGAGAGTGGGTGGGTGCCCTCCTTTCCCCGGGACTTGTCTGGACTGAAGGGCGGGCGGGAGGTAACTGTCTGGACCGGTACAACCTGAGAAGCACCAATTCCGGTACCGCGCGGGAAGACGCGAAGGAAGGGTAGCTCCGGGGGTGCTAGGTCCAGTGTCAGTACAGCAGTCCATTTCAACACGAATGAGGCAAGGAGCATAGGTACTCCATGGAGCTCGCAGTAAGCCTGAGGTGGGAATGACATGTTCCTCCTCTGCTTGTTGTTGACGCAGTGACTGATATCGTCAGACTCTCAGTCAGCGACTCGCCGGGATGTCAAGCGACTGGCTTGGGGAATACTTCCGAACCTCCACCGAGATGCAGTTGCTGATCACTGCAGTAATCACCAAGTTCTAATCCTCACAAGGGCCCATGGAGAGGGTAAGGGTTCGGTTCGGCCGGCAGATAGGTGATGAGCGAAACACTTTTGGATCATCCATGTTGTTGGTGCTCGCATGTCCTCATCTCTTTCTTCTTTCTTTTTCCTTTGGTCGTCCGGAACTCGGAAAGGGTGAGTGACCTGGGACTGGGGACAAGGTCAGGCGTTGGGTTGGAGACTTCTTCCCTTCATTTAGGTTGGGAGAAGACAGCTGAGATCGATGGCTGCCTGGGAGGCTGCCGATTGGAAGGTCCTGCAATCTTGGGACCGGCAACTGTGTGTGCCTGCTGCCGAGCAAAACGGTTGGGGGAAGGCGCAAGACAGAAGGGGAGAACAAGCCGGAGACGCGCAGCTCCAGGCTGAGTGATTGGAGATGGCGGGAGGACAGGAGGGGTAGTGTAGACGGTAGAGACGTTGGGTAGGTAGGTAACTGCCGCGCGCCTTCCTCCAGATCGTCACTCAGCCTCGATTCAGTTTGATTCCATCCAGTGCAGTGGCAGGAATGCCTTGCTCTTCTCTTGCCGTCTGAGTGCAGAACAACTTTGAACCTTCCTTATTCAGAGATGCATAGGTCGTCAGCATCGACTCATCACTGCACTGCTCTCAATTGAACTGATAGGCACACCGCCTCCAAGCCAATACAAAGGTTATGCTTCAATCGGGTGCACGCCATCATTCCAATCGGACAAGTCCCTCAGCACCGTTCGTTTGACGTTCGAAGTGGGGTCCTCCAAAGAGTCTCTACTCCACTAGGTCCGAACCTGGCTGGTCCCTGTCGATGGAGCACCTTGTCCCCCACACCAACCCGAGCCGACCTCCAACTACATTACACTTTGACTTTCTCATTTTTCTTCCTTCTCTCCAACCAATGAACCACTGGAAGCACTTGACCGCACTGCGTCAAATTTGTGCAACTTTGCGAGTCTGCGAACGACGTCCGGTTTGCAGACCGCAAGGAGGATTCTCACAGAAGGCTGACTGCGCCAACGAACCGTTCGCAAGAGAAGGCCATATCCATGACCACCTAGTAGTCGACACTTGTGCTCTCTCGCCGTCCATCTGCTCGAGCTGTGCTGTGCTGTGCTGTGCTGTGCTGTGCCTCAGTCAAACGATGGAGGGCGCGGTATGCCGAACACCCAAGACATCTCGCAGCTTACACAGTATCAAGCCGGTAGATCTACTAGCGAAGGTGCATATCTGCCATCCTGGCCCATACAATAATTTCGTCGAGCTCGTGCTCCTTCCAAGAAAGGGCCTCTTTTCTTTTCTGTCTTGACAGTCCAATTTGCCCGACATGTCTCCAGCGTCGCGCTCGCTTATGCTCCTCGGACGAACTGATGGGGCTTCTTTGATATTTCTCAGACAATCCCGCAAGACAAAAAGAGAAGCTTACTGGTGAAACGTCCACCTCGTCATGACACAGGCGAATCGAAATGTTAGGACGCCAAGGAGGCTCGATCCCCCAGTAGCGCCCAATGCAGACACAGAAACTACATTACAGAGAGGCTTGTCACCTGTCTTTCTGTCTCACCGGCCCTGTCACTTGACCCCGGTCACCGACCGTCCTACGGATAGCAGCCGACATGCGTAACCAAGATTTGCACTCTGAAGGTTGAAGTGACAGCTCGACTTGGACCGTCTCTCTTTGAACAGGCACTCCGGACCCAGATCGAGACTGGGGCCTGAATCTGGACTGGATCAGACCTCAGTGCCGGCTGATTCCCCAATTTTCCCTTTTGCCCAAAAACAGAACCGTTGAACCGAACCTGGTTACAAATCCCAGTGTTTTTGTTACATCTAGTCTCAGCGGTTGACAAGGACGAGATGAAAAGGCTCATCTTTGTCTTGACGAGTCACCACTTCCCTCCGTCACCTAACCCATGAGGACGACAGACCAAAGACATGGTCGAGCTGAGTCTACTACTAAAAGGCGATGACCTCAACTCGAATCACACCACCACGTACAACTGCCGCCCTCTACTTCTCAGACAGGCCAAACGCCATGTCTCGGGATCCAGACCTCTCCTGACGATATCGGAATGCGAGCGGGCGAAGTGCACGACCGTAATTCGGGCGATTGGCCTTATGAGCCAACAGTTTGCCAGTCTGTAGGCTTGCATACCTACCGTCCTACCGATGGAGCGATGTTAAAGAAAATGCTTGGCAACGAACAGCTGAAACAAGCTTCTGGTCAAGGCCGGCTCGGCCCTGCCGAATCAAAATCGACCTTCTTGGCCGGCCAGGTCGTGATATACTCTGAGGCCTATACTATATAGCGCTCGTGGAGGCCACTACGCCACAATCCCCCCTGTACTTGCATTCGGGTCTCAACGTCGCCGGCGGAGCTCTCTCGCTTTGACCTCCTGGAAGGTGCTTCAGAATCTTCGAAAACGCCAATCATTTCGCCGACCTTGCCCTTCACATGCGCTGACACGGGACTCGCCAGTTCCCATGAAGTGAACTGTGAGAACGACTGTCGAAACTATTGACTAGCAATTACACTGCAGCAATGCACGCGCAACCCGTCTCTGGATGAACCGCCATCCATAGTAGATGTGAGGTCCTTTGCAGAATTACCCTCTGTAGAGGTAAGTACCTACCCTTGGCTGGTAGTTCTCAGTGCCGCCCCTGCATTATCTGTGGTGGTAACCTGCCATCATCGTCGACGCCACCATGTGCGTGTACCTGAATATCGCTTGTCGGGTGTACCACCACCCACCGATGAAATTGCACAAGATTTTGCATTTCGAACGAGCCTCACTAGAAACCGTTCTCCCTCTGCCTTAGATACAAAGGATCTGGTCGTTTGTGCGGCGGAAGTCGGGACTCGGGACTCCGGGAGCGGTGCGGAAACCAAGTACCAAGCTTCATGCCGGAATTTTTCAAACGCCCCGGGTGTCATTTCCCGTCCAGGCAAAGACCGTTTCCGAGCACAGAAATTTGCAGTGTCGGAAATCCTCACCTCGTGTTGAGCCATGATGGGAACATGTCCTTTAATGCATGCAAAGATGGCATGGCGATGGCACCGCACGGACGCCAACAGATAGGCCAGGGCAGCAATGCTTTGTATCCTGTACACTAACAGAGCAGATGAAGCCTCTTCTTTCAGCTTGAAAGTTGAACAACTGAATCAGCTCCTCGGACGACTTGGTGCCGCTCCAACATTCAGGAGATTGAGACTCCGCGACTAAGGAACCTTTTTTGGTGAAGAGGTCATCATCTTTGTTCACCTTTGCATATTCAGCGTTCACTTGGTAGGTATCCGTTTACGTACAAACTCCTTAAGTGAACCTGTTAAGGTAGGTGACCAACAGCTGCTGGTACGGGATAGTTACATTTACATTTATCCAGAATTATCTAGCCGTGGCATTCGTACAAGTACCGGGTACACGCCTCGCACACTTTTCGCAACTGAATCACTTCACTTGTCCGAATCGGGAATGAGCACCGGTACATGCGAAACGACTGGCAGAAGAAGACAGAAAGCATCGTCGAGCATCGTTTCTGAACAGTTGTTGCTCCTCAAGCATACCGTTCCCTCCAAAATGGGGAGCTTTCTTTTCCCATCCATCCCACCACTGACGACCCATGTCGTCCATGCATGGCTTCCTACCACCCACCATAGCTACATTGCCGTAGTTTCTTTGCCAGACGTGAAAAAAGCATGTCCAGGGGCAGGACCTCTTCTTCATTTGACCCCGTACGTAGGTAGCCTCTGAAGCCTTGGAAAGATACGGACTGGAACCAGGTCCTTCTCTATGCTTCCCTCTGCGGGCTTGTCTTTTTTGTCAGCAGCCCATGGCCTATCACGACTTCTCATCCCAAAAGGGGGGAACCTAAAACAGGGCAAATTCTGCATATGGATTATAGGGTGAGTGGTTAAGTCTGCGAACGGATCCTCTCAATCTCTCCTGTTTCCCCAGGAAAGGAAGGAACCGGAGATTCAGGAAGACAGATACAAACGGGGCCTAAGCGATTCCTGTCAAATCACCAGTTGCAGTACCACGCCGCTATTATTATACGAGGCCGCTACATGTATAGTATCAGGATCTTATTACTGAGGATTGAACTGACTGACGAAACAGAGGGGAGAGAAACGTTGACAGACCCCGGTCCATGGTATCCCGGCCGACCCCGGCCTGCCTTGTGCTTGGCACAGCCGCCCCGTCATGTCTGTAGGGATGCGTGAGCGGATGTGGTCAATGGCCAGGTGGACTGGACTGGAGAAGAGGGCCCTCTACTGCACATACCCTCCTGGCCCTCCTCTTCGTTCAAGGACTAGACCGATGTAAGGCACTGGCTCTGACAGGCTTGGAAACACCCCGGTACCTAGTCATCCGTTATTCAGACGACATCCTCGTTGTCAATCATATATGGGTATCCGCTCACTTTGCTACGCTGCCTACATAATACCATAGCTCCCCATCTTCTTGTCTACAGATGGCCACCGAAGGATCCTTTTGTTTAGTATCTACTCTTGCTGTTCTCATCAAGTTATTATTTCTCTTCCTTCATATTCAACCCGTACCTGCCAGGACTCAAGTGACAGATAAATTCCAGTCCCCCCTCACCGATATCGCCCGCCACTCAGTTGAAGAGATCTTTGGATGCGGCAGCTTCTCTCAGTGACGACAGGAAATCTCAATCCCGGCCAAGTTCAGTCGCGGCTTCCGTGACCCGAAGTCGTCTTGGTCAGATCAGAATATTGTTGGGAAGGTGCGATCTGTTGACAGGAGGTGGATTCTTTCGACCAGGTTTTCTCCTCGCCCCACCTCATCACCTCTACCGAAAAGTACATCGGCGATCTTCTTGTGATGGCAACAGCATCGCCGCCGTCCATGGACGGCATGTCACCCGTCTACGAACTCAAGATCCGTCAACAGCCCAAGAATGCGCGCGTAGCTATTGGCAAAGAAAAAGGTGAGACCAGACAGAGCACACCTCGCCGTCTACACTGGAGAGGACGAGATGCATCATGGCCGAACCAGACTAACAAGACACCAAAATCAAAGCAGACAGAAAGCCCATCGACCCCCCTCCCATCGTCCAGCTCGATATTCACCCTATGCGCCATCAAATACACAACCCTTATCTGATCCTCGTCTGCAAGCTTGTCGCTCCAGAAAGTACCGAGAACGACGATGCCAACCACCAGCAGCCCGAGCCCAAGGACAACGATCTAATCGGTTCCCTTTGCTCGTCTCCCTACGTCCTCAAGGACACCAACAATGCCCAAGGCCTGTTTTTCATTTTTCAGGATGTCTCTGTACGCCGTGAAGGCACCTATCGCCTCGAGTTCAACCTCTTTGAGCTCAAGCCTCTAACCAGGGAGTGCATCGCCTTAGCCAGGACCACCTCCGACAAGTTTGTTGTGTTTCCTCATCGGTACTTCCCCGGAATGGCCGAAAGCACCTTCTTGACAAGGTCCTTCAGTGATCAGGGCGTGCGCATCCGGCTACGCAAGGACAGCCGAAGTGTCAGCACGCGCAAGAGGGGTGCTAACGCACTAGGAGTCGGGGCAGGCAGCGGTGATGTCGTAGGACGTCTGCGGACCGGCTCGACGATAGGTCTAGGCGGACAACAATACTCGCCCATCACCATCTCCCACCACTCCCAGTCCCACGGTAGCGGCGGAAGTCACGATGAGCTCTCCTCAACGAGCACCAGCCCCATCAACCACATCAACACCACCCTAGCCAGCCATCACCCGCACGACCTCATCCCCGGCATTGGCCACTTGGACCGCAGCCAACACCACCGCGGCTCTTTAGCCTCACAAACGTCTTCAAGCCTCCTCGACTCCCCCTCCAACACCACCATGCTCAACTCCCCCACTGTCACAGGCGTAGGCGATTTTGGCACCTCCACAGCCACCACCCTCGGCGGCGGCGGCGGTAACTACTCTTTCACCGGCGTCGCCGCCGCGCATCAGTACTCCTACCCCGGCACAGCCCTCGGTCTAACCACCGGCACCACCGCCCATGATCGTTACTACGATTACAACAGGGCTGGCAAGAGGCCTAGGTTGTTGCATGGTACCGGGGTGGATGATCTGCTGGATCATTCATATGGGAGAGACCCTTACGGACGGGACCCCTACGATCATCATCACCGCGTGGTCGGCGGCAGCGTGACGCTCCCACCCCATACGCAGGGGTATGCGACGATGGATGCTACGCACGGATATGGCCATGGACGACATCATGATTATTATGGGGTGACGGCTGCGGGGCCTTACTTTGGGTCGGCAATGTGAACAACTCCAGAGCAATGCTTTTGGATCATGATCGCGCATGGTTGTGGTTGCCCTGTAATCGATCTAGTCGGTGAGTAGTTTAACAATCAACCACCCTTCAGTTCTGATGAAGTTGAAACTAAATCGCTGGTGAGGCAGATGATCTTCCCCTCTTGAGCTACGTTGTTTCGCCCCATGTTCCCTTTTATTCTCCCAAACAAGGACAAGAACACTATACCGCTGGCGCACAGGATGTTGTCGAGAAAAAGATTTAGTAATTGCTTTGCTTTGCTCTTCCTCTTGCTCTTCTCTTTCACTTCACATTACTTTTCTTTGCTCTCTACCCTTTTTTATGTTTCATCTTTATTTCACCCTTTCCCCTTTCGTCCTTCTTCATGTTGCCTCCTTTACGTTACGTCTTTGCTCGTTGGTTGGTTTAGGAAAATAGAAAAACGGCGTCAATGGTGGTTGTCACCCTATGGCGGCTGGCGGCGGTTCCCTCTGTTTTTCATCTGGAACGGTCTGGTTGTTTTCGGTGATGATCGCTGATAACTGGTGGTGGGAACGATACCCCATTTCCTTGAAACTCACTCTCTCTAGTCTTGTTTTCCTCTGTCATGGTTATCAGGTGGAACTCGTCTGAAAAGCAAAAAAAGAACGCGAATGTGCAAACAAACTGATCTGGGAAAAAGTTACTTGGAAGAGCTTGGTGGGAGGATATCTGATTTTTGTTTAGTTGATCTTGTTCTGTTCTGGAAAGTAGTAGTGTACGGTCGGATATACATCGCACGAGACGGTACCGGAAACAGAATGAATGGAAGAAGCGCATCTTGCAGAGACGACAACTGTAAATATATCCAATGAAACGGCCATTTGAGCAAGACTTAATAAGGCGATGGGACGAACAGAATAGCAACGGGTCGTGGAATTAGTGGTGCATGGCGTAGTGGCGTGGAGTGACAGCCCACCCATTACACCTGTCGCGCCAGCTCGGTGCATCTGTCCTCTGCCCGAGACGTGACCCGTTCGAGACCGACTGGGGGAAGTTTTTTTTGTGTGTTTTTTGCCTTGTTGTTTTGGAAGGCACGGGGCCATTCAGGTCGTCACAGGTTGCGATGCTTGGCATGATGTTTTCGTCCCCTCTAACAGCAACGAATCCCCTCTTTTCCCCTTCACGTTCAATTCTCATCCAGTTCCAGTCCCAGTCCCATTTCACTCCCCATCCCAACCCACCTCCTTTTTTTGGGTATTCATTTTTTTGATCATCAACCCCACCTAGCATTCAACCTCTCCCAAACCGTCCCATCCACAGGCAACACACTCCCATGCCTCAACCCCGTCGGCCACCCCGTCCTCGAACTCGCCGTCCACCCACCACTATTCCTTTCCGGATTCGTACTCTCATACGGTCGATACCCATCACTCCCATAAAAGTCTAATAGCAAATGGACTTTTCCGGGAGTGGTATTATCCCAATACGCCGCGGGGCCTTCTACGCCCGATTCGATTATGGCTGAGGCACCGCCGACGCGGGTCCAACTACCAAAAAGACCGGTGGTGGATGTTTCGACGAAGACGGTCTTGAGGGATTCGTCTTTCATGAAGCGGAGGTAGGAGGAGGAAGAGTTGAGAGGAAGAATGGTTAGGTCGATGATGTTGGTTGGGGATCGGTCGATGTACGTCTGGGGAGTGGAGAAGGTGCGGAAGTCGGAGGTGTAGGCGTAGCGGATCTTGGTGGAGGAGGGGGTGCCGGTGTGGGAGGGGTCGGAGGGGGAGTACTGGCTTTTGGTTAGAATAGGGATCGGGATGAGGACGTGAAAGGAGAAAAACAGAAGAGAGGGGGGAAGAGGGAGAAAAAGAAACAAAAATTGGGGGAGAAAACAGAAATGGAAATGGAAAAGAGGGGGAGGGGAGAAGAATATAGAGGGAGGAAGGAAAGAGAGGGACACATACAAATTTGGAAGCCCAATGGACGAGATATTGACCCTTTGCCGGATCCCAAATCGCTTCAGGTGCCCATACCATGCCGGCCGTATTGTCTTCTACGATCACAAGTCTTTCATTGACCCAGTTGATGAGATCGGTGCTTTCCCAGACAAATATCCCCTTGGAGCCTGTTCGTTGTGCCGCGTCCCATGTTGTCTGTTTTCATTCATCGAAGTAGTACCGTTAATAAACCTGGTCCTGGCTATACAAAACCTTCCTCCTCCTGCTGCAGTCTAACGCACCTTTCCAATATTCAGATCCGTCCCAATGATATACCACTTCTTCCCTGCCTCGCTGCCTCCACCCGGAACGATAGTCGGATCCCGAACACCGCCTGTCCCCTTCGTCGGCTTGAAGATTGGCGAGCCTTTGTTTAGAGCCTTGAACGAGATGGGGTTGTTGCCGTTGCTGAGGTAGAAGTAGACGTATGGATCGGCGCCGAGGAAGAAGACACCCAGGTATCCGGCGAGCGATGGGTCGGCGCGCTGGACTATCTGGTTATTGTCAAGACCCAAGGATGCGGTGTCGATGACGAGGGCGCAGCAGGCCCACGCCCAGGTAGAGACGAGGAGAGTGAGACTGGGGATTCTCATTTCTTGACGCGCAGGACGCGCTCGTAGGATCAGGTCGGGAAGAAGGGATATCGAAGCGGCTCAAGAAGGTCTAGATGCGGCAACAGAAACATCTGGGACTTGAAAGACATTTATATCCCAAGAAGCTCTTCTACCTTTTCCATAGAACCATCTGTATGCCACTCCCCTCCCACGTGAAAGCCGCCTCTCAATATTGACGTCCACTACTTGTAAAGTGTGGCTCCACGAACTCTACATGGGACCCTGAAGTATCAAGCATTAGGGTAGCGAGGCCCGGGGGTTAGGTGACATTTAGGCAAACGAGAAGGGCCGATACAGTTTGTAAATGGCTAAATCATGCTCGCCATGCTCCGAATTGATCGGAGGACGTTGCAGTCCAAGGTCGATCTCCAAATTTTCTGGTGTGAATCTTTCAGATTCGATTGCTGGAAACAAAATTCTCCATGCTGGGCGGCCAAGTACCAAACGATGTTCGTGGCTACTACAACGCTAGAAAAGGGGGTCCCGGAGCCGAGACATGCAAGAGAGAGTGTCTTTAAAGGTTTGAGAATAAGCGCTCCAATCATGTTTCGCCTAGTTCGACCTCCTTGTTTGTGTGGTGGTCTCTGGTGGATATAAGACCGATATCGTGGCCGGCGTTATTGATAGCGTTGTCAAGCATCAGGTGGAAGGCATGAGTGCGCATGTCAAAGAAAGCCTCAGACTGGACCGAAATCTGGGAGAAGCTGCTCTCCAAGTTCAGATTGGGAGCAATGGTTGTGCCATCCCAGTTGTCAACGACCTGTGGGCTTGGCGACGAAGGGGTATGGCATGAACTTGCCGGATGACTAGCGGTGGACTGGCTGTCGTCACTGATTAGGATAGGTTGTTCCCTCATTCCAAACATCTCTCCCATCAGTTTGTCGTGTCGAAATGCATTACCGGAACAGTGCTTTCCGAACAAGTGTTCAATGGTAATACCTAACAAAAACCAAGCATCAGTAAATGGTGATGATCATTGGGGATAGGGATTGTCATACCTTGTTCAAGCCACTCGCGCGGATTAACAGTGTTGGGCCATACGTCTTTTGGTTTGAAAACGTCAATCAGATGACAAAGCTCAGCATACGACGAGTGGCGCGAATAGGGAAAGGTGATGCGACTAGGCAAATTTCCTTCATCTGTGCTGTGAGCAGCCAGCATGGATCTCTCCAAAGCTATCTGGGACTGGGACTTAATGATCAGGTCTCGCAGGAAATTGATGAGTGCACTTTTGTTATCTTCGCCGGATGTGAGCAGTTCCAAGCCTATCTCGATTTTCGAACCGCTTGCAAAAGACTCGAGAGGTAGAAGTTCAACTTTCTCAGCCGACTTTTGAAGCCAGCGGATACTGTCAGAGTTAGTATGAGAATAATTTCAGGACAGTGAAGGCAAGTCTTACAACTTCGTAACCATCTGAATTTGTACCTCGGACAAGTGTTCTTGCTCCTCGTTGTGCTCAAGATCATCGCCTCCTCCACCAATACCAAGTTCTGGAAGGTCTTCGCCGTTGTGAAGGTGGGTAAGGACGGGATGTATCTGGACTATCGGGTTTTCTCGAACTGTCTTGCAGAAGTTGCCCTTCTCACAGCTATGGAGACGGACATTTTCATCCAATGTCAGACAGCCCGGGTGATACGAGTTACCGCGCATAAACCCCACAAGTGCCGGAGCCTCGGGAGACAAGTGATGCAAGACACCGAAGCCGCGCTTGTTCCCTGGATCCTTGGCAAGAAGAGACTGGTAAATGCCCATCTTGTATTCGTCAACATGGACCTACCAAAGTTAGCTGACAAACACGGCATGGTAAAGGCGTGGCTCATAGCTTACTCTTGACTCCAGTGCTTTGGACAGGGCAACCCACACATCTTCGTACCCATATGTCCAGGCCTGAAAGTGGAAGATCGTGCTGGGAGGATACCTGGAGACCTTGTCCAGCAACTCGCTGATGCCCTGAGCTTTCGTGGGAAACTCGATATCCTCAATAAAGGATGTATCGAGGTAGATGGTGTCGAGTGTCTTCAGCCCGTATGCATACTGAACCATAGAGGGTGACCTTGCAATGGCGTTGACATGCCATGGCTCGCTCCGAATATCCCCGGTGTAGAGGGCAGCCTTCCCTTGTCCCTCGAACAGAAACATGACAGCGCCAGGGCAATGATTTGCGTCCAGCAGGGTGACTTGGATATGGTTTCCTGGCTCGAGTTCGAGTTCGACCGGCGTGTCAAGAGGGAGTGGTTTCAACAGGTTCCTGAGGTGCTTGTAGGACAGTTGTCGAGCCTCCAGGATGCCTTGGGCATAGTTGATGCGACGAGCTACGGTCTCTAGGCGGAGCAGTATCTCCCTGGTGGCGGCAGAGCAATAAACGCTATGAGCCGTTAGATATATCCAATTGTCAGGAGAGCAAATTCTCGACTAACAATGGTGATCGCAAGGTGTCGAGACCAGCAAGGTGATCGGTATGGACATGGCTCAAGAAACAGGCCAATGGAGGCTTGCGATTTGGGTGGGTGCGGAAGAAGTCAACTGAATCAATGGCAGTGGGTAGTTAGCCTTGGAATCCAAACAAGGGGAATGCGCTCACCTCTAATGTCGGGAAACTCGGCCAACAAGCCGTTGAAGGTAGACATGTCCAAGTACTCGCATTGTCTTTGTTGATGGTGATGTCATGTCGAGGCATTTGGCCCTGTCACCATATTACTAGAATGGCCATGTATTGTGATCAGACGGAAGGTGCCGATCCCCATGAGCAAGGCTATCGAGTCAGTCCCCACGGACCTTGCGAGGCCGAGAAAGAAAAAGAAGGGATGAGGCGCGAGGCTCGTCATAGGGCTGAAGAAAACAAAGGAAGACCAAGACCCCACAAGGAGCGGGCCGGGTTGGGGTTTGTAACTGCTTACAGACGACCATGCCCCTGAAGTGCCCCGCAACGACCAGGCCCAGAGCCCCAAGTGACGTGCCTTGTACGCTTTTTGACACAAATCGAGAAACACAAATCCGCGTCGACCTTGATCCTCGTCGACTTCCTGTTTCTGCCGTGTTTCATCGAGGAGTAGAGTATCCCCGGGCCAGGAATAAGCAAACATGGCGCCGACGACAACAAAACCCATCTCGCGCCATCATAACATATCCTTCCAAATGTCAACCGGACGGTAGACAGACACAATGGCAATCACCAGTCTGAGCTCCCACCTGCTCGAGTCGCTGCTGGCCAGCTTGACTCTGGGTCGCGTCACGGCGCTTGTTTTTCTTCTCACACTTGTGAGTTTCGCCATCGACTCGACGAGAAAGCCAACATATCCCAAATCGTTACCCCGAGTTGGCTTCACTGGAGGAATCGGCGCGACGGTTCGCAACTGGATGAACCTTGGCAACTACCACAACTGGGTCGAAGAAGGCTACAACAAGTATGGCAAACACGGCCGCTCTTTCGTCACTCCCTCTTCTCCCAGCCAGCCGGACGAGATTGTCGTTCCTCAAGAACAGATAGCCTGGATGCTCGAACAGCCCGAGACGGTCGCCAGCACCCAAGAATCCCACAAAGACGTCCTCTTCGGCACCTACAACTTCTTCAATGTCGACGACCACTTCCCTACCAAGGTGATGCACAGGCACCTGGCCCGCAACCTTGTCACTCTCCTCCCCGACATCCAACAAGAAGTCGCCGAGTCCATCGACATTGCCTTTGGCACCGACTCCGAGAACTGGACTACCCTCAACCTCTGGGAGGCCCTACTAGCCATTGTCCCCCGCGTCATGAACCGCCTAGCCGTCGGCCTGCCTCTCTGCCGCAACCAAGCCTTCCTCTCGAGCCAAGTCGGATTCGCCGACGACGTCTTCCGCAACTGTCTCATCCTGACGCTCTTCCCGACGGTCCTCCACCCGCTCGTCGGCCGTCTCGTCACCCTGCCCAACTGGTACCACTTCCACCAAGGCTACCGCCTGCTCAAGCCCGTCATCGAGCAGCGCCTCCGCGACTACGAGCGCTTTGAATCCGGCGAATCGCAAACCCCACCCGAAGAATCCCTCATCACCTGGCTCATCCGCCAAGCCAAAGCCGACAACCTGCCGCACGAGCAGACGCCCTACATGATCGCCATGCGTCTCCTGCCCATCGAGTTCGCAGCCATCCATACCACCGTCATCACTCTGCACGCTTTGTTTCTCGATCTGCTGGCCTCCGACCCTTCCAAGGACTACCTGTCCATCTTGCGGGAGGAAACCACCGCCGTTTTGCAGTCTGAACCCAATGGCATCTGGACCAAAAACGGCCTTGCCCGGCTATACCGCACCGACTCGGCCATCCGCGAAAGCATGCGTCTGTCGACCTTCAGCACGGGTCTCACTCACCGCAAAGTCGTAGCCAAGGAGGGAATCACCAACCCGTTTGAGGGGTGGCATGCCCCCTACGGAGCCATTTTGATGGCGAACATGAGCGTGCAGCATGACGCAGACATTTACGAGGATCCCAAGACGTACGACGCGCTGAGGTTCTCGAGGGTAAGGGAGGAGTACGAGGCTCGCTCGCAGGAGGAGGTGGAAAGGGGAAAGGATACAGAGGAGGCCTTGAGGATCAAGAGGTTGGGGGTGGTGACTACCAGTAGTGAATTTTTGCCTTTTAGTCATGGGAGGCATGCTTGGTTAGTATTTTCTTCTTCATATGTATGTGCAAGTAACGTCCATCGCTAACTCAAATCCGTCTTCACAGCCCCGGCCGTTTCTTCGTAGCCCACGAAGTCAAAATGATGCTGGCCCACATCCTCCAAAACTACGACATCAAGCCTATCGCCGAGCGACCGCGGCCGACATGGGTAGCGCATACGATTATTCCGGCGTTGGATGTGAAGATTGAGGTCAAACGACGACAGCGGAAGCATTAAAGTTGACGTCTTTTTCAAATCATGGTGAATGAATGCATGATCAGTTAGCTCTCTTAGATGTTCTAGGATATACATAGATGACGGATAATACGCATAGAGTCGATAATCTCCATGTTTATATTTCTCATGAACTCGTCAATCTCTCCATTGTCATTACTCAGGTTCTTTCCAACAAGAATCCGACGTTTCCGGGCTTGTCAAGGCAACGCAGGAAAAGACAAAGACAAGGTACCACAGTTTGCTATCTGATAGGTTGATGTCGACTTGGGTAAGTCTTTTCGTATGTCGAGTCAAGCAGTTGCTGGCTGTCGTGAATCATGAACCTGGTTTCCGTGCCATCGTATCGGGTATTGTGAACAACTGTCACTCAACCTACTCATGCACATCTCATCTCCGACTTCTTCATCCGCCTTTTATAATCGAACTGCTAACTTAACGTACATGGTACACAGATTGTATACACTGCTGCCCCCCCCTTCGCGAGCACGCCTTTAATACCAAATCAGATTCTTGTTGGTAACCCCCTTAAATCCTCCGATACCCGTGAATCATCATCACTCTTACTACTGCGATGATCACTACTCACCAAACCGCCTCTTCCTCTGCCGCGCCCGCCGCCGCAACTGTTTTTCTTTTTGTTCATCCATATAAGTTTGAGTTTGATAGATTTTAGATCGGTTTTTGTAGTTGTTTGTCGTTTGGTTAGATCCGGGCCTCCCTTGTTTGAGGCTCAGTAGATGACTGTAAATAGACCGCTTCATACGTTTTGCTTGAACGGCCCTTCACACTGGAGAAGCTAACGCGCAGGAAACCTATCGTGATAATCATCCGCACGCTTGGTATTGCGCTGGTTGTTCCAATGACTGGTGTTGTTGTGCGGCTTCTTCTTGTTTTTCCACCACGAGGCGGGGTTAAAGCCCGACGCTGAATCGCTTTCCCGGCGTGCGGGTTGTGGCTGTTGACGACTTCCCGAGGGGAATGCTGTCTTGTTCGATTCCCACTCGGCATAGGATTCCATCTCTCTCAGCAATGCTCGGCCGCAATCCTCCTCGACTTCCTGACCATCTTTGGCAATCAGGACCGAGAGATTCTCATTGAGCGGGTTTTTGAGGTATCCAATGCGAGAGAAGGGAACAGCAACTTTGCTAAGCCATCTGAGACGGAAGGGAGGGGAGGTCTGCCAATGGATATTCTTCATCCAAGATGCTTTGTTGATGTCGGCCGAAGGTAAACTGGTCATCAGTGCCTGAAAGATACATGTTAGATGATGCTCCACGGTTTATAAGAGGGAGGAAGAGACAGCAAACACCATGACTGGCCCAGAACTTACATAACCCTGAAAAGCCTTGCTCTTGTTCACAGAGAAAAAGAAGATGACATTTTTGCACGTCTGGTAGGCCTTGGTGAACTTTTCTTCGTTGGACGTTTGGGTGACCCAGATTGCCTGCAAGAATGCGTAAACCACGGAAACACTAATGCGAGATCCAGGACAGAGGGGTTGCAAAACTTACGTCGTCCATGGCCTTGTCCAAATTCTCGTTGTTAAACGACTTTAGAACGAAAAATCGGGTATCTGCATCACGGGAGATTAACATAGTGGTCAGCCAAGGGATTCGTGCGGTCGCCAGACCATAAGGAAAGTGATCTGCGGGGCTGGGTCCCTTTGCGAGGGTGTTTGAACTCTGGAAACTGATTCTTGCTGTGCATGTAATGGTGAAGAAACAACGCAAGGAAAACTAACCGCCCTTTTTGCCCGTATCAAAGTGCTCAACATGCTCCAAATCCCTAGGTCGCCGGGGCGACTGGGCGCTTTGCGCTTTGTCTCCACCGTGTTCGTCAAAGAAGCCGTTGACATCATCACGGTAGCTCCGGTCGTCATGTTTATGAAGAAGGCGTCCGTCGTATTTGTTGTATTCGGAACGGTCGCGGGACCGAGGCCGAGGAGAAAACCGAGAGTGTTGATATTCGCGGTCACGCGAGGTGGGACGGCTTGGACGGTGGTCACGACGAGGTGACGGTGCGCGATAACGACGCGGAGACCATGAGGGGGCACGCTTGATAGGATACTCGGGCCGACCACGTTCACGGTAACGGTCATCATACTGGTTGTCAATGTCCATCGGCCGGGGTCCGTTCTCCTCCGGCCGATGCTTCTTCTCCGGAGGAGCATCGGTCATGTCCACGGACGGCTCGCGTTCCCTTTTGGGCGCTACAACCTCGGGAACTTCGGATACTTTGTTAATGATTGCCGGGGCAGTTTCGACTACCGGCGTGGCAATGAGACCAAAGTCTAGCCCCTCTTCTTCCAGTAGCTTGCGCTGCTCGGCCTCTAGCCTGGCCCTCTGGGCAGCATGCTCAGCTTCGATTCGTTCTTTCTCTGCCGCCAGAGCTTTCAGCTTACGATATCGTTCGATCTTTTTGGTACGTGTTTCGGCGTCATGGTAATTAGTTAGCGCCAGCCATTCCCGCAGGTCCGGGTTGAGCTCCAAGGCTCGCTCCAGGGCCTTTTCGGGAGTCAATAAGGTGGCGGTAGGTTGATTCTTGGTCTGAGCATTCTGAGATTCGGGCCTGTTATTTGTACGTAGGGCCTTCCCGGTGCCCGTCTGGGGCTTACCAGGGCCTTTTTGAGGGAGTTGTTTCTTGTTAGAGGTACTATTAGGTCCGGATCGGGGGGCCTTGTCAGGTTCTTGAGCGACTTGGTGCTTCGATTGCTCCTGAGATCGTTCGTGGGCCATTCCTGCTTTAACTGGCTCTTCAGTGTCGCTCGGAATCTCACCCTCCTCGTCCGAAGTGGAGATCGCTGTGATTGCAGCCTCTGCGGGTTTAGGAGGCCGCACAGAGGAGGGATTCGACACGGGTGCAGGAGTGGCCTGGACCGGCTGGGCCTCGACAGAGCTTTGATTCTGCTGTGTGGTCGAGGAAGCCGGTCTAGGGATAATATCTGCTGTGGGATCCACGTGATCGGAAAAGGAGCGAATCAGAGCAGCAATATCACTCTCATCGGCCGAGATGGACGTCTCGGTAGGAACCTGGGGGACGGTATGAGGAACGAACCGAGGTTTCGGTGTCTCAACTTGCGGGGGCCTTGGTGTTGACGCGACCGTAGTAGTGCTAAGGGGTCTGCTAGCAGCCGCAAGATGCTCGCTGGTGGCGGGCGGAAAAGAAGAGCGTTCTTGCATGATAGCTTGGAGTCGCTGCTTGAGCTCGCGAGTCTTGGCGTCGAGGGCCGCGATGGCCAGCTTTTTCATGTTTGGCGGAACAGGACTTGACATTGGTGATGAGTGATGGGCCAGTAGGAGCACTGGCGACGCGTCAGCAATTCCTCAACGTACGAATGACGTAGGAATACTGGGTATTTGTTGGTTGATATTGCTGTCTTGCTGCCTTGGTGCTTTTTTTTTTTTTTTTTCTCTTTGCTTTTGGTTCGCGGTTTTTTGTGTCCGCAGGTCCTTTAAGGCGGCCAAGCTGACACGCTCGGCAAGGCGCGCGACAGGGAAACTGTGACGTCGATATTGTGCCCACCTCCAGGTCGTCGAAAGCCGAGATGCTTTGCTTATTCAGTAATGTATTTCTCTCACTGGCCAGGCCATGAGAACACTCCGGTCATCTCCAACACCACAGAACAGAACAGAGGGCGAGCAATTGAAGAGTAATGTGCTGGCTCTCAGGGCAGCTATGAGTGCTGCTTGGGGTGCTCGGCAATGGAAGCAGCCAAACACTGCACCGTTTCTCGATTCGACCGTCCCGATTGTGAAAATGAGTAAAAGTTGAACTTTTGATGTTTGGAGTGGAGCAGCCTATGCACTAACAATGGGGCCTACCTACCTTGTCATCGGGCCATTGGAGGTGCGCCCCACCCCCGCTATTTGTCACGGTGCCTGCCCGTCCCATCCACGTCTGTGCTGTCTGTCGCTCGAGGCCTTATATCGCTCATCCTTATCGGACAGCGCTATGGTACACCTACCTCCCAAGGACCTCGGTGCAGTCAGGGGCACTAACAACAACAACAACAACAACAACACTCTCTCAATTTTTACTTACCCCTCCTCATCAACAAATATTCTTCAAGTCCATCCTGTCTTGTGGATGGCCAGACTATTCCACCTAAACTCATCGTGTGCCTCAACCCTCAGACGCATTGATGCCACTCTTTTCTCCGTTGACTGCTCTTTTTTCCCAAATCCCTCGTCTTCTTGAGCTATGCAAAGTCTCCCACTTGCACCTTGTCCCGCCTCTAGTGTAAAGATTCAACCGCCGGAGACGCGTGTTTTCAAGAGACTGACTGACCAGCTGCTAAAATCACACAGGAAAAGGTCGATTTGGGACAAACCATCGGCGAGAGAAACGCTTCCCTACAGAAAGCCAACAAAGACATCGACAACCTCAAGGGGTCAAAGTCGTTGGACATGTCTTATGCCAAGAAATGTAGGAAAAGAACTAACGGCAAGAAAGAGACTGAGAGTTGTATGCTTCTGGGTTGGACATGATATACCACCACCAGCCGTGATGCTCATAACAGTTGGCATTATGATCTCCCGCCATGGCATTGATGACAATGCGCAGTCTGCAAGTCTGGTAGCGAGCATCTGAGGCTCTCTTTCTCTTGGCAACACTGGTCGAGGAAGACGTCGTGCAACTCGGGCTATCCAACACTCACTCCATCATCATCATCATATTCCTGTCGGTCAGTCTCTAATCCAAAGCCAAGGTTGTATCTACCCCTTTACACTACCTCTACGCTAGAAGCGCCCATGCCGACCGTGCCATTCGGGTGAAAATGACTTTCATGCAAAGACTCTCGCAAGAGGCGGCCGGCGCTACCGTGGCCCATATGTAGTGTCTGTTCAAGATTCTCAACCCTTGACTCCAGCGGCATATCCTGGCCTGACCCCTTTCATCATCCTTCGATTTGGCTTCTCTCTTTCTCACACGTGAAAGAAAAACAGTAAAAAAAGAAACAACCACGTCCAAAAGGCGCCACACTTCGGTTCAACCTGCCGCGACTCCGACAAACCTGGCATACCAAAGCCTCTTGACTGGCTCAGTCTCCAAGGGGCCGAGGAGGGGGCGGGGCCCGGGATCGGTAACATGGCCGCTGGCGGGCGCTAGCAAGCGTTGGCTGGAACGTTGGAGGCTCAAGATGCCCCTGCCGGACTCCACACGAACCCCTTCGCCTACCCTTGTTTACACCTCAAATCACCCCCTGATGTGCCCCTGAGTCTCCACACAGACCTCACTGCTGCTTGTGCTGATGCCTGTGATGGTGACGAGAGCTTCGAGAACACAGCGCTTGGCTTGCGGGTTAGCTTGGATAGCTTGCGAGGCCGAAACTGGGCTCGATGCTTGACCCCACGGGCAGGGCAGTTCTCGGGCATCGCGGCGCCACGGCAAGCTCCCCTGTTCACTTTGGTATGGACGAACACCTCTCTTGACGCCGTGCGTTCGTCCCATTATGGCCTTCGTATCGCTCATTTGGTTCGAGGAGCCGCAATCATGTCTCCATTGCTACGGAACTGACACTCCGTGACTTGTATCCGAGGTTGGAGGTCCGCCAGCATACCACATTACCTTCCACCGCCCGTCGATCTGTTTGGTTTCCATATCCATGGCCGGTCTACCCGCGGGGAGTGGCTACTACCCGCTTACATCGTCACATTGGAATCAACTTTGGGAATTTGTTCCGTTATCAGACCCCGCCTTGTCCAGACCACCTCATTTCGCTGAAACGAAGTGTTGGTTGACCGATGCTTCGTCCAACATACCCATCATGAAATGGAATAGCTCGATGCTTCGGCTAGGTGGGCTGGTCGGGGGCACCGACGGGCAAGGGTTAAGGCTTGGATTCTGAACAACCACTTTCGAATATATAAGGATATGGTCGTCACCGTGTTGCAGAGTTTTGGAAAATCATCAGCTTCAACTTGAGCATTCGGCATCTACTCACCTTCTTTTTCCAACTTCTACCTTCTTTACCAAAGCTTCATCGACTGAAGCCTCTCATTCTTTTACCCGCAATCTTTGACATCACAACACTCCTTCAATCCGCCAGTCGGTCAATCAACACCAACAACTAACCACCAAATCAATCAAGATGCCTTCCTTCACTTCCAAGTCTCTTCTTGCCGTCCTCGCCGGCGCGGCCTCCGTTGCGGCCCACGGTCACGTTAGCAACATTGTCATCAACGGTGAATACTACCGCGGCTTTGACAGCAGCCTCAACTACATGGCCAACCCCCCTGCTGTCGTTGGCTGGAAGGCCAACAACCAGGACAACGGCTTCGTTGGCCCTGATGCTTTCTCCTCGCCCGACATCATCTGCCACAAGGATGCCACCAACGCCAAGGGCCATGCCGTCGTCAAGGCCGGTGACAAGATCTCCATCCAGTGGGAGACCTGGCCCGAGTCTCACAAGGGTCCCGTCATCGACTACCTCGCCAACTGCGGCGCCTCCGGCTGCGAGACCGTCGACAAGACCTCTCTCGAGTTCTTCAAGATCGACGAGGTCGGCCTCGTCGACGGCCAGAAGTGGGGTTCCGACCAGCTCATTGCCAACAACAACAGCTGGCTCGTCGAGATCCCTCCCACCATCGCCCCCGGCTTCTACGTTCTCCGCCACGAGATCATCGCCCTCCACTCCGCCGGCCAGGAGAACGGCGCCCAGAACTACCCCCAGTGCTTCAACATCCAGGTCACCGGTTCCGGTACCGAGAAGCCCGCGGGTGTTAAGGGTACTGCCCTCTACAAGCCCGATGACGCCGGTATCCGCGTCAACATCTACCAGTCCCTGAGCAGCTACTCCATTCCCGGCCCTGCCCTCATCAAGGGTGCCGTCAGCGTCGCTCAGTCCCACTCCGCTGTTATCGCCACCGCTACTGCCATTACCGGTCTTGGTGATGCTCCCGCTGCCACTGCCGCCCCTGCTGCCACCACTGCCCCCGCCGCTGCTCCCGCTGTCACCACCACTGCGGCCGCTGCTGCCCCCACCAAGCCTGCCACCACTGCTGCTGCTCCCCAGCCTACCAAGCCTGCTAAGAGCGGCTGCCAGAAGCGCCGTGCCGCTCGTCGCGCTGCTGCCCTCGCTCGCCGCCACGCCCGTGACGTCGCTTTCCTCGACTAAGCGATTGCATATAATGTCTTTTTTAAAGGATGGAAATATGGAGACATGTTTGAATGGAAAGACAGCTATGAGGAGTTGAAGCTGCTATGGACGCCCCGGCGATGCATACGAGAAAGGGAGACTTTTTAGGAAGTTATTTTCGATTCTACTATATTTTTTTGTTAGACTTAGTTTTAAACTTCCTCTGCCGCTTGGTAGAGGGGGTCAAAAATCGATGCTCTGTTGAAGCCTGAATTTGGTTCCTTTTTGCGAGAGTGATGATGTTGATGATATTCGAGGTGATTGCATTCTTTTGTTCCATTGCCGGTTGACCTACCTCATCTGGTTCCTTTCGGAAATTCGGAATAAAGTTGCATGATTTGAGAGGAATAATCGAAGCTGCAAAGTGGATTGAATTTGAAAAGACCCGAGATATCGTAATGATAGGTCTTTCTGTTGCAAATTCCTTGCCTGTTGTTTACCTGCTCAACAAATCCCACTGAGTACAAGCCTCAAACCTCAAAACACTGTCTTCACGGCACACATAATCCATCTCAAGGCCCAAGTTCAAAAGTTTGCATGATCAAATTCTGTTCAAACTACCAAACCACGGTCAGACTCGAAATCGTCTTGGTCAGATGTTTGTAAATTCCTTTGTCGACAATTCGTTTTGGGCCAGTAGGTGCTTCCATTGAAAACTAAGACATATAACAAGTCAAATAACCACACACATCAACCACCGATACGAAAGAAGAAGGTATATTCCGTTCCACCACCCAACCTGTTGTATGGCGTTGTGATCATTTTCAGCATCGCTCAAGGTTCATCCAACGTCGTATATAATTCAGCCCTGTAAATAATGGTCTCTTGTCGTGCGTGAAGCTCAAAAAGTCATAGAAGTGTTGCTCTCAACCCATTTGTAGAAGGGCCAATCAACTCCCCTGCCTGTTTCCTCCCCCCCTGCTAAAAGCATGCCTCACGCCAAGAAACATTTCACTCACCTAGCGGAGAGACTCGAAACACGCGAATATCGCAAAGGAGCCAAGTCAATGGAGGGGAAGAAATGGGAAATTACACACACGTACCACCATAAACGCCAAGACTGTTTCAAGAACAATCATCACGAACTTCTTTCCAGATTCGTTCCTTCTTCCGTTGCGACTCAATTCCCCCCCTTCCCCCCTCCTCTCCCCTCCCCTCCCATCCGCAGTTCGTTACATTCAATCAATCTAATGATCCAGTGTCCCGACTCCCGACTCCCGTTCGCTCGGCACCACAACTTTTACATGCCATGTACACTACAGTAATTATCCGCAAATGGGATTCATCCCAGTCCCCGCTTCCAAGACAACAAACCAACATCGGGTAAAAAAGAGGCGACTGGGCGGGTTTGTTGAGTGAGGCATCTCTTGCGAGTCACTTGTTCTTCAAGTCACCTTCCGCGTAACGAGAGCGACACAAAAAACAAAAAAAGGGGTAGATCAATTTCCCAATCAATGGGTTGGATCGAAAGCTACCTACATAGATCGATCCGCCGCCGAGAAGATGATGCACCCCGGGATTTTTGAAAAGTCTTGGGACCGAACGATGTTACTCCTCGCATTGCATGCGAGATGGGTTGAGGGAGGGTTGAGGATGTTAAAAGAGGTCCACCAATCCGGAACCACCGTAAAGTGTACATACGTACGCTCGGTACGTTATGCTAAAAAAAGGGTGAATGGATGGATGGATGGCTTCAAGTGAGTATTTCCCTTTTAGGATCGAGGAGAAGCGGTCGTACCATGGAACGGGTCGGACGGATCGAGTAAAAGTTGAATGATCCACCGGGGAAGAGAACGAAGAAGATTCCCTCTTTCGCTTCTAGGCCGAACCATGTAAACGGACAGACAGACAGACAGACAGACCCAAGCTCCGAGATATATATCAGCGTCATCACCCAGTCAACCACCCTCTCTTTGTTCCCCTCCACTACCACCTTACCTTTGACTCCAACTCTGACCAACCCAACAGAGTGAGCTCATCGCCCACATCCCGTCGCCAACCATGAAGTCCCTTCTCCTCCCGCTTCTCTCCCTTCTCTCCCTCTCCTCTTCCGCCCTCGCCGCCACCCGTATCTCTCCTCCTTCCTCCGCCTGTCTCCGCGTCGGCGCCGGCCAACAGTACTCAAACATCCAATCCGCCGTCAACGCCCTCTCCACCACGGCTTCCGGGTCTCAATGCATCTTCATCTACCCCGGCACCTACTGGGAACAGGTCCTCATCCCGGCTCGCTCCGCCCAGCTCTCCATCTACGGATACACTGCCAACACCCAAGGCTATGCTTCCAACACCGTCACCATCATCGCCAACAGATCCCAGGCCGATGGCCTAAGCAACGACCAGACGGCTACTGTGCGCGTCAAGAGCAGCAACACTCGCTTGTATAACCTCAACATTGAGAATGCCCACGGCAAGGGCAGCCAAGCCGTGGCGCTGAGCGTGGCCGCCAACGGCGTGGGCGTGTACGGATGCCAGTTGAAGGGATTCCAGGATACGCTGCTAGCGGAGGACGGAGCGCAGCTGTATGCCCGGACGTTGATTCAGGGAGCCACGGATTTCATCTTTGGACAGCGCGCACCGGCGTGGTTTGAGAAGTGCGATATCAAGGTCATGGCTGCTAATCTTGGGTATATCACCGGTATGTTTTTCCCATCCCCTTTCACTGTTCCACTTTCAATTTGGTTCAGTAACTGACTGACTGTTGTTGTATCATATTTCAGCCTCGGGTCGTGATTCTTCGAGCAACCCAGCCAACTACGTCTTCAACAGCTGCTCCATCGCCGCCGCTGCCGGTAACAATGTGCCCTCGGGAGCCTACTACCTCGGTCGTCCTTGGCGCCAATTCGCTCGCGTCACCTTCCAGAAGACCAGCATGACCAACGTGATCAACCCTGCCGGCTGGCAGATCTGGAACAACGGCGATGCGAGGACCAGCAACGTTGAGTTTGGCGAGTACGCTAACACTGGTGCGGGCGCGAGCGGGGCCAGGGCGAGCTTTAGTAAGAAGTTGGGTTCCCCCGTCAAGATTGAGTCGGTGCTGGGGAGTCGTTACACTCGTCAGGGTTACTATGATTCTAGCTATATGTAAGCTAGGGGGGATCTTGATGAGTGGAGAAGGAGAGGAAAGGAAGGCAGTGAATGGGAGGTGGGTTGATGGAAGGATTTGTATTCGAATAGACAATTGTCGAACCGGACCGCAACGACGGATCAGGATTTTGAATAACATAAATAGAGGTGTTGTCCCCAGGTAATGCCAAAATGATTCTGAAAAAAAAAAAAAAAAAAACAAAAAAAAACGAGCGCGGACCTCAGATCACCTCGCAATAGATCTTGTTGTGACAACTTTTCACACCTAGCTTAGGATTAGTTTTAGAACTCTGTCGCAACTCAACTGTGCCTCAGTGATGGTTCTAGACTTGAGTCTCCCTGGGCCTCCTCAAGCAGAAAAAAAACAGGAAAACATCACTAGACTGAAAAAAGCTGGTTATTTTTTTCCCCACGAAGGCAATGCACTAAAAGCCAAAGCATGCTAACGAAATGGTATAACGATTTGCACTGAGATGATGTGTATGAACAGTCCTAGAATCAGAGGGGAGAAAACAAAGCGAGTGACCTAAGCAAACCAAAAAAAAGTCCCAACCCATAGATACCTTATTCAACGCCGGTTCGAAACAGAGGCCCTTGAACACCCCGAAGAAAACAACTCCTGCCGCTGATAAATGCGAAGTGACGAAAAGACGACCTAAGATGCCGTCTGAATTTGAGGGGCCTTCAGGATTCGAAGAGCCTTCAAATTTCGTTGGAGGACTACCAACCTAGACGTCGTCCATCTTACCGGCGGCCTCCTCGTCGTCTTCCTCGTCGAAGCTAGCCACGGATGATAGTTCGCCGTCGTCTTCACTTTCTGCGTCCGCCTCGTCTGCCGCGTCCTTACTCGCGTACTTCTGGACATATTCTGCAAAAATCATTTCAGCTTCCCTCCTTTCTGTTATCCAAAGCAGTCTCCATGTGTTGACATACCTTTTACCTTGTTCTCGTAGGTCTTGGGTTCTCTGAGCAACATGGCAGCGGCCTCACCGTTGAGAGGATCGGTAGGGTTCGGGTAACGTAGAAGCTGAGGCAGGAATACTTCAAAGATGTTGATCATATCGAACATTGGCGACCATGTTTGGTTGATGACGTCTAGACAAACCGATCCGGATCTGGTATGCGGCGCATTTGGTTAGCCCCGATTGCTCTTTTGCGGCGAGTGGCCCATCATTTTGTTGCTTGTTTCTCCCCGGCGAACCAGAGCCCGCCCAACGTATTGTCGTGATTATTTCCTCGGATGGTGCAATCAGTTTGGCATCAGTCCCCACTTACAGCTCATCAATGTTGGGATGGAAGATTCGGTTCACGAAGCCAATGCTAGGGGATTTGTATGGATACTGATCGGGTAGCTCGACGCGGACTTTCCAGATGCCGCCTTCAAAGGGGGCTGTAGGGAGGGCTTGGTGTTAGTGACTGTAAGATCCTCGAGGCACATCTGGCGGCTTGAGCACAGGTGAGACAGGGAATGGAAGATATTGGGTAGACAAACTTTCGGCAGGCCCTTTGAACCTCACATAGAATTCCTGCCTGTTGTGTTGTTAGGTAAGCCCAGCATCCCAGCTCGGATCATTTAGTTGTCGCATCTTACACTTTTTTTTCCATGTTAGCGCTCCGAAACCGGAAGTTGAATGTTTCCTACAGGGGGTTGGAAAGGGTGTATCCATACTATTATCGTTCACCAAAGTGACTTCATAGTCGCTCATGAGCCTGTCGTATCAGTCGTGTTAACAGTGCGCTCGTGGGAAAGGGTTGTTGGAGCTTTGTAAGGACGGGATTCGTACATCTTCATGACCTGTTGCCAATGTACATATTAGCACGTGTGTCCGTGACTCGTAGCTGAAGGTGAACACTATCGCAACTCACATCTGTCTCGATACGGCGGCGTGGGGAACTCATGTTGTCTCTATCAGAAACTCGCGCTCGGTTCTGCCTTTTTGATAAGAATGAAGTGGTGGTATCTAGCTTCGAGTTGTCGCAGGGAATCTGAAGCAAAGTCGCAAGCACTCGCGTTATCGTATAATCCGATGTTGTGAACGGATGACAAGTGTCAAGACTGCAGAATGCGGGAGTAATGCGTGGTCGGCGGGTGGTGGCGAGATGCAATGTCGCTCTCGTCTGGTCTACCAGCTGCGGCCGAGGTGGGTTGGAAGCGAAGCTTGGGCGTTGCTGACAACAAAAGATGACGGGGAGGTTATCGCGAATGGACTCGAATAGGTTAGGCACTGAAGCTGATATGGCAAAGTGTCGATGGTTTGATTATCCACAGGACGGAAAGTCGAAGTTGGGACAAAGTGGGATGAATGAGACAAGTCGCACTCCTGTCACGTTCCCGCCCGCAGTAGCGACGATCGTCCACGACGTCAGGCTTACCGTACAGCGCTGACCTCCTCAGGTGGTAGCAGCCAGGGGTGCATTTGCCGGCCGCGAGCGAATGATAAGCAGCCAGGAGTGGGGAAGGTCATGCGCTGAAGGGAGCGATAATGATTCATTGGCGGTCACTCGGGACCGGCTGGTGTGCTTCAGATGTTGAGGACGGGGAATGACGGGACCGCGGGAGGAGTCAACTCCAGTCAACCTCATCAAGGCAACTTGGTCGAATTTACCAATCCAAGGTACATTCCGGAGGTGATGTTACATGTTTGCTTTGTCTCCAAGCCAAATCCGGTCACCAACAACAGACACAATAGTCAACAGCAACATCTGATAAAGAACGGCGCAAGAGGTCGATGTGACGTCCATATGGATCAATGATACTTGATGAGGAGCAACTTCAAGGTCCAAGATATATTCATCTCTTAAGCCCACGACACAAGGTAGTCCAACACCGAGTCTTCGGCTCTGGACCACGGTAGCGGAACGCCATGTGTTTATGTAGGGCTGACAATTCCCCGCAGTTCACAATGTCATCTGAAGCCAAAGTCGGCGGGTTTACATAAAGTGGCTGCATAGATGCTACCAAGTATCTGACACGGCACAGAAAATCTTTCACTACCCTACAATAGTCTATAGAGCCTCAAACCATCACGATAGGCAGGTCAACACCGTCAATGTTCTCGGTGTCCGTTCGGAGACGAACATCATCAAGATGCTTGCGTTTGTCAAAGTCCCAAAATTGTTAGTGCAGCGCCAGTGTCAGTCGACAGTCACCGATGCCTCGGCCCCAGGAACACAGCCAATCAAGCACATCCAAGCGACCGGTAAAGTGGGTAATGTGGGTCCTTCTCCGAACGCCCGAACAAGCCGGCGGGTCCCAGTCCCCCTTGACACTTGGCGGAAACGGCAAAGAACACCAAGAAATTTGTGAGATATACTCAATTCTACGCAGCAAAAACCATCATGGCTTCTGGAGTTGAAATAAAAAGGAGGAGCCGGGCGCAGTAAGGGGGAAAAAAAAATGGCGCAAATGTAGAAATCATTTTCTCTCCTTCTCAATCCATTACTTTCAGTGCAGCATTGCTATTTCCATCAACCACCAAAACCGTAGGGAAAAGTTGCATCGATTGTTCCAAGCATCGCAAAGTCTCTTCATTCATCCCGTTGTACCTTCACATTGCGTATATTCTGGACCGGTATTTTGCATACGCCTCTCACCACTTATATAACACCACCACCACAACCACCATAATGCACAAGCAAATAACATCTTCACTACTCAGGAGATCTTCTCCCCTCCTTTCCAGGGGTAACAATTACAAACCAATAGTCCTGCTGCGTGGTGCCGGTGCATCTCAACCACACCTCAACACCACCACCACCACGGGATACCAACCCCAACTACACCACCACCAACATGTGCAAATCCAAACCCGCTATTCTTCTCACTCCCCCATGGGCCTCCCGCCCACCAACCCCCGCAAAAAGGTCACGCTCAACACGCTGCAGTCCATGTACAAAAAGGGCGAGAAAATCACCATGATCACGGCGCACGACTTCCCTTCGGCACACGTGGCCGAGCATGCGGGCATGGACATGATCCTGGTGGGCGACAGCCTGGCCATGGTCGCTCTGGGGATGGAGGACACGAGCGAGGTGTTGGTGGAGGAGATGTTGCTGCATTGTCGGAGTGTGGCGAGGGCTACTAGCCGGGCTTTTACTGTGAGTTTTTCTTCCTCTTATATCCTTCTCATTTCAGGGTCTCCATTTAAGAACCCTTTGTGTATACCTACCCCTATTCTTCCGTGATCCGTCTCACCTATTTCACCTCTTGTCCTCAATCATCGCCCCTACTCACTATACCCTACGCCAATGTGAACGTAGAAAAAAAAAAAAAAAAAAAAAAAAAAACACACTAACCACGCTTCCAGGTCGGCGACCTCCCCATGGGCTCCTACGAAATCTCGCCCCAACAAGCCCTCTCCACCGCCATCCGCTTCATCAAAGAAGGCCGCGTGTCCGCCGTCAAACTCGAAGGCGGCGCCGAGATGGCCCCCACCATCCGCGCCATCACCACCGCCGGCATCCCCGTGCTCGCCCACATCGGGCTCACTCCCCAGCGCCAAAACGCCCTGGGTGGCTTCCGCGTCCAGGGCAAATCCAAAGAATCCGCCAAGCGATTGCTCAGAGACGCCCTGGCCGTCCAGGAGGCCGGTGCTTTCGCCATGGTGGTGGAGGCCGTGCCGCAGGAGGTGGCCGCTTTCATCACCGGTCTCCTCAAAATCCCGACGATTGGCATTGGTGCTGGAAACGGCACGAGTGGACAGGTGCTGGTGCAGGCGGATATGACGGGGAATTTCCCGCCCGGGAGGTTCTTGCCCAAGTTTGTGAAAAAGTATGGCGATGTGTGGGGGGAGGCGCTGAGGGCTATTGAGACGTATAGGGATGAGGTCAAGGGCGGGAGTTATCCGGCCGAGGAGCATACGTACCCGATGGCGAAGGAGGAGGTGGAGGCCTTTGTGGGGGATGTGAGGAGGCTGATGAATGCGAATGCGTCTGCTAAGGCTGAAGGCGAGGGTGAGAAGGATGCGTGAGTAATGCTGTAGTGCGTGCGTGGCGGCGGGAGGAGGATAATACCCCTTGCATGATGTTGAGATAAAAAAAAATGTGTTGCTGTTTTTGGATATAAGAGCGTTGCCTCACGTTGATAATGAAGAAGATGATAGGTACCTCTGTCGTGATCCCTTTAAAATGATGTGAGGTGCCGTGGATATTGATGACCTTGACGGTGTGGCGTTCCCTGGTGTCAAAACCCTTCAAGTAGTTGCTCAAGGATGCTGAAGTTTCCATAGTAATCCTAGGTTTGTTGGCTGATTTTTCGACACGGCTCGTCACAATCTTGACACCGTCTAACATGCTGTCCATAAGATATGATCCGATCCGGTAAGCCTCCTAGTATTGACCCCCTCCTTCAGACTCGAGGTGATCATCCAAAAGACGGCGTCATCGAATACGAAACATTTAGCTGGTTCGTGGAATCCTTAAAGCACTGCAACCTACATCGTTAGCACACACTTCACACTGTTAGTCGCACTTGACACTTCCTTGACACTATCATCACCCCCGGAATTATCACCACCTTCACCAAAAACCAAAAGCCAAAGTAAACTCACCCTCCACAAGTTCCCCACCACCTCATCCAACGCCGGCGCAAACACGCTATTCACATACAGAAACACGCTATCCGTCTCCTGCACCTTCAGCGTCTTCCGCAGGTACGCCACCACCGTCTCGAACGAGTGCGTGCTAAGCACTTTGACTTGCTCCCTCCGGAGGGCGGGCGCCGACCCGACCGGCTTGAAACGTATCACCACCTTCTCTTGGTCAAAGGTTCCGGCTTCGGCGAGGGCGGCGGTGGCGTCCCGCGGGAGCGTCATCAAAACCGTGGAGGCGGTCATGGTCAGCGGCAGGTTGGGCGAGTCGCGGCCTTCGAGGACAGGAGAGGCTGTTGATGAGTTTGGGTTGTCGTCGTGGAGGGATGGGGAGGCGGTGCCATGTGGGGCTTGGGAGGATGCCATTTCGGGTTGTCTGGATGTGAGGTGATGAACAGAAAGAGAGAGGTTGAATTGAAGGTGAAGCGATGAACCGTATCACGGGTTTGTCCTGTTCGTGTTTGTTTGTTTGTTTGCTTGCTTGGTGATGATTAAGCGCTTGGACCAGTTTCTCGGTTGGACTTGATCGTGGTGTTCCTTTGGTAGCTTTGTTGAGCAGCCTGAGATCCAACGGCTATATTCAGGTGACTCTGCTTGTAAGCCGCACCGGTCTATCGAGTGAGGCTGATGATGTTGACGACGATGTTGATGGTTGTTGTCAAGGATCAGCTGGGCAACGAGATGACACTTGATTGGCGATTGCAGAAAGTGGAGACATGGTTGCACCAAGTGTCAGGTACGGGCGTAACTGTATGAGGGTTAGGGTTGCTGTATTGATTCTCTCGGGATTGTCCCGATTTTGAAAACCGGACATCAAAGCTCAAAAGGCACAGAGATCGCGATGATGTCGTTCGTACCCATTTCTCGGAGCTTCTAGTAAACAAAGAGCGCATGCAAGCAGCTACGACGGAAACATTTCCGGGCATCATCGGCTATCAAGGGACCTGTGGTCAACAGAAGTGATGAGAGACAACTTGTGCAACATGCAAAGGCTGTTGCATAACGAGCCTGCACAAACGATATATCTCTTTCATCTCGATCGTGACCAATCGTCGATGACTTGCATATGGAAAACTCGGCGGGAAATTTAAAAGCATCAGAATTTCCATGCCCGGTCCCTCACATGTAACGCCGCTGCAAAGAAGGTACCATGGCATCCTTTCATCGTGTTGATGGCTAGACGGGTTATGATCGGGATGTGAAAAGATACACACCAATCTCGATGAGCGAGCGTTCCAGCGGATTGCGGGTTAGTTAGGATTTCCATGAACTGGCCTATACTGTACATATCTAACGCGTACAAGTATGTATGTAGTAAGCTTATATACAGCGGTTTGTCGGCCGCACACGGGGGTGGACTGGCGGCGTCATCGAGACGGCGATCTCCTTTTGCGGGGCTTGTGACGGAAGCCGTACCCCCCGCATGATCATCCGCGGAGCATTCGTTCCTGTTGCTGTGCCGTGCTCAAAACCATGTCAGTATCGCGCGCGTTCCCGGTGCTGTTGATGGTCGTGTGCTTGTTTTGATTTTCTTGACAAGGAAAGGATCAATCCCGGCGTGTGTGTGTCGCCGGCATGCCGTCGTTCCCGTCATCGAATCGGTCGATAAGCTCTCGGGTCCCGTACTTCCCTGTTCCATAAAGACCGAGGCAACGGCACGCGGCAAAACAATGGTGCGTGGACGAAGAATGGTGGACAGAGAGAGTACTTCCAGTACCTAGGTAGGGTCGGGTACTTGCGGTGGACTTGGATGGGTGGTGAGCTGGTGTCGCAAATGGCTGATGGTCGGAGGTCTAGAACGCACCAAGAACAAATGGACAAGCCTTGCAACGCAACTACCCAAGCTGACAGCCACTGAGATGGGTACAGCCAGTCAGAGTGGGCGCTGCCACAAGCCACTGCCGGCTTGGCGGTGGGGCCTCACTCGTGCAAATTGAAAAGTGGCATGATTTCCAGGCCAAATGGGCTCAAAGTCATTGAAAGCTGCGTCAGAACCCCAGCAGCAAAACGCCAGGGTCCCCCCCACCGATTGGCCTCGTTCACTGATGCTCCGTCTCTTCAGCGAATCGACCTTCACAAACCCTCTGATCCCCAACGATCCATTCCCTCGAGGGCCCGGCGTGCCTTGAGCCATGCGAAAAAGTCAGGCCATGTCGACAATCGACGTCCTAACTAGGCCAATCGGCTTGCCTGGCCTGCGTTCCAACCTGCAACCGATCCCGATGGTTCCTTTTTTTTGTTGGTTTTTTTTTCTCCTTGATGCGAGACGGCGGGCGATGGGGGTTGGGGACGCTTCCTCGGCCTTTCTCTTTGAAGACGATGAGAGAGGAAGGAGGAGGGAAGGAGAAAGGAAGGAGGAAGAATCGGGATCGAAAACGACACTAGAGTACCTTTATGTATCCTTCCATCGCTTGCTTGTGTTCATCGCTTGTAATATCCTGCACATGGAAGGAACGGTCTGCACTCTGCCTGTAGTGCTAGGTAGAGGTAGGTATGTAATTCCCGTCTACATACTATGGCGGGGATGTCTTGCTACATACCTTATTTCTTCCGACGTTAATGCACCAGTGACTGCGACTTTATGTCAGGGGAAAAGAAGAGTGAAGGAACAAACATTTGGTTATATCGTGTTGTACATGTGGAGTACCTCCCACTTATAGGGAAGCACTAGTGTAGTGTTCACAGTACTTCTTCAGCTAGCATTTGGTGGCACGAGGAATGACTGCACTCTCGGCCGGTACCTTCTGTCTACCTGACCGGGCCAAAGTACACAGCGAATATCCAAACAACAAGGAAACAGGACTGGTATTCTTTTCCATGTTCTGGTGCAGTTTCAACCTGGGACCATCGGGTCTGACCTACCTAGGTAAACACGAAACCTCCCGTCATTCACCCCAGGCGCTCCAAATGTCTTTTCTCGTTCTCACTTTGGACCCCCGTCCTTTTTCTCTCTTGTCTCGTCGTCGAGTTGTGCGATAAGGTACCTTGCGGGCCAGTCACCTTACACTACCCACGGCAGAGAAGGCGATTTGCTGGGCACATCCAATTGCACTGTCTTCAGCGGCTAGTGGAAGAAAGATTCTTATGGAGACCAGACTTTGTTATTACTGTAATAGTATTCCCGACCCTTTCCGTTTCGCGCCGTTGGCGACATACAACCGTGATATTTGGAACGTAGAGGTCTCCCATTGCTCAATCCCACTCCATTCTTACATTGCATCCGACAAATCTCAGCAGGCAATCTGGAGCCGAGTCCCATCCTGTTCGCCGCCTGCTACCTTAGCTCCTGCACCACCTTACCTTACCTCTACGTTACCGTACCTAACACATATGACATACATGACATAGCCGACATACCTGACATAACGTACCTGGCTGTAACAGTCAAGAGGTACCTGACGTTAACCGACAGCTTCATCAAGGGCCCCCTGGAGTCATCCCACGATTCGTTTCCACCCCTTCTTTGCGTCCACATCGCACATCTATCATCGGTCCCTCCTTTCCGAGTCGCCGCGGTTGCTATCGAATCTGGGCTATCTGGCTGGATCTCTGTTTGTCTCGTCCACATTTTCAACAAAGCCTTGTTTTCTTGTACCTTTTTTATCCTTTTTTTCCTTCCTCTTTTTTTTTCTTTTTGGGGAAAATTTGGAGACACCAACGCAAGACACCACCAAACCGACCACCACCACTTACAACGAACTCTCAGCTCCAACGCTCGAACCGCGCATTCGCAACGCACCCCTCGTCTGGGAACCTCAAGCGCTCACAAAGCCCTGTTCCGCGCCGGCACCGCAGTGCTTACCCGCTCCGTTGTCCCACGATAATATCTTGCGCGACACCCTCTCCATCTTCAGGTTCCTATCCTAGACCTACCTGCCTACCTTAGGTTCTTAGTCCTAGCTTCCTTGGAGACTTGCTGCTGTTGGTGAACCCTAGTTCTACCTCTTCTAGGCTGGCCAACAGATCCACGCAACTTTGTACGCCGTGCTCATAGTTTGCGAAACCTCTGGTCTCTTTGGCTTTGCCAATCCCCGGCCGTCTTATCCCGCCTTCCTGCCTCAAATCTGGTGATTTACACCACTGCCCGCGGCTTTTGGTCTCTCGCCCAATTACGCACTCTTCTGCCATCCAACAAGCACAGAGCTTTGCGCCAGTTCGCTACGCCAAACTCCTGATTGTCGCGCCATCCGCCGTCAGTGTTCCTCGAATCCCCATCTTCCACTGAGAAAGATATTAGTCGACAGAAAGACGATACTGGTTGTGTGGGCTGGAGACAAGACAGTTGAAAAAAAAAAAAACCGACAGAACAGAAAGGAGACACAGGCTCGAGTGGTATCGTTCCGCTAACTACTGCACTGTCTCTGGTGGCATTGCGTTTCCCATCCCTCCACGCACCAATCGTCGACTTTAGTCGAATGAATTGAACGGTTTCCGCCACCCGGAGCTTTTGCTCATCCTTATATCCATGTCGTCAGGAACAGCATTCAGATCCAGATATTAGCTTATTCCGCGGACCATACAATTGGCGGTGGAAACTAATCCTCCCCGCAAGTCTGGGCTTTGACCAAGAAACGCCCCCCTCCTTGAGCTTGTTGTAGACATCTGCAGATGATCTACAACACAAAGCTGGAACTCAGAACCAACCCCTCGACATCTCACACGTCTTTACTCTTCTCGGCCACGAGGCTTCCGGTTATTCCGTCGACGGTTTCAGCTTGACCTCCGCGATCTTCATCATCGTCGCCTCGTTTCGTGTTAGTCCTGACAGCCTCACGGTATGCTCAGGTAACAAGATGGATCCCAACACGCTCAGACATCTCGAGTACTTCTCAGTACCCAATCACCAGGTAGCACTTTCTATTGTGTCCTTGCTATCTGTCTTGTCTCGCTGCTGACGCTACCCAGACGGTCAACCCCGTTGACCAATCTTACAACTTGTCAGGGTCTACCTCTACGCAGTCGCCAACACTATGGGGCACCGCGCCATCACTGGAAGCCAACCATTCTGGCATGAACTCGACGGCAACGACGACCATGTCACTTGACTCTCTCTCACAAACTTCTCCAGCAACCGCTTTCACTGGCATGTCCTCTCATCCTTCAATGACCCGACGGCCGTCCATGTATGGCAGTCATACCGGAATGCCGTCTTCAAAATCGTCCAGAACCCGGGAAGGCCATGAGAGGAAACGAACAAGGCTGGACTCTGAGCTATCACCGTTTGATGAGCCGGACTATTGGTTGCAGTTCGACAATGACGACAACTTCGATGATATTTCTGAAACCACAGAGCCCCCTCGGCAGGATCACAAAGGGAAAGGAAGAGCCCCGCAGCTATCCCAACAGCAACAGCAACATCAACAACGGTAGGTTCAAACCCTTAAACCGCTTGGACCAAGAAAGTCTAGTTCCTAATCGCTTTTTCAAGACGTCGGAGCACGGCACACTCCATGGCAACAACGGCCGCCACTCACCGGAGAACTGCTGGTACGCTAAAATCCGAGGACTACATGGAAGACAGCGCCTTGGATAATGCTCTATCGGAGGATGAGCGGGCGATGTCCCTGAATCTGGCTGAGCAGCTTTCCAAAATAGATACAGCTCCGCCGCAAGAAGTACCCCCGCGTGAAGGTCTCTACTCGACACCCCTTAGCTGGGAGCGCCCACAACCCGGTCTCAGAATGGACTCCCTGATAGGACTCAATCAACAAGCCCTGAACGAGGCCGAACAGCGACGACTGATTGCAATTGCCATGAATCCTGGACCTAGCATGGGAGGACTCGGCTCCAACATCAACCTCAACTTTGGGGATATGGCAACCGGGTTCAACTCGGGGTTCGGCTCGAGTTATGCAAGTTCATCGATGGGTGGTGGTCAGATGCCGAGGCCTGTATCACCACCGCGGGCGAGCACATCATCCCAGTCACGACCAGCACCAGCGAGACCCCCCCATAAACACGGCAGCATAAGCGAAAAGTCGAGCGAGAGGATGGGTAGTGGTGACAAGCACAGAAAGGTAGAGGAAAAGCACAAGATTGGGGATCGGACGGCGCATAACGATATCGAAAGGAAATATCGGACAAATCTCAAGGATAAAATTGCCGAGCTGCGGGAGGCGGTCCCTGCGCTTCACACAATATCGGAGGCTGGAGGGGTGGAAGATGACGGGTCGCAAAATTCGAGAGCGCCCAAAGTTAGCAAGGTAAGTTTGCCTCCTGACACGCACGGCTAAGGTTCGTGGAGGGGAGAGACTGACCACAGGCACAGGGAACAATCCTCACCAAGGCCACCGAATACATACACCAACTCGAGCGGAGGAACAAGCAAATCACCATGGAGCACCGAGAGCTCTCGCGAAAACTGCAGGCGTTTGAGCAGCTGCTCAATCACACGGCCGCGACGGCGTACCAGATGCCAGCGTATTCCAGGACTTTGTTCGACCCCAGAGGATTCTGCTAGAACGTCGGCCTCAACAAGGTCGGCGATTTGTGCCACTTTGTATTTTTTGTCATTTGTTTAGCGTCTAAGCATTGATTGGCTTTGAGGCGTGTTTTTATAACATATCTGTTTATCTATCTTGATGAACTTGTTTCGACAATCTATGTGTAACTTGTTCTATTTTATGAAGTATTGATACGGTATCAATCCCACTTCTTAAAAGGTTTGTTGGTCACCCGCTCCGAGCCTGACACGAGGTATCTGAAGGGGCGAAGAAAGGGGCAAAAGATGCGAAAATAGCATGACGAGAAGGGAATAAAATTGAGCCGTGGGTTTTTTGGTCAGGTCATTTCCCGTGGAAGATGGGAGATATGTTGGAAGAAAAGGTCGAGTCAATGGAAAGAAACGGTTTCGATGATATAAAGATTATGGACGAGACTGGTGATCCGGGATCGTTTACCATGGCCCCTTAAGAACAGATTTCAAGAGGCGATTGCGATGCGTTTAACTTGGTTCGCGGGGTGCGCGAGCTTTAGATCACCGAACGGTGTTGGAATTTTGGTTAGTCAAACTGATAGCTAAGATCACTTCTCAAAGAACTTCCTAGTGATGTTGAGGGCCAAGTTCCATGAGATGCTATTGGTGAGCCTAGATGCACATTGTGCCGTGTTAACGAGTCTGTCAAGTGTATGTTCAGTCTACGTGAGAAGGGAGGTTGTCGTAATGGGAATCTTGCCTTAAACTTAGCGAGGTGTGAATGGTGACCACCAAACCGAGTGACGTAATGATTGTGCTCTTCCGCTTTCAATATGTGATTAGGAGGAGATGAACTCGCTTCTAGAAGAGTTTGAAGTGTACAGTGGGATAGGGTTGAGTGGCTTACTGTTCAATGACTGAAAACCATGACGGCTTTTGATCTGCATAGACTCTCATATCATACATAAGAAAGTCTACAAATGAAGACTGAAGGAGACAAGATAACCCGCGTCTGAAAAAGGATCGATTACCCCTCAGCCATGGTCTTGTCTTGGAGTGGGTATTCACATACAATACCTAGAATTCTGATACACGAGTATACACAATACATCCCGCCCTTGTATATATACACAAACGACAACCCATCCCCCACCAACAACCGCAAACTCACTCACTCACTCACTCCCTCAAAGCCTCAATGTCCACCACCTCCTTAACCGCCTCCGTCGTCAAGATCAAGGGGCTGTCCACGTCCACCACCACACTATCCTCAATCCGAACCGCCAGTCCCCGGAAATGCTCGGGAAACCGGTCATCGTCTTGCGGCACATAGACGCCCGGCTCAATCGTCACCGCATGCCCCTGCCTCAGCGTCAAACTCCTCGAGTAACCAGGCGTATCATGCACATCCAACCCAACATAATGGCCCACATGGTGAGGGAACAACACATCCATCTTGCCTCCCCCTGATGAAAGATCGAAGCCGAGCAAGCTAAGTTGCTCGCGCAGACCGGCTTCGGTGGCGCGGTGGATCTGGTCCAGTGACAAGGTGGCGTTCTCGCGACACAGGGAAACCATTTTGCGCTGGACGGTCAGGACGGCTTCGTACAGGTCCCGCTGCGGGCCCGAGAACTTGCCGTTGACGGGCCAGGTGCGCGTGATGTCGGTGATGTAGGTGCCGTACTCGCCGCCTGCGTCGACGAGCACCATGTCGTCCTGGTTGAGGAGCCGGTTGTTGTGCACGTAATGGATCATGTTGCCCCTACTGCCGCCCGCGATGACGGGCACGTAGGCGGGGCCGGACAGGCCGTGCGAGGTGAAGGCGTAGTTGAGGTAGGCTTCAAGGTCCTTTTCGGACGACCAAGAGCGGCGCATGGCGGAGGTGAGGGCGCGCCCGGAGACGCGGCCGGCGTGGCGCATGTTGGAGATCTCGGCGGGGGATTTGATGGCCCGCAAGGAGTGGACGAGCCCGGCTAGGGGAGCCGGGGGGAGGTGCAGGTGCGAGAGGAGGGTGGTGACTAGTTGGCCGGTGACGGGGGTGGAGGGCGTGATGTCCGTGTAGACCTTGCCGGCGCCGCGAAGGATGGGTGGCAGCAAGGTCTCAACCTTGGCGATGTCCCCCGTAAAATCGGCGTTGAAGACATCCTCGGCTGCTTGTAGGCCGGACCAGGGGCCAGACCATTGCTCGGCGCGCGGGTCTTTGGGCCGGCAGAAGAGGTGGAAGACGTAGTCGCCCGGTTTGGGACCCGTCTTTTGGATGATGGCTAGCGAGTCGGGCTCGGAGAAGCCGGTGAGATACAGAAAGTTGGAGTCCTGTCGGAAGGGGAAGAAGACGGCGCCGGAGCGGTATTTGAGTTCCGAGGAGGCGAGAATGGCGATGCCGTTTTCGGGAAGCGCGAAGGCGAGCTTGGAACGTCGCTCGTGGTATTCTTGGGCCGTGATGCCGGGGGTTAGTTCACCCGGTTGCAGGATGTGGGGGTGCGTTTCGTAGACGGGCTGGCCGAATTCGAGGTCGGCGGCTGAGACTGTTGTCGTTGTCGTCGTTGCGTAGGTCCGGGATGGGCGCCATGGTGTTGATGGTGGTGATGAGCTTGGGTGAGATGCGGGGATGATGGACTTGGCAAATTGGAGACGTGGTTGGAGAGGCCAGTTACTCTGAGAGCGCAAGTGTCGGGAACATTGCCGCAGGACGGCTTGGGGAAGCTTCATGTCAAATAAAGGGTGGTTGTCAAAGGGTGATGAGGGTGAGGAATGTGATGGTTAGGTGAGAACGAGGTGTGAGTTCACCTCGGCTCGGTTGGTGTAGGTGAACTTGGTTGGCAATATTGATAGTGGTACCTAGGTATCACTAGGACTAACTAGCACCTAAACTCTAGTTACAAAATTGTTAAGGAATTGTTGGCATCTCAGCCTTGACCAACCTCCAAATTCCCCAAGCAACAATGTACCGCGAGAAATGAGGTTGAATTGCTTCGCGGCGACAAATGTTTTGTGAAGGCAAAGACATGGGATGTCGTCACTTTATCTTTCTCACTTTTGATCAAATGAAAGCTGACAGTTGCCAGGCGCTTCACTGGGCTGCCAAGAGTTCAGGTCTCGCTGGGCATCAAATGCTGTCTGCCAGCTGCAAGCCGCGGATGTGGAGCCGCTGTTTGGCATTCCCCAGCAACAACATGCCAGGCGCGGTGCATTTTCATTGTCAGCGCTTTTCAGTGTAGGGCAGTGCAACCATCCCGGGCCCCCCACATTGCCTAGAGGTTTGGCCTGCTGGACCCTGCCGTCGCGACTGTCAATATCAAAACCAAACACTTTGATTACACAAAGGTTTTTTGACCACCCACCAACACCAGAACACCCATCTTGGCCTGTTCGCAGTGTCGATTGACTTCGGGCGCAATTCGACATTGGAAGGTTGGCCTCAGCCGTTTCGTTTTGTTCAACAGCGGTCCCTTCTTCCTTCCTGTCATCGGAGCACACACAGCGCGTGCCACTGCGACGACGGAGCCAAAACCTCCAGCGACAAAAATCGAGAGACGCGTTTTTGGAACAACAGACAACTGTGCCCCAACCTCCACCACCAACCGCCTCACTTTAGTTGTTTTGCGCCCAGGCCAGGGTCGATTGCTTCCTTGCTCCTTCCCAGCCTACAACCAACGATCGACGACGAATAATTGTCCGGCCGCATTGGGCCATTGTTCGACCATCGACACCATCGATCACCGAGCCTAACCACTTTGTCTTGTCTGTCGAGTCGCTCAGCACTCCCACCCAACACTCGACTTGATTCTTTTATCCGGGGTCCCCCTACCCAAAGTCCAAGCTAGTATCAGCACGCGACCAGACAGACAGCCCGGAAACTGTCTCCCTCCCTTACCATCCCCGAGCCGGCGTTTCGGAACAAACAGAAACAACACCACACCCATAGCATGTTGACTGGATATTTTACAAGACAACAGTATTTCTAGATCGACATCCCACAGCAATGTCGACCACCACCACTGCCTCGGGCACTAAGAGGGCTCCTCTCTCCGACAACCCCAATGCCGCCAACTCGCCGCTGCGTGGGTCCTCGGCTACCGCCTTGGCACTACAGGGCTCTAAAAAGGCCGCCGTCCGCTCCCATGCCGATCAGCTTAGAGAGGAGCCATACGGTCAACCACCGCCGGCCAAGAGACAGATGATTGAACATGGCGGTCAACGCGCCGCCGCCTCGCCGACGAGCTCCCGGTCCAATGTGTCCAATATCACGCGCAAGGCCTCGACGATATCCCGGCCCATTGATCGGGAACGGCCTGAAAGGGCTTCTTCTAGATCAGGCACCACCGCGGCTACCAGCACCACCCGTGCCGAGAGGTTGTATGCCGCCTCCACCACCACCACCACCACCACCACCACCACTACCACCTCCACCACGACGACCGACCGCATCACCGCAAAGGAACTTGAAGACCTCAGTATATGGCAAGCCTCTATGAGATCTCGCTTTCACAAGATGGTCTTTTACTTTGAGAGCATTCCCGACGAGCAACGTCACAAGCTCGCCAAACAAGTCGCTCAATTGGGCGCTGTAAGTCAACGACCCCTTGCCCAATGCAGGCCCAACAACCGCTCGGCTTATACTTACACATCGGTCACAGCGCGAGGAAAAGTTCTTTTCCATCGAAATCACCCATGTCGTCACCACCCGTCCTATTCCCCCTGTAAAGCCAGTCCAGGACGAGAACCAGCCCGTTACCAACACGCAGTCGACAAGTGAACAGCCAAAGACAATCGATCCCTCTCTCCTGAACCGCAATGGCGACTCGGTCCGACGCAAACTCATTTTCGACAAGCCCTCACTCCGGAAATCCTCTGTGCAGCCCCAGGAAGAGACGATGCCGAAGCCGAAAGCACGCAGCACTGACATCCTGCACCGTGCGCGGGACATGGGCAAGAAGATCTGGTCGCTTGACAAACTCCAGAGGATTCTCGGCATGGTCCTTGAAACGGACTTGTACAAGGCTGCATTGTTGGGCCGAGGCCACACACCAGCAGCCGCTGACAGGGCCAAGGCTCGCCAGCAGACTGCCAATGTACTCCAAATGCTCCAGAATGAGCGTGTTCATGGCCCCTCCGATCGTGATCCCACCGTTGTGACCAAGGACATCCACTACTTCAAGGGCCCCTACATTTATGTGTACGACATTGAGGAGAAGACGAGGCCGATCATGGTGAGGGAGTACCACAGAGTTGCCGACAAGAAGGACGGCGAATGGCCTCAGTTCCGTGTAGCATCTCAAGGCCGTTGCCCATTCGTTGAGGATTATGATCCCCCTGAAAGGACGAGGCGGGAAAAGACCCAGGCCAAGGAGAAAGTTGTCAAAGCTGCAGATGCCGCCGCCGCCGCTACCGAGAAGGCTACCAAGACCCTCCAGCCCCCCGAGGTACCATCACCCAAGCCGGTTACGGGAAAGCGTACTCTTAAGGAGATGGAAGCACCCAACGACCGTGCAACCGAAGTAGTTGACGATGCCCCCGAAACCGTCGAGTCAGCCAAGGAGTCCACTCCTTCAGTCGATTTCCGTTCGCAGAATGCCTTTATGAGCCATACCACCAAAGTCGGCCGTTTGGTAGCCGGAGAGCCCGTCGCTTCTGGCATCCAGGCCAACAAGCTCACCTCCGCCATTCGCTCTCAGATGGTGTCGTCCACCACCGGTGTCCTTGGCGCCAAGGCCGGTATCAGCAAGGAAGTTTTGGGTCTTCAGCGCAAGGTTCTTCAGAAGGCTGGTGGTCCTTCCCTTTCGCAAGACTCTGGTGTTCGTCGCTTGGCCGAGATTGGTGTGGATGCCGCCCAGTGCACTCGTGCCGCCAGCTTGGGTAATCCAGCCAAACCCCCGATGCCTGGTATCTGGGAGGATGATGAAGCTCGGAAGCAGGAGCAGGCCAAGAAGGAGAGAAAATTGCGCAGGACCGCGAGCACACCCGTTCCCCCGACAAAGCCGAAGCCGCGCGATCCCAAGCCGGGTTACTGCGAAAACTGTCAAGATAAGTTCGAGGACTTTGATGCGGTGAGTTTCCTCAATATCAGGCATACTATGACGTTTACTAACATGACGGTAGCATATTGTATCCCGCAAGCATCGCCGCTTCGCCGAGAACGACGACAACTGGGCCCAGCTCGACGCTCTCCTTGGCAAGCTCTCGCGCGCTCCCCGCGAGCCGCGTTATCGGTCCGTGGGTGATGAGAGGTGGCAGTAAACTACTGCCATGTTGCCGCACATGAGACCTACCCTTGGCTCCTGACGACTAGCTGTACTTGCTTTCCCTTCTTGTTTTCTTCATCTTCCCTTTTGACCTGTTTCTCTTTAGTCAGTCGGGAATCATGTGGCGGTGTCATGTGTCGTTCAATGTTGGAGAGGTTTCCTTTTCTTTGCCCTTTTTTCTTCAATTGTCCCAACGCACAAGTTCGTTACCAGCATAATTGGGCGCGGGAGTTCCGGTGGCTTGTCGTTGATGGGGCGTTATTCTGTTTCTTTGTTCATACTAACCGGTTTTTGTTTCATTACTGAAGGAAGCTTGGCATGAAGGCTAGGTGCTCAAGCTGTTTGAAGGCGAAGATGGGATTGCTAGGGTTGGTTGGCTTTGTCGTCGTGCGTGGGATGTGGACGAAACAGCTAAAGTGGCATTATGTTATGGTCACTTGAGGACCAAGCAAGCGAGCATTATGTGGAACAACAATCCGGTATGCGTATTCTCATTATGTCGAGGGAATGGCAAAGGGGATACCCGGTTATGGTATGGAAGCCGATGTCCTGGTTGGGTCATAGTCATTGTTGGTGTCATGGTTCCTGGCTAGGGCGGCGGTTTATGGTCTGCTCATGAAGAGGAAGAGGTGGACAGCTTGTGATGGCATGCAAAATAGCATGACCGTAGCGCGTTCAAATAAGCTACTATATGTTACACTTTATGTATGTCTCTAAATGTATCATATGCTTATTGGTAGTGAAGAGATTATTACGTTTGATGATGCCTGTTTCTTTGTCAGGTCGAGCTGAAGTCTCTTCGGCGAGCCTTTAGATCCAGTTCAAAGAGCATCACAGGCTTTACCTTTCGTCCCATGCGGTCACTGTATGGTGTACATCCAGCTCCCGTCCCGTCCGCCGATCATATCGGGTCCGGCCCGGGCCGTCTCCCACGTGGTAGTGGATCCCAGTTCAAGCACTCACTTTGTTTTCTCCATCACCTCTCATTAATCCCCTTTTCCTCCCCCTCCCTCCCTGCTTTCCCCACGAAAATCCCTTTCCCCCCCTTTTTTCTCATTCATACGTCCCATCATCCTTCGCAACCCCAATCACAGGCTCCAACATCCTAGGCAGCCACTCCTCCGCTCCCCCCTGAAACACCAAATGTTCTTCCGGTCTACTTCTTCTTCTTCTTATTCCTTTTCCCCACATCCACCCCTCTTCCTCTTCAACGTCGTCCACTTCCATATTGACAGTCACCACGCTCGTCCTCCCCTTCGTCCTCGCCTTCTCCGCGTACCCGGCCGCCGGGTAGACGACGCTGCTCGTCCCTATGACCAGGACAAGGTCGATTGGACCTCCTTGGTCGATCCACGCGTCTATCTCGGCCAGCATGGTGGGATTTAGAGATTCGCCGAACCAGACGACGCCTGGTCGCAGTAGATTTTTGCATTGTGGGCAGTGGGGGAGGTGGGATTTGGGGATGGGGGGGAGGGGGGTGCTGGGGTCTAGGAGGGGGATGATGGTCTTGGATGATTGGGATGGTTTTGGGGGGTCATTGGACGGGGGGTTGATGGATGCTGATGCTGATGCGGGTGCTAGAGCAGGGCAGAGAGGGTCGAGAGTGTTGTTTTGGTCGATGTAGGTGCATTGTGAAGGGTAGGAAGAGCATTGGAGGGTGAAGAGGGAGCCGTGGAGGGTATGTAGTTGCTGCTGCTGCTGCTGCTGCTGGTGGTGGCCGGCGCGTGAGGAAAGGTTGTCGACGTTTTGAGTTAGGCACAGGAAGTTGGGGTTTTTCTTGGCGAGGGCGGCGAGGGCGTGGTGGCCTGCGTTGGGTTGGGCTTGGAGGGCCATGTGGCGGCGCTGTGGGAGGTTGTTACACAGTTGATTTAGGGATTGGTGATATGATTCGAGATGGGGAGGAAGTATGATGGAGGAAGAAGAAGAAGAAGACTTACATAGGCGTAGAATAACCATACTAGACCGGGATCCGAAGCAAATGCTTCTGGCGTAGCTAGGTCCGTGGCCTCGTAGTTCCTCCAGAGTCCGCCGGCACCGCGAAAGGTGGGGAGTCCCGAGGCGGCGGAGAGTCCGGCACCGCAGATGGCGAGGATGCGATCGGCTTTGGCCAGTTTCTGGTGAAAGGCGGCGAGGTTGTTGAGTCTTGAGGCCATGGTGATTGGGTAACGGAGTAGTTAATGCTCGATCAGATTGCTGACAGAAAGGCCCGAATGATGTCCATCTTGAAATATTTGTAGAGAGACCTCGATGACCTTTATGCAGTCAACAAGCTTGTTGGCATATGGATTGATGTTTGCTGTCAGTAGTACGATGTTGATTTAAGAGTTTTTGTTTTCACTTCTTCTATCTTTTGCCAGATCGCCAATGATGTGTGGTGTTTAGTTTCTCATGTTTCCCCGCACCAGACCATCACGCCCGCTCTTCGCTGACCCCGCTCTGCATTTGTCGCCGTTGACTCAGACGGCAGCGTTATCTCGCATGAAGAACAGAGACATATTCAACACTGACAATGATAGTTGTTTTTCAAAAACATGACTTCATCGACATTGTTGATCGGGCGAATTCCCGACAAGTGCTCCACAACGACGGGGTACCGGGGAGGAGCGGGTGTGCGGGCTTGGCCGGATTAGTGGGGCCGAGGCCCGTCCCGGAGTCCCGGTGGGGGTGGAGTAACTCCGCTGGGCTCCGGTATTGTGCATGTCGTCCGATATTTACACGTCGTCGTTGGTGAGAATGAATTGCATAAATGGGAACACTGCATCAACAATGTCTCGCGCCTCAGCTTTGAACTATAACGCCGGTCCAGATTCAACTCGGGCCGAGCGCGGCCTACCTGCTTCTGTGAAGTACAATCGCTTTCGTACTTTGAACTCTCGATTAGAGAAAAGAAATTCATGGGAAAAACAGCAGGATACGTGTACCGGGATGTTTACCTACGATGTATGTCAGAGGGTAAACAAAGTAGAGGGAAAGATGGATTGGCAGGGGACTTTAGATCCGTTAAGCAAAAGAAACGAGGTTCGGATAAGAAGCGATTTGTGCTTCCGTCCCTCCAGTATCGGAACATGGACGTAACACATCCATCACATCGCCAAATACAGCGAAAAATCGGGTAACTGTCAGTTCTCGAACCTCGATCTCAATCCCGCTTCTGAATCTCACCTTCGATCAAAATATCCCACGTACTGAACTAATAACTTCCTTCAGCTCCCTCTTTACCTTCCACCCCAATCAATACTTCTTGCCCAGGCCCTAATAAAGCAAACAACGCCGCTTGCCCAGTCTTATCCGAGTGAACGTGTCTCAAATGACGACTACATATCACCTGCTGTGCAACCAACGGCGTTGCTTATTCTTCCACGTTTCTTTCCCCAGCATCCACTCCCTTCCCTTCTGTGTATCCTCCTTCTGATCTCCTGGTTGAGCGGGTATCCCCATCTCCTCCTACACTACAGCAATTTTGCTTCCCAGGTTTTCCAAGCTGTCAGTTACTTCCCCGCGTCCCAATTCCTCAATCTTTTTTTCTTCTTTGTGTTGGACGGTTCCAAACCCGACCTGGGCCTGTCAAATGCACGCACAACAAGTTTCCCAGTGCCGTCCGTCCGGTTTCGTTGTTATTTTATCAAGGGAAACAGGTCGGAGTGCTACAAAATATTCCAACAAGTGCAACAAAAGTTCACACACACAGTACCGCAAGTACCGTACCGCGGGCGTGTGAAGCTGAGCTGAGGTAGGTGCTGCAAGGTCCGTCCTCGCTGTGTAACCGTGTGTAGCGTGTAAAAAAAAAGTGAAACTACCCCCTGCCAAGGCCTGGCCTCACTCGCTGCAGTGCAGTGCAGTGCATCCACCCATCCAACCCGGGCATCCCACTGTATCACACGCTGCACGGGCATGCAAGGAACGCCCGGCCTTTGGTTTGGAAATTCACATCGTAGTGTCCACAAGCCACTCACTCAGCCCCCCTCCCCGCGGCAGGAGCAAACCTGACGCCGGCGACCACTAGCGCCGAGTTCCCGGGCGTGCAGTGAGTGCATGATGCCTGCCATTCCATGGATTTGGATTTGGCTTGGCAGGGCGGCCACCTGAGAAATTTCCCCTTCGCTGTCCGTTCTTGGAACGTCGCCCGCCCGCCAACCGCCAACCGCCCGCTGAGGAGCCGAGGTGCACGCACACACGCATGCATGCATGCATTCTTTTTCTCTCAATTCGATTCCAATTTCCGGATCGACTCCATCCATCCATCCTTGGCTTCTCGCTCGCTTGCTTTGCTTTGCCTGCCTGCCTACCTGCCTACCTGCTGTCAAATGGATGGATGGATGACTCGAATTTTCGTTGCGTCCGCCCGCCCTATGGGGATTGGGGAGGGCCGCCCGCCCCTGTCCTGTCTTCCTGGGTGGGATCCGTCGTTGCTTTCATCATCATTTTTACACAGTAGTGCTGGGAATGTCTCACAATGAGGTGTGGGAAATCAGGGCGCAGCTACGTCACGATTGTAGAGAAGACTCAGTCCGTCACGAAAAAGTGAAGAAACAGACGGGTGGATGATTGAAAGATGTTGGAAACGGACGGAATGGACGGCAATCAAGGACTTGGTACTAAATGGTTCGAGAGTTGGGTTGTCCTGGATGGTGTACCTGACCCAAAGCGGAAAACACGGCCAGGTGAGAATGATGAAGGCGGTTTTTGAGTGATCAGTGTAGTGTACAAAGTGGATTGGGCCAAGGTCGCGTAGTGAACGAGCGGGGAATACATACTAGCCAAGCAGGCAGGAATGGAGTCGCCAATGAGCCAAGATGGTTGCTAAGTTTGACAGAAATTCTTCAGGCTGGTTTTATAATGTTGGTGTGGTGAACTGTGATTGGGGTGGTAATTGTATATTGGAGATTGCAAGTCCATCGCAAAAGATTCCAGAACAAAACAGCGACCAAGATCAAATCCAGTCAAGTGCAAATTCGGAAAAGGTGGTAGTGTGTTCAAAAAAAGTATATGGTATTCAACCAAAAAAAGTGAACTCCCTCCATCAATATACATAAATCTTTATGTCCGAATCTAAACATATGTTCATCCCTACTGTTCATCGGTCTTTCCCTCCTTCTTTTTTCCGCGAAGCGAACCGAACCACCACGTCGATGTCGGCCGCCGGTACCTATCCACCAAGCTGCTACCATACTATCCATGAACTCCTCGCATATTTGTTGGTGTGCAGCAAAGATATCGCTTCGAGGCGGTGGTATATAAAAAAAAGCCAAAACCAAAATTTGCCAACGTAATTAATGCGCTCTTTCTCATGACAAAACATGCCGGCCGAACCGATGCGCGCTCTTCCTTCTCTCCATCTTCTCCATCTTCTTCTTCTTCCTGCTGCCGTGGAGGGTGCCAAACACAACCAACCGATGGAATTAAATTTGATTGTACATTTCAAAGCGCTCTCTGGACAACAACTTCTCAGATACCGCCACAGGCGCGCAAGAGATGTCGTGTGTCCAGTTCAAAAGGATCGTAGGTGTAAAAAAGAGAAGAGGTATAGACAGCTCGGTTGGAAGCAAGGATGGAAATTCAAGTAACCGCATCTCCTTTTGTTCGTCCCTCATTGAAAGTTTTTTTTTCTTTCGTCATTGGCTTAGGCAAGCAGTTTAAAGAAGCATGGCGCCGGCGAAGAGGGCAGCGCCGAAGGAGGCAATGCTCATGGCGAGCTTGCCAGCGCCGCCGGTGACGACATTGCCGCTCTTGGTGGCCTCAGTAGCGTCGCTGGTGGAGCTGCTGCCGTTGTTGTTGTTGAGGGTGCTGTCGATGGGGAGCGAGGAAGAGCCGGAGGTGGAGGAGGCGGAAGGGACGGCGCTCAGAGTGGTGGCAGTAGAAGAGCCAGACTTGGTGTCAATGTCCTCGGTAGTAGAGGTACCGGTGAGGACCTTGATGCTCTGCCAGGTGCCGCTCTTGTCGCCATACTGGTACTCGGTGGCGTCCTTGGCGCCGGTGGTACCGTCACCACCCATGTAGTCCTGAATCTTGATGCTCTGGTAGTAGCCCATGAAGGGACCCTCGCTAAAGTCGGTGATACCGCCGGCCCACTCAATGGTACCCTGGGCGGCGTCCTTGCGACCGGCAACCCAGGTGCCGAGCTTGATCTGCATGGGAGTCTGGGGGAAGCCGGCGCAGCCCTTGGCATCGGCGGCCTTGAGGGTGCGGACGACGGCGCCGTCGATGATCCAGTCGAGCTGAGTGGGGGTCCACTTGATGGTGTAGGTGTGGAACTCGTTCTGGGGGTTGGCGACGGTAGAAAAGCCACCGCGGTCGTAGGTCTCGGTGCAACCCTTGCTGAAGTAGTTGGTCTGAACCTGGGTGGTGTCGCTGCCGATCCACTCCCAATCAATCTCGTCGAGGTCGTCGGACTGAAGAACGAAGCTGGTGACGACACCCTTGCCGAAGGCGGCCCTCACGGTAACGTCGACCTGACCGAAGAAAATGTAGCGAGAGCTGGCAACGGTAGGAGCATCCGTCTCCTTCTTGATGGTGTAGACGGCGCCGAGCTTGTTGTCGTACTGGAGAGTAGTGCCGACCATGTTCTTGAAGAAGCTGTCGGCGCCCTTGGTGAAGTCGATGTTGATGATTTCCTTGCCGACGGCCTTGTCATTGGGGCAGGCTAGAAGCAGACAAGTTAGCCACTGAATTTTTTTTTCTTTTCTTCTTGATTTTTCATCTGATGAAACATACTCTTCTTGGTGGGATCGCAGTCAGTGTAGGTCTGAGCGGAAACGAGCGAGGCAAAAGCCAACGCGGTGAGAGTCTTGATTTGCATGATTACTGATGTGGAGGAGGTCAAAGGTTGTATAGGCGAATTGTGTTAGTGGGAGCAAAGGACTGTAGCTGAAGGCAAGACGAGCAAGATAGCGAGTGTGGTGTTCCGAACGAAGGACTGTAGATACTTCTAGCTGACCGGGAATGGCGAGGTAGAAGGGTCAAAAAGAGGATGTGCGAAGGAGTGTGTTTTGAAGACTTTACGAAACAAGGGAAACGAAGGAAGAAGAGGGAGAAATGGGGTCGAGTTGGGGGTGGAGATGTTCCCAGTCACGGTCGGTATCTCCTCCATGTCCATCCATGGATCCTTTCGGTGCTCCTCTCGCTTGATCCGTTAACGTGATGGAGCCAAGCTCGTGGACGTCAGCATTAGCGGATGCGCACTGGACAACCGGTTTTACCACCTATTTCCGCCAGCCTTGGCCAACACCATTTACCCCGGAAACTGGAGAGAGCGTATAAGGATAGAAGAAGCCCTGATTACCCATAGGTTTTACATCAAGAACCAAGTTCTTTGGTGGAATTTTGGCCAAGTTTTGGAGCATCAAAATCTGTGTGTAGAGGTACTGTAGTGTACTTGGTGGGCTGCGCGTGGTGCGCATAATTCTTACCGTGAGCGAGCCAACTGAACTGAACTGAACAAAGTGAGCATGCAGTCAGTGGGTATGGTAGCGCCTGCCTTGCGGCCCCTTGCTCGCATCTCCTTTTTTGGGCAAAAAGTTAAATGAGCAGCCCTTGCTTCTGGTGCTGCCGTTTGTCGTTCCTGTCGTAACAATTTTCTGTCCTGAAGCCAATGTCACCCTCCCGAAGCAGCCAAGGCAACGTCTCAGGCCGACCAAGCGTTTCCCAGTCGTTCGCGACCAAGGTAGCGGCAGCAGCGCCGCGCTCAGGGGAGAGCCAGCATCACCAATCAGATGCCATGGCAAAGATCCTTGCTGGGGTCTGTTGGGCACGCTGCAGATTTGTGGCGCTGCGAGCTCATGTCAAAGTCATGGACCCCCTGGTCATTGGTCTCACATTCAGGGGGGCTTCACCTGCTTGGCGTTCTGGCTAATATTCTGTACAGAAGCGTCCAACACGCCAACACCAACGAAGGAGGGGAAACGGTCAAAAGGCAATACAATACAAGATTCTCATGCCTCTACACTAGTGTCGACAGTGGATATTGATGGTACTATCCACTCGCGGAATCTCGGATCCATCTATATCGTGAGATCCCAAGACTCCCAAGCAGGCAGCAACGACTAGGGGAGTCTTGGACTGCCATCTTGGCTTCTCAAAGCCTCCAAAGGAAAGGGTGCACAACGGCAACACGGCGTGGTGTTGAGGAACGCTCAAGTTGGCGTTACCGACCAGCTGTCTTCGTGGCAGCGGTGGGCGTCGGCAATTGTCCTATGAATTGCCTCTCCCTGAATCAGGTCTGGATGAACACAGCAGAAGCCTCGAAACGCCCCCGGCTGTCGATGCTGGTTTCACAGGCCGAGTGAGGTAACCTAGATAAAGGCATCGTGGGATATAGTGTATCTAGTGCGTACAAGATCGACTTTGAATTGGCGCACCATTGAGCATCTGTTGAAAACGGTGAAACGGGAGCTAAACAGATGTCCACGCCCACTACAGATAGTGTTTGTACACGTGTGGCATCTCATTCGAGAGGAAACAAATACCATCACTTGCGCCATACGGCAGTCCCATCGGGTTGCTTAAGGCATCTTCCTTGTCGCCGGTGTGTCAAGCACGAAGCACGCCTACCAACAGGAGAACCAGCAACTGAAGTTGGTGATGGTGGTCAACAGCGAATGCTTCAGTTCTTGCTTTCTTTGCGCTCAAGCGGCTGAGTTGGATCATGCATCTCCATACATATGCGCTGTCGCAACCCAATGCATACCTACCTATGCAGCTGAGGTGTATTAGAATCACCACGCTACTTGGCACCTGTCTGCCAGTGAATGGGTGCTAGGGGTCTTTTAGGGGTCTTTCAGGGGTCGTGCTTGGTCCAGTCACGAGCGCTACAAGGCGAGAGCCGTGGTTTCTCTGGAAATCTCGAGAGGCCCAGACGCCCTAGGCGCCGATCACATTCCAAAGCCGAGAATGAAAGAACAACCCAACTTGGTTGCCAATCAACCGGCGGTTTGGAAGAATTCGAATGAGTGCCAGACTACGTAGCGAATGAAGGGAATGGAATCGGTACTGGAAGGGGGAAAAAAGAGAAAAAGGGAAAGATGAAGCACTGTTGTTACCTACTTGATGCGAAACCACCGGATTCATCGGTTTCGCTGTTGCGTCTCAAACACCAACCAAGAAGGGACGAGCGAATTCCGTCTTGGAACGAAGAGCACTTGACAGAGGCAATGAGTAGTGTCGGTAAACTCGTTCGTTGATCAAGTGGTCCATGATAACGTCGGGTCGTATGTAAATCCCGTTGCGGGGCGTGGCGGCGGATTTCCATGCATTCCACGATTGGTAGTAGCGTGTGAGACCCACCACCTATATGAGTATGTATCTCGTTTGGGGCTGTCTGTTGCTCACCGCCGCTAACACACTAGCTTTTCCTCCCCCATACTGAGCAATGAATTGTTAGCGCGTCATTTCCGACAATGATCATCTTCGAACAGCATCACGGTGTTCTTGCAGGATTTGGCCGTCCTGCAAATCTTCCCCAGCAATGCTAACATGGATAGACACCTCAAAACCAAATACACCTTATTCTGCCGTCTTTTTCGCATTTGATCTTCTTCTTCTTCCGTATCTTCCCATGCCTTCCCAAACATCACGCTCCCCTCTGTTTGCGACAACGCCTCATGGCGCTCGGACATGGCGCTGCCCGCCCTGCCACCTTGTTCGAGCTGTCCATGATCTAAAACAGACTTTACCTAATTCATGACTTTGTGACGCCCCGACTACCCAGTTGTTGGGCACCATGAACAAAGCAGTGATACTAGCAAGCGAGACAGCAGTGCCTGTAAAGGAAAAGCATCATGGCTTGGAACATGTAACGTTTCCATTCCTGTCTGCCTACTGGAGTTGTGACATTTTCACGATGGAACTGAAGGGAGTAGGAGACCATGATTCCCAAAGTGAATCTCATCCTCCCACGATTCCGTCGCAACCATCAAACCCACCAACCCACCCGCCCATGCTATTTTAAGCCCTCCGCATCGTTAACCTCACCCAAGTCAGCATCAACGGCACTAACGACCGGATGGGCCCGCTTTGTATCCCCTCGGCAACAGCGAAAGCGGTCAAGCTGCGATCGTGTGGGCACGGTTTTGGACATTCGCGTGGCTTTTTTTTTTGGGTCTCGTGATACGGACGGGGACGGCATCCCGGCCCTACTTTGGCGATGGAGTCAGTCGGTAGACACGAAAATGGTGTTTTGCAGTCTAGACTGGGCAGCATAGCCACACCGACAAAGTCCATAATGCGCGCTTTCCAGATGGACCAGCAGAACTTTAGTTTTCGCCGTTGGCTCTCAAAAAGTCAAGAGCCATGCAAGGGAGATGTTTATCTTTCCCTATATTTTAACAAAAAAAAAACGAAGCTTCAGTTTCAAGAGGGCTCCCTGACTGGGCATGTTGCCGTCATATTCCTTCTTCCAAGGCGGAGGCGATTTGCGACAATAGCCAGTGCTACTTATCATTCCCCATTGCATCACGTAACACTTGCCGTTTCGTCAGCAACCGTGGGTGTGATATGAAGGAATACAACGAGTTGGCGACAGCAATTTGCTCATTCATCTTGCCGGCCTTGACAAGATAGTTATGGTAGTTGACAGGGCCGGCACTAACCACGGTAACACCGACTCCAATTGACCCGGTGGTCCCGGCGGTCCCGAGGTGGATCTCGCGACCCTCCGACCACTGCACTGGGTCTTGGCACTTGCCCAAACGGTGAACTGCCATTTCTGTGATTCGTTCACTTCACCGGGAAGCTACGGCCCCCCGGAGTTCGGAGGTTACTGCCGTACCTCAGTCCAGCAACGACTGCCGAGTGGCTTCCTACCCGGCTGCCGGTTAGCATCCAGACCTGCCTGAGGACGGGCTGTGACTGCTTGGAAGGAAGTTGCACCTTCCGCTTGCTCACCGGAAGCGTGCTGACCGCAACTGCCCGGAAATGGACATGGCCATGAGGACTTTCCTCTTTCCTCTCACTCGAATGCCCTCAGTAAGAGTTCGCAGGCAGTTGAGGGCAGTCCTGGGCCATGGTCACTGAGTGCTAATTCATCCCGCATCCAAAGATATTCCATCCTCTCTGGTCGTGATCCCCACTGCCTCATTCAACCCTTCCGCCGTCTCTCTATGCAGCCAGTCTCATCATCATCAATGTCGACCATCCACTTCTTTGATGAAGGTACGCACTGGTTGACGTCTGGTTGAACGCGGATCAGCCCCCGTTGAACAGCATACTTAAACTCCTCCATCCCCCAAACAGATTCTGCCTCTTTCTCCTCTCTCCCATCAACCCATTGTCAGCATATTTTTGCTACATTCCTATTGTTTTTCTATCTTTTCTTCTTGCTTTTTGCTTGATGGCTTGTGCCGTCTTTGCTGTTTTCACAACAGCGGCAGTTAGTCAACTTCTGCCTTGTACCATCCCTGTACTACACCCACAGCCCCAGGTCAGTTTTGCCCCTCGCAAAATAACGGTAGAGTCGACTTCTGCCTGACCGCTTCAAATCCTGAGTTGAACTGGTTTCGGGATCTTCCTGACGACGAGACTCGTTCGACGAGATGACGTCCTTGTCAAACTGACCCATGGTCGAAAAATGACCAAGGACGGCTCGTTCCACTCGAGGTAAATAGCATGCTACCCCACCAATTATCCGTTTTCACCAAACTAAACTGACGTTTTCCTCTTCACAGAATCAACCGCGATATCAACAAGTCATTCGACCGAGCCCACCTTTGATGAAACAAATGGCAGTCAGAGAAATGATAAGAGTCCGGCAAATTTCAGAGCACGACGGACCACAGCGGCTGGGAGAGCTCCACTGAAGGCGTTGCAGCGCGTTTGGTAGGCTGGTTAGTGTAGGTCGCTTTCAATCTCGTCCACCCTCATCGGTTCCCGTAGGCCATACTCTCTCGTCCACCCTGCCGCTCTGGTGTCGACAATCACATATCTCGTCTTCATGCACAATGACTTCACCGGGTAGCGTCAGGACCTCCCCAAGGCGTGAACAGTCGCTGACAATCTGGTCTATCATCAGTACTACTCGCTTGAGAGCAAAAAGGGCAAGCAACGGGGGATATTACCCCATCATCTTCCGACCTACTCTACTGGCAACCACAGGCAGAATTTGGTGGGCTTTGAGAACTCTCAAGCCCAACTCGCCCCTTTCTTCGCTCCCGGCATGGGCCCGGAGCCTCTGGTCTTCGATCCCGGCCTTGTGATTCCTCCCGCCATGTTACCTGACCGAGGATACAAAGCCTATTGTTGCTGTTGATGATAGTTCCATCAAAGTTTTCCGTGCGCTGTTCCACACCCTCACTAGGCCAGAACCCACCGTATCCTCCTCCTACCGGGTGGGCACCGCCGTCATTTGCTTCTTCCTAATCACCGGATCTGACGAGACTCCCCTTCCTCCATGCCATGACCTCTACTGGATTCATGGTCGAGAAACTGTATGGATCCATCTGGCAGGTTTGCCCAACCATCTGGGATGTTGAAAGGGCCATCCAGTTCTATGAACCGCACCTTGGGGGGAAGCTCACCTTCATAATGGTGAGACGAATCGGCAGACGGCTGAAGCGGACATACGGATGGATGGGGTTGATGATTGTTTCGAAGAAGGGATGGTCTGTGCCAGTGGGCATGGAAGACCATATTCAGGATCAGAGCGAATGTATGCCTGGAAGCGGGAAAGGCAATGGAGACGAGAACCTGGATGGCGACTTTGGGGACCATTTAATGGGGGACTCTGAACCTTGATGAATCGGACGACCTGTTCAAGCCAGACGTGTACATCAGTCCCACCCGTCTGTTAGGTCTGTTCAGTGGCGGTGGTCAAGACAACAAAACGCCACAGCCATTATCTAGCAACCGTCAGGAATGTCGCATCTACAACAAAGTTTACCATGACAACACCCGATCTCCGTCCTTTCCTGTTGGATCTCTAAGACCTCTTAGCCCATCGAACAGGAACTGGATCAGAGCGGGTCAAAGGAGGAAAAAGATGAGACGAGGAGGTTCCATTTTTAAACAACCAGAATAGCGACTGCAGACTCGAACTTCAGGTTCGCCAACGCTTAATAGTTCTACACTATCACAAACAACTTCTACTTGATATCAAACAATTAGAGAACAATATAAAAATTGTTTAAACAGCTTTACATTGGGATGAATCGATATATTTATAGCGTTGAGGTTCCTAAACATGGCGACGCAAAAGCTGCCCCGAAGCGGACATGAAGCATTATGGGATTCATTGGCCGAAATACATCCCACACCTTTGGCGTCGTCGAAGGGTCTCTAGAAAATTCGAAAGACGGGCGGATACTCTCAAAAATTGGTGACGAATGATGGATCCGCGCACTCTGGAAAGAAGCTTACCTCTACACGGAAAGAGCACCTGAACTTCATAGCGGCCTTCGACTCGAACGAGAACAAGACGGCATCTACTGGTATTTGGTATGATCGAATTCTCTACCGTACCCATAAGGATAAGGAGGGGTGTGATAAGAAGATCAAGAATGCCGAGATGAGGAGATGAAAACTTGCAGTACAGTATTGACCAGGCGAGGGATTATGATGAGATGCTTTTTCGGCTATAACCCGGATAACGACAGCGACGAAGATCACACACTCTCCAGATGTGTCTCGCGGCTGGAATATGATGACTACGATGAGAAAGAGGAGGGTGATAATAACCAGCATGACAGTGATAATGATTAGGTCGGTAGCTGGATAGGATAAAGCCAGAACAATCATCTACACGTCTTACTCACACAAGAATCACATTTTCTAATCTGAAGGCTTCCTCATCCATCCTCTTCAAATTTGGAATTCCAGTTCGACAGTCTTTCTCAGGCTGGTGTCATCTGCACGGTTAGCTTTTTGGTGTGCAATGAACGATTGAGCAAGATTGGAGCGTGTCTCATGTCTTTCTAATTCATATTTAATTAAAAGAATTTTCATTTTCTGTTTTAGACATCTTTACCTTTGAGTGGAATGAAAGTTATCACTCACCAATGAGCGAAAACTCCCTTAGAATTTTTTTCTTTCTGCCCCGTGGGACACGTCCCCAGCGCAACCATTTCATGAAGCATACATGCAAGGTACATTAGTTAGCTGTATTTTGGACAGCATGTACCGATAACATACTCATGAAAGTTGGTCAGCTCGCAAAGTCCTTCAGTTGCAATCGTTATCATGCCTACCTAGCCAACTAGCCAAGACAGAAGAGAACACATGGAATGAGTGACCGAGTTACAGCCACCCGAAAGATTGACAAGTCTACCGGGCTTCATGGTCTTGGCTTACTCATCTGGGAAATGGGGAGTGCTCGTTTTCTACACCGTTGTGCGGCTATCGCTACTTGTGTACTCAATTCGGACTCGCTTAAGCGGGCCCTTCCTAAAAGGGAGACGGTATCATGATGCGTGATATGTCTTGAGAGGCGCGTAGATGCCATAGATATGTATAGCAATGGGACTATAGATGAGTAGCAGGTAGTAGGAAGTACAACACCACAGGAGGCCTCTGGAGGCGGTACATTCTCAGCTGTCGCAACACATTATACCTCTACCAAAGTGATTCCATTTTCCTAGGTCTGCTTGTCTTTAATGGGTTTGATGCTCTACCTGAAAACAACTTAATCTACCTACTACCGCTACCTAGGTGACCTCCGAGGCGATATCGACTGCTACTCAGTTATCATTCAGGCTGTGGAATATTGGCGACGCAGGACCGATCCCAAAAGAAAGCTGCCTGCATCTACAAACCGGATGACCGGCAAGTCGGCAAGCTGATGACTGGCTCTTTGTGGCCCTCCAAAGATAGGTAGTTTAGAACAAAAACTTGATGTATTTCTTCGGTATCTGTGAATAATCACACTTGGCACAGTCATCATTCTTGTCGCCGCCATTCTTCTCGTTGGAGTTCCTTGGTCAAATACCCCCGACCGCTCTTCAAACAAGACGAAGTATGCAAGCCAGGTATACGTGGCCATGGCACGGATATGACGGAAGCAAAAGAACGACACCTCATATCTCCGATTCGGGCTCAAGTGAATATTTGTACTTACCAAGACAAACTTGAGAACAACTCTTCGGCAATGCGGTACAGCAAGTGAGTGATGAACATTATTAATGTTGTCATATTATGGCACCTATACTAAGGCTAACTTCACATCAGAGCCGCATGCTAGAATAGTGAGTAGGCGGGTAACCAGAACTCTGCGGTTCATACAAGGCACATTTATTTGACACTGAAAGATGCTTACAAAGGAGAATGAATCTTTCTCTCTGCTATTTGAGTAGAACTTGACCGATGGTTTCTAAAGCTAAGGTAGATGAAATGAGAAAAAAAAAAAAAAAAAAAAAAAAAAAAAAAAAAAAAAAAGAAAAAAAGGAATAAAAAAAAGAAAAATAGGAAAAGGCGTGAACTGAGCTGTCAAATTTCAAGTTCCCGGTCTCTTCCAACACGTTGTTAGACTATAGTTATATGGACTGCGCTGTATCTGGTAGAGAAATCATGGATGATAACCATGCACGAACAATCTCACATGCTGATATTCGATGAGCGATGTCGGAAAAAAAGCCAAAACCAGTGAAAATCTGAATAGTCCTAATAATAATATGGAGGCCTCCTATCGTATGAAATGAAAAATCGTGCGGATGTGGTGAAGTGACTTCTTGGAATTTGTAGTGTAGTGTACACTAGTCGTCGTCGATGAGGTTTTGTGACTGCGGGGGTTGGTGTAAGTTGGGGGTCTTTGTGTGTCCGTATCAGGCAATGGGAGCCGATGGGAAGAGTGGGGGTGCGATTCACGTAATCCTTGTTGCGATTATTTCCTCATCTCAATAGTCGAGTGGTGGTCAAAATTGTCTCTTGTCATTGTCGTCTCCGTGGGGCATCTTTGCCCCGGTCCCTGATCAATCCCGAGATTGTTGTATCCAAGACGTCCCTCCTCAGGAAGCTTTGAATGAGTAGTATTTACCTAGGCATAAGATAACATGTCATGTGCAGACGGCAATATCGCGGATCACGTACGAGATGGTGATGCCTAGCAGAACACAACGTTGCGGCAGTTCGAGCTGTCATGGAGAAAGGCGGGGAATAAGGAGGGGAATGGGGAAAATGGAGCACTCTTGAAGTGAGGAAAAAAGAAATTGGTGGACAAAGGTTGCAAAGGAGAGGTACCGCGAGAAGAATAGACTAGTCAGGTCAGGAGTTTATGCGATGGTATCCTACGAAGTGTGCACGTCAGGTACCTACATGAGACCCAAAGTGAAGGGATGCAAATCCGATCACAAAGGTACAGCCCCTCTTGAAACTCCAAGTTGGACCGCGTTCAGAGAACGACACTCGTCAAAGTTCGGCATCAAACATCCGAAGTGTATGGCAAACAATCCCTACCCGCGGAGATACTCCAATGGGTTATGCAAAAGGAAGGCGAGCGAAATCGTAAAGAATGGCAGAAACGACAAAGTAGTTTCCTGTTAGTCAATGATGGCACGGAAGCTGGAGCGGTGTAACAAACGATGCTGGATTGATGGAACTTCAGCTCCTCTGCGCGTCTCATACACTCACCTCAACTTCCCTTCTTTTTTTTCTGCCAAGCCCTCAAACACATGCCTCTCTCTTTACCCCTCAATGCGCCTACCATCCCTGCCGAGGCCGCCTCGTGTGCACGGTGACAGAAGATTGTCCAAATCCTCGTTAGCTTCCGCCGAATGGTCTCAAGAGCAGGATATCTCCGGGTACGGTCTTGATACTGTGCGGTGTAAGTGGTTAGGGCTTTTCAACGTATCCAGACTACACATCAAGGCCCGGGATATCAATTCCCGACTATCGTAGGAAAAGAAGCTTCGTGATGGGTCGTTTTGTTGGCCTACTCTGCGCGCCTCAGGATGTATTTGTGCTTGGTAGAGGTATGTGCAAGAGTCGGATCCGGCGACGGTTGCTAGTCGAAGTAGATCACCACGCTGGCACCTTCCAGAGATCAATGCCATGACCAGCAATTGGCCTTGAGTAGCAAGAAACCTTTGGGCCATCTATTCTTGTTGCTGCTGAGCGTAGTCCGGCGTCGAATGTCCAAGAGGGGGATGTCAGTGTAACAAGTACCACACCGTGTGAGAAAGACAGGGGAAATGCAGCGTGTGCTGTATATCCTGGGAACATAGCAGGCTCCAAACATTACCATCTCACCCCCACGAAGCGGTTAGCCGTGGCGATAGAGCTACGAACAGGAAGCGACGAGTATGTTTAATCACGGAAAAAATTAGCCGTTCCGCCCGGTCATGGTCTTCATCGATGTGCACACTATCACTCCCTTCCAGGGGCGGCAAGTCTGACGTGCAGCAACAACCAAGTCCTTGGCTGAGGCTTAACCGGGTTGATTGAATTGACCAACATGGAGAGGAACACAAAGGTAGGGCCTCCTTTGTGAACTCGATTGGCTGGCTTTTTCCGTCAGATGACCGAAATATGCAAGTCGCTGTAAAGGTGGGAAGTCGTTGCTGCCAAACTCTTAGGTGGTGAGATATTGTTTGGGAGCTTACCTGCTACATCAATGTCTACCGTCTTGCTGACTACTGCCATACTTATGGGATGGTGTCATGATACCATAGCATATGCCTGATCGAGTCATGCTTTTGGCTGGCTGAGCAGAACTCGGCTTGGTATGAAGTGTGTGCTGCTCAGCAGCTTGAGCCATGCCATCAACTACATCCAAAATGTGCTTCATTGGACAAGCTGGCGGTGGCGCCAAACCAGAGAATTGCATGATACATGACAAGTCCAGCAGGTCAAACAACAGCGGCTGTTGCCGACGCTAGGGGAACAGCGAATGTCGAACCCGTTGACAGGATGCAAATATGGTTGATGTAACAGTTTGAGCCTCCTACATGGGGTCTGGCCGATATCACTTGATTGGATTATAGATGACCCTGGGGCTTGTTGTACCTTGGCCGCTGGGGGCTTTCGCGGGGAGCATGTCCGCCACGTGGAGGACTTTTGACTGCTCGCGTCTTTGACCATGTCAAGAGGCGGAACGGCTACTGCGATGGTCCCGGACCCGTTCGCCTTGCTCTTGTCGGGAGACTTTGAAAATCATCGGTGAGAGGATCAACTGCGGTTATCCGAGAGAGTGAGCATTCTACAGGTTGACCCTGTTATGGTCAAGTACACTTGGGCATCTCTACTCTTGGCCCTGTCGGTATGCGCAGGAACGTTCGATATCGAGTCCGGGGCAATGACGGGTTCAGGCTTCATTCAGCCCGTGGCTGCCTTGCCGCGTCGATATCTCAGAGGCTGAGTGGGGAGGCTATTTTCTAGGTAGTGGCTAGACGTAGTTATTACTTGAGGAGTGCTACACACAAGACTTGGGGAGAACTGACCGTGACCAATATCTAGCAGCACCTGCCACGCTATTGGTTGCGCCAAGAGCTATACGGACCGAGGGCTGGTCAGCTAGTAGCAGCTCGACAAATCTCGGCACGTCTTCGGTTGCCAGTGGCCGCTTTGGGTGCGACATGATATCTTGACCGAGTGAAGTGCCTGACGGAAATAAGGGGGACGGTAGGGGCGCGACCTATGCGTGGACAGTGGGGAAACGGCAAAGGAAAATTGCGGGGAAGTTGAAGTGATGTGATGGGGGACGGTTGAGGAGTGAAGGAGACGGCAAATTCCACATTTTGTCAGTGTCTAGGGGTGGGCGGACTTGAAGTTCCGGGACACGACCTCCTGGAGCGCAGTTGGTAAAGGAACAACGTCGTCGCCGTCAAAGTGGGTGGAGAGGGGGACGGATCATGAAGAGCGAGACGATCGTAAGGTGACAAAGCGCCGATCCATTGCGTGGCAGAAGGAAAGGGAAATCGATTGAAAAATCTATGTCGTGAAAGGTACAACATAGGAAATTGAAGAAAATGTCAAGTTGAGAATTCAGTTGCCGTATTGAATTTCCGTCGAATTGACACGACGGAGGAAGAACGACACCGAAGTTAAAGTGACGTTGGAAGTTGCGTTGGATCTGCTTGGCCGGTGCGCAAGCTCCATAGCCTATCAGCTGGGATCCAGTGACGTGAGTGATCTATCAAGCACTAACAGAAGCACCGCAATTTTGACCCCAAAATCATCAAGTACGGTTAGCCACAAGGCACCTCCTGCTAAGGATCTAACAGTAAAATAATATTGTCGAAGTGATATATCCATCCCATTTCAATTACCATACATAGTAGTACAAGCTGAAGCACAGACCCCTTTGCCCGCCTGCTTTGACTTGACATCAACCTCAACTTGTCCCTCGGCCATCCATTTCGGATCCAAGATCCCGCTTGGACGCCATTTTCAGTCACCTCATCCGTAGTTTACCCGTACCTCAACCGCACAGTCAGAGCCAGATCCCAAGGTGCATTCTCGGTCCCAACACGAAGGCTCTCACCAAAAGACATGCAGTGCATCTAGCCTTGTTAGGTCTAGCTGCGCCAGTGGCTTGCATACGCCGATGTGTCGTTGCATTTGGTTGTAGGTATACTGTCTACAGCAGAGTGTAGACGTACGGCCTTAAGTTTGTCGGTAATTGGAAGGTGACTTGTAGTAGACTGCCTGCGTCGGAACCGAACCATTGTCCCACGACGTTATTGTCTTTATGGATGATATGGTATCAGTCCATGCCCCTGGCCCAAAACCCATCACCATTTTCCAAGTGTGCCCAAGACGAGGGAAAAGACAAAGACAGGGTTGACGAGCTTCTACAGCAGCGGGCGGTTCCGGACACTGTACATCACAAACGATGCCGGGGACAAGTGAACGTGGGGGTCTCGTCAACCCCGCTGCCCGGCTGCTGCTGGGATTGTCCACGGTAGCTTCTGCGCTCATTGAGGAATGCCGATCGACTGGACTGAGGCCCAAAGAGATGCCTCCAGAAGGAGGGAAAAGTGTTTCATCTTCATCACGCTTGAAGTCGGTGATGCTGTGTGACCAATGACCAGACCATGCCATGCCATTGATGCATCGCAGTCCCGCACACAGTAGTGTATTGCAGGATGCGCTGAACACACGTCAAAACTTAGTACTTCTGCTCTCTCAAGCTGCCAACAGAACACACTGGTCCTTCCCCGTCGGGCTTCACAGATCCGCGACTGCGAGAGTGTCAGCATCGGAATGGTTTCGAATTAATTTTGGCCCAGACCACGATATTCCAGTCACGCGACCGGTTCCCTAGGGGAAAGGTGGCCGAATTATGTTTACACCAAGTGATGCGTGGTTTGCTACTAGCTGTAACCACTGAATAGATACAGTACGTGCAACGAAGTGTTCGCTGTGCTGATGTCGTCGACGACCTTGGCACAGTGCTCATCGTCTATTTTCAACGACGGAGGTGCATTGCCAATTGAAGTTTGCTGTCTCTTTCTCCGCACTCTCTTTTATTGTTTTTCTTCTTAACATTTTGGTGGTTTCTGCACTCCGCAATTCGTTTGTCCGGGCAGATGTGCCGTAGTGGGGTACGTATCCCGCTTACCTAGGCAAGGTACTCCTGTCAGCCGCGTGTTAGTAACACCTGGGCTAGAACGCTCATTCACAAGGTGACACGATACAGAGAGTTCGACACCTTGCCTCCAAGCGCATCGACGTGTCCAGGTCAGCTGGTCGGCTTCCGTTGTGACTTGAAAAAATGAAGACATTCCCATTCCCCCCGTGCTGGACGCAGTCACATTCCATCCCGCCCACGTCGCCGTGCTACGACTCGGTAAACATCAGCCGGAGCGTGTTAGCGTTTGCTGTTCACGAGACCTGAACTACCTATCAGCGCACTATCTAAGGTAGGTACCTAGGTACTCTAGGAAACCCCCACTGCCTCGCCAGGAAGTCGCCAGGGAGTCCCGCGGCGGCAACCGTCCACTCCCCAATCCGTAGAGGTACCTGTACATCAGGTACCTACCAAAAATTGGACTGTAAGGGTAGACCCAAGCAGCCGGAACCTCCACTCGGGAGTTTCAAGGCCAGGGGCAGAGATGCCATCCATGGTCCAGTCGTGGGAGGAAGGAAGGCGCGAGGGCAGTGTGAGCTCGCTCGCTCGCTGATTGATCCGAATGTCAATCTGCCACTCGTTCGCTCAGCAACAACCCGGGCAGCTCTTTCTCTGGCGAGTGTAAAGAAGGAGGTAGGTACTCAGCAGAAAGGCACCTGCCGCGCGCCGTCTTCCAATCGACAACTGAAGTGGAAGCGAGAAGAATTGGATTTTTTTTTCCCTTTTGCTCGCTGTCAGGCAGACCAAGCAACTTTGGAGCAAGACGACTCAAAGGTCGAATCTCCACGTCTGTAACTCCGGTCCTCCATGTCTCAAGTTGTCCGTTTACATTCGACACAGTACTTTGAAGAAGACGTGCTGGCGGTCATCCTCCATTCGACATGCTTTCATCACGACTAATGATCAATCCCCAAGTCTTCGACCTCCAGCTCAAGACCATGGCAGCTTGCCAAGGTAAGCCGCGCTCATCAACCGGGCCTCGTTCAAGTACCAATCTTCCATTTCTTTGCACGTTGCTGATTTTGTACAACTTCCAGAGCAATCAACCTCGCCATGCAGTCTCTATGTGGGAACACGCAGACAAGCAGACAAAGCAGCAGCAAGCCAGCTCTTCCAGGTCACTCGTGAATGCTGCTATTTCCTCCCCTGTTGGCCTGTTCAACGCAGGCCGCGACGCACGCATTCTGAGTGGCCAGAAAAAGACATGCCAAAAGGGTCACCTGCCCCTCCACTGCCTTCCACGCCAACCATTGACAACGCGAGTGCGCCCACCAAAACGTCCTTGACCAACCCGAACTGGACTCTCGCTGCCGCTCCACGCGCAATAATTTCTCAGAGAAAGAGACGTTCGGGCGATATTCCCAGTCGAGGCCACACTAGTGAGAGAGTGCGCCATCACAACTTAACCTTTCATTCTAGATAGGAACAGGTTAAGCCTCACAACGTCTGGCTTGCCAACGTAGGCGTAACCCTCCTAGCGTGCTCTCATTGGCTAGGCCAACATCTCTTCGGATATCGAAACCTTATGGAAGCTCTCGGGAGCACAGCACGCAGTAGCCGGAAGGCTGGCAATGACGTGACCACCGTTGCAAAACGCTTGGGGCACGAAGTCTAGGGAGACACGATACACGAGGTCGGGCAGCCCACCAAATGTATGAAACCGTCAAAACGACCGACTATATCAACCTTCAGAACATCACCTGACAAGTACCTGTAGGGTCTGTACCTCTTCTTGTCCCATTAATTGCCACGCAAACACCCTGTCAATGGCTACTTTGTGGCGCTAGCCCGCCCTAACGCCCGTCATGTTCGATTACTGACAAACCACATCCTTATGAAGCAGGCCGTTGTTGGCAGGCCGTGATTTGTGTCACCAAACAATTCTCTATACCCGATCAAGCCTCCCGGCCCGGATGACTGATCGCCAGTTGCGGAACGGGGCATGAGAAGAGAAAGACGGTATGGCCCGCTGAGCGCTGATGTCAAGTGCATCTTGTGAAGGTATCGCACAGAAGAGCGTCGACTGAGCCTCTCGTGGCCCAGTCTTCACCTTCATCTATCTTGGCCCATTGCCTTGGAGCCAAAGTCCTGGCCGAACAGTCCTTTGGTGAAGCTATGGCCTTGCCATTGTCGAGTCATCTCTTACCTAAGCCAAGATGGTAGTTGTGCTGTACAAATCCGCATGCTCACTCAACGGGCGGACACTTAGTCGAGACTCGGCCAAAAGATGCTTATAAGGATATAGAAAAAGTTGAGTGCCGCTCCTTGCGCGCTCCCGCGTATAGTAGGTACCCCTATGCACGGCAACAAACGTCCTCTCACAATACCCTTTGTCATGATTCCACATCTTCTCAAGATGAAGCAGCCTTCCTGACCTCACTAAATAATACCATGTTCAAGTGGACAAACTCAATATGAAACTGGTGGTTGAGGTGTACGTGTTTTGACGTGCACCTGTTTTGAAACTCGGCTAACATCTGTAGCCTCAGATGATTACTAGGTGTGTATCAGCCGAGGGCATTAACTTGAACAACTAGGCAATTCGACACCAGATAATGTTCGGCCTAGACACCCAATCAGGCCTGCTGGGATGTCTACCGGGCCTGATGATGGCATAAGCAAAGGAATATCTTCCACACAAGACGTCACCAGCATTTCTCGACCCGTTTGGGAGGTCTGACGAAGCTCCTGTCCAAGAATATCGCGCTGATTCACGACATCGACGGGTAAGCAGTTACATACACTACAAGTACAGTACCCCTCCTGGTATAGTGTGAGATTTCTTGGCTAGCCTCCTTACCCATCATGTAATCATGGGGCAACAATGGGGTAACTCGGGGTAACCCTTGTCGACGAAGCTGGCCTGTCAGGCTAACCCCCACACTATCACCGTCCACCACAGACGGGATCCTGGGAATTGCACCCCTGTCGTATATGGGTCGTGCCTCTTTACAAGATCCGCAAGACGGGGCCGAAAACAACGTCGCTCAAAAAGTTTGGAGATCAAAGAGAGAACAAAAGTGGCCGCACTGTATACTTTGGCCGTTCTTCTTCCCTTTTGCACGAATCAGAAGGTCCCATTCCTCACCACTCCACGACCTCTGGCCCTCAGCTTGCTTGCCCTGTCTCCATGTCTGTCGTTCAGCGTGGGCGGCGATGGGTCTTTGGCTCCAGTTTTGAGCAGGCGTCCACTGGAGTAGCGTCACCAGCGTAAATCATCCCAAGCGGACAAGATCAAGAACGACAAGAACTGAAACGACATTGGCATAGAATAATGGGTACTTTTTCCGTCACCGCCTTTGGTACTTGCCCACGGTTATCACTAACCGTCATCATCCCCGCTGTTTCCTTCCTCTAGTGTAGACGGTAGTCAGCCGATACACCTTTCTTCTCCCTTGTTTGGGACTTTTCTCTTTCCATCCTGGTTCCATATTCCCACTCCTCTTAGTACAAATATCAACCACTCCGCTCTCCCATAATTCAAACCAGCTGACCTTCATTGCCCTCCACCCTTCTGTCTTTGTCCACCTCACACTACTTCGTACATCCTAGAAAGCCACCGATATTTCCATCATCTCCATATTCCAAGTCTCAATCAACATGGCTCCCCACAACGACTCATCACCGGCCGGAAACTTCACCAACGGCTTCAACAGAATGGCTCTCCAATCCTCGGGGTCATCTAGTCTCACAGTTGAGGACCTGACAGCTGAGCTGGGCAGCTCATACGACAGCAGCACCCTGGACGCACCCGTTTCTCACGTCAAGCGACCCCTTGTCCCCGGCGTCTATGTCCCGACGATGTGCTTTTTTGACAAGGAAACAGAAGACGTTGACACCGTTACCATTGCCCATCATGCCGTTCGTTTAGCTCGCGCCGGAATTACAGGCCTAGCCACTCAGGGTTCCAACGGAGAAGCCGTCCACCTCACCCACTCCGAACGACAAGTCGTCACGGCCACCACCAGAAAAGCACTTAACGAAGCCGGTTTCTCTCAAATGCCTATTATTGTCGGCTGTGGCGCCCAAAGCACCAGAGAGACAGTCCTACTCTGCCGTCAAGCATGGCAAGCTGGAGGAGATTACGCACTTGTCCTCCCACCATCCTACTACGCGCCTCTGTTCGCTCCTTCGTCCCAGACCATCCTCGAGTTCTTCCACGCAGTTGCCGATGCTTCGCCCATTCCAATCATTATCTACAACTATCCAGGGGCCGTCAACGGCATGGACATGTCGTCAGATATCATCGTGCAGCTTGCCCAGCACCCAAATATCGTTGGTGTGAAGCTGACTTGCGGCAACACCGGCAAGCTGAACCGTGTAGTCGCGGGTACTCGCAAGTTGTCAAAGGAATACGATCCTAAGAATCCCGACTTCTTGGTCCTCGCTGGCTCTGCCGACTTTTCTATCCAGGCCCTGGCCGCAGGTGGACATGGAATCCTCGCAGGTCTTGCCAATATTGCTCCCAAAGCATGCATCAAGACCATCGAGCTTTGGAATCAAGGAAAGCACACCGAGGCCCAGGAGATGCAGGAAGTCGTTTCGCAAGGCGATTGGACTGCCATCCAGGGCGGCGTTGTTGGAGTCAAGGCTGGTTTAGAAGAGTGGGCAGGCTACGGTGGCTACTGCAGAAGCCCTCTCCCAAGGCCGACTCCCGAACAGTCCAAGAACTGGAAAAACGGATTCAAAGACTTGATCATGCTTGAGAAGTCTCTCTAAGCTTTGTGGTTCACATGATCGACCATTCCCGGCCGTTCATGCGAAAATCATGGCAAATCTCTCCTATGTCCCGGTCATCATCGAGCATGGGCAGCGACAGCATGGCTGAACCAATCAGACATCATTTCAGTTCGATCTTCCATCAAGCAAGCGAGGGCTTGTCATTCAGTACCAGCCTTGTCTTATTTTCGTTCATGAGTTTCATATCTCTGGGCGTAGTTGAGGGGGGCATATAGGCCACTGCGGGTAGCAGAAAGATGGGAAAGCTCAAGATAGAGAATCCCTCGGCGTTGGGTCAGGGGCACAGGTTATGGGTCAATCGGGTCAATGGGCAAATTTGCAGAACGGTTGTTGAAAACCGCACTGCTACATGAGGAATACCTCTTTTCAGTCACTCTTGCCTTTCATTCCACGATGTGTTACGGTGACACTTCACATGGTCACAGATATCCCAAGGGTTCATTTCTCTCCATTTTATCCATCATTGTGTTTCAGTCAAAAGCATTGCTTTGTTTATCAATAAGTCGTTGCATAAGAGTCTACGATCGTTCACACCAATTAGCCCATGTACACTGATACGATAGTTGAGCTATTAGAACTTCGTTCACTGACTGCATTGGAGCAAGAAACGCCTAGAACCTGCAAAAGACAAAGTTGTGCATGAGTCTTCGATTACACAATCTGGGATTTCCGTTTCTCTTCTTCCGGCCACGAATGTCTCGTGGGCGTGGCCATTTATCTAGCCGAGACGGGTCCAGGTGGTGGACTGGCCTCCTTTGTGCTACGAGGCACAAGAAGTTGCAATGCCAAGTGGGCAAAGGCTAGCTTGTGGTTCACTACGGAAGCAAACATGGGCTCATATTGCAAACCCAATCTTTCTGCCACGTGAATAGCGCAGGGACATGGACACCAGATTGGGTCATGGTACCAATATTGCCCTTGTTGCACTGGCATAACTTGGTCGGTGATCCCAAATCTTTGACTTCGCTAAGCGCAAGTGAAGGCAAGGTACGAACTGGCACATGTCAGGAACCGAAGATGAAGTATTGCTATCGACATAAAATCTAAAGGATGGCATCAGTTCGGAGTACATCGAACCTCACTGAATACACTCCTGTTCCCGCCTAGCACGACGAACTACCAAGACTTCATATCGCCACTTGAACACAACCTCAACTAAGGATTTTCACTTCACCTAGCAAAGAACCTTTGCTTTCGCATAACCTGACCTATCATTTGGAGCCCAATCTACTATTATGCATGAGCAAGACTCAGGAGTCATATGAGTCAACAGTCGTAGGTTGACCACGGGAATAAGCCATGATGGCTATGATAAGCGATCTTCGCTTAATGAGGGCGGCGATCTAACCGTACCGTCAAATCTAGTGGTTAACCTACGACATAAGACGCTCTATGCTGCAAATAGTTCTGGTATCACAAGAGGGGGCATGTTATTACTCTGAGCAAGCCACGGGTAGGACATCTCTATAGAGCCCGAGCAACTGCCTTTTGCGATATCGGCTTCCAACGTAGACCGTCATCGGGTTCAGTCTTTCCTGATTCCCTAACTTGTGTGATGTGGACTGGGGGCGAGAGAACTGGAGGGGGAGTGGCATAAAGCTATGTCAAAGGCTCAAAACAAGTAAACAACCCACACATCTGTTGTTACACCACCTCTAAACAGCATCGAAACAAGTCTTTTGCTGCAAGTCTTTGTACAACCAATCAGGGGCTTGTTGCCCCATCAGCCAAGCAGAAGACTCCAAATATTCACACCTACATAAAGTAGTGTCTCACCGGCATGTCGGTACCTTCCGACGGCCGGGTAGTGCGGTATTCTTCCTAGCATCCGGCGGGAAAGAGAATAAAAATGTGAAGTACGACAAGGAAAGATACGCTAGTGGAAGGCAACAAGAACGGAGGTAGGGGAGGTACATTGAAGATATGTGAGTCTTCTCAAGAGCCTCATCGGGCCTTAACGCCTTGTTTCATTACCCTCCCCCAACTTTCGTCCCCATTCCTTTTGCTTATTCTTTCCTTCTTACGGGCGGGACCTTGCACGAAGGAACTCCGGGAAAGAGGTGGGCAAGGCCACCACGGGATGACGCCCCCCACGCCCAGGGGCAGGTATGCAAGAACCGCATCCAAGAAATCATGAAGGGGGACCGAAAAGCAAGCAAGGCGTTTGCGAAGTGGTAGGTACCTCTATGGAGGGAAAGGGTGGGTAAGAAAAGGGTTAAGCTTGAACCCGTTGCTATGGGCATCACCGCCATAAACACACATCAACCCCCACCAACTGCAACCAGCGCGGGAACAGCACAGTGAATGTACCAGACTGTGAGAATGCGGGATTCCTACCCTTCTTTTTCGGCGAAGGGCGGAGAAGCACGACGCAAGATGGGACAAGGCAGATATTCCCCTTGCAGCCCGCGCGAGCCTCTTTGGCCAACGGCTAGTTGCTGTCAGTAGCATGGTGACGAGAGGTTTATCTACCAATCATCCTTCCGTCTATCCATCCATCCACAAATCCATTTCAGAGGTTGGTACATGCACTTGCACAAACACCAATCCATCTTCTTTCTATTTGGGGTTTCATAAGAGGAGAAGAACCCCTCACCACCATCAGCAGATCACTGGTGGCACCATCGCTATGAAATTCATGCTTACCTACGTGTGGCGCCAGGGCTGTATGAATGAGACACACATACGGGAAGGCGCATAACACCCTTTACCTCCTTGTCGCCAGTCGGTGTGGAATCCCCGTGGTGGCAGCCGTTGGAATGCGCTGTTCACAACATCAACCACACAGCCGAGACCACAGACCATGTTCTTCACTCTCCACCTTCTACCCTCTCGTCTCGTTGTCGACTGCAAGCGCCCGATGAGACATTCTAGCCGAGTCTGCCGAGTTTCCATCTTTGCGCGACACAGCATACGAAGAGTAACTGGCCATCCTGCTTATTCTCGTCTTCTTCCCCTTTCTCGACAGCCCATGGTCTCCAATCTGGCCGCTTCATCTTTTCTCCCCCCCCTTCTTGTCTTTACAGATGAAGAGAACTTATACGAGTTGCGGCTGCCAGTTACAGAATATGTGTGCTCCTGCAAGCCTCTTCACCGCTAACCATGCGTCAGAGCTGGATGTGGTTGTGTGTTTATGTCGGACATTTTCTTCTCATCTCATTGGCGCGTTGTCTGTCGTGTGTTCATACTCCCACTCTTGTCTTTTGGCTGTCTTTATTCAAGAAGGAAGAGATCACAAAAAGTTTTGGTCATATCGTTACAGCGCTTGCACGCGCGCGCCCGGAAAAGAGGCTGGGCTGGGCTGGGCTGGGCTGGGTTTGGTTCCAGTCGTTCGTTTTTTTATTTTCGTCGTCATCAGTTCAATAGGGAACGAAGTACCTGAGCAAGCAACTGTGCTATTCACTGGTACCCAAGGAGCCACTGCGCTTCTGGAACCCTCGTTTATCTTTCCGTGCTCCTTCGGTTCTTCCATCTCGTCCTGTTTGTACCTGCTGGACTCTGCTGTGGTGGCTATTGTTCCCAGACCCATGACTCTTAAAGGGCCATGGGAAGCCAATTCGTCATCCATTAATATGCAGGAGGGTGCCCGTTGATACTCGCTTAAAAACTAGCTGCGCTGTTTGATTCCAATTTTTTCGCAACTTCATTTCTTTCGAGCGAGTATTTGAGGAGCGAGGAAAAGAACTTCTAGGGTTGTTTTTTCTCGAAGGTAGAGGTGAACTACAAACAAATTCAATAACCAAGCAATACCATTCGGCCGATACCAGATACTTGTCTGTCGCTTCTCAACTGATACCAACACGCGAGCAATTAGAACACATTGCCCAACCATCCCTTTCCACACATCCCGGTACCACGCCGGGAACCCTTTCCCAATGGAGCTCACCACAAGGAGAACAAGGAGGATGATGGGGAAGAAGAGGAACTTGGATCTTACACCATCGACTTTTGGACCCATACCAATGGTCACATCTACCCTTCTGCCACTCCTCCTATTAATCAACAGCTTTGCCTCGCTAGCCGCCGCTCAAACAACACCGATTCCGGTCATCGGCGTCAAGACGGGTGTCGATTCCAGCACGGGACAGAGACCAATCAGGAGGAACATCAATGATCTCTACGCTAGGGGAGGGCCGCAATGGTAGGAAGAAGTGACTGTCTCGTGGGGGTCATAGTATCTACATTGACTGTTCCCCCAATATTGGCTGATGGCTGACTGACTAACTACATTTGATTAGGGACCTCTACATTTTGGCACTGTCGGAGATGCAAGCGATGAACGAGTCGGAGGAGCTGTCATATTTCAGTCTGGCAGGTAAGTGAGGATACGTACACTGAAGCGAACAGCTCACCTACAGTATAGTGGTAGGGATCATCATGAAGCTGACTTGCATGTCGAAAAGGTATTCATGGGTTGCCGCACGAGGTATGGAATGGAGTTGAGCAGGTTGAGGGTGCGCCTGATACAGGGTATTGTCCTCATGGAGTGAGTGTTGTCTCGGACTCGGTTATCTCTTGAACACCCATAACTGTCATGTATACTGACTGGTAGCAAAAACACGCAGGAAACCATCTTTGCTCCATGGCATCGGCCATATGTTGCTCTCTTCGAGGTATGCAATTACCAATCGCAGTCTTCACTAACCCCATGTCTCTGACTGATCACCTCAACACCATACCATATATCTCTCCAGCCCATCACTTCGTTCCACCCCCTACTCCACTCCCATCAGAGAGCACCGCAATTTACGCACCATATTCCACACTACACTTCCCTGTATCAACCCCCAAACTGACCAACTTACCCCCAAAAACAGCAAACCCTAGTCTCCCACGCCCTCGCCATCGCCTCACGCTACCCTCCCTCCCTTTTACCCGCCTACACGGACGCCGCCCGCACGCTCCGCCTGCCCTTCTGGGACTGGGCTTCGGACCCTTCGCTCCCCTACGCCGTGATGAACGATAGCATTAAAGTCGGCAACACGCCCAACTCTTCCTTGGCTTCCTTATCCCCACCCAACACCAACGGCACCGGCGGCGGGAGCGGTGCGCCTTCGGGAGCGGTGGGTGTGCAAGTTAGGAACCCGCTTTATAGTTATCGGTTTCAGGAAGGGAGTGTGATGTACCAATTCGACAATACCTTGGGACTGTATCCCCAGACCTTGCGGTGCAAGTTTGAGGATTTCGCAGAGGATAACAAGACGGTGATTAAGAGGTGGAGCGAACCGTGGGTGGCGGAGGAGGGGATGAAGGAGGTGGGGGGACAACTGAGGGATAGTGTGGTGAGTTTCCTTTCTTCTCAAGTGGTTTTGTTGTATATGTACCCTTATGGGGGTTGGTTCGATTGAGCGGAGGAGACGGTTGCCGATAGCTTGGGATGATTCTGGTTCCCAAGGAAGTGTCAAGCCAGGAACTGGCAGCTTCGGAAATAATGGTTCATGGATCACGGCTCTGGCGGAGCAGAGCGTAGGATATGAGCACCCTACTACTGTTGCGGGCAGAGATCTAACTGATTGTCCCCGGGTTAAATGATCATTCTGCTAATCAATAAACGCTTACAGTACGATCTCTTCGTCCGGCCTGACCCCCGAGGATGGGGAGCTGGGGGATTTGAGGATCCTCACAATACAGTTCACAACAATGCGGGCTGTACAAATGGCACGATGGCCAACATTGCTTGGTCGGCTTTCGACCCTCTGTTGTAAGTATCTCCCACAGTAACAACGTGTGCCGACCTCCCGTTCACTAACCGGTCTTCAAAACCTCCAGTATGCTTCACCACGCCAACACGGACCGTCTCATCGCCCTTTGGCAAGCAATCTACTATCCAAACGCAACCTTCAATTATTCATTCCCCTCCGGCGGCCAACTTGGCACCAAAAGGGGGACCATACTCACGGCCGACTCCCCCCTCAAGCCCTTCCACGCCGAGTTTCCTGCCACAATCGGCAGCGGTAACGCCACGCCGCCCTCGGACGCGGGAGGTTTCTTCCACACTAGTAACTCGGTGGCGGACTTACGGACGTTCGGGTACACTTACCCCGAGCTGAACACGGATTGGCAGACGCCCGACAAGGATAAACTAGCGGCTCAAGTGAGGCAAGCGGTTAACAAATTGTATGGATCTAGCGGTGACGGCAGTGTGGATGTGCAAGGACAAGCGGGAATTTCAGGACGGGGTGTTGACTCAGACACGCTAGATGAGGAAGAAGACAGCACGGTTAACGACGGCGGAAAGAAAACCGTGGAGAACAACAAGATAACATTCCGTCGCTCTCGGTCCCGATCACGGTCACGGGCTCTTTCCGCCTCCTCCAACTACAAGGAGAACGAAGAAGAGGAAGAAGAAGAAGGCACTACAACCACAAGCAGAGAGAACGGCAAACAAACGGAAGAAAACAACAAAATCACGTTCCGCAGTTCTCGGTCCCTTAGCAATTCCAACTCTAGTCCCAAAAAGAACATGAAACAAAAGCGACAAACCTACGGCAGCCAATCTCCTACTAAAAACTACTACTACACGGCCGAGCTCTCTGTCGACCGCTCCGAAGTGCCTCTACCCTGCACCATCTCCCTGATTGTCAACGGGGTGGTCATGGGCCGCATGGCACTTTTGGGCATGCCGATGGAGGGGAACGCGAAGGCTAGCATGCCGTTGGCGAGGCCGCTTAAGAATGTTGTGAAGATTGGAGAACAGCAGCAAGGGTCTCAAAGCCACAAGAGGGGGGTGGGCGAGGATGAGAAGATGGTTGGTGGTAAGAGGAAGGGGAGGTGGCCTTCTACGTCTAGGCATTCAAATATCGAGAAGGTGAAGCCGAAAAGGGGGTTGGGACACGTGGATATGACTCCTAAGACGATCATTCCGTTCTTGAAGGGGAATATGACTGTTGAGATTCGATCGGTAAGTTTTTTCGATTTTCTTACCAAATACTCCCTTCTCATCCCTCCACCCACCACTTTTCTTTGCCCTTCTCTTCGACATCCCCTCTTTAACCCCTTCCCTCTCCCCCACTTACCAACTTATCCAACTCCCATTTTCAACTTCTCAGCACCCCCCTTCCTCCCTCCATCAACATCCAGTCCCAACTCCCATTCTAGTCCAACAAACATCACATCAGAAAACTAACCCCACCCCTCAAAATAGAACGACCAAACCCTAACCGACCCATCCACCGTCCCCTCTCTCCACCTCGAGATCCAAGACTGGGAATACTTCCCCCGCAAAAACGCGAGCGAGTTCCCCATCTTCCAGAACCCCCGAAAATGGCCGATGGGGATTCGGGGACCGGGAGGACATGGAGGGTACGGCGGAGGGGGACACTAAGTACATACAGCAGCTCGAGCAGTTCCAGGTTGTTTCGTTGGGAAGGTAGCGCGAGCTCTGGGATGGAGGATGGAATAGGAGCATAAGTGGATGCAAAACAAGGGAAGGAAAGGGAAGAAAAAACAGAGATGCGGACAAGGAGGAGATTTGTTCTGCTCGCTGAGGTGACTGGCTGCGAAGACAGTTTTGATCTTTAACATGAACTCGCTTTGATCAACATTCATGATTTTTCGTGTCTTCGATGGAAATATTTGATGAAGTCGTCTTCTATGCTTTTTGGTTCCATGAATCATTTGGCGTTACTTTGGGTTAGAACAGTCTCTCTCTTTCCTGACATCAGTCTCTTGACACCGCGCCTTCCACTTGTCCTTTATCTCAGCTAAGGGTCAGTTAGGTAGATAGGTACCTGGGTAGGTAGGTATGTGGCATCCATAATATCGCATCGTGATGTTCTTCATACCCGTGCCTTCCCACCCGATTGCCTCTTACCGGTCAATACGATGGCTCCCTTCCCCGTCAACCATCAAGCAATGCACCCTTCTTCTTCCTTCCTTCCTTCCTTCCTTCCTTTCTTCCTTTCTTTCTTCCTTTCTTCTTTCCTTCCTAACGGCAACCCACACATCAGAGAGCATGAAACTACCAACCGCTTGGCTTACCGCACTGCACCTTCCCCGAACCCTGTTCTTCTGCCCTTCATAACAGAGTTTTCTTTGACATACAATCAACAAGTAAACCAGGGAAAAGAAGCGCGGTTAGTATAGCGGTTAGTACTCTCGTTTCCCAACAAGCAGCCTATCCATGGGCGAAAAAAAGAACGAGTGACCCGGGTTCGACTCCCGGACTGCGCAATGACTTCTCTCTTTTCCTTTCCTTTTTTGGTTCTTTTCGTTTTTATACGTGTTCTTTGCTTGGATCTTTTGCCAAAGACTGCCTGATCGTTCCTTAACGGTATCTGTACCCATGTTTCCTCGCGGCCCATGTCTTTCAGGACCAGATATACGACTTGAAAGAAAATGATCAAATACGGGATTTCTTCTAGGGATCGTCATCACTTGATATATCATTGATGATATCTGGCCTATCTATCATCAAAAACCTACCATGCTGACAATTATCAAAGCGTCGTCCCAATTATCATAAGGAAGACAGACCGACTCGCCGGAATCGCTTCTATACCTGTCTGTGTCGCTCGTGGCCCAGCTCTCCCAAGGAGCAGCATCCTTGCATAGACATCCAAGCCAATCCCATGTCTCTTTCATATTCACCTGTTGCGCCAAACTCCCAGACCCAACCCGACCCAGTAGCATACCGACCGCCCACCCACAACAACTCCGTTTTCTCTAAGCCATCCATCATCCAGTTCCCGCCAACCAGCCAAGTTACGCCAGACATACAACATCATCATGGATAACAAAAACAAAGTCCTTTCAGGACCGCCTGCCGTATATACAGTCAACAGGTCATAGAAATAATTGAAGAAAAAAAAAAGCCAGATATAGCCAACGACGTGAGGTAAAAGAGGTTCGCAGTTGAGGTTCTTTTGCTTACTTCCGGTTCCTCGTCTTCTTCTGCGTCACAGCCGTCTCCTCCTCCACCTCATCCTCTCCCTTCTTCAGGTCTTCTGTCAACCCCCACTCTTCTTTGTCGTACCAGTCCTCGCCGTCCGACATGTCGCGGTTGGGTCCGCTGTGCGCCTCGGCCTTGGCCCACGAGAGCACCGTTTGTCGGTACCGGTCTGCTTTGCGCAGACCCTCGTATAGTTTGCGGGTGCCGCGGCAGACTTCTTCCTGCTTCTGCACGTACAGCTGGAGTAGGCGGCGGACGTCTTCGGCTTCTTGCTCGGGGAGGCCAAAGTCGCGGTCTGGATGCGAAGTTCGTGGGGCGAGGAAGATGGGATGGATATATGGTTCTTCAAGAAATTCCTGAAGTGCCGCTACTGATGCCGCGGTGCTGAGCGCAGCATTACGTTGAACATTAGGCTTCGCTCGCAAATCCTCTACACCATGAACGACTCCCTCCCCTTGAGGTTCTTTGTCTGTTTGTTGTCGCTCCAAGTTGTGCCCCGGTTGATCCAGGTTCGTCTCTGGCTCGGCACCTGAGACCGCTGGTTGATGTTCCGCTGCTTCCTTGCCAGTTTCGCCATTGGGCGCATTTGCCATTTCCACGTCTTTAGATGCCGCCGTTGCTGGCACTGTCTGTCCATCTACCGGTGCCGGTGCCGGTTGATCTGCGTTCGTGCTTTCGTCTACGTTTTGTGCGGTCGTTTCTGTGGGCACTGTCTCCGGCTGCGCTTGTTCGGGATCCCTGCTTGTTTCGCCGTTGGGTTGCGGGGCCTCCGCCTTGGAATTGCTAGTCATTGATTCGGTTGCTTCTGTAGGTTCGGTCATTTCAACATCTTCATCTGTTGTCTTCTTTCCGTTGACCTTTGGCGCGCTGCCCTCTTCAGCTCCCTTCTTCTCGTCAGGATTTGCGTCGGCATCAGGAAGTTGTTCATCGTCAGGGACTGAGTCTGGTAGAGGCTTATCTCCACTGTCGCCATTTGTCTGGCTAGACTCCTTTGATTTCGAGGCCGATGCCTCATTGTTGTTGCCACCAACAGGCCCGTTCTCGGTCGCCTTGGCATGGTTGCCAGCTGACACGGCGTCAGCAGCATTCGGGATCCAGTTGCTGACCCATTTGATGAAGCTTGAGGTATCCTCAAAGAGATCATGGTCAGTCGATTCAATCATCATGCCGCACGGCGCCCACGAGTTGTCGCCGACGAATTTAGTGAGCAGCGGTTTGACCTTCCACAAGGCAACATTTTCTCTTCGGCTGAGGGCGGCGGCCTGGTGTACGAGTTCGGTAAGGGCTTTCGATTTGAATGGTCGCGATAGGGTCGGGTGATTCGGTAGGTCGGTGACGGATGTAAGGGGCGCGAGGAGTTCTGTCGAGATTGATGTTAGCACGTCGACTCACATGGACAAGCGCATGTTGTCTCCACTCACGTTCTAACCGGATCGAAGCGTATGGGTTCTCCTCCATGGTGGCGCTGATTGCCTCCTGGACGCTCTCTTCGTTATCGTCACTATCGATATCGTAGCCGTCCTCGTCGATGAGGGGCGGGTTCTGGTTGATGATGGCACGTTGATAGCCCGCATGTTCGGCCACCTGGTGGCACTCAAAGAGAGAGTCAGTCTTGGGTGCGTCCCCTCCATTTGTTCTTGCTGGTTCCCCAACGTGGGCTGACACCTTGTGCATGCGTGTAGGGTTTCACACACCTCCTTGTAGGCGGCTGGTCCATTTGCGTTAGCAAGACGGCCTTGCTTGACAAATCGTGCGCGTTTCTTGAGCTTGTAGCCTCGGTTCGTGTTGTGGTCAATTGACGAGTCGGAGTCGGATTCTGTTGAGGATGAATGGTGGACATTGTTAGACACGGAAAGCAAAAACAAGAGGGCGATCATAGCAACGGGAGATGGTGAATTGAGCTTACCATAAGCTTTCCTTTTCAGCGTCTTCCTTATGGACACAATGGTGTCCATGATCATGGCCTGCTGTTGCGTCGACATGGTGTGTGGCGGCGGGCGCAGCTTTGCGCGATCGACCGGTGACAGACAGAGTGCGACGACGGTGATGTGGAATAGCACAGAGAAGTAGGATTGTGGAGATTGGGTGCTGCTAATTGCTTGATCTTTGGAAAGTGGTGAAGATTATCGAGTATGGCTTGCCCAGATCATTCGCGATCAAACCGAAGACTGTATGGCCGTCCGTGGTGGTGGTGGTTGTCGAGGTCTGGAGGAGAAGGGCACAACTGACCCAAGTCGAAGAAGAATGGCCGGTGGAATGCGGATGGCTGTGAATCGTAAACCAAGAACCCTGCTCGTTCGCTGCGCTTCAGTGCTCGGGTTCCCGCCCATACGGAAAGCGGGGAGCAGCGGCACAACTTCCACTTTCCACGGCAGGCTTTGAGCTTGTTACGTAATGTGACTATGGCGATAGCTCCAGTAAGAGTGCCTATCCTATTAGTACGCACACTATATAAACGACACCTTAGCCCACTCTTCATCATCACCAAACACAAAAAAGGAGAATGTAAACAAAGAACACATCTGGAACGTAGTCCTCCATCTACACGAGAAGCCCTCCATGCAGCAGTTGTCGACAAGCAACAAGGGGACAGCAAATGCCGAGCTAGAATGATTCAACAGAACTCATGACCTCTGATTCCGATATCTTCGAGTTTGAGAACAGCTGCATCAAGTTATCAAGGCCGGACATGACAAGAACAGCAGACTTCACATGACAAACACTCGTTATCATTACCTACTGATACTCATTAACCATACTAACTGACATCCAGTGTTATCCAGCATCATCAAGCGCTCTTTGAAGAGCATGCGTTCACTATGAGATAGGACAAACGCGCACACACCCTACTCAAACCACCTCGCAGCCCTACCCACAAGAGTCCTCTTAGACTCCGGCTCCGCCATCTGACTCCTAGCCGTCACTGGACTCCAATCCTTCTTCTCCTTATACCAAACCCCATTAATCACCACGCCTTCGCCCATCAAGATCGCCATGACCTGCTCCTGCGTACAAGTCGACCCCAAATTCCTCGCAAAGCACTTGGCGCTCACATCCTTGGGAGCCTGGAGCTGTTTATCAGCCTTCCTGGGTCCCCGAGTCGCAAAGTCCCTCAGGTTGACTCTAGCACCCGTGGCAACCGATTTACCGGCGATAATGCGCTCAAACACCCGAAACGCCGTCTCAGGCTGGTAAGCAGGCACGAAATGACCTGACTGATAAATCCTGCTGAAGCTGAGGTTGCCAAACTGCCTCACCACTCCGCCGACCTCCCTGTTATTGGTCTGGATGTTCTCATACCCAGCCTGCGGAAACTTGGTCGGATACGGGCTCTTGGGATCCAAATCCTTCATGGCGTCGGCAAGAGCCAGAGACACTGCTTCGCCGCCCATCCAGTTGCAAATGTAATCGCGGTCGCCATACACCAGACCGATGCGAACGCCGCGCTGCAGAAGCGAAGCTAGCTTGGCGATCAACCCGCCGCGAGCCCTATCCCCGGTTTGGAAAAAGGCTTGGTAGACTACGGGCGAAATATCCGTGTAGTTGACCACGGACCCGATCGCCTCTTGCACGCGGCGCGAGTTGAGATACTCGAGGTAGTGGTAATCGGGAAACGCATCGGGACCCATGTGCGCAATGTCGTAGGCGTTAGCGCCGCTGGCGAGTACGGAGCCGAGGAGCTGTTGGCAGGTGAGCGAGGCGTAGGCGCAGACCTGGTTGACGGTTTCGTCGGTACCTTGGTCCAGCGGGTCGAGAGCGGCTTGGGCTTGGCGGCAGGCGAGGATCAGGTCTTTGCAGCCCGTGTCGGGGGCGTTGAAGCCCGAGGTGATGGCGTCGGCCGTGGCTTGGTCGATCAGCTTGATGCCATACGTGTTGTTGATGGCCATCTCGACGTAGCGGGAGCCTTGGACGAGGTCGTCGATGCAGCCGTTCATGATGCCAAGCGAAGTGAGTTTGATTTCGCGGTTACCACTGCCGCCCTTGGGGGGACGGGATTGGATATTGTTGGCATCATCCTGTCGTCTGGAAAGAGGCATTGCGCGCTTTGAAAGCTTGTCATTCTCCTTCTGCCAGGTGTCGGCAAAGACAGGCCCGTAGTGGCCGCCATAACTTTCCGTAAAGAGGTTGACGCCCAACGGGCTGTGCTTGTCCGGGACGTACTCGGGGAAAGTACTCAGGAACCCCTGGAGCAGGTGGTAGACGGCCATGGCAGCATTCTGAGTCGTGTTGGCCGTGTTTTGGATGTTGTTTGAGGAAAATGTGCCGTTGAGAAAGAGGCTGGGAGGCAGGTTATCAGGCAATTGCATGGTAGGCGACACCATCCCAGTCGTCAAGTCCAGAGAACCGTTGGTGGGAGTATCGTACGAGAAACCGACATGGTTGGGCTGATCGACAAAGAGCATGTTGGAAGCTCTGTCCCAGCCCCATTCTCTGGCGGCCGTCTCCAGGCGGTTGGCGCCTTTCTCGACGACCTGGCAAGGGCCATTCTCGGCGAAGAGGCCAAACATGGAGCTCGAGCCGGGCCCGCCGTTGAGCATCATTGTCAGCGCAGAGGTTGGCTCGCGGGCACCAACAAACCAGAAGAAGAGGTGTGTTGGGTACTCGCCGGGGACGGTAACCCAGCCGGTGTACTGCTTCTGCCGTCTGAAAGCAGTCGTACAGACATCCTTGGGTTCTTTGTACGAGATCTTGATGTTCGGGTTGGAAGGTGAGGTGACCGTCTTCAAGCCGACAGCTTGATATGGCGGGAATTGTGCGTCACTCAAGGGAGCGAGAGCGGCGAGTGTCGATAGGGTGAGCAGCCGTGACAAGGATGGCGAGGCTCCGTTGCCATTCCTCGTGTTGAAGGGCGACCACATGTTGTTGTCGACGGTACTGGGTGCACCGAAGTCGAAGGATGTGTTAGGATTAATGTATGAGACGCCACATGCGGTTTTCCACGGGATCTTCCTAAGAAAGCTTACGAAGGTTGCGAGGAGGTTGGGAGAGCAGATACAGCGAAGCCGAATGATGTGAAGATGAACTTACGGATTAGAGGGTGGCTTGGATGTACCTTATATACAAGTAAACATTGGGGAATGTAAATAGGCGGACCTGAATAAGAGGACACCGTCTGATATCATCACTAGTTCACAAGGCAGATGCGCTGTTCAGAAAGTTCAGATGGCCCAGACCTCTCGTCTGAAGTGAAGTGAAGTCAGTCAGGTGAAGTGAAGTGGAAGGAATGCTTCAAGGTAGTCCGGACTGTCTAGTGCACTGTAACTATCGCGGCCAGTGAACACCGCCTACAAGTACCAAAGCCTGGAGGTTTAGTTAGCAGCGAATAGGGGACCGCCAATGGCCACTTATACAGGGCTGCGGAGGGCCGCTACTGCACGAACGTTACTGGATTTGGGCCTGAATAAGGTGCATGAATAACCCAGATCATTGGGACCTGGAAACCGCATAATTTAGCTTGATATGGCCCGTGCATATGCCAGTGAACCAATTGGTTCTCCTTTTGGTGTTAGTTGCGTCTCCACCTTCCTCTTTCTCTCCTCTGTCAAGTGTCAACACATCAGCCACTTGCTCCTGGCGTGTTTCTTGCCTTCTATTTCCGCGCTTCTAGAAGAAGGGGCCTTTGTGGTCACCGTGATCCATCTGATACGATGAGGCTCGGTGGAAATTACTCCAGCTTTGACCGTCTTCGGCATGAGTTGAGATATCGGAAAGAATATATTCATGGCATCGGCATTTGTTTTCTCGTTCGGGTACCTGAACACTCCTGCGACATCGGCGCGGGACGAGCCAAAAGATATTCGTAGTCAGCAATACCGGTTGAGTCCTGACTCTACCGTGCCGTAACATTCCGAGATAGCGACGTGTGCAGGCGGAAACTGACCAAAAGGAGAGGATCATTACACACAAAACCTCGCAACCAACCCCCCGAATTGTCTTCCCGGCACATTCCTTCCATCAATATTTCCAGAAGCTATCGACTGATATGCGTCTCTCAAGTGGCTAATTCTGACCACGAGGTGCACGATATGATGTCTCGCAAGAAGTTAGATGACTGTGGTATCGGCAAGAACGCCACCATCTGCAAGGCGCAGCGCCCCCTTGGAAGGGCCGTTCCAAGCCATGCATTCCATGCGGCTGAATGAGAACAGAACTCGACTGAATGGCGAAGCGCAACAACTAACCTTCGACATACGAGACGATAGGTACTTGTCTCTGTGTCTCACACTGGTGAGCATGTCGATGTGTATGCTGCTTGTTCGATAACAAGTTCCGAATAGAGCCTCCTACATATCCCAAGGCGTCCAGCACACAATCCTGCGGAGATGCCCACCATGTCGAGTCCCAACTCCGACTTCCCATCCCCCTCCGGCGGGCCCTCGGCAACGGATTTGATCAAGTATATCGGCATGCCCCTTGCGATACTGGGTGCCTTGCCGCTCGGTCCATGATCAAGCGCATGCTGCGGTATAGCCGACTGGCTGAACTGATACGCAGTGATATGATCAACTCCGTGTGACATCAAAGTCGACCTGCTGTGGTATGCTGTCAAGCCATGGAAACGCTCCAGTAATCGGGATGAGTACTGAGCTCTTTCTGCTCACCCCACCAGTATACAAGACGGCAGCTGGATGACTTGCAACTGGCGAACTAATGTCATATGGGGTTGAGCAGTGGACAACCTTGGGGAGACCATCTTAGTCCCTTGATATCCAATCCATATCATGTACCTGCCTACCCCCTTCACATGATCAGCTTCATATACTACAGGACCTATACACATAAACGTACAACGTACAGTAACGCCTTGATGCCATGCTTACGCATCCTCACTAGCCAACCTCTGCACCCCCAAAAAGTAATTCCCAACCTTCTCGCTCCCGGGAACCTCCTTCCACCCCAGCCCAGGAACATAAACAACGCCCATCGCCCTCGGCTGTCCCCAGAACCTCCTCTTTTCCTCTGTTTCCTCAAAATATCCCCTCAGCTCATACTCATTGATGTACTTGTTCCAATCATGCGTTCCCTTGGGCACGATTCCGAGCACATCCTCCGCCATGAAATTCGTCGTAAACCAACTCGTCCAAGTCCGCGCAATCGTGCTCATGACCAGCCAACCGCCCGGCTTGACAAACTTGGCGACGTGGTCGAGGAATAGAGCAGGGTGGTCGACGTGCTCGATGACTTCGAAGCACGAGACCACATCGAATTTCTTTTCCACGGCTTCGGGCTTGAGTGTAGGGAGTGATTCGATCGTCGAGGAAAGGTACGTCAACTTGGGCGACAGGCTCGGGTCTTTCTTGGCATGGGAGCGGGCGATGGCTAGGACGCCTGGGGACGGGTCGATGGCGAGTACGGACTCGGTGGTGGGCAGGCGTGCGGCAGACTCGGCGAAGATGCCGCCGCCGCAGCCGATGTCGAGATAGCGCAGTTTTTGCACGTTGGCTGTAGTGCTATAGGTGGGGCCGTCGGGAGAGGGAGGAGCATGTTCGTCTCCGGAGTCCTCGGTTAGGACGGTGAAGGAGGATGTGGGTGACGAGGAGCGGCAGGTCTGGATAAAATCGTGTCGTAGAGGATTCATGAGGTGGAGGGCGCGCGAGGAGCCGTGTGGGTCCCACCAGGTGGCGGCGAGGGCGTTGAAGTGGGAGATTTCGCCGGGGTTGACGGAGGAAGAGGAGGGGGGCGTGGAGTTATTATGGTTGGAGTGCCATCGTTGTGTTGTTACTGATGGTGATGCTGTAACGGGTGCAAAGCACTGTGGTGTTGATGCTAGACGAGCAATTGTCCTGGGGTTCCGGGCGCGCCAGGCGATTGTTGGTGCCAATTGGCGAAGTGGCGATGATGGCAACATATCGATGTGCTTGAAGCTGTTGGTAAGCCTGTTCAAGCACTCCTACGTGAAGTTCGTTGGATATGTTCGAAACTCAAAAATGCCGGTGATGTAAATGTTTCGTTGTAGGACAACTTGAAGCTCCTGCAATTGGTCGCAGGTCGACACCTGGATGGCCGATCGTCAGCAGGGGCAAGGATCGGGCGGACAGAAGCACCGCATTGGGCGATAAGGTAATGCCTTATCGATAAGCTGATAAGAAAGAGTATCACACGACGCCGGCGCCGGCCCCCGGTTCGTGATTTTGCCATGTGAAATCAGCCAACTTCCTTGTTGACTTTGTCTTTGCCGCTGCAGGGACCGCCGTTAATTATGCTGGCTGACCTTGGTCCGCATGCCCGTTGAGGTTCTTCACGACTCTGATCAGGTCTCTGGGTTTCAGCATGGATCAGCCCATACTCCATGGCGTTCCTCCTCCGTGTCAACTATGGCCAATGGACCGGACAGTTTCGAAGCCTAGACTAGGTAGTTGACAAGGAGGTTTGTAAGCCGCCGGTCAGCTTTTCTAAGCCTTGTGAATCCGAGTCATCCGGGTTTATATAAGATGGTGAAATATGTAGAACCATGGCGTGTATGTCATGTAGCATCTGCTTGTTCTTGAATACCCTCTCCATTTCAAATCTGGCCAACTGTCTACATATTGTAGCGAGCCGTGCTCTCCCCCGTGGCCTCGGCATCATCTTCCCGGCGACTCCTCCGCTTACTCTCGACCTCCGAAGCTCTAGAATCCAAAAGTGCGGCAAACGGCATCCCCCGGCCCCCCCCAGACTCGCGCCAAATCCACATTGACAAACCCACTTGAGGCCACCTTGAACCGAGACCGCCCGACCGCAGCGACCGGACTGGCCGCCCTAAATTAGTCGCAATCGCCAATTGCCCCTCACTGCCCTGACTGAATGACTTGAGGTCCCGTCCCGTCCAAGCCAATTGCCCAATTGCCATCCTGGTTGCCCCTCCTCTTCTCTCCAAGTCTTGGTCCCTTGAGGTTGCATAAGATCAGAAAAAAAAGTTGAAGAGCAAGTATACAATCTATTCAGCAGTTTGCAAGAAAAAGTCAAAGATACCCCGATATCGAACAAGCAAATCAGTCGGTACCTTGCAGCAAACTACCCGCCGAAACCGCATTGCAGCAGCCACCTGCGACACCCTTCTTGCCCGGGCCTTCACGTCATATCCCATTTACCAACACCAGGGCGCATTATCACCAAGCAATCTCGACCGGTTGCTTATACCTACCTCTACAACAACACACAGATTTCACACAATGGCTTCCCAACAAGAATCCCGAATGGATCCGTCAGCATTTGACAGCATCCCCGACACCGTCGAGGCATTCCGTACGTTTCCAGGTCCCTCCCATCCCACCCCCATGACCCCAACTAACTTTTTCTTTTTTCTCCCCCATTAGGCAACGGCGAATTCGTCGTAGTCCTCGACGACCCCGGCCGCGAAAACGAAGCCGACCTCATCATCGCCGCCGAATCCGTCACCGCCCAACAAATGGCCTTCATGGTGCGCTACTCGTCCGGCCTCATCTGCGCCCCCATCCTGCCCCAGCGCACGCTCGACCTCGACCTGCCGCAAATGGTCGGTCACAATGAGGACCCGCGCGCGACTGCCTACACCATCTCGGTCGACGCCGCCGACCCGTCCGTCACCACGGGCATCAGCGCCCACGACCGTGCGCTGGTCTGCCGCGTGCTGGCGGATGAAAAGACCAAGCCGGCGGATCTGAGAAGACCGGGCCATGTGTTCCCGCTGAGGGCGAGACCGGGCGGTGTGAGGCAGAGACGGGGACATACCGAGGCGGCGATTGATTTGTGTAGGATGGCGGGCAAGAAGCCGGCGGCGGTCATTAGCGAGCTGGTGGATGATGGACGGGAGGTGGAGGGCCAGGCCGTTAGGGAGGAGCCGGGCATGATGAGGGGAGAGCAGTGCGTGGCGTTTGCGAGGAGGTGGGGGTTGAAGGTGTGCACCATTGAGGATATGGTCAAGTATCTGGAGGAGAAGGAGGGCAAGTTGGGTGAGCTCAATGGTTCCTCGTGAGCTGCTTTACTTGGCTGAGTGTTACACGGTAATTCACAATGGATTGGAACAGGCTACATATACCTCGGGGTCTTTTGAATAACGGGATTTTTGGTTATACTGAATAAGGATTAACAAAAAAAGGTGGGAACTTGTCCCCCCTCCGAGTTGAGGGATCGTGTTTAGACGTGGGGAAACGGTTTTACATCATATAGAGCTACACTTGGTTTACACGGCACGGCACATTACGGTACATTCTCCATGGTCATGTTCCGTTGTAAATACAGCATATCTCCTCTCGTTGCCCTTGTTTGCGGCTATGCTTCGCAAAATATTGGCCTGTTCTACACACATAGATTCGGGCCAACCGGTGTTTCGACTTGTGTGGAGGATATCAACTTGATCGTGTGGGTGACCTAGTGCTGCCATGAAGCAAGCTGGGTGACTACGGGATTGGTAATCCGGCACGAACAATCCACCGGAGGGCCAAATTCCAATGAGCCATGTGGTCTTGGGTAAGAACGACGCTTGACAAGGCAGTTGCTTGCTCGAGCAGTGAACTCGCAGAGCATGTTTCCATCTGCGTCCCCCGCTGGCGGTAATGCCCTTATTGACAAGCACTGAGTTTCCGTCCAGTCATGACTTGCAACCTGGAGGATGGGAAACCAAGTCCAACAGCTTGGGAACGCAGAAACGAGAGACTGAAGCAAAAGGTATGGATAACTTCTATCACGCAATCAAGTTACGAATGCCAACAGAACACTCCTCAGACACAATGGGCATGGCATTCATAATACGTCACGAAGGGGCCATGTATATGCAAATGTAACATGTCTTGGATTTGAATATGTATCTTCATGTGATATGTAACTCGCCCGGTCGCAATTAGCACCATGGCTGTCTACGATGTGACCATAGTCACGACTCCAGAGAACCGACTTGGTTCAAAGGCCTACGATTTCGAGAATTTCAGCATGGCAATGACTCACCTGATGCTGCTCGATGGGTTGTCATGGCGATATACCAGACAATGGTTCCTAATTCCAGCATGTTAGCTTGGGATCATTGGTTTGGACTCAAAAACAAGGACTTGTTCAAGAGGCGACTCAGTTTGGGTGCCGTGTCATCGGCGTTTTTCATCAAAGGGATAAAGCCGAAGCAATATCCTATGTAGACCGTCGTGATAAATTTTATTCATCATTGTAGCCATCTTGAACAGGTGTGCAAAAAAAAGAAAATGTTGGCTTACCATTATCTGCAGCGTGACACAGCTGACGATGCATTCCGGGTATTGAACCAGGGCAGACTGACTTTGTGACCGTTAGCATGCTGTAAGGCAGAGCGGCCAAGTAACAGGATGCAATGGTGCAAAGATCAGACATGACAGGTGTCATCGTCGCAAAAGCTCTGACATATGCTTGTCTTTGTGTTGTCGGATCATCATGGAAGGATACGGGCAGGAAAACTCAGTGCCGAAGCAAAGAGATGTAGGCACATACCAATAAGCCCATGCATCGGGAGATTGTTCTGTAAGCTGTGGTCTGGTTGATCGTTAGTCGAGAGATTCTACTGAGAGCTGCCAAAAGACTTGATCATGAAGAAGGATTTTCAGAAATGCATGAATGGTATTAAAAAAAGGTTGTCTGCATGGGGAATCCCCGATAAGACTCGTCATCTAAAGGGATCATCATGGAATCGTGTGTTGTGATGTGAGAGAAAAGGAGTAGCTTACCAAGATCGTGTTAAGAAAAAGAGCGAGTAGTGGTCCAAGTCCAACTGTACTCTGATGAGCCGCATTAGTCACCGCTCATGGTTCCAGATGTGCTTCAAAACGTGTTGATATTGGATGCTGATCAGTGGACGAGGTTTTCTAGGCCTGTCGCAAAAATGGCATATCGTGCTCATGTGGAAAAATCGGAGCCCAGTGCCGTTTCATCATAGAAGCGTGTCGAAGAGGACAGCAAATGAACCAACTCACAATTGGTTGCGCACCACTACTGAGCGTGAAGAAAGGATGTCTCTACATCTGAACCAGGAAGTCAGCACATGGTCAACAACCAAGGTTTGTGATCACATCGAGAGGAATGAAGTGCTTTCAATCAGAAACAGCCATTTTATGTTTTCATTGGGTATCAATCGGTAATTCCAACTTGCAAAAGCAAAGTTGATCATCAGGAAAGCGAGCGGGAAAATAGTGTGAGAACCAACCTTTTCATGACACAACCGGGAGGGAGAGAAAGACACAATCAATGGGCAACTCCGGGGACCAATACTAACGCGGTCGACCGCAAGATCGTGTCTCTCTCTCCTCTCCCCTCCCCCCAATCGCCCAATCCGATGCTCTATAGCCCATATTGAGCGTGATGTTCATTATCACTAGAAGCACTTCGCGATGGTTAGCCAGATTGTCCAAGACGAATGGATGATGTGCGACGCGAGTAGGCGAATACGTTGTCATTCAGACTGACGTACATATCTAGTTGCATTTCCCGTAGGATCAAAGACTCTAGTTTGCGGTTTATGGTTGTGTCATCAGGACATAGGGGGGAGGATGTGATTGTGCTGCGTGCTTGTGCTTGGAAGAAATCTGGAACTTACCAAAATTGGATTGGGCGATGCTTGGTGATGATGGAAGTTGAAAATGGGAAGCGGCACAAAAAAGCTGAGGCGCGCGAGGTTTTGAAGCTGCAACGGTTGTGGGGCCGCCGGGAAAAATTTCGGCTGCAAGTTTGGGTGGGGTAATCCAATGGCGGCAGGCCGACGGGAGTTCGATAACGATAAAGAGGTGCATCCAACGAGCGGGATTCAGCAGGGTCACGTGAAACCGTTGCTTATTCGCGTGGGGGCACGCCCCAGTTTCTCCACGTTCGCTACTTGTTTGACGCGTTTTCTTCAATGAGGTCATCACCAACTCAAAGAAAACAACGTCCGACCGGGTCATAGTAAACAAAACTGGGAAGATGCCTGAAATCGCGGAGAGTATGATGTACCAATATCCCATGTCCAGCATGCCTTGAAGCTGACTGGTAAATAGTTGCGCGTGCTGTCCACTTTCTGCGCCTGCACTTTGTAGGCAAGGTCATCAAGCATGCAGAAGCCATTGATGACGGCAATGTGTTTGGAAAGGTCGGTACAGATGGACCCAAGATGGCGGCTGGCCTTATTGGCAAGAAAATAGTATCAGCAGGAACTCAGGGCAAATATTTTTGGTCAGTCGCCGCACAGACGCATTGCTTGCCTTCTTTTGTTTTCCCTAACTGACTGATGTCCAGGATGGAATTGAGCAAGGCTCCTCATCTTGTAATGCACTTTGGAATGACCGGCTGGATCCATATCAAGGGCGAAAGGACAGCATACACGAACTACTACAAGAAGATGAAACCTGACGAACTCGACAAATGGCCGCCCAAGTATTGGAAGTTCAAGATCGAGACAGAAGATGGTGACGAGATGGCGTTTACCGATCCACGGCGCTTTGGCCGTGTCCGTGTTGTGGACTGCCCTGGAAAGGACATTCGGAAGTACTCACCTTTGGTGGAAAACGGTCCAGATCCGGTGGTCGACCTCGATGTGTTCACCGAGGATTACTTGCGGGAGAAGATGAAGTCGCGCCGCGTGCCCATCAAGGCTCTTTTGCTTGACCAGGCTGTTATTAGCGGCATTGGAAATTGGGTCGCTGATGAAGTATTGTATCACGCAAAGCTTCACCCGGAACAGTACTGCAACGACTTTAGCGATGCTGAGATGAAGCAGCTTTACGAGTCCATCCGATATGTGTGCCAGACGGCTGTCGACAAGCTCGGCGATTCCGATCAGTTTCCAGACGACTGGCTCTTCAACTATCGCTGGGGTAAAGGCTCCAAGAATGCACACAGTCACACTCCCAACGGCGACAAGTTGGCCTTTCTCACTGTCGGCGGGCGCACGAGTTGCTATGCACCCGCCAGGCAAAAGAAAACCGGCCAGATTGTGTTCGGCGTGAAAGAAGAACCCCTTGAGTCGGCTGAAGAGAAAGACTGCCCGAAGAAGGCACCGGGAACGAAGGGGGCCAAGACAAAAAACAACAGTGAGGAGCTAGAAGCTGATGGGTCAGAGGTGAAGGCGGAAAGGGCCACCTCAAGGAAGCGGAAGATCAAGTTAGAAGAAGATGGCGAGGTGACTTTTACGCCACACAACGCAAAGGCACATCCCTCAAAGAAGCCTACGCGCTCGCAATACTTTGAAGACGCCAAAAAGCCGAAAGGGGACGCAGGGCAAACAGAAGAAGCCAAGGTTGACATCTCAGGAAGAAGACGCTCGGGGAGGTTGCAGAGTAAAGCAGCTTGACCGTCATATGTTGTTTTGCTTCTGTCGAGTTTCTCACTCGTCTTGGAGCCAGATATAATCTCCAATATCGGACTAGCTGAGGTCTATGGGCCCCTGTGCTCTAGACTGGCTGAAGACGTGGGTGGTCTGGCGAATACATCTCAGACAGATGATTGCCACCCATCCTAGAGCTGATTTGCCCGGCAATCCCATTGCAATGGGTAGCCTGTGGTTACAGCCGCAAATCTCTCGAGTTGCCTTCCATTCCCACCCGGGCATCTAGACCAAGTCGTTTATACATAGTCGGAAGGAGACGGCATCATGGCTATCTCGTCATGCCTAGCTGTCATAGCTCCAGTCAGCTCGCTGGTCTCCCGCAAGGTCAATGGGACTAGGCGTGGGGTCTTCGCCTGGTGAATACTGAAAAGGTTCATCTTTTCCCGTCAACACGATCTTGGCTTGCGAGAGCCTTAAGATGTCTGATATAATGACCCACACCTTTCCTCCCCTTATTTCTCACTAGGTAGCATCTGGTAGCGCTGTGGGGGCTTTTGACTTGGTTTTCTAGCTCTCGTTACGTATTCCTTCCCTATCTGTCTAAGATCCCTCTTCTCTTCCGCATCCGAAATGGTGCGACTTGGGGCCGACACTTGGGGTCGAGAAGTCCAACTTGTTGTAGTCTCACCACTTAAACCAGCTAAATATGCGGTCCAATCTGCTCGCTTCACGGGATAGCTTTCCCGGATTGACCAGTGCGAGCCGCTGTACCCTGCAAGCTACTTGGGTGCTATGAAGGTTGGGGGTCACCGTTCCAGAACACGGTCTATGTACGGGTCGTTATCTAGGCTGTGCCGCGGTCATGCAAGCTACACTATATTCCCTTTTCTTTGGTCTTTCTTCGTCTGGTAACTGGACCCGGCTTGAACAAATATCACTAGCCTGGTCCCGAGTGAGGCGGCAAAGTTCACCCTCGCCATTAGTCCTATTACCCTAGCTGCCAGCTTGTTATCTTTATGCACCTTCATCCCTCCATAGCGTGCCGACATGCCGATATTCGGCTCTTCACTGCCATGAGAGTACCTATGGAGTCCCCGTGGGGAGAGGGGTACTTTTGACGAGCGCTTAAAGGATAGTCTGGGGATGCGAGTGGGGACAACATGAAGCGATCTTCGATGACATTTCGGTTCGCCTACGCCGTCTTAGCTTAGGTGGTCTTCGTTACTTAGATGGCGAATGAAGAGTATACGTAGGTACATACATACAGCAGTTCGAATCATGTTCGGCCATGTTTGGCTATGTCTTTTAGTGGCTCACCCATTGTTACCTCAAAAATCGATCCCCGGTGTTTGTCAAGATTCGGGACATTCGGCTTTCATATCTGCTTTCCGTATCATCCGTCTCAGTCTCCTCCGTATCGTGATGGTATGTCCAGATATGGTCAACCTGCAGCAGTCTGTGGCAATTGCTAGGCTCCCTTCAAGGACGCCTCGACGTTAGGGATGACGGACGCCAAGGAGCCTGTTGTCTTTCATGGTGGTGGTGATCGAAATGGTGGGTTGCATTATTGTCTCGGAGGCGTTCCTGAGACAGCAGGATTATTTTCTCTCTTTTCTTTTTTCCACCATCAGTATCTGTGACATTTAGCCTCAAAAGGTGTGCCCAATGGAATGATTGAACCCCAGAAGAATTCCTGTATGCGCGTCAATGTACATGAGATGATGCAAGAAGCAAGGTTGGCAGATTGTTGAATGGTCGGTAGCTGAGCCGTAGCTTTTTGAAAGCGCTCATTAGCTAACAGATCTGCTCGAATATCATGAATAAGTCTGTTAGGTAGTAGCGTGACACATCAAAAAGTAATTATTTCCAGAGCATGTATGCAATCAAGCCTGAGTTGGGATGATAGGTAGCCCTTTTCAAGCCCAGAACAGGACATTACCAACCACTAGAGGTAAGGCAGATGTCAATGACCCCTCCGACAGCCTAGCTCGACAGCAAGGAGGGAAGTTGCGACATTGTTGTGCGCCCTCGAAGTTGCCCGTGTTGTTCGAGGATGATCGCTGTGTGCTCTGGGCTGTGGTGTATCGTAGCAATTGTGACTTTTCGAGACGTCTGATTGGCCGAGACAACACAATTCGATCCCTATCAGATAGGAACCTTGACGGCCAGGCGGTTCTTGCTCTTTCCTACCACTGCAGTACTCATACTCTAATCATTCCCTCCTTCTTTCTCATTCTCATTCTTGCGAGTTCCGGTGATGATATGGAAGGAAGAAAGGACACCGGATCCTCCTGGACATTGTGGGGCAAGCACATGTCAGAAATGCAAGCGTTGTTAAGTTGCAGCCAAGCGGTTTCAGGGATACCTCTAGGCGACGGGATGGCAGCTACAGTTGTAGGCCGTAGACGCCGTCACGCTTGCAGGCGCCGAGGGTTCGCTGAAAGCGGAAAGGGTCGTTGCGCGCGCGTTGAGGCCGAGCAGAGCGACGGAGAAAAGCACGTGTTGTTCGGGCCACTTCGGAAATGGGGAACTGCAAAGAGAGTCAGATCCGGAGATGGTGCAGTTGGCCTTCCCTTTCGAGAGTTTTCCAAGGTTTTCCATTCGCTCTTGATAGGGTAACTAACGTTGGATACCAGGACAGTGGAGGTTGTTATCGGTCAGAGGGAACACAAGCCAAGGAAAAAGATAACGCGTCTTGTTCGTATCCGGGGATGCATCATCGATGACAAGGTAGGTAATATAAATACTCCTTGTTTGTGTGCCTATTCTTGCAGCAAAACACTCCTGTGGACGGATATTAAGGATAAGCACAAGGTTGTGAATGGGACGATCCGCTGTCGCCATCGCATCCAAGCGGGAGGCGCATTTGGCCCGAGGTCGTTCATCGAGGTTGCGACCGGACTGCGAGCCGTTCGCCTAAGCCCCCAAAGTACGAGCCTCATATTAAAAAGTCTCAGCATCTCGCGCCGCGGCATTGGCATTCCTCTTCTCCGACACATCGATCGATTCCAAACTGAACTGAGTCTTGGTCTCTGTATGTACAAATACTTAGCGATACCGAGGTAATACTACCTAGGTATCCATTCAATGTCCTTGACCCGACTTCCTTCCCCGAACGACCTCGAGGGACATCGTTAGTGGACCCACTCCCCCTCAAAGCCCAGACAATTCGCAGACTTTCCCGGACTTTGGTAGAAAAAAAAGGTTAGGTAGCCGGGGAGCCCATCGAACCAGAGCGTGCGAATCTGAAAAGGAAAAACCCCACGACGGCAAATTGGCAGCCCTATCACAGTTAGGTTGATCAATATAGTCGGGTCCTTGATCTACCCGCTACCCGCGCGACTCTTTTACCCAAGACAGTTTTTCAGCAAGGACTCACTGCGAATACCCGACGCTCGTTCCACTCTCTCTCTCTCTCTCTTATTGCTCCCGTCGGTCGACAAAGAGCGCATATCGGCTTCAAGTCGTTCGAGTGTCTGGACGTCAATCTTGAACTACGAGGGGCCAAAGCCATTTCTTTCCTTTGCGCCGCTTGCGGTTCCCGAGAGAAGCTGATCACGAGACACACTCTGGTGACTGTTCCGTTCTCCGGACTTCCATCTCACCAAACACTATCGAAATACCCTCTCTGCAGACATGGCCGAACAATCGCAACACCTCAATGGCCATGTGCCAGAGTCCCATCAGCATCAGAATGGCAATGCCGAGACCACTCCCCTCCTCTCGACTGACTTGCAGCAGCACGAGGGCAAAGATGCCTCCGCTCCTCCGCAGAGCGCAAAGTCGCCCTCGGCGTCCAAAGAGCTCTATCCCATGAGCAATTGGAAATACGATACTTTCCTGTGGACCATGTCCTTCCTGGTCGATACCTTCTTCCGTGAAGTCCATCCCCGTGGTTCTTGGAAAGTGCCCCGCAGCGGCCCAGTCCTCTTCGTCGCCGCACCACATGCAAACCAGGTTCGTGCTCGTGCTCGTGCTCTCCTCTCTCTCGATGCGTGACGTCAAGCATACCTACCGGGACCCCTTGGCTGACTCTGCCGTCCGATATACAGTTCGTAGACGCCCTTGTACTACAACGCACCCTGCGAAACGAGGCTAAACGCCGCGTCTCCCTCCTCATCGCACAAAAGTCCGTCAAGGGCTTCATCGGCTGGGCTTCTCGGCAGGTCGGTTCCGTCCCTGTCGGCAGACCCCAAGATTCGGCCAAGCCTGCTGAGGGTACCATCTATCTTCCCGACCCCATCGACGACCCGACCCTCATCCGCGGCGTCGGCACAAACTTCGAGAAACAAGCTGAAGTTGGCGGTATCATCTTCCTCCCCTCCATCAAGGGACAGAGCGGCTCGAACGTCGAGATTGTCGAAATCCATGGACCCGAAGAAATTCGCATCAAGCGCCCCGTCAACTCCAAACTCGCCTTGTACCAACTCACCGGACGCGACGATATCGATGAACACGGCGAGCTCCAGAACAAGGAGGTGAAGGGAATTAAGGACGGTTACCAGGGAACAAAATTCAAGATCGCACCACATATCGATCAAACCAAGGTTTATCAAGCGGTGTTTGATCGGCTCAAGAATGGTGGCTGTGTCGGTATCTTCCCAGAAGGAGGCAGCCACGACCGCAGCGAGCTGCTGCCCTTGAAGGCAGGTGTCGCTATCATGGCCCTGGGAACGCTGGCAGAAGCCCCTGACTGCGGCCTCAAGATTGTGCCGGTTGGCATGAACTACTTCCACCCTCACAAGTTCCGGTCAAGGGCTGTCCTCGAATTCGGCGCTCCTTTCGAGGTCCCCAAGGAGCTGGTCGAAATGTACGGCATCAAGGATAAGAGACGTGCTGCCATCTCCAAGCTTCTCGACATGGTCCATCAAAGCCTGAGCGCTGTCACTGTTTCGGCCCCGGACTATGACACCCTGATGGTCATCCAGGCGGCGAGACGCCTGTACAACCCCGCGGGCAAGAAGTTGCCTCTGCCTATCGTGGTAGAGCTCAACCGTCGCCTCGCTCTCGGGTACGACAAGTACAAAGATGATCCCCGCATCATTGAGCTGCAAAAATCCGTCGCCGAGTACAACAAACAGCTTCGATACCTGAATATCCGCGACCACCAGGTACAGTACGCAAAGCTGTCGTGGCCCAAGGTCGTCATCACTTTCTTTTACCGAGTTGCCAAGCTCCTGGTGTTGTCAGCGGGTGTTCTCCCAGGCTTGATCCTCTTTGCCCCTGTCTTTATTGCAACCAAGCGCATCAGTCACCAGAAGGCCAAGGAGGCGCTTGCTGGATCGACGGTCAAAATCCAAGGCAAGGACGTGATTGCAACCTGGAAGATGCTTGTCGCTATGGCTGTTGCACCCATTTTGTATAATCTATACACATGCTTGCTAGCCTACATGGTGGGCAAGCACCGCCTCTGGGGTTATGTGCCCGACTGGGTTCCCATCTGGCTCGTCTACTTCTTTGGATGGGTCTTCTTCCCTGCTATTACTTTTGCTGCGCTACGTTTCGGTGAGGTCGGGATGGACATTCTCAAATCCCTGCGCCCACTTGCGCTGTGCATCAGCCCCACGTCGAGTTACAGTCTTCAGAGTCTCAAGCAAAGGCGAGAAGAACTCAGTGCACAGGTTACGCACCTCATCAACACCCTCGGGCCCGAGATGTTCCCAGACTTTGAGCACATCCGTCTCGTAGCGGCTGACGGCTCATCGCGCATTCACGCCGACGGCACCGTTTCGCCGACGCAGCCATTTAAGAGACGGGACAGCGGCGTTTCCTCGCCCCCCATCTCCACTCCCGGGATTTCCACGCCCGGCACCGAGAGCCCCCATGGTCTTAGAAGAACCGGTACCACGTCGTCCAGTCGCAACATTCCACGTAACGAGTCGTTTAGCAACATTGGACAGGTGCCCATGTTCGCGACCCGACCACCTAGCCGAAGCCGCAGCCGCAGCAGCAGTGCAGGCGGCGGTGGCGGTAACGTCCAGTTTGGTGGGCCACTTGGTGGGTCCCCTGTTGACAAATTCCCGAACCTCAACACGGAAGAGGGCTTCAATGAGGCGAGCAAGAAGATTCGCGAGGCAATGCGTGAAAGAGGCGAGATGAGGAGGAGGAAGAGCCAGGGTAAGGTGTATACCTTTAGTGAACAGTCGGTAGATGAAGAGGTGGAGGACGAGGTGTCGACGGGAAGTTCTGTGGATGAGGACGGAAAGAAGCACCTGTGAGAAGCAGGGGCTCGGACCGGAGCAAGAGATCAGAACATTTCTAAGAATCACCGTTGGGGATATCTTTACCGCTATATTTGACACCCGTGTTATAGTTTTGGCTTTTCTTTTTTTGGTTGTATACCACTTATGGGTTGGGCTTTTCTTTGCTTTGGTCATGGCGAGGCAGCTCTGGATGGGCCCTGACTCATCAAAAAGATTTTATAGGGGAACAGCGGATGTTGTATGGTGAAAGTGTGGGCAATAAAGAAGACAGAGGGAGCAAACAGCGAAAAAGATAGCGAGATGGACCACGGAGATAGAAATTATATACATAAATTGGGAGGTTTCTTCAAACTCGCACGCGTTGCCGGCTGTTTCCCTTTCGTCAGCCTCTCATGGATCGGTTGGATTTGCACAGAGAGATTTCGAGCGTGGTTCTCTAATGGAGCTTTTATACATTCGTGAGCATCGTCATCTTTGTTGTTGATTTGCATTTTCTATTTGACGGGTCATCTTATCGTGGTGCCCCATCAACAAGGGGACTCTCGGGAGAGAGAGGAGAGAGTTTGAAATCACGGTTGTCAAACCCAGTGTCCTTGGATTGAGAGTCCGTGTACTGTTTTGGCAACGAAGATAAAAGTGTAGACTAGGTAATGTGTACTTTGTAGATACAAACAAAACCCGCCTCACTTTTGCCATACTTGGAAGTCCAATTTGTACAGAGGTGGTTTCTGCTTGACGTTCACACGGCACTGATATGGATCGCTTCGTGCCGTCGTCACAGGGTCCGGTTGATCAGCGATCTTATCATTTACGTAGATTTTTCAACGGTCGGGAGCACACCGTGCTGGTGATCAAGTAAGCGGAAGTGGTTACGCGGCCTTGCTCATTGACCTCGGGGTTTGGGTTCGGTCGTTGCGGTGTTAAGCAGAACCCTGCCCTGCCTACACCACCTCGACATTGGTAGGTGTTGTTGGTGGAACGTCGATGGCACACAAACCAAGCCAAGTGCTACAATAAGCTTATCAGATGGAGGATTGTTCGGATATTCGGATCTGATAATTCGTACATAAAAGACCATTCCTTCCTCAAACAAACACCAGAGGCACAGAAGACCTAGAAAACAACCAAATCTTGATTGCAATGACGCCATAAGCAGCAATTAGATAAATGATCAAGTAACTTGCAGGCTGTTCAAGGAGGGAAATGTACTTTGTTTGCTAAGACTACGGCGTCCCCACTTGGTTTCCTGCCCACGCTGTCACAACGCTTTTCCGCGCCATTCAAGGCCAGTCAAGCAACGGAATCGACAGACTGGGGATCACCCCTGACGGCGGAGGTTAGCACGGAGATAAGCGGGATTGACAGCCGACGGACGGGTACCTCTAGACGGGAGACTAAAGGATCCCGACGCCAATGGCCCCGCCGCCGCCGCCGCCGCCGCTGCTGTCTTCATCTTTATCAGATACTCAATCCCCCGGCTGTTTCCAGCAACTCTTCTCGGGACAACGAACCCCCAAAAAAACTAGGTTGGAAATCCAAAATGTTCAGATCCCTCCTCTCCAGCGCCAAATCCTTGGCCATTGGCGACTCAGGCAACAAAGCCACCAAACCCGAGGATCTCTTCCCCGTTGTTTCCAAGGAGGTTGACGGCGACGACTGTGACCACGATTGCGCGACCTGCACCATTACGTACCCGCGCTCCTTCAAGATCGACGAGGAGGATGAGTTGTTTGGTCTGATCAAAGGGTGGGCAACTCATGTGCTGGTGGCCACGGGGAAGACGGACTGGGTGCGCGATGTGGCGGATGAGAAGGGGAGTGTGATGCAGGCTATTGCGGGGGCCAAGGCGCCTGCTAACGGGGTATGTTTATGTTTTATGTTTTTTTATCATTTGAATACTCTCCCACTTTCCGACGTATCAAGATATACAAACACAAGTACTGACTGGCCGTGAACAGAAACTAATGCTCTCGGCCTCCAACATCCCCACCCCCCACCATCCCCCTTCCTACTCGGAACCCACCACCCTCCTCCTCCTCCCCGCCTTCATCCTCATCGAAAACGTCACCCCAGCCACCGTCCCCTTGGTTTTGGAAAAAATCATCTCTCAAGCTCCGACCAACAGCACCCCTCTCGCCCCCTTCAGTCTTCCGCGCTCGCTCGAGGCGCCCCTCCCCGAAGCTCCCCCCGCCTACATCAAGGAACTCACCACCCGGCCCGGCCCGCACCAAGCCTTGATCCTGCTATGCTCGCAAAAGACGCGCGATGCGCGATGCGGACAGAGCGCGCCGCTGTTGAGAAAGGAGTTGCAGAGACATTTGCAGCCGCTGGGGTTGTATCGAGACTTGGACGACGAGCGGCCGGGTGGAGTGGGGATTTATTTTATCAGTCATGTGGGCGGGCACAAGTACTCTGCGAATATGTTGGTGTATAGGCGGCCGGATGCTTTTGGGTTGGATCATGTGGAGAGAGCCAAAGAAGGAGGGGATGGGGAACTCAAGCCGAAGAAGCCTGAGGAGTTGAGGAGGAAACAAAGGGGGTTATTAAGGAAGGGGAGGAGGGTAAAGGGCAACAGGAGGAAGAGGTGGAAGAGAACGGTGAGGTGGGTGCGGCGCAATGTATCTGGTTGGCCAGAGTCAAGCCGGAGGATTGTGAGGGTATCGTCAAGTTTACCGTGTTGCAGGGCAAGGTGATTAAGCCGCAGAGTCAGCTTAGGGGAGGGTTTGATAGGCAGAGGGGGGTGTTGAGTTGGTGATGTCGTTTCCAGCCTTGTTTTTTTTCCCCCAGGTATCAGTGTTTTAGCCATGAAGTGTACATATAGACCAAGTTCTCAAGAGTCACTAGTAGGTATCATGGTGATGCGATTGGAGACGGACATGTCTGAACTGAAAGTGGGGTCAATTGGGGAAGCCAGCATTCACCACCAACGAATCCAGCCATTCTTCAACCAAGTGAATGCATGCATGTTCCATTCGACGACGCACGTTGACTGCCAGGTCCACCAGCAGCAACTCGCTTCAGTTCGCTAAACAAGCACCTTTTACTGATTTGAGCAAGCTGCCAGGTTTACCTAGACGGGAACTTGATGAGGATAATCGAATCGCTTGCAAGGCGAATTGAGGGGGAGGCCCCCGCGCCGTAGAGTGAGTGTGCAATTCGAGAATACCCAAACTGGAATAACTGCTGATGTTTTCCTAGTAAATGTGCATCTGTGACACCAGCAGCAGCTACCTATGTAGCTGGGTGGCAGGGCAGTTGCAGTTGCAGTTGCAGGAGGTGTGCTGCGTGGCATGCCGTAGTGGCCGCCTTGGGACCTGCCTCAAAAGCAAAGGGAAGCGAAGCTGACGGGGCCGGGCCATAGGTTAGTCTACAAGTACACTACACAGTAGTTGCTTGAAGTTGTCGACTCGGTCGGTTTCCAGGGAAAGGGAAGGAAACGAAAGATGGGAGATGGCTGACTGGTGATTGCCTGGGCAACGGGGGTAAACATTGCTTCCATTGGCTGCGATATCTATGACATGGATCGATGCGGGACCTCAGACTGGCGGGACCGGGAAGAGCGAAGGATGGAAGTGCTTGGTGAACGGAGTCTTCTTGGGACTCTGTCCCTTTTTACTGGTCCCCTCGTAACAAGGTCCGGGTCTCCAAGAAGCAAGGTCCTGCGCTGTCCGACTCCGACCTCCATCATTCCAGCGTCATTCCCAGCAGGTTTTCTTGGTGTAGTAGTATTCTACTTAGTTGAAGCTATTCCGCATCCCGCCTTTTTCATTCGGGTTTAGTTGATACCTATTCTTTTTTTTTTTTTTTTTTTTTTTTCTCTCCTTTCCCCATCGTTGGTGCTGTTGACTGTTTGCTTGGTCAGCGACGGACTCTCTGGTTGGTAATAATTCCCACCAGACTCCGGTACCTGGACACAAAAGTGAGCCAAGCTGAGCCTCCCTCCTTATTAGGACTTGCTAGACCGACTACAGTTCTAAGCTAGAACTAGTCCAGCATCCTTCCACCACCCGTTCTCCGCATCTGCCCAGCTTCGGCTATCAAGGTTATTTCCATAGCATTCACACCTCCATCCCATCCCTCCTCGTTCATCGATTGCCAGGGGCCGGGCCATCATACCACACCTCTCCCTCCCTCCATGACGGCTAGTGTACACCGACCACGACATCGCATCAACAGCTTTCCACCATCAACAGCCAACTGAACTGACGGACGTCAATACCCCGTGAACAAGCCGAGACACCTACGTCCGCGTACGACGCCCATCGCGCCCGCCCCCTGCTGATCACCCGTTACGGGCCTTTGTTTTGACCATCAGAAGAAACGTTTCCACCGCCTCCTCCAAGTCCCTTTTCCCACCCACTCCTTGTCGCAAAGCCAGCAGCAGCTGAGTCCGGCCTCGCCCTTCACAGCCTGCCGCCGCCATGCCTCCCGCCGCGGATCTCTACGGCGGCGTTTCTGCCTACCGAACAGGCTCAGGCGACGGCATGCGCGATAGAAACTACAATAACAACAACAACAACAATAACAGTGACAATAGTGATAACAACAACAACGACCTGCCGCCCTTCTTCCCCCTCCAAAACCAAAACCAGGTCCAGCCGCAACAACGCCCCAAATCCTCCTACCTTCGTCAGCTTATGAGCCACAAGAGAAGCAATACCGTCGGAGCCGGCCAAGTCCAGTTGCCCCCTGCTGTCTTCTCGACCGATTTCCAAAAGTCTTCTGACAGCGACCGCCATCATGTTATGTCGTCCTCGGCTGCTTCCCTCATCGATCCTGATTCTCCTGAACTGCTGCGCCCTCCCAACAAGATCAACCCCGACCTGGTGGCCCAGAGACACAGTTGCGACATGAACCTGACCGGATACCAGAGACATCAATTCGCCGCCGCCCTCTGTGAGCTTCGGCCCAACCAATTGGACGACCAGCCACCACGATCCCCCGAAAAGAAGTCGAACCCCTTTGCGACCATCTCGCTTAAGTCGCCCTTCGGACTCAGAGATTCCAGCAAAGCCTCCAAGAACAAGGGAGACCAATCACCCACCAAGCCCAAAAAGGTCAAATCGGCCGCCAATATCGGTCAGCTTCTGAGGCCAAAGTCTGACAAGAATCTGAGGCAGCAGGAGCAGGCGGAAGAAGAGAACAGTCGCCGTCGCAACAAAGACAAGGAGAACCGCGCGCCAAGTGCCATTGATACCAGCCCACCACCACCCATCTATGCCCAGTTTGCCAGGGGTTCGCCCTTTGCGCTGCCTCCAGAACTGAACTCGTCGACCAAACCAGTGCCTTCGCCGTTGGACTACAGAAACCCCTTCTGGGATAGTGGCAAACCATTGCCGGCTGACCCAGAACGTCCCGGAACAGGCGGGACACGGTCGTCCATAGCTGAGAGCCAACATTTGAAGTCCGAAGCGGAAAACCGCGAGCGAGATCGAAACAACAGCCGCTCCAAATCACGGCCAAAGACGTTTCACCAGTACTTTGCGAGCAACAGTCAGCAGGACGAGAAGCGTACACCGTCAGACTCGAGCACCGACACTCGGTACAAGCAACCGCAATCTGACGACCAGAACCAGTCATCACCACAGGAAAAACAAGAACGAAGTTGGAAGAGGCAAACGTGGGCCACCGCCAAGACATCAGATTTGGCAGCAGGCGGAAGTTCAGGATCAGACAGGTCAAGCCAACGACTCAACGTTAAGAGCATGTTTTCCAGTTCTGGTAACGGTGGAGGAAGTAGTAGCTCAACAGGAGGAGAGCGTTCCAAATCAGGAGCAACAGCAGCAGCAGCAGCAGCAACACAATCTACCAGTATGGAACGGCAACAAAGTGCCCCACCTCTGCTTCAACAGCACATTGACCCCAAGGATATCGACAAGCACCTCGAGGCCATGTTGGACCGGCGCAACATTCCCGAAAACCAGCGGTACAAGATGCGCAACCTCAACGACACCATCAAGTTGGAATTCATCCGGCAGGACTGGGCAGAAATGCAGGCCAAGATGGTGAACCAGAACGCGAGCAATACGTCTCTTGAGAAGGGAGGGAACGCAGGCAGTGTCAATGGTGGTGCCGGGTCAGAACGGGAAGATCAACAGCAACAGCAGCAGTCATCCTCTAGTTCAAGACGGGAGGACGGTAACAGCAAGGATAAGGATAACGAGAGAACGGGCAGGACGAAGAAGAAAGGATTCGGTCTATCGCTCGGTAAGGGAGCCGCCAGCAAGGCCCAGTCGTCACCCACCAAGAGTATCGGTCGGCACTTCAGGTCCAAGTCCAACGACAGCAGCATGAATGAGCGACCGTCGTTTGGTGATGTGAACGGTAACTCTGGTGGGAATGGCGTGGGCGGGTTCCTGGGTATGAAAGGCGGAAAGAGTCAGCAGGTGCCGGCGGACTTTGTTGCCTACCTGCAAAAGGTGCATCAGCCAGAGCTGGTGGAGGTTGGTAAACTTCATAAGCTTCGGCTGTTGCTGAGGAATGAGACCGTGGCTTGGACGGAGGAGTTTATCAAGCAAGGGGGGATGAAGGAGATTGTGGATTTGTTGCATCGGATTATGGCTGTTGAGTGGCGGTGAGTTTAGATCCGCAACAGGATTACCTATGATGGACGAGTGTTGACTGACCATTTCTTCGCGCTGCAGGGAGGAACACGAAGATGCCCTTCTGCACGAAAACCTTTTGTGCCTAAAGGCCCTCTGCACCACCGCCCTGGCACTGCAATACCTGCACACCATCCACGCCACCCTGTTCCCTGCCTTGTTGCATCTGATCTTCGACCCCGAGAAGAAGGGGCCGAGCGAGTTCACAACACGCAACATCATCACCTCGATTTTGCTCACCTACATCGAATGCGCCACGCCGCAAGAGCGCATAACCCGCGCCCAGACAATTTTACACTTCTTGCGAGACCCCGAGACGGAAGAGGAAAAGAAGCCAGTCAACTTTATCCTCGAGATGAGGCGCGAGCGGCCATACCGTGTATGGTGCAAGGAAGCCGTGAGCGTGACCAAGGAAGTCTTCTGGATATTCTTGCACAATATGAACATTGTTTCCTTGCCCCCAGCCGATTCATCATTAAGTGGCAGTTCCGGCGCCGGCGGAGGGTCGAGTGGCGTCAATGGCGAGCAAAAAGATACTCAGCAACAACAACTATACCAAGCAGGCATTATCGATCCCTCAGCCTTAACAAGAAATGACACAGAGTCAGGAGGTGAAGACTCAGAAACCGCAACCCCCGCCCAGTTGGCCTACATGTCCCGACACTTCCCGCAAGAACGACCGCCCGTGCCCGCGGCCCCTTACGTCGGTGGCGTCGAATGGGACGCGACCAATTACCTTGCCAGCCACCTGGACCTGATGAACGCCATCATTGCATGCACGGGTCCTACAGCCACCGAGCGTAACGCGTTGCGCGCCCAGCTGCGCATCTCGGGCTGGGAGCGCTGTCTGGGCGGCAGCCTGCGGATGTGCAAGGAGAAGTTCTACGGGTCCGTTCACGACGGGCTGCGGACCTGGGTTGCGGCCGCGGCGGAAGACGGCTGGGACGTGCGTGATGTGCGGTTTGGCCCGCCGCCGGAGGGCAGGGGCTACAGTCCGATGAAGAAGACGCCCGGGAAGAAACCAAGGGAGGAGGCGCCGCCCAAAATCGAAATCCCGAAATTGGATTTCCATATTGGGGGTGCTGATTCTCCTGGTATTGGCGTTAGTCCGGGTGGCCTGGGCGTGGGTATGGTTGCCGCTTCGGTTGCGAATATCAACGGCAACGGCGGCGGTGGCGGGAGATCGCCGATGCCGGTGTCGCCTGCGGTGCGGGCGCCGGATTATTGGCTGTCGTGATTGAGGCTGCTGCTTTTGCGGCGTGGTGTTGGTGTTGGCGCTGGCCGTTGCGTTGTCCGAGATGTCCCGCAGAAGAAGACTATATACGGCTCCAACGTAGCGACTCCGACGGCGGCACATGGAGGCTCATTTCGTTCGGCGAAAGTGTAACTGCGACTGCGACACTCTGATCGACTACGATCAGGTAATGCACAATGAAGCTGTGCAGCCTGTCTCCTTATACTAGCCACAATGGACCACAGGCAACGAGAGCCTCATACCCACACCATTTTCTGCAACGGCCACACCACACATGATACCCACTTGTACAAACCAAACTATTGTATAGTTACGTGTATAAGGGAGTCCACTCTTGCAGCCGATCTTGCTGATCATCTACAGCTATTTGTGGGTATCATCACCAGATTCTGTATCAGTCAATCACTCGACCAGGAAGAATTGAGTAGTAGTTGTTGTTTGTCTTGAGTATTGTTGACATGAAGACGAAGGAAGAAAACGTTGCGAGATCAGGAGATCAGACGAGCAGATGACCGGCCTGGACTGGGCAGGACGGAAACCCAATACCAAATAGACTGCGGCAAGGTACGCAGGACAGCAGCAACACAACAGAGAGAGACAGAAAAACCTGGCAGCCAGCCGGGCCCCCAATCGACACAAACATCCTTAGCGGTCAGTTTCGGGGTTTCTGCGAGCCCATTCAATGGGCCGTTTCCTATCCGACCGGTGTGCCACGGCCGCCTAAAATCAGTGGGTTCGTCCACCCGGGCCGAAAGGTTAAACTGAAAAGATGTGGAACCCTCAACCTCAGTCGCATGACTGGTTTGGGTTGGTTAAATTGAAGTGTTCTGCACACAGAAGGGAGGCGGCAGTACAAGAGCACACGGGATAGGGGAAAGACATGGCGTCGTGTATCGCACTCGTAGGAACGACAGAAACAAACATATCCTTCCACCTTTTTCTCGTCAAGTCTCACGTACTCCTGGCTCGATCCAACTGAAGGCATCTCAAACAATGAAGACTCGACAACGGAATAGGTGACGACGGCCGCGGACACGTGGGACGAAATGGGTATTCTGGACTGGCGGGCACCACACTGATTGGCACTGACACGAGGCGGTTTTCCTCGCCCTTTCTCACTTGGTGTCTGGCCTCTCCTCTTCTTTCTTCGCACCCCAGTTATCGCATGGTCGTGACAGATCAATGAACTGGGCTGAGTGGTTTTGTTGATTGGTCTTGACGGATCAACTGGTCGGTCGGTCGGTCGGTCTGGTCAGGTTGATCGATATCAGAAATCATCTCGCCAGCCTGGGCATTCATCCTATTCTGATGCATGTATCTTTGTGTCCACCGTCCGTCGTCCATCTTCTCGAGGGCTTCCTGGTATCTGTTAATTGGGCTCGTGTTTTGTATCAGCCAAGACTGACAATCGGGAAGATGAATGAGCAAGGTGAGGAGAGAAACAAAAAGAGGGAACCCATATTCTTTACGAAGGATCGAGACTCGTCAGAAGTTAGTTCGCGCCGTTATGAAACTATTTGTTGGTGGTCCAAGTCTTGTCTCTTCTCCCTCTGCCGAGAACATGGCCATCCAGCACTTACTATTCAGTGTGCTCTCATTCTTCTTGTGCTCCTTCTGATCCAGCTCCGGCTTCCCTTTCTCACCCAGACCCTGCAGGGTTTGAATATACCCGTTATTTCATTAATCTCACCCGTTGGTGCCCAACGAGCAAGGGTAATGGAAGAGAAAACATTGGCTTGGCCTTGGCGAGAGAGATAACTACCGACTCCCTACTCCCGCTGGTGGAGAGTGGACACTAGTCCCTGATGAAATTCAAACGTTGTGCTGGGTGAGGGTCGGATAACCAACGGTCGACATTTCGTTGGCTCGTTCTTGCTTATCATGTTATGTCAATATTCTTTCCCGCATGGTTCGGGTATAGACAGACAGACAGACAGACAGACAGACAGACAGGGTGCTAGGTCCGTTCCTGAGAGATGTTGTTCTCTAATGGTTCGGGAAATGGAGTCACCCATCCAACCATCCGTCCATCCCGGCTTTATTGTCCGTTCATCAAACCCTGGAATTGACGGCTTTTCATCATCTCGGTGGTTTGCTCGCTGTTTTTTTTTTTTTTTTTTTTTTTTTTTTTTTTTTTGTTCTGTTCTGCCCTTGGCCTTGGGAGATAGATGGCAAAAGGTTCTTGTTACCGCTATCTGGATGTTACCTGACCTGACTTGACCTGGCCTGCTCGGACCTGGCTGGACCTGGCTGGGTTGGGTTCACGTGGCTTTGGCCTTTTTCCCTTTTCGACGGCCGGCGGGCGGATGGATGCTTGCCCGGAAGGTTCATGACCGTTGAATACACTAGTTGTCGACTAGGGGGTAGGGGGCATGGATAACCAACTACTGGCCTTGCACATGTTGGCGGGTTTATTAGCTTGTATGATCTACTAGCCTGTATTGAATTTGTCTTTTATCGTGGTGGTCTTCACCACCGGACCGAATCAAGCAGGATCACAATGGGGAGGGGGGAAGGAGGGGGGTTTGATGAAGGGTAGAAACAAGGGCTAGTACTATCTAGTCGATTAGTTCTCGCTTGTTGAGAGCCCTGAAGAGAATGAGGACAAGGAGAAGGGAAGGAGGGAGGGCGAGATCAGAGGGGGGGAGGAACGAAATGGCATCTTTTTTTCTTTCTCGAGTTCTTTTCCATTTTTTTTTTTCTTTTTCGTCTGGCATAGTTCGCTGTTCCGGTTTTCCTACTCTTCCTTTTCCATTTCCTGGGGTTTGGCCTCTTCATAGTTCTCTGGCTGGTGGCATTTGACGGTGCATGGGAGCTTTCTTTTTTTTTTTTTTTTTTTTTTTTTTTTTTTTTTTTTTTTTTTTTTTTTTTTTTTTTTTTCGCTCCTCTGGTTTCCCTTCCTCTAGGGGAACGATCTGGGTATGGCGTCTTTTTTTTTCTATCCATTTTTCCACTTCGATAGGCTTGAAAGCTTATGTGTACTACCTATACACATCGCTCGCTTGTGCGTATAAGCAAGCCATTGGTTGGTTGGTTGGTCGGTTACACATCTTAGGTCTGACTTTTTGCCATTGGTTGTGGATAGGATGGTAAAGACGGGAGTTGAATATGGCAAGCAAGTCAGGTAGGCGGGGAGATGTGGTGAACAAGAGAGCAGGAACGCTGAAGGGGATGTGTGAAGTATTAGTAGTAGATTATGAGGGGGGCTGTTTCTTGTCTCTGTCTGTCCTGCTATCATGAATGAACGAATGCTCCTTTTCTTTTCCACGATCAAGAGGTCGCCACTCAGTCACCATACTTTAGAGTATAATGAGACTTGATTTAATGCAACATCAAAACGTTATCTCGTGACTTTGTAGGGAGTGGACCGGTGCCCGTGAAGGTGATTAAAAGGGTCGGTTCAAAAGCAGAGAGCCAGAGAAATAATGTATATGAATGAACTATCATTCGTAGAACTGTACCATCCAATGATATGTAAGAATTGGTTACCAGTGAAATGGAAAATCTAATTCGTGATGAGTGGCAAAAAGACGATAGAATAGAGATCGGACATCCGAGCAAAAGCAACGACTTCTCTTGATCCATGTGTCGATGACTTACGGAGCTGTGATCCTCCGCAATAGAACGTGCTAGAACAAGGCGGAAAAGGTAAACGAAGCGATAGGTCTAGCTGGGTGGGATTAGCAGCATCTAGCTGGGTGCTTGAGCGGTGTGGATTTCCTATAAGAAACGACGGAATCCATAGCAATCTCGGTGGGAGTTCCGTACATTGACTACGCCCACTGTTCGTTCCTCTCTGTGAACGATGAACGAAAAATGAGAAGGCAAATCATGGGAAATGAAATGGACAGGTCCTCTTACATCGCTGTGGTCTTTTGTCATCTGCCCACCAGCCGCGAGTTTGGGCAGGCCGCACACCTTGTGCTGAGTGCTGGTTCTTGATTTTGTGTTCATCTAATTTCGCGTATGAACGGGGAGGCAAGGTCCTGTTCTGATCCTGTTGTTCACATATGTTGGGAATTTGATGGGCGCGGACAACTTTACGAAAGTTTGCTGAGCCATGTTCGTGGTGATCCCAGATCGGCTACTGAACCCAGCCATATCTCTGCAGACATGATCTCCATGAGGAAGGAATGTCCAATGTAGTAGTCGTCTTGAAAATGAGGTCATTGGCTGTGTAGATTGGTTACAACAGGGCTGAAATCACTGACCTTGTTTTGAGAAAGCGGAGTGCGAGAGGATCATCTCAATAGTTCGCAGCTGTTGGTCGATGTCCTTCCCTGAACTAACTGTCAGCGATACGCGAACAATATGGGGTCTATGTCAAAAAGAAATCCTAGCACCAGACTGTACTTGTATGGTCCGCGACGCATTCTGGAAGGGATGCATGTATGTGTGACGTGTGGCGGTATCACCGAAAAAGAGCGAATGACGGGCGGAAAATCGGAGTAATGGGATTGTGCCGATCTGCCGTTCCTGTCTAATCATGCTTGTCGGGCTTAAATAGTAGATACAGGCATCACTCACAGTCTGTCACTTAACTGCATTGTTTTCGACGAGACTCGGGCACCCCCCTGGATTGTGATGGATTGTGGTTGCTTTGTGTGGTGAAGGGGGTGCTAATGAGCGGGAAGAGGCGATAGGAGAGGCCAGGTTACTTCCGCGACAGGAAGGACGTCTCAACTCAAAATTGCAATGGCCTTCAGGTGTGATGAAACTGCTGGGTACTCCTTCAATGTCTGGGTGTAAGTAGTGCGGTTCGGGGCGTGATGAGATTTTTAGGTTCACATCTAGATAGGGTTCTTGCCCAATGCGGTTATGTTACCTTGTTGGTAACTCGCCTCTGGATATGAATGTAACAGTAAATATTTCGTCGAAGAGGTTACCAGGTCTTGATACTGCTCCCTTGATTTCTTCATTGCGGAGCGAATTATTCCGGGGTAAAGATGTATCCCACATCTGAATCGGATGCTCCTAGCACAGTAGAGGCCGCTCATACTCAATCGTGGAAAATCTGTCCTGTAGCAATAGTTCCAAACGTGGTGGGAAGTGAGCTCAAACACCTCAGGCCTTGCTCAAGGCCTCGGCTCTGGGTAAATATCTATTGATCCAACACGTTGTAATTTCGTGGGAAGGATTGGCATTACACGTTGGATCTAGACCTCGTCGGCTCCGTCGCCCATCCGTATAGTAGAAATTTGATGAGAAAGTGACATACATGGGAGGATGATTTGAGGCCCGCGTCCTAGGCCTACAGGAAATGGCTGTTCGTGATTACACCCACTCACGGCTGGTCATCATGAATGACAAAAGAGGCCGAATGTGTACATGCGTAGGGCCACCAAAAGAAGAAGCTTGAGTGTTCCGTATACGGCAAAAACTTCACCGCGAGTCCTTGAAGGACATCGTGCTACAGAATTGCAGATATCAGGACCCTCGACGCACTCCTTCGGAAGTAAAGCCGAGAGGTGGATATGGACCCGCTATATCTCGAGCCTTTGTCGACAGCTGTGTAGAGAAGAAACTACAGAGGCACACGATATAGCTAAGAGGTCCGGCTGCAGCCTGTTTCGAACCCGGCGAGCCAGGAAGTCTTACCCACTTGGGCTGGGTTAGGATTCATTAGTGAAGATACCAAAATCAGAGCGTAGGAAAGCTGACACATCGATGATTTTGCGTGGGGGAAAGACATGCATGCGATGACAAAACTAAGAAACGATAGTGTGTCGTTGACACCAGTGATAACGCAGTCTGGCCTTCCTCGATGTAAGGGTTGATACTAAGCTCCGTCAACATTGCCGCGGGGAAATCTGTAGGAAGTAACAAAGGCTGGTCTGGAATGGCGTGGTACAAAGCCACTACCGTCACATGATGTCAATGTGCGGAAAGCTGACGCCCTCATTCCACTCGCTGAAAGGCCGGTGATACTTGATTCCACGAGTGGCGGAAGCCGTAACGCAACAACGTTTAGGCGGTTTCAACGCGGCGTCCGTATGCTGACCCCCTTTGTAGCCCGGACTACTGGTCAAACCGGTCTAGACTTCTGGGTACCTTGTGAGTGTTGATGTTTTCTCAACGATATATCGCTTTTTTCCAGAGCAAGAGTGGGAGTGGTTCAAACTGCCCCACGTCAAGGCGGCATGACGGCTGTACCCGGTGATGGATATGATTTCTCGCCAATAACAATTCTCACTCGCTTTTCTGAAATTTCTGCCACGGGTTGATTCCCCTCGCCGCCCTGCCGCAGTGGCACACTACTAGCTAGCATATGGAGTGCATGGGGCGTTGAGGAAGCTGAGCTCGGAATAGGCCCGTGGTGGTAAAGGCAAGAGTCCACTGGCCTCATGCAGACTGTGGGAGACGCATTCTGTGAGGGGCCGAAAGAAGCCGACACGTTGGTAGTGTAGGGTTTTTTGAAGTAGCAGTGCTTGTCCACCCTTGGCTGCTCTAGTACTTGGGAGCCAATAATGAATAGGAATTGTGCTGTGATGGCGAGGATGTGTATCGGTGCGCTTTGCCGACCCGACGTGGGCCAGCGAGGGCATGTCCAGTCGCTTTGCTACCAGAAGCGCTACAAGGAGGCTGAAAGGCTTAGTTGTACACGTGTAGCGTCTCCCATGCATGGTGAGCATGGCTTTCCGTTCTCCCGCTCTCACATCAACCCCGGGCCTGGCAACAGTGCCTTTGTGGAAGGCAACGGACACATGGACGTATGCACTCGAAGCGCAATTCGATCCGGTGGGGACAAGGCTGTACATATGGAGGACCTGTTCAAGCCGTATCCTTGTTGTGCTTGCCCTGTGGTATAAGCAACTGGCTCTTGAGGCGACCAAAGGGGGCAGATGATAGATTAGATTCTGGACGCTAAGAGGAGTGCGTATGGAGCAGTGCACTGTGATAGCGGCTTGTCCCCCCAGCTGCCTCCCCAGTCGGGCCCCTCGCCCCCATAGCACACACATCAGGCTCACCAGGGTAGGGGAAGACGATGATATCGGGTAGCGAGACCGGTTTTGGCCTTGGTGCTTGCTGTCCGAGCCAAGCCCATCCTAGACAGAAGCCGTCGAGAGTTGAATGCTGTGGTGAGTAGATTTTCCGAGTGCTGAATGAGAAGGCCGGGGAAGAGGTGGTGATTGACAGCACAATGCATTGGCAGGACTGGACGGCGATCTGCAGGTACAGGAAGACGACGTGAGGAATGGGATGGACTCCGAAATGAGATCAGTCGAAATTCGACAAGATGCCCGGATTGTGGGTAGGTGGGAGTTGTGGGTCGCGACGCCGTGGAGAGACGGATTTGAGTGTTGAGTTCAGTCCTTGGACGAGGAGAAGCACCATTTTCAAGCTGTGTGTGTGTGTGTGTGTGTGTGTGAAACTAAATTCTGCCCATTGCCGCCTTCAGGTCTCTGCCCTCATTTCATGGGCATTCACCTGGAAGGCTCTTCTGGTTCACGAGGGCAGTCACGATGGACAAACTCACGTGCGGGGTCCGTTGTTGGGGTGGGTGGAAGTTCAAGACCTTTGCAGATTAACAGCGATAGTGTATGTACCTCTAACAGGTACTGTGTACTGCGTAGAGGTAGTATTAACAATATTCCTTGGCGGGCAGTGCTGAGTCCGCTGGCTCCACTTCCCATATTAGTGTAGTTGGTGTACCTAGTCAATCCCATTTAATTCGTACCCCGGTTTAATCCCACCCCCCCCCCCCCCCCAATGAATGCCACCGTGCAAATGTACCCCTCTGCATCAGAGTCCTCTCCTAGAACAACACCTCATTCACCACCATCCACCACCCATCTCGACAATCAAAAACATACAACCAAGACCATCCATCTGCTGTCAGAAATAAAACCACTACCAACAACCCTGGGCGTTTTCCCACCATCGACCACTGCTTATCTTGTTAACAACGTCAGAGGTTAGTTTGGTCTTGTTGTTACATGCCAGTTGCCCGCTCCCCTCCCCCAACCCCAAGCCAACATCAACACCCAAAGGAAATTCTCGCCAAACCCGGGCCCCCAAGCAGTTAGTTAGTCGAAAAGGGTGCGTCTAGAACAGAGCCTTGGACGCTGTACATCCGATATACCCTGTACACTACTATGTATGCCTCATTTATCACTTTGTCCCAATCGTCGGTCGACCCTTGAACCTGGACGGCGTCCCCATGGCATCCATCCACAGTCTCACAGCTCATACCACGACTCTCCACGTACCCGTGTAGCTCCTCATTCGCTCTTACTCCTCCAGTGTCTCTCGCTCTTTTTCATCTCGCAGCTCGATATGCAACACATCTCGATTGCCCAAGTGTCCAGCACCCACGGCCCCGGGCCTCTCTCTCGCTTGTCAGTTTCTGCTTCTGGAAAAGGGTGACTGAGCATGTTTATATTCCATCCTGCCTCTATCTGCCGAGACCGACCGACACTGGTTAGAGCCTCCCCGTCCTGATTCTGGAACTACTTGGGCGTCCTAGAACTAGGGTCCCATTGGTTGGAGCTCTGGCCGCTCAGACACCCAGTTCGGCCCTCCTCTTGATATGGGTCCCCGTCTTGCTTCTCATCTGCTTTGCCTTGCCCATGACCCATCCCCCGTCTCCATTTAGTCCCTTGGCCTGGCCGCTCGGCTGGCCTAGAGGCTGCCTGTCTACAAGGGCTATTACACGCTACTGGCTACACTACCGCATGCCCATTCCCATGCTTGGTGTTCTCCGGGCTGGAGTGTTCAAGCTGGATGGCAAGCCAACCACGCTCACCTGCCTCGGCTGGCCGCCCGTTCAAGTCGAAACATTCTGAAAGTGGTAGAGGCTAACAGACCGACACTGTGCAGGTTCGCAGGCTGTCAGTTACGACGACCGGATTAGCAAAAAGTCGGCCCACTCCAGATACAACAGCTTCCTTGACCCCTGGACTGAGACTTGCCAGATCTTCCATCTCATCTTGACGCAGGCCGTGCCGCTGTGGGTGAACAGGTTACTTCCTGGCCTCGCTCTTTGACGCTAATACCCACCATACCCTTGCGTGCTAATAGTAGCACCCATACCACGAATCGAGAAGCTCCGTAGAAGATCTAGGAGCTTTGCGGGCGCGCGGGACAGGACAAGACGGTACCTAGCGGACCATTCGGCAGCGGACCACTCAGTCTCTCATCATGTCAATAAAGTAAGTCTACATCTGCTGTTCTTTGTTCTCTCGTGACGCTTTGGCAAGGCAACTCTGCATCATCTTCCCCAGGGCTCACATTGCGAGTGTCCTTGTCCCCTCTTCTACTTCCCGTCATCATATAATCCCAATTACCGGATCCTGTTACAGATACCACCCAACCCGGCCCCACCTCCCCGTCCCATCCAAGTCATCATGGCCGACCAATTCCTGGTCGAGGCGCACAGATGGACGCTTGCTCAGCATTCGATTACTGACGAGAAAGAAAGCTGGGTCATGTTGACCCGTGATGGGCAGATCCAGAAACTACCTGGAGAAAAGATTCTCCTTACCTCCAAGCCGCGAGTTGGCCTTGAGCTCTCGGTCCCCAAGGAGCTGCAGGTAGCAGAGCCTTTCTCTGTCAAGAGCGACAATGGCATTGCATACATAACCAATGAGAGGGTGAGCTCGGCTTTGATTTCTTGTACGACATGGTCATGTTGCAGTCTAACTAGTGTCTAGATCATCTACCTTCCAGCCAGGTCGACCGAGGCTTTTCGATCTTTCTTTGCGCCTCCCTTAAACTTTAGCGATGTCCGCATCAACTCGTCCTGGATCGGGCCTTGGAGCTGGACAGCTATAGTCAGACCTATTCCAAACGGGGGCGTACCGCCGGAGATCCCTCGGATCGAGTGCAAGTTGACCTTCAAGGATGGCGGACACAGCGACTTCCAAGCAAAGTATGAGTGGCTGCGGGACCGACTACTCCACGCCCAAAGCCTTGGACTGACCCCCGGGCAAAACCTCGAGCCCCCACCACCCTACGATGAGGCTCAAGCTTCTCGACCTTCCTCGAGCACACCTGCGTCTGGACCGTCTGGGGACGTGACGAGCGATCGGAATCAAGTGCCCCAGCCTGGCCCGGATGAGCCACCTCCGGACTACACGGCATAAATGCCCGACTTTCTTGTCAAGATTGCGTTCAGGATGTGGCTTGGCCCGGAGACACAAAGTAACCGCCTTCAGCGCTGCCCGGAATTTGGCAAACATTCGAATATCCGAGTTGACTATTTTTTATATATTTTTATTTTTTATTTTTTTTTAAATGCCGCCGATCAACAAGGAAAACATGCACATCATACGACTACTAGTGACAGGCGTCTGTACGATCATTTTAGCGTCGGTCTTTTTTTTTTTTTTTTTTTTTTTTTTTATATATATATATATATCATTATACAAGTGATGTCAAAAGAGGATTTTCGAGTAAAACGAATTACAACGTCAGAAACACACGGTGATTGGTCGGACTAGCCGCCGTCCCTAAGTGGATGGATGTCAGTAGTCAGTACAGTACCAAATGGAGGCAAACCGGTTTCTCATTGCAGCATTGTATAGCCAATATTTAGCTTGTCAAATATCCATTGGCCCAAACCTTGAAATATACCCTTGTCAATGTCTCGCTCTTCGGAAGTATCTGTGGTGTGCATAACCGGACAGAAATAGAATGCGGCTGCCTGCCACGTATTGATGATGATAGGGCTAGCAACGACATCGACGCCAGCGATATCGAGATACATGGCTTGTTCGTTGTTGTGTCCCGTGTTGGTAAGCCGTCAGAAAGCAGGCAACTTGGGTCTGACCGGTGATTGCCTATTCAGTAAGTAAGCCCGTCAGTCGAGAAAGTGGTCAATAGCGGCGGCGGCGTGGGGGCTGTGATAGTAGGGACATGAACTCCTCTCACGACAGCCGAGTCCAGACATAAGCCACAGTTGCGTCTCGAACTCGCACTGACCCTGACGAGCTTCCAAAGTTTCGAGAGCATAATAGTGTAGATGTGATTGCACGTGACGCCTTCCATGGCTGCGGGATTACCCGGGGGCAGCTCGAGCGTCTCTCAGTAGGCACGAGCCAATCAGCAATTGCCAATTGCAAGAGGGACGGCAAGAGGCAGCGCTCGGACCAGGAGCTGGGGCCACCGGGAGCACTGGAGCCAAGCAAGAAGCTCGGTTTACCCGATTTTTGATCGAGAAAGCTTGCTCAACGTCGCGCCATATCACCAACCTACCGACAAGACCACCGCAACCTTCTTCTCGCCGCCACCCCCGCGATTTTCAAAATGGGCTTCTGGGACGCTGTCACCGACCTCATCGACGCCGCCACTCCGTGGGCCACCGTCGAGGCCGAGGCCCCTGCCGATACCCCGGCCGAGGTATGCCATCACCACCACCACCACCACCACCATCACCATTACCAACCTTCCACATGCCCCGGGTCCCCGAGTTCTAGACAGAGAGACAGTCCATCACGACGAGAGGGAGGTGGGGAGGCTTGATCAACACAACGGTTGAAGCTTTGCCCTACCTTCTGTTGGAACAAGGACATGGTGGGGGATATACCGTGGTTGAGGGCTTTGTTTGCGTCATAAGCCATGGAGGAGGAACACGTACACGGGGGAAGTGGAAGAACAAGCATGCTGACGGTCAATTCATGTTGTAGACTGCCCCTGCTTCCGAGAGCACTGAGGAGACCACCGCCGAGACCAAGGCTGAGGAGTCCGCCCCCGCCGCCGAAGAGCCCGAGGAGGAGGCTGAGGAGGAAGAGGAGGAGGAGGAGGACGAGGATGAGATCGTCGACCCCAAGGAGACTCTCGAAGAGGGTGGGTAACCTGTCCTTTTTTTCCATCCCATGTCCGACCAACACGTATACAACATCACTCGACCACCACTACCATTCGGCCTTCCGCGACCACTACCTCCACGCACCTTGCGCCTGTAGGAGCCCTGCGTTCCCGCGCCGAGCCTCCGGCACTGCTCTGCCTCTCGACCAACAGAGCTGCCAATAACACGCAACCTCCGAACTTGCGCCGATCTCTCCCAGCCTTTGATCCCAACGCAACGCTCTCCGACTCCCATTCGTTACTACGGAGTCCAATTCGAGACGGAACATGATGTGCTGACGGGGCTTATTGCTTATAGAGTGCCGCAACTCGAAGGAGTGCGCTCCGGCCAAGCACCACTACGATGAGTGCGCTGCCCGCGTCACCGGCGCTGGCGCTGACAACAAGGAGGACTGCGTTGAGGAGTGTACGTTTATAGAGTTCCCCTTCCTCGCCCACAGGCATACACGACAGGCTTACTCACTAGGAACTTTGTGCGACAACAAACAGTCTTCCACCTCGTCCACTGCGCCACCCAGTGCGCCGCTCCCAAGCTCTGGAACACCCTCAAATAAGCGATCGATCTCCCTTGACGGTCGTTTCGCATTCCTGATGCGCCTGCGACTTTCTTGACCCAACGCTCGGCAGTCCCGATGACGAAAAAAGCGACCCCTCGAACGACAACAAGGGTGCAGTCCGGTGGAGCTATTTGTTTGCATGGAGACAATGGGGCGTTTCACGATAGACAAGATACACGAAGGAAACAACCAACGTACGTTCAATCGTTACGATGACGACCGGGAATAGAAAGCAATTAGGATCCAATCGCCAAAAGTTCAAAATCATCCAGCAGCCATCATGGAATACGAACAGAGACGGGAAAGCGAAAGAGTGCCAGGTGAAAAAGGGGAGGAAAAGGACTAAGGGACTTTCAGGAGTTACACATCCATGCTGCACGATGAATGTGTTTACACTTGACCTTTCCCCTCTCCTCTCCAAACGAACGTCTATATAAGGCTGGGGGAAGCAAGGCAGTATGACGGGAGGCATTCTCTTCCATGGTTTTGGCATGTCCCCTCTGATCCGGTTTTACTTCCCCAGCCTTGTCGTGTCTCTTCTGTATTATAATCCTTCCGACGTCACCTAGCTCTCAAAAGGCGACACAGGTGAATATTCCCCATAGACCTCCTTACTTTTTTTGCTTCTATCCCATTTACTCGGTTGGTGTTGTTTCCCGCACTTTGCGCTCACCTCACATGGAAAGACATATTTCGCCCATTCGCTCAAAAATGGCGATGTCCTGTGCATTTGGTAGTCGCCTATTTATTACATGATAACACGCCAAACACTTAAAAGCAAGCGAGAGAATGCATGAAATAACTTGGTCTTCTGAATCCCAAGACACACGGTTGGCGTGGTTTTTTCTATACGTACTGTAGGTCCCTACTGTCGCTGCTTAATGGGGCCATGCAACGAAATGACCGGAATAGGTGGTGATGATCTGATGAGGGTGGTTTTGTCCCGAGATAACATAACCCCTCATTGTCGAGTGTACGCACTCAACTTATTTTCTAGCTTGCGTTCGTAGATGCGACCTTGTGATAGCTTCGCATTGCGCAACGGGATAAGATGGCATGTGGCAGCAAGGGAGGGAGCAAGGAGGGGGTGAGGGGTTGAAACTGGATGGGTGGGTGACTTTTTAAGATCGTGGTGGGTAGGCGACTCGGAGATATGACGCGCGGGGGAGGGAGGGGGGAATAATGGAAGATTGTGACCCGATCCCCGCTCGACCCTTTCTTTTTCGCTCAAGCAAGCGAGCTGAACATAATGGCGAGTTCTTGGGAATAACTCCTGGAAGGATAACGAGAAGTGGTAAAAACTTGTAGAAAACTCGGGGATGAAGTAAGGTGCAATCGAATAGAACAGACACACGAACAAGGGAGGAGATACATGGTATGAGTCGAAATGTTTCTCGCTTCCTTCCGCCTTCCTGGTTCATGGAAGACGTAACACATTAAACATAGTACACTGATAGAACACCTGGGGAAGATGAAGATAGCGGGTTCGGTTTCAAAAGTGAACCTATCACGATCCATCTTATCCATTTGTGTTGAAGAGAAGGCGATGATCATACCTATGCTTGGCCGCGCCGCTCGCCAAGAAAATGGGGAAGGTTGCGACGTAGAAAAGCGGTTTTTGGGGGGAAACTTGAACCTTTCTTGGATTGCCGAGATTTTCGAAAGTGTGATAGCGTGCCATTCTGACAATGCCATGCAGCGAGCGGGTGCTCAGCGCGATCAATGTCCCGTGTCCTCCAACGTCCCGTCCGTCTTTCCTTTCTTTGCAGGCCAGGCTTTCATTTGATCCCGTGCAAGTCCGACTGGAAAGGAAGATTTGAAGGTGTGGTGTGGTAGTATATGCGACCGTAAACTACCCCGTCTTCTGTCCCATCATTCACTCATTCATTCATTTTCATCGTCTTCAACCAGATTGATGAGTTGCGACGAATACAAGTATGTGAACACGTGTCGCTCTTCCTCTTTACAGCTTCCCCTTCTCCAAGCGCTCGCTCGCATTTTCATCAGACGGATGGCAGGGAACCTTTCCTCTCTGCTGCTCGGACAGATTTACACTCGCACAACTGGCACCGAAGCTTCGTTCGGACAGAGATAAAAGCAAAACACAGTCAAAACATCCCTTGGGCTTATACCGAACACCGTGACCGAGGCGCGACTGGAATCCGAATGCGAACAAGCTGAATCAAACACTTCTGCCACAAAGTCTTGGGATAACTTTATCCAGAAAGGGGGCGCCACAAACAAGTAACAACAGAGCCGCCTCCACCCTCTCGAAAAAGAAAAAAAAGAAAAAAAAAAAAAAAAAACCCAAACCGGACGGTTAATACAAGAGCAGAGCAGAGCCGCTTCATAAGGCGCAAGCGCAAAACGCAATGAGCAGCCTCCGATCCTCCAGCAAAGGAGGTAGTACCCAAGGACGACCTCTCCCACTCCAAGGACAAGGACAAAGACACTGGCCAGAATTAAGAGACACAACAATGGACGACGACGACGACGACGATCATGACCAGGACCAGGCCACCATCCACAGCAGCCGTTATTCTCACCATACTACTTCGCACCGCGACAGCCACGACGATTATCAAGCTCGCCTATCGTATCCGCACACCAAAGTTCCCGAAACCACCACCGCCACTAATCTCAGCAGTAGTAGAACGGGCAGTAGTGGAAATGCTCACGGCAGCAGCAGAGACATGGCAGATAAACGGGGTGATATCGTCGAAATGAAGGAGAGTCCGAGTAATAACAACAACAACAACTACTACTACAACACCAACACCACAACGACGACGACGACGACGACGACGACGACAACGATGGCTGACGATGAGAAACGGCGATGGGTGGGGACCACTCGGAGTGAAGTAACGCACGGATCCTCTGGCGGCAGCAGCGACTCGGAAAAGAAAATCGGCGGCGGCAGCAGTGGTAATAGTGGATCATGGTCAGCATCCACCACCGACTCCGGATCGGGATCGGAGGTCTCCACCACGCTCGGCGCCGGAACGGGTATCAGCATTACGGAGGGAAGAGCGGTTAATAGTGCCGGGGAAAGGGCCGGCGGTGGCGGTGGCGGCGTCGGACTTGGAATTGACGGAGCGGGTCACCATGACGAAAATGAACAAAGAGTGGAAAGAGACAGTGAGGGAAGACCGGTCGTATATAAGGTCTATAAAAGGAGGTGGTTCGGGTTGGTGCAGTTGACCTTGTTGAATATCATTGTTAGCTGGGATGTAAGTGCCTACTTTTTTCCCCTTTTCTGTCCAGTCTTGCACTATCTTTCAATCTTTGGGATTAAATGGTTCTATCGTCGTTCACGCTGGAAGCCCACAATCCTGAGCTATGGGCGTGGTTGGTTGGTCGCATATTGATACCTCCCGTTTTACAACGGCGGCCACGCCTCGTAACCTTGAGCATCAAGGCGAAGCATCTCGTGTACGAGATTGGGGCCGCCCGCCTACGCAAACGGGTGGCGGCCACCTCCTAACGCCCGCCACGATGTTATTGGGCCGTTTAAAGTTGATCAATACTCCCAATGTCTGTTCGTGTGCGCCATTTATACTGGACTTGATGTTGTGGTGTTGTTGTGATCATATCTCAGTTTCCGTGTCCAGCATGATTTCATTTGTCGAGTTCTAGCCATGTTTACCTTGGAGATGGCTTTGCATGAAAACAAGACATAATGTCTCACTGAGAGAACAGAGAACAATAACTTTCACAGATGATAAATCACTCGTCACTCCAACCCAAACCGAGAAACCTAAACTAACAATCCTTCTCCAGTGGCTCACCTTCTCGCCCGTCGCCTCCCAGGCCGCCGCCTACTTCCGCACCACTGGAACGACCATCAACTGGCTCAGCACCGCCTTCCTCTTCGCCTTCGCCTTCATCACGCCCCTGGTCATCTACGTCCTGCACCTCGGCCCCAAGTTATCCATCACCACTGCCGCTGCCCTTCTGCTCATCGGCAACTGGGTCCGCTACGGGGGCTCCCACTCTTCCTCTCCTTCAGGTGGCCACTTCGGCATCGTCATGTTCGGCCAGATCCTCATCGGGCTCGCCCAACCCTTTGTCCTAGCCGCTCCCGCCCGCTACTCGGATCTATGGTTCACCAACCGCGGCCGCGTCGCCGCCACCGCCTTGACTTCCCTCGCCAACCCGTTTGGCGCCGCGCTAGGCCAGTTGATTGTGCCATTCTGGGTCGACAAGCCATCCGACATATCAAGAATGGTTCTCTACGTCTCCATCATCTCCTCCATCTGCTCCGTTCCCGCCTTCTTCATCCCCTCCCGGCCTCCGACGCCCGCTGCCCCGTCTTCCGCCACGCCCAAATTACCTCTCCGCACTTCGGCCGCGATCCTACTAGGCCACGCCGAATTCTGGCTCCTCTTCGTCCCCTTTGCCGTCTACGTCGGCGCTTTCAACTCCATCTCCTCGCTGCTCAACCAAATCATGGAACCCCATGGCTATACCGACGAAGAAGCCGGCATCGCGGGGGCCGTGCTCATCGTTGTTGGGCTGCTTGTGTCGGCCATCACTTCGCCCATCATCGACAGGACGAAAGCGTTTTTAACTACAATCCGTATTGCCGTCCCGCTTATTGGGATCTGCTACCTCGTCTTTCTTTGGATGCCGTCCACCCACGACTCTGCGGGCCTCGCTGGTCCTTATGTCATTTTGGCCATCCTGGGCGCGGCGAGTTTCAGTCTGGTTCCGGTGGTGGTGGAGTTCTTGGTGGAGGTGACGCATCCGATTAGTCCCGAGGTGACGAGCACGTTGGCGTGGAGCGGGGGGCAGGTATTGGGCGGGGTATTTATTATTGTTTCGGGAGCGTTGAAGGAGGAGAAGGGAAAAGGGGGGAGGCCGGATGGGAATATGTATTGGGCGTTGGTGTTTCATGCTGTGGTGGCTATGGTGACGGTTCCGGTGCCCCTTTGTTTAGGGCTGTTTGGGCGGAGGGATAAGGTTAGTTTGAGGAGGGTGAGGTCGGATGATGGTAGAGGGGATGGGACGGTAGATGAGACGGCCTGATTTTTCTTTTTCTGTTCATGCTGAGGGTTGGGCTCTGCAATGGCGTTATGTTATTCATGATGGATGATGGTGTATGTGTTATGGCTTGTTTGATATGTATGTGGATGCACAATGTCGTTTATACCCCCTGTTACGGGTTTTGGGTACATCTATTAGGATCATTATCTTGTATATGTAGGTCTCCCGCTCCTGTGCTCGTCTCATAGCAGGGCAGGCAGGGGTGATATTTACTTTTTAACCAATCAAACTCATCTCGTCACTTGTCACTCGTCAGCATCACTGCCTCTCGAGAACCCTGCCCAACCTCGCCTCCCACTCCCCTCTCAACCTCTCCATCTCCTTCCAACACTCCACCCCCAACATCTCAAATTCAACCCTCTTCTCCTCCGTTAGATCCACCGCCCCGGATTTCCTCCCCACAATCTTCCTCCCAATGTGCCTCTCCCCCTTCTCATTCTTCAGCTCCTTTCTCGTCCCAACCGTCCCATCCCACCCCCACCCTTCCACCTCCGTCTTCAGGACTCTGCACTCTCCCCAGAAATCTGTGCTCGATCCCCACTTAACGTGCTCAGCGTCCACCGCATCCAAAGCCTCTTGCTCCTGCAAAGCAAGCCACACGGGCGCCACGGCACCGTTGTACCCCGTTATAGGATGCCAGGGGGAGCCGAGCCAGCGCGCAATGTACAGCACCACGCGGTACCAGAAGAACATGAAGGCGTTGAGCGGGAAGAGGGTCGTTTGGACGATGCCCGGGTGGACGAGGTAGATCCTGGGTGGGGCAGCTGGTGCGTTTGACTTGGTGGCCGGCTGAAGATACGAGTTGACAAACGGGCGGGCGGAGGGCAAGGTGGCGGTAAGGGAGAGCACGTCCGTCAGCCGCTTGGTGCTCTCGTAGGCGGCGTTGGTCTTGATAGCTTGGAAGTCGGAGAGCGAGAGGTTCTTCCACCCGGGCTCGATGGAGGATTCCCAGATGATACGGCCGGGAGGAATGGTAGAGTCAGACTCGGAGCGGCTCAGCAGCGGCACGAGCTTGTGTGCCAACAGGTAGTGGCCGAAGACGTTGGCGCAAAAGACTTGGCCCATTTCGGGAACCTTTTCGTCTTTAGCGTCGGGTAAGGGGTTGACGACGTGTCCGGCCGTGGCGGCCTTGAAGGTCGGCCAGGTGGTGGCTTGGACGAGACCCTTGGTAAAGATGTTGTGGAAGACCTTGGGCCAGTCGAGACCGGTCCAGCCGCCCATGCCGGCGTTGAAGATGACCGCATCGAGACGAGGTATCCTCACGTCGGTGAGGGAGGTGAAGTAGGCATCGTTGGCGTCGGCGGGGCTGCTCACGGTGCCGTTGACGAGTTGTTCGGCGGCGCGGTGGACGTCGGCGAGATTGCACAAGTCTAGTTGGACGCTGAGAATGTGAATGCGCTTAGTAATAGATCGGGGATCGTAGTTGGGACCGGCACGGGAGCGGAGGATGTCGGAGGTGTTTGCGAATTCGCGGGCATGTTGGCGGAGCGCATCGATGGTTTCTTGCGACTTCTTGACGCTGCGGGTGGTGGGGATGACGACGAGGTGGGAGGACAGGGAGCGCGTCACGAGATACTCGTCGATCAGGCGTTGGCAGATAGCGAAGCCGATTCCACTGAAATTGCATTGTTTAGCATGTCATCTCTATGAAGCATGGACAGATGATGATTACTTACCTGTTGGCGCCAGTTACCAACGCAAAGAGGGTGTCCTCAGGAGGGACTGAATCCCATGGTGCCGGGGCCATGTTTAGTCGGATACTGTGATTTGCTTGACGGACTTGCTGGCTACAATGACGGACACAAAAGAGTTGCGACGGAGAGATGAGTTGCTGTTACGCGGTACCTACGTGTCGTCGGTCTGAAAGGGGTCCCGTTCGACGCCATTATTTTGTGGAGCCTTTCCGGCCCCTGTCCGATTGGGTTGTTTGTTTCATCGACTTCTGACATGCTGACACGTGATTTCAGATTTGGTTTTTTGTTTCACAAAAGAGAATCAACCAACTGGATTCATCGTAGAATGGTTGCCAAAAGGTATGGTTCGATGACGAAGTGGGAGAGATGCCAGCCGTGAGATCGGAGTCGGGGCACCACTTCCGGGCCTGGAGCACTTACTTGGAGAAGTCCGTGCCGTTCGGGGATGTATGTGGTGGGGTCCGGCCGGCAGCACTTTCACTTCACTCGGCCAGGCCGGGACCCCGCATTTTCTTCTTACCCTTCGTTTACAACCTAACGACCTACGACAACTCGCTTCTCTTCAGCATGAATGGCTTCCAAAGTGCTGATATTCACTGGAGCTCCAGACAGCCGGGCGCTTGACTGGGCCACCCCGGATCTACTTGTCGAATTCGATGAGCCCATTGCCAGCTTCATGGGCATCCTCCAACCACGGGAAGAGCAGACCATCATCCCGGCCTCTGCTCCGACCCCTGCCGCATGGAGATCTCTTAGCCTCGTAAGAGAACGTATCCCAACCGGCTACACACAACAATATGACTCCAGCTTCCGCTTCAACCCAGCTCACGGTCCGGAAGCAGTCGATCAGCCCGATGACTTTCTCACTACCGCGTCCATATCGTCGTCGTTTGACGAATCGTCCGTCGTCCATGGTGACTTGGAGTCCCAGTTCTACGAGCACTCCCTTACGTTGCATCAACATGTCCGATCCTCGTACCTGGACGCTACATTGCTTAGAGAAGCAGAGTCGCAACACTCCATTACGTCGGCAATGAGTGAGGAGGATCTGGATACGGCTTCATTCTTGGAGACCACAGTTCATGCTCTGGATGGGGACGAGAACGTCAAAGAGCCCTTGACATTCCGTGGCGGTGACCGCCTTACTGACCTCAAGGATATCCCATCGGCCGCGTACCTTGTCAAGGCACAACCCCAGACCATCACCTGCAATCTGATCGTCGGCATCATTTCCATCTCTCCGCCGCGGTCGGTTAGCACTCGCTGGGGCTTAGACCGCTCCCTGGTCGAGGTGCTCGTGGGTGACGAGACCAAAGCTGGCTTCACCATCACTTTCTGGCTACCCCCTGGCTGCGAAACCGTACAGGGCAGCATGCTTGAAGGACTGCGGCATAGGGATGTGGTCCTCGTTCAAAACGTCGCCTTGAACGTCTTCAACAAAAAGGTCTACGGCTCCAGTTTGCGCAAGGGTCTGACCAAAGTCCACCTGCTTTTCCGAGCAAGGCTCGATGCAACAGACGTCGGCGGTTATTATGCCCCTTCGGACTTATCCGTGGCAAGAACGACGCATCTCCAGCTGGACAAGACGCGGACAGTGTGGGATTGGGTGCTACGGTTCGTCGGTCCCGGACCTATCACCACCGCCGGTCCCGCGTCCACCAGGAGAAGAAGCCCTAGGAAGCGCAAGAACAACAAAGGTGCCTTAGCCTCAGCTGCTCGACCGTGGGATCTGCCACCCCCTGATACTCAGTAGCACGCCAGGAACACGTGGGTGTTTCATACGATTTATAGAAACAGGGAGATGAAGGCGTCGTATTTTTAGTCAACATCGGGGCTGAGCTTTTGGCTTGGGGCGGGTCAACCTCGGGTTCGGTACCAAACCGGACACCGTGGGCAGGGCTTAGCGGAGAAATGGATCTGTCTTGGATTCTTAGCGGCGGAGGCTCACTTCGCTATTAACCCTACACTACAGTTAATCAGTCACGGTGTGGCTGCTGCTCACAGACCCAGGGCGCTCCAACAGCTGCGCCCTTTGTTGACACGCAATCAAAGTGATCATGAATACGCGTCCCCCAGACGCTCTGAAACTCGTCCAATAAATGCCAAACATGGAGCATTGGAGTCCTCCCGACTTGAGACAACGATAAAGTTCAATCATTTTGTGCATGTCATTCTCGGTTTGCCACCCGAATCTGACTTGTCGAGACTGACAGGGAACTTGATGTTTCGGCAATATTCTGTACAGCGTCTTACACGTAGCAGCCCCTTGCCGCCCAGCAGCCTACCGTTTTAGTAGCCTAACTTACACTACCCATCCCTCACTTTAACCCATGATGCGGAGAAGTCATCGGAAGTCCCGAAAAGGGTGTCTCGAATGCAAAAGACGGCATATCAAGGTGAGTAGCCCGCTTACAAAACTCAAGACTAGTCACACAGTGAAGTAACACTCGTCGACAGTGCGACGAAACACGACCGCGATGCATCAACTGCCAAACCGTTGAGAGAGAATGTTCCTACCCCATTCTGCCCGGGACCGACACTGGCAGCGATGAACTGTCCCGGTCCCCGGCCGATCACCTTTCGGTAGCCGCAACCCCACCCTCCTCCGGCGCCGGGTCCGCCTCGGCCTCGGTAGCCTCTTTCTCCGGCGGCTATGGTGGTTCCGCATCCACCATGCCCATGCCGGACGTCACTCCCTTTCCAGTCCCCACGGGCTACCAAGACTCGGAACCGTCATCGCCCAACGTCAACATGGTGCACATGGAGCTCCTTTACCACTTCACCACCGACGTCTTCTTCACCTTTGCCCCATCCGGCGACACGACCCGCTCGTTCACCATGAATCACGCCTTCGGCGAGCCGTACCTCATGTACCAGATCCTGGCCCTCTCGGCCCGCCACCTATCCGTCCTGCGCCCGCATCGCGAGGCCTTTTACCACCACCACGCCATCCAGCTGCAGACGCACGCCCTGACCTTGTTCAACAGCATCGACATGGCGCACTTTGACGCCTTCATCGAGAAGCGCGTTCCGCTCTTTCTGTTTTCTTCCATTCTGGGTGTCCATGCCCTCTGCGACACCTTGAGCTATCGAGACGCCGAGTTCCCTGCTACGCTGACCCGTTTTGTGGGTTATTTGCACCTGCACCGCGGTATCTTGGGGGTCTTGGAGGGGCACATGGAGGAGATGAGGCAGAGTGAGCTGAAGCCGATTATCGAGGCGGGCATTCGCCTGTACGACACGCGTGGCTCGGGGCCCGAGTGCGATGAGATCCTGCGTCGGCTGGAGTCGAGGTTTTCCCAAGATGATGATCATGCCAAGGAGAAGTTGCATGGGCTGAGACAGGCGGTGCATCGTGTGCAATTCATCTTTGATGCCACGTCGAGTCCGACCGCAAAGGTGCAGATGATGTTGGCGTGGGGTAACATGTTGACGAAGCCGGTCATGGGCATGTTGGAAGAAGCGAAGCCGGAGGTGTTGGCGGTTCTGGCGTATTACTTTGTTTGTCTACATCTGTGTCGAAAGGCGTGGATAGCGGGCGACTCGGGGAGGTTCTTGCTGGATAGCTTGGCGAGGTATATGGCGAGCTTGGGGCCGGAGTGGTCAGAGTGGATAGAGACGCCGTGTAGGCTGTTAAATGAGGCGGATGAAAGGGAGGCAAGAGCGGGGAGTGATGAGTCTGGGATAGGGAGTCAGGAACACCAACCGCAGCAGCAGCAGCAGTATCCGCAGTATCAGCAGTTATGATAAATGGAGGTTTGGATACTAATTGCGTCACATGATCTCGTGTCTTGTTTTACTTTGCGTTCAGCAGTCTATCTTGTTTTGTCCTTTCCATCCCCACCAACCACCATCAGCTCTTCTACCAGGATCACAACCATCACGATGCCCGCCAGATCCAAATTCACCATATCCCACCCCTCCGAGGCCTCGGCCTCCTTGGAAGCAGCCCGCATAGCCCAAATCCACCTCCTCGCCATGCAAATCAACCCGCTTCTCCACGCCCAATTTCCCACACGCAAAAGCCAAGACGCCCTCGAATGCTTTCTTGCCAGAGACACTCAGCAAAAGATTGGTCCACTTCAAACAAGGGCCCACCGCGATGAAGGCATCTGGGTGGCCAGGCTTGAAGGTGAGGACGAGATTGCCGGGTTCATTCGGTGGGAGTATCCTCCTCCAAATGTTGACAGAGGGAAGGGGAAGAGTGACGAGGACAAAAAGAAGAAGTTGGAAGAGGGAGAAATCAAATACCTCGCAGGATGCAGGAGGGAATATCTAGAGGAGTACGCGCGGTTGGCATCGGAGGCTAAAGAGAGGAGTGGGTTTATGAAGATAAGATGTTGGCGTAAGTTTGTCTTTGTTACCTACCCCATCCATGTTCTCTTGTACATCACCGACGTTGTATACTACCTATTACAATACTAACGCGTTCCGTCTTTTCTTTGGCCACCTACCAGATCTCACATTTGTATGCATCGACCCCAAGTACCAAGGCCGTGGAGCCGGGTCTCTGCTGACGAGACGGTTGCTTGAATTGGTGGACGATACACAGGAGGAACATGGACCGCTGCCCGTGTATTTGGAGAGCACGATGGAGGCAGTTCCCATGTATGAGAGGTTAGGGTTCAAGGCCGTGGATGGGTTTGAGATGGAGATACCTGCCCTGGGGATGATGTCGGGTGAGGACGAGGGCAAAGCTGAGGGAGAGAAGACGACATATAGAGAGGTTTGTATGGTTTACTATCCGAAGGCGGCGAAGTGATGATGCAACTGAAGGCTGAGGGGAATCTCAGAAGCCCTTGCAATTTTGGATAGTCTTCTGACTGGTGCGTCTGCCAGCAACTTGGGAAAGATCCAACGGTTGAGGTGAACCCAGGTCGTCCCCCGCCTGCACATCATCTCGAGTACTTGAATGAACTGGCAAGTGTGCATCAACGGCGGAAGGAGCGGTCAGTGTCAACCAACCGGCGAGGCTCAAGAGTCTCAGTCGCGATTACTCTACGTACCGAGTGAAAACAGTATTCAGTTGTAATTGTGCGTCCTTGCAAGTGCCTGCCTGTTCGTCAGAGTTTTCTTTCATCGCCTTCCTGCCTGTGTAACCTGGTCTCAACCGCCATATGTCAGTTTTTTTATTCCCCCGACTCGAACCTCCTTCGCAAGCTGCCCGCAAATCACCACTAATCAAGACACACTCTCCGACAACTTGCATGTCAAATCATACAATCATCTCTAGCGAGCCTGTTCTAGGCTTCAGAGAACCGCCAAAGTTCCAAGACACCGCAACGAACGGTACCGCACAAGATCACTCGCTGCTGTTGATACTCGCGATATGATATTAACCCAACCCGGTTCCAGGGCTCTCGGCACTTTGGGCACACCGTCACGCCCTTTTCCAGTCCCCCCCCGCCTTCTTGAAGATTCCCCCGCGTCCACGGCATATGTCAACTAAAAACCCTCCATTCGGGGGCCTTTGTCATCGATCCGGGTTCTGGGCACGCGAGCTTGGCGATTGTCTCGCAGCCTGCAGAGAAGACGAGAAAGAGCCTGCACCGCCACTCAACCTCTCGACAATGCACACAAGCACACCAAGCCACACCTCCAGAGATGTGGGGGGGGTCCGCGTCATCAGCCATAATCCCGACCGCTTGGAATAACACTTGCACTTCTGCGCCGTCGGTCATCAAACAACTCCAGCAGCTTGTCTCGTGCTCTGCCCCTTCCCAGAAAGTTCAATCACACGACATCTCACATGCTCATGACCCTGACATGGAATCGAAGCTGAAACGGAACACGAGGGGACGGGGAACTCCAGACTTTCAGCTGGACCCCACTGTGGGGTCGTCTCTATCCGCCATCGTGAGTCGAGACGACGGGTGAGAGCGCCCTGACGCCCTGACGCCAGCATTGGAACCTCAGCTTGCGTACGGCGAAGCTTGATGTCATGAGTTGACTGGCAATGGGACTTTTTCCTCCTTTCATCGGACATTGACGTTCCATCGCCTGCTCTGTATAAAACAGATTCACCGTCTTCCACGATAAATTCCCGGCTTGTGGACTCAATGCCAAGCTGCCTCTTGTGGGAGATCGTTCCGAGGCCGCACAGCCAGTCCGGCATTTCTGAATTGGCCGGCTTGGGCACGCTTTCACTGTCCGGTAATAGGTGCCGCGCTTTCCGCTCTGATCGCTTGGCAACGACACACGATGCAAAGTCATCCAGGTTGAACCATTCACAAGCCTTAAGAAATCACCAAAATGACCCTACCCGACACTCGGCGATGAAACACCAAATTCTACGCAGTAGTGTACCTAGAGCTTATGCCCTCGCACCATCAAGACGGCAAGATCAAACAACAGGCAGGAACAGACCGAAAGACATCTGAAAGACTGCCTTCAACTGCCATGTCTCGGCGCGTCAGGCCATTACGTTAAATGTATTCCCAAAAGAGGGCGGGTGCCGGGAACGCGCCTTTTTGATTTGGTAATGACCGGGGGGCTCTATCCACGGCAACCGGTGCCATGGCTTGCGATCCCGGCAGCCCAAGGTCCAACAAGCCCGCACGCGACACCAACAAAGAGTACCGGATACCTCGGGCTCTCTCTCCTCCTGGCCTATTGCTGCCGGCCATCTTAACAGCCTTTGGTATAGCTACAAGTACTCAACTGTTATTGCCATGTGCCCCACCCCCATGTCCACCCCGCTCTCGGCAGGTACCCCAGACTCACGAATTTTAGGTCGATCAATGAAGCGTTATCGTCTTTTTCCCATTAGGAATTTTGTTCTTTAATCGTAAAAGATGATAAGGCCTGACAATGTGATATCCGACGCATATGTCTGGCCGTCTCTGCAGCAACTCAACCGCGCCATGCTCCTGACGGCACGACACTATTCTCAGGCAGGACAGATGGGCACCACTTTGTCGCCGTCATTATCGTTGTCCGCTCCGAGATAACCCCATACTAGTCCCCGACCTGACCTCCAAAGTTAAGGGGGAACGGCACATCATGGGGTAATCGTCCCCAAAGGCAAGCAATTGTTGCCCCTTGCACCACGTATTTCCTTATCGGCGTCAAGGGTCCAGTTGCGGTGGACAACATGGAACTGTCTTTTACACTCGCCAATCTAGCGCCAAGGTATCCAAAGTTGGTTGATGAATGTGCCACAGCTGGTGTTTCCCAAATTCTCACCCACACGCATCAGATTTTTTTTGGGGCTCGACACGGCATTGCTCTTCCTCACAAGGAGGCGCGTGCCAGTTCATAATCTATCCTGAGTGCAGTTGATCTCCTGCTCGGAATTCTCCTGGTATTGATTATCGACGATCTCGGTGTACTTCTTGTCTCAATCGTCACACTCCCTTTTGAACACCATCTCCATGTTGCACGGAACAAAGACACAGAAATAAAAAGGATAAACCAAACCACTCCCACACCTCGAAAGCTCGAGCCGAATCCCTGGTTCTGTGCTTTCATGTCATCCTCGCAAATGACGCAGATAAGCCTAGCTCATCTTATCCTGGTCTCGATCATCACATAGGACAGTCCGAGTTAAAACAACTCCCAGCCGACATTTATTATAAGTCCATTCACCAATACGCATCCATCATAGGTAGCCAGACTACCCAATAGCGACCCATATACACACAGTACGGTGGCTAGGCCCTTACACGCCTTGCTTCATACCTCCCCAATCCGGGGCGCGACCTGGCAGATTATCCGCATACGCTACCGCTTACACGCTTCCTCTTTCCGTGGCAGGGAGGGCTCTATTTATCATCAATACATACACATCATATCATATACACAGAAAGATACCTCACGTACTACCTGCTACCACACTCTACCTACCTTATCTCTGGCTTTCCCCTCAACATCAGGTTTCTTCCGCCTTTCGTTGTCGCGTAAGGTCACTCGATCTGGCAAGGAGATACGTGCTGGTGTCAAGAGAGCGATAAGGTTGCTTCTCCTTCCTCTCCGGTCATCATTCTCCTGCTGCTGCCAGCCGTGCAAAACACACGGAGTCCCTGTTGTGTTGCCGCAAAGGCAGGTGAACAAACAGACAGACAGACAGACGACAGTGGCCAGGCAGTCGACGACCAGGTGTGCGTTTCACCCCATCGGTTATCCTGGGGACTTGTGGCAGGGATTCAACCTCCCGAGCCTCAAATAATCTGTCCGCAGTTGTGCCGTCAACGAGCATCAACCTTATCTGCAGTTCGCTCTTGCTTATCAACCCTCGGAGACAAGCGACAACTACCCCCAAACGTAACCAGTCTTTCGATCCATCCAGGCCGGCCCATCCACCTGCAGTGTTTCTCGCGGGTCCTCCTGTCAGGGCTCAATCCGGGGAACGCTAACGTCCTTGAAAAGATTCCGAAATCCCAGAATCATCCCGGGGGCGTTCGATTGCCCGTGGACCCTGTCGCCTCCTCGTCCCCAGAGTCTCGAAGACACCATTCTGTTCTGGTTCCACACGGGGGCGCACGCCACTACCTCACCCACCTCCCCGTGGGGCTGACCATTCAGTAAGCTGTATCAACCACTTGGACTTGTCCATATCTTCCTCCTGCCTCTTCTTGGTTGGGGGTGGCAGCGTTACCCGCATACGACTTCAAAATACTTGGCCACAGCATCAGTCCCCCAGTCACCTGCGGCACTGCTCGTGGCCTGATCACAGAGCAGATTTTGAATAGGAAAGTAGCTTTGTCCAACCTACCGGTACCATAGCTCTTCGTCGTCCAATACTCGGGATAGGACTTCATCTGGGACAACATTTAGGGTAAATCCGGCCGCGATCGATCGTCTCTGCAGCTCCCAAATCGTTATCATGTCCGTTCCCAGTGCCGTCCCAAGGACGGCTCCCATTGCCATTGCGCCCAAACCTCCCCCACGCTTTCCTCCGAGTCGACAAGCAAGCATCAACTACAGCGACTCCTTCTCCGGTTTCCGAAGCGGCATTAACACCCCGGACACAGACTCTCTAAGCGGACAACCAACAAGTCCCTGTGAAGCTTGTCTACGCCGTAGGCTTGAGTGCGTCATGAGTGATGACGAAGAGAGCTGTGTTGCTTGCCAGACGAATGGTGCAGAATGTTCGTTGGGCGAGAGCCCTCCGCCACGGAAACGCAAGTTGAACGGTGATGCAGAGGAGAGTGGCAGTAAAAGAAGGTGCGAATGATAACTTACCTACACACCTCCTTCATCACACATGGCATCATCCATGGAGGGCGGGAGCCAACCTCACGTGTCTGCCTCGTGTCATGCTCTTACTTCCTTCCCACCACCTTCCGCGCTCTTCGAGTTTCCCCAGCTTATCTCACAAACCCCATAACCCCATCTCAGCTTGAGACATTCGTTCATGTGCGTGTTCTGATATCTGATTGGTTGTTAGCAGTTCCCCAGCACGGTTTGATAATAGGAAACGAAGGCAGAACCCACCAAGCCTGTCGAGCACCGTTACTACCGGCATGTCCCTAATCGAGGAGATGGCGAACTTTGGCGGCCCAACCTTGCTAAAGCGTACCCTTGGTCTTCAGTCAGACAGGTATAGTCAGTACATAGGGCCGACGACCGACTTTGAGCCCTCGCTCATCAACCTCTCCCCTTTTGACCCACATGATGAGAGTCTCCTCGCCCGAGGGACTCTAAGGAAGGTCGGCGACGAGGATACTTTTCTCATGCTCCCGGATTCACTCACGCCTGGACACGCCCATATAATCGAAGATGTCGACGAAATCGAAAGTCTCGTCGCCCCGCATGGCCGAAAGCTGATCGACTTGTACTTTCGTATCGTACATCCCGGATTTCCCATTGTCCAAAAATCGGTCTTTTATGAAAAATACGACCGATCACATCGAGAGTTTTCGCCGCCGCTCCTTGCTGCCATATACATCCTGGCCATCAACTGGTGGGATCATTCAGAGGAATTGGCGTCACTGCCGCGACCCAATGTTCGGGAACTGGAGAGACTGGTTCGTGTCACTCTCGCAGATGCCATGTATCGTCCCAAGCTGTCGACTATTCAAGCCGGTCTATTGCTTTCGCAGCGCCCCGAGGGTGATCAATGGGCCCCTACGGCACAGCTTGTTGCTATCGGACAAGAGCTTGGTCTGCACCTCGACTGCTCGTCGTGGAAGATCCCGCCCTGGGAGCGAGGACTGAGAAAACGTCTCGCGTGGGCGCTATATATGCAGGATAAATGGGGTGCGCTCGCACATGGACGTCCTTCCCATATCTTTTCGTCCAACTGGGCCGTGCCCGTTTTGACGCCTCATGATTTCCCCGACATTGACTGGGAGGAGAGCGATGCGGAGGCGCGGATTGAGACGGAGCGTGGGCGCACTCTGTTTTGCCAAATGGTTCAACTTTCCCAAATCCTCGCCGAGATCCTCGAGACGTTCTATACCCTGCAAGCCACGCGGGCCGTTGCTAATGCTGGCCCTCAAGGCACGCAACTCGTACTCTCGCTAGCCAAACCCATTCAGCTCAAGCTGAAGGAATGGTACAGCGGGTTGCCTGACTCGGTTCGCATGGACTCAACCTTTCAAAGCGCCACCATGTCACAGAGCAACAGCAACAACAACAACCGCCTCTCTAGCATTGGTTACCTCCACCTCGCCTACTTCGCCACGGAAATCACTCTCCACCGCCGCATCATCCGCTCGATCGACGCTTCTTGCTCTTCCTCATCCGGCTCCACCATCGCCTCACTCAGCGCCAGTGTTAACAGCACAACGAGCAGCAACCCAAGCTCAACTGCCAGTAACATTGACCCATATATCCAGCACATCTGCCGAAGCGCGGCTAAAGCCCGTCTGATCTCCGCCATGGACTTTGTGAACCGCCTCACCCCTTCTCACCTGCGCGCGTTCTGGTACTTCGCCTCCAAAACCAACTTCGCCTTGATTGGCACGTTTGGATCACTTCTCTGGGCCACCTCCCCCGGGAGAGAGGAGGCAGATTGGTACAGGCGTCGCTTGGGAGAGTATCGCTGGACACTCAGCGTCAGCTCAAAGCCTGGCGAGGGTCACAAGGGTTTGACGGAGTTTGCTATGGGTATGCTCGATATCTCAACTGGGTTGCTAAAGCAGTTGCCGGAGAAGCCGCTGCTAAGTAGAAGTGGGAGTGCGGTCAACGTTGGGGCAGGTGTCAATGCCGAAGTGATGAGGAGCCAAAGCTTGCTTGCTTTGGGGACGGGTACTGGATCGGCACAGAGAGGCGGGTATGGTGTTGGTAGCCCTGCATCTTCTGGGTTCGGGCGCATGGGCAGTATGAGCGGATTTAACGAGAGTTATGTCCGAGGAGGACCGGATCGAAGATATCAGCAACCGGCGAGAGGCGATGCGAGCGGTGTGCAGAGCCCGAGGAGTATAAGTAGCGACAGCAGCGATGAAGGCGGATATGGGAACTTTTCGGTGACGGCGGGAATGGCTGGGCTGGCGGACTGAGCTACGATGAACTTGCATGGAGGTATCTGTTGTAGTTCAGGCGGAGGAAGGATCTGACTACAACATTGGAGGTTTGTCTGGCGACGACAAACGAAGTAAGGAAACTAGCATTTTCATATTCGTATGCGGCTGCAGATGAAACGAATCCTGGAAAATTGTGCAAGATTAAAAAAAAAACCGATCAGAGAGGCGGCTCTGGCTGGGAGGCGGGGGTTGTCTCAAACTCCCGTTGTTCAGGACAAACGCACCTTTTTGATTAAGCCTCCTCAAAGCCGCGGAGATACATTCACCAAATGCAATAAATTTGCAGGTGTTGCTGGACGCCAAACGCAGGCGCGCGTGTCACGGAAATAATCAACCCCATGGCGTGCGAAAGCACGCGATGCTATTCCCCCAAAATGGGTGCCGATGACGTGCTAATAAGGCTGAGTGGTGCGGGCGCTGGGCGGGTCTTCCATACAACATTACACAACACAGCACAACTACCACCTACCACTCAGAGACAACAGACCCCGTACAAAAGTGTGTCGTCAACAACAGACAATACAATGTGTCGACAACAGCAAAACAGCATGTAGCAAAGACCAGACAGGAGACCCGTCCCACTGCCGTCGCCAACTGCTCGGTCCAGTCATTAGTACACTTTCCTTGCCCCGTCACTTTCTTCCAACCGTCTCCCTTTCTCTTTCCTGGTGAAGACGGACTCGGGATGGAAAAAAAAAAAAAAAAAAAAAAAAAAAAAAAAAAAAAAAAAAAAAAAAAAAAAGGGTGGTTACACGAACGTCTCGTTAACAGAACTCATTCTCGCCCTAGTCCATCACTCGCTCGGAAGAGAAGGGTGACACGAAGGAGGGGCTCGCTCGGTTGTCGAGAATCCACGAGCGAAGAGGCATGCTAGTATGATCAAGGTTTCCATTCTCTTTTCCCAACTATTTTCTTTTGGCGACTTTCACGCAACGAAGGAAGCTAGCTGAGTGGCATGTTTGGTGGCAGAAGTCGATGGGTAGCCAAGGGGCTACCAAGATGTAGATGTTGATGATGTACATGAAGCACGGAAATGGGTTACTAGACCCGATGGATGGATGGCTCATGAGAGGAAAGAGATGCCGTTGATACCCTTAGGGTTGTTGTTGTTGTTGTTATTGTAGTTTTCGTTCTTGTCTTTCTGCTTTTTTTTTTTTTTTTTTTTTTTTTTCCTGTTTACGACTTCCTTCATCTTCTCCTCTTGTTCTTGACTGTTGTCATCAGCAAGGCGGCCAGGCCAGAGTTGTTAGCTTGGATGGACTTTTTTGGGGTGTTCTTTTTCTTCTTCTTCTTCTTCTTCTTCTTCTTCTTCTTCTTCTTCTTCTTCTTCTTCTTCTTCTTCTTCTTCTTCTTCTTCTTCTTGCATATATACCGATAGATTTGCTGCGTTTTCATCTTGGTCATCAATTCAGTTTGAACTTGCCAGGTCTTTTCTGTTCATCTTGTGATAGTGGACTGAGCCCTGTGATACCGGACGCACTTGGCGATGTAGCATGTCGATAAATTCGAGGACATTTGAAGAAAACTCGGACTTGACTAAACCTACCTTGTTGTTGGTGATCATTAAAACCATGTTCACTCTCTTTTTTCAGGTGTACTTGTAGTCGTTTATTTGCTCCACAAAAACACGATATCATAATCTCCAAGGTGTGTCAATTACCTTGTCCCTTCCTTGCTCCGTCGGGGAATCTGGTTGACAAAAAAGTAGGCTTACTACTTCAGTCAGAGGTGTGGTGTGTCCGAAGAGTTTTTATCAGCAAGGAGGTGAACATTGAAGATTAGTTAGTAAGATTATATACACTGCGTAGAATGTTATTCTTAAATTACTTGGTAGGTAGGCAGAAAGTCTATAACTTCCATCTCTCTCGGACAAGTATATACATATATACATTCACACATATAGCTCGGGTATTTTCGAGAACAGCCGTGTTTGTACGAGGCTTAGCAGGCGTGTTTCCTGGATTTCAACAGCACGGAGGCTTTCCAACAAGTGAATGTTAATTCTGTCGAGGTAGACCCCTAAAGCTACACGGAGATTCACTTTGCTCGAGCCTCAGATAGCAATTCCACCATTCGGGAACGCATAGATTGAAAAGTCGCGATCATAGATGGCAATACTAGTAGTATATTAGTAGTATGTTACAAAAGCCCAACACGACTGAGAGAGGTCGCCAGCACCGATAGATAATAAACAAGCAGAAACGATTTCATATTATACTATCAAATACAACGTGTACAACGTGGAGGACCAGCGCCTCCCAACCCACTCTATCTGGTGAAGACACAAATATCAGAGTGTCGAAGTGCTGCTACTGCCAATCGTATGCACCGTGTTGCAAACTATGCCGCTAGAGGCAACGGATAGCCTTCATACTCCTTCCCAAGCCATTTCCTAATTCCGTCGCTGATCGGTACATGCAATCATGTCGCAAACTACTTTCGCTAGAGGTCAAATAACCTTTACCCCTTTACCCCTTTATCCTTTCTACCTGAATCTGTGCTTCCCAACACCCCCTTCCGAGCTACAGGGAGCAATACTGAAGCATAAATCACCAAAGTCACTTCTCAGGAATGAAAACCTACTTCTTCCCCTTCCCCTTCTTCTTCCCACCCCCCTGTCCTCCATTCGCACTCGACCCCTCCCCAGCAGGAATCAGCACCGTCCCCCCTTCCTCCAACTCCTCCGCCGTCACTTGTCCCTCCTGCTCCATACTCTTGAGTTTATCCTGAGCACTAATAAACATGGATAGATCATGATTGGTTTCCTTCAGCTCCTCATTTTGCTGCCTCAACATATTCAACTCCTCCTGCGTCTTTTCGGCCTCCTTCTCCATATGCTTGATCCGCTTCATCAACCCCTCCCCTACTCTTTTCTCCTCTTGGAGTTGTTTCGACAAGTTCCTTGCCAGCTCCGTGCTTTTGTCGGCTCGCTTGCGCTCGCGCGTGAGGTCCCGCTCTAGAGAGGCGACCTCTTCCTTGAGTCGGAAATGCTCCTCTTTGAAATCGGTCAACTCTTGGATGGCACAGGCAGAGGCGGCCGAGGCGGCGTCTGCGGCTGCACATGCTTTGGAGGCTTTGTCCGCTGCCTTGGCGACCATTTCCTCAAAGTAGATGCGTTGTGACTCCAGCTGCGAGGTGAGGAGATGCGTGTATTCGAGCCCGATGCTGTCCAGCTTGGCGCGGGGGACCACTTCTTGGTCTTCGGGTACCGGGGGATGGGGTAGAGGCGCGCCCGTAACCGCCGCCATGGTCTCTTCTTGGGAGCTCCATGCCGGGGCAGGGGCACGCGCAGTGTTGTTGCGTTCTGAAGACGTGTTGTTGTTGTGGATATGATGACTAGGGAACTCGACCACTTTGCCCTGGCCCTTTTCGCGGATCATGCGGTGCACCCACATGTCGCCCGCATAGTCCCAGACGTGCTGGGTTTCCATCTCCAGGCTGAAGCTGTGGGCAGTTTCCTTCCAGTGCTGTTTGGCGTGACCGCCCTTGTACCGGCCGCACCCAACGTTGCCGCAGATCAGGCAGATCCAGAGGTCCGAGGGTTCGTCGCAGACGCTGCAGAGGTTAGATACAGGTCCCGAGCCGAAGGGTCGCGAGTACGGGTTTTCCGGGTTGCTTTCCTCTGCAGTAGGCTTGGGATTGGTGGCGCGGCAGATAGGGCAGCCGAAGCCTTTCCAGGTTTGGAGACAAGTGCAGTGAAAGACGTGTTGGCAGAGGATGGTCATGAGACCGGCTGTATCGTCCATACGCTCAAGACAGACAGTACAGGTTGGTAGCTCGATCAGATTGGGGGTAGGGGGAGGGAAGGGTCGCAGGTTGAGGGTGTTGCTGGGTGAGGGAAGGGTGTCGGCTGGATTGCCATTTCCGCCCGCGTTGCTCGTGGTCGTGCTGTAACCTTTCTGGCCGCCAGGTGATTCCACGGTGATGGACTGGATGTAGGCGACATGACAAAACTCGGTCTGTGTTTTTGAGAAGGTTGACATTAGCAACGCCAGGAAATCATGTAGTCCAGCAGTCACTCACCTCGATACTGTCAAATGGCCTCCCATCAAACTGAACCCTAAAATCCCTCGCCCTCTGCGGATCCCGAAACTTCATTAAAACCATGTACCGATTCAGCTTGCTCGTCATAATCATCCTGTAGTGGCTCACGTCATCGCGCCACTTTTCTCCTATGAAGCCCAGGAAGTCACTCGGACTCATGTACATGGGAACGGCGGTGACGCAGAGAATAGTGCCGTCGTCACCGCTGCTAGCAGTTCCGTTGCTACCGCTGGCGCTGCCTGCACCCACCCCGGCGCGAAGAGCACTGCTCTCATCGGCCTCGCGGTACAGATGGACGATGCCCCATCCAACCTCCGTGTTCTTGGTTTCGAGGGGGATGTATCGTCCCTTGGTGGCCTGGCCCATGCCACCGAGGTTCGGGCCTAGAGAAGCCGCTGGCGTACCGTGGGACGCACGTTCTTGGTTGCCATTTTTCTCCTGTTGGGATTGCTGTCCTTGATCCTTCAGTGACTCAGCCATTGCTGACTTGTTGTTCTTGGCTGCTACCGGTTTTCCAGTTCCAGCAGTGGTGCTGTGGGTGTCTTTCCCTTTGCCTTTCTTCTGATTATTGTCCTCCGCTGCGGTTTGTGCGTGTCGCTGCAGATGCCCGTCCCGTGGCAGATCAAGGCTCTCGATGCTGATCCTTCCAAAGCGCCAGTCCTTAGCTGCCGTCCGTGGCCCTAGCCCAGACGTGAATCTTGGCGGAGGAGAAGTCGCGCGAGATTGCTTTCCTGAAAGCCTGACGATGTTCCTGTTGTCTTCGGGGTTCTGGCAATCTGGTCTGGATGCCCCGCAATCGATAACTCCGCCGGTTTCCGTCCCTTCCTCCGCCTCTGGGTCTGAGCTGTCGTTGAGAAGTCCCAAATCTGACTCTGGCAAGGCTCGAGGAATTTTTTCCGAATGACTCTTCTCCTCTTGCTCTTCAATTCGCCCTTCTCCTTGGATGATATCTCGATTCTGTTTCCTCCTGGACGATGGCCTTGAAGACAAAGATTTGAGCTGCCAGGTACGAGGGTGGGCGGGGAGCTCGTCAAATATGGACGAGTCCTTGGTGGGTAACCAGATATCGGGATTGAATGCTGCGGCGGGCGCGCTATGCGTCGGATCTGGCGAGGGGTAGAGCTCAAACTTCAAATGATAGCGGTAGACAGGCATGGCATATTCATGGTATGACCGCAAAGAAATGATTCCTTGTTGTGATGGTCGAGGAACGATAATGCTTTGATGAAAAATCTGGTGAAAGTGTAATATCGAAAGTTTTGCGTTGACTGTAAGAGTGACAGAGCAAGAGAAAGACAAAGAAGGATTAAGAAGATGAAGAGTCGATTAAAACACCCTGGACGCGGGCCTTACGTAAATCACAGTCGCCGATGCCTATCTCTGCAGGTTCATGTGTGCCCAAACTCCATGCAATGATGGTTCTTGCCCTGGTGATTAAAGAGGATGAGAGGTCAGATGCGCTTGTTCCGGATGTCCTCTTTCACATTCAACCTTCCATAAACTACGAAGTTGACGTTGGACGTTGGATCGTCCTGTACAGGGGGGAGGGAGGGCTCCACGGCCGGACTAGCGCGGACTGAACTCTGCGGTCGGTACGTACCTTCAACGTATGATGCATCTTTTGTCCGCCAAAAACAGGGCGCCACTTTCGGCCACGCAGCGATCACCTCGCACGGTGTGTAACAGCCCACTGCACCACCATCTCGACTTACACGTCCGACTCCATCCCCAATTGACCAGCTGGACTGGCTGACTGGAATAACAAAGCTCACGAGTTGGAGACAAGCAAATCACCACGAGATATTTAGTTTGAGACTGTAAATATAGGTAGTCTTGATTATGGCATCGCTGTACGTATGAAGCGTGTGCCATTAGATTCGGCTAGATATGCCCTGTTTCATGGTTGTCATCATTTCCCAACCCATGGTGCAATAGGTAACCCAATAAACGCTGAACGCCCAAATGAACCCTTCCTCGTCAAGAATCAGAAACAAAGACGACAATCCGCTTACTGGCCGCCACGGAGACGCAGCACCAAGTGAAGAGTGCTCTCCTTCTGAATGTTGTAATCAGAGAGGGTCCGGCCATCCTCCAACTGCTTACCAGCAAAGATCAGACGCTGCTGGTCAGGCGGGATACCCTCCTTATCCTGGATCTTTTGCTTCACGTTGTCAATCGTATCCGAGGACTCGACTTCCAGCGTAATCGTCTTGCCCGTCAGGGTCTTGACGAAAATCTGCATACCACCACGAAGACGGAGCACCAAGTGCAGGGTGCTCTCCTTCTGAATGTTGTAGTCGGAGAGGGTGCGACCATCCTCGAGCTGCTTTCCAGCGAAAATGAGACGCTGCTGATCAGGTGGGATACCCTCCTTGTCCTGAATCTTTTGCTTCACGTTGTCGATGGTGTCGGAAGATTCAACCTCGAGAGTAATTGTTTTGCCGGTAAGAGTCTTGACGAAGATTTGCATACCACCGCGCAGGCGGAGGACAAGGTGGAGGGTAGACTCCTTCTGGATGTTGTAGTCGGAAAGGGTGCGGCCATCCTCCAACTGCTTGCCGGCGAAAATCAAGCGCTGCTGGTCGGGGGGAATGCCCTCCTTGTCCTGAATCTTTTGCTTAACATTGTCGATGGTATCCGACGACTCGACCTCGAGGGTGATGGTCTTGCCAGTCACTGCGAAGAGATGGTTAGCATAGGTCGGTCGATGGCTAAGTGATGATGCGGTGAGCGTGCGATAACTTACAAGTCTTGACGAAAATCTGCATGATGGCGGTTGTGCAGTAGACGGATGGACTGTTGATGGATGAAGCGGAATGACTAGAATCGAGTGGCGGGAATGATATGTGCGTGGATAAACACTCCTGCGATGATGGCGATGGAGAGAGATGGTGAAAACGGGAGAAATGGAATCGGGGATGCAGGTGGGCGGGGAGGATTAAATAAGTAGGTTCAGGTGCTGGCTGCGGCGGAAGTGGCAGGAATCAGGATGGCGAACTTGGAGGGGCCAGGCTTCCACTGCCTGGAAAGGGAAGCGAAGCGGGGGGCTGAGTGAAGGGGAGAGGTGACTGGAGTGGAAGCGGAAAGGTGCCAGGTCCGTCCATGTCCCAGGTCGATCGTCACTGGTCCGTTTGCAACGCCTGCCACGGTGTGAGTGGTGTGTCACTCACCTTCACTGACAGGCCACGCACAAGCCACTTGGCGGTTGGGAGTGACAGAGAAGTGGAGGGAAGGCGCGAGAAGGGGCCAGTCAGACGACAGTTCCCCCCTTGACTGTTGGCTGTTGCCCGTTGGCAGGAGTGGTTGGACATCCCCCCAACAGTGACCGCGGCTGATTGATCGCACTGTCGACGCCTTCTGCAGTGGCGGGCACTCGCCCAGCCGTTTGCCCGTCAATGCGTCAGTCACCTCAGCCGGGCTGTTTGCCCTGCTTCAGTTCAGTTAGGTTCTCTCTGGATGAATAAGCCAAAGAATGATCTGCATGTGGCTGGACGACCTTGGAGTTTGTTTACAAATCCGTGAGTGCCATCTCGACTTCTCGTTACTTGCCGGCATCTCGACATTCTTCTCTCCATGATATTACAATAGTTTCCTCTATCAGGTTGTTGCTGGCCTCTTGCTCGATGCCTCACACAGCAGCAGTCCAGCTGGCATCATGGAATATCGACGTCCACCTTGCTGGTTCCCCGCATTTGATAAGCGAACCCCCCAAGAAGTGAGCGGTCAATGACGTGGTCCGATCGAGGGCACCGAGAGGCAAACAGGGAAGAGTGAACTGTTGCATCGCAATTTTCCAGCAATGGAGGAATTGACCAGAAGACATGGAGATGATTGTAGAAAATCACAGAGGCCTGGGACTTTGTTTTTAATCAACACCGCAAAAGAGTGTCACCAAAGGGGTCGAGGTGTTGGTCGTCGAACGAAAGAACGACCGGACGGGAGGTGCATCCCGGCCAGGCATCGTTTCAGCTCCAGACAGTGAAGGGGCGAGTCAGCTGGCACTGTAAACCACAATGCTCAGCTGCAGTGGTGTCACGGACTCACGGTTGGTCCTGCCACCGACCTTTAGGCTGCTGAGGTAAGCGCTCCGTCTGGTGCGACGATGAGCTTCTCCATAACACATGGCGGGACACCGACAACTGAACCGGACGGGAACGGGGAGGTACCAGGTACTTATTCTCTTTCGCTTTTCTATCGGCTTTCCGACCGACCGTGGCTGCTGACGCCGGCAGAGATTCAAGACCGGTGACAGATGGGAGACCTCCTGACTGCAGTGCCTGGCCATAAGGGTTCCCGTCCCACCAGCCCCCGACCGATGATGTCGTGACTCCGTTCCTCCCGTTATCGCCCAGCATTATCGTGGCCTCTTTCTTGGCTCCACCGCCCCGCACTTTAGGAGGGTCGCTCCGCTATTGACAGTCTCCAACCTCCGTTCACGCATGATCCATATCGCGAGTTACCATCATCGATCAGAATGCTGGGTCCTTTACGCACGAGTGTAATATGTACAGTAGAGGAGGTAAGTTGTGCAGCGCAACATCACAAACTCCTGGAGCCAGGTGACGAGTTCCGCCCTGCCCGCCAGGCCCCGCCAACCACCTCGGGTGAGACCGGAGCCGGCATCACCTCCTGCACGGGATCCCGGGGACTCCCGTCTTCGCAAATGCGGGAATCGTCCTTACGGTCCGTTCAATACACCCACTCGACTCGGGTTGTGACATCCCATGATCGGATGACAACCATGAGCGTCATCAGATTGGTACATGATACTTTTTATTGTCAATGCGAGTAGTGAAAAAGTTCAATGCAGGTGCCTGAGGTGGTTGCCGTTCGCAATCGTTATCACACTGATCTTGAGTACTTATGTACTCGTCTGGCCTAGGCTCTATCGTAAGAGTTGGAATGCATTTTTCCACTCATCCAGAACCAACGAGCCAACGGCTTTCTTTGCGTGGTAATGACTTGCGTCTTTGAAATAAACCAAGTACACAAACACCAACTCTCTTCGTTTTTCTCTGATGAGGGAACATTGCCTGCTGTAGTACACTCAACAACAACATCACACCAAAACAATCACTCGAACAGCGTGATACTCATTAACAATAACCAATAAATATTTCTCGAAAAGAGGATTTCTCGCCTAGGTCGCGGTTTGCCCGCGCGCGCTTAAGCAAGAAAGTCCACCTATCAATCCATATCTATATGTAGGTAAACCAAAAAAAAAAGACCAAATCAGATAGACAAAAAACGCCAAGGTACCCAATGCAAACCCATTTTCCTCCTCTTCCTCCCCTTTGAGTTGTGCTTTTCTTCGGTCCAATCAAACAACCCTTTCCACTCTCGCTTACCCTCCTTCATCCCATGCCCTTCCTTTTCCCGTGAGCGACTTCTCCTCTCCCAACTAAACTATCAAAAGTGCCAGACATGCAGATCGTGCTGGTTTGAACTTTTTTGCGCTGTATGCGTAGTAGTGTATGGTGTGTTTTGTGTAGATTCGTTGGGGTTTCGTCAAATGTGTAGTCATCAAATATTGATCCGTCATGATGGGACGTCAGTCATTTCGTATCGTGTTGTTCGCGGTGGTGACCAGCCACCAAGTGAGTGTGCGCGGCCAAAAAGAATGCCACAAAGAATAACAGAGAAGGGGAGATGGTTGACTATAGAAAATAGTAGCCAGAAAGAAATAAAGATGAGAACGCCGTCGCTCAATGGCCCCATGAGATAAGGATAAAGAGGAAAACAGGAAACCGGAACAGACCAGCTCTTGCGAGCTTTGCTGTAAAGTGCTGTAACCGTAACGTGGATAACGGGTATCGCAACCAAAAGAGGCAAAGTGCAGCAAGCAAGAAAACAACCTTAGTTGGCCCGAATGACCAGCTTCGACAGGAACTTGTTTGATAGTGAGTCAAAGTCATAGCGGTCAAACTTGGTTTCTTGACGGGTCCTAAGGTAGGATTCTGTTATCGCGCGGTTAGTATGTAGGGTCACACCATGCTGACATTAAATGAGGGGTCATCACTCACCATGCTTGAGGACATGCTGTCTAACTTCGGTCATGGCCTCGCAGACGGCAACGTTATTATTAAGCAGCTGACCATGCCTGCGAGTATCCCACTCCGTGAAGGCGGGCAGCTTCTGAGAGATGGCGTGGAAGAGGCCAACAATGACACCAACAGGAGTAGACTCCATATCGTCACAGAACTTGTTGACAGCGATAGGGTCAGGCACACGGTAATGGCAGTCGAACTGGATCTCCTCCCAGACAGCCAAGAGGATGGCAGCCAGCATGAAGATAGTAGGCCAGTTCTTGAGACGCTCTCCGCTGTAGACCGAAGAGTAGAGAGCAGAGAGCTCCTCGAGAACCTCCTTCTGGAGCTCACGCCACATGTCGGCCATGGCGCACTTGATCTGGAAGTTGATCATGACAGGGGCGACAACCTTGCCAAAGTATTTGGAATCCTCGTCATCGATCTGACCCTCCATGGGCTGCTCCGTCGGCGGCTGCTCAACCATGGTAATGTGAAGAGTGAGGTTGTAAGCCACAACAAGCTTGAGCGCCTTGCGAATGACAGGCAGGCGCTCCTTGACGTAGAACCTATGAGCGGTCTTGAAGAGTTCGGTGATGAAGGGAGTACCTTCGAAATGGTCATCAATGAACTGCTCGAAGCCCTCATCGACATGCTTGTCGAGGTACTCGGAGAGAGCCTCCACTGAGACACCCTCATGACCAACGTCGAGGCGCTCAGTGCGAATCTCAAAGTCGATAGGCTCCTGGTCAGTCAAGGTAGACTCGACCCAGTCGACTTGGAAGCAGCTCTCGTCGGCAACAAACACCTCGCGAACCATGACAGGGAGGCAGAAACCGTAGCCGTGGGTGATCCACATGAGGGTCTCCTTCTGGGCAAAACCCTTGACGTTGAAGACGGACATGCCGCGGCCGAGGTGACGCTCGTAGTCGGCCTTCCAGTCCTTCATAAAGTAACCAATATCCTTGATATCGATGCGAGTGCAAGGCACCTGCCACAAACGAGCGTGAGAAGGCTGGCACCCGGCGCAAGGCTCACCCTTGTCGCAGGTCTTCTTGAGGAACTTGCAACGGAGGCAGGCCCGGAGCTTCCTGATCTCGCTGGCCTGCTTACGCTGCTCAGGAAGGAGGGGTCCACGACGCCTGCCAACCTTCTTTTCACCAGTGCCGTCCTTCTTGCCAGTCGAGTTAGTCCTACGAACGATGGTCTTGGAAGGCTTGGCAGTAGGGCTCTTTCTCGGGCCAGTGATTCTCCTCGGCGGGGGCGAGACCGAGCCAGAGCCGTTGGCAGTAACGGCCCTGGAAGAGCCGGCCTTGATAGGGACGGGAGCAACGGCGGAAGAGGGGCTAATCTCGGTGGGCTGAGGAGAGTGGTGGTGGTGGTCACCGGAGCAGCAACCGTGGCGGTTGTTGGTCATATCCATGAAGCCATCGGACTCGGTGGAGAAGGGCGAGTAGGGGAAGGTAACTTCCTCGTAGCTTCCGAACTCGGTAAAGTCAGACTGTTGTGAGAGTTCAGATGTGGTCCTCAAGTGCAAAGTCTGGCCGGGGTTGAAGATGGCGGTATTTTGCGCAGGCTGGGGCTGGGTGAAGTTGTTGTAATCCTGAAACAAAGGCATGTCCACGGTAGCCCAGCCATTGTCGCTTCCAGAGTGCAAAGACAGAACTTCCAGAAAGCTGCCCGTGGGCGAGTGGCTTCCCATGGGCATCCGGGCAAGTTCGTTATGCTGGTTGAAGTTCATGGCCATCTCAAAATCCTGCCAGTTCGCCATTTGCGTGCCCGTACCCGTGCTCCACTGCAGTTGCTGGCTGGTCTCCTCGACCGGAGAGATAGCGTGGTTGAAAGGGGCCTCCAAATGAAGCGTGTTTTCGATGGCGGCCTGGGTGGTGGCGGGGAGATAATCGAAAGCGCTGGGCTGGTGGAAGTTGGGCATGAAGTGGTTGGTGAGAGCAAGCAGAGGCTCGTTCGAGATAAACTGAGGCATATCAGAGACATGTTGCTGCTGCTGCTGCTGCTGTTGCTGCTGCTGCTGCTGGGTCTGCATGGGGAAAGCGGTCCAGTCGGGGAACAAGTGGGTGCCGGTCTGCAAAGGCGAGTGCTGGAGAGGCGAGTGCTGTTGTTGCTGAAGAGGGCTGGACATGACGCTATTCCCAGGCGACTGGCAATTCTGGTCCTCGGGCGACGAAGGCGACATGCTGCTGCTTGGCGAGTGGATGGAGTTGGGTGCGCTCATTCCTCCGGACAGATCGGCCGGGAGCCAAGTGGCACCCGGGCTAAGGCTTTGACGGGCGCTTTGGGACATGGTGGTCAGCGCGGTTGAGGTGATGTTCTGGGGTGATTGGGTCGAGGTGATGATGGGATAGTAGCGCTGGTGGTCTTGCTGGTCGAAGGCCAGTTGTTCTAGCAAGACGGCGTCTCCCCCAGCGGCAGTGAAGTCGTAAGTCATGATGGCGGGAGCGGGAGCGGGAACCAAGGGGTGAATGGGGTTTTGTTCAGGCGAGGATGAGGTGGACTGGAGATTTTCCGTTAGTATGGATCGGCCTTCCGTCTGGCCTCGTTTCGATCCGAGTGCGTATGCGTGGAATGCGTGGGCGTGAGTGGGCGTGGACGGCGTGGATGGGCCGTGGATAGGCGGCTGACAAGTCCGGGGGACGTGGACAACGGAGAGGACCCCAAGAGCGTGGATGTGGACGTGGCCGTGGTGGACGACGAGGGTGAGGGGGGTGACACCGCTCTTTTCTCGATCAACGATGAGTCGGTCAAGAAAGGATCATGACAAGGAACCGTCGCAGAGAAGCAGAAGAAGAGCAAAAAGGCACCTGGCCGAGGCTACCTGTACCTGATCTTCTTTTGTTTCTGTTTTGGTGAGGGTCGAACTGGGCGTTGCAAAGAGACTCGTTTCTGACTCCTTCACTATGCGTCGTAAAGTGTGAAGAGGGGATAAAAATGGACAGAGTGAAAAGAGAATCACACAACCACGACACTCGCACACTTTTGATCAATTTCCAGCGCAGCGTGGAAAGGCGAACAGGGACGCCGGCGCTGGCTTGGCTGCGTTGTGTGTGGTCTGGTCGTCTGGGAGATGGAGACAACGCTTTGCTGGGTCGAGAAATGGCTCGACGAGGAGGTGGAGGACAGAGTCTAAGCGGGTGGAGAGACCAGGGGAAAAAGAGGATTGGAGGAGGGAGGCTGGCTCCAGCCCACTTGAGAGTGAGCAAGAAACCCGGCACGGCCAACTGAGAGTGATGGATGGTGCTCTCGTAGAGTGCCAATGGTGCACCGTCAACCCCTCGCTCACCCACTCACCACAAAAGTTGAAGGCAAAGAGAGTGAGCGAAAGACAGAGAGAGTTCCTTCCTCACTCAACGCTGAAGAGGCGGTGAGGGTGCATATACAACCCCAGTAAGAGGACAACGTTGATTGGACTGTCTGGATGCGTGCATGGTTCCAGGGCCAATCAGTTCGTCCCATGCTTAACGGGAATGGCCTGCCACTCGTCGCTGCCAGCACCTGGGCACGGCTCCACAGACGCCATCTCCCCACTGCCTCCAAGGTTCTTTTCGGTTTCCGTCCTACTTCCACTGACTTTGGGCAAGAGCTTCTTCATGTTCCAGAGACTGGACCACCAGTCCAACCTCGTCGCACTGTAACAAGACTTCAACTTTGTGGTTACACCATTTCGTGACGAGGAGCGATAAGCCCCGCTTCTCCTCGCACAACACCTAGGTTGGTTCAACATTGGACAATGCCCTGGAGGAACGGAGAAAAGGACGAATGGAACAAAGATACATACATAGATAGCTGGCTATCTGTAGTTGTAATCGGACCCATTGTGGGATATCAAAAGACGTTGTTGGGGGACTTAAAACACTGGCCTCAGGGGTACAGTCCCCGGTATGTCTTCAACGTTGTTGTCGAGGCCAGAAGACGAGACCCAGTGCCAACAAACCAGACATGGGCCTTGACCATAACTTGGGCTCTCGTGTTTTTCATATCTACCTGCAAGAATAAAGGACGGCAACAGCCAACCGAAGCCAAGCTGGCACTTGGGAGAGGCGAGTTCAGCTTTTGGCACAGACATGGTATAGTCCATAATACTATTTTCAAGCGAAAGGCAAAAAAATGCCAGGAAGGCCCAGCCGGAGAGAATCCCCCACCGTGCAAGCGATCCCATCCCAACCTGCTGCCTGTCTACACTAGTACCCAAGTCAGTAGTTGGTTGAAAGCAGCTACGGAGTCCGGAATATGGCCCGGAGCCTGGGAGTGCCTGGACAAAACTCCAGCTTGAAAAGGAAGAAAAGGCGGCTCCTGCCGACAACGAGCTGGTTTCAAAGGTAGGGTTATGCTGGCCTACCACTTCGCGAAATTGCGGATCGAATCGACTTCTAGCGATTCCTGCCTGACATGCCATAAAACAACAAATCACCGACTCCTAAGGATCATCCCGACAACGCATGTGCGAGTCTGTAAGAATCATTCCTCGCCTAATGCCTCTTTTATCTGTTTTTTTTCTTTTTTTCTTTTTCGTTTTTTTCCTCGGTCCTCAAGTTTGTCATGCACACCAGAAACGGGGGAGCGAATCTTGGCCTTTCTTGAAGAGTTGAGACCTGTGGGACGTGGCCGTTTCCGGCTTGCCCCATCACTCCAGCGCTCTCCTCCTAGCAAGGTTAGAAAGCGTCTCCGTCATGATCGAATCGTATCGCAGTCGCCACGACGTTGCCAGGTTGCGTTCCTCTTCACACAAGGTGCGCATGGTGGCTGACCCTTCCACCACCTCTCACAACAGTCTTCTCTGGAAGTTGCCCTGCACCAAACTCTGTTGCTATCCGCCCTTGTCACACGCTCTACAGCTGCTGGAATCGTCTGGGCAGGCTTAACTGCCGGTGTCATCGCCATACATTGTACGGTATACCCGGCATGTTTCGAGTGACAAAATCAGCTTGGTCAGGGTCTCAGACATCCAGATCTGGCCAGAAATCCCCGGTTCTCTTGTTATCTGTCATCCCAATCGGGCCCGGAGTCCGCTTGAGAGACGTGGTGTTCAGTCTGAACTCTCCAACTCAAGTTGGCTGCAGCTCTTTCTCCCCCCAAAGTTGATATTCAAGGTCGTGAAAAAAGTCTCGACCGGAGTCAACGTCGTCTACCATATGATCTTGATCAACTCACCAGCAAACGTCCACGGACACAGACAGAGATTGCACCCTCCGTCGGCAATTGTGTGATAAAAGGAGGGGAGCACAGCATAAATTGACACCGTGCACCGGCTCCGTCATTGCGGCGCAGTCGATGAAATGGCCAATGGATACCTGAGAAACAATAAGAGGCATGTCGTCGCCGGAGAAGCTCTGGCCGCAAGTACTCGCACAGTGGCTGTTGCTGTCGTCTGGACGCAAACTGGCAGGCCGTCAGTCTTCTCGGTCCCGGTCGGTGGCTTGTTGCATTCGGCTCACTGAGCTGCGATACTAGTGGACGGAATATGTACCTGCCACCCATTTAACTGGTCCAAGTGTTCAAGCTCTTTTGGGAATGGAGCCGGTCCCTGTCAGCGAGAGCTTTCCCCACGCTAGCTAGGGTCGATAGATCCACTCGGCTTGTGGAGACCCCTCTCGCTCCTGGGCCGGACCCTGAAAAAGAGGAGCTGTTGCAACCTTTGAAAGAAGCTTAACCTGCCCGTAGCGTTTGTTCCTGCTTCTAATGGCATCCTTCTGTTGAAACGAAACCAAACGAAACATACGTATAAGGACACACCTCATGAGGAAACCATGAGAAAGTTTAGTGTCACCCATCAAGCAAGAGAAGATTTCCATTTCGACATCTTTGAACCTTGCGTGCTGGAGCCTGATCAGAAGCTCCTGATGCGGCCTGTACACTAGTGTGTTCCTCTCGGGATCGGCAGACTCAAACGAGTCAAGTCTTGGTCTAGAGGGACGGGGGACTTTTTCACCGTGGAACCCGTGTCGTTCGTCCGAGAGATCCAGGATACCTTCGGATTTTGAGCCTCAGGATGGCACTCAAAGAGGAGAAGAAGCCCGCTAGTGCGCTCGCTACCGAAAACCCTGGCTGTGGCCACTGTCAAAATATCGAGCCAAACTCAACAAAGAAAAGCTCTGTTCGTAACGAGCAAGAAACATGTGTTTTTGTGCTCGGGGTTGCCTGCTCCATGTCTTTGGTGCGTAGATGTCCCCTGAATAAAAAACGGCACGAAAGAGCAAGAGATGGAGATCAATGGCGTGAGATACCGGCATTCTTGTCAATCCAGCTGCTGGGTCGGTCAAACCAACTTTGACGCGGGCATCTGTGATAGGGGTATAACCTGGATGGTTCGGAAGCAACGTGGTCGAATCTCTCCGGCAGTGTTTGCGGGTGTTCGCCGGGGTTGTTGCCGTCGTTGCCGGTACAAGTGCCGCGCATACGGACCAACATCCGAATGCTTGACGACGAGCCAGGGAATTGTGGATCCAGAAACCGATCAATGTCTCCGAAGACCATTTTGTGGGAATACCGTAGAGACGGCGGAAATTGGCGAAAAGGCCATCCCTCTTTAAGCACACGAAGCAGCATACATATGTTCGCTCAGTTAATGTGCTGCCCAGCACTATCTTGCCTGCGTTTCAAAGCACAGGCTCGGACTTGAGCGATAGAGGTCTGTCAGCACCCTGTCTGATTTCCTGGGTTTTCAGGCATTAGCCTTTTGCCAATTTCCTGAGTCTCTTGGGTAGTCCTTTCTTGACCCCTATCAAAAGTTTTCACAGATTGCTCGGCAGCAGGGTAGCAGGGCAGTAGGGCAGAAGGATATCAGGAGCTTTTGGACTAGCAGAAACGATTCACTTCTTGCATTCCGGTTTTTTTGTTTTCTCTTTTTCTTGTTTTTTTCGGCTTCAGTGCAGCTCAAGGGTACTTTGGACGGAGTCCATGCGAGCTGATGCACTGCAAAACTGTTCCTGCGTGCGGTGGATCGATGATTGCTAGGCGATTTCACGAAAGGTCCGAGTTCCGCCGTCTCTTGATCCATAGGGCTGACGGCGAGGGCAACCGGTGTGGCAACTTGCAAAGTCCCAGCCCGGGCTCTCCGTCAATGCGGAGCCGTCACCAGTCCCGGAGTCGGCTTCGATATGAGGACCGGGGATTGCCGCAGTCATCCAGACCCAGGACACACAGCATCCTGGGAGCAATTCATGATATTTTATCGCCGTCGATGGCCGCTAGATCTGGCGGCATGCATGGTTTTGGCGATGGAAGATCCGATGTGTTGGCATTTGCTACAGAAGAGGTTGGTTGTGAGTTCGGGTGGCGTTGTGTTAGAGTTAAGAGCCGCAAGGTTGCGTTGAATGTATCGATCCACTTTGAGAAAGAGTTATACAAAATCGAGAGAAAGCGAAGAAATGTCGAGGAAATGAGATGGAAGGGATGCGATGATCACATTCACTGAGCTCAGATTCGGTTCCATCGAGCCTTTCGTCATTCGATACGTCGGGCAGACGAGGGCACGTGCGTCCACAGCTGGACGACAGCTGGCTGATCTCAGATCCCACCCATCACTGCCGCCGTCCGTCCAATAACTGCCCGCCTGAGTGGTGACCGCCACTGAGCGCCCGGCCGGCGGACAGTGATGGACTGTGGACTGGGTGACCCCAACAATGCACGCCGCCATAACAGCGAATGCGAGGGCCGCAAACGTCGACGATCATCCGTCTATTTGTAGCATACCAACCTTAGAGCAGCAGCAAGAACAATAGCAAGTGTGATGAGAGCCTCAACCATTGTGACACCTTCTTCTCACTAAATCTGCCTATTCGATTGATGGTGGTGCGCACAAAGGGAGCGCGGTGCCGGAATCGCGCCATCTTCATTCGCAAGTTTCCAAAGAACAAAAAGGAAAACATGGCCGCCTCCACCACCTCCTCCTTCCCGACCTCCCAAGAGGGGGTCGCTACTTCTTCTCAGCAAAACCTGGACGCCATCACCGACGACGACTTTGAATACGTCGACGAGGAGTTTGTCCTGAGTCATTCCGCAGAGCAACAAGCACAGCCCGAACCCATGATTCCCGACCTGTTCAAGCAGCCTTCCCTGGTGAAGGATGACCTCATCACGGCCACCTCCCAGCTCCAAGACCAAACTGTTGAGCACTGTCTACCCTTCCTGACCGGTGAGGATGGACCTCTCGATCTCAACGACTATGGCCTCCCCAAGCTGAACAGGGACAAGCATATCAAGTTTCTCAAGCAGTCCCTTGGCCCGTTACCAGGTCGCTTCGTTGCAGTGGACGCTAGCAGGCCATGGTACCTATACTGGTGTCTGTCCGGTCTCACCATGATGGGGGAAGATGTGTCCAGTTACCGGGATAGCGTTATCGAGACCGCTCGTACCATGCAGAATGAGTCTGGAGGATTCGGTGGAGGCCATGGACAGACTTCGCACCTGGCTACGACGTATGCGGTCATCCTAGCTATCGCTCTGGTTGGAGGTGAGGAAGCATATGATGTTATCGATAAGAAGGCTATGTGGAAATGGCTATGCTCCTTGAAGCAGCCTGATGGTGGCTTTCAGGTATGCGTGGGAGGTGAGGAGGATATCAGGTGCGTTGGCCCCAGGCCACACTTCTCTTAATTGAACATGTTGACTGACACCACAGGGATAACCGAAAAGGGGGGCATATATCGCGGCTGTGATCATCACTCTGCTCGATCTGCCTCTGGACTTGACGCCAGAATCTCCTGCATATGACGGTCGCTCAAACCTGTTGACTGGTTTAGCGGAATATGTGCGTAGTTGTAAGTGTTACCCTGGTGTTGCATCCTCGTATCGAAACAGAAGAGGCTATGAAGAGGCAGTCAGACTAACATGAGCCCAGGCCAAACCTTCGAGGGCGGGATATCTAGTCAACCCAACAATGAGGCCCATGGCGCGTATGCCTTTTGCGCTCTCGCCTGTCTCGCCATCCTGGACAACCCTCGCCGTATCATTCCAAGGTAAGCAGGCTTGATCACGGTCCTGAGAAAGCATGAAGCAAACAAGCCAGATCTTTCACCACCTGTCTTATAAATTTTCAATTCCAACAATGACAACAAGCACACTGCATTTCATATGCGCATGACCCCCTCTAAGCACCTTCTCATCAGACATACAGACAACTAACAAGTTCTCTTTCCCACCCACCAGCTACCTAGACGTCCCACGCCTCGTCTCCTGGTTGTCTTACCGGCAGTACGCACCCGAAGGCGGGTTTTCGGGACGCACCAACAAGCTGGTTGACGGCTGTTACAGCCACTGGGCGGGTGGATGTTTCCCCCTTATTGAGGCATCTCTCAGTCCCTCCGGCCCCGGTTCCGAGAAGCACAAGACAGCCACCGGTCTTGCGGCTGCGCCGGAGAGTCTCTATAGTCGAGAAGGTTTGATTCGGTATATCCTTTGCTGTTGCCAGGACCAGACTAAGAGGGGTGGACTGAGGGATAAGCCATATAAGTGAGTTTATTTCTTTTTTTTTTTTTCCCTTTTTTTTTTTTTTTTTTTTTTTTTTTTTTTCTTCCTTTCGTTACGCTTTGCTTTGCTTTGCTTCGGATTGAGGTTTCATTGTATTCTACGATCTTACCTCGCTTTACTTTACATTATTTCACCTTACTTTTTACGTCACCTATTTTACTTTACATTCTCTCACCTTCTTACCTCACCTGTTTCAGCTTTCGTCACCTCGCTTCACCTTCGTTTCAGGGCTCCTTAACTTAGCTAACCCACCTCCCCTCTCCACTTCACCTCATCCCCCCTTCAATAACCTCTATCTATGCTAACGCCCCCCCTTCAGAATGTCAGACCCTTACCACACCAATTACGTCCTCTCCGGTCTCTCTTCTGCTCAACACCAATGGGACCTCGACTCCGATCCCCTTCCCCTTCCCAACGGAGATACTACCCCCAGCTTGGCCGCTGTGGGGGCCGATTCCGTCTGGAACGTCTTCCCTTACATTGACGAAAATGACCAGATTTACGAAGACTCGGATCGGGTCAGGCCTATCCACCCGGCTTATGCGATCCCGCAGAAGAATGTGAACGCAATCAGGGCGTATTTCCAGGGAAGAAGTGGGTTCGCTTCCACTTTAGGGGAAGAGTGAGGACAAGGACATTATTGATGGGCAATAGGGAATTGGGTAAATTGAGTAGATTGGGTAGATTGGGATAGAATGGGAGGAAGGTTTCAGTCAGATGGGGTGCTGTGGCTGTCCTTGGGGGAAAAAGGGGCACAGTTATGCGGAATAGTGACCAGGTAGTTTGTGATATCAAGGTAGCGAGTACTTGGTGATGAGTATATATTGTGAAGGACGCTGAGAATAGTATCTTTGCAATAGCCTGCGGAAATGGGCGTACGCTTCCATCCAGGTGGCTGCATCCAAAGCAGGTCGTACACTGGGTAGTATATGTTTCTTGGCATCGTCGGAGATAGACGGGCATGCTTAGTTCGCTACTAAGCCCTCGCGTTGGGTTAACTATGAAAGTAGTCTACAAGCATGCCTAAAATAAGTACAACAAGCAAGGCGGTAATGACATATCAGATTGAATGTCAAGGCTGATCAGTAACTCACATAGCGAAATACAATAAAGCACCAAATATTGCGTGATGTTTGCTCTGTTATTGTTCTCTATCAAGTCCTGATACTGACCAGTCAATCTCATGTCTACAAGCTATCGAGCCTAAGCACCTCAGACACTGCTGGCATTAATAGTATAAGCTTTCTCTTTATACATCACATTGCATGTATAGAGGCTTGAGATACATAAGAGTGACATTGGCGGTCGGAACCAACTATATTTCAGTGCTCTTAAGCTGCCAATTGGTGGCTATATGATATCCTGCAATGCCGTGGGCAAGCCGATGCAGACTTGAAAGGACTGAAAGAAAGATCGTACGAACAAGCACGTCAATGATGGAAGGAACACTTGGCCCGACACCTGGTCATTGTGAGTATAGAGATATTAACGGTCAGTCTTAGTAAGCCCAACATCCGTCTCTTCCCCCCCCCCTATTCAAATGCGATTACTCTCATTCCAACAGCAAAGAGCGGCTCTCGGAAAGGCTTCCGCTACCATGATCATTGGATTCTGTGGGTTTGTCTTGCAAATTTGCAAGTCAGCCTATCAGAGCGCTAGAACAGAAGCAATCGCCAAGGCAAAGCGAAGCCTTCCACTGCACTTCCACCTCGCGGTTAGGCACCCATCCGTTCCGAAACAAAGCGAGACCATAGTGACTGCAGGATACGATGTTTGGGATGGAAATACCCTGGCTTGAGACTTGGGTGAAATGGATTTGACCCTGAAGTGTATCCAACGATCGGTTATTGACTGTCGATATCCGTCGCTGCCCATCCTTTCCATCCTTCCGAGTACGCCACCATCGATTGACTCGTGGAGATATGGAACGAAGGAAAGGGCTGGCTAGATGTAGATGCAGGAATGCGTGCCGAGAGGCCGTGAGCGTACAACACTTTGGGAACATGGCAGTCTATGCACCGCAACAAAATCTCGAGGCCATGGACGATATCCCTGCGGAAAAGTTGTGAGTCAAGACAAGAGAAATAGGCAGGATGTTGCTTTGCTCCCACACTTGACCCTTGTACAGGAATCATGCTGCCGGACAGAACGTCCGGGAAACCAAATCGCATTATGGATCAAGTCGACCACCAAAGGCTTGGAATCCTCAAAGACATCTTGTCAAAGTGGTGTTGCTTGCCATAAATCCTCTAGTAGTGCCCGATATCTGTGTCACTCGCCCGGAATGCTTGTCAGTCGTTCGGTCGGCGGAGGTCTCGAATCAGGATCACAGGACGGTGGCAGAGTGGGGGTTTGGATTAAGAACAAACCAGCTCCAATCAAAGAACCATTCTTAGACGGTCCAATGATATTTTATTAGTTGAGTTTTCATCATCTCGCAGCCTTCATGATGATCAATATCCCGATTATATTCTGGCCGGGTCCTTGGATAAGCACTCGGATAAGTCCCGGGTGGCATCAGTCAATAGTTGCCAATGATAGATATGGCAATGGCTAGAAAAGTCCCCAAGTCGTAGAATGTTGCAGAACTGCTGCTCAATTCTGAACATGCGTGGTTCATGCTCTGTCGTGTAATCTCACCTGTGTTACCGAAATGTGAGCAACGTGGTACATGGCAAGAAGAGGTGATAGTCATTTGGAAGGATGATGATCAAGCGTTGACCCAACCCATGTGGATGGTAACGAGATTGCCATGGAAGCTGTGGGAGTTGCGACAGCAGTCCAAAGGGTGCAAGCCAAACCCCATCAGCCGGCATGATGGAATATAATGGTGATGATTTTTCCGACACCAAGCAGCTTTGCCCGTCTTTGCCGGGCCCTGTTTTTTGTTTCTTGGCAGTCGACGTGATTTTCTCCGGTCAAATCGACCATTTGGACGGGATGAGGCCCGTTACGGCGACCTGGTGGCGCAGTCGATGGCTGGAGAAGAGGTTGGAAACAAACTAAGCATGGAGCCAGATCGCAGCTGGTGGGTTTGGTAAGTTGATGTTGAAATTGAAGCATGACGTTGCAATGGAATAAATCAGAAGGGCTGATCATCACCATATGCGAGTGATGGCTCTGATGAGGGGGAACAAGGGAACAACCTCAAAAGCTCAGCTCAGCTGTACCGTACCGTGGTACCGAGCGTACCTACCTCTACCTCTACCCCTCATCGTGTCAATCATTGATTGCAGTGGATGTCAACCTGATTCGTGTCCATCGGAAAGGGGAAGAAGGAACAGAGCGAGCATGCGGGGCCGAAGGGAACAGGAAAGCAGAAAGGAAAGAACGACTCCCTTGACCCCCGATTCTTCAAGGAAAGTGCTGATCGATGAAGTGAGACGATGGCATTAGAGGTGGTCTGATTGGTCTTCTATGTCGAGTGCCGATTCAGTCGTCACAGCTTGGGGATCAGGTTCAAGCAAATGAGCCCGAGAATGTCGATCGAGGAGGGGGTTCATGGGCGATGGTTTCTCTTTATCCAAGTGTTTGGGTCTTCCTGTCTATTTATCCTGGCCAGGTGCCATGAATTCGAGTCGATGGTGCCATGTCCAAGTCAACCTAACATCGGAGCTTTCAAAACCTATCGATAGCAAAGAAGTTGATACGAGGCTGGGACGACACAATTCATATATGGTCTATGGCAAAGTATATGAGGCAAAATCAATGACACTCACTGAGTGAGGGCTTGGGTGTTCGCTGGGTCCGTGTTCTAGAAGAATTCCATCCTTGGATGTTTAACTCAAAAAAGCCCCTCTTTCCCCCTCCATTTTAGCGACATGGATTGAGAATCCAGGAGCATTGACCACCAACCATGCGCACTTTCATGTGCTTTGCAATCTCATTGGAGGTTGCGGCGAGGTTGCTTGGTTCGCATCCTTCTTGCCCTGTGTTTGGTGTCCAAGGAAATAACCTTCCCGTGTGAAACAGACGGCGTCGAACATGGTGGCATGCACCGATCTTTCTCAATGCCGATTCAGGTGGGAGATAAGTGACAGAGAGACGGAAAGAAATGGAACCTCAAGTTTGTAGGGCAGGCGCGATAAGGCATGCTATGTACAGTAGAGGTAGGTAGGTAGGTATGTACCACTGAACCCATTAAGCAAGAGCTCCCTCCATGTTATGCACGGAGCAAGCACAGAGTCCCCGCCCCGCATCCCTCATTCTCAGTGAACAATTCGGACGAGATCTCGTCTCTTCATGCATTTTCAACCTCTCATATTCAAATCCTCAAACCGAGGTGTAGGCTTCTTGCACCTCAACACGAGCCGTTACTGCCATGCCAACAGCCCCATGGCCACTTACTGTCCCGGCAAGGTACCTATACATACACGGTGAAGCCTAAGAGATGACAGCCGAATCACGATATTCACATACGAGCGATGGGCAGGCAGACAGGAAGTGAACATTGACGCTCACATTGGTGATGACTTGGGTGCGTCTCCCTGGTCTCCTCCTCCTCCTCCTCCTCCTCCTCCCCCGGCCTTTCAACACCAATTGTCGCCATCGACAGCGACCAAGCATCGCCATCGTGACTGGCTGCCCTCGTTCTTCCCGCTTTCCTCCGCCCGCGCTCTCCTCCTTCTTTTCTTACACGCCGGCCTGTGGATAGCACGGCATCCTACCTCTGCTGGGCCTGTTGACTGCTCCGTCGAGGTTTCCCCCAATCTCTTCCGGCCCGGTTGGCTCCCTTGGAACCCCTCCAGCTGAGGACTTGTACCCGTACCTCTGTGAGGGCAAGGAAGGGCCTGTCACTGCCTGTTCTTCGCCTGTTGCTCTTGTCACGCAACTCTGGCAGTGCCCGCAGCACGTCTTCCATGATTTCTGCACCAGTCCATTCTGGCTTGTCGATGTAATATCCAGCAGCATTGCCAACTCATCATTGCATGCGTCTTAAGGCCTTCTTGTGCCTAGCTGCCTCGCGGCCTTGCGGCCTCGCCATGAGACCGGCCATTCAGCGACCTCGCTCTCTCCTGGGGCCAGACGCACCCGCACCCAGGACATGCAAGGGTTCGCCGGCCCAGCCACTGTTCATGCACCTCATCCCTCATTCACCGACTTCGTGGTCGGCCAAAGAGCCAGTCGTTTTGATACGGCTCGGTTTGTTCCACTACACAGACCTTTGTACCGGCCCTTTCCGTGACCATGACAACCATTTCTCACCACTTCGACACCCTGCCCCATTTGTTGACCAACTAGGTAGACAGCTTGGAAGATGAATGCTGCCAAGAGAGAAACAAACACCGACGAGCAGACGGTGGTCCATGGCCCATGGTCCATGGATGATGGATGGCCCGGCCGGAAAACACCACCCAGCAACACCACCGGCTTGTTGTTGTCTTTCCGGATCTCTTGATCCCGCGGTTTTGATACGCCAGCCGTCCTTCCTTCCTTTGTGCTGACCAGCTCCGAAAAGGTCGCCAACGCCGCTGGTCTCTCCTCCCTCCCAGGTCTCGCTGCCTGCCGAACCAAGGTATGCCCATGTTGCCCGAGTTCTGGCCCACAAATTTCACAGCGCCAATGATCTCCGGTTCACCTCTCAGCGAGGTCACCCAAACCGAACATGCCATCTCAACTTCTCCCGTCCTTCCCTGCCCGCTTGGCTATTCATGCCCCCCGGGTTCCAACCCCAACCCCGACCCCGTTCCTGGCTGGTTCATGTAGCAGTATATGGACCCGCCGATTTTGGTCCTATTTTACCTCTGCCGTTGATCTCTGACGGTAGCATAGCAAGTGGAGACGCACTTCATCTCTACTGGAAAAAGGTACCGCAGAGGCCATGCGGTCCGTCTATCGACAGTGTCGATAGCACAAACACCAGTACTACCGAGGATACATGTTGGATGTGCCATAGCCCAGGCTGCATAAGTGGTTTAAAAAGCCACCAGTCAGATGGATCTTACCGGGCTTGATGTTTTTCATTGACTATTTTTCGTACCCACGACTTGCGAGCCAGGCACATCCTTTCTTCTGGCACCCCTTGGCTTCAACATAAGCCACTTCTGAAACTTGACTGGTTGCCGGCAAAAGACCGCTTGCTCCCGAATTTTCGAGTCTTACTTCGATTTCTCTCTTGGAACACCAGACTGGCTCTTGGGCATCCGATTTTGCCACCTTGCTATGCCTAACTCTGCATAACCAAAAAGCCCCGCGAGCCTATCTCATCTGTTTAGCGATGGGACACGATCCTGGTGTGCTAGGGCGGCGAACGAGGCCGAAGAACATGTGGAGGCCGACCCAGGAGTTGAGCCAGGTGCCGGAAAGGGAAAAGAACATATCACACAAATAGTGTCGGGCTCCATCTATGCCCATTTCAATCCAAGACTGGCTCGACTTATCAAAGCAGATCTTTCCCCCCAGGCATATTAATGCATACCCCATGGGTGGTGTATGTGTGGTGTGGAGTTGGCCCGGTCTCCGGCTCTATCAACTGGCAACGACAATGCCAGCGCAGCAAGATGGGTCACACTTTGAGCCGCATCTTGACGGTCAAACATTGCATCCGACGAACACTTTCTCCTCCTGTCCGTTTGGCTTTCCCTCATGTCGTCTCTTTGGCGTCTGAATTCGGACATTTTTGCCTCCCCCCTTGCCCCGCACGAAGCTGCTCCTTCACTGCAATATGTAAAGCACACATGTCTCGCCGTTGACTGCTCATCAAGGTGATGCAGCTTCGTCGTCCATACCTGCCCGCCCGCTTCTGGCACTGCCTCGCATCCCCTTCTGCCTTTTAGTTAGGCTCGATTGCATCACATCCTCGGATCTCGGACATCTTCCCGCGGCCTCCTCGCCTCCTTCTTTTTCACCATCGTCACCTCCACTGTTTGTAGAAACTCATACATTCTGTCGTTCCATCTCTGTCTCGCTTCTCCTGGAATTTCTTTTTACAAAGACAAAACCCGACACCATGGCTGGTTTCTACATGCAGTATCTGGAGAGTAAGTCACTCAAGCGTCAATTTTTGCTGTCAAACCTCGCTTTCCAATTTAATCACAAATCCTACATTACCAATCTTGTTGTGGGGTGTTGTCACGAGGCATGACATTTCACCCTTGGGAATGGTTTACCCCTGCATGAGATTTCCACAACATGGAGATGTCCCGCGTCTTTTTCTTCTTCCAGAGATCGTACACCAGGTGTCATCTTGCCCCCCCGTTACCCACAGATCAAACCAACCCCGGTCATAGGGCTGAGGCATCCGTGTTCGGCTGCCACGCAGGCACGGAATCCATCTGCACATGGCTCATGCTTTTTCATGATTGAGCCTAGGCACTGTCGATACTCTAATGAGAAAAGCTATTAATTTGGGTTTCTACAGGTCTTTGCCGGCGGCGTGGATGGCACGATCCCTCCTACGAGTGTTATCGTGATGGCAGTGGCTTTACCTGCTTGGTTCTCGTCAACGGCCGCGAATATCAGACAGATATCCCATATCAAACACATGGACTTGCTCAGGAAAACGCGGCCATGCGTGCGTTCATGGTTTGCCGAAATTTCTCGGTCAATGGAGGGATGCTGGCTCGCAACGGAATCGTCCAAGGGTTGCCGGCAGACGAGGCCAAGCACAAGTCCAGACGGAGCAGCCGTCCTCAAACGTCTTCTCACTATACGCATGGACACCGCACTCGGCATTCCGGAGATGAATCAAGCAGCAGCTCGACTGCTTCGGTGGAATAAGGGCTGTGGAGCTGCCACACCTTGGCAGAAGGCAACACAACCCCTTGGAAAGGCGTGGATTCCTTCTCGATCAGCGGATTCGCATTTTCTTGTTTTCTTCTATACTTCTTCACGCTTCACAGCAACACGGTGATAAGACCCGGGATTTATACCCTTAGGTGACGATCAATCGACGACTCGGAAAAGGACGAACGAATAGCATCACCACTGGTTTCTACACGCACAAAAGCTGCATCGGCAAAATTCATAACTGGACGACCTACGGAATATAAATTACATGGATCTGATGCGTTGTCACGATTCTACTTCATTCCCTTATTTGGATCCTTCGGGTTTTCCTCGTGTTTGACGGCTTTTTGGTTGTTTTAGAAGCCTCACTGGGCCTCAAAAAAGCTTCGTCCGTATTATTGAAGTACAGCCGTACTTGGATTGGAAGTCCCTGGTCCAGCCTGATCCAGCTGATAAGGGATTGTCCTTCTCACTGCTTTGTGCGGACTTTGACAGCTTCATATGTGTCTAGGACTGCTTTCACCTTGGCTTGATCGAACCTTGAGTTCGAAATACCGAGGCAAGACACTTCCATATGGCCACTCCTTCTTGGTTTGGGACACATGTCATTGTTGTTGCAGCTGTCTTAAAAGGCAGTCCATTCATTCCGCCTGAAGTGGATAGGTTTCGTACCTTCACGAGACATTGGAGCGGTATGTCCACGCGTAGGCCCTCATACTTTGCCGCAAAACATCTGTTCTCTTTTTTAGCCGGGAGACACGAACTCATTGATTCAGCGAAGGGCATACTTGGCTGAATTTGGACCAATCGGAGCACTTTACTTCCTCGCGTTCTTGTATCAGGAGGGGGGAGGGGAGTCTGGCATGGGAGGTTCGCGGCTTTGTTCTTCTTTCCCCACTCTTTCTTCTCTTCTGGAAATTTATTCTTCATGATTTTACGACTTAACGAGACGGCATCTCTAAAAAGACACTGATGACGAGACCAGGCAACTTGAGTGCTGGTGCAGAGGAGGGGATCCGACGGGGGGATAGATGGTGAGAGGAGGGGGTGATGACAGCATCAAGTAACGCAGCGCATATGACTCGTCGCACCCGTGAACAAGATAGAGGGTGACGATGATGATGATGATGATGATGACATGGTTGATAAAAAGAACACAATCGATTTCTCGCGACATTGCTCAATCTTGGTGGATACTTTTAGTATGATATTATGTTACTGTGACATGTTCTCCTTTGTATCATTCTCAACCGTCGATATAAGTTCAAAGTGGTTGGTACATCTGCACTAACATGTGTAGCGCGGATTTCAGGCGAATATTGTTAGCACGTGAGTACATGGGCGCAGACATCCACCCATTCCAGCCCTATAACCCCAGTCCGATCCCGATCCCGATTCGCCATGCTCGATCAGCCTCGTACCGACATTGCAGTGCTCATCCCGATAGAGCTCCGTTTCAGTAGTCCCCATCCAGCCCGCGTCCTGCGGGACTGCCCAGGGGTAAAGTTCTCAAATGAGGTCAAGGGTGCGGTATGTAACTGGGGGCCTGCTGGGCTAGGGAAGGGAAGAACGAAGGAAGGCACATGGAAAGGGAAATCAAGCGAGCGGACCGCTAGGATGATATATGTATGGTTGGCACTTCTCTAGAGTTTAGGATCCGTCCAGGGTAAGGTAAGGGTTATGTAGTACGTTAGAAGCCCGGACTGAAAACTTTGGGATGTCAGGGGTCAGATACTAAATCCACGGATTCAGTTCGTCGATGGAACTCCAACTTTAGAGAATGGAGACTTCAAGGGTAGTTGATAGACAACCTATGATTTCAATGCTTGAGCAGAAATTGAGGAATGAAAAGAAGGATAAGTAATGGAGTTCACAAACCTGAAGAGCAGCGTATCTCGTGCCATCGTGGGAGCCGCCAATCTCCGGTTTACTCTAGGACCCAGTGAGTGATTGACATATCATCATCGACGCCACAGAACCGTGATGATTACGATCACCAGCACCTATGTACTGCGTATATGGGTTATATACTTGGACCAGGCTTAGGTTCGGGGCAATAGTAGTACCATTGCAAAACATGGAACGTGGCGGTGCTTGTTTCATTGGAGGTCAGAAGGGATTTGGGGGATGGTGGGTATCCTTGTCTCGGGCGGTTGCGGATTACTATGGAAATGGGCTTACGTATGCGCATTGTGGTATTGTACGCTGTATACCACTCGACTCGCCTGTCTTCAAGATCCTCCATCATTTCTCGTCTGATCGTCGAGCTTCCAGATTGCCCTTGACACCGAGGTATATACATTCATTCCTACGTAGGTAATGTAAGCTCGTGTGCCATAAGGTGAGAAGTGAGACCGCAGTCACCACACGAAGTATCATCCTTTAATGTACCTCGTATAACAACCGCCACCACCACCAGCACCACAACAGGCAGGTATGAGAGATCACATTGAACTTTTGATGAAGTTGTGTATACATGGTACGATAGCCCATTTCCACATTTCGGGATATTTCTGGGTCAGTCAGGGTCGGTGTATCTAGATCACCGCTGTGGATAAAACACCCTTCATTTCCTCGACAAGGAAGCCTGTTTTGACATTTTGGACGATCTGCTCGAATTCCGCCATTACCCGATGGAGGATATCGCAAACGGCGTAGAAGCAATCACAGAGTCAGCTCTGTGCTTGAGGCTCAGAGTGTAATTTTGTTATTGTTATTCTGACTTGGTTCGGCCCAACTCTGACGACGTTGTGCCAAAAGCAGGTTTGTGGCGTAGTTCGTGGAGTCGTAGAGTGGGCGGGGTGTGCTGCAGCAAAGATTCCATGACCCACGACCCACGGGCGGAAGATGGAACACATGACTTTTATGAGACAGAGGGGCAAGTTTTTGGGGATTGCGTGTGTATACTCGTCGAGTATAACGTCAACGTCCAAACGATGGGCAGACATCGAGTTGATAACCACACAGGCCAATTGTCTGAACCTGAAACATCTAGTTGATTATCGCGATATAAGTCAAGCGAAATCGCTTATCGAGTTGGCAGGTCTGACTGATGTCGTCGACGTTGACCTGCTCGGGCGGCGCCGTGGCTACACTAAAAAAAAAAGGGGGGGGCACCGAAACAAAAGAAGCATTGTTGGAAATTCAGGGGATGGTGTTCTGCAACGGCGCAAGCCAATCTCGTCAAGGAGATTGATGTGGTTTGATTGGCGAGCCCGCTTGGATCTCTTGGGTGGTCTGCCCCTCTTTGGTGGAGGCTTCAACGAATGGGACATGTCCATTCGAGGCCGTGCCCCTTTCCAGGTTTCCCCAACTTGACCACAAAGAGAGCACCGGAGATGGAGCACGGGCCACAGGAACCGCTAGCGGACCGTTTTAGCATGGTGCAGTGGCATGGACCAGGAAATCATCGGGCAGGGAACCCACCGGAAGCTGCTGCGCCATGCCCAAACCAGCTCGAGATGGAAACAGCAATGACAGCCTGGCCAGCTGCAGAGCGCAGTGGTGAAGAAGACGGCCCAACCTGGTTGTGTGGAATGGGTGAAATACAATGGACGAAAAGGGAAAATGAATGTGCATGGAATTCCTGACGGAAACGTCGAGACTGCCCGTGGAGTAGGTACGTACTTTTGTAAAGAGGGTTCAGGTGGGGAGGTGCCTGCGTGCGGGAGCCAAACTGGTGACTGGAAGTGGCCCGGGACGAGGTGTGTGACCTGGCCCCCTGTTCCCGTCCACCAGCCAGGGGAATGGAAGCTGAGTGGCCCGGGAGCCAAAAGTGTACACTAGTGTAATAGTAGCAGCGGGCAGCCTCAGACCATCTGGCATCCATTCAGCCCGCAACACACACAAAGCGGGCAGAGACTCGACCGTCCGGGACCCTCGACTCGAAAAAAAGATCCATCCAGGGTGTCCTCAATCTACAGGAAACATTAATCTTCGCTTCCACTTCCATACATCATCCCACCTTCTCCCACCTCCAAACCACACCTTTCGTCCTCGGGACACACCACCATATTCCCTTCTATCACCATCGCACCCATCGTCCTGTTCTTCTTACTTGACAGGTCGTTGTTAATTCCCGCCAAGAGGCCATAGTAATCACTTCCCCCCTTTTCACAACGCTCCAGTTCTTGCACCGGTTGTAGCAAGCCGCCTTTCCAACTTCTTCCTTCCTTCTTACACTCGTTGAACAACCCTTTCTGCGATACGCTCGTTGTTACCACGACCGTTACGACCGACACTTCCACCAACACAACCACCACCAAAACCAGCAATCATGAAGGGTAAGCTCTCCTCGATTCCTCACCCCCTTCCCTCTCTGCCTCGTCTCTCCCGGTGCTGGTGCTCTTGGCCCACACAATGGACCCTACAATGACGGGAACCCTGACTGACGCGTCCCCCCCCCCCCTGTTGCAGCTCTTATTCTCGTCGGCGGCTTTGGCACTCGCCTTCGCCCTCTCGTAAGCGAACCCCCCAACCATACCATCCTGGGCCGTGCCATGGGATGCCATGCCATGGCCTCATGGCTGGCCTGTCTGCGGCCTGGTAGCCGTCATAGCAGTTCGACGTCACGACTAACCACGTCTCTCGATATAGACCTTGACCATGCCCAAGCCCCTGGTCGAGTTCGGCAACAAGCGTATGATTCTGCACCAGATCGAGGCCCTTGCGGCAGCCGGTGTTACCGACATCGTTCTCGCCGTCAACTATCGCCCTGAAATTATGGAGAAGTACTTGGCTGAGGTTAGTGACAAGCTCCTTCGGAAAAGAAGGCCCCCCCGACTAGAGGTCCCTTGCTAACCCTTTCTTCTCTCCCCCAATGCAGTACGAGAAGCAGTTCGGTATCAACATTACCATCTCTATCGAAAGCGAGCCGCTGGGCACTGCTGGTCCCCTGAAGTTGGCCGAGGACGTCCTCAGGAAAGACGACACTCCCTTCTTTGTCCTCAACTCCGACGTTACCTGCGAATATCCCTTCAAGGAGCTCGCCGCCTTCCACAAGGCCCACGGTGACGAGGGTACCATTGTGGTGACCAAGGTGGAGGAGCCTTCCAAGTATGGTGTCGTCGTCCACAAGCCCAACCACCCATCTCGCATCGACCGCTTCGTTGAGAAGCCCGTGCAATTTGTCGGTAACCGCATCAACGCCGGCCTCTACATCTTCAACCCCTCAGTTATTGACCGCGTTGAGCTGCGGCCCACTTCCATCGAACAGGAGACCTTCCCTGCCATGGTCAGGGACGGCCAATTACACTCTTTCGACCTTGAGGGCTTCTGGATGGACATCGGTCAGCCCAAGGATTTCCTGACGGGTACCTGCCTCTATCTTTCCTCCCTTACCAAGAAGGGCTCCAAGGAGCTCGCCCCCACCACTCTGCCCTACATCCACGGCGGCAACGTTCTTATCGACCCCTCAGCGAAGATCGGCAAGAACTGCAGAATCGGACCCAATGTTACCATTGGCCCCAACGTTGTCGTTGGCGACGGTGTCCGTCTGCAGCGCTGTGTGTTGCTCGAAGGATCCAAGGTCAAGGACCACGCTTGGGTCAAGAGCACCATTGTTGGCTGGAACAGCACGGTTGGCAAGTGGGCCCGTCTCGAGAACGTAACAGTTCTCGGCGACGATGTCACCATTGGCGACGAGATTTACGTTAACGGCGGCAGCATTCTGCCACACAAGACCATCAAGGCCAACGTCGACGTACCGGCCATTATCATGTAAACGAAGCCATCTAGTCCTGACTTTCCGCGACCGTAACGATGACGAGACGAGCTACCATAATCATTCATCTTAATTTCTTCGAAAAATATACCACCTTTTTAGATCTTTTCTCGACACCACCATATCTTTTTCACCTCTTCGACTTTTTACCTGCCTCACTTCTCTCTCGTGACTCGGCTCCTACCATCTGTGCCGTTGCTGATTGACGCAAAAAACAAACACAACCCTCCGGTCTCCTCCGCTTTCTCCCCTTTTCGATCTTGATATTCTTCTCGGTTTAACGCATTTTGTTTCATCGTCCGCAACAAACGGTACCTTGCGCGGAACGATTTTACGGCGGATGACTTCTCAAGATGGTTCTCGATACGCGGACCCGAATCATGCTATACTGTAACGACATTTTTCTGAGCATGTGGTAATATGGTATGCGAGGCCGGATTTGTTGCATGCGAATTTGTCCTTGGGGAGAGAAAGGACGACGCATTTCTGGGGGGGGGCTTGAAAGAAGGGCATAGGAGAGCAAAAAGGAGTCTGGACTATGGCAACGCTTGCTGAAAAGGTTCTGTTATGCCATAGCATGAAACATGGGTCATTGGGATGGTCAGACATGACCATGCAATTGACTCGCAATCGAACAATTCCACTCTCTCTCTCGACTTCAAGTGCCATGTTGACAATATGGTGATGTTTTGTATAGGTTTGGTGAGGCTGTTGCCGTATGTACCAGCGGTCCTGTGTTGTTGACAGTTGAAGGAATGTATAAGAGGAGATCTTCCTGACCATTTGGCTCTCCGGCGAGACCAAAATGGAAGAGTGAACGGAAGAACGAATGACGGGGAAGATGTGGAAAGCAGTGCAGAAAGAAGACTTGTCAAGAGGAAAGGAAGAAGCTTGGGTCATCATCATCATATCCCACTTCACATCGGTGGGGGTTGAACTGGTTCGTTCTGCAATGAGGCAGTGACGATATGTTTGTAGGTATATGTCGACAAAATCTCCCACAATGCCTCGGTCACACATAAGCTGCAGTTAGGAGCATGTCTTCATGTACCATACCGTATCTTAACTGCCTTGCCTTGCCTCACACTGCTTCGCCTTACCTAGGTTACTTGGGTACATTGGGCAGACTGGCCTTACCTTGTTTTACTTTTAGGTGTATCCCGTCGACACCCACTGTCTTGTCCTACGTTGCCTGACCTGCTAACATGACCTTTAGTTTGCTGCATGAAGCTGATATTACATCGTCTCGCTTTGCATTTCTCCAACTGTTGCAACTTGGTTCTAATTCTCCCGTCCTGTAATCATCTGATCATCTTTTCTGTAGCCTGCATCGTGTCTACACTGTCTAGCTCGTGAAAAGAGCTGTGATGGTCATAAGCGACTTACCACCAGAACCAAATTGGAGAGCATGCGGGACTAGGGATATGGTGCGGGTGTTCAAGGAGATTTGAAGGCGCCCGGCAGTGGTGATCTAGCTCGTATGGGGGATATATGCACGTCTTGGTTTGGAGGAAGACTTGTGTCTCAAACCACGGCATACAGACATATGGTACCTTGAACCATTACTAGCAGACGGATGACAGCCCAGTTGACTCTACGTCCGCAAAATGGTCATATACGACGTGCAAGCATGCTTGCAATTGATGTTGGGAAGAAGCTGGTTCCGCGTGTCTGTACCGTGTGTCTGGGCATTTCTTTTGGTAAGATTATCTGGCTTGATATTTTCTTATATCACCGTGAGGGGGCAAATTGTTGCATGCTCGGATCTTGGAAAATGTATTCATAGAAAACGGAGCCCAACATACCTCAAGGTACTTTTCTAGTGACAGATTTGAAGAATATATTCTCTATACTTCCAAAGGCCGACTTGGAGAATCCAGCTCGCAGTGAACGAGTGTCAATCACACCCATCCACTAATGTCCCTCGATTTCCAGGGTTTCCCAGTGAAGCCAGAGAGCTTGTAAAGTGTGGGTTTGTAGGTAATGTTGATGTAGACAAAGGCAAGGGAGCGGCTGTATGCATACCTTCATATTGACTCTAATAAAGAGCAGGGCAAGCCAAGGTAAACCAAGCCATGACAGTTATTGGGGTTCATACGTCTCCAAATTTCGCTAGAGCTTGTACATATGACTAGGTACTGACAGCCTGTGAATGCCGGCGCACATTGGGCGTGATCTATACATGCCTTAATATACCACTCCATGTACCTAGTGGTACGTAAGTCTTCAAAATTTCTCCTGCGTGCGCACCTTGATATCATAGAAACTCGCGAAATCGGTCAAATACCTACTATCCTTCTTTAGGCTCCGAACACACAGCAGAAATCTGCCAGAAGTATGCCCAGTAAGCACGCATATGCCAGTAAATGTGGCCTTTCAGTTAGTGTAAACTCGGGGATATTGCCTTCTATGTTAACTTACATACATTTCGAGGCACAAGGGCCGGCCTGGTCCTGTCAGCTACCTGTACAAATTTGCCGCATATCCGGTGCCTATAGAGCGATAGTGTTTGACCGGTCTCGTGAGTTTTTACAGTATCTGCCTACCTCTAGTTTTGCACATGTAGATGACATGATCCACCTGTCTACTTCAACTATCGGGACGTGCTCGGAGGATCGAGGAACGAGAAAGGAGGATGAAAAGATAATAACTAAGTGCTTAGTCCGAGGACGCAGCAACCGGAGTGTTAAAGGACATGTGATAGGGACCGGAAGTCATGGTACGTAAGTCCGGATTATCCGGCTGTGTGCAAGTTACGTGATGGAAAGAGAAGTGATGTTCGGCATGACGCCGTCCATGGATGGGGGAAATGTATTATGTCTACGAACTGGGGTGGGAGTAGCAGAGTAATGCGGAATATTCGGAGGCACAAAGCCAGCGAAGCGGAAAAAGACGAGAATCGCCATCACGGATGGGGAGCAGTTTGTTAAATATTCATATAATAATGTAATTACTTGATAGTCATCCAAGTCCCAATGTTCCAAGAACTAAATGAGGGTATCCTCGTGAGGTATTAGATCAAGCCATTTATTCCCGCCCGCAGTCCCATTCACGCTTATTCATGCGTGTGTTGCTTTGTTCATTTCGCCCTTTTTCGCCCATAACTCCTCGCAAAAAAAAGCCCAAATCATGATAAGTTATACAGAGAAAAGAATGAAAAAAAATATACCCAAAAATGCTCATCCCAAACTCCATCGCAAAATCCCAATGCAGTGTTTTAAAAGCAAGCAAAATGTTGTACAAGATCATCTTGTGAGACAATGGATCTGGAAAGAGAAGGTGTGTAGAAAGGGTGAGAAGGCGAGGTGTGCGGCTTAGGCCTTCTTCACCTCCTCGTCGCACTCGTCGTCTTCGTTGTCATTGTCTTGCAGCCAGCCGCGGCTCATCTGAACAGCCTGGTTCCACTTCTTGAACCTCTTCTCGGCACACTTGCGAGAAATCTTGGGCTCAAAGACCTTCCGGCCGGTCCGGTTAACTTCCTGGAGCTCGGTGGTATCGCTCCAGACACCGGTAGCGAGGCCGGCAGCAATGGCAGCGCCAAGAGCGGTGGTTTCGCACATGGCCGGGCGATCAACGGGAATACCGCTGATGTCAGCCTGGGTCTGCATGGTCAGGTCGGAGTTGGAGAGACCACCATCGACAGCGAGGAGCTTGAGCTTGCAGCCCGAGTCTTTCTCCATGGCATCAAGGATAGCCTTGGTCTGGAAGCAGGTAGCCTCGAGAGTGGCACGAGCAATATGTCCCTTTTGGGTGTGTTGAGTAATTCCGACTATTGGGCACATGACAGGTTAGCTTCCGATCTTTCATGTGGAACGGGGTAGGATGAATGTAACGGTTGGATGATGCTCCAAGGTGGGTCGGGAGAAGTCGTGTGGAAGAGTGGGTAACGGTGATCACTTACACAAAGTTCCCTTAGCATCATCGATCCAGTAAGGGGCGAACAGGCCGCTGAAGGCGGTGACAAACACAACACCTCCGTTGTCGGGCACCGACTCGGCAAGGTCGTTGATTTGCTTAGCGTTCTCAATGAAGTTGAGGTTGTTCTGGAGGAAGGTGACGCCGGCGCCGGCGACAGCAATGCTGCCTTCGAGGGCGTAGACGGGCGCGCGGCCCTGGCCAAAGTCGTAGGCGACAGTGGACAGAAGACCGTACTGCGAGATGACGGGCTCGGTGCCGACGTTGTAGAGCAGGAAGCAGCCAGTGCCGTAGGTGTTCTTTGCTTGGCCGGGGTTGAAGCCGCACTGGCCAACCAGGGCGCTGGATTGATCGCCCAAGCAACCAGCGATCGGCACACCCGACAGCGCACCACTGGCAATGCGACCGAAACATTCAGGGTCCGACGAGGGGACGATCTTGGGCAAATGCACCTTGGTTCGGTCAATTCCGAAGAATCCTAGCAACTTGTCGTCATACTGCAGAGTGCGGATGTTCATGAACATGGTTCTGCTGGCGTTGGTGCTATCTGTTACGTGGACAGGACTCTCAGCCTGGGCGCCGCCATTGAGCTTGTAGATGAGCCAAGTGTCGACAGTGCCGAAGGCAAGACGACCTTCTTCGTAGGCCTGCTTGACGGCCTCAACATTCTCAATGAGCCAAAGAAGCTTGACGCTGCTGGGATAGGTGGAGAGGGGAAGACCGCAAAAGTCCTTGATGGCATCGGCGCCGTCCTTGGCCTTGAGGTCGCGGACAAGGGACTTGGTGCGAGTATCGGACCAGACGACGGCATTGTAGAGAGGCTCGCCGGTTTCATGGTCCCAAACAAGCGTGGTTTCGCGCTGGTTGGTGATGCCGATGGAGCGGATGTCGTTCTTGGAGAAGCCTAGTCGTTGGAACTTGCGCATGGCACCTTCAATGCACTCCTCGACCGAGTTGAGCAGAGTCATGGGGTCGTGCTCATGCCATCCTGACTTGGGGTAGAGGTTCTCAAACTCAATCTGGTGGCTGGCAACGGGGTCGCCCTCGCCGTTGAAGATAAGGAAGCGGGAAGAGGTGGTGCCTTGGTCGACGGAGCCGACGAACCAGTGGTTTTTCCTCTCCTCGGGCGTCTCGTGGATGCCGCGGGGAAGATGCTCTAGGTGGGTGACAATGGGACCCTTGTGGGCCTTTGCTAGGTTGCGGGCGTCCATGCCATCGTTTGTGAGGGTGGGTTCTACACACATGACGCCGGCCTCGACGCCGTCGTTGAGGTTGAGTAACTTCATGGTGACTGAAGTTGTTCTTGTAGGAACGGGTTCAAGCGGGGTAGATGGTAATGCCTCGTGCGGGGTGTCTGTGTTTGTGTCTGTGGTGGTGGTGCTTGTATGACTTGTGTGACTTGTGTGACGTGTGTGAGTGAAGCCGAGGTAGTTGGTAGTGGTGGCGGTGGTGTGGTGGTATGTCTTGTTGGTATAAAGAAAGGGAGATGATGGAGAACAAGAGAGAAAGCCGTTTCGGATGGCTGAATGCGGCCGGCTACTTGTAGTACTGAGACGGGTTGCGGATGAGGCAGGTCTGACGGGCTGGATGCCTATGACACAGCCGGAGAAAGTGGAAGTGACACAATGTGGGGGGGAGGATCGAGATCGGGCAAGACTGTTGTTTGTCTGCTGGAGAATGAGGACCCTGGATCGACGTCCCCAAGATCGATGTGCCAAACAGAGGCCGCGAGGACGGTTGCTATTGCGTGGTCGAGTGCGGAGGAGGAGACGAGCTGCCGCGGCTACTACGTCATCAAAGGCCTGGCCCTAGCTGATAATCGGTGGTGCTGATAACACTGGGAGAGTGCTGATAGTGGTGCACGGACCTCCGGGTCTTGTTCGTGGGATGATGGACTTGAGAGCGTTGTTCACACGGCTGATGGTCGAACAAGACTTCAAGTGGTGTCGATGGTGTTCATTGATGACCTGGTGCGACCACCTCATCGTCCACATCGAGGGCGACATGTTTACCTTATTTATTCCAGACAGCAACCGCACTGCACCTTGCTTCTGCTGCTGGCCAGGTATGCGAGCTATGCTAGTCTCGTTCCCCTGGCTGGGCGCAATCTGGGCTGGTCTCTTGTGACCAGCTGCAATCTGCGACGGATTGGTCTCTCTTTCCTGTCCCAGACTTCCGAACCGAACCGTCCCAGGCCTGGCTCGTGTAGTGCGTGCCGCGTGCAGGGTGAGCAGGTCTGACAGGGTGAGTGCGCAATCGATTTTCTCGGCAGTAATCTTGTCAACTTGCCCGGCTGATTTTTTTCCGTCTGCTTCTGGAGAACACACACCACCCAAAAAAAAAAAAATCAAAAAAAAAAAAAAAAAAAATTGATCGGCACGCTTTGTTGCGCTTCCTGCTGGCCAGTGGTGGAACATTTGCGGGGATCCACTTGACGCCCAATCAAGAATCCTTTTTCCCCTTTCCGGTACGCGCTAGAAGGTACCACGGTACATGTACATTTCTTCCCCTCAGCACCTCCATGCTTCGCTGCTACGTCGCATCCTGCAGCGCGGTTGCACTCGCTGCACCATGGCTGTTGCTGGGAGAAGGTACCTGCTGCATGGAACATGTGCAGAGGTCGCGAATGCGGATGGGCGGTCGCAGGGGGAGAATTGCCCCGAAAATGCGGAGTCGTCCTCTCCAGGAAGCCCGAAGAGCCACTTTTCTCCCTTTTACACCCACCAACACGGACAAGATTTGCACCGACAAGGAGCCTCGAACATTGAAGCAAAAGTCCAGAACGCTCCAATGCTCGCACTACTCCTTTGAACAGCTGGGGTTTGTTCCGGGCCTCCATTGCGATGCGACGGCACCACCGCGATGCACTACCTAGCTTACCATGTATGTACAACGTGTACCTCCAAGCACCTCCCAGCACATTGAAGCACCTCGGCCAACCGCAGCAGAACTGATAACGTTATTTTAGGCTCATCAAACCTGAATGAACCTGTGACCTGTCCTGTCTTTCATCGTCTCCGCCCCTGATTCAGGGAATACGACCCCCCACCAACAACTTGGACGGAGAACTGGAGTCTGGCAAGTCCCGTCCAGGGGCAAGGACCGGATTTCCCAAAATATACAATGCCATTCAGAGGAGACCGAGGGGAGACCTGGGGCCGCGAACGGCATCGACGGGAACAGGAAAGCGTATCAAGATTGAAGAAGCCGCCTTTACACTACACTACACCACACCACACGGTGTTGTTGTTACTAGTGTAGTATTGTCATTTGTCATTGCTACACTATGATGCCCCTTGCCTCTCAAAGCCTCTCAGTGCTACCCGACGCCCTCTGGCGGTTACGACAGTCCGCCGATGATCGCTGGCTTGAGGGCCTCTCGTTGGCTTATTGCACCTCAGCTATGAGATAAGAATTGTGGACTGCCAAGATGCTCAACCACCATCTCGATGTGCAAAGGCGAAAACAAGCCACACATTTATGCAGCCATACAAAAGGCTCACGGTGAAAGACCCCCGGGCCGGTATGATGCTCGGTCACCGTGTTCTGTTTTTTTTTTGTTTGTTCTGACATCAAAAACTGCGGCTGACGTTAGAAAACTGGAGCAAAATGTCAAAAAGAAGACTGTTCACTCGCCGCCGGGAATTGAGCCCGACGTGGGGGTCGAACCCACAACCTTGAGATTAAGAGTCTCACGCTCTACCGATTGAGCTAGCCGGGCGAGTTGAAAGCGCAGTGCTGCTCCTGTTGAGAGTGTGGGCGCACAACTTTCGGTCAAGAAAGCGTGTGAGAGTGAGTGAGTGATGATTCATTGTGCTATCGCCAGTTGGCCGGACTTCCTGATTGGGAAGTGCCGAAGGGGCATCGTCGATTCGAGCGATTACGCGACCAGCAAGGCCCAACACTTGTCGCACTGACATGGGCGCTTGCTTTCTGTGCAAAAGGGTCGCATTTACACAGTATCGTATTTGTTGATCCGCCAAATTCCGTGGAGTCGCGTCCCAAATGACGAAATTTTGTTTGGGTCACGGGGACTGATGAATCTGGCGGGATTCGGTGAGCATTCGAGAAGACAGCGTGTTCGGTGCCTGCAGCTATGGAAGAGGGGGAAGCAAAGAAACCGAGACATTTGACAAAGTTCCATCCGCATCGCAGGAGCGAGACTGCAGCCATGCCCGGTCACTGCTGCATGGTCAGCTCCGACTGCGGGATGCCCCACCTTCTTCCCCATGGTGTAGTGTAGTGTATTCCCATTCTTTCATGCACGGGTTACGCATGCATGCAACGGACAGAGCCTGGAACTTGAAGGAAATTACCTCCATCAAGCCGTTACCACCACCACCACCACCACCATCGTGGCCCAAAGTTCCAAACATTCAGCAGGAGCACGGCTGGAATGCCCCGATGCAAGTTGTAAATAGTGCAGAGTGCCCAACAGGAAAGCACGAGCTTGCAAAAACAGTGGTGTTGAGTTTCCACTTCAAGGACAAGCCGAGGACATGCAGGACAGGCCCGACCAGAAAGCGCAGAAACATCGGGATACACTACAGAGTGCGACGCTTTGCTGGTCTTGTGATGTCAATTGATCTTCATGAATTGGAGAATGTTGACGTTGACCCCGCCCGCTTCGTGCTTTGCTCCCGCGCGTTTCCGCTGGGCCTAGGTTGCCCCTTGTCCTGCTGCCCTACGGAAGTACCACCGTTGAATTTTGGTCGAACCTCACTACTGCGTACACTACACTACGCTACATAGGGGAGAGGTACGTACCCTACACTAGAGGTACCTTTACTACACTAGAAGGTACCTCTAGGTACGTACCTCGTCCATCATTGCCGCCGTCGGCCCTCGCCCCGCCCCAGTCATCCTTTTGGGGTGGGTTCTTCCCCCTTGGGGCTCCCGCAATTCCCGTCAATCCCGTTCCCCGCCAGCTTGTCCTGCCTGAGGTGGCCAGCACCCAGGCTCCTCCGTCTTCGTCCCGTCGAGCAGGCAGGCTTCATACCCAAAGGCCCCACTGAAGCTACGGTCCCAGTGATGCGCCCGCTCCCGTCGCCGGCTTGCCAGTGGTTCCAATTTTGACCATCCACGGGAAGCGACACCACCTAAGCCATCAATCATGCCGCCATGATGAGCCTGATGTTTACGCTTGCTGGGCATCGCTTGTGGGCAAATTGCGCTACAGGAGAAGAGATGGATAAGGCGCCACCGGGGTTAAGCTTGATGTCTTGACGCACTGGAAAAAGCGACGAGCAATACTTATCTACATATCAGCAGAGTCTGATTGAGCCCCCTGTTGCGCTAAAAGAGGAGCCAATGTCCCGCTGTCTTACTCCAACGGCGGCTACCTTCGTGCTGGGGCCAAGAGCGCTGCCATGAGGCGCTTTAAACTTGGCATCGGGAGTCGAATTTTGAGATTGGTGAGCGGCGTCTCGGGACTCTCGAGGCCTGCCTGGCCTGTCCACTTGTCGCAGCATTCTCTGGGCCTCGCTCGGGTTCTTCTCACCGCGAGCCAGTCGCTGCGTTCACCGGGCAGATTTGGGCCTGAAACCGCATTTCTGCCAACCAAGGGAACGATCCTATCATAACCAGAGCATTTACCCCCCGTTTCGTTTTGAGACATGGCACTTCCACCGCCTGCTCGTTCGGTGTCTGCTCCGGGCGTCTTGTTGCGGCATTCCCCGCTTCGACAATCGGCCAGCGAAACACGGAAAATCACGACCAAGCTTCATTCTCCTAGGCAATCTTGGAAGACTCGAGAACTGTGGATGGCTGGATTAGTGCCAACCTGTCACCACTATCGCGATCTAGCCTCATCTCAGGCCCAAGACAAGGTACCTGGAGACTTTGCTGGTTGATTTGCTTGGCCCTTGCATCACCCGCAACCCACCCTCCAACCCACCCCCCTTTTTGTCTTTCCGTCAATCGCTTCCCGCGTACCTTTCTATTTCAAGCACTGAGCAGCCCGGCGTAGCACGTGGGAAGCCGGGATTCAGATGTCCACCGATTCCGCCGGGAGCCAAGCCTCCCAGGCCATGCTCCACATGCTGGACTATATATCCACGCACGACCATGATCATTTCGAATGGGACGACCATGGCAGGGAAGAATCCGAGGCCTGGCTCCGTCCGGTCCAGGACGCTGGGCTCAGTCCCCAGAAGCACAAGGTTTTCAACCACGCAAACAAGGAGTATCTCAAGCCTCCTCAGCCTTTTATCCAGATAGGTCCTGAGCTGGGCGATTCCGGCTCGACCATCGTCTACAAGGTCAGCCCTCCGGACGATCAAGGCTACAGACGACCCCTGGCCCTCAAAGTCATTGTTTGCAAAGAAAACGCGCGCCCGCCTGGCCCTGACAGCAATGTGCGCAAGCTGGCCCTGCAAGAGGTGCGAAACATGGTGGCGGTGCGCCATCCTCACATCGTAGTCTACGTAGCTTCGTTTGAGGATTATTGCATCTCCAACCGCCAGGTCCGCCAGCGCCGTGCTGCTGGTACTGGTGCTCGCACCGTCTTCAGGAGAGTCGATCAACAGATCAAGCGTCACATACTCGGCATCGCCATGTATCCTCCGGCCCAATGCAATCTACGAACTTTGATGCTCGATATCGCGTCCGCTGCTGCCCACTCACCACGTACTGCTGAAGAGGAAAATTGGATGGTACAATATCTCCATTCATATTTTGGTTGCCTGTCCCAAGCTGTGAGCTATCTGCACAAGTCAACAGTACGCATACGACACAAGGACATCAAACCCGAGAACGTTGTCATTGACGATTTTGGCTTTCCTCTGCTCACCGACTTTGGGCTTTCCAAGCACTTTGAAACAGGCCAGCACTCTCAAGGACCTACCGCTAAGACGCTCAAGTATGCCGACCCAGAAGCAATGCAGGAGACGCAGCGCGATGAGAGGTCTGATGTCTTCTCACTTGGTTGTGTCTTCCTCGAGATGGTGACCGTACTACTCGGGAAGCCTCCATCGCATGCCGAGGAGCAGCTTGAGCGCATGGCAGGTAATGCCGATCAAGTTGGCGAGTTCAAGTACACCGATGCGTTAGACAACTTACAAGAATACATCGATCATCTCGAACAGGTGGCAGAAGATCAACTTGATGCGCTTCCATCTCCATCGCCGGACAGGCCCACACTATCAACGAACCTTCCGCCGTCCATGCCAAAATCACAATCCTTCAAACAGAGGGAGAAAACTCGGCAAATAGAGAGGGAAGCATCCCTAATCGGCGTCATCAAGGTCCTCAGACCCATCAGAAGAATGATGGATCACGATTACCACGTGCGCCCCTACGCCAGGGACCTTTACCCCTTGTTCCGCCACCTCTACGATATCTACGAAAGCCCCGGTCGCTGCGAAAACTGCGAGGAACAGATGCTGACAGGCAGGTCGCGTCCGCCAACACGGGCGCCGACCATAGTGGGGGTGGCCGCCAATGGCAGACAGCTATCGCTACAGCGGACGAGGTCGAACAGCCCGACTTTGGCCAAGAGTCCTACAGCTGGTTCGTTTACTATTAGGAGAGTGAGGGCGAATTCACTGTACATGGTCAAGCAGCAGGCGTCGCATTCGCCAACGGAGGCGGTGGGCATAGCATATCCGCATAATGGGCATAAGGTCTGATCATGAGCCATGAGCTGGCGTAGGGGGTGGGCGGCCGACGGCTACGACGACACAGGCCGAATTTGGTTATCATGGCGAGCCACGGAAGGGGGATATGATGAAATGCCTCCGTGATGAAAGTATAAACCTTTGGAAAAAGTGATTGGGCAATGGGCCTGCCAAAAGCAAAGCCTACAGGAAAGAAAAAAAAAAATTCTTCTTTTTGTTGAATCATCGTGAGAGCTGGCAGCTAAAGGCATATCAACATTGATAGTAGTCAATTTGCGCAAACTGGTTGCGACCAGCGACCCATTCTGGTCCAGATCAATCGACATCGTGAAAGACCATGTGTTTTGGATAACATGTAAGTTGTGGCTGTGCGTAAGACTACACTAAAAGGATGGAGTCGCTTATATACGCTTAGTAACCTGTGAATACTTTACGGTAGCCCAAGTGTGCGTTAGGTGTCAGGAGGCTAAGAGCTCGTATACAGAGGCACCTCAGCGGCTGCTACTCCGCTTCGTCAACGGAAGCGTAGGATCATTTACAATAACGCCCATATCAGGTCGGACCCGCGGGAAAGATAATCTAGCACTGCGCCGAGGCGTTAGACTAGTATAAAGCTCTATAATACTCGTTAGTGGAGGAATAGAATTTATATAAGTATAAAAGAGGTTCAACGGAGCGTATCTTATTATAATCGGTAATTATTAATATATTTTTAAATTAATTCCTAATTTACCGTCCCCTACGTATAGCTACGACCGTAGTTACTTTAGCCTACCTTTCGCTTATATTCCTAATAAATTAATAATTCTTCCTCTAGGAATTGAGCCGATATTATTAAAATATATATATATAGCGGCTAATTTATTTTTCGTACTGCTAAAGCTATTCCTCGTCCCTCTCGTACTACTACTTTTATAATTACTATAATTAAAATAATCCAACCTCCTCCGCCCTTATTATAATAACGCTAGCCTACTATAGAATTTATTAAAGAAAATAGTAATAAAGACTACCCCCCTACGCCGCCCTAGGCTCTTTATTCGTATCCCTAAACTTCGGAAGCCGATAAATTCGCGCGCAAATAATAATTATTCGAATCTCAGTTTATTGTAATTAAACTCCTCCTCAATTACCTTCCTTCGTATATATCCTAATAGGAGTAATTCGCATTCGTAGGCTTCGCTGAATAAAATTTAATAGGAAACTACCCCCCTATCCCTACCGGGTTCTATTATTAAGATTACTTTTTTTATAATTAGATTCGTATTTCTACTATATCTCCCCTTACTATTCCTTTATTAACAGCCATCGCCGCAACTACCCCTTTAATAACCGTGGCTATACTAGCCCATATTAAATACTATTCCAAATATAATATTATTAAATTTACTAGCGAAAATTTCTTACAATTATAGAATTACTTCTATAATATCGATATATACTTTTAAAAATACCTTTATACTTCCCTCTTATTCGCCGTTAATTATATTAAAGGTAATTCTAAGAACGTATAGATTAAATATATATTAGTTCTCTATAGTAAGCCTGGGTATAATATTATTTGTAATGCGCCTACGTAGAGCGACCTCCGTATTTTTTTAAAGACCGAATATAATAGTAATACTTAGGCTATTAAACGATCTACTTTCAATAAATTCGAATATATATAGTAAAGCGCTTTAAAGATTATTTATACCTTCTACAATTATTATTATATTAAAGAATTTAATTTATCGTACGATTAACTGGAATATATTCGGGTCGTTATTTAAACTAACCGGTTACACCCCTTCTTTAAATAAAGCATCCTTTTAACGGCTAATATTAATATAATAAATAAAGTAATAATATATACGGAATAACTAGAAGGCTTAAAAAATATTAAACCGTCTATATTATATTATTAATATTAAATATCTTTAAAGTATAATCCGTCATCTTCTTTATTTTCGCACCCTCCTACCTCCTTTTCGAACATCCCTTTACAATCGTCCTATAGTAATAACCCTTCTAATTTTCTCCGTCGCCCCTCTACCGTTTTTTAAATAAATTCTAATTTTATTTATTCCCTTTATTATTAAAAAGGCTATATATATAGCCGGTATACCTAATTGAAGTTATTAAATACCTACTACGAATATAGTATAATAGGCTATTTTATAATAGTGTACCCGAACTGAACTTATTATAATTACAATTAGGTCGGCTATTTAATATAGAATTACCCTATCCCTATAAATACCCCCTTATATAAAATAAATACCAAACCGATCGTAATTAGAACGGTAGCCGCAACCGCTTAGAATAATATAAATAAATTATAAATATACTTAAAGATAAAGTTATTAATAAGGACTTATAAAAATTAATGGAGTACGTAAGGGTTAATAAATTCGGGTATGGAATTAAACCTAATTAATAGGTATTTATTTCTATCGAACGCAAAAATTAATCTAATACCCTATTATTTTATTAATTTCTCCCTTCAGCCTATTCTTATATATAATACAATTACCCATTTTATTAAAATATATAATTCCTATAATACTAAATAGATAAAATAAATTATATTTACTATAATTAAATTCCCGGCCGTAAAAATTATTTTCAATTACCCTTAGCTTTATAAATAGAACCCTAATATTAATTAATAGTAATAGTCGTTTTAATTTTGTATTGAGGCTAGCGATCTCGTATTAAATATAATATTAGCGAAAGAAATATATAACGCTGCAACCGTCCTAGTAGGGCTATAATAAAACTTAATTCTATTATTAGACCCTCGGGAAATAGCAAGGGTAGAGGAGGGTTTCCGCCTTTCCGTATATATAAATATTCTATTCGAAATCCCCTCTTCCTTAATATTAGAATTCGTAACCCTACCTGTCGTAGTAGAATCGGCCGAATCGCCTCTAATCTCTACTCCCCTAGTGAAAATTTTTCGAATAATATTTAATAGTATTTACCCCACTTTAATACCCCCCGCGGAGCTAATACTACTGTAACCCTTAGAATTATTAGAAGAAACAAAAGGCGAGCCCGCCATCCCCGAGCCAATTATCCCGCTGGAATATAAAGAGTTCCAATCGGTATTCGAAGCCTTTACTATACCCCTACCTTAATATAATCGGCTAAAATATTATATTAATTTAATTAAAGGAGAATTAACGCTTTAAAGACTAATTTATATATTAAATGTTAAAGAATTAGAAATATTATACGAATAATTAGCGGAAATACTCTAGAAGGGGTAAATTTATCCTTCTATTAACCTAGCGGATATTCCTATTATCTTTATTCTAAAGAAGGGTAGAAAGCTAAAGTTCTACGTCGATTTTAGAATATTAAATAAAATTATAAAAAAAAATTGGATAATATTACTCTTTATTTAAAAAATTCTAAATCGGTTATCGTTAGTTAAAGTCTTTATAAAATTAGATTTAAAGGATGTATACTATAAAATTTGGATTCGAGAAGGAAATAAAGAGAAGACGGCGTTTCGTACGAAGTATAGGTACTATAAATTCTTAGTTATACTGATGGGATTAGCGAACGCGCCGGCGATATTTTAAATATATATTAATAATATATTAATAGGGTTAATAAATATTATATATATTATTTACCTTAATAATATTCTAATTTATAGTAAAAATAAAGAAGATTATATTGATTATATTAAAGAAGTCTTTTAATAGTTATAAAATTGTAACCTTTATATAAATTTAAGTAAATATAAATTTTATATAAAATGAATATTGTTCTTAGGATATATTATTTCCCCGGAAAATATAGCGATAGATCTAGAGAGGGTAGTAGCAATAGTAGAATAGGAGGCTCTAATAAATATTTATAATATTTAGGTTTTTTTAAGGTTTATAAAATTTTATTAATGCTTTGTAATATTATATTTTAAAATAATTATACTCCTAATAGAATTATTAAAGGAGGATAAATAGAGGCTATTCGAATTTACAAAGGAAGTAGAAAAAGTATTCGCGGAATTTAAAAAACAATTCTAAAAAGCTCCTATATTACGCTACTTCGACCTAGCGTTATAAATTTAAATAAAAACAGACGCGTCGGACTTTGCAATTGGGATAGTTCTTATATAATTATATAGTAATAAATAATACCCGGTAATTTTCTTTTCGAAGAAGAAATCGTTAAAAGAAACTAAATATAAGATTAGAAATAGAGAATTATTAATAATTGTAGGAATATTAAAAATATAGAGGTAATACTTATTATATACGGATAAACTGTTCTTAATAATTATAAATTATTTAAATCTATAGTATTTTTAAAAAAAGGAGTGGGTTAATGCGAGGTAGAATCGATAGATATTAGAATTAGTAGTATATAATTTTAAGATTAAATATTGTTTAGGAAAGTTAAATTTAGCGGATAAGCTATTGAGGAAGTTATAATTGTAAGGAGAAGAACGGGAGGTAAGGGGCAATTACCTATTAATAAAAATTATTGAAGGGGGTAAAGAAAAGGGTTAGGTAATAAAAGAAAATCGAATAGCGAAGGTGCTAGTAAAACGGGTAATTTTAATTAAAAAAGAGATTTAAAAAACGGTGGTAAAAGAGAGGGAATAACAATAGGATATAAGTAAAATAGAAGAGAATTAAGCATTGGAGAATAAAGGGGTCGAATTATAGGAAGAAAGGTAGAATTTGTAGGGGGAGGGCGAATTAAATAGAAGGGAAAGGAAGTGAAAGGGAGTTGAGAATAATAGTAGAAAAGATAGGGTAGTAAGGAAGAGGGTAAAATTTATAGGCGAAGCCGTTATTAAATTAAAAAGGAAGGATAAAAGTATTATTATAAGAAATATAAATAGGTATATAATAGTAGTAAGGGTATAGAAGGACGAAGAATAATTATTACTATTAGAATAATAATTATTAAAAGTATAAAAGGAGGACCTATTTATTATTAAAGAAGTATAGAAGAATAGTGAAGGGAGGAGATAGGCGAAGAATTAAAAAATAGGGGAAGATGGAACTTTATAGTATTAATACTAAGTT